ATTATTATGATACAATATGGATTAAATATGATATGGAAGGATATGATACACTTAATTGCCACCCTTGGGAAATTTAACTTGGACTCAACTGCTGCGTACACTTAAGTGCATCCATAAAAGTACCAATAAATAAAACAGGTCTTAAAGCCCACATCCTCTGTTAACAGGATGTAATGTAAAATAAAAAAGCACGTCAAATGTATTTCTGTATAATGCATTGTCTTTCATTTAAGTTAGTTCTCATCATGCTGAATTTTGAAGAGGACGTTCAATTTTAATTTCTCATTTGATGCTCAAATTGAAGTATCGTGCCCTGATCGACAACTCTGTTGAAAAATGCAACACTATGAGTACGCGACTGGCAGAGAATAGGAGGAAAACAAAGAGAAAATGTGATCAGCAAAAACAGTAAAACTCACTGAACTCTCCACAGGACGAACCAGAACAAGATCTGGTTGCTCCCAGACTAGGGCCTTCACTTATTTTGCTCTATCCACCAACTTTATTGTTACAGATTGTTTATTGTTACGAGATGCATAATCTATCGAGGGTTAATAGGATGAACGACAGGAAGGAGGGAAGGAGGGAAGGAAAGTAAACATGGACAGGAAAGGAGAAGAGAGGGGGATAAACGGGACACAAAGTAGGAGCAGAGATATATTCAAAAGCAAGATGAGTAAATGAAAGGAGAGTAAAAGGAAAGAAAAGATGCGAGAGGAAGTGAGAAGGATAGAAGACGGGGTGAGGAGAGGAGACAAGAGCCAAAGGGAGCATGCATGTTAAAAGAAGAGCAGAGAAGATAAAAGCAGAGAAGAGAAGAAGAGGAGAAAAAAGAGATGGACAGGAAGAGGATGAGAAGCCAGTCGTTCTTTACTCGGGGGGGAGGGAGGCACAGTGGGGGGTGAGGGAGGTTTGGGGGGAGCTCCTCATCCCTCTCTCCTCCTACTGAGCCTCCTTTCTCAAGGTCAGTCAAACACACACTCATGCACACACACACACTTATACATGTACACTTGCACACAGGCAGGCAGGTTGGCAGACGTAGCACACCACACACACACACACACAAACACACACACATTTAGTCGGGCTCAAGTAGAAAAGACGCCTTCTGCCTGCTTTTCTCTCTGACTCTCTGTACCAACAAGCCAAGTCTCAGTCAACCATCTGGAGATAAAAAACACCATTCTTCCCATGCACACACACACGGGCACACACACAGGCACACACAACAAAAACACAACACAACACACACATACTGTGTGTTTATGATAATAGACCAAATGCTTCTATTGATTCTCTCTCTATCTCTGTCTGTCTGTCTCTTTGTGTGTGTGTGTGTGTGTGTGTGTGTGTGTGTGTGTGTGTGTGTGTGTGTGTGTGTGTGTGTGTGTGTGTGTGTGTGTGTGTGTGTGTGTGTGTCATCAGTTTATTTCATGGAGAGCATGCTTCTCTCTCCATCTTTTAAGATATCCCGCTTCATTCCTTTTTTTGGTTGCCTGTGTCCTTTACATCTGTTTTTCACCACTCCTTACACTCCTGATGTGTTTCTAATGTCAGAAAAGCTGTGCTTCTCTTCTAAAGACACTCATAATTTTGCTAAAATTTGTCCAATTTTTTGTGCAGGTGTCAAAATCTCTCCAAATGTTTGGGGGAAAAAGGGAATAAGAGTTTTGAAATAGTGAAGACGGATTAAGATTGTGTTTGATTGATGTTACTTTCCTCTTTGATAAGTACTTATTTTGATCAATTCTTATTTTGATAAACTCTTACTTTGAAAAACCCTTATTTGTCTGTAAAACCTTCTCATTTGAAAAAATCTGTCCTCCAAACACATCACAACTTATCAAGTCCAAGTTTTCAGAAAAATTCAACTTACAGTGTCATGAAAACCATAAGAGGGAGGCATTTATACATTCTCTACTCATGAACAGGCTAAACACGATCTATTTGAAGGCACCTGTGACATCCTGCGACCTTCAATGTGACTAATGCACATGCACACATCACAGCTTCAAAAATAGTCCTATCATTGTTGAGTAATTGCCTTAGTCTGACTGAAACTGGATTTTTAAAAACATGTTTACATACTAGGCTGACTGAAATTGCACTAATCGAACTTTTTACAGTCAGTCTAATATACCTAGATTATGCAGTTTCTCTGTCATGTATTTGGCTCAACTGGACTGGCATTGCCTGAGTTTTCTGTGTATGCCTTGGTGTTCGAACACCGGGCTTTGCGTCAAAAGTTTCATAGCATGAATGCGTTGCTAATAACCAGGTTGTAAACAAAACCTGAACAGACAGAAAAGGGACATTAAGAGACATTAAAAACTCTCCTATCATAAAAACAAACAAAACAGAGCTTTCATCGTTCGACGTACCTCTTGCTAACCTGTTTTGCCAACTGTTTTGACAGATAATACGTCAACTGGGGAATGAAAAGCAGCATATCGCCACCTACCTTAGCAAAAGCAGACATGCTTCATTTAATGAATTGATTTTGGTCCAGTGCACCCAAACTGGGAGAAGGACAGAAGTCCAGTTAAATCACCTAATCAAGCTTTAACTGTGCATGTAAACGAACTGATTTGTGTTTCTCCATCTATTGATTCTTTCCATTTCCTCAGCTTTGTAAAAGTGTTAAACATGCTGCTGCTGTTTTGTTTTCTCTCTATTTTTATCATCTGTTTAATATTGTATAATGTGCATCTTGTTCAAAACCATAAAAAGCAACTAAAAATCAGCCATTTGAAACCTCTAATGGGACGTGGAGAACAGGCATCCTCCCCCCTCCTGTAAAATATTCCTCCTCTCCTCTTAGGGTCAAAATTGTCTTCCCCAACCCTCCTCCCTTCCTGTTTTTTTTTTTTTTATAACTGGCTGCAAATTCACTGCTGTTCATTACCCAGGCAGGGTCAATTCCCCAAACAATGTGTTTGGTGTCACAATAAAAAGGGTGTTTTTTATGGCGTGTAGCCGTAAAATGCTATTAAACAGATAAAACAGAGGCAACGAGCATCAGGAGGATTATAAAAAGAATTGCCTTGATAAACTCCACATATCTGCGTGATGACACACCAGCAGCTCTCCTCTCTGTCGCTGGGGAGGGGGGAGGAGGAGAAGAGGAGGCGCAGACTGAGGAGCACATGGTCGGAGAGTTTGCACAGCTCTACAGTGCCACCAGCAGGAAGGGATTGGAAAAATGATAGGCTGCCATGCTGTTTTATGGCGAGTTGTGGTTCCTGGAAAGAAAAAAAGAAGATCCTCTCATTTTAGATGTGATGTTTTACATTTTGTTCCCAAAAAGGATGAAAAGACAAATGAAAAACAATGTGGATTACAGAAGAAACATCCAGCTTCACAGTTTCAAAGAGACTAGAAAATCAACGCTTACATAACCCAATTGATATTTCAGGATCAGTGCAACCTTGTTGTAGTCTTCCTTCCATATTGATCCTGGTGGTGCCTCTATAAAGCATTTTTAACATCTGAATGAGGGTGCCTTCTCTTTTTCACGATTAGATTGGTATATTTGGCAAGATTGCAAAAAACGGTCTCTTAGGGGTAATTCAAAATATCTTTAAGGATGTTTTTACATTGAAAAATCAACTGCAATTTTTTTTAAATATCTTTTATTCTCATAGTTGCTTTCAAAAATCTGGTAATTTGATCAAAGTGTAAATTCATCCACAGATCTGTGCCTTACTGTTCCTGTTACATAATCTTAGTAGATGCATATAAAGTGGGTAGGAAGCAGGGAGTCTGAATCAGGAGTTAATCACTGAAATGTTCAGAAAATCCCTCCTTATATGTTATTGCACATACAGTAGATATGACTGCTTTGGCCTTACAGGGTTCAGAGTGGTGAGTGTGTTAATTTCAGCTAAAAAAAAAACCCGGTTTTAATTTTAAAAGTGTTTGATTAAGAAACAAGAAGAACAAGATTTATACCAGCAAAGTCCTGTTGTTTAGATTGTATAAAGGCGATATTACAGATATCACATCTCAAGGCATGTTAGTGCACATCCTTCAGTTAGATGAGACAACAATAACATTCAAAGTGTGCCATATGAATACCTTTCTATTATGCTTTTAAGCTACAATGAACTTGCCAATTTGCCTAACTTTTTCCCCCCTGAATAGATGAAGTTTCATGTTTTATGTAACACAGGGTGTTCCAGGGTAACTGCAGTGCCGTGCCTGCTGTGCTTTAAAATGATCTCACACTGAACTCTGGTGGCTAATGTGAGAAGTGCTTTACCAAAATGGGCCTTTCTTTAAACAAACATGTTGATATGTCAGTACATGTCATAGAAAAGCCTGGGTTTTAACTAATAATATCCAGACAATATACCATCAAGTACAATAAGACAGTGAATATGTAACTAAAGGAGCAAGATTGTACAAGCTGACATCCAACTGAACACTGCTATTATCACCAAACGACATTGACAAAGTACTCCCTTTGTTATCCAGTTGGAAATGCTTGTGTATGCCTTTGAATTCTCTTGTCTTTATAATATAAACCTCTTTTTTCCTGTCTCTGCCAACCCGTTATTTGGTGGCTGTAAAACTCTGCAGTAAGACCACCAACTAAGACCTCCTTTTGTTCCTACATTACACCAGTTTTTATTTCACTTCATGAGATTCCTATTAAATTCTGGGTTTGGTTCAAGATCCTCATCCTTCTTGTCTATGATTCTTGTTTGCTTGTAATAGGCTATTGAATTGTTCCAACTGTTTTTATAATATTTAAGTGAATATTTTTTACTTTTTTTGGTTGCTGTTTATTATTATTATTATTATTATTATTATTATTATTATTATTATTATTATTATTATTATTATTTCTGAAATACATGCTTTATTCTGATTTCCTTCTCACTTCTACCCCTAACCTTGTCATTTACATTAGGAAAATTTGTAGTTTTTTTAAGTATACTAATGTATTTATTTTGTCTCAATTACTTTTAATTTTTATTTTTTCTGCACAATTATTAAACTCTTAGTTGATTGCTAAATGTGAACGTCTGTAATTTCGCCAAAGCTTTCAAAGGCGGGAGGCGTCGTAATGTTCCGTTTCTCTTCGGCCTTTTCCGCCCTTCTACGTTCACGACTCGGGTCTTTTCGTTCAGTGTCGCCATCTGCTTTCTCGTCCTTCTCCAATCTCCGTGTTGTTGTTCCCGGTGACGCGGCGGAGGTGTAGCCTGACGCGGGCTCTTACGTGTCGGCCAGAATAAAAGTGGAGCTCCGGAGGCCCGGGAGTGACGAAAGGAGCCTGTATCGGTAAGGACGGAGTGGTGTCCGGGGCTCAGAGAGACGACACGAAGCCGTAGAAAGTGTCGGTCTGGTCGGGTTCGGCCCGAAGGAAACAAAGAGATCATGGCGCCGCTGTGTGTTTGTAGCAGGATGGAGGGAGGGGAGTCTGCGGCTGTGAGGGAAAACACAGCAAATGTGTCTCTTTCCCCGTGAAGGAGGGCAGACCGCTGGCGTGTTTAGACATTAGAAAGTGTGTCAGGATATGAGGGTTAATTCCGTCAGCTGTCATATTGCGCCATATTATCACGAAGGTTTGTGTGCACAGATTTGCGCCGTTTTTTCCTTTACGGTTCATAGAAAACACTCGCTGTGATATGCTGTTATTTCTCACCCTCTCAGCTGAATTACATTTTTCCTTTTTTTCATATTACAGTCTATTTTTTAACATCTGCTTATGTAACATCTGTAACATGTTGATGTTTTCAATTCATTTTGCGTCAATAGAAATCAGCCATGCAGGCCGTCGTGTTTGGTCGCACGATGAAAACATGAAATAAGAAGGCCTGCAGGTTTAACCCACAGCTTGTCTTTGAATGAATTACAAGTTTTAATTGTTCCCTATCTCCTGGGATGTGACAGTAGCCGTAGTGAGGGGGCGTTGCCCGGCCATGTGGCTGTGCTGTCACACACGGAGCATCGGAGTGATTTTTGAAAAGCAGAGGGAGAAATGTGTAAAGCCAATCATGCTGCGGAGAGAAGCTACGCACAGTGTGAGATCACGGAGCTCCGTGAACAACACGGCCCAGATCAACTCTCACTACCACCGCCTGAAGACAGACACTAGACAGATCTGAAGCTCAGAGTTTCTACTTTAATCATTAGAAAGAGTAAAACTGATAAAGTGTGTGGGAAGAAAATTGTAGTTTCCTTTCATAAAGTTTACTTTTCTTGTGTATCAGAGAGAATGTTGAATTACAGTGAAAGCCTGAATTAACGTAATTAGTGTATTAGTTTTAAAACAACAGATAACACCAAGTTTTCTTTTCCTGTATATTGACCTTAAAGGGATATTCCAGCGTAAAGTTTAAGGGATATTCAGTCGTAAAATAAAGTTAGGGTCAAACACACTGTAACACAGAGTGAGACACCCCATCGAGAGTTGAAAGTTTCTGACCGTTTGCTTCTCTAGTTATACCAACTTTAGTAACGACCACATGATAGCAATACAGAGAGCCAATCGCTCAACCAAAAAGCCACTCTATAGCCGCAAATAATGTTCAGAACAGCACCTAACTTCATCAACAGTACATATATATATATATATATATATATGTATATATATATATATATATATATATATATATTTATATATATATAGGGTCCTAGCCATAGCACTTCTAAATTCCAAATTTACAGCACCATACAGACATACAAAGAGAAAATTAAAGTATAAAGAAACTTAGAATTAAGTTAAGAAAAAGATATGTACATAAGTCATATTTATATGAAAGAATCAACATCTAAATATTTTATTCTCTAAATATACAAAAATGATTTCATGTTAGTTGTAAATTAATTCTGGTCATCAGGGGGATTTCCCCAATTTGCAGACTGCAGGCACACTCCTTAAAGTCATTTGGCAATGAAAATAATATATGAACAAAGTTTCCTCAACATCACTGCAAGGTCATTCCCCATTAAGAAACCTCAGTTTAGATAGCTGTAAACAGTAAGGTCTGATAATAGAAACAGTTCATCTGAGAAGTAACCATCCCAAACAGAGGGAATTGAAATGTTTTACCAGCTAACAAACAGAAGTGGTGGATGTAGAGCAGACATAACAATCAACTTATCCTCAAACTGTTAGTGTTAAACACACTGAGGCAAAACCTGCAAAATACTACAGGATATCATCAATCCTGAATATAATTAGATCCATTTGGTCAAGAAACATGGACAGTTTACAAAAACCTAAAGGAACTGTGGATGACTCTGATCTACAGTTTTGAACTCAGAAATTTTCATGATGATGTGCAGTTTTTCTTAAGGATTTATGATTGCAATAGTGTAGAGTGACAGTTGGTACAGTCTTGTGATATATTTATTACATTTTCTATGAATGTATTTCTATTACATGTTTTCTATGTAGATCCTACTGCTGCATTCCTGTTGAAGTTGAGTTTTAACTGCCTATCTTTAAATCTTCACCCTCAGCTTAACAAATGAAGATGGAGTCAGCAGCAGAGGCTCAGCAGGGGGCAGAGACTGCTGTGACTGAGACAGAGAACCAGCAGATCACTCCTGCACAGATCGCCACCTTAGCACAGGTAAAAGATGAAAACAGTTTGGAAACTCAAGTTAGAGTAAAAAAAAGAGTAGTTTGAGATCACATGGCAGACGCAGAGGTCTTATCGCTCCTATATTTCAGGTTTCCATGACAACAGGCCACGCCTCAGCCACAGGTCCCACAGTCACGCTGGTTCAGCTGCCCAATGGACAGACAGTTCAGGTCCATGGAGTCATCCAGGCTGCACAACCGTCCGTCATCCAGTCTCCACAGGTTCAGGCTGTACAGGTGAAATACACACTCACAAACACACACTCACACACAACCTGTCGACCCTTTCAGGGTTTGTTTTGTGTGTTGTGTATGCCGCCACTCTTCTTACTTTGTCCTTTTGTTTCAGATCTCCACTATAGCAGAGAGTGAGGACTCTCAGGAGTCAGTAGACAGTGTGACTGACTCTCAGAAGCGCAGGGAGATTCTGTCACGACGCCCTTCATACAGGTGAGTTATACGCGAAGTCTGTACATTTATATAGTGTGTATATGTCCTGTCTGCAGATAAGAATAAGAATAACTTTATTAATCCACGAACGGAAATTCAATTGTCTGTTGTCTCACATAATATGTCTCTAAAAGTTATCTACTATTTACACAAGAGTTATAAAGCCTGATGGCTGTTGGTACAAAAGATCTTCTGAATCTTTATGTCCTGCAGCGAAGAGAGAGGAAGTTAGCAGGTTACTAAAATATTCATGCTCATTGGACTTTTCATTTACTGTTCTTTTTACATCTTTTTCAGAGCACTGAAGTAAATATTTCAAAAACTCGACAGGTTATGAAACTCGAGTCAAAAGTTGTGTTTTGTTTTATAGTGTAATGCAGAATGTTTTTTTTAGCTGTTGACCCATATGGAGCATTATCAGCTCTTCGTAATTCACTGAAATGAAAAAAGAGCCATGCATAGACCAGAACCAGAAATGCAAATGACTTTTTTCAGACCAAGCCAATTTGGTATGGACTGAGAAAAAGTGGAAAACTTTCTACGGTCTAGTAAATCATAGTTTAACATTCTTTTTGCAAACAAGAATCCAGAATCTGATACAGCTTTAAAGCAAGTATGTGTGAGTGTGTAGGATGCACAAGTGGCCACATCACAGGTAGTTTACACACCTGGGGAAGTCCCCTGATACAACAAAGGAGACCCTGAACTGCTGAGCAGCTGGGATCCTATATCAAGCAAGAATGGGACGACATTTGTCTTTGACTCCTGAAACTGGTCTGCTGGGTTTCTAAACATTCACAGTGTGGTCAAAAGAACCAACAATATAATGAACAGTATATTACAGTTCCCATGTTTGATGTGTTGTCTTAATGCTATTGTCAATTAAATATGAGCTTAAAATGATTTGCAAACCATCAGACTTGTTTTATGAATATTTTACAAAGCGCCCTCATTTTTCTGGAACTGACTGTGAACACAAGTTCTCTTTTTTGTAAGAGCCAAAAATAGTAGGATTGTAGAAATGAACATCATGAGATGATATAAATCAACAAGACCAGTGTAAATGTTTTATTTCCTACCACATCAGTCCCTGCTGGTTACATCTGACTCTGTCTCATTGATGTTGTCAATAAAACCTCTACATTTGTATTTTCCCCAACAGGAAAATCCTGAATGACCTTTCATCTGACGCTCCAGCAGTCCCTCGAATCGAGGAGGAAAAGGCAGAGGAGGATTCATCGGCTGCAGCAGCCACACCTGCAATCACCACCGTCACAGTCCCCACACCTATCTACCAGACCAGCAGTGGACAATACAGTAAGTGATAAGAGATCAATGGGCGATACCTGTGACGGCAAGGGAGTGATGAGATTTTTGTCATCACAGTTGGGATGGTGACCTCCACTCTGTACTCCTTGTTGTACCTGTGAGTGTTATCAGTGGGTAACATTTTTATTGATCTTTAGGCCTTTCAACTCTCTTCATACCAATCTCTTCAAGTTCAGATCCACAGCTGAATGAAAATACTTTGTAACCTGCCGACACAGAACTGAAAACATCTCTGTCCAGAAGAGACTGTAAAATATCTTTTTTCAGTATTTTGTGCTTTGAAAGATAAAAACAGATAAAAGAGAGCATTCAGAAAATTGAGATCACGGTGGACTTATATTTGGAGTCTTGGTCTGGTCTGACTGTTGACAGTCTATTCCTTAACGCAGACCTCTTTGCAATGAAGTGGCTAATTGTTTATTCACATGTTCATTGAAGGAGTGATTTAGCTGCCAGTCGAGTTCATGACTGGTAAGTTAATAATCTAAACATGATGCATCATGTCTGAACAAGATGAGTCATAAGTCATAAGAGCAGACAAAAACACTGAGATATCAGGTCAATCCAAGTGTCTCTTCATGGACTGGTAGACAACCAGTCTAAGCTTCGTCAGACGACTAAAGTACACATGAATAATATTACCAATCCTAATTTTATCCTTCAACCTCTAACTCCAATTTCCTTCCCTGTCTTCACCAAACTCATAGTCGCAATCACACAGGGTGGGGCCATTCAGCTGGCTAATAACGGTACAGATGGAGTTCAGGGCCTTCAGACTCTGACCATGACCAACGCAGCAGCAGCAGCTCAGCCTGGAGCCACCATCCTCCAGTACGCACAGACCAGTGACGGCCAGCAGATACTGGTTCCCAGTAACCAGGTGGTCGTCCAAGGTAAGACATAGCTCCAGTAATATCCTATATATTCGTCAGTTTGGTGATATCTAGTTAGTATTATGCATAAAATATTCCCATTTTTGAGCTCCTGGTCATCGCTCCTTGCTGTCTTTGTTCACAAAGATTTGTTTCAGTATTTAACATCACTAAATATTTCAACAGAAATAAACTTTAACGTCCAATCTCTGCCATCAAACCTATCAGCCGCATCAGGAGATGTCCAGGCCTATCAGATCCGAGCAGCTCCTGCCAGCACCATCGCCCCCGGAGTGGTCATGGCCTCATCCCCTGCCCTCCCCACCCAGGGTGCTACTGAAGAGGTTACTCGCAAACGAGAGGTCCGCCTCATGAAGAACAGGTAATCTAAAAAGATAGTCTGCTTCTTGATATGATGTTATTAGTTGCTTTCTTTTAACAGTGAATTAATTAGTTCATTTCTTTTTTCAGAGAGGCAGCTCGTGAATGTCGCAGGAAGAAGAAGGAGTACGTTAAATGTTTGGAGAACCGAGTGGCTGTCCTGGAGAACCAAAACAAGACACTAATCGAAGAACTCAAAGCACTTAAAGACCTTTACTGCCATAAATCGGAGTAGTTCCTGTCACCGGTGCAGTGAGCTGGGCTGAGTAGCACTTAAGTTTCTTCAAACACTTCGACTGTTCAATTCTGCCTGCCTGGCCTTCAGGTTTGCACAGAGCTGGCTCTTTTGAGAAAATCCCCCCAATTGAGGTTCTGCCTCCTCTACTTTCTCTTTAGTAGGCTGTCAATATGAGAAAAAAAATTGAATAACAGCACATTTTTGCAGAGAGTACTATAGAAAATTTCACTCAACGATTCTAGTAATTGGGATTTGCACAGCGCTCCTTGAAAGTTCTGCCTAAAGTATTCTTACAGTCCTTTTCAGCTTTCTTGAAAGGGTTGAGTCAGCAGGGGACAGTGTGCTGCACACACCTTCCCCTGTAAGCTGGTGTCCCATTGTTGTAGCTTTGGGTTATACTCCAAAAGATACAAGACTCTGTGCACATTACATCTGTCTGAGAGGTACTTAGGATAAGATAAGATAGGATGAGAAGAACTTAATTGATCCCCAAAAGGAAGTTCAATAAAGTTCTTCTAAAGTATTTGTTGGTCTCACCATTCCCATGGTTTTATGCTACTTGTTTGACCTTATCTACCTGTTTGAAATAGTTGTTGAACAGTAGACTAGAGGCTTGAACTTTTGCATAGCTGGTGCAACCCAGTATCGGATTTCTGTCGATGGTTTATGGACACCAATCTGATTTAAACAAGAGGAATATATTCTCCACGTTCTTAATTTTAAAGAATATTCAGGCCAAAACTAAAACAAACAGATAGAAAGAAGCAGATCTGATTATAGATAGTGTTAAGTACACTTCGGTTACGTTTTGTTATTGATGTTTTTGCCCTTAGCTCATTATTTGTCCAGCAGTTTATACGGAAGGATATTTCTTTAATCGACAGCCTTAGGCAGCTGCAGTTGAAGCTTTTGAATAAATAATGAACCTCTACCTGGTCAAACAACTGGAAAGGTTGTTGCTTGTATATTTGACTCTATAACTGATTGGGCACAAAGACGTCATTTTATGAGTGTTTTTTAAAGACGCTACCAACTGCCAAACTAAGAGAAAGTCTGATTGACAACAGACTGTGGACGCATTTTAGTTAGGCGCCATGCTTTTAAATCACCATATTTTCTGTCTCTCCGTGACTAAAGGTTGTCAGGGATGATTTGAAATGAGGATTGTTTGGTGGGGAAAGCCAAGCGTTAGAGAAGAGAGATTATTCTGAATTTTATTTTTGCAGCTTGGGAGCACAGTGTTTTTATTTTTGGCCTACATTCTGCCAAGTTGTATTGAAAATGTTTGGATGTGAAAACAAACGTGAATGGTAATATTTGTAAAAAGAGAAATTGCTGCCGTATTATTAGTTTCTAATGACAAAGCACAATTTTCCCTTCTATTCAGGTGTTTTCATGTTCAGAATAATCGAGGGTTGCTTCTGCGGGTTACTTGACCCCAGATGTCAACAGTTAACAGAGAATAAAATGTTGGAGTGTTGCCAAAAAGAAAATATGAAAAAAGATCCAGGTTGTTTGGAAACGCACATTGAATGAGCAATTCTTAACACTACAGAGCTACACCTTTTATTATTTAATGTAACGTCAAAGTCGAGGTCAAGCGTCCTCTCATTGTGCCACAGTAAACTGTCAGTTTCCATGATATTTGAGTTAGGTGTTGTGTTGTTTTTGCTTGTCTGTCCACTGATGGGCAGTACGTGTATGTGAGATTGCAGCGCTGCCTGTGAAAAGAAAGCAGGTCGGATTATTTGTGAAATTGAAAAAAAAATCTACATCAGCTACATGAGAAAAAACACTAAAGACATGGAGACGGGCTGAGAACAGATTGTTTGTGTTGGACTGTTGTGGGTTTATGAGAAGATTCATGTTTGTATTGGTGTGTTTATTTTTTATATTACTGTACATAGGGTCTACAGCATGTGTAGACGTCATGTTTTTTTGTTTATTTGATATAAAGTACTGTTCTTATGACTTTTCATATTTGTAATATACATCAGTGTATAATAGAAGACATGTTATTGTGTATTCATGTAATCTACCAGGCCTACAACCGTCATGGCAGCTAAGTGTATGAGAAGAGGCCTTTGTTGGAGATGTGATGTTTTGGAGTGCTGTGCAGTTCAGGATCGACAGTGTTTGTTTGTAGAGAGGAGTGAGTCTGTTGAGAGCAGCTGGGGTCCACAAAAAATACCAGTTTTTATAATTAAATATTTTGTTTTTTCAAAAATCGGCACAGCAAACCCTCACTGGCTTCACACTCAAAGACACATGATTATGTTTTGTACTTAAATGTCTTTTTTCTGTTTTTTACACCTCTAAATCAATCAAAAGAAAGCACAATTTTACCTCCCATTAGACCCCTTCTTGTATTTATTCTACATAAACTCTCTTAATATTATTACAGAGCTACATATTTTGCAATTTCACTTTATTTCCAATGTTAAAATCCTTTTTTTAACTTAATGTCCAACTTAAGTCTTTTTTTCTGTTCATTTCATCTCATAGGTAAGGAAAAATCTTTTTTTTTCTGCAACAAACTGGACATCCTCTGTAAAATGTCCAGCTTTTCTGTTTATATTAAGTTACATTTTAAACCATCATGTGTTGACTGTAGCTCTGCCATATTTTCCTCCCAAGTTTCCAACATTTTGATATTGTACAGTTTGTATTTGTTATGTATAGAGTAAAAAGAGCTGGATCAGCAACAGAAGTCACACAGCACCTCAAAGACTCTGGATAAATCATCTCATTTTGACCCTGAACACATTAGTATAAGTTGTAGGTGTATTTGTTGACACTGCTTTGCTCTCCTCCTGCCTGACACAGAGCAATCAAAATGCATAGTGTATTTATTTTAATGCATCTCAAAAGACATCATGCAGTGTGAAACTGTTGGCCTTGTTAGTAGGCTTGATAGCATTCTGAATTTATACTAAGATACTGGTGCCATGGTGGTGAAATGTTTACCACGTAGAAAAAAAAAAATCCACCTCTTGTCATTCACTCATCAAGTGCTGGTGCTGAAAAGAAAAACCTGTAATAACTTTTCTTTTTTGTTGATTTGATATAGTGAGCTCAACTTTGTGATGTGTTTATTCAATAATCTTACAACGAAACCAAAAGTGTTTTCATTTCTGTGCCACAATAGTTTATACCCAAAGGGCCTCATTTGTGCATGAAACAGATTGTTATCCCTGTGTGTAAGAGTATATATAAATATATATAAATATATCATTTCTAGAACAGTAATAATGACTTTTTTCTAACTTTTAACGTAATCTGTTTATATATTGCCACTTTTACAAGTTATCAGTCGGAGATGCCATGTATTGTATAGTATGTTGTAGAGAAAAGGTCACCAAATGATGCGTTTTAATGTTATAAAAACTCTACCAGCCCATTATTTTCAAGTGCTGTTACTCTGACATTTCATCACTCTTTTGTAAACACTTGCTATGTTGCAATAAAATACTCTTGAAGACTGTTATGTACTTTGCTTATTGTGTTTCATTCACACACGATCAATAGTGTATGACTTTGGAATAGTGTTGTCGTTCGCGAACGATTCATTCAAAAGAACCGAATCTTTTAAATGAACGTACTGAACTTCACTTTCTCACTTCAGCACTGCCAGTCGAGTAGCTACTTTGGAAGTGAAACGATAAACAGTGCAATGATACATTGATTCCCCATCAGTATTTGCAGTTAAAGAGTTTAAATTTTATTTATTTTTTTATTTATTTATTTTTTTCAACTGGTAGGCTACAACCATTTCCTAAAAGATTTATTTCGTATCACAAGGGTTAAAAAATGTAACGACATAGATGATTAACAATGTCTTGACAGTTATCATATCATTTCTCCTTGCTGTAATGCTTGAATGAGAAAGGAAGCTTTGATTGGCAGGTAGATAATGCAATAGAGGACGGCCTTCAGATTTCACTGTCAAAAAAGGGTGTGGATCGGTGACGATACCAAAATAGTAGCGTTGTAAATACATTTCATCGGTTTAAATCGTCTGCGACAGACGGCTCCATCGACCAATCGTAAGCTTCAAATATCCTTGTTTTGAAGTATCCACCAATGAGAGTGAATGGAATTCCTTAGCAGGCGGGGCTTTAACATATCCGTTCCAAGTAGTACCGTTTGTGAGCTCCGGCAACAGATGGCGGCGGTGGCTGGGAAGACCTCCAGCACAAATCTGACGGGGTGGAGGCACTGATGGAGGAGTCCGGATCAGCTTCTAGGGATGTTTGTCTCTTAAAGAACCGGGACGAGACTCTGTCGACCTGTATTTTTTAGAAAATCCAAGCCAACTGCTGTGGGTACACTCCCTTTGAACCGTGGGATTCTACTGGAGGCCGCAGAAGCCTCGGGCTAGATTTGTCGACACACCGATAAGAGTAAGAAGATCTCCGCGGGACTATTTGGAAAGTCTCTCATGGACGCACTTCTTTGAGTTTCTCGATTTGAAATCTGTGTTGTAATTTCTGGAGTTCGTTGTGTTTTCTCGATTGAAAAAACATGCACTGGTGTTGAAGAGAAAAATAATTCATGAGACAAGCTAACTCCGTAGCTAGCCAGCTTGCTATCATGCTAGTCAGATACTTAGCATCGAAACTTTAGCATTTTGAATGAATGAATGAAGCGGCAGCTGCTTGCGTTTAAGTTGAAACTGCGTGTTTTTGTTGAAACTACGCATCTGTATATTAAATCTGTGAAGAGACTGAGCCTCATTGGCTGACTCTTGTTTGCCCGCTTGCTGGTACATACCCACAGATGGACAGGAATGCGGCTCCTGGGAGTAGGTGGACAGCGGCGATTTAGCATTAGTGTTGTGCTAATACTGACTATAGCCTGGTAATGTTAATGAGGCAGGGGGAAGCTAACTTTAGCTAGCTAGAATTTTTTTGCACTACTTGGATTTGGCTGCAACAGTGTGAAGCTTACACCCGGTTCGGGATGGGGAATACGGTGTCATGCTGCGTCTCCCCCGAGTCGAGCCCCAAGCTACCGTCGAGACAACCGGCGGAGCGGCTGGAGGAGTTCCAGACCAGCACCGAAGTGAGCGATGATAACACCGTGCCCTACCTGCAGCACATCAGCGACAGAGAGATCCCTGATGGTGAGTGTAAACCTCAGTTTCTGAGATTGCTTAAACTTGTTCTGTTTCTTTATTGTGTTTAGGCCCGTGAACGTCACGCCCTTATTGTTTGTTTATGGGGAGTTCCGTCTAAATCCAACCACTGCCACTGTGAAAAGTCTCCTGGTGAAGCTCATTGGAAAACAGTAGTGGAAAAAAATCATCATATTCCAGTTTGGATATGACAGTATGTGAGGGGTCAGATGTCGCAATACAATTTTGAGCTGTCAATCTTATTAACTGGTGTTTTCAAGCCACTCATAACAGGCACTGATACCTACAAATGTGTGTATCTTGAAAAACTAGGGCTGTAGACCACTAATACACTGAGGTAGGGCTGGGCGATATGGGAAGAAGTTTATCACGATATATTTTTTTCATTCTCAGTCGATCTCGATAAATATTACGATATAGAAAATGAAATTTAACAGTTTAAATTGGTAGCATGTCTTTTACAATATAATAAGCTACTCCATCTGTGATGTCTTTGTGTCTCTTTGATGTGTTGTCGGAAGGCGTTGCGCTAGAGAAAGCAGACTGAATGGTCGGCTGCAAAGGCACCTTGGGCTCCTTGCTCCGCTCGGGGTTTGTAACCTATTGCATTGTGCGTGCTTCAGGTGGTGAAAAAGATTTGAGATATTCCTCGACTTTGCGAGAACATGTACTCAAAATAATCTGCAGTGCACATTACTCTGCTTCATGTCCGACCTCAAAAAACCAAAATACCTCCACACCATCAACGTTTTCATGCCAGTCTTGTCGACGATGTTGTCATCTGTTGAGCCTTCATCTGCATTTCTTCTGAGGGTAGCACTCATGTCCTTTTTTCGTCACCGACAGTGCTGTCAGCTTCATGTGTTAAAGTGCTATGGTTGCGTGTAGCTGCAGCCTGCTACTGGTTCAATGCCGAATGGACCCGAAGCAACTCCCCTTTTCATTGGCTATTCATATAGTCTACCAAAACATGGCAGAAAGCTGACTATTGAAAAGCATATTGATTGTGTTTTATATTGATATTGAGGGAAACCAGTTTTCAGTATATATCGTTTTATCGCCCAGCCCTACACTGAGGGTGCGATTAAAATGCTTCTGTAGTTTAAAATGATCATGCAGCAGTCAGTCTGTATGAATAAGTGACATTTAAAAACACATGTTGGTCCTGCTGAAATTGTAATAATTCGAATACCTGTAAGTCAGACTGGCATTCTGACATGATTAGGGGATCAATTTTCTCTTGCGTGCATTAAACTCATTTGGCCCAAAACTGGTCAGAGTATTATGTGCATGCACTCGAGTTTGCAAACCAGGCTTTTGATCCAGAAGCTAGACAGCATAAAAGCATAAAAGGATGCAGGGTAATCAAAACCTGAACAGATAAAGAATGGAAGTAAATAAGACAGATATTTTAATAATTAAAAAAGCTGCTGAGTTGTTAAATGTCAGTGTTTTCACAGGTCCACTTACATACTTTGTCGATTGTTTTGGTATGCGATGTAAGAGGCAGAGCTGAACAGGGTCCAGGAGTAATTAGCTGGGAAATGTTTCTCCTTAAGTTACATTAGGTCCAAAAACAGTTTTTTCACTACTAAATTTGAGGGTTGCTTATCTTCATCTGGCTGCGTCAAAATGATTCGAAAGCACAGCCACCTGAAATGGTCAAATCCTCATATGTGAAGTTGGAAAGCATTACTTCATCACATCAGATACTTTTTTCATATTTTTTGCATTTACCTCAGGCTGTTGAGATGTGTTTAGCTCCGGGTTCTAGGACTCAGTGTTCTGTACAAACAATCAGTGCGAAGGGGATTTGGTTCTCCATATCTCTTAGACCTGATCTTGTGTTTTAATATATTGGAGGCATTTCTCCAACTGGTATTAACATCAAAACAACCGTACAGCTCCACTTTTATAGTCATGCGAACTGGTCCAATCTTTAATGTGACTACAGATAACAGTTGGATGGCACTCTCTCCTTAACGACTGCAGTGAAAGACTTAGACACTCTATTGCCAAGTCAACAGACGTGTTTATTGTCATCTCGTCCTGCTGCCAACAGTGCCTGATGATACCGAGGATGATGATGGCATTCTTGGCTCTCTTTAGTTGGGCACTGCTTCATTTTGATCGCAGTGGTGTCACATTACAAGTCAGACATTAACAATGAAAACAAACCCCTTATCTCCTTGGCGCCACATTAACCCCTAAGATCAATGAAAACAGGCTTTTCCCAAAGCTTTATTCTCAAGTCCTTCTTTAAGCAGGTTGGGGAGAAAGCTGATTAAAATCGAGATCATGCCCTAGACAGGAGAGACATTAATTTTATACAAGCTCGTGTGAACAAAATGTGTTTTAAGGTGTTTCACACAGGGAAATTAACTAAGCGTCACTGCCCCTGCTTCTGCAACGGTAACTGTGAATTTGCTGGAGGTGTTTGGAGACCCCCTCTCACTTTTTCTGCTCACGCTGTGAACTCACGCTGTCATACAGACCCCCTGAAGGGAAGGCATCCCCAGATATTCCTCTGTGTTGATGGCCCAAACTCAGTTTAGCACTCCAGTTACAAGTGTCTCCGCTCCTCATTGACAGCCAGACATGCACAGTCAGTGGTCATTCCACTCGTGTTGTTGTGTACGGTCAGTTGTGTGTGTGTGTGTGAGGGAGTGCAGCTTGGGGCAACCAGCTGTTGGCGAGGTGAGGGTCAGAAACAGTCCAGCAGTCCTTTCTACATTCCTCGTGTCTCTTCTCGCTGTCTTCACCTCACAAACGCAGCCATCGCCTAATCCTCAGTCCTTTATGTAACGTGCTGTCGGTACGGATTTAGATAAAGAGCACAGTTCTCCGAGCCATGCTTGTATATAAACCAGCGCAGTTGTAAATTTCACTTTCAGGCCTTTCATGTATGCGCTGCTGGAGCTTACAGTCCTATCTATAAATACCTCAGTGTCTGCAAGTAGTTAGCCCCCATCAATAAAAAGTCTTTCAAGTCAACCAATCAAGGTTAATGTTTATTCTGATTTTGGATTTGAGTGATTTGATTATTGTCCCTTGAGAGAAATATGGGGTTTTAATCTTTAATATAAATATAATTCTATGAAAAATTTCCACACAAAAATCTGTCTTGCCTCATAACCGCTTTTCTAACTTACAGACACAATAAAACAACTTTTTACCTCTTTGGCAATTCTCAGAAATAAGTGCTTGGATAAATCCGTGGAGTGTCAATGCAAAAATGACAGATGATATCAGTGGGTGCTGTGACTATGTGTCAGAGTAAAGTGTCTGCTGATAGCTTCCTCTTTTTTTCTCATGGATTTATCTCTACCAGGGAGTAAGAAGTAAACAGCAGACAGTCAGCCTCTGTTGTTGTTGTTGTTAGTTTGTTTATGAATGCCTTCTGTACTCTCTTGTTTTCTCAGAATTGGCCTTGGAGTCAAACCCATCAGACCACGCCCGAGCGAGTACCATCTTCCTTAGCAAGTCCCAGACAGACGGTGAGCAATCCTGGCATGACACACACACAAACACATACACACATACACACAAACACATGTCAGTGATTCATGTGTATTGTATTCACGAAAACTAAATGCTCATTCAAGTCACTTGATCTTCAACACTTATTTCAAAAAGTTAGAGCACCTAGTAAAATGTTGGTAACAATGGACTTAGATAGTTTTCAAATGGCTTTTTTACTTGAAAATACTTCAAAAACAAAATATCAATTGCTGAAATTTATCATCATCTTTTCTTTTAAAAACTGAACTTGGAGAAGACCAGATTATGGAGCTTTGAAAGTGAAATGGTTTCCCCATTCTTGATACAGAATTTCAGCAACTCATCAGCTGCTTTGACACATTTTTTGTTTCATGATGTGCCAAATGTTTTTGATGACTGACAAGTCAAGGCTGCTGGTTCACCAGTTCAGCACCTGTTCTGCAAGCTGTGCTGTTTTAGTAAAGGAAAAACTGTGGTTCAGAATTATCTTGCTAAAATATGCAATGGTACTGAAAAAAGAACCATCTGAATGGTTGCAAATGTTGCTTTTTAACCTTCACTATCAGCATAGAGAGAATGCATGAGCACTTGTGCAACCCTGTGCCACTGAGGATGCTTCAGAAATGCTTTTATAAACACTCTTTCATTGTAACACTCTATATGTCGCCTTTATACTATTTATGTAAATCTGTTTTTATTAACATTCAACACAACATCTGACTGACTTTGGGGGCTTTTACTTTTTGCTGCATGTAAACAATCTCTCAAAAAGTCAGGTGTCAGTTCACATTTTACTCTAAACGTTGCCTGATATATTTCGATGCATCACAGTATGTACTGCACACTTAACGTCTGTTTTCCTTTGCAGTACGAGACAAGAGGAAAAGCAACCACATAAATCATATCAGTCATGTAAGTGTCCCAATCTTGAATGTGGATCATAATCTTGTTTCTACATGCTAAACTGTTCTGTTCAGTCTGACACTAACATGACCCCAATACTGGCATTTTCTTTGAATTTCTTACTTTGTTTATGAAGCTCATTTTGGTCCCAAGTCCAGACTGTCAAAAATGTATTCAGTGTTAATCCATGATTTGGTCGCTGCCAGCAGAGGAAAGCTTTAATAACAACATTGGAGCTCTGTATTAAAACACCAGCTCCTGAAGCTGTTTATAAAAAGGTGAACTAGAAGACCTGATTGAACTTTTTACCTAAGTAACCCCAGGTTTGTGCACTCTGTGAACTAATGTTGTACATGTGCATCTCAGTAAATTAGGCTATTGGAAAAAGAGTTCTAACAATTGTACGATTTTTCAGAAAGTGAAAATTTAGTAGATTCTATACTTAAAAATGTGAAACTAAAAAGATTCAAGCTTTTTGATATTTCAGTTAAGTTTTGATCATGAGTTTTATCATTTTGAGTAAAGGATTATTTGAACAGTATAGATACTGTATATTTCTGAGTGTAGTTCAAAACCACATGACCACAATCACTGGGAAGATGCTGAATTGACAGCTGTCCAAAAAGTGATCATCAAATATGAAAAACACATAAATAGAAAGAAGATTGTTGTTGAAGATTTTCAAGAAGAGTTGATTCAAAAGGAGGGCGAGTGGTACAGAGGTGCAGAGTCCAAGGTGTTGGGAGTCCAGTGTAACATTTCTGCAGTCTTTTATGATTTTGGGTGCCGTGTCATCTGCTGGTGTTGGTCCAAAGTCAATGCAGCTGTCGACCAGGAGATTTTGGAGCCTTTAATCAGGGTTCCTACACAGTTGGAATTCCCATACTTTTCCAGAGCCTACTTTAAAATAATTTTTGGAAATACCTATGTTTCTCTTTTAGAAAACAGTATCTTATGAATAAGTGAACTTTTTTCAAGATGATCTTATTTATTGAGATGCACCTTTAATCCTTGAAGCAGACCATCATGATGGCATCTCCCACTCGTCTCATTTTCAATAAAGGCATCAGCTCCAAAAATAAACTGTAACCTCATTATGTATAAAAAGCACAAACACCACCATAAAGCAGCTTGTACAGCTGCAGAGGACTCATAAATAATGCCTGTGTTTTGGCACCATTTTCTTCCTGCTGCTGTTTTTTCCTTCATAGAAAGAATGACGACTTGTCTCTTATCTCCTAATCCTGACTTGTATAACTGAAGACAGAAACCAGATACCGGGAAAACTACCTACAGCTTTTAAAACGATTGATTGTCATTTTGATGTCCTCAGGTATCTCCTGGCCCACTGTCAAAGAAATACAGCTCCTGCTCCACAATCTTCATCGATGACAACACGGTCAGCCAGCCAAACCTCAAAAGCACAATCAAATGGTGAGAATTTCATACAGAGTTATCAACACACAATGATGAGTTGTCCCAAAAGTCGATCATTTCACAGAGAAAATCCTGTTACGTCACAGCGTTGTAATCCTGAAGTAATACTCAATGGATGCGTGACTAAACCAGATGTCCCCCTGATTCAGGACTCTGGTCTGTAATGACATTAGATCGGTGAATCGGGACACATTTTATCAGGATTATGACGACGTGTTTTCAGGGGGTTCCCTGCAAATTTTTGGTGATACTGTCTGGTCTGACACACAAAGTCATAGACACAACAGCAAAGTAATCTGCTGTTTGGATGTTTTTATTTTATTATTTCTATAACTCTAAAACTGATCAACCATTTTCTTCTGTCCTCTAATTTTTCTCTCTTTCCTCAGTGTAACACTAGCCATATACTACCACATCAAAAACAGGTTTGTGTCTGTTTTGAACTAAATTCTTCACTTTATTTCTGCAGCACAAAGTTGTGTTTGAGATATATCACTGAATGTCATGTGTGCTCTTTAGGGACTCTGACAGGTCACTGGACATCTTTGATGAGAAGTTGCACCCCTTATCGGTGAGTATGATGATGAGTGACTCATTTACATGCCCTGAGAGTAAAAATGGAGCAACTCAGTTGTTTAGTCGGACTGTGAAAGTCACTATTTAACTATTCACAACTCCTCTGTTTAGCCAGAGATAGTTGGATTAACCTAAACTGACAAACACTTGCTTAGTTGATTTGTTTCCTCACCCTCTCCTGGTGTTATTTTAAGAGTTGTCCTTTTGGTTTTAATCTGGAGATAGGGACTTACGAGTGCTGTCTCTTTTCTGACGCCCCTAATAGGTAGGTCTTTGTAGGATTACTCAAATTTGAAATGCGGAGACATTTCAAACAAAGCTGGAGCTTTTTATTAGATATGACAGGATTACCAGTGCCTGTTTTAGAAACACAACTCCAATTTAATACATTTCTCTTTTAAATGTCAGCTTACTAGAGTTGTTAGTCTTACAGGCTGAGGGACTGTTCCTACAAGGTTTTTTTTCTCTCTTTACTGCCACTGTGGCCAAAATCTCAAGAATAGAAAATACATTCAAGAAAGTAATAATAAAATAAACACCAACGCTATTGAAGTCTGTCTCAAATTGGCTTAACATGAAGAAACTTTAAGTTATTTCATCACTTTTTTAGAGCTGTGAGCATTCATGTGTCTTGTACTGTTTCTTCTTCACAGAGAGAGCCAGTGCCGGACGAGTACTCCCGCATAGACCCTGAACACAAGCTGATCTACCGCTTTGTCAGAACACTCTTCAGTGCTGCACAGCTAACTGCAGAATGTGCCATTGTCACTCTAGTAAGTCTGTCTCTAATGTTGTACTGTACTCTGCTTATTTTGTATCTACACAGAAAGAAAAAGTGAAATGGAAAAAGAAAGATTACACATAAAACAAACTTTTAAAGCTTTTATTGGTCCATGACTGTTTTAAAAACGCTTAAATATGTGATCTAATTTCCCATTGAGGAGAGCGCTGATGACGTTACACCTGATTTAGTCATTCATGCTGTTAAAGAGGAGTTAGTGATACTTTTAAATGGTCACCAGGGGGCAGTAAACTCCTGCAAACTGACTTACCCTAAATGACAGTCAACAGGAGAGTGTCTTTGTTCAGGTCACACCACACAGACACCATAGACCTGTTTCTATTTACTAACTTAGTGAACATGTCGGACCTTATTTTGTAGTTTAACTTTGCTTCACTAAGACACACAGGAGGTTTTTTAAAACACATAAAAAACATAAGAGAAAAGTAGCTCATTTATTTATGACCAACCTGGCTGTTATTCCTGGTGATATAGCTGAGACATTAGCTTGATAATCTTGAGGACTCAGCTGCCCAAATCTTGGATGTATCAAGTTAAAATTTTGGTTCTCGCTCTCCCTTAAGGTATACTTAGAACGCCTACTGACCTATGCTGAGCTGGATATCTGCCCCGCCAACTGGAAGCGCATCGTCCTGGGAGCCATCTTGTTGGCCTCCAAAGTCTGGGACGACCAGGCCGTGTGGAACGTAGACTACTGCCAGATCCTCAAAGACATCACTGTGGAAGACATGTGAGTTATCTTTGTGGAGATGGTGAAAGTACATGAAGATGAAACCTGAATCCTTTTCTATTACTGCCTCAGTAAAATGAGACTTTGATAGAATCGACAGTTTAGTCATTTCCTTCATTTATAAAACTAGAGACTAAATACCTGACCTCTGAATCTGAAGTATTTGACAGCCAGGAGAAATGTGTGGAAATGTTGGTTTTAGTTAGAGTTAGAGCGAAGGTCATCTGTGCAGGTCAATTTGTGCATAACCTAGTGCTACACCTGTGATCCCTCTGTATTTTTTTGGTAGTATTTTTTTTTTTGGGAATTAACTGCAATGGAAGTCCAGTTTGCCAGTTTTTCATTAAATGAAGAATATTTAACCAGGTGTCTGAAATTTGAAGTATTTCACTCGTTTCTAGTCCAAATGGTATCGATCAGTAAGGCACCAACAGTAACACTGCTGCAAAATTTCTAAGCACTTAGATTTTCTTGACTCTGCTTTCAGGGATACATGTGTAGTAGCAGATTTGGTCTCTCCACTCAAAAAAAAAAAAAATTTAAAAGTTGTTTTTCCTCCTGAGAAAAGATCTGCCAAAGCCTGTTTTTCTTTTTACAAATCTGCTTCATGATGTTGTTTCGTTCCCACAAACTCAGGGAGTGTGAAGCCCCTGTGTAACTTTTTACAGACTGTGGGGTGTAATGCACGGAGAAATGACAGTGTTTACTTTGCAGACATATTTCGAGGGGCAGATTGAGCTTCACTCTTCATCTGAACTGTAGCTTTAGATTCCAGACATCAACAAATTTATTAATAGAAAAGACAATAGGTCCATTTGTTGATTTAGTGACATCCTCTCTGTTAAGGAGTGTCATTTTCTTCCACCTCTTTGTGGTGTTACCCTACATTTGGGTCTCAGCTCCAGCTACCCGAGGTATGGAAGTATAGAAAGAGGTCATTTCTATCAAACACGACCGAGCTCCATCACTGTATGCCGCCCTCCTAATAAAAGAGATGTAACAACAAAGATGCACTCAAAGCAGACTGAAGAAGCGAAGTACTGACAGAGATGGAAGCTGCAGCATCTCTCGCTCAGGCTGGTGAAGAGGCCAGGGGCTGAACTTGAAGCACCCAGGCTTTATTTCCTACAATTGCTTTTATGTGTGTGTGTGTGTGTGTGTGTGTGTGTGTGTGTGTGTGTGTGTGTGTGTGTGTGTGTGTGTGTGTGTGTGTGTGTGTGTGTGTGTGTGTGTATAAAAGAGGTTGAAAGTACCTCCTTGCTTTTTGTGATTTGGAAAGGTGCGTTCACTGCCTACATCCTTTTTCTCTGTCTATGAGCCCCCATCCCTCTCCATCTCTCTATCTATCCCCTCTCTCTCTCTCTCTCTCCCTCTCTCTCTCCCCCATATATGTCTGACCTGCACTCTTGCTGCTCTGATTTCATGGCCATCATTGAAGTGTCTTTATGAGCCGGGTCGGGTCTGGGTGGAGGGATGGAGGGAGGAAGGGTAGAGAGGTAGACAGACTTACAGAAAGAGAGAGAGAGAAATGCAGGGGAGGGTCTCAAGTGCTCTCACTGCTTCTACATAATGGCCCCCAGCTCTCGCCCACTCCATTAGTTGCCCTGGGAGACCAGACATCACACTCTCTCTCTCACACACACATACACACACACACCCAGGCTCACTCTCACCACCTTTGCTGACCAACAAAGCATCCTAGATGCTGTCTCCGTGGCGACCACCTCCCTTAACTGTGATGATGATGAGGATGAAGAATGATGGAGGTTGTAGTCTAAAGAAGATGAAATGTGACATTAATGGATGTACAGTTATCTGAATTGGTATTAGTGTGTGTGTGTGTGTCTGTGTGTGTGTGTGTGTGTCTGTGTGTGTGTGTATAGGGGGTCACTATAGAAGAGCCGCATTGATAGAACACAAAAATAAAATTCAACTTTTTTTTTGTCTTACTTTTGTATAACTGATTATTGATTACCTGGCTTTCCTGACTATGATAATTACTCGCTTCTGATTGGTCAAAAGCCGTCAACAACCCCTTTTCAACAGTCATTTTATTCTGCACAGCAAGAACAACATCAGAGACAACCAGATTGCACACTTCGCATGAAATCAATCCACAGAAATGAGTTTCAGCAACATTTACTTTTTCTGCAGCTGCTAATTAATGACGTAATGATGAGACAAAAATGTAAACGTCCGTTAGCCTCATATAGTTGCAGAAATGTTGCTAAATTGATACAAACTTAGACCAAATGAAGCCCTTATATGGCCCTTTGTGGTTCTTGTCTCAGCAGTATTTTGCTAATTATTTCACTGGTTACAAATCTTTTATTACTCAGGGGTCAGTGATGTTTTTCTCCTCTCCCTCTGGAGTTGATTTAGCTTGGTGGGGACTCAGCTGAGGTGAAACCCACATAAAAACTTACTGATACAATCCACAACTTATGAAAGTGGAAAATTAAAGCAAGTTAAGCTAAGCAAGTGTAGCCATACAACACTGGAAATCAGAGTTTTGGTACGTAACCGCTTGAGAAGATACTTTACCATGATGATTTTGTTCTCTTGAGTTGTACGATTAAAACTTCTTTCATTAATTTCACACTCTCTCTCGCAGTATTTCCTTACAGAGCAGAGCTTTTTACCGGAGTGAAGAAAGTTTCATTTTTTGAATAACCCCTGAGGTATCCTTCCTTCTTCCAGGAATGAGATGGAGCGCCACTTTCTGGAGCTTTTGCAGTTCAATATCAACGTGCCAGCCAGTGTGTATGCCAAGTATTACTTTGATCTGCGGCAGCTGGCTGATGACAACAACCTCAGTTTTCCTCTGGAGCCTCTCAACAACCAGCGAGCCCAGAAACTGGAGGTGAGTTTACTCTGAGAGACCTCCAGTTGGTCATTTCTCAAATTATGTTTATCTCTGCTCAGATATGTACATTTAAGTGCAAAAAGTGCCTCTCTATCATGTTGTATTATGCAAAGCGTATAGATGTAGAAACTGTATTAAAATATCATGTTTTCTATGCAATATTTTCAGTAACTTAGTTCTTTTCTTTTCTCTCTTTAGGCCATTTCAAGACTTTGTGAAGACAAGTACAAGGACCTGAGTCGAACTGCAATGAGACGATCCTTCAGCGCAGACAACCTGATAGGAATCCGACACTCCAACGCTGTGCTGTCATAGGTCAGACCTCTGCCCTCTGAAGGCCCAGCTGTCCCACAGCCTGTCCCAGACAAACAAAGCCACCATCACAGCCGTGAGACAGGATTTAGCCTGGAAATGCTGCTTACCTTTGACCCTGCACGAACAGTAACTGGCGTTACGGCTGTGGAGCTGTGAGATTGTCACATTTAACTTGAAGTTCAGGTTTTAACCCAAACACAACTGTTGTTTTTATGAATCTTTTTTTTATTTATTCCTTACTTGTCCTTTATTTCCAGGACAAAGAGTAAAGTAGGACTTACTCTACTGCAGTTATCTCTGGAACGTAGTCTTTGGATGATGATAAAATTATGATTTCTACAAAATGTTTTCTTTTACAGTCATGACGGATGAGGCTGGTGTGTATTCAGTTTTTGTTGTTGTCAACAAACTTCATGACAAGACTAAAACCAATGATGCTTTTTGAGTGTCTCTGACTCTGTGACCGCACTGTGGTGGTCCTAAAAAGCCAAATAAGCTGTTTCTGAAATATTGAAATTGATCATAGTTACTGCTATACAACAAAAATATCAAGAACAGATACAGCTGTTAGTGTGAACTTAAACAGAAGGTAGTGTTGCAGATTTGTGGGGCTATTTTAGGGGGTGGATTTATCATTTTTTGCTCAAATGAAGGGTTAAAGAGTTAAAAGTAGAATAATAAGAAGGAGCAACACGTCACCCAGTGTCAGAAACATCAGATATTGGTTTTGGTTTTTCCATTTGATTTGTTGAAACTAATGAAATACAGAATATCACCAGACTAATCCTTTAAAAAAAAGCTCCACACATTAAAAGACAAACTTTCTTCTTGTAACTTTGAGCCAAATTTAAGAAATGCAAAACATTTAATTTCAAGGTCATGACTTGATTTGCTTTAAACTGTGTATCCTTTATTTTTCTTCTTGTGGTGACTCATGATATCCACATGTAGCAAGGGCTACAAACGGCACTTTCTTGTGCAAACCAGCCTTTATTTTTATAGATCACACTATCACAGAAAAGACAGAGTTGCGACAAAGGTGACTTCTGGGAGCAGTTCTGATGAACTTCAGGATTAAGCTGTGGTGTTTCAGATGATGCAGCAACATGCTACCAGTGTGTTTCACCGAGTGTTCTTTTTTTAAAGACACTTTCAGATAACTTCTCCATTCTTTTTCAATTACAAGTAGGAAAAATTGAAGGAATAAATAACTCACACTGATCTTAAAAATCTTAGACCAACCCTTTTTATTTTTATTCTTCAATCACATTTAAAATTATAAAACCCTTTCTCATTAAATGTATAAAATGTTTGTTTACGGTTAGGTCCAACGGTTTTTGATTTATTTTCAGTAAGTTATCCACATTTTTTTAATGTTTTTTTTTGTATTTGTATGAAGCAAACAGCATGTGTCATGATAAAAAAAAAGTATTGAACCATAAATATTCCACAAGAGTTGACTGAAGTAAACAAACCTCCAGTCAGCTGTCAATCAGGAGTGCCAACCTGAAGTCAGTGTCACTTCTCAGAAACACACATGGTCGAATAGAAGCAGTTTACAGATTCTGGATCAGTACTGTTACTGAGTGGCTGGGTTCAGCGGTTGGGTTGCCATAATGATAAATTGAGGGTTGGGTCTGAGTATTGTCCCCTTCAAATCCTGCCATCTTGACCTTTAAGAGCCCCTAACTGATTACAGAGTCCGTGCTTGTCCCAGGCCCCGGCCAGAGCTTTGAACAAACTACATAGATACTAAAGGGGAAGAAAGACTGATGGATACTCCCCTCCTTTTTGCTTACTATGTAGGCTACTAGCTGTGAAATTTGTCTTGTTTTTAATTGAAAAAAAAAAACATTTGCAGATGGAGTATTTTAAATAAACACTAATCATGTAACAAAGAAATACTGTTGTATTTTTTTATTTATAGGAGCTGTATGATGATAAATGATGCAGTGTTGTGTTTGCCTCCTGCCATAACCCCTAAAGGTATCATTGTAGGTGCTCCCAGCCCTGTCATCGTGCAGCCTGTGTGTGAATAACATGAAGATTTGAGCCTCCTATCTGCTAATACCCATAATGTCCTTTTTAAGCTATTATCTTCTATCACTGATAATATTGTGCATCCTGAATAAAATAGGCAGAAAAGCCTGACAAAAGTTAAAAAAAAAATAAAAAAAAAAAAAGTACAACTTTGCTAGAAGTATTAACTCCAATTGTCAATCATATTCAAGTTCTTAGCTTTTGAAGTAAAAGCTTATTTGAGATACCCTTGAAGTCCTTGAAATGTGCTTGGATTTTCTCCTGCAAGAACTCATACAAACCTGCCAATAATTTGTGGTTTCAAAATTGGAATTGAAACTTAAAATAGATCAACAGGTGTCACTGAGCAGCTCTATGGCTTCATGCACACCCTGTTGCACTGATTTGGGATCTCTGAGGCTACCATAGAGAAGACCTGGCAGGCAGGGCTCCACAGATGGCGGATGGTGCTCCCAAGATGTTGAGAATCCAGCAGCACATTTGGACGAGAGGTGAGTAAAACTTTGCTGAAATTAGTGAGAGAGTTTCCAGTTATCTTTTATGCCTGGTTTCATGTTTTCACAGATGTTAGACCATTTGATTTATTGCCATATTCACAAGCCTCCAAGCATTCCACCTGTTGCTTTGTGGAGGTTATAATTGGAGTAAATGATACTTAACAAAATGAGTTCATCTTTTGAATTAATTAATTTTTCCTCCATGTATCAGGATAAGCTTAATTTAAATATACACCTACTGTACATGCTGATCACCAAAACTTGACTCTTGCACAAACAAAAAACCCTCAGCCCTCAGATCTAGAAACCTCAGTGACAGTCATTTAATACAGAAACACAGTGAATGTACATGAGACATGCGCTTAACTCAGGCTCAAATCAGTTTTAATTCGACAATATGAATCAAACTCTACAACACTTTACCTCTGAGGAACTCTATCAACATGAAAGCAGATTTACATTTGAAGAAATAAAACCGAGTGTCAGTCTGACCAACACGTAAAGGCATTCCTCATTCACACATTCACACCCATTCACACAAATCAAGCTAATAAATTAGAATTATCATCTAGCATGCAGACACGCAGTAGTCTTTACAACACGGCTGACCAACAACACTGAATAAAAACATCACACTGAGTGGGGAACAGAAATGAAACATCAAAATTAGCTCTTTTTTTTGCCCAATTTCAGATATTTCATACACAATATGATTCAACCCTGTGTGACTCTTTAACTTTTTGTACTTTATTCTGTCAGATAATGTGTTATTTATGTCAGAGTCTGTGGTCTAATGAGGTTAAAGGGTTTATTGACGTGGAGGAACTGCAGTTCCAATGTGAACCAGCAGGTGGGGGTAAAAAACATTTTCTTTTTCATTCTTTTGCTTTACCTCATCAGTCTTCAAGCAACACGAACTAAACAAACACTCCCTCCAAAAACAGTTTAGTGGCTTTAAATGTGACGAAGCCTGCCAACAGAGGTCACGATACAATTGGAAGAAAAATTCAGTCCGCTCTCTTCAATTACAAATTTAAAACAAAAGCAACAAAGACGGTTTCTAGCTTTGTGATCACACAAAACACACCTGATATCAAATTCAAACACTGACATTACATGGCACATTTTTGTACAGGTTTATACAATCACACAAGATTCAGTTCTCTTGCGTTGTTCTCGAGCTTGTGGCAGTGACATTGGTTGTTTGAAAACTAAAAATATCACATTATACATCTAATTAATTCATTTTTACAGCCAATTTTTACAGTATTTACATAAATAAATATGTTTTCTTCCTCTTATTGTTCAAGACAGTACACATAAAAAAGGAGTGTATTTCCTTTAAGGATGCTTGATACTTGAAGGTTTGAAGGTTTTTTCCAGTTAATGTTTAATCAAATATTTCAGGTCTATCAAAGCAGTTTGAGTCACTTAACAAAAGGAGACACTTGTGAATTTTCTGCTTTTGTATTTCTAAAGTCTTAATTCTAAGTATCCAAGTTGTTTGTAAAAATTTTCCCTTTTTTTAGACTGAATCCTTTGTTTCATTTTCTTCTAATCCTCCCAGTCTTAAACTCCTTCTTTTCTGGCAGTTCAAAAGCACACAGTCCAGCATATATTTGTCTGTACTTTCACTCTGGATGTTTGTTTTGAGGATCCATGGAGTTGACTAAACAGACTACACAATCCAGGGTCCTGGTCCTCTTAAAACTTTGCTCCTGTTTGCGAGTCAGTTCATATATGTGATGGAGCAGCTTTATGGTACATCCCTGATGTGAGCCCAGTACCAGTATGAGCAGTTAAAGCAGTACTGACCTCACTGTACATGGAGGGGGGAGCTGTTGCTTTCTGTGGCCAGCAGGGGCAGCAACGACCCACAAACCTCCTCCAGGACTCCAAGGTCTTCCCTGACCAAATCCAGACTCCTGAGGTGATGCCCACCACTAGGCACATAAAGTACTTGAGCATGAAGACCGCATAGTCTGGGCCTATGCCCAAACGCTGGCGCTCAGAGGGACACATGCAGGCTAAGGCTCGTTCCCAACCAGGCCGGTAGTGCTGCTCGTAGACCAGGCATGCCACCACGATGGTGGCGGGGACTGTGTATAGAACTGTAAAGAGCCCGATGCGGATCATCAGTCGCTCAAGTTTGTCCGTCTTGGTGCCACCTTGCTTGATGATGCTCCTGATGCGGAAAAGTGAAACAAATCCAGCCAGTAAGAACAGTGAGCCGGTGAAGAGGTAGACCACAAGAGGTGCAAGCACAAATCCCCTCAGGTTCTCCAAACTCTGGTTCCCTACATAACAAATTCCAGCCACAGGGTCCCCGTCGACAGAGCTGAGAGCCAGGACCACGATGGTCTTGACACTTGGGATGAGCCAGGCAGCAAGGTGGAAGTACTGAGAGTACCCTGCAATGGCCTCGCTACCCCACTTCATTCCTGCAGCCAGGAACCAAGTGAAGGACAACACCACCCACCAGATGGAACTTGCCATACCAAAGAAGTAAACCAACAAGAACACAAGGGTACAGAGTGCAGGGCCCGTGGTGTCATACAGGATGTGCAGCTGGTCTCCACCTATGCTGTTACTGGCACCACATGCCACTCGCTCATGACCAGCCACCAGACGGATGATGTACCCCAAAGACACGAAAAGGTAGCAGGCAGCCAGGAAGATGATGGGTCTTTCAGGGTACTTGAAGCGTTCCATGTCAATAAGGAAGGTCGCAACGGTGGTCAAGGTGGAGATGAAGCACAGCACTGACCAGAGTCCAATCCAGAAGCTGGTGAAGGCGCGTTCGTCCGCTGAGAAGTACGGCTGGTGGCAGGGCTGGGCACAGTTGGGAAGCGGACCGGTTTGGACTTGACCATACAGAGTATGGGACTCCCTTTTGATGGGGACAAGTGGGTCTCGACAACGACACTCCCTATCACACTGAGGTGGGCTTGGTGGTCTAGTGCGGCCTTTGGAGGTAGGCTTGGGGAATAGTGGAGCCAAGGTGGTGGTCTCACTGCTGTTCTGGTCCATGCATAGGACATCGTCACCCTGCTGGGGCAGCCGTTCACAACTCATCCTCTCAGGCCACTCAAACCCGTACTGACTCATGAGAGGAGAGCATCCTCGTTTGGCTCGTTCACACACGGAGCGGCATGGGGGCAGCGGCTTGCGGTAGTCAGGCAGACAGATCGGGGTGTACATGCTGCAGAGGAAGAAAAGCAGGTCTGGGGAGCACCGTATCCGGACAAGAGGCCAGAACTGGTGCACCTCAAGTCCAACCTCCTCTTGGGTGTCATGGTTGAACTGATTGGGCATGTAGGTCAGATTGTAGCCGATGCCCCTGCACATGGGGACCGTAATAGGCTCACACACCAAATCCTTTGAGGCTCCTAAAGTGAGACCAGGACCCCACAGCAGCAGCAGGAGCAGCAATAGGAGCTGTGGGAATACCGTACTGCACTGCATTGATGCCATGAAGATGTCTGATCAGAATTATTAATTTACAGTCATTAAAACAAGAAAAGTAAAAGAGGAGTGTCTTCAAATCGGGTCCATCCGGCTTCCCCTCAAGATTTCATTTTGCTCGAAGAGGAAAAAGCAGCTTTTTACCTCTTTATGAATTAAACCAAAGAGGCTGAACTCCAGACGGTAAATCCAAATAGGTGCACTGAGCAACAGGTAGAGCCACAGCAGTCAATCATTCACCAGAGCTCGCGCAATCATTACGGAGAAAGTTCATCTCCGGTGGTCACGTTTCAATAAATTTAACGACCCTGTAACATTTTTACCAGCCCCAAGTCTTCCTCAAAGCGTCCAAACGGAAGATTACGAGTCATTCTGAAAAACAGAGCCGAGGAAAAGTGAAGAAAAAGTAGTCCGAGAAATAGTGAGAAATCTAAATCTAACAGTGGGCAGAAGTGTCCAGTCTCTGCGCGTGTAGCTCGATGTGTAAAATCCACCTGAAGCCTCCTCTGGGTCTGCTTCTCCCCTCAGTTCTGTGGATGTAAAAAACTTTCAGGTAGACTACCTGTAGCCCTCAAAATGCTAAAAAATCTCAAACGTATCATATCTGCTGCACGTGCGTGGGGTAAAAATAGACAAATATTCCTTCAGGTTAAAAACTCGCTCCCCTTCATCAACTGCAGCAGCGCGTGGCTGTAACCTTCACTGAGCCCCAGGACGGAATAAAGTCCGTCTGAAGCTGCAGCACCTCCTCATCACACACACAGGGACTGATGCGTTCAGGGGCAGTGGGAAATGTCAGAATCAGACATGGACAACAGAAAAAAAACTGTTCACCTGTGTCCATCCGTTAAATTAAATCACAAAATATGAGACTTTTTTTTTATTATTGTGAATTAAATGTTAAATACACTGCAAACATTATGCATGTGAAATTTGCGGATAAAATAATGAATTCTAACCAACAATGGGTTACATGACAATTCAAATTAAAGAGCAATAGATGAACAAAGTGGAATAAAAAACAAACGAAAGAAAATTTGAAATAATGTCAAGGGTGAAATTTTATCAATCATTTTGGCTCATTTTTGTCTAAATTGCATTTGAAATTGTCACAGCAGTTTTTTGGTACATCCAAACTCCGTTGTATGGTCACAAATGGAATCAATATAATTAGAAATTTATTTATTTATTTCAAAACCTGCATTTTTGTGTCACAGTACATAATGATGGACACAAATACTTATTATTGGTGATAATTCAAAAAACCCAGAACAAAAAATCTCAAATCTCACAGCCTGTGTTGAACTGTTTGCACTCAAGTTGTTAGAAATCATCTTCCACCAACTGCACCTGAACGCATCAGTGAGTTGTATTTATGACTTCCTGCATTAGCAGGTAAAAAATTTACTAGCAGAGCTTGAAGGTGTCAGATGATGAATTAGGTCTGACACTGGCACACTCTTTTTCTCTCAAACTGCTGACTGTTTATTTCTAGGTGACTATTTGACAGGTTTCACTTCGAGTTATGTGCCTTTCATTTATTTGTTTATTTGATTTTTCTTTTCATGAGTTATAAAGAAAAACAAACTCATCAATACAGACAGATACAGTATTTTACACATAAACCTCTGACTAATCAAATCAAATGTTTCATAATAGGACATTATAAGTGGATTTTAAATGTTTACAACCATTGTATTGTATAATTAAACTGCAGCATACATTAACACGTTTAAATGAACACTAAACATGACACCGTCAACTTTACCTCGGTCCATCCCTCATTCATCCATGTATTTATCCAATCATCCACTAGTTGATTCATTCACTCACTTATACATTCATCCATTTATTTACCCCTGCTGTCGATCTATCAATTCACCCAGTGCATTACTTATCCATTCATCAATCCACCTATTCATGCATTTTCCGTTCATCCATCCACACAGCATACTTGTATAGCAATGCATAAAAATGAACTTAAACAGGTAAAGTCCCAGTTGAGTTCAGGTCCCTTTTCAAAAGCAGCCAGAGTCTACAGGTGTATCAATACAGCAAACAATCAATATTAAAAAAGTCAGTTGTGCTGTACTACATGCTCTTTGTCATCTAAATAAATAAATAAATAAAAAGATTTATAACAAAACAAAGTTTGACTTTAAATCTAAAACCTTTAGACCTGAAAGTTTTCATGTTTAAATGACAAATTAAAAGAAAAAAATAATATCTGTGATCTGTGTTTCTCTGCTTTTGCTCTTTCTACACACACACACACACGCCTACACACATAGTCGTAACTCACATGATGGGACAAAGGTCACAACGCTCTCTAGGGGACAAAGGTCTCACAGGGTGTGTTTATGTGTGTTTGTGTGTTTGTGTGTGTGTGTGTGTGTGTGCTCAGCAAATCAGCCATGTCGAGTCATTCTGAGCTGATTTACCCTCCCTCAGGTTACTCCGATAAATGAAAGGAAATGGAGAAGGAGGAGTTCATGTGTAAAGCCTGAACCACATCAATCTCCCCAGAGTACACAAACACACACACACAGGCTCATACCTGATTGCTTGTGGTGATTTTCCCAGGTGCCAGCGCTGTTTGACTAAGACTTAGAGGAGAACACGAGGAGACCTGACCTGCATCCTTAGCTGATCAGGTAACCACGACAAATACGTGCACTGATTTGTTCTTCTATACCTGTGAGGACCAGCAGTGACGTGAAGAATTAGCTGATCTATTACCTTAACCTACCAGTTTTGACCTTTACACCCGGTGAGCCATTTAAATTCACCAGGAAAACAAGTTCCCCTAGGTCTCAAAAATGGCCTTATAATCAAATGAACTAGTTCTCACAAAAGTTTAAAACAAGAACACTCACACACACATCGCTATGGGTTAAAGTTTAAAGCCAAGATTTTACTGAACTCTTTTTTGTTTTTGTCCTCTGTTTGGTGCAGAGAAGGTACTTTTTCAATCAGTTTTAACACCCTCAAGCTGAAACTTATGCTAATACTCAGTGAGAAACTAAAAATTGATCAGAACCATAACCGAACTTAAGTCTGTTTTAGTCCAGAGAAATTCGAGCTCTAATCTGTCGATGTGTTTTTGAAACTCCTCTTCCTCTGTGGTTTTATTCCCCCACCCTGTGAACTCATACATGTCCTCACAAAGCCTCTAATGCTGCACGCACAAACACACACCTGCAGAGATTTTTCCCAATGCGACACAATGACAAATGTTTTTATTACAGTTGATCACATCTCTCATTTTTTCTCTAGTTTTCACAGCAAAGTTGTCACTCCACTGATATCAATGGATAATCGATACGCTCTGTTTCAAATCAGACAACTGCTTGACTGTTTGATTTTCTTTATTTTCCCTGAAATGTTTTGTTCTTTATGGTTTGTTATCCATTGCTAAGCGACAGCTGTGGAGGAAAACCTCAGTAGGCCGCAAAGGCTGGGTCCTTCAAAAGTTACCGCCTGTGGATTTAGACAGAGCTGAATTCAGGTAAAAATGCAGACTCTTTGCACATGCAACCCCAAAAATTTCAGGAACTTTTCTGGTGTCTTGTACAAATGTGTAAATTTTAAAAAGAAAAATCCCCACAGGAGCTTTAATTAGTCAGAAAGTTGTACAGAGTTTGGTTTCCTTCTCAAACGTTTCAGGTTTTCGTGATTCTGCAGGGAGGATTTCAAATCCTGACCTCAGAGTTTAAGGAGTTCTGCTCACGACCTCGCCACATTATGATGAGAATTTGTAAAGAAAAAAAAAACAGTGGATGTTCCCTTTAACAGTGACAAAAGCACACAGACAATCTGCTCAGCTCAAACCTGCTGAAAGCTTCAACGTGGCCAAACGAGCCTCTGAACAACCAGGTCACTGGGAACACTGGGGCCCTGCCAGCTTTTGTGTAGCAGCTCGCTACACAGCATGTCAGGGGGGACCGTGTGTATGTGTGTGTGTGTGTGTGAGTGTGTGTGTGTGTCAGATTCATACACTCTCTTCTCATGTTGTGAGAGCAGAGGCCCGGTGCTCCACTCCACTGTGACCGTTGTCCACCCCCACCTCCTCCCGTCTCCCTCTCCCCTCCCTCCGTCCTCGTTTTTCTCCTTAAACTGTCTTTTGTTTTCATTTTCGTTGGCATTTCTGCTCCGTCGTTGTTCGGGGTCCTAAATGAGTCTTGACTGGCCTGCGGGCCATTGGAGAAGCACAAAGGACTTCGTTCTACTCGCTACAGTTGATCCATTGTGGGCGTCCCACAATGCACTAATTGGCGATGACAATTAAGCGCGGTCGACACTCAGCTTCAATTTGCCCGCTGCTCGACGTACATCACAGGCAAACGATTCAGCCTGTGAGTGCTGACACAGTATGCAGCTTCACTCAGGCAGGTTTACAGGCATCTTTAATTCACACGTTTCACTCCTCGTTTGGTTCGAGGCCTGACAGCAAACTGACGCAGTATTGTTCACTGGCACAGTCTGTTCATCTTAGCCTCTGTGTAAGGAGCTGACAGAACAGTCCCACCACGAGAGCCTTGTAGGGGCTGCAGTGAGAACTAATCTGGACTTCAAGGTGGAAATTTGGTTAAAACAGACTGAAATCTGCTCTGGTTTTTAGACCTGATTTCAATAAATTTTCAGCCAGAGAAAAAACAGTAACAATGTGTCCCCAAACAATATTCTGTCTTTGAATTTTAAAAACGTGTTTATTTTGGATTTGAAAAGAGGTCAATTCACTTTGTGTCAAGTAGAGTGAAAATATTTAGCACATCACTTTTGGATGACTTGAGGATTTCAGGTGTGTCCTGAGGTTGGTATGATGTAGCCAGTCATATCCCGAACCATCACAGAGAATAGTTTAGAGCTTAAATGAAACAGAGAGAGCAGCCAAACTGGAACTCCTGAAGAGTGTAAAGGCAGTTGTATTAACCAGGGATCACTGGATGTTAAATATCCTGGAATACCTGCACAACAAATTGACACTGATTGGATTCTGCATATTTCTTCATGCTCAACAGTGCTGTTCCTTTTTTATGATTCAAAGTTTATTATTTTTCAATGTTGCAACAGACAAACGAACATCAGACAAAACAGATACAATGGAGGTTGAAAATAGAAATAATAAATACTCAAAAGAAAACAAAAATAAGACAGGCAGGTAAGTTGGCAAGGCAAGAAAGTTAACACATCTTTCTACCAAAGCTATCCCAGTTTTCTTTTATCATATCATTTTCACAGTTTAATCTCCCCAACATCTTCTCACATGCTACAGTCCCCATCATCTGTGTTTTCCACATACTCAGTGTGGGAGCTTGGGGCTCCTTCAACACCTCAGAATAGTCCGTACACATATTAGGCCAGTTTTTAATATTCTAAAACTGTATTTATTCAATAGGGGTACCACAGTTCTGTCTCCAAGGAGACATAATCTTGGTGATCTGGGAACTTCGTAATTTAATGATTTGCTCATATAGTTTATAACTTTTTCGCACAAGGGGAGGATCTTTGAATGTTCCCATAATGCATGAATAAATGTGCCACTGCTCCACACTTCCAACATAGATTATTATTAATTAAACCCATTCTGTTAAGTCTTGATGGTGTGAAATAATGTCTATGAATCATTTTATACTGAATAAATTTGCCTCTGAACAGTGCTGTTACCTGAAAAGTTAAAATAAACAGCACTTTTAAGAAGACCTCAAAGGAGTAACAGTGCAGCATTTATTAGACTTATAAATCTACATTTAATAATGTTTATTATATTCATGAGGACAGTGGTAAGAATGACTTTAAATTGTTAATAAAAGCTTGAAAACTGTTATAAAAATATGAGATTGAAAATGTGTTAAATTAGGCGAGCTGATGTAATTCAGAGATGAATTATGAGTACACAGTATAGAAAAGTTCCAGTACTGAGAAGATGGTCTTTATTGGCATCAGTGACTTACAGACAAATATGAACAAAATCAAACAGACAACAGAGTTATAAGAAAATTAACTCCCTGTGCTTTTGCATAAAAATTTGGCTGCCATGAAAGAAAATGTTCACAAAAATAACTTAAGAAGTGCAAAACAGAGAAGAATTTCAGTCCAGTTCCTCTGTTTAAATACTGTACAATATTTTCTTCTCCAAACACGCCCTGAAAAACATACCGCCATGAACATAATGTGCCTGCAACATAAACAACACCATCTGTAACAGACTGTCACACACTTTCAGTCACTGAGAGTTCTCTGGAGTTTAAGTTTGGACTATTGAACATTGCACCGAGGTTAAAGGTAAACATCATTCATACATCTTTATCATCTACATATTAACACTTCCAAATCTAGAACTGAATAAAAGAGGGGTGAACTAAAGGAGGGAGCTAAATAAAAATCTATGACTTCAACACAAATTTCCAGAAAGTGTAAAATAAAAATACTGCAAGAATAAAGCAAATGAATCAATAAAGTCAACAAAAGCACAAGTCAACAAAATGACTTCTGTCGCTACATAAAGGCAAACTGCAAAGCCCAGCAGGTATCAGAGGAGGTAACTTCAGTCCTTTGTTTTTTTTTTTTACATTTATCAGCACAAAGTAAGAAATGTATTCTTTTTTATATAGGAGCCGATTAATCTAGTTAATTATCTTAAAAAGTTTCAGTACATTTTGTTCAGACATTAAAGACACTTTAATGTAGCTCTTTGATCAATTATGTTTGTCAACCGATTTCACCAAGATCTTACTTTTAAAAAAGGAGTTTTAAAGCTCCTGTAGGGGACTTTTAGTTTGGGACGTGAGTGATGTTTTTAACATAGAATCTCATCCGGCTTTAATTCAACAGTCAAGAGTTCATTCTCTGATAGTAAGCCCCTGAAGTCCCAAACGTTACACTCTCATAACAAACACAACAACATTTATTCAAACCAACTTTTATCTTGTGGTCACTCATTAATTATCTTGTGCATGTTGAGATGACTTATGCCAACAAGATCATTAATTTGTACCCAAATGTTATTTTCCTATGGGAAAAAGTCAACTATTTTAAACTCATGTTTGTGTCTTGTTTGTTCAACATAATTATCATAATTTTTTGCAGCGATATGGAATTTGTCATGCATAATGTAAATTTTGGGTGGAAACAAGTAAATATCTTGTGAGCTCATTAAAATACTGATGTAGGAACACATTATCAGGATTATTTTTTACACAGAAAAAAATTTCTTGACCACATAATATAACTTTTTTTTTTTTTTACCTGTGGAGCTTTAGGGCCAAAGTTTTCAGGGATAAAAAATGACTAAAAAAAAAGTCCATCGTTATGTCTATGGTTCTGTTTGTTTCTCTAGATTATAAATAGACATTTCTTCAAGTTTTATTCAGTTTGAGTACCATGTAAAAAATCCCTACAGGAGCTTTAAACTTAATCTGACAGGAGGACACAAGATGTCAAGAAATGCTGGAAGTTGATCCAAATTCTCTACAAGGTTTTAATATTATCAGTGCAAAATTTGATGCTTGTTCAGGACTCTGATTTGTGCAACAACAAAAAAATATTATAATACATATATTTTGAAACCTGCCAGGCTCCATAGAACATAAATAAATAGCATGATTCACAAAAACCATCAACTGAATAAAATAAACCAAAAAAAAAAAAGTTCACAAACAAAAAACAGTACCAAAAAATACTTCAACCAAGGATCTGCAACCTTAATATGCAGCAGGCACAATCAGCCAACAATAACATACATTTGACACATTAGTGCATTTTTTTCTGTCACATTTGAACAACACTGAGTTATTTAGTTTCAGTCTTTAGTTTCCTACATGCGTCATTAACTAAAATAACTATCAGTCTGATTCTGCTTTCACAAAAATACAAACTGTATTCCCTCATAAACCCATTTTTCAGAGGTGTTGTTCAGTCAGGTGCTGAGTGCAGCAGCTTATTCCTTCTGTGTTAATATGTTCTCTATGGCTCGAACAGAGGAGTGAACAGCTGATACTGAATGAAGAAAAGAGCGAGCGGGATTAGCAGCTACATTATAATCTAATCATTACATATCTTTTAAACTCTTTTTTTTTTTTAAAGCTGCTATATGTGACTTTGTCCTGATGTATAAAAATCTTCCCATGATGTCCTCTAAGCTTTTTGTTCAGATTTAATCACAAATCTCAGCTTGCTTTACACTAAAACCAGCAGATTTTATTGTTTTTATTCCCTTAAAGTCTCCAATTTAATTTGATTAAGCTACTATTTTGTTTATAGAAACAATATAAATTTGGTAAAAACTATCAAAATTTGTTTTAAGTATCAGAATCATTAGTAGTTTAGCTCAAATTTCACCAAAAAAAATCTTCCAAACCAACAATTTGAACTTTTAGTGAAGCAAAAAGCTGCTGAGTTTGATTCTTTGAACAATAAAGATACTAATTTTTAATGCTACTTCCAGGTTACAAATATTTCCTAAACTGATGTAAAATGTCTTACAGGATAGAAACCCGTCTGGTACAGCGGAATTGTTTGTAAAATGTAAACCTAAGCATGTCCGGACCTTTGAATGTGAAAGCAGTGGGTTAAAAAGGCCATCTAGGTTGCATAGAAATACTAAAAGCTAAAGCTGCTATCATGTCTGATAGACTCTACATGAATAAAGCACAACAGGAGGAAGATTCACAGAGGAAGAGGAGGGGAGAAGGCAACAATGAAGGAATACGTTACAGTAGATTATTGCCTGTTATCTTACAGTTAGAGTGATGTGCTTACAGACTGTTTAAATTGAAGTTTACAACTTAAAACATGTGCTACAAAACATCTGTCATTACACATCTACGGTTTTAATGAGTCTGTATGAGGAGAAAAATCTGATATTAATGGAAGGATAGCTATACCTGAATCACAGCTTTGAACTTGAGCTGTTTTATGTTGTTATTGTTTAGTTAAACATCTTCATGGACTAGTCTAACTCATGTCCCAGCTTTATTAAATAGTCCCTCATTGAAACCTGTATGTGACTGTTCAGCTTCTTTCGAAACAAAAGCAGCTGTGGTGAGTTTGGATTTTAGATTTTGAACTGAGATGAAAACACAAATCTGTTCAAAAACACCCTTTACCTCCTGAATACCACAAAGACACCAGTAAGCATTTTTGACTGACTGAGGGTGTTGAAAATTATCTGCAGTTCCTTAGATGACCACTTGGGGCTGGTGTCAAAATCCAAGGAAGCCCCATTGACGCCCATGTTAAAATGCATGTTTTCACAGCTCTGTAAAACATGTTAACAGCTTAGTACATACATGGTTATGGTCTGAACAGATCGTTTCTTCATTCATACACACTGTACTAGGGGGAATTTATAGATATGTCATCAGGTTTGAAGATATTAAGGCTAAAGGTCTTAGAATGAGAATGAGAAAATGTGTACAACAATTATCTTGTCTTATATCACTAGGTGTTAATGCTAGGTCTCCTGTCTAAGAGAATTTCCAAGTTTGTCTGTTCTGACTTTTATCTCTACGTATCTAAAATATGTTTCCAGGTGAAGCCACACAGCTGCTTTTCTCTGTAAAGAAGTGAACTTCAAACTTTTCGACGATCACGTTTGCTGAAATTTGAGGTTTGCCCTTTTTGTTTAGCTATCACTCCAAACATGATATAGAGAGTCTGAAACAAGGAGTATGTCGCCCAGAAAGTGAATTAATCTTTTATCTGTAATCTGTTATCAAACTAAACTTTGGTGTCACTTTTGTAGGCAGGTGAGACACCTTGGTTGGGATTGATCCCTAAAATGTTCAAACCATTAGTAGTTAGTTCCAGCTGATGAGCTGATTGGACAATTTTAACCCCTGAAATCAAAGCAGGTGAAGACAGTGAGGTGGTGGAGGGATGAAGATGGAGGTGAAGGGTTTAGAAGTTTGATGTGTGACTACAAAACACACGTAGATGAGTCTGTAAAGCCTGGTGCAGCAGTTCTTCAGTTCTCCCTGCTCTTTACAGTACCACAAAGGGGAGGGGGTTCAGTTAGTCCACACAAACACAAACCTGCATCCTCTTCCAGTTGAATTTGTCCTGGAGACACACACACACAAATCTGAAAAACAGGCACTTCGTCCGGTGTCATGGCCTGGCAGCGCTCCGTCTCAGGGCATCCTCCTTTTGTGTGTGTGTGTGTGTGTGTTTGTGTGTCTGTGTGTGTCTCAGGTGTCTTGGTAGGGGAGGTGGAAGCATCCGGGGCTGTCGTCATCGGGTGACCAGAAGGAGGACGGCCTCTTGTGGTGGAGTTCTCGGCGGACGCAGCGAGGACAAGGCTGAGCCTTCTGTCGACACTCGGTGTGGAACACGGCGCCGCAGCCGTCGCACCTGCAAACACACACACACAACTCAGTCACACAGTTGATCTATGCGGCAAACCATCTTTACGATCACTTTTGAAAAAACAGACATTTTTTTATGATGTTCAGTTATCGTTTCTGCTCTGTCAGTGAGTAAATGAGCAGATTCAGCTCAGTTCCAGGAAGAGCGGCACAGACACACAACTGTTATCAGGCAACACTTCACACTTCTCTCACAAGTCATAAAGCGCAACTCAACAAGGAAGGTGTGTGTGAGAGACGGTCAGAGATAGCAAAGATTAGTGTGTGCATATGTGTGTGTGTGTGTGTGTGTGTGTGCATGTGTGTGTATGACACACTTAGTGCCAGTGTTCTGAGAATCAGTTCTGATTGGCTCTTATCGCTCTGCTGTCTGTCACTGTGAGTTTCACTGCCAATGAAGACAAGGATCTGGACTGTGTTAATGTCTATATCAGGAACACACACACACACACACAACACACACACACGCAACGGGAGTCACTGATTTTTGTTTAATTCTAGCTTTATTCTTTATCTACTAAAATTTTTTGTTAAATTCTGACTTTATCCTGGTCAAATAAAAAAAATATTCCTGTATAATTCTGATTTACCCCTGATTATTTTTTTTCCTCATAAAACTCCAACTTCATTTTTGTTACTTTAAAGAATTTCTGTGGGACTTCTCAGATTTTCTTTATTGACTTTATCCTCATCCAAAAATATATATATATCTATTGTAAATTCATCCTGGTTCAATAAAAAATATATATATTCTTGTAAAATTCTTACTTGATCATTGTTGAATCAAGAATTTACTCTCCCAATAAATTCTCATTTTCTCTGAATCAAAAAAATTGTTCTGCTCATAAACTCCAACTTTTTTTTGTTTATTCATATTTTTTTTTATTTTTTTTTATTTTATCCAGCACAGATTACATCACTGAACCTTTGTTTATACTGAAAAAATAACTGAGGGATAATGAAGTAAAAAAAAAAAAACAGATGCAGTCCATAATAAAAAATAATAAGAAATAATTTGTTCTGGAAATATTCAGACTTTATTCTTGTTCAACCATGGCTTTTGTCCTGTAAGACCACCTGTTTATTTTCACTGTGAGTTTAAACCAGAGAGTGACAGGCTCTGTTTTTGATCTCTTGTGGTATTGTGCAAACACTTTTATTAAATTTCCATCTTTTTTATTTCAAAGAAAAAAAAATCTTAAAAATCTAAACTTTTCTCACAGTTTTCATCCCCTGTCCTCTGTTGTCAAGATCAGAAAACACTGGGGAAAAAAAGTATTAACTGGACTGGACGTCCTTTGACAAGGTATGAGGATGAACTATAATGTTTTCTTTCTTAAATTTGGATGAATGAGTTTTAAAACAGCCCTTTTTTCTCAGTCAAGTCTCTGTGCTTGACCCTTGGTCCCCACAGAGACAGAAAAGTATGAGCCACTATTCGAGCACTGAGCATGTAGAAAAACACACACACACACACACACACACACACACACACACACACACACACACACACACACACACACACGCACACACACACACACACACACACACACACTCGACCTGAGGGCCTTTGACTGAAATAAATGAAGCTGCTCACACCGACTGTGACATTACTACTCTGAGTATGATTTAGGATCACTTTACGGTCTCCTGCTCCTCTGAGCTTCTCTGATGGGTTAGTACAGAGTTCATTCAGCAGATCAGCCTCCAGAGAAAAATAAAAAAGTACATTTTGTGCTTTTCAAACAGGTGATTGGCTCTTAGGTACACTCAGAGAAAAAGGAATGCAGGGTCTTGACACAACTCATTGCCTTCTGAAAAACCTCTCTAGTTTCTGCAGAACAGGATTTCTTGAGGAAGAATGAACATGGAAGAAGATTTTAAAAGTGGCAGAGGAAATTTAGTCCAGAAAAGAGAAAAATTTAACTCTTATAAATGTTTGAGCTCACTTGAGACAGAAACACTCTTGTAAATCTGAGTGAAAAGCCAAAGAAGAACATAAGTTTGTGGAAACTTTAGAGGCAAGGTTTGCAGATTTTGAGAGTTTAAATAAACAGTGGCATAATCAAATTTGCACAAATACTTCAATCTGAACCTAAGATCCAAACATTGCTTCATAAAGAAATATCTAACTCTCTCCGCACAGTAAAGGTCCACCAAGTGATTGTAAAATAATAGATCTAACATTCAAGAACCCGGCCTTAAATTCAGAATCAAATACTTGTTAAAAATGGACAACAAGGTTTTCTGAGGGTGTGTACCTCTTGGTGGCGTTCTCCTGGAAAGGGTAGATGACCTGTCCGTTGTGACAGAGCTCACAGATGAAACCTTTCTCTCTGCACAGACTGCAGCTAAAAACATGGGAGCTGGCAAACTTGATCACCTTGGCGAGGAAAGGAGCCAGTTTCCCATCAATCACCTAGAAGAGGAATAGATGAGGAGAGAAGAAGAGACATGATCAACACAGGGCAGATTTCACAATGTTTATTTACAGAAGACCCTCAGAATAGCGTGTCGATCATCTGTCGCTTTAAAGCTGGCACTTGTGAACACACAGATTTAAGAATAGTGCAACCTAAAAATGTTCAAATCTGAGCGATTAAATCTGGATGTAAGTTAAAGTGAGCAGCTGAGGTCAAATCTAAACTGTAGCAGGTAAAAGAAGGCACAGGGGTGTTCAATTTACTACAAGGAAAAAGAAATGTCTTTGGTTTGTGCGAGAGAAGGGAAAAAGAAACCAACAAATCCAAGGGAAGGAAGGATGAAGACAGTAAATGAGGTGAAAGTCTTCATGGAAACGCTTGACGAGTTTCTTTAAGGAGCGAGGAGGGGGTCGTAGCTGCGGGGGGCTGCAGTTGTATTGTGGTGAACAGACAGAGGACGATTTAGAGGAAGCACTGAAGTTAGTGAACAGAGAGACAGATTCTCAGAGAAATCAAAACTCTACGTATTTGCAAAGCTTTGTCATATCAGGCTGATAATGCGGCATAATGAGAGAGTGTACATGAGACGGGGAAGAGAGGAAAACAGAGTATAAAGTGAGAGACAGAGAGGCAGAGATACGACACAGGAGAGAGATCTTGAGAGAGAGCGAGAGCCTGTATTCAGATACAAGTGGTTCCACCTGGCAGAGCTCTGGACCTCCCAATTATAACCTCCTTCATGCTGTTTGTTACACGACCAGGACGAGAGGGGAAGAGGAGGACGTGAGATGAAGAGAGGAGGAAGAAACCATTCACACACTCTCCAAGGAAACACAACAGAGATGTATAGTGATCCTGTTTATAGCCAGTTATAGGGGACAATGTCTTTTAGGCTCCACATTGAGATTAATGCCCCACACTGAAGGTTTCTCCTGCTACAGCCAACACACTGCTCTCTTACACAATCTGTTCAATACAAATCATCACTCTTAAACTTCAAATGTGTACTTCTGTTTGTGTTCGCTGTCAGTATTTCCGAACTTATAGTGGAAACTAAAAGAGGTGGGAGAAACAAGCGATACAGCATAGTATTGAGATATTTTGTCTGGTGATATATTGTATCGTCACATTTACCAAGTATTGATATTTTCAAATTAATTGCTAATGTGAAGTCAAATCTATGATAATGGAAAAATAAAATCAACGGTTTGTCCAGTGAGGATGACAGAGTCGACATCATAGAGCAGGAGAAAATAGTATTTGTTGTTTGAAACAAAGTTTTGACTCAGTTTGTCCTTGGGTCAGTATCCTCATTTACAGCAACTTATATTTTTGACTGATTAACAATGTTAAATACCATTATATACTATTGCTATATTGTGATATGTCTTATCATGAGGTCCTTGCAAATATACAGACGTATCGTACTGAATCGTATCGAATCGTATCGTATCGTATTGTGACATGTATCGTGATACGTATCGTATCGTATTTATCTACACAGTATAGTAATAACTGGGAATGGCATGAGAGTCCGATTGAAACGATAGACAACTTTCAGTGTCTCAAAATGCTCACAAACTCACCTAGTTTGGAAGATGCATTGTTAACTGGCAAAAATGGCTGTTTCAGGGGTCCTTTACATATTTGAACAAGGTTTATACGATACGCTTTGTCTTGGGTATGCAGCTAGAGGACACCTGAATGGTGAAAAATCCTTTCGTCAAAGGGAAGGCTGCGGCTAGCTCCCAAAAGTGGGTATTTTGCCATGAAACAGGAAGTAGTTTTATAGAAGCTCCAATCTGACCCAAACTCACCAGAAACAGAAACACACTTTGACAAAAGAAAGATAAACTTTTGTCAAAGTGTGTTTCAGAGTAGTATAGAAACAAATGTCCTGCATGGCAACAGGCAACAGAGTCTATTTTCACTGCATTCGTCACGACAACATCGCATTCAGATAGATAATGTTTTAGTTGACTAAATGTCATATTACTTAATTGATCTTTCTCCACTGCGGCCGTCTTTCAGAGCTGTGGAGCATGGTGCAGAAACTGTGTTTGGATGCTTTCAGTCCTAGGGTGCTTCTGTGCATACCCACAATGCATTGTGTGATGTCCAAGATGGCGGAATTTGCAAAACAAATTACGTATGTGACAGTGGCGATTGCTCTAAGACTGCAAGGGAAGCTCGGCTTCCCTTAAAATGTCACCCCCCCAAAAAAAGATAAAGTGGTGAAATACGTACGGCTGTGTGTACATTTCATTAACTAAATACGCACTAGAAAGCCTTCATCTTTTGTTCAGACACTGTGATAAGAAGCTGATAATCACAGGTAACCGGCATAACTTCGTTCTTATTCATCCTCGCAGCGCCTCAGCGCTTCAAACAGTCGGACGCTGGGCTTCTGCTGACTTCAATGTGGAAGCTTAAAGTGGGTTGTTCCAGCAGCGAAACTAGACGCTCATTGGATAAATGCTGGGCTTTGTCCCGCCCAATGGAAGCCCAGCTTCATTGGAGTTCTATGGCGAGAGGGCGGTCCCGACTTTCTCCCGGACTCCAAGCTTCTGCATTCATGATTGGACGAGCTGTCTGAGGCGAAATCCTTTTTTGATTGACAGCTAAACAAGCGAATCAGCGATCTTGAAGAATAAAACATCTACCAGAGCATTTTCCAAGTCATTCATTCCGTTGTTCTTAACTGCTCCAGAGACTTTACCGATCCTCAGCGACTTTTGTCTTTGTTAAAAACGACTGCCGTTGTGTTTGGCGACTCTGTTCTGTTACATACTAATAAACAAATACAATTATGATGTAGGCCAGAAAAATGAGCTTCCCCTCCTTGAAAGACCAGCAGCCGCCACTGGTATGTGAAGGGTCCAAGCCTGAATGAATTCATATGGTAATCTTACATCATAGTCATAACACCCCCTTTCGGCAAAACCTAAAATAGATTTACAGAACGACATCCATGAAACACGATTAAAGGCGCTTTTATTTCATCTTTTGCACTCCTTATTTCTGCACGGTTGACGTTACTGCCTTGTTGTGTATTTGTGACGGTAATTAGAGAGCCGTGTAAGTCAGAGTCAGATTCTTTGCATGTGTGAACAGACTTGGCCAATAAAGCTTTATTCAAAGTCTGTCATATGGATTATTTTATCTCACAAGACAGCTCAATAGCGTGCTAATTTAATGTCTGAGGAAAGCTCTGTCTACCGTCTACAGGCTGACAGACAGACATGTAGGTACTGAGGGTGACAAACAGATATATGTGTCCCCCCTCCGCCTGCCCAGTCCGGTCCAGCCCGGTCCACATGACGAATGGCGCTCCTGATGGAGGCTGACAGGCTCAGTAATTAAGTCCCTCTATAATTGGACTGGGCAGAATCAAACGGCTGGCAGCACGGCTCTGGTGGCTGACTGGTACTCTGGAGGGACGCTGGGAAACAAGGAGGGAGGCAGAAGAAGATGGATGGGCGGGGAGTGGTGGAAGTAAATGGATGTATAGAAAGAGCCGTTAAACAATGAAAAGAAAAACAACCTCTTGGGCATGTCTAACAAAAGGTGTTGAAACCTGTACAACCAACCTAAAAACATTAGTATACCAACATTTCACCGCTTCAATTCTTCTACATTTTTAAAAAAACCCTTCATTTACCCACAATCCCATGTGCCCACTGCTACTGCTTGCTATAAATATCAAGTGAGTGTTTTATTAGCCTCACCAAAAGTACCGGAGCAGCACTGGCAGGCAGGGTCACACTGGGACAATTATTCAGACAGAAAGTCCCAGCTTCGACCCTTTAATTTGTAGACTGTCCAAAATCTAAACAGGACAACAATGAGGCCAAATATTGATGGCTGCCTGGGGTGTCTGGGTGAACACAAAGCCAAATATCTCAGTGCTCTGTGATAGGCTCCAAGCTCTCACTTTTGTCTCCAGAGTACAATTTTGTTTACACGCAGATTCAGCAGAATAATTAAAGGAAACACAAAAGGGGTCAGGGGATGGATGTAAGAGAAGCAAGGAGAGAGAACATTTCTATCAGACAACTACCTCTCTCCAGGTATCCCAGAAGTGGTTGATTAGAACCATCAAGAAAAGAACAATGACGGCTTTGGTCGGGTCATAAGTGGTCATTAAAGAATTCAAATGTTGTAAAGCCTTGGTCCCTAAAACTTGGGGCTATAAGAGCAACAAAACTGTTCTTAAAGTCTGGGTTTGTCGGTATATTACTTATAGCAGGATCATAAATAGGCCTGCCAAGGTTGAGTCTCTCTTCAAATTTTTACCAGATCTGAGCTGGTCCTAGAAGTGTTTTCGCCAGAACTGACCTGCACTCTAGGGAGGAACTTGAGGTGCTTTGTTGGGTTTATTTAAGCCAAAATCAAAACCACCAACTGTGTTTTTGAAGAGGCTTTTTGTAAAACAAAGATGTAGTTTCAGAAGCGTCATCCATTGGTTACTTAAGAGGAGTTTTCAAGCGTGGTCGCCCTACTGCAAACGCTGACTCAGCCTCACTTTTGGTTAGCCTAACAAGAGGCAGAGTGGAAACTCTTAAACTTGTAACATATCCTAAAAATGAAGAGATTCAGAGACCCAAACTTAAATGTTTAACCTGTTCAATCCTGCTGTAAAAATTATGTCTTAATAGAGACTCTAAGGGTGTTTTCTTGGTTTTAAAAGCAAACCCCAAGTGGACATCAGAGGAACTGCATTTTTTTCCCCCACTCTTGCATATTTACAAATTTTCAACACCAGATGTTGTCCCTCGATTTCAACTTCTACGTGACAAAGTGCAAAATGAATGGAAAAGAATGGATAACTAATTTAAAGAATTTAATGCTGTTTGTTCACATAATCATATTAACGAATAGACTACAGAGCAGCCCATATTTTTAAACCATGCAACTGTATTCAAATCTTTTACCCTCTTTGCCTCCAAACCTGCCCTGAACACACACAGTTACACACACACTCTCCTCCTCCATCCGTCCCCTTAAACTCCTCCCCTTCAGTTGAACCTCTTTTTTCTGCTCCACGCAGAGTCTTTGTGCTCAAAAACCTCCTAATCCCCTAAAACTGCTGTTTAACAGCCGCTCGCCTGCCCTCTTCTTCCTCCACCCCCCCTCCTTCTCTCACACACACGAAAACACACACACACACAGACACACACACACTGGAGACTTCTGCAGTTCCACTGAAGAACCAGTGAGCCAGCTGGGATAACATGGCTGGAAAGAGCAGGGTGAGCTCTGTTTGGATAACACGCTCTTTTCTCCTCTACCAAGCACACACACACACACACACACACACTCACACACACTGAAAACTGATGTATGTTGTCGGTGTATCAACATGGAGTCTGCTTTATCAGGTAGTTCCGCCAAAATTTGGAGAAACTTATCAGATTAGAAGGTGAACTCAAGAGGAAGGAGTTTGTTCTCTCAGCATTGCCTCTTTATAAAATAAAAATACAACACCTCTCTGTGAATTTGTAGTCCTTAAAAGTTGAGGAGTCCTTGAAAGAGTGGAGAAAGAGACTCAACAGGTCAGGTGAAGTTTGGGAATTCAATCCACTACCAGGGAACATTAGAAAAGAAGACCTTAGCTCATGACTTGGAGCCTTATTGTGATGGGTAAGGAGGAACATTGCTGCCAGTAAGGAGTTGCTGTGGTCAATCGTTGAGCCCGTATCAGGAGCTGTGTCTTAAATAGTCCCTTCTCAAAATGCATCCAAACTTTCCTAACTACGTTTTTTTCTCACTTCATATCTTCAACTTTTATTTAAGCCAGTTAGTGAGTAAGAGCCCCACTGAAACTGAAATCCCTGAGCAGAAACTGGACGAGCTTCTGAGAACTTGTTGCCAGTAAGGAGTTACTGTGGTCAATCGGTGAGCCCGTACCAGGAGCTGTGTCGTGTGCTCCGTCAAGTTGGGTTTTATTTTCCTGAAAGTCCCGTCTCTACATGCATCCAAACTTTCCTTACTACGTTTTTTTTTCTCACTTCATATCTTCAACTTTTGTTGAAGTCAGTGTTGCGCATTAGTGAGTAAGAGCCCCACCGAAACTGAAATCCCTGAGCAGAAACTGGACGAGTTTCTGAGAACTTTTAACATTTACTTAAGAGGCCTCGGTGTGTCTGGACAAGTGTGAGTGGAGAGGCATGCCTGGCATAGAGGGAATGCCAGGGTGTCACTGTGAGAAGCTTGCTGCACACACACACACACACACACACACACACACACACACACACACACATACACACATGAGGACACACAAATACACACCCCTACTTTCCAGTCTCCTCTATCCCTGACTCAAAACACTAGAAACAATCTTAAAAACCAGCGGAGGAAAAAGAGCAGGGTGTTCTTGGACAAACACATATGTTTTCTCCAAATGAAATGGCTCCTAATAGGAGGGATCTGGGTGGAGGCTATTTGTCAGGGAGGTGAATAGAGGAGTGCGGTCCAGGGTTTAGTCAGGGGAGTTTAGCCTCTGCTGACCCCTGAGCTTGAACAAAAAAAGCCATGTTGATTAAGAGCGTCATTTTATTCAGGAGGAGAATCAAAAGAAACAAGCTTGTTAATATGGAAAACCAATTAAGAGGCAGAGTGCTCGAGAATCTCCAAGAGGGGGGAGGGGGGAGGAAAGGAGGGGAGGAAAGGGAGGTTAGAAGGGTGAGGAGAGGAGAAGAGGGAGCAGTGGAGACTCTTACCAAAGACGCCTATTGTTAAAATTAGAGCTAAATCACCAGTTTGGAGTTTTTTTTATGAGGAAATCAGAGTTTAGCAGGGGAAGAGAGACACGCACACCCACAACACACACATGTGCGCCGAGCGTGTGTGAGGCCAAGGGGATGTTGAGAGAATGGAGGGATGTCACGCTTTGTTTTTCTGCCTGTTGATTCTGAATGTGACCAATTAGTGAAGCAGAGAGACGCAGAGTGTGGGAGTGGAGAAGGAGGAGGAGGAGGAGGGGGAAGTAAAAGAGGAGGAGGAGGAGGAGGGGGTCCAATCTCTTTCAGCGTGAGAGTCTGTCTGTGGCCGAGCTCTGACTCACGGAGGAGAAAAAGAGAAAAAAATGGGGCAGGGTCCAACATAATGAACATAAAGACAAACAAAAGAACTTTTCAGTCATTTGTGGACGTTTTTCTCTGACCCCCAACTCGGCTCTACAAGATACCAAACCACAGAGGGTTCACAAAGTGCTCCAAAATTTTAAACTACTGTTTATCACCTCCAAAAAAAGTTATTTTAAAAAAATTAAATCCCCAAAAGTGAACTCTTAAATATGCTTTAACACATTTAATCATAAAGTTCAGATTTCATTTTGACACCAAATCATGCAGGTTGATAAAGTGATGAGCTCGATGGGTCTAGATGAGTAAATAAGGCAGAGTTGAACCCACTCTCATCAGCAGATATGAATTCATTCCACAGAGACCATTGTGTTCCTGGATCATGACACTTGAAGGAGCTGACCCTGCCCTAAACAGGGCAATTAGAGGGTGTAAGCCTCTCTTAGTGTTGTTACATACACAGATGCTAGACTAAGGACAAAAACTGGCTATTTCGAGGATAAGACAAAAGATATTCTGGATTTCTACTGGAGTTGACAACATTCAACATTCTTCTGGTTCAGAATGGAGATAAAAACTTCAAAACAGCTTTTTAAGTTTCATTATTAAGATGAGTTAATAAGTGATTTTTGCAGTTGTGAATTATTGTTTTCAAAATGCCACACATTTAAAGATTTGTGCATATTTTTGGCCACAGTGAGAAGTTGGGATAGCATGCTTATAGATCTGGAAGACAAAAAGAAAAACTCACCACACATTTTAAAACCATGAACAAGTTTGTCCTCAAGAAAAAGGCAGAAGACTGAAACACACCAAGAACTAAAGTAGATGTAAATTAGCTACAGCCCAGTTACTTGCATATCATTTAAATCCTGTGTTTGACTGAAGAAAGTGCAATTTTTTAAACGTTGAAACTCATTTGAGCTGGGGGCTGAGGGGACCTGTTTCTTTAGGCCGCCTTTGTAGTATGTGAATAATGTTATTAATGTTTTAACAGGTGATACGTTGGTGCTGCTGGCAGGCCAGTTTAGCCATGTTGTTGTAATACCTGCATTATTATGTGCAGTGTTTTGCTGACATATGCGAGGTCTTCCCTTGGCCTGGCACCTATGCATCTCCATACTCCCACAGATCCTGACTTTTAAGCGGCTGGCTGATAAAAGCTGGGTGGTCCCTCTCATCTTTATAGCGGTGAATGCAGAGTCCATGATTTCTAAATAGAACATCAAATTTTGATTCATCCTACCACAGGGGTTTCCTCTCCCCTCAGACCCCCTTCATATGGGCCAGAGAAGTCCCTGACCTGTCCAGAATGTGTGTTATTATGGTTTTCTCTTTGTATGGTACAGCCTCAACCTACAGTTGTGAATGCAGCAACATACTGTGTTCACAGACAATGGCTTTGAGGTGTGATTTTAAGACCATGGAGTGATTATCACCATAGAGTGCCTTGCCATCAAGTGCTTGTTTTTGGGCCTTGTCCTTTTTTTTTTTTTACATAAATTTATTAACATTTTCTGTATCTTTTAATGATGTTACAAGTTACAGATTATAAAATTGCATTTGTCTTTGCAATTTTATGCTCTTTCTATACCCAACAATGTAATAAACCTGTTGCAAATGAACCTCATAGTTCAAATTTTTAAATCTTAAAAATATTTTTTCCAGTGTTTTGTTGTCCCTGACCTACACTGCACTGAGATGTGTTGCTGAAATCAAATGTAAAAGAGAACATATATTTTTCATAAAACACTTCAACAACCAAAGAGCAATAAGGTGTGAGTAAAAGTGGTTGATGCAGATGCTTTGGTCTGTCTAGTTCAACCCATTTCACTGTCAGCATTCATCATGTACAGCATGTGTGTGTACCTGTTGCAGGTCAGCCATGGAGTACAGGTGGATGTGCTGTAGCAGGTATTCCCTGGGAAAGATCCTGTCAAAAAACATAAAAAAACAGATGAATAAATCACACTTAGCAAAGAATGTGCTTAACAGTTAAAGGTCAGATGGTATAAATGAAGGTTTTTATTTTAAATGCAGATGACTGAACTCAATAATGGCGAGTAGAACGGACACTGTCATCCTGCTGAGGTTAAAAAAGATTTATGTTGAAGAGTCGTGACATTTTTTGAACAGGGTGTCTTCCACTAAACACCTTTAATCCCCCGTGCATTACTTTCATTGAGTTACTTCATGAATACAATAAAACAAATACAGACAGAGGTTATCTGTGATCTGAGTGAGGTGACTGACTGCTTCAACATTGCTGACTGTGATTCAACACGAGCAAAAAGTGAAAGTCGTTTAAAGCTCAGATTTGGCTCTTAAACCCGCTGTGCCCATCAGTCAATAAACTAAACTTTTAATCTTTTGAAGACATTAAAAGGAACAATTACCACATACTGTCATAAATATGAGTATTACGCTGAATTAACGATTAACCAGCGGCCTTTCACACCACAGTGCTGCTGAACAAAGTCAGGATATCGGTTCAGAGTCAGCTGTAGCTTTCAATCCTCTGACAGTATGAGACAAAACAAAGACAGGAGAGAAGTGCCAAGTGTGTGTGTGTGTGTGTGTGTTGTGGGAGGCCTCCTCTCAGACCACTAAGATGGATGGCACCACGTTAAATCCTGTCTAAGCTGTGATGAGTGTCACCAAAACACAAGTATGCGTGTGTGTGTGTGTGTGTGTGTTTCAAACACCTAATGTTGATAGGCACCACTGATTAACAATGCTGTTTGGTATGTTACCAATGGTTACTACATGGGCATTCAGAAGACAATACAGACACACATATTCAGCTCCAACAGTCTTACACACACACTGATAAATACACACTTTGTCTTTGTTGATTGTGTAGCCAGGGCCCAGATGACCACACCCTGAAAGAGTGTACTGATCCAAGTAGAAGAGCTTCAGAACTCAAATATTTTAGGATTAGATGACAAACGGGATCAACACAGATCTATACATGAATGCAAACACACACACACGTGCCAACAAATCACAGTATTTGTATGATTCTGATTCTACGATCCTCTGAGCTCTTTCCAGTCCTGTCTTTCACTCTAATTCTTTCTGTTATCACACAGCGATTATGATTATTTACTCAAGGAGTGTCTCACTTGAGTAAATGTGAAAGCCAGCAGGCGTCAGAAGTCCTGCAAGTGTGTGTGTGTGTGTGTGTGTGTGCAAACCACAACAATATCTCTGCTCTACATCTTATCTAACTTTGAACATTTAAGTCTCGAAGGAGTGTTTTTATAATTTCATTGTGTGTTCGGCAGCTATCTTTTACACACATAATTAAATGATAAGAATCTATACTTCGGACTGGAAATTACTGAAGATCTATGAAATAACTGCAGCTTCTCCCACAACCACCAAGCCAGCACTGAGACGCACTGCATTTTCACAACTCTTGAGTAGTTCATTCTGTATTTAGAAATAAAGAGTAAAGAAAAATCGCTCATGGATTTCATTCTGGTTCACTCCAGTGGTCTGAACCAGGCAACATATTACTAAAAATGAATGGGTGTTAAATAACATCATGATGAAGATTTGACAAAAAAAAAGGAAACTTTTGTTGGGTCTGTCCTCAAAAACAGAAGCAAACACGGTAACCCTTTATTTTACGGTACACTTATTACCAGGTATTTAACAGGTAATTACCTAGTAACAACATGAAATTATCTGGTAATTACATGATAACTACTACTAAAATCACTGAATAGTGTGGATAGACATGGTTTTAGTATGAACTCTAAAAAACGGAAAAGGCAGACGGCGCTGTTTTCCCTGTTTTAGTAGCATGTTGATGACGTAATCGGAACGCGACAAGAGGCAAGCCGGCATGCTGATACGACGCACACGATACATGTAGCTGTCTTGCCTCGAAGCCGTTCAACCGACATGTCTGCGGTTTGGAAATATTTCGACATATCAGAGAAAGATGGTCGGATGGCAATTTGTAAACTCTGCTCTGCTGAAGTGTCTCGAGGTGGTGTGACGGCAAAAACTTTCAGTACATCGGGGCTAATCAACCACTTGAGCGCTAAACATAAGGACACGGTTTGCACAATCGTATGTGCATGCATGTAAGTGCATTTATTTTATTTATTTTGCATGTGTGCATTTTATTTTATTTACTTTAGGCTATCCTACAGGGAAAATTGCACTTTTTTTGTATAGTTATTGCAAAGATGTTATTTACTTAATTTTATTTTATTGAATGTTATTGTTATAGCATTGTTATGTCATGTGCTGAAGCTGAATAAATGCTTCATGGTTCAAACATAAAGTGATTAATATTTAAGTTTGCCAGGTTTCGCCATAATCAGGTAGCTTTAAAACAAATGTACGGCAATGACAGCAATTGTACAAAAATTGCTTGGTGATAAAAATTCATAATTTATACACATATTTATTAATCATATTCAGCTATTCGGTATTTGGTTATTCGGCCAAGTGTTTCTTATATTCGGTATTCGGTTTCGGCCAAGATTTTCCCATTCGGTCCATCCCTAAACAAAATGCACCATGGTAATGCAGTAAACAATAACCGTAACCATGGCAACGGAGCGTTCCGTTCGTGATGTCACACATCAAAGCATTTGTGATGTCACACTATGTTTGATGACAGTGCTTCAGTCCTTTGTGATGTCATCTACTTGAAAGTAAAGCGCTCTGGAGTCTTTGATGTTGCAGGCAGGGGTTCACCTGAACGACCTACAGTTGAAGGAAACTGTTTTCTGTCATTTACAGCCGCCTGTGATAGAAAATTATCAACATAAACACCTGTTTGATTTTAGGAAGATCTGATTTCATTCATAGAAGAAAGATGAGCTCTCAGAAAATCCTTCTCAGGGCACCAAAACTTGAGGACATTGAACCATCTGAGAGTGAGAGTTGTTCCTCTGATTCAGACACCTCTGATTTCATTCATAGAAGAAAGATGAGCTCTCAGAAAATCCTTCTCAGGGCACCAAAACTTGAGGACATTGAACCATCTGAGAGTGAGAGTTGTTCCTCTGATTCAGACACCTCCTCTGTTTCAGATTTCAACATGACCTCCTCTGTTTCAGATTTCAACATGACCTTAAAATATAAGCCGTTGGTAGACCCGAAAGATTTGATTGTAGAGGCCGTGCAGTTGTTTGCGGAGAAATGTGCCCTCCAAAAAGAGAACTGGGATTTACTGCAGAAAACTGAATCTCTGCAGCGAGAAACAGAAGAGCTGAAGAAAAGCTTCCAGGTAGAAAAGGAGGAGGTTAAAGAGGAGCTGTCCAAAGCCACCAAGAGAGAGGAGTCCCTCCACCAAGAGCTGGGAGATGTCAAAGAGAAGATAAAGGAGGCTGAAGAGAAGAAGGTGGCCATGTGCGAAATAATCGAAGAGCACAAAAGAGAAATACATGATCTTCAAACCACGATTAAACTAATGAAACGGAAGAATGATGAGCTGTATGTCAAAATTGAGAGGCAGGAGAGTGCACTCGCCAAGGAGAGGGAAGAGAGGGACGTTTTGGAGCAAGACATTGAAGTCCTCAGAGGGGAACTGGAAAGAGCAAAACAGAACGAGGCAAAAGGGGTTTTGGCTAGGATCTGGGACACGTTCACAGGTTTTGCAAACTATGCTACCAATCAGTTTTTCTAAACAGAGGCAGAGTTAGACCTTTAAATCTGGCTGATGGAGCGTGTGCACGCATGTACGGTTTTCTCCGGGTGCTCCGGTTTTCCCATATCCAAATTCTGGTTAAAAAAAAACCCCGACAAAACTCAAAATGTTAACGCTCTGTCCATTTTAAATATTAAACGTATGTACGGTTTTCTCCGGGTGCTCTGGTTATCCCAAATCCGAATTCAAGTAAAAAATTAATAACTGTTCATATCAAATATGAAAAAGGACAGTGTTTCTCTCTCTCTCTCACTTCAGTTTTTTGACCACTCAACGCACTTTACATAACATGTCACATTCACTTCGTCAGGTCTAACCATTATTAGTTCATACAATAAATACATCAAGAAATCTATACATATAAATGTCATTGGTGTGTGTTTAAACCTGTTGTGTTAATCAGTTCAGTTCAGTTCAGTTTATTTTTGGTCCCAAAATGTTATAATTACACTTTTCATCTCATTTCATTTAAATCATTGGACCAAAAAAGGTGTAGGCTGAAGCCCATGGCTTATTGTGCCTACCCTTTCTTCACTTTTATGCAGAACATAAAGAATATACTTTCAAAGATAGAAAACAAGAAAAGCAAAAGAAAAATAAACAACACAATTTTTTTATTTAATAATAAATAAAAAAAAAAAACAATAAAAAAAATTAAATTAAATTAAAAAAAAAAAAAAAAAACAGTAACTCCGCCAAATTGTCTCAATTGAGTCAATTTTGCCGGTCCCCAGCCGGGATAAAGGAGGAGGGCTGGAGTTGTGACATTAAAAAAAGAATCGACAGAATAAAGTTCATTTGTTGTTCTAAACATATTTGGGGTGTTTTTTACTCACTTTTTTACTTACTTTTATCTCTCCCACAACATTGTTCCTCTCCCTTACAGCGTTCATTACAATTTTAGGCTATGGGCCAGAGGCCAGAATTTCACTATTTAGTACACCTCAGGGTGGCAAAGGTTCATCATGATTTTTGACAAGATACATGTCTGTAGATCAAGGCTGCACGATATTGGAAAAAAACTAACATTGCGATTTTTTTCAACCCTGTGATATATATTGCGATATTAAAAATATAGGAATTTTCACCAGATGACCTGAATAGCATTTAATGTTATGCTGCACCGCTGAAGTCTTGAGGACAGTTAACCTGCTCTGATCTTACCTCTTTTTGTGAATGTTAGTAGAATGGCTTCTGTCTGTCTCAGAGATATTTAGCTTTTATTGTTCTGGAACGTTATTGTGGCAACAGATGAACACAGAACGTGTTTTGGTCGACATCATCCATCTTGTAACCGAAATAATTCCAGATAACTGACTTTCCTTTTCTTTTTGGCAACAAATCTTCATTTTCGGTGGTTTTCTCTTGTTCATTGCTCATTTTGCAATCGTTGTTGTTGTTAGCGGTGTTGTGCTGAGAAACGCATGTCCTCCAAGAATTGCATGCACCTCGCAAAATGCGCACCGCTTAAAGTAGAGTGGTCCACAGAAATATACATTTTAAAACCCATCCAGTTCTTATTTGTTGGGCTTAACAGTCATGAATAAAGTTCCGAAACTAATTCTCAGCGGACACGCGTTTCTCGGCTCAACACCAGCAGCCAGCGAGTAGCTCCATGTGCAGAACATGTGCAGGGGTGGGTTTCCTCCTCTCTGATTTTGATGGACAGCTGGCAGGGTAGTCTGATTGGCAACTGAGTAAAGGACAAAGGTGATTGGTGGATCGGTGCACAGCACATGCAGAGTCACATGGAGTGTATCTCAGTCAGCTACCCTTGAAATTAACTGAGTTCATTCACCTCCGACATCGCAGGCTCTGCGATGTGACTATCGCACACACATACATCGCGATGACGATGCTCAAACGATATATCGTGCAGGCCTACTTCAGAGGGATGAAAATACAGCCATCTCCACCTTACAGCCTCAAGTGTCTTATGTTTTTGAGTGTGTGTGTGTGTGTGTGTGTGTGTGTGTGTGTGTGTGTGTGTGTGTGTGTGTGTGTGTGTGTGTGTGTATCCCTGAGTCTCTGCCTGCATGCAGCAGACATCTCTCCTCAGATCCCCCCCTCAAGGAGACTGATGACAAGGGGAAGGTTTTAGCGCCATGGCCCTCATCAATCCTGCAGTGTTTGGAAGTGGCGGGGCACTAGCCGGCACTAGCTAATGGGACAGAAGTAAACACAGGATACCGTGATGCTGCTCCTCTCTGCACCACAAATACAGGCTTTTTAGGACCATTAGAAAAATACCCCTAGGTTTGGTTCAAAGCTTCTTATCAAGCCCTGGAAAGCTCATTTCTCCTGGAACATTAAAGATCTTCATGAGGCTTAAAAAAACACTGATTTTCATATGAGGCACACTACAATCTAAAATACAGAGTTATCCTGGCCGGAAACATACCTCAGAAAAACACATTAAGTTATTGTCAAAGCATTACTGATATCAATGTCAGAAACACGGTTGGGTTAGGGTGTTTATTTTATGCCAAATGAACAATTCAGCAAATTCACTTTGGTTTACTTGCAGATTTCATTCATTTGAATGGAATAGTCGGTTCAGCTACAAGTAATTGCACCAATTTTGGGCCAGATTTTTCCCTTCCAACAAAAGTCAGCAACAGCCCTGTTATTGGATGACTCTGAAATCATCTGACAAGATTATCCTGTGGTGTGGGTGACTTTTCTACCCTCTAATCTGCACTGAAGATGATCCGAGCCTCTCCGACTTGGAATCATGTGTGTTTTTCAACATTTTACTTTAGCACCCAACCCGTCAGAACAAACTTTTCTAAAAGTATCTTCAATGCTATCTGATGTTTTCGGTTTTGTATAATTCCAGACTGTTTGTCAGACCTCTCTGTGTGTGTGTGTGTGTGTGTGTGGAGGTGATTTTTCCTCCAGACATGGCCCATAAGATGAGCGCATATTAGTGACCTTGACCAGGGCAATCTGCATCCATCAGCCTACAGACAGGGCTTTCAGTGAGGGACCTCAACAGATAAACATCCCGCCCCCCAGACTGTCACACACATGAACGTATACACACATCTTTCATGTATATAAACCATACATGTGTGCAGGAATGCATGCAGATAAAAGTTGTAGCAATATACATTCAAGCACTCAGACATACACACATGCGATACACATGAACTTATCAAACCAGGAGATGTAAACGTGTCTGACAGTCAACAGGAGACTAACAAATATTTCAGTCTACCAGACTGTGTGATGACACAGCACCACAGAGATCACTGACCTCCGTCTGAGGTCCTCTGCTACAGTCGCCCTGCAGCTGAATAGGTAGGCCCGCAGCGACTGCAGCTGCTGACGGAGACGCAGCACCGTGCTCAGAGCCTCACAGTGCTCGTACAGACAGGGGTTGAGCTGCTGGACATCCAGAAGAGGCTCCTCATACACAAACTCCAGGAACTCCTTAGCCTGTTTAGACACCTGGAAGAGCACAAGAAATTACCGGCAATAATAACAACCATACATCATATTGTAAAATTAGGAAAAGCTTTTTTTGGCCCAAAACAGGATCTTACAGGTTACTTGTTTTATCTTTGATCACAACAAATAGCATGTACAGGTAGAAGCAGCATATTGAAATGCTAAATATGTTGTGATTTCTCACCTTGTGCTTGCTGGTGTCCCAGTTGTGCAGCAGGCGTGCTGGGATGAGGAAAGAGTTGTCCTGATGGCAGCTCTGACAGTAGTACCAGCCGCTGTAGTAGCAGACCTTCGCTTTTCCTCTGGAGAGACCAACTGGACGCTGACATCCTGAGGGTAAAAGTGGAGCAGTGTGAGGATTTGTGTGTGCCTGGATTTAATTTACACAAATGTAATATTAGGCCATTCATTGAGGGGTGTGAATGCCTGTTATTGTTATTAAGGAGCTGGGTTTAACTCCATTTTTCATGTACTGCACATTAAAATTATTAAAAGAAGGTTTCAATAAACAAAGCAATTATGAGCTGCTCTATCATGTCCGAACTGATAAGAAACCATAAGGTGTTGCACAAGTGAGCTTTTGGTGTCAACAACCTGCCATAGAGGCGGCAAAAACAAGATAAGGTGGGCAAAAAGGTTGATAACCGAGCTTCATGATAAGCTCGATGTGAACTTGATGCTAATATGTGTCAGTTTATTACCCCTTACTAGATACTCTGATAATCGAGCCGAGAGAACCTGAAGATAACAAACATCATGGAGTTTAAACAAAGGACTCTGACCCCAATAAGGTGACCTTCGTATATAGACTTAATATGAAGCACAAGTGACAAACAACTTTATTGCACCACTTAGAGAGCTGAAGGTTGGTTGTCAAATAGGGTGTTTTTTCTGATAAGGGTTTTAATATCTGGACTATTTACAGAGCTCAATTATGGCAATGTGACAACATCAATCCCTGTCCAGACACAAAGGCAATTTTAATCCCAACTCAAACACAGTGCTGGCTCAGGAAAAGCGGTTGGACACAGACCAACTTTGGACAGACTATTAATAAACACAAATCAAAGCGATATAAATGAGATATTCCTAAAAATAATGTGGAACCAAAATAAAATATTTACTCTGAATCATCATTCATAAACTCAGAGAGGGTGTGTGTCTACAGAGATCGTCGACATATGTATCTTTATTTAATGCGCAAGGACTCAACAAAATGTTACTATTTTGCGACCTCTGAATAAGGAGGGCTCGGGATGCAGAGGCTGTGGTGGTGGGCAGAGCAGTGGGACACACTCAGCTCATGGCTTTGACACACTCAGCTCATGGCTTTGACACAATCAGGGACTAACTTCTTACTTTCCCATTTCTTTGCTTTGTTTACTTTACCTGGAGTCTCTCTATCAACTGACCACTGCTGCCCACATTTTCTCTCCCTTACTTGCACCAGCTTTAGCTTGTAAACATGTGAATTTTTCTTTAACAAAACACAACTCACCTACTCTCTTCCAGCAGCCGCTTGTTTGACCTCTGGGTAAGCCCATCGACTGCAGCGGGGTGACGCAGCTCAAGGAACAACATTTATAATCATTATTTTATCAAGTAATAATCATCATAATAATAATTTCGCACTGCAGATGCGGTAGTTCTTCTGCCTTAGCGTCTCGGTCTGATTGTATTTCCATGAAGAAATTATCATAAATGTTGAGCTGTGTCACCCCGCTGTAGTCTGTAATGGACTCGTCTCAGGTCTCTGTACAAACAAGCAGCTGCTGGAAGAGAGAGGGTGAGTTGTGTTTAGTCTCTTTGCTAAAAAATTAGGCAAAGCTAAAAAGATGTTTGGTGGCTAGTGTTGTGGCTAGGACCCTATATGTCCTGTTGATGAAGTTAGGTGCTGTTCTGAGCATTATTTGTGGCTATAGAGTGGCGTTTTGGTTGAGCGCGTGGCTCTCTGTATTGCTATCTGCGTGTATCGCTACTAAAGTTGGTATAACTAGAGAAGCAAGCTGTCAGCAACATTCATCTCTCAAGGGGGTGTCTAACTCAGTGTTACGGTGTGTTTGACCCTGACTTAATTTAATGCCAAAATATCCCTTTAACACTATCCAAGATAAAAACAATAGAAGGTTGCATCTTGTTGACAGGCATAATAGTGAAAAGTATTTTGCCAAACTCGATGTAACGTGAATGCACAAAAAGGTCATTTCCATGTCCTCTGGCTCCTCGTCCCACCTTTGACTGTGGTCTAACAGGAAATGCTACAAACTTAGGTTGTTGCCAAATTAAGGGACTGAAAAACACAAACTGACCAAAACTATACGTCTGTCTTGAAGTCTTTGCATCCTGTGTTTTTGTGGTTACAGTTAAATATAATCGACAGTATCACTACGTCTCAGGTCTCCGTCCACAAAAGGACATATTTTAGGAGTTAGCTCATGTTGTTGTTTGATTGAAAACCTTTAAAGGTGTATTATTTGCGGTAGGAAATAGCTCAAACATATTGTTAAATTAATCATTTGTTTCTATTCCTGTTCGTAAAATGCCTGAAATTATGTCCTACTTCAGGATGTCCTAAACTAAAAGTAAATTATATTTGAACAGAGTTACTGCTTGGTAATATTAACATCAATGTTTGCTAAATTCTGCCTCCTGGTTTCATTGGAAGTAATCCCTCAAATAACAGAGTCTTGGTCCTCCTGTAGTCACAACACAGCAGACTTCAATAATAAAGTGTTTTGTAGACATAAAAGACAAACAGATCATCAGCTCTATTCAGCACGATACCTGCCCCTCTTTCTGCTTTGTCTTCTCCACTCTTTAAAGTTCCTCCTCCACCCAAACAACCAGCCCTGCTCTAAGATCACACACACACACCAACAGCTCAGAGACGCTACAGCGCTACAACAGGTGTCCCTTATCCTGAAAATCTGTGCGAGGACGACAGCAAATGAAGACAGGCACAGGAGAAAAAGGACAGAAGATTGCGATCTAGGTTTTGGAAAAAATGGAGGCATGTAAAGCTACAGAAGAGACGAAGGAGAGAGGAAGAGAGGCGTGTGTCAGCCTGTTTCTTAGTGGTCCTTCAACACAAGAAACAACCCACACTGAAAGAAAGAAAGGAAGAGGGGGAAATGAAAAAAAGACAGAACGAGTTGAAGGCTATCAAGAGATGAGAGGAAAGAATGACATCAAATGAAGGCGGATAAATGCAGACAGGAAAGAGAAGTTGTTCCAGCTACTTGTTTTATCACAGACGATGATCTGACATCTGATCAAAACGTACAATGGTCTAATCAGTGTTAAGAGTTGGAGTCCTGTTTTATCTCATCAGACACGCAAAAACCCAAACAGGTCTGTCGCCAACAAACGTCTCAACACAAGGAGGCCTGTTCATTTATTCCAAGACTATACATATATTAGTGGTTTGGTTTAGAAGTAGAAACCTGGAAATTAAAGGGACATTCTGGCGTGAAATTAATTTAGGGTCAAACACACCATAACACCGAGTTAGACAACCCATGGAGAGATGAATGTTGCCAACTGCTAGCTTCTCTAGTTATACCAACTTTAGTAACGTCCGCACGATAGGAATACACAGCGGTCTGAGGAGCAATGCACAAATTTCAACCAAAACGCCACTCTATAGCCACAAATAATGAACACAACAGCACATAACTTCATCAACAGTACATAAAGGGTCTCAGCCATAGCACTAGCCACCAAACATCTTTTTAACTTTGCCTGATTTCTTTAGCAAAGAGACTAAACACAACTCCCCCACTCTCTTCCAGCAGCCACTTGTTTGTAGCGAGACCTCAGACAAGTCCATTACCGACTGCTGCGGGGTGACACAGCTCAATGAAGAACATTTATGATTATTACTTTATCATTTCCCTGAAGTAATAATCATCATATTAATCATATTGCACTGCAGACACAGTAGTTCTTCTGCCTTAGCGTCTCGGTCTGATTGTATTTCCATGAAAAAATGATGATAAATGTTCTTCCTTGAGCTGCGTCACCCCGCAGCAGTCGGTAATGGACTTGTCTGAGGTCCCGCTACATACAAGTGGCTGCTGGAAGAGAGAGGGTGAGTTGTGTTAGGTCTCTTTGCTAAAGAAATCAGGCAAAGCTAAAAAGATGTTTGGTGACTAATGCTGTGGCTAGGACCCTATATGTACTGTTGATGAAGTTAGGTGCTGCTCTGAGCTTTATTTGTGGCTAAAGAGTAGTGTTCTGGTTGAGGTGTGCACGTGGAGATGTAGACCGCTGTGTATTGCTATCATGCGGTCGTTACTAAAGTTGGTATAACTAGAGAAGCAAGCGGTCGGCAACATTCATCTCTCGAGGGGGTGTCTAACCTCGGTGTTATGGTGTGTTTGCCCTAAATTAATTTTACACCGGAATATCCCTTTAACAGCAGCGTTAGTGCAAGTGTAACTAACCTTCTTCGGAGTTAAAAGTGACTGGGGCTGAGACTTTTTGGCAGCATTACTAACCAGCTTCTTATCTTGGTGCTAACTCAACATAACATTTTATCAGCTCCTCCCAGACCTTCTTATTAAGAAAGCCTCTTCATGGCTTTATTTGCTTGTTCTTTGTCATTGCACAGCTGAATGAACCTTCAAAAAAAGGCAGCTTTATTTAGGTGGCCTTTCAACTTAAATATTGTCTCATGTGGTTGAACTGTGCAAACTGCATTCATACCCTTCAAACATTTGATCACAGTGTGAGTCAGAAAAACCTCCCGATGTGGTCTGGCTGCTCTGATCACATGCTGATTCCAAAATAAGAGCAACAGCGCAATAATCTACAACTTATCAGGGAAATTCATCCAATCTCCAGAGTTAAAACAAAAGATATTGAACATATTTTGGAGGATTTACTGCTTGTGGATAAAATGATGGGGAAAAAAGACAACAAGAAAGTCTTATCTTTTTAAATGACCCATGATTAAACACATATGTCTAAGTCAGATTTAAGCTAATTTCAGCAGTGAGCTCATGCTGTTGTTGGGGTGGATGCTCTTTGAAAAAACCCACAGTCCACTGTTTGGAAGCCAGCAGGCACAGAAACACTGTGTCACTTCGAGGAAACAGCTGACCGCCAGGCCGCCTTTCAGGCCAACTGTGGCTGCAGCTCGGTCAGCTTCTGTTGGGACCCGAGGGACAAAGGCACATACGTATGTGGCCTGAGAGACATTTGCAACCTAAATGACAACTTTTAACCTCAACCTCAAATTCTATATCATGGAGACCAGAGGAGAAAACACCCACACACAGACAGAGGAGGAAAAAAAGGGTACTTTCACCAAAGGCAAGCTCTACATGAAAACAAGCAGTGAAGCCTCTACAGATAATGCATGTGGGAATATGGATGAAAAAGAGGCAAAACAACACAGAGGATACGAATCTGTTTCAAACCAAAACCTCAACAAGAAGCAAAACAACTTCAGAGCAGAGTGACCAGAGGAAACATTTAAATCTGATTCAACAGGGACGGACCATGTTTTTGTATAAAACCAATGCAGATAGGAAGAAATATCTGCGTGCAAGTGCAGCTAACAATTTGTAAAAGATAAAATAATTCTTACTCTTTACATATATTTGTTTTTAGTGTTTACATTGTCAAACTTCCTGTGACAGACCTGACAAAGTTAGGCTCAACTTTTAAGAATCTCAACCATGATGTTTAAATTGGGAAACTTAACACCTGTTAACTGCAAATAGATCAAAAGAAAATAGGTTTCTGTTTCTGGTTCAGCTTTAGTAGACCAAAGTGAAGCCTCTGGGCAACCTACCGTTAACAGTGAAACGGAGACTCATAAGAAACAGGTGCTATCTGGTACTTCCCTGGGTGACTTTAGGCCTAAGACCGTTTATTTTGACATTATTCTGATCTCAATATGCTAATCGGACACTAAGCTATGTAGTGTGGGAACATGTTGGTTGTGGGTCGTTCATTGTTGACCAACTTATGCATACCCAAGAGACTGAGTATGCATAAATAGCTAAAGAACAGAAAACATGCAAATGTTAATCAGTGATGAAAATGACCGGTTTGGGTAAATTCCACAAAAAAAAAAAAAAAAAAAAAAAGGTTTTCCATAAGGAATGAAAGCCTCCCATCAGACTAACCACTTTGCCTCAATCCATCTTCTGTGAGCTTGGGCCCAGAAAAGTCTCCAGTATTATTGGATCATGTTTTTTATGGTGTCCTCTTTGCATGGTGAAGTTTAAACCTTCATTTGTGGATACAGCAGCAAACTTTGTTCACAGACAATAGTTTCTTACAGGGATTTTGAGGCCACGCAATGAGTTCCACTACAGAGTCATGTTAAAATTTGAAACAGTCATGGTAGGGCTGGGCGATAAACTGAAAATTTACAGATACCGAAATTTACAACAATAACCAATGTCATTTTGCCCATATCAGTACATTGGGCGTCAAAAAAATAAACAAATCAAAGTTGGTTTTGGATGTGTGTAGGTAGGCTATGGTCTCATGTCCCTTTAAGATGCTGTCCTACGTCAGAGGAGCATGACTCCACCCCATCCAGTCCGTAACAAAGAGGGAAAGACAGGTGAGGAGATGGAGGACGGTTCAAAAGTTGGAGCGGTTGGAGCGGCGGCCGAAGTAGACAAAGTTAATGTGGGAGGGGGTGAGCAGCTTGTGGAGTAGTTATCATCCATTTATCATTATCGAGCAGAACTGCTCAATATATCGTGATATTGATATGGAGGCCATATCACCCAGCCCTAAGTCATGGCCATCCAGTATCAGTTACCAGTTACCATTTAAAAATGTGTTTTATCAACATTTTACACAGCATCCTTCCTTTTTGGGGTCGAGGATGTAAATAAAAGCACCACCGTCACCACATTAGCAGCTACAACTCTAAATGAACTGCTATTTAGCCATTTAACTTACCCACCAGCTATTCGAACTCTAATGTGTCTTGCTTTTCTCATCTTAAGGAGTAGCTATTAACGCTCTCTACCTCTAAATACATCCTCCATTATCAGCGCTGAGTAACAACTGCTTTCTCTGCCTGTCTCTGATCTTTTATGGGTCTTTCTGGGACGAACAGAGAGAGGGACAGAGGGAAAGATGAATGGGAATTCAAACGTGGCTCAAAGGTCTACCGATTGTACCGCGGCTCTCTGTAGTGAGAGAGGGTTACTTTGACCCGCCCGGGGCGAGTGTACGGAGGATAGAGAGACATAGAGATACAGAGAGGGAGAGAGAGAGAGAGATGACATCAGGGCTGAAAAGGGGCTTCTGCTTTCATCTGCCCGGCACTGATTTTTTTTTTTTTTTTTTTTTACTAACACACCTTTGAGAGGGCACAGGAGTGTGTGTGTGTGTGTGTGTGTGTGTGTGTGTGTGTGTGTGTGTGTGTGTGTGAATTAAAACTGAAAAGACGGGAGAAGCCTGAGCTTTGATGTGTCTCATTCACACCAACCAAACACTCAAATGAAAATGTGCACAAATGGAGAGTACTGTGAGTAAGATAGAGAGTGTGTGTTCGTGTGTGTTGGTGTGTGTGAGGTGGACAGAGAGGGAGAGACTGTTTATCTTTTGATGTGAGCCCACCTACTTCCTTGATTCCCTCATATCTACCAATAACCACTTCACCCAGAGCGCCCCTGTCCCACAGATTCAGGCGGTCCGTCGGGGTCCTGAGAATGTGCTCCGGTTCACCAAACCCCAGAAACGCACTCTAATGTGCGCATGTACGTGTGTGTAGGTGTTTTGCTCGTGATCTTCAAATAGATACCAACCCACTTCCTTCAAAGACAACAAACCCCTGTAATCCATAAGTGTAATTAGTTGAATTCATTTCACGTTTTGATGTAAAATAACCAGTCGCTGCATATGCATGCATATGTGTGACATCCATATGCAAAGGGCAGACTTAAAAGGAGTTCAAAGACAAATCAGAGGAAACCTGAGGAGCAGACTGACCATAGGACAGCGCGGTCGCTCCCATCAAAAGGTCTTGTTGAACATATATGAATAATCTGTTATCCATTCATGTTTAAGCAATTAGATGAAAGTTTTAGATGAATTACAGCTAAGAGCTTTGAGGATTAGTAAAAAAGGCTCTTGTAGGCCATCATGGTGATAAAGCAGTGTTATGTAAAGCTTCAATGAGGAACTTTCAAATTGTGTCAATTTTGGCCTTATTGTGGACAAAGCAGTTTTACTAACCTTGTCCTCCACATGTTTTAATGGCGTCTTGTGGCAAAGAAATCTTACCTGCGGATTTTTGATGGTCAAAATATTTCAGTCATTATAAATACTGAAAAGTGTCAAATGTAAAAACGCTGATACAGACCCTCTTTCACCAGCTTAAGGCATTCAAAATTACAGTATTGAAACTTTTAATGTTGTCACTGATGGCCTTGTCTGCAAAAGTCAACATGATGAGAATTACTATGCACTCATGGAGAGGACGAGAAAAGTAAAGACTGCTTAGTCCAAAAGGTCCTTACACACCGGGAATGATGCAAATTTACGACGCAAAATTACAAAATATTCAGCGGCGAATTTTGACGCGCCTGATTATACACATCAAGCCTGATGCAATTTTGCGACTTTCCAGGGGGAAAAAAAGACGCATCCCAAATGGAAGCGAGAAGACTGACACAACAGCAGACTGAGTGTTTTTCAGTTCTGATTAGACACTAGTGTTGAGATGTCTGTCTGTCATGATAGCATGTACTATGAGTCGGGGCCAGTACCAGATAAGCACATTAAACTATAATCCATAAACGTAAGGTAACAACTGAGACCTAATGGTGCTGTGACAGCAACACCATTGAGTTTGAGACAGTAAAAATACATATGGTATGTTGTATCTGAACAGGTTAGCTTACGAGCTAAAGTTACTTAGCACAGATGAAAGTTAAAACAAAGACGTTTAGCAAACTGTTTAAGCACAGAAACCATCGTCATATGAGGGATCTGACGCAATGACTTTCCACAAGTTGTCTTTCAGGTCGTTATCTTTGTAATGTTTGTGTTTTTTATCAAAAAGCACTCTGTTCTCCGACACGTAAACAATCAGTCGGTCGGCCATGTTGGATATACTGGTGAATCAGATGTTGCAACAACACGAAATCTGATCGGTCAGAAGTGGACACACAGTATGTGAAACTTTAGAAATTGGACCATGATACAAAAAAATAAATGCCACAATATTGCAGGATGGGAAAACATCTCTGATGTCTAGCTTGTATTGACAGGATACGGGTTCGAAAAAAAATAGACATCCGAAATAATTGCACGTAAAAACGCTCCCAGTGTGTAAGGACCTTAAAGGTGGGGCCAAATTAGACACATTGCTGCCAAACGCTCCTCACAGGAGCTTTAAGTTGGGAATAAAAATTAAGATAAATAATAAACTGATTTTTTTTATTATTTCAGCGCTGACTGACGAGTACAAACCATTTAATTACACAAGTTTTAAGTCCTTTAATTTCAATCATTCTTGGACGGTGAGCTTGTCCAAAATCCAAAAAATGCCCATGGATTTTCAAAATCAGAAACATTTCAAACAAGCCTTTAAAAACAAAAGAAATCCCACAATTACCTCCGCACCAACATTCAGTTTTAGGGCTTTAAATCTAAATGTTATTAGAGAATTTTAGCACCTGTTAAGGTACCACTGGGGGAGCTTAAGAAAGGATACAATAAAGGCAGAAAGGGACAAACAGAGGGGAAAGTTGAGAGCGTGAATGTGCCAGTTAAAGTAAAAAAGAAAGCGAGAGAGGAAAGGAAGGGAAATAAATGGACTGAGTGGGCAGAGGTGTGCTCATGCACAGAAAAATGGACGTATCCAGCTGTCTCTCCCATGCAGCTCTACCCAGAAAACCCTTCATTCAAACAACCACGATCAAGCCTAACCACTGCAGCATCCCCAGGCCGCTTTCATTCGCTCCCATTCATTCATTCATTCATCCATTTTTCCTCTCCTCCGGTGCTTTAAGCCTACCAATTATCATCAGTTGCCCCCAGACGGCCTCTGTCCTTGTTCCTGTTTCAGCTGGCCTTTCAAACAGCCCTGCATTAATAAGCCAGTTGTTACAAATAAAAAGGGAGGTGAGCGGTGATTATTCAAAGCCCTCCTAAGAGAGAGAAGAGAGAGAAGAGAGAGAGAGGAAGCCTACGTTTCACACCCAGGGAGAGTAAAAGCACCGCCTGCCATTTACGGGACTGTCACAGAGCTGAGCAGGGATAATAATAAAGGAAGAGGAGGAAGGCTGTAATGGTTCAGGACATGAAAAAGGATTAAGAATAAATACAAAACACTGCTTAACACCCCCGAGTGGCAGGAATAGGCATCATCAGTATCTGTCCAACATGAAGGAATAATGTAACCACCTAGAAAAGTTTTTAGTTAAGTAAAGACTCAAAGAGTGAAAACAGATCTCCTGCATGGACAGGGTTTGACTTTAGATGCAGAATTAGAACTTCTTTACATTTCATAAAATTTTGTTCATTTGTCAAATCAGATTCTGAGTAAAATGTTAATAAAAATAAATCTTTTTTTTTTTGTAAATATTTACACCCTCAAATTAACTGTAAATAGTGCAAAGACAACTCATCAGATGTTACAGCTGTTAGGTCCTGTTGTTTTATGAAATACATATATTTATTTACACTCATCGGCCACTTTATTTGGTACACTTGTTCAATTACTTGTTAACACAAAAAGTCAATCAGCCAATTACATGGCAGCAGCTTAATGCATTTGGGCATGTTAATGGTCAAGACGACGAATGGAGAGGAAGGGGGTCAAACCAGACACAAGTAAGGTGTACCTAATAAAGTGGCCAGTGAGTATATGTGCTTATTTTAAATGTGATGCCAGCAACATGTACCAACAAAGAAACACCAGTCCAGTCTCCTCTCAGTCATACTAATATGAGTTGCTGTTTGCAGCAGCAGCAAACTGTGTTCAAAGACAGCAGTTTTAGAGGTGGTTTTGAGCCCATGCAGTGATTTCCACCACAGAATCATATTAAATTTTAATGTGGTGCTACCTGAGGGCCCAAATATCACAGCCATCCAGTATAAGTTTTAAGCCTTTTCCTTTTCGTACAGAGATTTCTCCAGATTCTCCAAATCTTTTTGATATTTTGTCCTTCTGATAATAAAAGTCTATTTGGTTATTTTCTTTCTCTTTTTGAGAATAAAAAATCCAGGTCTATTTTTGAATGTAGGTGTAGCTGAAGGGTTCTTTTACCTGCACATCTGAAGCTCTGAGCAGTGAGGCCCTTCTCCACAGCCAGACAGGTGAGAATACTGAGGAAGCTGGTGGTGACTGACTGCCTCTTGGCTCTCTGGGCCTCCCTCTGCCTCCTCTCCCTGGATGGTTTGGACCTCAGCAGCACCCCTTGGAGGCTCGGAGCTCCTTCTCCCAAACCGCCCTCTTCCTCTTGGGCAGGCCTCTGCGCTGCAACCGCTTCTTGCAGGGCCTCCACCCATTCCTGGGCCTTGAGCTGATCATCTGCCTGAAGCTGGAGCACCTCTTTGGGGAAGACCACCTGGAAGCAGTTCCCTTTTTCAGTCCACACCTCTCCATTCTCCGGTTCCTGATCGTGCTGCACAGCTGAGCAGGAAGACAGAGAGTACTGAAGGACAGGCTGGGACACGGACCCACGGCCTTCAGTGGCGAAGGCTCGGAGTGCAGATCTGGTCAGGACAAAGGTGAAGGCTCTCCAGTTGTTCTGATCCACCAGCTGGTGGAGGAGACCAGCTTTGAGGACGTCCTGGCAGCGTTGGGTGAACAGAGGAAGGGTGGTGGGTCTGCTCAGGAGGCCAGAAGTGGACTGCTGAGACAGTGAGGCTTCTGCAGAGGTGGGGGTGTCACTGTCTCCATCAGGACGGGTGTCAAGCCCTGAGGGAGAGGGCGATGAGGAAGGTGACATGGGAGCAGGAAACTTTACGACCTGGTTGTCCGATCCGCTCTTGCGCTGGCGGTTCTCCTGCCTCGCTGGTCTGGCGACCTGCACTTTCTCCCATATCAACCGCCTCCACTCCATCGCCTCCCATTGGCTGGCCGCCCTCAGCTGGAGACGCGTGCTGTTGAAGAACAAAGCCTGCAGCGTGCGTTGATCGGCAGGCTGGGTGATCTGGCCCGGCTGGCTGCAGGGAGCCGGCGAGATGACGCTCTGGCAGTGTGACAGAGAGTAGGCGGTTCCCAGCTGGCGGTTGGCGCTGCTGTCCAGAGTGTACAGCCGGAGCTCGCAAGGTGTCAGCTCGACGTGGCAGGCTGTCCAACGGCCCCGGGGCCCCTCACGCTGCTCCATCGCACCATGCTTCACCACAGTGCTACTGCTGCTTTTATCAGCTGGACAGGGATACAGAGGAGGAGAAATGAGATGATTTAATTAAGAGAGTTGAAACAACAAGCTGATTTATTCAGACTCACTGCTCCAGGTGCAGGAACTGGTCATCTGATAAAACACAAGTCATATGTTACATCTCCAAAGTTCATCCTGCTTTCACTAATATGATTTAAATATTTCTCTCTGGGTCAATTTGATCCACACACACAAAGCTTCAAACAAGCACCTTCTTCTGATCAATTAAACTTGGTAAATTTGACCGACTGTAAAAGGTTTGTAAGCAATCGTAATTTTTAGATGGTTCAGAAATGACTAATGCTTTTTCCACCTACACACTTTGTGTATCTGTAGTGCGGTTCTTGTAAAGAGATAAAAAGTGTGTCTTCCATAGACTGTAGAAAAAGTGTAGGTGTCGCCTTGAGCAGGACTTCTTTAACCTGCACTCTTTCTCTCGACCATCCAAGAGTGACTTTACTGCCTGCAAATAAAATCTGATTCAAACTGAAAGAGAATAATCAGCCAGACCTCAGATTATATTTCCTAATGGTTTTATGGTTGCAATTGTTAGCTGACTAGCATGATGTTCATTTGGTTTGTCAAAATCCCACAGAGAGTGGCTGTGTGTGTGCAATCTAAGATAGTCTCTGCTGAGTAATAATGTGTGAAATGACAACACTGGGGTTTTCAGTCTTTTTGCAAATCCAGTCAAAACACACCGTAAAAGTCTGTGCACATTCACTGAACAAGTAAGACATTACAAGTCCAGTCAAAGTGTATTTTGCCAGCCCAGGATACAAACTTTAGTACGACTGAGCTCAAATCTCAGACACTCAGCACAATTTCATTGGGAAAGTTTTCACAGATTTGTTTGTTCTTTCCCCAGTTTTCCTGAACCCTTAAAGCCCAAGTTGACGTAACACTCATGTGGCCAGTTTCCTACATAATATAACTTATCTGAGGGTTATCAGAGGCTTGAACAGCTTTGGTATTTTGGTAAGAGATAGCCTCAGCATGGGTGCCACTTTGACATATTTCTTGTTACCGCAGCAGGAAGAGGCAGTATTGTTGAGGAGGCTGCTGGGCAAACTGTCCCACTTTCTGTATCTGAAGGCTGGAGGCACACCCGCTCCTTATATCAGCTTTCCCCTCCGCTCTGACGCTGCTGGAAGGGCTTGTTATTTCATCTTTTATGCTTTTCCTTAAAAGTGACTGCAGTGTGTTTTCTTCTCGATTGTGTAGTGTTTAGACTGAGTCAGACAACAGGTGGGACCTCTGATAGGGCAAAAATGTTCAGCCCTATTGTCTGTTAATCCTGAATAATGAACTAAATAAAGAAGATCCAGTCTATCACATGTATTATTTACTTGGGCAGCTCAGGCTCAGTGGTAGAGATAGTCAGTTCTCATTGGGAAGGTTCCGCTCTCACAGTTTACCTGCTGAAGTGTCCTTCACCAACACTCAGTCCCAATTGCTCCTAAGTGGCATTGCCATGAGTGAGTTCAGCAGATGAGTTGATAATGATGGGCATTGTACCTTTCAGTGCCTGCCATTGAACATGTTGTGAGTGGGTGAATGTGACATGTAAGGCTCTTGCACATTTCCAGTTAAAGGCAGGATGTCAAGTTACGCCTCATCTGCAGAGTGTAAAGCACAAAAGTGTAGCTGTGAGGCAAAGCCGTTCTGCCTCAGGGATAGGGGTGTTTTATTTTTTCATTTGTCCTGATACCATTATTGAGACTCCTTAAAGCTCCAGTGAGGATCTTCCTGTCTGTGCCGGTTTTGGCGCCCCCTGTAGACACAGCAGCAACTGTTATATTGTTACGGATTTTGTCTCGTCCCTGTAGAGTGGTCCAAAAATCCCTCCTGTCTGAAAGACTACCTTTCATTTTTATAACTCTTGACTTTTGTGTGTGAAGTCTTGTTTTAGATTCACATTTATTGGAGAATTAGACCAGCTGTTGGTTGTTAAAGTCTGGATATTTTATTTTATTTATGATTTCTACTTTTTAGCCCCCCCCCCAAAAAAAATAAATAAATAAATAAATAAATAAAATAATAATAATAATTTAAAAATTTGTGATAAAATCACGTTATAATTTTGCAAAAAAAAAAAAAAACTGATATGAAACCTTGTCTATATCGCCCACCCCTACATACCTGTTTCAGTATGTTTAATTACCTATCAAAAACTCATTCTGTTATTGTTTTCCTCTGAACAATCAAATTTTTCTTGTTTTGGACGTGACGTTTGAACACATCATGAAAAGTATTACTTTCCCTAAATCTTCATTTTACCAACATGTAATGCAAGAGTGTTTCAAGTATGTACTATGCCAAAGCAATAATAGTATCTCAAGAAAGATGGTGAAAGGTGAGCACTGTTTACTGAGCATACCTGAGGTTTCACGATGGTTTAACCAGTCAGGTATATGAATCTGCTCGAATAAGAAACTTTGAGACAAACCAATGAACTGGAGTTAAATATCTGAAAACTTAAGCTACGCTTTAGCGGTTTGAGCACACACAATTTCACATCAACCGATGAAATGAAAGTGAGCGCAGGACAGAGGTTTTGGCTTTCTGAGCAGTTCTGTTTTGGTTTCAATCACAACCCACTTTAATTTGGTAATGGAGGAAGAGAGAGAAGCACCTGCTACAGAGAAAATGAGTGTGAAAGTGGTGAAGAACATATGCATCTTCAGATCTCTTTTTGAGTGTTTTCTATGAGAAAACTAATCTCCAGTTTAAAACGCATGTACACTTTCAATAATATGACAACAACATGATAAGATAATAAGTTTAGGGAATGAAATAAAAGTTTTTTGACGCATCTACTTCATAAACTATTCTATGAATGCATGTCTGCGCCAATTTCTTACTGAGTTGTTGAAATTCAGTTGAAAAAAGATCTGCAAGAGGAAAAAAAAACACTTCCAGATAAATTTTGTCGAGTTTGAGATCTCTAAATGGGTAGATAGGTTTCTTTATAGAACAACAACACCTTCCCCCACTCCCCAAAACCAATCACATCCACTGATTGAATTATAAGCCCCAACCAGAAACAGTCTCATGGACATGTATTGCATTTTGTTTCTTAAACGTGTTAAATTACTTGAGCAGGGAAAAAGAGAAAGGCTAAATCTTTCAGAGCTCCTGCTAACTGGATGCTGGCGAGTCAAGAGCCTCATCAATCTTATCAAAACAGCAGCCGACATGGTGTCACTCTAGGTCGCAGACTTTGCATGTTAACAAACCTTTTTGTTAAACGGAATAAATGAATATGCAAATAAGTTTAGCTGGAAATAAGTCCGGCTGATTGGCACTCTTCACGCTCGGGAGGGCCGGGATGAGAATTAGGCATTGTGGTGCGGGAAAACTGCTCCGTTCAATTAGCCTTCATCTCCACCTGGTGGGTTTTGACATAACACTCTTGTATTAGTCTCATTTACACACACACAAGCCTTCAAGAGGAATTAACTGTGTTCTGCAAACTAACCATCTAGTATGGCTGCTCTTGTGTCCAACAATACCTCAAATCTCCTCCTAGAATTTGAAGCAGTGGTTCCCAAAGCGAAGGTCATGAAACATCAAGTTGGGGCGTCGCAAGATACCATCCAGAAATCAATAGAAAAACTTTTGAAAAAAAGGTTTATTGGTTTTCAACTTTTTTAATGACAGCATCAAGTATAGCGGGTCAATTTACAGCCATAAGTACATTTTTTTTTTTTTTTTTTGCCAAATATGAGTTTACTTGAGTTGTACTTCTATCCTTTTCGGTGTTTTTCTTATATCTGTATTTTGATTGGCCTACAGGTGCGTGCCCATGTCTCTCTGTATTCACCAGGGATGACATACTGGAGGGTTACGGAGAGAAACAATTTACATCTACTATTAGAAATACAGCTGCAGTATTGATTCAAAGATTAAAGCTACTGTAAGGAGTTTTTAGCTGGTAAATTATCTATTATTTATTTTCTATGTCCGCGAATACTGCCAGGGGGAAGGTGTCAGACAGGGAAATCCATATCAGGCAGTCTAAAGAGTTTATATTGTCTATGGTAATGCAGGGCTCGACAGTGCGACCGAGGCACTTGCATTTGTGACTAAAAATAGATATGTACGAATTGTAAAATGTATCTAGGGGCACATGCGAGCATAAAAAAATTAGCCGAGGCTACAAATGTTTTTTAATGTAAATATTGCGGTGAAGTTAGTTTTAGGTTTGATATTCGACGGACATTCACTGTGGATCTACCGGTGTCTTCTCACTCTCCATAACCAGGAATAGCAATAGCAGCGCGGTTAAATCTCACTGTCAACGGCGGGTGTTGAATAAGGGACCATCAAAAAATTACCAGTTGCTGTTCTCAAACAAGGCTGTTTCCCTTCAATAGCTTCCATGTCATGTGACCAATTGACCTAAAATTTATATTAAATAATAGTACTTATGTCGACCAATAAAACACACATTATTTCATCAATTTTCATTTTGCCCCTAAAGTTCTTTGTGTGCTCCTTACTTTTTCAACCCTGTATTGAAATGCTGAATGTTCAGCACTGAAAATAAAGAATAGTGAGATTTCTGTCCAAAAACACGACTTTCTTTGTTGTTGATACTCTAGGAGGCAGAATACAAGCAAAATCAGCTGATAGTTGTAAACTAAAAATGAAAGTATGATTTTGGTCTGATGTCAATTATGATAAAGATTTAACTGTGAACTCCAAAAAACTGAAAATTCTGCTGAGTTGAATTGTTGAAGCACAGAGTCAAAGAGATGTGAAATATAAGTCAAACAACGGGGACTGTTCTTGTCTGCTGTCTGAAATGAGACCTCACTCTAATGTTTGCACTCATATTGTACACACACAGGCACACGCAGTCAGTGTTTGTTGTTCAGCAAATATTCACAGTGTCTGTCTGGAAAACATGGCTGTCAGCTATTTACAGATAATAAACATGAAGCAAAGAGACTCCAGTGGGTACACTTACATAAATAAGTTGAGATGTTTTGCTGCAGGCTGAGTCTGAATGCATCATTAGACAAGAAGAGTTCGTTTATTTATGCCTCTGGGTTAGCACGACTGGGTTCACACAACACCATATTTTTAAGGTTTCCATTAGCAAAATAAAAACTCCAGGAAATGATAGCTGTGAAACTATTTTACTTAAATATTGAAAACAAATATCAGTCGACCGCTAGTAAGGATGTTCTCAAGTGACTCATGTCTTAGTCGATTCAATAGGAATTCAAACTCTGATTGACGGATCAGCTTCAAGGTTATAAAAATTTCACATAAAAATCAACTTGAGCACGATTTACTCAAAATTAGCTGCAGTTTAACGTTCACATGCCTGATATGCATCACTCTGGACAAATTAACCACTTTATCTCCATGACAACACTGCCAAACTGCACTGTGCTACAAGGTGCCATCCACATTAACCGTGCTTATTTACATCCAGGTAGTAGAGTATTGTAACATTATAGCAGTAACCATAAACCAGAACTACAACCCCCAGCAAAAGGTGGGTGTCTGCGTTGCAGCTTAGGCATAATATACCAGTAATTCTGATGCAAACTAGCAGGGGTGACCAGGTTTAATCATTTAGTCATCTTAGGCTAAAAGTGGTTTCTTCAAGCTTGTGGGATCCAAAATACAAAATTATTCTGCTTATTAATGATATTATCTTAAAAAAAAAACTTTTACTTTAATTAAATTTTTGTGAAGCATGGTATCAAAAAATCCTTTAGCACTTTTCTTCAGTCATCGCTCTGTCAGCAGTTTTATTTTTGCTCTCTTTTTTTTCATTTTGAGTTTCATTTTACTCTGTTTTCATGTTTTTATAGTGTCACAGGGAACTCTGAAGTCCCGTACTGTGATTATATGTCAATTAAACTGACTAGAGTGGCTGGTCAACAGAGGTTAATTTTAATCATCTTGATTAATCATTCTTACTAAATTCATTTGTGATGTGATTTCTGACTAATCTATTTCACTGCTGCAGCATAAATAACATCTCATACTGCAAAATTTTTGTCTTTGTTATTTTTCCATATTTGCCGTTTTTGGAGGAACTTGTTTAACTGCATGTAATCGTGAGGATCTTATCTTGAGAATGACTTCTTCATGAAGTGTGCTCTTTAAACTCTGCTAACGACCCATTTCTTATGATTTGAAATACAAGAGTATATTTTGAGCCGACATTAAAAGCCCCTTTTCTTGTATGGATGTTGAATTTAATGATATAAAATTTTGGGGGTATAGTCTGCAACAAAATATGCAGCCAAAATAGGCCTATTAGTTACATTTATGACAATGTGTAAACAGATGAATGCATCTTTTGCAAGAAGCAGCGTTATTAGACCCGACAAAGCTTTCATATAAAGGCTGAATTTACAGCCTCTCTCTGGTTGGGCACATAGACATCATATTGTGCATGTAATAATGATCCTCACATCCATTTAGCATCTAAACATCCCCAGCTGTCACTAATGGAAAGCCAAACAGGCCATTTCTTTTTTTAATGTGAATGAAGAGACATAGCGAGGCCGAGCTAAATCACTCTGCATTCTGCTTATTACCGTCTCTTTCCTACTTCTCTCCTTTCAATACACACACAGCCAAACTAAATAGCCTGATGCCTTTTCACACATATGCTAATACTAAATAATCCTGCCAGTATCAGGGGCCGGGTAATTGGGTTGCCTCTTCTCTCGCCTCATTTGAGTCCATTTGCTGACAGGATTACGGGCTATTATCCCTCAGGATCCCTTAGGATCTCCTTAGGCCTTTAGATGGCCAAAACACACAAACAAATGATACGTGTGTGTGTGCGTGCGTGTGTTTCTGTGTGTGTGTGTTGGGAGAAAGAGCGCCCTGTGCCTGAATACTGACTGTCATAGCACAGCTGTGCCATTTCAAGTTATCATCATCTTCTATCATTATTGCTTTCTCTGAGGATGCTTCAACATAAGTAGAAGCATACGCCCCGCTCTGCAGAACAAACAGAGCAGGACTCCTGTTCTCCGACAGACTCTCAAAGGCTGAGGAAGCTTTCTAATGAATGAACGTTCAATCAGAGTGTGCGCGGTGGAGAGGGAGGTGTGTATGTTCCTCACAGGATTCGACCGAGGACTTGTTAACCTGTTTAGTATTGCTTAATTAGGCAAATTAAAGGAATCACACACCGTACTTTTCCCCACTTAGTTGAGATTAGAGTGGCTGGGATGTGTTTTTACGTGTTTTGATGAGACTGCCTCCAACATTTCTGACATCACATTGAGGCAACAGGGGTTACAGAAATCTTCACCTTTGTCTTGTCTTGTTAAATGTGTTAAATAGTTCGCATGAATTCTTTACGTCTGGATAAGTTCGCCTCTTTGACTGAGTCTTCCTGAGGTAGATGATGAGGCCACACAGCGCTGAAAGATGAAGTGTGTAATGATTTTGGCAATACGGAAAATAGCAATAGAAGCCAGAAGATTTTAACGATGTAAACAGACAGCCACGGCCACCTGAGACGTCAAAGTCTTTAAAACTCCTATGAGGAGTTTTTTAACATTAATAAAATCGACTGAAATTCATGTTGATGCTTTTTTATGATATACAAAAGCAAAGAAAAACATCAGTGACGAGACACTGAATGACCTCTGTGACCCAGGAGAGCAGCTTTTCAGCAAGGTTTGCCAGCATATGATTGGCTGGGCCACAAACAGTACTGCAACAACCGCCTCAAAATTAAAAACAGAGAGAGGCAGAGTGCTGGCTCTCATCTACAGAAACAAGACCTGAGGTCTTTGACAGAGATATTTCAGTATTTTCAAAGTGAGGTTTCCAGAGTTACATGTTGTATACTATGAATACTAGCCACTGGAGCTGGGCAAGTCATCAGATTTTAATTTCAATTCTGATTTTGGCCCCCCATGATCATAGAAATAAAATTATAGAGGTGGTACAAACTATCAGGCAGCCAAAGAGAAGAGAGTAAGGTGTGTATGTATCTGTGTGTACCTGAAAAGCTAAGGGACAGAATGAGCACAATGAGAGAGAGGCTGTAGTGGTTACAAACAGGAACGAGCTAACAGCCTAAAAAGTGAGAGACATCGTACTGCATCATAGTACGATAGACAGGTTCCTTGTGTACAAACAATACTAGGTGCGCGCGCAACCAGGGGGCAAAAGCCTGCTTCAGAGTGAACTGATATCAATGAAGATGCCGAATTGTTTGCAAGTTCTCTCTGACACAATCGCAATAAAATGTCATTTCATTGAAAAATCACCCATTCTTTCATTGCATCAAAATCAGAAGACCACTTGCTGAAATGTCCATGAATTTCACTCAGTTTACAAGGTTGTGACGTTGTTTTAGATGTTTCTGATATCAGGAGCAGGGTCCTAATGTTTGCCGATTGTTTGTTTTGCCGATTCTTGCAGTTTACAGCATGAATACAACAGCAACAAAAGCTCCTTGTCATTTTCTTTCTCCGTTGACTCTGCTAGTAAACAAATAAGAAATGTCCCGCTTTCTGCCCCCTGGCTTCGCATGCATACCTGCGATGACATTGCACAGAAACCCGTCTATACAACCTCAAGCCTTGACATTATACAGGACTTTATATAAAAGTTCGAAAAGACTGAATAATGTTAGCAGCCTGTGATAAAATGTGAGTGGTAAAAGATCTCAAACCTTCATTTTTTTATGACACAGTGTAAAAATCCTGATTCTCAAGTGAAATCATTTAATGGAAGGACTATTATCATTAATATTAAAAAAAAAATGTGATGAGCTGTCTTCAAAAAGCAAACAAGACCATCAGCAACAAGAACAACACTTGTTTTCATTGTAAGAGTGTAGATTCACACTAGAGCTTTAAATTTTAGATGCGTGTGGATGTGAACTCACCCTCCTGCTGGTGGTTAAGGATCATGTTCTTCAAAGTGTTGCAGTCCACGGTGGGCAGTCCGTTGTCTGTGTACGTACTCGGCCTGTAGTTAACATCCGACCTGGACCTGTTGTGTCCCTTCTTGAAAGCGGAGTTGGACGACGAGTTGGCGGCATTGTTGGTGCACTCTTTGGTGTGAGCTGCCAGGTCATTGGTGGATCGCGCTCTGCTCCTCTTCCCGTGCCTCAAGCCCATCCCCAGCCCCAGAACGCTGAAGTTGTCGGCCCACGCCAGACCAAGGGGCCCCACTTCTGGCTGCTCCCCGGCCAGCAGACCCCACACGCCGCTGGAGCTCAGCTTCCCCAGCGCCGCACTGGACACCTCCTGAAGCTGCTTAGGCGGCCTGGAAGGCTGGAGGTTCCCAGTTTGGGCCTGACTCGGACCTTGGCCTTGTATTCCATCCATGCAGTTGATGAAGTCCTCTGTGGCTTCAAGAGCTGGGCTGATATCGCCCACCATGTCCAGCTGTGCAAGACTCTCCATGGCTGGGCTTCCCCTGAGCTAGCTAGAAGTCTCACAGCTAAATGTTCCTCCAGAATGGGCACAAAATCCCTTTTAGCATCCACATATCCACAAAAAAAATACCTTTTCACATGCAAGTCTTTTGGTCTGTCCGGAAAAAAGGAAGACCCAAGCTGCCAGCAGGCCTCACAAAGTGCTGACTGTAGCAAAGTCGTGCTCTCCTTCTCAGGACACAGCCTTCATCCTGGGTTACAGTCTTACTTTTCAACGCCGTGCCTCTTGATCTGCAGGAAAAGTCAAATAACTCCCTGGGGAAAATTTCTGCAGCTTTATTCCAGAGCTGAACAAGACGTACGGCAGCCTGGGGCTCCCCGATTTCGAGCCAATTTGGCTGGCAAACTCAGTGACCTAGCCAGGAACACACAAGGTAAAAGGAAACAACAAAATCCCTTAGCTCAGACTGAAATATTCAGGTGCTGGAGACAAAGTCAGAGTCAACTTTATTATTCATGTTCGTTTTTTTACCGTCATGTGGCTGTGATGTCATCTGATAGACGCCATTTGTGGCTTCCCTGTAAGAGAGAAAGAGGAAACAGTAAAGAGGAAGCATGCAGAAGAAATACACAGAACGGAAACACAGCTGAGAGCAAGATGCTGTGATTCATCGAGACATCAGATCGACTCCTGTCCCAGACACTTGCTACAACCCCAAACCAAGGCTTCTGCAAAGTTAAAAGAGGTGAACAACTTTCAGCATCTCACTACCTACCCCCCGCAGCATCCTCATCACACTGAGACCAAAGCTCTTCTATCATCCTCTCTCACATGTCCTGATGAAATAATACTCGACTTCCTCTTCAAGGCTGCTTATCAGAGAGGAAGCCAGGCCTGGGTGGGGTTCCCATCCATCTGCCTGACTGCTCATCTCTCCTGATTCCCTCCACTCCACTCCTCTGTCTCTCTCTCTCTCTCTTTCTCTCTCTCTCCCTCCCAACCTCTCTCTGTCTCTTTCTTTCTCTTTCTCATTCCTGCTCTCTCACCCTCATTGATTTTTTCTCCTCCACAGCTCTGCCTCGTTCACTTTCCTCCACGTATGAATTATTTAAAGGCCATTACATCACTGCTGTCCAGTTCCAGCCAGGTGGGCCGATGAAGTGAATATTTACAGGTTTTAGCAATAATTTAAGAGGAAGCAAATGAGGGTGTTATTCTCTATCACCTCAATTTTCATTCTCTTTATGGATTCACAGTTTATTGACAGTAAACTGACAATTTATTAGACTATGTGTGCATTATGTTTCTGTATAGAGTCTACTTTTGCAGTGCACCAAGGACTTGAAAGTGCTGACCTGCTCAATATTTGCCTTTTTCACACTTTGACTCACAAGAACTTTATATTTAACGGTCAATTTTTACTGATCTAATCACTTAAGATGATTAACATAAAGCACTGAGGATAAAAAAAGAATTAAAGTTAGCTGACATTACTTCATTGGATGGGGAAACTGGTCAAAACCCCTCTAAATTGTAGTGAAATATGAAGTAAATAACGTACATTTTCCAGCAATTACAGGCATCTTTGGTTTCACCACCACCCCATGCATATCATTTACCAACATGTTCACCATGACATCATCTGCCTGCAGATGGAGTTACTCATCAAACTTTCCACCGAACTCCTGTTGACTCATCTACTACTGTGTCATTACAGCAAACATTACAACATTGATGATCAGTGATGGGGTAACACAAAATATTGATATGGCAATATACTGATGTCATGAGCTGATGATATATTGATATTTTTGTTGAATAAACACACTAGACAGAATTCTTGGCTTATTCACACACCACTACTCCAAGACTCCCCATGGTGGCCAAAGAAGAAGTTGACAGCTGCTTTAACACCAGAAGAAGACATCAAGATGATGAGAAATGTACTAGCCCCTTATTAAAGCAAAATTAGGAAATAAAGTAAGTTGGTGGTTGCAGAGCCCACAGAGGTCAAGTTCAATGTACTGGAAAAACTATTAATCTTTCTGCTCATCCATCAAGACAGCATGGTATCAGCATTGAACACCAAGCTACCAACCTCACAGCAACTGCAGGGCTAGCTGCTCTGCAAAACAGTCTCCAGCATCACCAAAGTCTTTTCAGGCATTGAGGCTAAAGTCAGAGATGTATTGACACACAGCAGAGTGTATGTTTTTTCTTTGTTTTCTGTGATAAATTTATTGGACTCATCGCTCGTCCTCTTCAGTTTGGATGTGTGTTACTCAATTTTTGTACGATTACAACTCCATGGCATAAATCATCCCAAATCTGGACAAACTGTTAAAGGGATATTCCGGCCTAAAATTAAGTTAGGGTCAAACACACTGTAACACCAAGTTAGACACCCCCTCAAGAGATGAATGTTGCCGACCACTTGCTTCTCTGGTTATACCAACTTTAGTAAAGGCCACAGATAGCAATACAGAGAGCCACGCGCTCAACCAAAACGCCACTCTATAGCCACAAATAATGCTCAGAACAGCACCTAACTTCATCAACAGTACATACCGGGTCCCAGCCATAGTACTAGCCACCAAACATCTTTTTAGCTTTGCCTGATTTCTTAAGCAAAGAGACTAAACACAACTCACCTACTCTATTCCAGTAGCCGCTTGTTTAGTAGCAAGACGTCAGCCGAGTCCATCGAGTGACGCAGCTCAAGGAAGAACATTTATGATCATTTCTTCATGGAAATGCAATCAGACAGAGACGCTAAGGCAGAAGAACTACCATGTCTGCAGTGCAAAATGATTAATATGGGGATTATTACAAGGAAATGATAAAGAAATTATCATTTGGCTGCTGGAAGAGAGTGGGTGAGATTTTTTTAGTCTCTTCGCTAAAGAAATCAGGCAAAGCTAAAAAGATGTTTGATGGCTAGTACTGTGGCTAGGACCCTATTTGTACTGTTGATTAAGTTAGGTGCTGTTTTGAGCATTATTTGTGGTTATAGAGTGGCGTTTTAGTTGAGCGCGTGGCTCTCTGTATAGCTATGTGCGGTCATTACTGAAGTCGGTATATCCCTTTAAACACAAAGTCAATTATACATAGCCTCATACAAACCAAACAATTGACCATAGCATAACTAGAAATTCTTCAGGAAGCTTTAAAATGTTCAGTCTTTGTTGGCATCAGTTGTACTCCTTTGACATATCTTATAACTTTCTCATCCCATGCTTTTTCTCAATATCACAGCTGGGGTCATGATGCTGCACTGAATAACAGCACTGCTGTCAATCGGTCCAAAAATAACAGCAGTGCTGATATTCAGCTTTACCACCTCCAGTGTGGCATTGCTTTGAAACCACCGTTTTACGAGCAGCACATAATAGCAACGCATAATAACCAAAAATAAAGTTTGATTTGTTGTCGCTTTATAGAAACCTCTCGTTTCACAGTTGAACTAAAGCTGGACTGTTGCTAAGCGACCCAAACGTTCTAGTCCGTTATTCTGTCTATCAGACCTCATGGACTGGCTCTGGTCCAATCAGATTGTTCGATTGGAACTAACGGTCCAGTTATCAAACTCAATACGTTCAGTAGTATCACACGATAAAAAAATAACTAGATTGAAGCCTCTGTGTGTTGTTTTTGTGGGGTGTTGAGTGTGTGTCTATATTTACAAACTGTTAAGTCAGCACCTCAGCAGTAAACACAAACAGAAGGTGAAGCCACGGTCAGTTCTTTAAATTGCTTCACTTCACAAATATGGAAGAAAACGCCCCAGTGCGACATAATCATGACAATATTCCTGTTTTACATGCTAACACAAACAGGTAATAAACTAGCTAACAGTAGCAGGCCCGTTTTCTCCCCGAGCTTCTATGATGTGAATCGGGGCTTGTTAGCTAACAGCTAACGCTAGCAGGTCTCCATCCTTGAACAATGTCACTTTTTAACAAAATACAAACTACAGCCCAACTCAAGTCTTAGCCATCATTTATCAAAGGATATGTCCTGGAGATATCATGTGGTAAAACTTGTACTGATCGTAAGCACTGAAAGAAAAATCGAGACTCACCTTTCAGTGTTTACCACTATGTCATTTTGATAGTCCGTCAACATTCAAGTCCCCCGAGTGCAACCGAGTCGACCACATAAAGGTTCCGCATGGCATTTGTACATGACGTGCAGTTTGTTTCACACATGAATCAGTCATCATGGGTTGCGGTTTAAAAAACATAGCCTTAAAAAACAAAAGTTAATATTATTTCAATGAACGACAGAACATATTTAGCTTATTCATGAATATGTAGGCTATTTAGCTATTGTCAAGACTCTCACCTCACGTTGTCTTATAAGTTTGCTTTTTTATCCTGATAACATAAGAAAATGTGATTTATTTTAGATGTTAATTAAATGTTTTTTTCCCCCGAAGAAAACTACAGTGGCCGAAAACTGCCACTGCTGCAAAAATAAAAAAGAATGCAAAAAAAAAGAAGTCACAACAGAAGTTACTGATGCAAAAATAAAAAAAAGGAAAAGAAAAGAAAAGAAACCAAAGCCAGCTGCAAATAAAAAAAGAAACGATGCTGATTAAAAATTTCAAAAAAAAGCCACAACAGAGGTTAACAACACAAAAAAAAAAAAAAATGGATGGAAAAAAAAAAGTTACTCACTACTCACTCAAGGATGCAAATAAAAAAGCCACAATGGAGGTGAGCTGCCAGGAACCAGTAATGATGATGCTCTGGTGTTAAACGATCTAGCCACAGAAGACGATGGTGAAAAGACAAGCAAAGAAATAAGTGCAAAGGTTATTGTTTGATTTTGCTTCGTGTGCTTTTCAATGTGTCATTTGCGTCGTTAACTTCTGTTCTGGCTTCTTTTTTCGCATTCTTTTTTATTTGCAGCAGTGGCGGTTCTCGGCCACCGTAGAAGACATAGAAGTGTAAACTTGCAAAGAAGCTGTTTGAATAATATGTGCACCAAAGAGTTTTGACTTGGGCATGAAATGATCATTTTAGTCATCAGTCTGTGATTTGGAAAATGGAATAAAAATCTTTTACACTGACTTCCTTTGTATTTTTCTGGTGTAGGAATCCAGCCATTTTGCCTCAATACTCTGAAAGTGTTGTATCATTTTTGTGTATGTTTTAGACTTGAGTCTTTCCCTTTCTTACTTGATGTATGGTTATTAGACGTCCAGTTTTTTTTAGACATAATTCCAACCGTCTAGATTCTGTAATTTTAGACGGAATTAAACGTTGCTCTTAAACCCATCCTTCGATAACTATTTATTTCGAAAAGCAACTGATAGCTGTTGAGCAGTATACAGTTAGACCTCTGTTGGCCAGCTAGTCTAACCTTGGTCTAAACTTAGACGTCTAAAAAACTTTCATTTTTAGACTTGCGGTAGCCTGATTTTAGACCAAGGCTACATCTTGACATCTATTAGACCTCTTTTAGAAAAAAAAAATGCTCAGTGGGTAGCTGTAATTATACAGATGGGTGGTTTAATCTTAAGCGAATCCTGTGAAGTTTTTACTTTATCCCAACACTCAACCATAATCTCTCATTTAAATGTTACATATGGGTCTGACAAGCTTTAGCATATATTTGGAATTGTAAATGTTTTCACGCCTGTTCAAAGAATTAGGGAAAAAACAGAATTCCCTAAAAGATACAATCAAGACCATATTTGACAGCAGGAGGTGGCATGTTTATTTAGTCTCTCAAAGAAAGGTCATGACACATCTTCACAGAAGGAGCTGACTAAGATGGGAAGAGGTCCAAGGAGAGGAGGGAGGACAAAGCAGGGAGAGAGAATAGTTTTCCCCTAATGGGCTGCTCAAAGCTGCTCCCAGCACCCTGTGTCAGCAGCAGTCCAATGGAGAAAGACTTCTTTCAGGGAGGACACAGTCATCTCCAACTTCTGAAATGAGTGGAATTTTTCACCAAAGTGCACTTGGTCAGAAAAGTACAGCAAATTAATGTTGTTTGATGAAATCAATGTCTGTTAAAATCTTTACAAAGTATTCTTCCAAGTTTGTCAATGAAGGTTTGTTGCTGAGACAAAAGTTTAGGGGGAACAAAATGTGCAACAATAGATGTGCAATATTTAAACATGGCAAAAGAGGTGTGCAAGGTTTTCATGTGTAATGATTCTATTGTATTGTATTCTCTTCTATTCTTTCCTTTCCATTCATTAGTCCATTTTTTTCTATTCTGTATCTTCTTTTCCATTCAACTCTACTGTGTTTTACATTCCATTTTAAGATAAGATATTCCTTTATTAGTTCCAAAGGGGCAGAACTCCAAATTTTGTATTGTACTGTACTGTATTGTGCTGCTCTATTTCATTTCTTCTCTTCATTTCCTCTCATTTCCATGAAATGCAAAAGACAAAAAATTGATTGCTATCTGAATCTGTTTTGTTCTTTTCATTCTTGTTTTCTGTTCTTTTCTACCACTACATTTTAACTCACCTTCCTCAATTCCCTTTAGTTTTTATCTACATGTGTCTGATATTTTGATTTCAAACTATTAGATGACATTTTTGATAATCAGCTCCTCCAGTCTTTAAGCTTGTGAATTTTTAAAAGAAATCCCCTCTAGCCCTCCTCTTTTCTCTGGTTGTTATTTGTCTGAATTTGGTTTCAAAAGGTCACCCTAAACAGGCTCTTATGTGTAACTCACTTTCTCTGCATTATTGAAGAACAATAGGCTAATATGTCTTTGGCACAAATTGTTTAAAAATAGTGCTCACCAGATTTCTTTTCCTCACAGTTTTTGAAACTTAACAGAGGCCGAAAGATAAATGCAGGAGAAGGCTATTCCTATACATTTTTTTGCATTTTATCCACCATAATATGTCAGAATTCAGCAGTATTTTTCAGCTTTCAGCTGACTTTTCCACACTGCTTTTGTAATTTGATTTGTCATGGTTTCAGATAAGGCATAAAAGGATTGGGCTATGATTTGAGTTTGTTTTGTTTGTTTTTGCAGCACTTAAGCTGCATCTGAGCTTCAGAAACCCTTTTAAGCTAAGTGCCTAAGCCTGGATATAGAGATTGATGCAACAAAAAAGCATCAACTTAAAGAATAAGACCATCTCTGTCCAGGCGGCTCCATCATTTCCCATCTAACAGCAATCTCCCATCCCTATTTCCTTGACTCATGCACTCAGGTCTTGTCTGTCCTGTCTGTTTCCGTCTTTATTTTGATAGACCATCTTCCAGTGATGACTAAATTATGATTAGATTTAAGGACGTGCAGTGCTTTCATCTGTCTAGTGCGTTGTTTAATATTGCCCCCCTAACCCCTCTCAAACCTCCACCCTGACCCCACAAACACACACGACACAATAGCCATCTACCTCCGCTCACTCACCCGCTATTGAAGAGCAGAGAGGCTGTTTGGTTCCCATGGAAACAACCTGTGTATACGTGAGTGTGTCTAGCAAATGTTTGTTCCTCACTGAGACTAAGTTGGGTACACACACACACACACACACACACACACATGCACACACACACACACACACACACACACACACACACACACACGCACACACACACACACACACACACACACACACACACACAAACACAGGCTAATTTCTGAGTATGCAAATATTGTGCTCTCCTCTGATGCAACACAATACGGCTAACGGCTGTATTATAGATCTTTATTTGAACAGAGAGGTTCAATAGCTGCAATAATTGAAACACTGACACAGCTAACACACAATTGCTTATGAGAAAGACACAGCTACTTTAGTTCTGGACCACAATAATACAAGTTATCAAAATCTTAAAACAGGTGCCCATATGTGCGTTTAAAACAAAAAAGAAAATGATAATTTGGTGTTTATTTGTTTTCTTTTGAATCTGTTTGTAGAATATTAAAAACCTAATATCTTTTGTGTTTTTCCAGCTTGGATGTACATAGGTGCTTTAAGTCAGGATCATTTTTAGGGCCCATGACTGACAGGGGCTGGTAACCATGAATCAAAAGTTTCATGTTCCCCTCTTAAATTCAACAGCAGATGTGTTGGCCAGTTTCTGTCATCAGGCATATCCATCTTGCAAAGTTTCAGGCAAAAAGATTAACAATACTAGCATCTTAGACTCAAGGAAATCAGCCAATTATCCATCTGGGATCAAATTAGTCTTGTATTCTTGGTGTCTTTTCACAAGAATATAGAGCATGCCTCTGAATTAAGAGAGAGGACGATTTGGAGTTACCATGATATCCTGTAGATAAGTAAATAAACCTGTATAAGAGGGCACGACAAGGAACCACATTGTTGTTGTCACAAACATAGATGGTTCTAGGTTCAAATCCCAGCAGGACTCTTCCATGTCAGAGCTAGAATGTTCTGGACTTTGCGAGTTATCATAATGCACTAGAAATTGAATAACCCTGAACAAGTAAGTCCCACATAGCAGGACATAACTATAGGGGTAGATACAAATGGGTCACAGCAAGTAGACTCTGAATTCGCATACCAGCAGGGGCCTTTGATGTCTCATGGAAAGTTTGTTCTGGGTTCATAACCAAGCAGGGGGGCTTCCTTGTGTGGCTAGAATGTTTAAGCTTTTTTTACACCTACAGTCCTGACCATGCTTTTGAATCACCACAATCTAGAAGAAGAAAATAAATCAGCTTAAACAAACAGGGCCTGCAATGAGACACCAGGGTGTGTAAAAAATGCTTTCTTCACACTATGGTCTGAGCCAAACTTTTGTACTACCTATGAAATATTGATTTGCAAATACCTAAAAAAGTGAGACTAACTTGTTGTGTAGTGGTGGTTTTTGTGATCAAATTAAATTTTCCAGGTAAAACAGGAACGAAATGCTTTCCTTATACTGCAGTCTGAGCTGTGGTTTGAACTACCGTAACCAAATGGTGAGATGACAAGACCAAAAAAATTAAGCACTACAGGTGGTGGAGCCCATTGTGACATTGTTCATAATTCCTGGTGAGATCCCTGAAAATGAATAAACAAAAAAACCCAAACAAAAGCAGTAAATCACTTAATTTTATTGTGCCATCCAGAAGATATTTGACATTACAACAGCAAATTCAGATCTATCTGTATTACGAGTTGACATGTGGGAGTGTATTTGGCACCTATTCAAAAGCACAATACCTATCTGTGTGTGTTGAACCCTGGCACCACACGTCTCATTCACACCTAATGATCGCAGCCCCTCACTGGCAGCCATCTCTTCTCCCAGACCAAATCCAATTACCGGGGACAATAGAAACCAGCTCCAGACTCAGGACTCCATCAGCTCCTCTGTGCCGCTGCTCTCTGCTCCGAGACTCCTGCTGGAGCCCTAATCATGTCGAGGGTCCACAAAGTACACCTGTATACACACAAAGATACACACAGAGGAAACTCAAAAACAAACGCATATCAAACACAAAAGCATACAAAAAATATATAATAATACAAATATGAAAAATAAATAAACAGATGTAACCAGTGAAACTCACACAGATACAGCTCTTTGCAAATGTAAGAAAATAATGTTATCATGTAAATAAAGTAAAAGTAAACAACAATAAATTAAATATGTTAGTCTATTCTTGCACAACACATTTATACAAAATATGAAACATTATATTCAGCTGAGTTTTGTGCACAGTTGCACACAAACATGCAAATGTTCACCACATAAATTCACGACAACTGTCCAGAAAAAACACAATATTCGCTCTAATGGCTCCACCTAGTGGCATAAATATAAAACACAATGATCATTAAATGGCAAAAATGAAATCAGTCATCTTCCCAACAAGCCTCACAAAAAGACAGGAAAGATGAGAAGATAAACAAAAGGACAATAAAACAGATGAAATAGAAAGGACAATTGAAAACAAAAATGCATTTCTTTGTGTATGAAAAAAACAGATATATCTATAACGCGAACCTGCCTTTGTCTTTACAAATATACTATCTATGAACAACAGGATGAATGAAGACACATTACTATGTCATATAAATACAAAGATCTCTGTCTCAAAGTTATCTACTATTTACGCAAGAGTTATAAAGTCTGATGGCTGTTGGTACAAAAGATCTTCTGAATCTTTCTGTCCTGCAGCGAAGACAGAGGAGCCGTCCACCACCATTGGCCCTTTGGTCCATCAAGGTGTTGTGAAGTGGGTGATCCGTGTTCTTTAGAATAGTCCCCACCTTCCTCAGTGTAGATCTCTCCACCACATCCCTCCACTGAGTCCAGCTTGAGTCCAACCCAGAGCCAGCCTTTTTTCATCAGTTTGTTAAGATGTCTTGCATCTTTGTGTTTAATGCTTCCTCCCCAGCAGACTGCAGCGTAGAAAAGCACACTTGCCACCACAGACTGATAAAACATCTGCAGCATCTTACCACATATGTCTATTGATCGGAGTCTTATCATGCAAAAGAGGCGGCTCTGCCCCTTTCTGTAGATGAAGAAAGGGGTAATATACGATAGGAAAACACCCTGATGGCAGATGTGATCAATGTGGGCAGGCTGAAACTGTCCAGCATGTGTTGATGGATTGTAGAGGATATGAGGAAGAAAGAAGGACACTGACAGCAACAGCAGAGGAAAGAAGGATGGCATTCAATATGGGGAACCTGATAGGAGCGGAGTCAGAAGTTACACGCAGGCATTTATTAGCACATTTGAAAGATACAGGGCAATTTTATTTTGTCTGCCAATTTCCTGTCCCACACTCCAGTCCAGTAGGTGGCAGTAATGTGCCTCTAAGTTGGTTTGCCAATCGCCAATAAACTCCATTGAAGAAGAAGAAGGACAACCACGTGACTCGGACGTTCGGGCAACATGGCGAGTACCGGTGGTATGACCGTTGATGGAGACCTGATGAGATATGCGGAGTACAGTCCAAAAACGAGCGTGAGGAGCGACGCAGAGGTAGACAGACAACTGGTGAGTGTCTGGTTTAATTCTGAAAACCAATATAGAGCGGGTTGAACCAAAGTTGGTTCGGTTTTCTGCTGAAGCGGTTGTTAGGTAACCGCAATGACCGCTAGGTAACGTCACTGCGTGCATTAGACAACTAACCTAACAGCTGTGAGATTAAATTATCAGTCTGTTTTTTACCTTTTTGTTTCTATATGGCATTTTCAACCACAGACTGAACTCCCAACTCAGCACACTGTACCGTGGTCTCTTAATATTAAACTCAACACATAACAGGGCTGACTGAAACCGACACAAACCCCTCATATGTCTCAGTTGAAGGACTAGCTCACTCCAGTGTCATAACTAATGTAGGACTGGATGATTTGGCCAAAAAGATGATCACGATATATTTTGTCATATTGTCCGATCTCGATTATTATCACGATTATTTTTAAACTGCCAGTTTTAAAGCATCTGTAATTAAAACTAAAAAATAAATAGATAAATACTTAATAAGACGTTAAATTGCTTTTCTTCTCAACAATAACGTCTTCGGAGGATGACTCAAAGTCATGGCTGACATCTATTTTACTGCCCTCAGCTCCACGTTCGGTTAATCTGTTTACTTGTCCAGCAACTTACAGAAGTGAGCAGGAAAAGTTCGACTCTGATTGGCTGTTGTGATGCACAGTTTCGCCAAGTTTGATCGAGTAAATAAGCTCACAGCTGATCACCGTGATCGGACTAAAATTAATCCCGATCATTAATCCCGATCATATGGGCCCAGTCCTAAACTAATGTTTTGTTTGGGTGACAGGGAAGGACTCTGATTGCAGTCGGTCTCGGTGTTGCTGCTGCAGGTTTTGCAGGTAAGAAAAAGATTTATATGTGATCATTAATTTGCAACAACAAATAAAGGTTTTCAGCATTTTTTGCCAAAGTCTTCTGAGTTTTCTCTTTACTGTTGGATTCACAGGCCGGTATGCATTCCAGCTGTGGAAGCCCCTTGGACAAGTCTTCTCAGACACTGTCAAGAAGATGCCAACATCAGTAAGTTTGCCAAATAACACAAACCCCCTAAACCACAGGTGTCAAACTCAAGGCCCGGGGGCCAAATCTGGCCCACAAGATCACAGCATATTTGTATTATTAGTGGCCCACCAGTATGAAGTCTGCACATTTCCTCCAGTATAATAATGTAAATTTAAGCACCATTATTGAAAATGTCCTTGATAAGCTGTGAAAATCTAGGAAATTAAAGAGTAAGGAAGATTTAATAAATAGTTAAGAATGTGGGGAAAAAAAAATATTTGGTGTTTTATTTCATGTTTCAAATTTTGCATTTCAAGATTACAAGTCAAACATAATTGGATTTTTTTATTGCATGCTTTTGTTCAACTCAGTATTTAGACTTGTGTCATTTTTATACTTGAGATTCCAAATTTAAATTTTTTCATACCTGATTTTAACGTTCTCCTCATGTATTTGCTCTTTAAAAGCATTATTTTTCCATGTTTAATATCATGCTCTGGTCTTTTTAACCAATAAATAAAAATAGAATTAAAAAATAAAACAAATGTTTCTATCTCAGATTGCCTTTAAACTTATCTTTTTATCTTTTTTGAATTTCCAAATGATTCATAATCATTGCTGTTTTTCTTTTGCATATTTTTTTAAAAGGAGGTTGACAGTTTTGGTAAAATGTTGACCCTGTTTGGCCCTCAGGTTAGACCTAAATCCAGATTATGGCCCTTACTGTGGTTGAGTTTGACACCTCTCCCCTAAACTTTGAAGATTCCTTGAATGGTACGACAAAAGCAACTGTACAATTGTACTTAACAAGCAAGTGTACTTAGACAGGTCTCATGCAGTAGAAAAACATCCGCACTGATACAAGAATGTATCCTGCTTTACTGTGTATTTCTGTTTTTTGTACCAACTGTGTATATTTTCTAGAGGCCGCTTGGAAAAGTTCAAACTACAGCCCACATTGTTTTTGTCTCCACAGGCTTTCTCTGCATATTATAAAGGAGGATTCGAGCAGAAAATGTCCAAACGAGAGGCCAGCCTTGTTCTTGGCATCAGGTAATATGTTGCATTGTAGTCTGCGTTATCTAAGGACAGCCTTGCAGAGTTTGATTTACCTCTCAGATGAACATGATCATTTTCTCACATGGACAAATTTTTATTTCCAGCCCCACAAGCACAAAAGCCAAAGTACGTGAGGCCCATCGGAGGATCATGGTCCTAAATCACCCAGATAAAGGTGAGCTTAAAACTTACATATACAAAAGTCTGATGCTTTGATGTAAACACAATGACTGTTTGTATTCATTGTTGATTATGGGCATTACTTTGCCTCAACTTAGAAGTAGCAGAGAAATACTTGAGTACAGTTATCAATAGATGAAGCATATTGTACCGTAAAATAGTTTAAAGGATGTGTATGTATCTTTGTGTCTCTGTTGAAGGTGGGTCACCGTACCTTGCAGCCAAGATCAATGAGGCTAAAGACCTTTTGGACAAAGAGTCCCGGCGATGACCTGCTCTGTAAACAAACTTCAAAGACTCCCATTGTCCAATTGTCTTGTGCATGATCTCGTATGTGTTCTGCTGCTCCAACAACATCAAGACCAAGGCATCCACTGAAGCTCCTGGAAGAGAGGTGGCAAGATTAAACCACAAGGAAGAATTTCTGACATGGCTACTGAACTTAGACCTCATTTATCATCAGATCATTGCTTTGAAATTACTGACCATTGTTGAAAATATTAGTTAAGCAATATATTTGAGGGTAGTTACTCTGCATTGGAAATAACCTTTTTAGATGTAAAAACTGAGGCCAGAGTTAGAGTACCTTAATGCTAATGTCCAGTAGGGGGCACCTCTACCTTTTGTGAATTCAAGTCAGATTGCAGAGAATATTTTGAGAAAAGGGGCCCACGTTTAATTCAAAACAACTTTAATTTTATGTACTCCCAGAATGAAAGTGCAGCAACTGATCACCTGTTAAATATGGTCAATATGGTAGAATCAAACTACAGCGATGAAGTTTAGGAACTTCAAAACAGTAAAGACCACAGCAGCCGAAATCATCTCTGTTAGACCAACTTTTCTCCATCTGTGTTTAAAGATTTAATGATGAAGGTACAAATCTTGATGTAAAAGGTGCTTGGGAACAATATTATCTATTTAAGGAACTATAGAATAATAAATTTAAACTGTTATATTTAAAAAGAGAATGGTGGAGATGTGAAACTTTTTAAAATAAGTATTAAAAACATGTACAGTAGTTGTTTGTGTGTGCTTTCAATCTTTTTGGAATGTTATCATGGATTTAATAAACTGTTAAACTGTCAACAAATACTAAAATCGACCTCAGAGGAACTTCAAAAGCTTCTTTATTCAGAGGATGATGTCATTAGACAGAGGGGGAAGTATGCAAGACACAGTATTTAGCGGTTATACTTACAGCAGCAGTTATTGGTCAGAAATGGCAACCAATTACAGCGAGGTTTGTTTGTAAAAACTCCAAATAAATACAAAAGCAAACATCCGTTCAGACGGTGCTTAGCCGGCAAATGACCACAAATCTGTGTACCAAATCTTGACTGATCCTCAGCCTTACCGATCTAGACCGTAAATATTACAGCAGGAGGTTTGCTTGAGAGCACCAGAGTGGATTAAGCCTTGAAAGATGGATCCATTACTGTATATTTCCCAAAACTTTCATTTAAAATTGTCAAATCATTGGTCTTTAGTTCAACTGAGATTAAAATATATGGTGCTAATAAGCCACTCACCTCCCTTTAGTTTCTGATTTTTTTGTCAAATTAAACAGCAAACAGGCAGAAAATGCTTCCGGTGAAAAGCGTGCAGTTGCTCTGAGGCACTTGAGAACCCTGAAGACAAATCGTAAAAGTTTTGAATCCAAAGATTTTTACTCCAGTTGCACAATTTCAACGAGACCTCAAAATGGAAATTAAGGTTTTGTTCAAATCGCCAAAACCTGAAGTTACAAGTATCTCAAAGATCTCAGTAAAAGCTAGAGTCTGAGTCCATAAGGTAAGGATAAACTTGGCTTCAAGGTGCTAATTTACACTAAATTTGAGCAGAAATTATTACATTATGGGTCAGAAATAGTCTTTTACCCTATGATACCACAAATGTCTGAGTAAACTTGGTGCTTCCTGTGTCACTATTTACTCTTCAGTAGGCTTCAGTTTTGGATCCCTCTGTTGGCGCTGTGACTTGACTGGGTTATTATCTGTGTGGGCAGGCACTTTAACACTTCGCTGAATCATTATTTTAGTTTGAAGATGACTCTTAGTAAGGTTTGCCACAGTACAGTTTACACTCAGTGCAATGTTTGTTACTCGAATCTCGGGATGTGGAGGTTGCGCGGTTTCCACAGTCTGGTCATTTGCCCTCAGCACATTCAGACCCCCCACAAGAGTCTTTTGTATGACGCGGTTTGGACACGGCGGTCCAGATGTTATGAAAGAAAAGCCACAGGAAGTCAAATGAGGCACTGACAGAAACCTTATTAGGTTAGCATGTTAGCACCATGAAAGCTCTGCTCACTAAGTAAGCAAATGGCATGCTGGGAACAATGAGGTGATGTTAGGAGATATAAGGAGTATCTTATATAAACTGTTTAAGTTCGATTGATCATCTTCATCAGAGCATCCAAAGACGTTAATATTAATAATTCCAGTAAATACTTCCAGTATTTTACATCTGTTTCCCGTTAGAGTGCTTGATGGCAAATAAAAACAGTTTTTCCAGAGCGAACGTTGTACTAGCTTTGACAGTTTCTGCTGAGCGAGGACTGAAGGAAGAGAAACCTCGTCCATGTTTACTCTCTTTCAGAAAAGGTAAGCAGCCAGGTTGATGGAGAAAGAAGTCCTGATGTAAACAAGTACTTTCACTACAGATGGACTTCCTGCTGCATTACCACAGGGAGGAGATATCAGAGGCTTTATAAGATATTAAGAAGCAGCCCTTCGCTTACGAACTCCATTAAGGCTGCCCGGTTTAACGTCTTCAGTGATCCATTAGCAGTCCTGTTTGGCTCTCTCCAAGTCTTCATCTTGCTCCACCTCCTCTTCTTCCTCCTCGTCTTGCTCCTCTTTCTCACTCAGTTCCTCTCCAATCACGTCAAGCCGTGACTCCTGCCCGTTGAGTAGCTCTTCCTCCTCATCCTCGTCATGAAGCCTCGCTTCCTGCAGCTGCAGCCGACGTTCCTCAACCAGTAGGAGGCGCTCTCTGACGCTCTCTGCTGCCGCTGCTGTATCACTGGGGGTCCCGAAGTATTGCTCGCTCCTAAAATGAAAGAGGTTTGCATCAAAATGAGTTTGTTTGTGTATTCTTGCATATATCACAATGTGGAGACGACCAAAAGACTGACGCGATCAGAGCCCAAGTGTTTGACACAGCTAAACATTTAGCACTTAAAAAGCCAGGGGTTAATGGTGACCAGACATTTAGGTAAAACCATAGACTGTATATAGAATGGACACCGTCTGCCTCCTTGCTGGGTGAAGCCACTCCGAGAACAGCACACCCTGGTGACAGGCTGCAGTATAGGTCATAAATCCTGCCTCCGCCAGCCATCCTTAGAAATTTATTACACAGAATATAATTTTTTCACCTCCCTGATTGCGATGTTGACATGTAGTTTAAGACTGGTTTGTGCTCAAGTCCTCTTTTTTTTCTGTACAACTCAATTTTTAAAAGTTATTAGGGGGTTCATGTTTTCTACGATTGACACCTGATACAGCCTATGGGCACACGGAGATTGTGTAGCCCACCCGGGGGATATGCTGTTGGAGCCGAAAGTGTACAATGCTACTGCACATTGTTGGTTTCAGGAAATGGAGAAAAATCGCAGAAATACAGAGAGCTTTTCAGCTTCGAATCCTTATACTTGCAGAAGGCGGAACCAAGTTGTCCAAAGTAAATACAGTCTATGGGTAAAACAGTGAATCCTGGGTTTTAAATGGCAGGTTGCCTAAAAATGACGACCTGGTAATAACAAGCAGTAGCTGCCTAAATGTGTGTATGTGCGTGTTAATGTACCCGTCTGGGAAGATGACAGGCATGGTCAGTCTGTCAAGCAGAATTTTCCCTGAAGAGTCGACTTCATCCAGAGACTCTGGATCTACACATTCTTGCTGTAACACCTGAAACAAACAGAGGACACAATTCCTGAAGGCTGTAATAGTGTGAAAAGGTCATAAAATATAGATAAATTAGTCTAACATTAGGATGATTATTATTAGCGTGTCTATCCTGATCTTAGCCACACTGTCCTGCTGCTATGACACCTGTCTTTTAACTGTGAAGTCTCTTCAAGTCGGCCTTACCCGCTCAGCAGCAGTGTGAAAGTTCAGAGCCAGCTCCAGTCTCTGTTGTCTCTCCTCAGCGCTGACGCTGAACTGTTTCCAGACTCGGTTGAGTCTCGGAAGAGTGTCACCAGATGAACGTGTCGTACAGCGCAGAGACTGACAGAGGACAACAGTCGCCTGCAGCAGCTGGCGGCCGTAATCATAGGTGCTCTGAACAGGGAAAGAATATGAAGACATTTATTACTTTGGGTTAGTCTGATTAACATAAACAGTAGATCATAACAAATGGAGAACAAATGTCTCACCTGAGCGACATCCACAAATTTCCTGTGTTTGTCCAACAAGGTCCTGTTCTCTTGAGAGTCTTCGCCTAGCCTGACGTGAGTTTTCAACAAGGCGTCCATCAGCTCTCCAAGCCACTCCACTGCCTGGAAACACACCAGCCACCATTAATACAAAACAATACAATCCCAACACAAGAAGCGCAGTTGTGTGCATGTCTCTGTGTGTTTTGCTGTACCTGCAAAGCGTCTTCTTCACATTTGAAAAGTTGGACCATCTGCAGCATCTTCAGCCTTCTTACATCCACCATGTCCTCGCACCTGCAACCCATACACATGCTGGTATAAGGGCACAATTTACAGGCCTCACTGATAATTTAACTTGCTGCTACTGCCCCCCAGAGGCTGCAGTATTAATTACAGCATTTAGATGATTTGTATTCCTTAAAATCACAGTTGGACTGCAGCTAAAAATGTGAAGTTCTGTGACCTCTGCTTGCGTAGCTGCATCTCCTCCATCACAGCCTGAACATGTTGAACGTTGTCCTGCTGCTCTCCAGCCGGACTCTCCGTTTCCTCCAGAGCCCACGTCGGCTGGGTGCACACCTGCTCCATTAACATCGCCCCCTTCTGTCGCAGTGATGACAGGCCTGCCTCTGCAAGAAGGAAGAGATGATTATATCACAAAGTCACCAGCTGCTCATGTGTCACTGCTTTAATATAGCCGTTAATCCTATGTCAGTGACACAAAATATGTTAGAGATCATCTTTTTTACGAACCGACAGTCTGCAGCTTCTCCTCCAATAGCTTGAGGTTCTGTTGAATTGAGGCGCCGTCAGCTGGAGCTACGTCAGCGCAGAGCATGCCCAGTAGACCGTCCAGCTGCTGGGACAACTATGGAGAAAGACACAGAACTTTGAATAATCAGAATTTATTACCTCTGCACTTTCATTTTCTTGCATTTTGACTCTGGAAAAGCTGTCTAATTCCTTCTTTTGATGCTCACAGACTGCAGTGTCCCTCTTCCTAGAGTCTGTAAGCTAAAATAGGGTAGATGCATCCTGGACCTACTTCAGAGATGAGCCCAGATGAAACTAAAAACAACCCTGGAGGTTTTTCTTTGAACACAGGGCTCTTTCAAGTGTAAACATAAAAAACAACAGCTGACATAAAGTGTGTGTCACGAGTGTTCCTGTATGTCTGTGTGTTGGTTTAAGTGTGTTACCTCCTGGGTGGTGCCGTGGAAACCGTGTGCCGCCTGCAGGACGTTCTGTCGACCCTCCAGCTGAGCCGCCTGCCTGTAGCAGACGTCGCTCAGCTGCTGCTGCAGAGCCTTCAGCTCCACCACTTCTTCCTCCTCGCTGGCACTGAGCAAGGCAGCGATCTGCTGGTTCAACTCCACATACACTGCAAACCACTCCTGCACACACACACAAGTACAGAGAATCAGCAGTGTGCTCACAGTAACACAATAAAAACTTCTACTTACTATTTTGAAGGGAAACTTAAGAAAACTCCATGATTACAATGAGTGTGTGTGAGCATGTGGTTGTGTTGCCTTACGCTGTGTTGGCTCTCGATCTCCTCGTGTTTCTGCTGCAGGGCCTGAGCTGCTCGCATCGAGTCTCCTATCTCCTGCTGAGTCTTCAGTAGCTCTGAGCCTGGACCCTGCAGCCAAGTGACCACCTGAAACAACAAGAAAGAGAAAAATACAGACTTTCTTTAAATGCTAAAAGAAAGAGGTGGGAGGTCCTGGTTGTAGGAAAGACATCTGTTGTACGCAGCATCATCAAATTACAAACTTCACAATGTGCTCTGCAGGCGTGGGCCAGAAGCTGCAGTCAGTTCAGTGACAGTGAGGGGGTGAGCTCATTAACAGGACTTTAAATTTAAACTCAAATCTAATAAAGTTGTTTAAACTTGTTCTGTCTTGTGACTCCTGTGAATGCTCCTCAGAGACACACTGTGGTTTGTGTCACTCTCTCATTCCCTGTATTGCAGTTCTGCAGGGCAGCCAGCAGGGGGCTCTCAGGGTCTATGTCACACTCCATCAAACACGTTCAACGCTCCCCTGATGTTTTCTTTTTCTCCCTCATTCTGCTTGTCTGACAGATTTTTTTACATGATACATTACAGCCAGAACAGATAGGGAAAGTACAGAAAGAAACTGATATCCAACAGCTATTGCACATGAGTGGGGGGAATTATTCCAGTCACACAAAATTTATAAAAGTATCATTCAGTGTGTTGGATTGAATTTTACTTTGACACTGAACTAAGTTGGAGGAGACAAGAATAAACATTCTTAAGGTATCAATCAGAAATCTCAATTTTTTTTAATCTGCTCTTTGACTTCAAAATAACTCTGTGACTCTTGCTGCCCTCTGAATCAATTTAATCAACCTCGTGACAAAGTTAAAGGAATATTCCGGCGTAAAATTAAGTTAGGGTCAAACACACCATAACACCGAGTCAGCAACCCTGTTGAGAGATGAATGTTGCCGACGGCTTGCTTCTCTAGTTATAACAACTTAGTAACGATCGCAGATAGCAATACAGAGAGCTCAACCAAAGTGCCACTCTATAGCCACAAATAAAGCTCAGAACAGCACCTAACTTCATCAACAGTACATATAGGGTCTCAGCCATAGTACTAGTCATCAAACATCTTTTTAACTTTTCCTGATTTCTTGTTTCACACAACTCACCCTCTCTCTCAGCAGGCGCTTATTTGTATGGAGACCTCCGGGCAAGTCCATCGACTGCAGTGGGGTGACGCAGCTCAAGGAAGAACATTTATGATTATTTCTTCATCATTTCCTTGAAGTTATAATCACCATATTAATCATTTTGCACTGCAGACACGGTAGTTCTTCTGCCTTAGTGTCTCAGTCTGATTGCATTTCCATAAAAAATTATCATAAATGTTCTTCCTTGAGCTGCGTAAAGTAGGAAAGTGGAAAGGAGAATGGCATGCAGTGAAAGGTTGTATGATTTATTACAATTAGGCTAAACTGGTGCCCCTATATGTTTTTTTTTTCTATACTATTAAGGATAAACAATATTAAAACAAGATCTTGAATGTAGTTCAGCAGTGCTTACATAGATGCTATGTAAACAAGTACATGTATATAAATAGAAATAGGCCAACTATCACAAGATAGAGTCAGAGACTGTAATTATGATGTGAGTTGTTCATGTATGCTAATATCTACAATAATAAATAGACTGAGTATATTACATGATAAGGAGATATCATCTGAAGCCGTCTTCCAGATGTGTGTCAGTATTATGATTTAATTGTATTTATCAGGTCAGCGATGCCTCAAAGAGCTGACACACACACACACACACACACACACACACACACACACACAGTTCGATCCAGAACTAGGCCAACACCCCCCACCTCAAATCCTCCAGGCAAGCGACCGACATGTTTCAGTTACTATGGAAACCCCAGGCCCGTCTCCAAGACGGTGGTGCAGCCCATAAGCCCCCCCCCAAAGCTGAAAGAACAGCATTAACCACAGAGGAGTCTACTTCTAATGAAGTGCAGTGAAGCATCTCACTGACTCACTGCTATGAGGGTCAAAGGTCAAAGATATAACGATTAAGTCATCGGGACACGAGGCTGAAAGTAGAGTGAGGCTGATGCTGTGGAAGAGTAATGTAAATGAAGAGTTGTGAGTGTCTTATGGATGCGTTCATTTGTATTCTTTGTGGACATGTACTACAGTTGAACAGGGTGTAGTGAGAGCAGTAAACATGATCAAAATTAAAATTCAACATACTGCAGACACATGTTTCTACAAAGGGCTCCTAAAAACTAACACCAAAATGTCTTTCACACAAATATCTCTTATATCAAACAACCAACAAACAGAGTTTAAAACAACAAGGTCTTTTAGTCAAACTGCACTTTAAAGAACAAAAAATCCATATCCACACTACGACTTATTTCCTGTCATGATGATAGCAAATTTTCAGCAAACATTTGATTCAAGTTTATCAACTGCAACCTGTTTTAAATGCAGGTGAAACTAAACTTGTGTGTTTTACATCTTAAAGAGCGGTGAAAACAGGCCCATCAGGAAATACTGTTTGTGAAGACAGGTGGGAAATTCAGTTGGTATCTACTTAAAAACATTTAGGGTTTCACACTGACAACAGTTTGTCTTTTAAGGTTTCACTCTGTTCAGAAAAAAGTCCAGATTTTCAGTTTATGTGACAAAATAAATAAGTGGAGTCGACCTTTTTACCCATTTTTGATTATGGTGATGTGTTGTACATGAGTGCTTCAGCTTAAAGTCCTCAGCCTCAACGTCGTGCATTAATGGTGCATTGACAAGTTGTGATTTTTCACCCATCATTGCACTTTATATTCCAAAGTCAACTGGACTGGTCACTGGTTTATCTTTATTCATAAAGCCATTCTGGGCAGAATACTGGATTACCTCTCCTCACTTTTAACCCTGGAGGATGGATTGAGCAATATGTTGTTCCCAAAGTCTGAACTGAGTTAAGGAAGGAGGCTTTTGGGTATTTTGCAACATTTTCTGGAACAATCTACAGACGGATTAAACTACAAAACCAAGTCAGCCTGAATGTATTTATTTGTTAAATGTCTCAAAGTCCAGGCTCCCAGTGTGCCCGTGTCTAGGTTAACTTCTATAACAGACTCCTTTAGTCGTGCTGGATAAGTGTGATTGTTTTGTTGTTGAAACCTTGTGTTGCTGCCGCTCTAAAGTTGGATAAAAAAATCAAAACTATTCTCAATCTCAATCAAGTTTTGCTCATCAAGATTTATTCCAGTAAATTAACAATCTGGGATCCAATACTTCCTCATTTACTGATGGAGAAAGTGTGCAACAACAACAACAACTCTGTGAGTGTGCGTGTTAATGTATTACCTGCATGACCTTGGCGTGGATCTCATCTAGCTGAGTGCGTTTGTTCCTCTGCCTGCAGAGCTCCTGGTATTTGGTGTACTGCTCCCTGAGTGAGTCCAGCAGCTTCATCACCTGAGGCTGAGCCAGCAGCTCCTCCTCCATGGGGCACCAGGCTGGACCTGAAGGTCAGGAGTCAAAGAGAGTTCAAGTAGAAGATCAATAGAGTCCAGGAAGCTACCTTTACTTTGAGTGAAGTAGTAATAGTAGCACCATATGAACCATTCTGGCAACACTGAAGAAACTTTGCAAACATGTTCATAGTGGAATTTTTTTTTTTACACATTTGGAGAATTTCTCAAGTGTTTGCAGAACTTTTTGATAGAGATTTAAATGTCTACCTCATGAAAAGCATAAATCATATGGACTAATGCGTGCAAACATGAACATTACAGTCGTATGTGATGGCTCAACATGTCGTTCTGAAACCATACGCATTAATCTGCTCCTGCAAAACCCTCTCTCTCCTGCTTTTAGGCTGTACAGCAGATTTTGGAACATGGCTGCAGGGATTTGCTCCCATTCAGCCAAAACAGTATTACTGAGGCCCAACACTGACGATGTCTGATAGGTCTGGCTCACAATCAGCATTCCACTTCATCCCAAAGTGTAAAATGGGGCTGATCTAAAGTTACGGTCAGGAGGGTCAAGCTCTCCGTTACAAAAAGGGGATTACAAAAAATAACAACACAGATAATCTGACATGAGCCATCACACTGCAAAAATATAAAACACTTAGAGTTTCAGAAGTTCTGTGGCATTGAGTGGACTTGACCATGCCTCTTAGTTACAGTTGCTATGGGCCCTTTCTGAGTGTTCTGATGGCTATATTAACAAAACGGTCATTTTCCTCTGGTGTAGAAAACGGTTGTATGCCTGTATTCAAAATTTAATCAACAAAAGGAGCTGAAATAACTGTATAATAAGAGCTAGATACCTGACAATACGTAATTTTTATAACTGCTTGATAAATATCTGAACAGACAAGCAGTAGTGAAAATCTGGAGGGAAATTTATCCATATTCAGAGGTCAAAAATCATGTTCAGCATATTTGTTTAAAGCATAAACTTTGTAACTAAGAAATGAGGAATTTCCTATCATCACTACAAATGGTGATAGTAGTTGTCAAATATTTCTGAATCAAATATAAAAATATTGTTTGTGGGGTTAGCAGCTAATTTTGGCCATATGAAAATCTGGAAAAAATTGTCACTGACTTTTTGTTTTTCAGTTTCAAACCAATTGGAAGAAGTGAATTCTTGTCAGAAACCCTTGAAAACTTGTTACACAGCGATTCAACATTAAAACCACATTGTAGCTTCTCACCCAGAGCATAAAGACAGGAACATGGATTTTTGTTCACGAGTCTTTTTCATTATATAGTACACTTTGACTTAAGCTCAAAATCTTAACCCCTTTTGTTTGAGTCTTATAACCATGACACACATTCTCCGTATCATTACATCTTGTACCCAGCTGTGCTGAAAACTTGACTCTGATTGGTCGAAACCCGCTAACAACACAGATGGATTCTGAACAGAAAAAGCACCAGAGACAGCCTGAGCACACGGGTCACATCAAACCAGTCTGAGTGAGTCCAGCACATTTAACCTCTGCCTGTTGACACTGTGGCAAAAACGATTAATCTCAATTAAAACATATTTGTTTGTGTCAGACCAGTTTTCATTGTTCAGAAGTAGTGACAGTTTTAAGGCACAGATGTGAGAGCAGCCTGGGAAGCTACTGAGCCATACTGTACTGTAATTAACATCAGCTTATAATACACTATCCCATACCATCACATAAATATAATTTTAATCTCAAATCATGAATATACATCTCAAGATTTAGACTTATTATCACTCAATTTGCATCATAACTTAGAATTATGACTTATGGCTCCATAATTTTGAAAACTTTTCATTTTTTTCCAACGGTCAGAAATGAGCCAGCTGTTAGTCTTTACATTATGGTAGGATTCGTAAAAATGTTCAAATTTATTCTCATATAATGACGTATGGTTTTTAACCTTACTCTTATTTTTCACTTCTCTTGTAGATGGGAAAAGACTTTCCCTGTGCGGGCTAATTGATGAGTTTGGTAAACATTAATCCCGTCTCAGGTAACAACATTGCCTGGGGTTGCTTGAGTGTAAGCTTCCCAAAATCCAATAAAGAGCTCGACAGAGTCAATAACATTAGCTTGGTGTCTGATAGCAGCGAGCAGGACAAGCTTCTACAGAGGGGGAATATTACACAGAGAGTGTGCTGGGTTGTTTCTGTCTTCTGGGAATCTAAAGTTGCGCAGCTTGGTGAAAAATTACAAGGACAGAGAGGATGTAAGAGAGGTCTGAGCCACTGTTCAGTGTGCCCTCTCACTCTACTTCACACTGTAGTGCCATGTGTAGTACTCTTGAATGGCTGAATAGCTGCAGTCAGCTGCGCATGTCGAACAAAAAAACGGCTTAAAGAGAGAAAATCACACAAAAAAATACATATTCATTCATGCAGCTCTACAAAGCTGCATATTTATCCCAGCCAGACAAGCAGAGTTACACCTAGTTGAAGCTGCTTCCTCACCTCCCTGTCCTCCACCGCCTCCCTCTGAGCCGTTAAAACGACGCTGCTGCAGCTCCGACAGCAGCTCATGACCTGCAGACAGAGAGAGAGACAGAAGGGGTGGCTCGAGATTTAAAAGCCTGTTATAAAAGCATCTGAAACAATAACACACCAGTGTTGGTGTACACCATGTTACATTATGAAAGGAGCTGGTAGAGGGAGGAGGGTGGTACCGCAAACAAAGACTCCTTTCACCTCTGCCTGACACTCAGACACAGGCTGCTCAGTACAGTTAACACAACCATCCATCATTCATCCTGCTTTAGTGTCTATTTAGCTCCAGGTCTCGTAGACAGCAGACTGAGTACCAAAGACCTCCTTAGCTGTAGGTCAGGGTGAGCCCAGATAAATACCCTGCTAAGAAACCTTAATGGTTACTGGGATCCACAGTCACAGCTTTGAAATCACTACCCAGAGCTCATGGCCAGAAATGATAAGTAAAGGAGATTAAAGCACAGGAGGTGTGCACAAAGTGAAAGTGCAGGTGAGTTCAACATTAGGAGCTGGATGAGTTACTGTTCAAATAAAGTGAGTTCTTTTTAAAGCTCTTTTGAACTGAGCTGTGAGGGAAAAAACATCCTTATTCCTGAGTCGAACCTCCTTTACAATGTAAAATCAGCACATCAAAATAATAGTAACCAGACCCAGTTTTAAAGGTCTCTCCTAATGCACTCTTAATTAATAAAGTCACTCATTTAAAAAAAAATTCAAGATAAATGTATAGTTCAACATTTGACAGAAATTAGCTGAATTTCAAAGTTCTGGGCTGGTAAGTTTAAGTTTTTCTGTTGCATTGTTGTGGAGGAACAGTTCCTTATAGATGATATTGGTATAAAAGCAGGCGGTGAGGTAATAATAAATGATATTTACCGGTCTGAAGAACAGTTTCAGGGTCAAAGGAAGGCAGAAGAGCACAGTCAGCTGATCTGCAGAAGGAAGACAGACATTCATTACTATGCATACAATTACAAGGGAAGGAGCTTTGAGTGGTTTCGCCCTGATAATTGAAACTTACACCTTCCAAAAAAGGCAAAAAGGTTAAGGTGCATCATTAGCTTTTATTATTATTATGGTTTGCATTTGTTCTCATATGGGAAATAATGTTAGCAAATTGATGGTACCACCTTTATTATTATTATTATTATTATTTCCACATTTGGCTCCCTGCCTTTGCTTGTGACTTACATTTTTAACAGTAATAAATAACTGAAATGTCTTGTCAGACTGGTAAGCAATGAAAAAACTAAATCTGAAGAATGGCACACTTTATACTATTGTGTGTGTGTGTGCACATACTTCTCCTTGTCCACTGAGCTGCTCTTATCACTCTCATTGATAATCGAGAGCTCGTCCAGGAGTGATGTTGACTCCTTTGTAAACTTCTCAAAAACCTGCAAAGAACAACATACAAATAAACTCCTTCAGACCTGGTTTGGGTGGATTATCAAAGCAACACAAACATTTCTGAACATTAGTGCCATGAGGAATGAGAAACATGAACCACACCAGTCTCTTGTTGAGCCAGTCACTGTGGTCGTAGTCCAGACTTCCTCCAAAATCATCCGTCAGCTGGCAGGGTTCAATATAACGAGTCAGTTTATTAGCCGACACGAGGATAACCTGACAGGAAACATAGAAATGAATAAGTAAAAGAGATGTTAATAAATAAAACACTAAAAACTGGTTATAGTCATCCATGGTTGGATTATTTCAGCCTGGTGTTAAAAACTCATTTGGAGTTTTATTTACGACAGTTATTGCTCCTTTTATTGCTCCCACGCATCTGTTCCATCCCTTCATTAATACTTCATTAATTGCCTCATGGATTTATCATGCCAAATTAGTTGTGAGCTGTTACTTCATTATCTATCTCAATGAGGCAGTTGGGATGTTCACTGTAATAAAAAAATCGCTGTCTCCACAAAATTCTCCAGAACCCCCGATGGGGGAGCTATGAAGAGCCACGTTATGGTAAACCATGTGATCATTACGGTTCCGACACGTTCGCTGTGAATCCCTGCTCTTTGTTGACTCAGTATTCAAGGAAAGGCATTATGGGTAGGCATAATTATAGTCTATGAAGTGGAAAAGCTCAGGAAGGGTTCCTCTGTGTAATGACCCGGAGGCGTTTAAGTGGCAGTCATGTCGGAAACACTGGAACAGAAATAACAGGAGGTAATTTCCAACCTAAGAACCGGGTGTTCGCAATATTTAAAAGAACTACTCCATTTAGCTATCAGTGGAAAACAGTCATCAATATGGCTGACAAAAGGCACTCATCAGAGAAAACACAGTTGTCTATCTTTAAAAGAAAATCAGACAGGAAATGCTCTGATCAGACATTTTTAATTGTAGGTTAAAAACCTTTTTAATGGGATTCACTTTTATGCAAGAGGGTGAACAAGAGGGTGAGAGTTAACAGCTGTTCTCAGTGTTGCCTGTGAAGAAAGCGAGCAGAGTGTAAACACACTATTCAATACTTTAATAAGAAGATAGGAGAGAAGTGCATTAAAAATAAAAAGTATATAAGCTGTAGTTTACGCTTGTATCTGCTCATTTGAAACGTCTCTGTAAAAATGCAAATAAATCTTTTTTCAACCCTGTTTCAGCTAGATGTGCCTCATCTAGCTGCTTCAAAATGACGTAAAAGCAAGACCTCAACACTGGATTATTAAGTTCCTCTATCACAAGTCTTTCCTCTAGGCTATTTCTTAAGTTATTTTTATACCCGAGTACTGATCCTGAGTTATATCCCTAGCATCCCATCAAAATCAACCTGAAGCGATGCGAGTTCCTCGATCACAACAAACCCCTCTTTTAGCTTCACAGAGTTCCTGTGACTCTCATGAGAGCTTATCTGAGGGTTAAGGAAAGTTTGTCTGTGCGGAAAAGCTTAACATATTTAACGGAAACGCAGCAAGATCTGTCTTCTACTCTCAATCTTTTCATACTGCATGTGTGTAAAATAAGCTTTACAAATAAACCTGCCGGGTGAGGCAGCTGGTGGTGAGTGTGTCCTCCAGTTGTCCCTTCAGCAGATGATAATGACATAGGACCTTAACTCAACTCTGTCCGTGTGGGTTTATTTAAATGTTAGGCCAGGCTCTGGAGCAGCTGGAGGACACACACCCTCCTGTGACATCCACACACAAACTCCATAGTTAAGATGAGTCACATTTCAACACCGTCACTGGAATCCCCCCTCCAACAGCTGTGTGTGTTCAGAGAGTGTAGGTGTCTGAAGAATGAGGGAAATAGCACCCCGGGAGATTTAATCTGCCACACTTAAACCAGAGTTACAATCAGGAATGTGATACGCATCGAGCAAAATTAGCAAGAATACCACAAATGCCTTATCATGTCATATTTTGACGAATGTGGTAGGTCATCAGCTGCTTATTGAAATACAATATGAGAGTCATGATATTCTGGATGAATCTGGACTACTTACTTCCCTGTACATTCAGCAGCACACCTCTCCATTTAAATCTGTTCAGCTTTTAAATCTTCGTCTTGCTCAATTAACAATTAACACTCAAACGTCGGGGGTTCCTTGAACGCACCACCAAGGACACTCTCCCCACCAGTCTCTGCCCTCAGCACACAATCACAACCCCATTATACCCGACAAAAGTCGTCTCAACATTAACTATGATTGGATTATCTATCTGCAGCAACTTTCAACAGACCCACCAACTTGCTCCCGTTACCGTGGCAACAATTGTAGAGCCAACATGGCTGTTAAAAATCTGGGTCACAGTGACTACTGATCTCTGCCGGTAAAACCATCTGTTATAATAGAGAATGGGGCTGGCCAAAAATCACACACATATACACAATACAGAGACACACACAAACACACACACACACTCTTTACTCCTGGCTCAGGTTTCCAGCAGCACCCTGCACCAGTGGGTGATGCTCACTGCTCAAGGTAAAAATATCGGCCTCGTTTTCTTTTTGTTTTATATTAAACACCTCAGGACTCGAGACAGTGTCAACGCTGCTGCGTGTTTTGGAACAAACTGTTCTTGTCAAGAGCAAAAATAGAAAACACAGAGTTTATTTTAAATGTCTAATCAAAACCAGGTTGTTCAAACTCCTCCTGATCCTCCCGATGACGGCGGGTATTTCCACCTTGGTTTCAAAAAACAGCACATAATCAAGTCGTGAGACTCACCTCAAAACCCAGGCGGTCTTTCTCCTTCCAGAAACAGAAGTGTGTGACCTTTTTATCCCAGAATTCATCAGGTTTCACCACGCAGACCAGCGACACCTCTGCTGGGATCACATTCTGAAACAGCAAAAACAGCATCATTAGTATCCCTAACTTTTAAACATAACAACTCAGTGCAGCACTGTCTGCCATTATAGAAACCCAGATTATATGTTTGTACCTGTAACATGAGCACCACAGTCTTCACAATGTTCCACTGAGACTTTCTCCCGTCCACGATGACAGTGAAACCTCGAGCCTTACATTTCTCACTGTAAAAACGAGAGGAAGAGAACGAAGGAGGTGATTCAACACAGCTGATTTGGTTACATTCCCTGTTTACCAGCAAAGTTGTGGAAATTTAGCTGGATGAACTTAAGAAAAGTCAAAATGGTGCAAATATAACAGAATAAAATCTAATAAGTAAACAAAACAACACAATTATGAAGCTACTGTACATCCACTGTGTAGCATCCTGTGATGGAAACAAATAGTTGATAGGTCCTGTCCAAAACTGCTTAAAAATTATCTGATTTCCAAAAAGAACTGATGGATTTGGTCGTAAAACACTAGACAATTAGACACAAATGGGCATCAGACCATAATAAAAAAAGTTCCCAAATCCAAAGTTAGCTTTTGAATATTATACCAGCTACATTCACCACACTACAGCTGGTTCTCTGTATTTATTTTACTGAGTTCCTCTATTTTCTTTGACCGGGGAAGACTCATCAAGATTAAAACTCTCTTTTAGAAGAGTGTCCTGGAAGAGATGGGGAGCAGCAGCAGCAGCAGCACATTTCAACATCTGGATCTTATAAGAGAAAGTAATCAACCAAATAATCTACAGCCTGATGCATTTTCCTCCAACGCCTTCAATCTTCTCTCAAAACCGTTCAAACGGACCAGCTCTCTCAGACCCAAATCCTCTTGCAGAAGATTCCAAGCTGCAGAGGCGGCGTACCTATAATTCTTGTTCGCCTTATTTCTGGGACCAGAAAGTAAAGATAAGTCTTGAGACTGGATCAAAAGGCAAAGACTAAAGCTCTGGTATATTTCAAATTAATAAAATGGCACTGATAAGAAGGAAGCTAGTCAAGAATTTATTTAGATTATAAGTAGACAGTGCTGGCCAGTCAACTGAAGCACAGAGGGAGCAATGATGAGTTTAAGACTTAAGAGTATTAAAAAACAAAAAGCTGCATGGTTAACAGAAAGTGAAGGCATTGAAATGATGTATGCATATAAAAAACAATCATGACATAAATGTGGAAGCGATTTCTGAATAATAAATACAAAAACACTTCAGTGCAGCTACATTAGAGATCTAGGAGTGTATGTTTTCAACAGGAGAGCTTCACACCATTTCCCACTGAGTGCTGTATTTTGGGCTGTTTGTCAATGTTGTCAGTGTTTTTTATATCAAGCCCAGTTTAACCTGCAGGTATTTCAAGCAGATTGAGTCAGACACTTTGGAGAAAATAAAATCCCGATGAATGATAAGGAGCTGAAAGCAGCTGCTGACATCTTTACTGCAGTATTAAACCAGGGACTGGATCGTCTGTCAAACAGCCAACTGTTACAACTGTCAAAGAAACGCCATGAATCATTCTGACCACATCCAAGAACCTGAGAGAAGACTGGGAAAGTAAAAACAAGCAGCAAAATATCAGATTTGTGTAAGAAAATTCCTAAGGCAGGAGAAAATTCCACCTGAAGTAACTTGGAGTAATTTTTCCAACAGGTTTACAATGAATCTGTATCTTGGAATCGCTGTGAGACATGACGGTATCATCTCATAGTCTGGAGTGTCTCATATTTGAGCCAAAATGGTAAGACTCAAGCTGTAGAGGACTGAAAATCATCCTTTAAGCCTTTTAGAGTAATGCAGCTAAACACACTAGATCCTCTTCAAAATACCAAGTACAGATCCAGCAGCTCTTCTGTTCACTCTAAACATGTCAGAAGGTGTTAGAAATGAGCCTGAACAGCCTTTTTGTTGACATAGCTGCTCACAGACACTAACCAGTGAGTCACTATTATTGTCAGTGCTGCTGCTACTACATGTGTGTGTGTGTGTACCTGGGGATGCTGAGCAGGTAGTCCAGTGTGGCGCTGAGCTCCTCCATGCTGGTCTGATCTGAACTCAGAGGGATGGTCAGGATCAGACCACTGCGCCGGTCTTTACCCCCTAAAGAGAGACAGAGTATGTGAAGAAGGATTACACAGTTTGGTCCACAAGATAAAGTAGATTCAATCGTGGTTTTGGCGAGTGTTTTACCTGACAGAAAGGCCAGTTTCTTCTTGAGAACTGGGAGGATGGCGGTCGCTTCCATGCTGACGTTGGACATCTGTAGACATAAATATGCACACACAACACTTACATAGGTTTGAAACATTTTACTGAATTTAGATCTATCTTAAATCTGCCACTTTTTTACAGATCTAGAAACTAACCCACAGGTTCAGACAGGGATCATCAACCTCAATCATTTACCAATCCTTGTCCTGGTCAAAGGCATAAGCTCTGGTACTAGTCCTGTTAAGTCCTGGCATTAAAACACTCATCAACAGTTTCACACACAGAGGCGCATGGTCTGAAACTTCACGGTCAGCATTTAATCGCCTACTCTGGATCAGGATCTCGGACATGTTCATGGCTTCACACACTGACCTGCAGGTTCAGACGCTGCATATAGATTCAGCCCAGGCACGTTTCAAACTCGTCTCACAGAGTGATGAACCCCTTCCCAGCTTTATGTATGAGAAACTCTGCCTCTCTGGGGTGCCTTTTTATACCCAGTCATGTTATTAACCCACTAGGTCAGAAACCTGCCTACGCTAGACTAGGGATGCACCGATCCGATATTTGATGTCGGTATCGATCCCAATACTGAAGAAAATTCTAAATCGGGTATTTTGACAATGAGCCCGATCCCTAGGGGCTGATCTATTCGGTCTAACTCTATTCTATGCGCAGAGTGGCATCCATAAGTAAACATGCTGAGCGGATGCCCACGTTGTTTTCAAAATGGAGCAAGCAAAGGGGTCTGCTATCTTGAATTTTACCACACTACCTCAGCCTCAACAAGGTCGACGGCCACTTGCAATACCTGCGCAGTAAATGCTCTGAGGGGCGGTGGTAAAACTTCAAGTTACAAATAAGGTAATTCAGCGTAACTTTTCTGTATCTGAATTGGATCGGTGTCAGCCGATACTAAACTGTAGATATCTGTAAAAAAGCGGATCGGTGCATTCCTAGGCTGGACCACAAGTTCGACATGAGTCCATGGATTTGGAAACAAGTCCTCTGCATCTGGTCCCCGGGTTGAGATGTTTGTCCACAGTTCTAGTCCATGCTCACTAACACTGTCTGGCAGGTTCAGACTCTTCCTCAACAACCTCAAATCCAAAGTCCAGCCAAAGTCAACCTTGTCAAACACTTCTCTAAAGCGTGTGACACTGTTACACACACAGGTTAATTAGATTAACAGTCTCAGACAGATACCAGTAGCCTAAGTTCAGTTAAAGTTCAGCCAAAACTCTTATTCAGATTCATTTACAGCAACACTTTACAGCCTCAGACAGTAGCCCACATCCCAAGCACAAGCCCATAGGTTTAAACTCTGGTCCACATACTTTTCCACTTGATTAAATGTACTAGTTTAAGTGTCAGGAAGGCTGTATACAAGTATAACATCTGATCCTGAAACACAAGTCCACAGCCTCCAACACAATCTCAAACAGAAGCCAACATGCCTAGACAGTACTCCACAGCCTCAGATCCAAGTCATTCATTGGCACTTTTCCACATAGTCCACCAGTTTCCACACTTTTCCAGAGACCCAGATTCTAATAATTTGAGGGGTTAGTAGCCCCGAGGCTCCCCTCATCTTTAGTGCCCAAAGGCATAAAAAAACTAGACTACAGCCCCAGATACTGACCCACTGACACTCGCTCAACGGACTGGGGGCTCATTTTTATCTGCAGTAGTTTTCTCCAGTTTTAAAGGCACATTTCAGAAATTGAGCAAAGCAAAAACAAATTATAAAGACAGAAATACACGTTGATTGATTGAGACAATGCAGGAACATGACAGTCGAATTACAAAAGATACAGTCATCAGCTAAAATTTGTCCCTGCGGCAGCATGGATACAGGACAAATCCCTGCTTAAGCATTATATGGATATCATACAGACAGCAGCATGGTGATTTTCCATAAGGATTTATGCTCGGCTGGCATTTCTCCCAGCAGATTCAGATCTGTCTGTGGTTTGCTGTCAGTTTCATTAATGTGTTAGTGCAGTAAAGCTTTCAGAGCATAAATCAGCAGCGTAACCTTCTCTAAATAGATTGCCTTTTAGTGAAATAGTCCATGGATTAATTGGTGATGAAAATTGATCACAAGCAGCCTCGTTTTTGTTGGTAGGAGAAAGCGAATACAAAATCTGGTGAATTTTGCCCTGTCCTACTGAATTAGTTCACTATCACAGTGGCACACTTTATGATGAGCTTATGTGATTTTTAAATGTTAACTCAACATGATTTCACACAAATCTCTTTATCTAGATTTCAATCGGAGTCAAATCCATGGCCTATATTTTTAAATTCATCTTTCATAACTAAAGTTATCATCTATCCACCCCATGGTTGTACCATAAGTTTTAGTCATTTCAAATACCCAAGTCAATGCCTGTTTTCAATCTTTATTTTACTTTTCTCCAAGGTTTTAAGTGCGTTGGGGATGTCAGAAGTTGTCTGATGGTGTACTTTGGTTTGCCAGCAGTCAAATCTGTTAAGAGCCAGACAGCACCGTCCTGAAGAAGCTGTTTTAATCAGAACAAGAGAGCTTTACCATCAATACAGGAGTAAAATAGTTTGCTGGCAGTGTTTATCTTAAACTATAAGATATATTCCTTCAAAATCTTAAAAGTAACAATATCTCATTAGATTCTCTAACAAAGCCATAGTCAGAATCAGAATCATTTATTAATGACCTCACAACAGGGTTGGTGGAATTTGTTTTCCAGTACATCATGCTCACATCTCCTGTGTTGGATACATACATGCATGCATAATTAAAACAAAACAATGCAAGAATACAAGATAGCGGATGTGGATATAAGTTATTTCAGGTATTTGAGTGGTCTCATGGCCACTTTAGATACATGCCTAATTTCAGGATACTACAGGCAAAAAAGGCTTGAATTGTATTGGTATGAGCAAAAAAGGCCAGTGGAGTAAGAAAAGTTTACTTGTACAGTCACTTGAAATGAAACTTATTGAAAAACTGAAAACAAGTAAAAACTTCTTTCCCTGATAGATTTTTTTTGCACAAAAGGATCAATCCAGGTCTTACTTTTGGATAAAATTATGTTGAAATAAGATGTTTATCTGGACTTCGTTCCGTGATTAAAGCTTATTTTAAATCTTATTAGATATTTTCTAGAAATAGCTTGCTTAGTTTTCAAGTTTTGCATTGTGTAGTCCTGCAATTGTTTCCATTTCTGGCAGATATTCAAACTGCGAACAGACAAACACTTGAAGAGGCCCTTTAAAAATCTTAATGTGACTGTATTTCGACTATTTTGCAATGTTAAAAATGTTTTTGTTACTTAAACTTCATGCAATTATAATTTTTCCTAATTCAAGCAACATTAATAGTATTAGTAATGCAGGCGGGGAGGGCAGGTAGTGGCGTAAAACTGGCGTTATGAAGTGTTACTGCAGTATCAGTCAGTCAGTCCTGCCGCAGGGCTTCACCTTCATCCTTCTCTTCCTCCTCCTCCTCTACCTCCTCTGCCTGCCTGCCTGCCTGCCTGCCTGCGGCCTGGCTGCAGCTGCAGCTGCAGGACGACCCGGCTTGGCTCGGTTTGTCTCGGCTTGGTTCGGCTCGGCCCACAGACACAATGACCTACATTCAGCAGCTGCGGGCTGCGGCGGCTGGACTTTCTAACCTCGCTCACCTCAGCCTCGAGCCTCTCACTATCGATTACTTCAAATCAATCAGTTGGAAGTATTGATGAGGCGGATTTTCTTACCTCTTAGTTAAATCTGCAGCATTATACTGTCCCGATTTTCCCCTCTGTCCTCCTCCTTTTCTTCCTCTGTCTGTGTTTCTCCTCTGCAGGTTTTCCTCTCCTCTTCTTTCTCTTCTCGGTCTGATTAACCGGCAGATGTTTGCTCTGTTTCTCTTTACAAAACGCCAGACATCACATTTTGTTCTCCGCTCGTTTTGAACAACAGTACAGGGACACAGCAGCAGCAGGCGTTGGACCTCGCTGCTCTCTGCGCAGCCTCAGTGAAGCCCGACTAATGAATACGACTTCCGGTAAAACCACATACCAAATAAGAGCCCGAGGAAGCATTTATGTGTGGGGATAGACGGTTTTTACTGGAGTGAATGTCAACTAATGACTGCAGTAATTAGTTTTCAAATATTGGTTAGTCAAGTGTTAGGCTGGATAGACTCTTTAATAGGCTACAGTTCATTCATGGCTCTAAACTTTGTCAAGTTGATCAAGTTTGGTCATCACTCTTAAAACCAGGCTAACTGTGAAAAATGGAAAGTCCACACGAATGGTCAGTTTGACAAGCTTTACTGATTGTAGATCTGGGTTACAGCTTCATCATGCCACATGTGTAACAAAGACTGGTCCGAGACTGTTCATGTATATATAGTGCATTCTGCTGGCAGTTGACCTGAAGAAGAGTCCATGTAGGGTAAGACCAAAGGACAACATGTTTTAAGGAGCCTTAGTTGAACATATGGAGAGCTCATATAGGGGAATACCATAGCAAAACATATATCAGGAACCTGAGTGATGTCAAAAATGTGTACAAGGTTTTTTGTTGAGGATGGTTGTCTCCAGGAATCTTAACACTAATATATCCAAGGTATCTGAGTTACATGGCTCCATCACCCTAAAGGCTGATGGGATTGACTAAAGAAGATTCTCCTAAGCCCTGACTTTGCCATCTTTGCTGAAAGTTTAGTCCAATTTTGAGGAATCCATCTGTCATTTCAGGTTTATTTCAAAAGAATTTAATATTAATGTTGGGAGCTACTAAAGGTGCATCTATCAGCTGGCATGTGGCATCAAAAGACTAAGCACATTTTATTGAGACACAAAGAGTGAGGCATGCGGTGATGTAGAAAATCCTGTTACACTGCCCAGGACACAGTGGTTAAATCTGAGAAAACGGTTTGGAGCTGTAGAGTTCTAAAGGGAGATATCAACGAAATGCAAATGCTCTTTAAGAAGACATCTTTGCAGGAGAAGCTAAGAGTTAAAGAGCTCAGACCGTACCAGCCGGACTTTAAAGTCATACATCATTTTGAAATTAGAGGGAGAAATGGCATTTGATTATATACAAGAATAACTACAAGAGCTTGCATAAAATATGTATCTTAGATTTTGGTATAGCATTTCTATAGAGAAATATGCACTGGCTGTCACTGAGTAAAAGTCTATGATTTAAATATGGGTTGATTTTCAGTGCAGTGCAGAAAATGAATCATCTGTGAGTGATAACCAGCGAACATATGTCATACATTTATTTTAATTCATTTGACTTTTGTTTACCTAATTTTCTATCTGGATGCCTTCTGAAACAGTCATTCATAGTTTTTTTTTAAATTATTTCATTTATTTATTTTTTTTCGAACATGCAACACAAGAAAGTAAACTGAAAACAAACAAACAAAACCAGTGAGAATATTCAAAACGACAATAACAATAATCACAGCAAAAAAGTAAAAACAAAAATAAAAAATACTACTAATAATGCGAACCCAACATGTCCAAAAAAAGAGTAGGATGAAGCATTATGCTTTTTTCGCTGTAAGCTCTTGTCCCCTTTTCTCTCTTATCGACCCCTCTGCTGGAGATTTTTTTTATAGAGAAATTGCTTTATTTTGAAGGTCTGGTCTTCTTTTTTCCGCGTAAAAGCATGTGAAGCTTTATAAAGCACAAGCCGTGTATCCGGGGCGGGGCCAATTCAAGATAAACCACGCCCTATTCAGTTCATACCACTCGTGTGCCCTGAGGAACGTTAGTTATTCAGAGAGAGTTTGACTGTTAAATCAGGGAAAATATCTCTACAGCTACATAAAAACACAACATCATCTTTCTAAACCTGGCAAGAGTCAATTATCCAGAAGTTTGAATCTAGATTAATGACAGTAATGTTGCACACAGCAATGATGTCAGTTAACTTGTTAGCTGTATTCATAACACAGAGATAGGTAGCTATGATGTAGATGTTATTTATCTATTAGACTTAATAAGTATGTGCACTTTCTTCTTTCAGTATTTTCTTTTATTTAACTGTTAGAAAAAACACATTTTCATACACACTCCAAAACTTGTATCTATATACAAACAGTAAAACTGCTATTGCTGCAGTGCAAAATAAATCTTACCTCCTGGTATGACAATTAAATTACCTGTCTTAATGCACACACAGTAAATTAATAAATGTTCATAATTAGTATCCCCCTCTACTTTTTGGCAAAATGATGGGCTCATCTCCTTTTGTTTCTCACCCTTCTCCGACAATGTCAATATCCATGAGTTGAAAGTACAGTAAACTAAAATGCACAAGTGAACTGCTGTGGGTTTAAAAAATAAACACTCTTATTGTGACTTCTCATTAGATTGATTTTGAAATAAAAAGCACAAACTTCTTCAAATCCTCATTTTCAGGCAAACTTGGTGGTGGGTTTCTTTGTTGCCACAGCAGTCTGGCCCTGATGTTTGAGACAGATTTCACAGATGAAAAACTGTCACCAATTATGTGTTACTATACAGAGGTGTCAGTGAATGCATCACTGGATGCTCTGCAGATCCTCTCTCTGCATGATGGACTATCATCATCTCGTAGATGTAGACAACACAATATTTTCCCGGACTTTTAAAGGCGCGTTGAGCAGATGCACTCAGGTGCAGTTGTCTGATCTTTTGCTGATTTCCCATCATCCTTTGCGTGGGGTGTTGAGGTCCACGGCAAACTAAACCTGAAAGCCAGAGAAGGAGAGATGCATTGCTCAGGCTGTATTTACTCATTACTATCTACTGTTAACCCAAAATTGGAGAAGCAGCTTGTCAATCATACAAACATCGTTTCATCTTCTATTTGACAACAATTGGCAACATAACATCAACATGAAACATTGTTGTGAATCCAAACCAGCATAATCAATATTCAAATGCTAAACTTGTTTGAAATAATGCATCAGATACATAAATCAAGAAGGAAATATGATTTCTGAACAATTAAATTCCCTTTTGCAACCACATAGGTCGCCCTCTGCTGGTCTTTAGAAAGATTGCAGCTTCAAAGCACCTCACTTTTGATGCCAGAAGGCTAGACAATATCCAGTATGTAAACATTTGTGCACAGTCTGTTGTGTAAACTGACCGCTGTGTGACTGCCATCTGTTGTATAGTGTCTGGCAATGGCTGCCTGAAGGTCTCAGGCAGGAGGAAGCAGAGCAGAACGCTAAGCAGTGACAGAGCTCCCGCCAAGATCCACGGCAGGAACTGATAGAACACAGCTGGAGGCAAAACCAGATCAGAGAGAGCAAACTTTAAAACTTTGTTATAACACAAGCCTGCAGGAGCATTACAGGGTAGTTTTGAGGTTTTGACTACAGAGCTGTGTGAAAAGTAACACCCACAAGCTTCAACTAACTTAATTATTGTGGAAAGGCGGCCAAAGGTCAAAGCAGAATAGTGCGGAAAACAGGCTTTTCTCTTTAGTTTAGTTTAAAAAAGGAAAATAAAATGTCTTACCTAGCTGCAGCAGGTACGGAGAGACAGAGGAGCCCACTCTGGAGAACATGGCGGAGGATGACATTGCTGTGTTCCTGATGACCGTGGGAGACAGCTCACCAGTGAATATGTACAATATCCCAATGCCAGCAAGAATACCAAATTTACCCAGCAGCACAAGAGCCAGGGTGACATTTGGATAACCTGAAAGGAGGAGAAAGGACGTGTTATTGTTCAGGTCCCAAGGAACCAGTATAATTGCTTCCATCAATCCTTATTATAATCTTACATTTGTGGGGAACTGTCTATTGTGATTTTGTGACTACTGTATGTATTGAAACGCTATTAATTTTCAACCAGGACTGGTTCACTGCTACAACATGAGTAAAAAAAGTTGATACAAAAAAAAAATATTTACTGTAAATTATTAACTTTTCCCAATAACATTAATATCTATTTTCATAAAGATGTTAAGACAGACACGGTTGAGGACTTTGTGTTGATTCTACTTACTGTTTAGTGTTATCTGAATAAGGAGCAGAGCTAGCGCCCCCACCAGAGTGAAGCCAGCAAAGGACAAGCGGCGAGGTAGACAACGAGCGGCCACACAGCTGGCAAGGTACGCCGGAAGCTCAACTATCGACAACAGGAAGTAGTTTAAGAAAGGGCTGCCATAGAGACTGGACAGGTTGAATGAGAGTCCGAAGTAGCTGACACTCAAAGAAAACCTGCAAATGACAAAAGAACTACACTTAAACCTAGGAACAATTATAAATCCTTATGAATCTTATTGAATAAAGTTGCAACGTGAATAGATGATTTGTTTTCTTGTTTTACATTTTCTTTCCAAGCTAAATCAATCATATAAGAGGCCAAACTATCTGCCCTGCTTTCTAAGACAGAGAAGCACTTTGACTCACCAGATCAGCCACAGCTTTAGTGTGATTTGTCGAATGTTTTTTGTCCTCAGCAGGTCGAGGAAGCTCAGAGACTCCACCTCCTGGCTCTCTGCCTTTTCAACCTGTGAAGAAACACAAACTCCAGTACTACTGCTACTGTCTTCAAATGTCGTGACAACCCTGGAGTTCAACGATTTCTTTTGTACCTTGGCTGAGATGAAAATGACCTGTGGAGCTTCTACTCGGTTTTCCAAAGCTGCCGATCTCAGTATGAGTTCCGCTTCCTGGAAACGTCCACAAGACACTAACCAGCGAGGAGACTCTGGGATCAGCCTGGTGGGTAGACAAGATAAAATAGATCATTAACAAAAACCGAGTACATAAAGATTTGTTGGTTATATTTGCAGGATGACTTAGGTCCCTGAATCTGAGTTATTTACAGCTTCTGACTTTTTAATTCACCACATTTACACAGCAGTTATTTTCTCTAATGTCAGACTGTTGTAATGATTGACTCCTGCTACATTTGAGATTGTGTAAAGGAAAGTGACTTAACAATTAGCCTATGTTACTTTTGCTGCTTACTGGTAAAACAGTAAGACAACACTCTGGCTGCTGTGTAAATACGATCAATGCCGACTCTTCGTAGTCTGTATTCTATGATGCTGTATTGTAATGGCACCCAAGTAAAAATATCTTGGGAAAATTGATCAACTGGATGATGACTAATTTGACCTCTACCACGGTGTGTTGAGGTCCTCTTACCACCAGAAAGGCAAACAAGCGAGACCTGGCACAGTCATAATCAGGGACAGGTGTCTCCAGCTCCTGACCAGGTAGGCAGTGCCCGGCAGCAGCACCATAGCAACCGTATAGAAGGCAGGCAAGCCGAAGCCAGAGAAGAAAACTCTGGGTGAACCGACCAGGACCTCTGAACCTGGGGATGAAAATTTTTTATAAAGTCAGGGACATAAACCAAGCATCATAGAAATTTTTACTATACTGGTCCTGTTCTATAGCATTTATATGACCATAAAAAAGTGAGGCCCATACCAAGCACAAACAAAGCTATGTAGCCGGCCATCTGACCCAAACCCATCATGAAAAAGAGAAAGGTGAAGACAGGCCAGGATGGAGCAAAAGCAATTGCGATGCTGAAAACACTGAGCATGGCCATGGCGCTGAAGAGAACAGGCTTCCTTCCAAACCTGGAATATATACAAACAACAGTTCTGTTTGGCACTAAAGAAACACTTAGTTGGTTCCAGTATTCAAACATTACATGATAGTTGTTAGATAGTTGTTCAAGTTTAAAGCAAACCGAGAAAAGTTTATTTACTTTCAGCACCGTAGTTGGTGCCAACTTAGATCAAAGTTGACAACCAAGAACATTTTACAATTTTGTTTACTTCATAGCAGCTGAAAAGGGGAGCAGAGGGGGCACAGTTTTAAGAGAAATTCAAAAGTACCGGTCAGAGATTTGTCCAGACACCATGCACCCAATCAATCCTCCGAGGAAGTAAGCAAGGGAGGCCAAAGGCTGTTTCCACTGGTCGTTACACACCAGGTTAAACTGAAAGATATAAGTCATATAAGAAATAGGTCAAAAATATGCAGCAATAGGAAATCTGGGAACCCAGGATAAACAGAAACTAAAAACTCAAGGAGCTTTTGGGGATTTTGGGGGGATTTCAAATCTATTTCATCAAGTCAAATCATGAATTTAGGAGTGAAACTGTGGTAGCTGCTGAGCACAGTACAGATGGAGGAAATAACCAGGTGACCCTGATCGGCTCAGGTCCAGTTTCCATCAGCAACTTCCTGCAGTCAATGATTGGTGGCCCCTGAGAGGTCATAACCTCTGAATGTTTAACAGGCTGAAGCTTGTCTGATCAGTGTGTAAACAGTAATGTACAATAGAGCAAAGGAGGGCTCACTGATGGACACAGTTCTACACAACTTTGATGAAATGTATCAGAACTTTTGTATCAGGAGTATCAGCTGTACCTCAGTGACCACAGTCGAGTCGTAGTACTCTGTGCTGTACTCCCACCCATCTGTACAGCTCTCCTGCTTCAGAGTGGACAGCAAGACCTCTGGACCTGATCCAAGCTCTGACAGGTTGTGGGCTGGACCCAGGCTGGGTGTGTGTCCTAGTGCAGACAGATTCTGTACCTGCTCCAGATCATACCGGCTGCAGCTGCTCTGGCCCAGTTGCCCGGCCTCCATCTGAGCAGGAAACAAGGTTGTTATTGCTGATGTAACAACAGCGCAGGAATCCAAAAAAAGACACTTACATATAAACTAGACCAGCTTCAACCTGCTTCTGAAGCTAAATCATTAGCTGATGGCATTTCCACATATCATCCTTACCTAGTTTGAACAGCAGTTGCATAACCAAATGAGAGCTTTCTAACTTACCAGGCTTACTGTCTTTCACGCATTATGCTAAAAAAACATGTTATTGATAAATTAGATAAACAATTAGCGGCGCTCAAACAATACAGCAATAAAGCCATAAAAATGTAGCAGTGTTATTTTAGATTTTAAAAAGACATAAAAAACTCCTCATAAAGTCAAACTGAGCCTCATAAACCTGGAATAGTTTCTGGCTGGTTCTGACCTGCACTGGGATGATTGCCTGGATCCAGTCCTGGCTCAGGTTGCTGTGGACGGGGATGTGGCAGTGATGTGAGGGGCTCGCCAGCAGGAACATGACACAAAGGATGTTGTATCCACTGGGAACGGAGGTGAGACAGAGCAAGAAGAAGACCCTCCTCTGAAACGAGCCCCAGGTCCCCAAAAATGAAACAGACTCCTCGTAATTTTCCATTTCTCTGGTCCCTGATTATACTTGATTATTTTCTGTTCTCTGTATTTATAAAGTGCTACTGCTGAATCACCCGCAACAAGAAGGCTATCTATAAAAGCACGTATCAGTGCTACAAATACTATGTTTAGACTTCATCAAACTCTTTTACCGTATGAGAAATGTTGCAAAAGCTAGTATGATTTTTCTGTTTTTATAAAACATAAAGTGCTATAAAGGAAAATCCTGATATTCCTATTGCAGCAGTATAAGCCTCCCTGTGCAGGATCTCTCTGAAGCTTACACCTCCTTTATCCCCAAAAAAGTCAGAAGAACTCCTCCTCTCCTCCTTCCCATCATCCTCCCCCTCTCATCACTCTACAACTACTCGCTACAACTCCTCCTGACCCTTACAAAAAGTGACAAATCAGAAATAGAGAAAAAAAAAAAAGTTAAGAGAGAAGGAACAGCGTGTCTATTTAAAGTGTAAATGATAAATGAGATCTTTTTAGAAAAATACATGAGGAAAAAAACTCATAAGGGGAAATACTGAGGAAGAAACTCAGATGGAGGCATTTTCGATAATTAGGTAATGAAAAAGTGTGCTTGAATATCACCCACTTAAGGGTAAAATATTAATTCATTAACATTAAAAAAAAATGTCAGTGTTTTTAAAAAACATTTCAAAATTCCTGTGAAGAGATTTTGTAGGTTAAAAAAATGTACTTAATTCAATATTGACAGTCTACAATTTTGTACAAGACCATCAGGGACAAGTCTGATCATTTCTATATGGTAGTATTTAATAATTTAAAAACTGCTGCAAAGTAAATGACAGATGAGATGATTAACAGCACTCTTTAAAAAGGCCTTTGTAGCCGTTTCCTATGGCAGACTTAAGTGATATGTTTAATATGTACATTTTGTGCTGCATCATTATGCTAATAATGCTAAATAATGCCATGGCAAAGTGACTTCCTAAAGGAAAACCTCTGAGTGTTTTAAATAAGTTAATCATGTGGTAAAATTGACCCTGTGTGTAATGGTTGATGGCCACACTTCATGCTGATTTCCTTAACAAAGAGGACAACATCACTTCTGGCAAACACACTTACCGCTGATACGTGCCTCATCACGCAACCACAATTCATCAAAAAACTGAACTATCCCTTTAAAGTGACATAAGGGTTTTGGTTTGAACGTAAATATCTCACAGAGTCACTTCATGCGTGTGAGTTGACGTTGTGATAATCGGGCCAGAACTGGACGACACTGAACTGTAAGTGTCTTGTCACCTTTTAACCAGCTCCATCATTTATTGTCACAGAGTGGGAACGCAGAGTTTGCAGTGAATGATCAAACCTGGAAATGTCTTCAGTCCAGTTCAGTCCAGTTCTCTGTCTTAGTGTCTCTGTCTGTGTCAGTGCTTACAGCTTAAACGACCAAGAAATATTTTCTTTTTCTTTTTCCAAAAAAAAAGACCAAAAAACACTTTACAGATGTCTAATGTTCAAAGTCAATTCAACAACAATAAATGTCTAAGGAGATCTGTCACATATGGAAGACAAGAACAGCCATTGAATTTTTTCTTTTTTATTTTAATTTATGCATTGTTATCATGCGATAACTTATCGCGCTATTTTAATATAACAAAGATTGTTTTCTTATGATGATAGAAATGACGTTTTAGCCGACTTAAAACAGTAACACCCTCCAGAATTGGATATTACTGAAACGCCACAGCCACTGTTGTTAATTGCAAGCTGGGGTTTTCGATGAAAACACTAAAGTCACGCCCCACTTTGCACATGGGCATTACACTTTCAACGTAGGAACATTTAACTGCTATGTGTGAATCAGACATTAACAGTTACAATGGCAGACACATTATTAATTAATTTCTCATCATGAGAAAATGCTCTTTGTCAAGGTGACGAGATAAGTAGTTTTCACCAGATAACAGTGCATAAAAAAAGGAAAATCCATGGCCGTTCTTGTCTTTCATAGTCACAGCCTCTGTCATGAATGAGAATCTATTTCTTGCTGGTTCTTATGAGAAACCGTTTGCAGAATCTGAATTACTAGAAGGAAGATGAGTGGAGAGCTGTTTCCCAAAAGAGCTCGCTGTGTTTTTCTTTCAAGGTCAGATGTGTAACATTTTGCACTGAGCTGCTGCACAAAAAAAACCCTAATAAAGCTACAGTTGGTCAGAAATATATCAGGGAGTTACCTCATACTGCTGAGGAGGAAAAGGTCAGAAAACGAAGTTAAATTTCTTTACTATGATCATGATTTTTAGAGTATGTGCTTTCCTTTTGATGAATAAGGAATCAGCTTTTTAGTTGTTTAGGTGGCCCAGGTTTGTATACAATCATATGAGAGTTCTGGATGGTTAAATCTCATTAGAGTGCTTAATGTTATATTGAAGGTCGCAATGTGCTATTTATTGTATTTAGAAAGGTAAAACTGGTCGTTAAAGTGATGTATTTGAGAAGTGAGGTTGAATGAGGTACTTGGGTGATACTAGCTAATCTATTAATGTTTGTCCACTTTGCAGGAACATATTGGTCATGTTAGGCCAGTTTCCCTCGACATCCACTTTTGGGTTAGGATAAGAGGATATACAACCACGCATCCAAAAAAGTAATCCATATTAAATCTTCTGTGAGGAACTTTTGGTTTGCCACTATTTTTGTGGACAAAGTGATACCACTAGTCTCTGGTTCTGTTTGTGTGAAAGTTGTGTTTTCACTCAAAACTCTCATCTTCTTGTTTGTTTGTTTTTTCCACAGGCCTTTAGAAGTGTCACATTATACCAGCAGAGAAACAGAGAAATGATCAACCTTGTTGCTGATGGCCTGGTTTGCTTTCAAAAGTCATAAAGAGGCATCAGTAGTAGATGTCTAATCTTATCCTCCTGACTACCAGTAGTTCAATTTGTCCTCTGTGGATCACCATTGTAAACCTCAATATCTCCCACCCACTGTATACTACTGTATTAACTCCTTTTGGTTTCTACAGAGGACATTTAGAGCTTTTCAATGATACCAAATGTGAAGGGGTGGGGCTTCAGTACCTATATAGATATTGAGGTTTACAATGGTGCTCCACAGAGAACAAATTGAACTACTGGAAGTCAGGAGGATATGTTTTTTAAAAAGAATACATGAGTACTTTGTGTTTGTAACCATTTTTAATGATAACAAATAAAACAAAGGTACAGAAATAAAACGCTATGGTGAGAAATGTTACATTGGCTCAACCTGACAAGTTTGCATTTGTATTTTTGCATCATCACCGTCATCACCATCATCATAAAAAAGCTCAGAGAATAAATACTGTACATAAAGAAAAGTTGGGACAGGAACATGGTTTCTTCAACACTTAGATATTTAGGAACAGATCAGTTTAAAAAGTTCAAAAACAAAAGTCAAAATTTTATGAGTCAGGCCACAGGACAGTTTTCATGTCATCTCAGATGTTTTTAGGCCAAGAGAAGTCATCAATATTTCTTGATTATGTTTGATTAAGCCCCATGCAGTGACTTCCACCACAGAGTCATGTCTGTTTACAGTGCAGTGGTGCCCGGTGGCCTAAAGATAGCGGCCTTTTGTAAAGAGAGTAATCCTGATTCCCTGAACCTTAAATGATATTTCAAACTGAAAATAATAAAATCCCCAAATTGACACTGAGTTCAATTATTCTGAAACTGTAGAACTATTTGCTCACCCAGTCTCTCACAGAGTGTTGAACCTTTTCTTATCTTTACCTATAAGACACTCTGCCTCTCTGTAGAGGCCCTTTTTACAGTCAACGTACTACTAACCTGTTGCAAATGGATCAAATTAACGGAAAGATATTCTTCAGGTGTTTTTAAAAATTAAATTCAGTGGGCATACTGTACAACTTTTTCAGTGCTCATTGGTCCCCGTCCCAACTTTTTAAAAACTGTTGCTGGCATCAAGTTTATATGAGCTTATAGTTTTAACAAAACAATAATAATGTTCAGTTTCAATATCTGATATGCTGTTTAAATAAAGGGCTAAAAATTAATTAAAAAAAACATCAAACTCTGTTTTTATGAGTGTTTTGTTGGCCATTTATTGTTAAAGCTTGGTTTAAGGTTTAAAATTTTAAATATAAAATGTTTGAAATTAACTTTGTAATCAGTTTTACTAAACTAAACTCTGTGTGTGTTAGTTTGTATAAATGTGATTGAACTGCTCCTTTAATCTCATGAATTACTCCCTGTCTGAATGTCCTCTCAGCTGATGTAAAATGACCTTTTATTTAGGAAGAAGAGTGACTTGATCAGATTTTAGAGGTTCAGTTCATAACAGAGACAACACACATGCGCACAATCTCAGTTTTCAACATAAACATCACAACAGTTTGAACAAAAAGATAAGTTAACATTTCAACTAGAAACAAGTTTTCAGTTTCAACATCCATGTGCGTTGTTTTTTTTCCCCAGTATTGCGACTCGGCCCCAGTATCAAGACTTAGGACTTGTATAGAGACTCCCAGGCCTCAGTATTGCTGATAAGGAAGCAGAGTGTAAAGCAAAGCAGCAGCTGATCTGTACATTATTGCATCAAGTTGACATCAATGGACAAAGAAGGAAGTTCAGTTGAACGGCTCAGAGCTTCGCTTTCAAACGGCTTTAAACATCAACACAGATTTGACACTTTGTCTTCTCTTTTAAACATGTTGATGACATAGCAAGAATTACTGCACTGTGACCAAATACTGCATAGATAAACACACATTCACACGCTCACACACACATGTCCTTAAATCTGTTGCTCATGATTGGAAGACTGAGATGCTTCAAGTTATCCAGGAGGAGGCAGGAAGACGGATGAGACAATACTGACCATTTGAAACCATAGAGAGAAATGATCACTTTCATTATTAAATGCAGATAAAGTCGAGGAAAATTCCACCTGTTTTGTTCATGTTTCAGGTTTTCCTGCTCCAGTGTTGTTACTATACTGTAGGGTCTGGCTAAAAACAGTGGAAGTGAAACAAAAAATAAAATGCATCCATTAGTGTTTTCCATTTAAATACAGATAATTTCAAAAATGCACCTTTTACATTCCTACATATTAATTTAAAGGTTTGTCTGTAATTGTTCCTCTTGTCCAAGCTGGTTGTACTAAAATTGTGAATCAACACGCAGTCTAATAGCTTTCTGTTTTATTTGTGTAAAACATACTCAAGGTTTGATGTTAAGTTCTTGATTCTGATTGGTCAAAACCCCATGACACAAAACTTTAGGTTCCTGGTTAAATGTTGACAAGTCCCAGTTGGAGATGAGACGATGAAGGCAGAACAATTAAGGTAGTTAGGGAGGTTAAAACACAGATGGAGCTGAATGAGAGGGACATCGACCAAACTGAAGAAAACAGATGCGGTGCAAAGACAAAATAGAACACAGTATGTGTTTGGCAGTGTTAAATTATGACTTGAAAAGTTGAGTTTAATGTTGATATGTCCAACAAGAAGACTTGTAATATTCTGTTGCCATGGAAGCACTGCCAAAGAATCAGAGACTAATTTTGTCCTCAACTGTATATATCAGTGTTTTCTGAATCAGCATTTTGACACCTTCTGCATATCTTCAGTTGGTAGCTGAGTAGTTATCAGGATAATGTGTAGAGAGTGGGTCCTGTCTTACACTGTCAAGATTCAAATCCACATAGCCATCCACTCACTATATGCTATCCTCTACCCAGTCTGCAAGAGTCAGCAGCATCCCTACCAACAGTCTGTTCCTCATAGCAACGGTCTGCTATAAGGCAATAATGGACCATGCCTTTGTAATGTTAGACTGTTATGATCAATCAGAATCAAGTACTGAGCTTTTAGTTTGTCTTTTTCATTTAGTCTACATTTCACAGACTTGTCAATATCCCTAATTTTGTTCAAATGCATACATAACTTTTATGTACTTTCTGTAAACTGTTTTGCTTTTAGAGTTTTCGATTTTACTTGCAAGGAATCACACAGAGGTTTAGCTTTTTCAAGACAACTTTAAATATAAAATCACTCACAAACTATTAATTTAAAGCTTTCATAGTGGTTGACCATCATACAGTATATTAAAATGTGCTCTCTGGATTAGAGAGTTCTCCTGGTTGCATGTGAGGATCAACTAAGGGAGTGAAAGTGTAAATACTGCTGGAAAAACCACATATCACTTTTCATGCAGAGGGGCAGAGGGCAATTTGACAAACAGCTTCAAAAAAGAAATTTGAAAGTCTGACCAGCATTCAGGAGAACTTTGTATTTTTGCCTCATGTCTTGTTCTTAAACAAGTGACTCCTAGATCAAACTGTTTTCAGCTTATTTTTCACGATTATCAAAATTGTTGATTGCCAAAAAATAAAATATACATGAACAAGAGTAAAAAATAAGTTTGCTATGGTTTCTCCTGGTTCTGACAACCCTTTTACATGACTGTCAAACAACCCCCTGATGCAGTAATGATATTCTTCCTGAAGGGGGCACTAGAGGACAGCTAACTGGGTCTTGTCTGAGATTTCTGTTTCTGTAACAAAGTGAGGAATCAAGTGGTTGTATGAAAGTCATGTGAAAGTCTTGGGTAATGTATTTACAACATATAAAACCAATTAGAGCACAGAAAAAAGCAACCAGACAGTTGACATTTTGTCTCTTTTCCTCATTGAAAGCTTGTTGCAGGAAGACGTTCTTTTGCTGCTGCAGATTATAAAAAGTTCCAGTGATGTATTCAAGTCTCAAAGAGTTCCTCTGACTCTTGTCATTTAAAGTTTCAGGTACAGTAAAAGTTTTGATTGGACTCCAGAAAGTTTTGTTCAGATTGAACAAAGAAACCAAAGATAGCAGGCTGATTGTCCACATTAGGACTGTAAATACAGTGAGTCTCCTGGTCCAGGGTGCAGCCAGCTGTGAAGATGACAACAACAGAAGAGGCAGAAATGAACACCAGAGGACAGGAGGGTTAGGGTTTGTCACATGAAAGATCAAACTGTGGGCAGATAACAGGAAGACTCCAGCTGCATCGTCGTCCTGCACTGATATGACATGAAGACGGCTGCAGTTGGTGTTAATTTTTGCTGGCTAGCTCCTTCAGCAGGAGGACGGGGAGAGGAGTCTCATAGGAGGTCGATCAAACTGGACCTGATTCTGAATCTTCTGAGTCTGGACCTTCTCATCCGTCTTTATGTTTCTTCTTTGCACAAGCTGCACCTCTAGCCTGGAGTGCAGGTCTACCTCTGGAGTATCTCTGTTGAGTGTATTCATGAGCATCTCAAGTATGTCCTGTTGTGAATTTATGTTGAGTTCAGGTCCATGTGAAGCTGGGTTTGGATTTCTCTCTGGCTTTGTTAGCAGTAGATTCAGACTGCTAAAAAAAAGTAAAGTATGTTGGGTCCTTTTACGGAAAAACCCCCACAAAAAAATCGATGATGTTCTCTTGTACAAGCTAAATATTGCTTCTTGTTTTCTTCAACTTGGGATTTTTAAATTGAGCTGTTTCTGCAGGATAAAATTTCCTCAAACAACAAAACACCACACACGGAATTTTCCCTCTAGGACTTTTTTTTTTTTGCTTTTGGGAAATTCTGAAATGTTTCCAGGGCTGCTCCATCACCAGATATGTCTTTAAAAAAGTCTCAGCTTTCCTCCAGAATATATAGACACCTTTTATCCTTTTGATCTGTTAGGTTTCAGGTCAGGTGTTTTCTCAGAATTAGACTTCTGTTTGGATGAAATCACACGTTGCTGTCCGATCAGCTGTGAATTATCAGACCTGTGAATAAGACGTCTGTTTCAGAAGGAAGGAGGACAGGGACCAGGCTCTGTCCTCTACTGTCTCCTCAGTCTCAGGGTGAGACAGCTGCAGATTTGAACCCCAGCAGCTGTGAAGGCAGAGCTCGAATCTCTGCCGACCCTGTAGCTCCATCACACTGGAGGTCAGAGGTCAAAAGTCTCCTTCACAGAGGTTTCCATCAGTACGGCGTGAAGAGAATCGATCCTTGGCTCGCTCTGATTGGTCCAGGAGCTGGACGCAGGAAGGAGGCGGTGAAAAGAGACGAGGAGGCGGGGGGACGAGGATGCAGAGAGATGGCAGGAGTGAGGGGCGTGGAGGTAGGAGTGAGGAGAGGAGCGGAAGAGAGGGAGGAGGCGAGAGAGGAGGGAGGGAGGGAGATGGTGTTGGTGAGGGAGGAGGGCGGAGGAGCGAAGGGAGTAGAGAGGAAGGAGGGAGAGAGGGAGGGCTTTACTAGCTCCTTCTGAGGAAAAAGGAGAGGAAACAAAAATTAGGAAAAAAGAGAGAGAGATGGGGAAAAAGAAAAGTTAATGTGTAAATATATCACTTCACTCCTCTTTGATTAGTACTGGATCGATATTTAACCACAAGGTTGATAAATATTAAAGTGAGACTGTTTTGGTCTGTTCAGGACAAAAATATTTATGCATTTAAAGAAACAGAAAAGAAAAGAGGTAGAGCGACACTTACAGTGAGTGAGCTGCGCTGCTGTTTGTTATAAGGGCTGTATTTGGGTTTGCTGGGTTTTCCTGCCACTCTGTCCTTGTGCCTTCTGCTGGAGATGTGCTGCAACAACATCGACAAAAAGCATTTATGTAAAAGTCTCTGTAGCAAATAAAAAGAGTACACTGCTACTCTGTTGTACTTGTTTGCTGGATGGTGTGGCAAAACAACCGTACTTTCGGGGGCACTGACTTATGCAGGGGTGAGATATAGTATGTTTTCACACATATGAATATATAGCACTCATAATTACCCCCTTTGTCTCTTTTGATCATATCAACTCTACCTGTAAACCTTAGAGTAGAATAACCAGAGTTTGTTTCTGATTTTACTGAGTCGCACAATAGAGTCTGGCGACACAAAATCTTCCCAAATCAATTCTGTCAAGACTCCAGAAGAAGGAGCTTAGTCCAAGGAAACAGAAATGTGCTGCATTGAAATGCAAATAGAGCTTCAAACAGTCTTTTGGAAGCAGGGGTGTTCTGAGGCAGCTGATTTCCCCAGTGGTTGGAGCAGAAATTCAAATTCTGACAAACTGACTGGTCTAAAGTCAAGGAACATTTAGAAGAGAGTCAAATTTGAGAATAAGTTAGTCAACACAGCTTAACATGGGATCAGAGAGTGAGTGAAAAGGTCATTGATCTGTGAAGTGTGGCTAACATTAGCAGAGCTAGCACCAGCAGAGAGACGTTTCTGAAGCTTAATCTGAGTACAGAAGACTTTAATCCAATAAAAAACAAGCGAGGTTTCAGTTTTACTGTAACGTGATTTTACCTGTTTGAGCTGGATCTCAGAGTTGACATGGACGTCACAGATCTGGCAGTGGAAGGTTTTGTTCTGCAGACCAGAGCCCTTCACTGTGGAGCTACTGCCGTTTTTCAGTTTTGCTCCTGGTCGAGGGTACGCCTTAATCGGTCCGGCACCGCTTCGGGCCTCCAACATTGTCTTGTGCTTTGAACCTGCAAACATAAACAAACAGAGACTAACTTCTGTGTATCAGAAAATCTGTCATTATGAACATTTGAAAGTGATAGTAGTAATCAAGTCTTTATCTGAATCAGTTTTGCATGAAAACTTGCATAATTTTGCATTTTCTAATTGTTTTTCTCTCTGATTCATTGCTTTACATATGATTCAGGTAGAAAACTAATTACATATCAAATCATCCCCCATTAGTAATGACCCAGATGCATTTCCATACTATACCACCTTACCTGCATTATGAGCCTCCAGCTGTGAGAGAGAGTTAACAGCAACTTTGCACAGCGAGCAGTACAGTAACTTCTTTGCCTTTTCTTCCTCTGACTCCGCAGAGAGAGATGCGTCCTGGGAGGAGGCCTGAGAAGATGAAGGAGGAGGAGCAACAAGCGCTGAAGAAGTGACAGGAGCTGAAAGAGGGGGAGGCGGGGAAGCTTTGGAAGAAGAAGAAGAGGAGGAAGAAGAAGAAGAGGAAGAAGAGAGGCCAGGGGCTGGAAGAGCAGAGGGAGGACTGGAGGGAGGAGGCTCACTGCCTGCTCTGCTAGAGGAGGGGGAGGAGGACGAGAGCGGGGAGGGGGAGAGGAGGAGAAAAGGCTTGAGAGGAGAGGTGGAGTCTGTGAGGCTAGGTAAGAGCTCTGGAGGACAGAAGAGGAGAAGAAAAGGCGGTATAAAAATCCAGCTCACCCATCAATAATACATGATTAGTGTCATTAACAGTTCACAGATCAGTAGAGAATTAATCAACCTGTGTGCTGATTAGTGCTGTTGACTGATACAGGAAGGGCGGGGCCGGCAGGACTAGTGCTGCTTCCATTGGTCTCTCCAGGGTTTGAGAGCTTGGCCTTGACCTTATTCTCCTGAGATTTGAGCTTCTTGGCATGACGACTTCCTCTGTAATGAGCTTCTGCTTGAGACTGTTGGAAACAAAGAAACTGCTCTTAACTTTGGTTTTATTCATTTTTTTCCTGCTGTTCAAATGTAGAAAACTGTGATATTGATGCCCCTCTCTGTCTGAGGAATATTTCATTGGCCTCTTGGATTGACAAATACCATGGTTGATGATCCTCTTTAAGATAGGGATTAGTTTTTTAACATACTGTTGGATCCCACAGTAGAGTATTTGTTCAGTACAATCCCATACTGTTACAAACTGACACAATAAAAGTGTTACACTATCATATGACATAGTATAAAAAGATACAGTATGTTATGATACAATATGTTACTGGATGATTGAAAAAGAATATGATGAGATACAAGATAATCTAATATGATTAATCACAGCAAAGTAGCAACAATATGAAAAATTATAATACAATGTAACATTGTGCGATACGATATGATGCGATACGAATCAATACATTGCAGTGCGGTGCATTATGATGCGATGCCATACCGACCTGGTACAATGCAACATGATACAATTATTCAGATATGGTATGGTACGGTAGGATACAATATGGAACAGTACGGTATGGTGCGGTGCGATACAATACGATACGATACACTGCAGTGCGGTGCAATACGATATGATGCGATATGATATGATACAACATGGTACAATGCAATATGATACGATTATTCAGATATAGTATGGTTTAGTACAATAGGATATGGATCAGTACAGCATAGTGTGGTGCGATACGATACATTGCAGAGTGGTGCAATATGATGCAATACGATACGATTCGATACAACATGGTACAATGCGATATGATGATTATTCAGTTATGGTATGGTATGGTATGGTACAGTACGATATGATATGGAACAGTACCGTATGGTGCGGTGTGATACGATGATTCAACCTTATGATTCAAGTGTTATAAAAATTAAGCTACTTTAAAGTAGTCTTAATGAATAGAAACAATGAAATTAAGATTAATCCTTCCATAAATGATGACACACCGATTAAAACCATGAGCGGTATATTTAACTCATAACACACTTGTTCTGCATAAAACAAAAAATAAGTAAAAAAGATACAAACACCATGATACAGTCGCACAACGCATGCTGCCCCAAGATACATAATTCACTTTGGTCGAGATTGGCACAAATGAGTTTTCAAAATGGATTAATTTACTTTGTTTTGTCTACAAGAGAGTAAGAGCTTTTACTCAAGTAGAGGAGAAGAAATAGAAGATTCGGCAGCCCCTTTCAAACACAAGCACTCACCGCTCTTCTATAAAAAATTTTTCACACTCTCTAGTTGGGGTATATATGTGAACACCACTGACTGAATCCGCTGACCCTGACTAATGCAGACGTTGTCCCTGCATGTCCTCTATTAATAAGTCAGTATGAAGTTAGGATGAGCCAAAGTCTGAATGCAGCAATTAATAGTCTTGAACATTCACCACAAGCGAGTGGGCAGCTAATGATATCAGTCACATTGGATGAAGTTTCTCCACTTTATAGTCTTTACAACTCGCCTCAGTTGCCTTTATTTTCTTCCAACGAGTCTGTAAAACAGCAGTGTTCTGACACGTGTGTGTATTGTAGTAACCAGCGCTTACTCAAACTGAATGGAGCTTTTGGAGTTGATAAAACATGTCCTTGACTGACAATTTCTTGCTTTAGCCAGTTTTTCAGTCAAATGCATAATGTTCTGCAGGTTTTCTCAGGTTAAACAGCCCGTCTCTGTACTGTAAATGATTGTGTTATGTGCCACCACACAGGGTATCATTCCAGCGTGAGTGTATAAGTGCACTGTAACAAGCCTCCAGGTCGCCATTGTCCTCATGTGACTGTCTGAAAGCTTTGTGACTCAGCTTGAATTCAGTTTATTAGACTAAGTTCAGGCTTTACTCCTCTCCTCTCCCTGTCTCTTCTCTTCAGCAGTGATTCTTGTTTTTGTGTTCTCTCATGAATAATTTTAAATGCTCATACATTAGTGATGTTTGATTGGCATGCCACTGAGAAGGAACCTTGTTATCTCTTGGCAGGCATTATGTGAATGAGCCGAGTCATTTACAGAGTTGTGCTAAGACAGAGCGCCAGGTGCTACACCTGATTATACAAACCAATGTTTTGTGTGAAAACCTAGAAGAATAATGCAAACCTTGCAAATGTTACCAACTAAACTCCAAGCCGAGCTCCAGAAACCAAAGGTGATAAAAATCTGTGGACATTATTTTTACTTTTCAAGGATCAAAGTTAGGAAAACAAAGTTGTAAATTCTGCTGAGATCACTTTATAATTATTAGACAAGCCAAGCTAAAGTAAGATAGAGAGAAAGTTTAATGCAAAATCATGTGACGGATTTGCTTTTGACTTCCCAAAGAGACTTACTAATATTTCCTAACCCTAATCCAAACAATTGAGAAGCTTGCTAGATGTAAAGGTCGATTCCTAACAAGTAACCTATAAAAAGGCTTAAGTTAAGGTTTGGCACCCTTTTTTATTAGAGGCAAATGGGAGGACTTAGATTTCTATGTAATCTCTGAGATACTCCCTTACCCTTTACTTAGTTGTGTAACGTTAAGGGGGCAGCTCTCAGCTGGTCCAAGTTCTTCCTGGCAGATAAGAAATTCTCTTTACATCTGGGGGATTATTTCTCAGAGACAGTCCCTCTTACTCTGGGAGTCCCTCAGGGGTCAGTCTTGGGTCCAATCTTATTTTCTTTCCAAAACGCTCGGTCTATTTTCCATTCAAACTTTGCAGATGATGTCCAAATGTATTTTTCTTTAATATTAAGAGGATTTACTTCAGCCTCTGCTCAATTATCTGAAAAACTTCAGTTAATGGTCAGAGCCTGAACTTCCTGAATCTTAATGAGAGTAAAACTGAGATCATTGTGTTTGGACACCCCGAACAGCTGGATGGAAACACTTTTGGCCCTCTGGCCAAAGTGTTCACTCTTCTGGAAAGTGTCTCAGTGCTTTTACATTTGACAGGCAAATTTCTTCTGTTGTTAGGTCCACCTTCTAAGTAAAGGCTTATCTCCTTCCTAAGGATTTAAAAAGGGTGATCCATGCTTTCCATAACATCTCATCTTGACTATTGTTATTCTTTGTATGTGGGTTTAGAGCAGTCATGTAGCTTGAAAGGAAAAGAAAGAGACCACTTCCAAAATTTTGTTGTTGACTTTTAAGGCCTTTAATGGATTGGCGCCACAGCACTAAGCTGAGCTTCTTTAAGTTTACAGTCCAGTGAGAGCACTGAGGTCAACCAATCAGCTGCTCCTAGATATAACCCTGACAGGTTTAACTAGTTTGTTGAAGTGTTGAGCTTATTGTTGTTTCTTTGTGATCTCTTATATTGGTCAACAGAAGTTACTTATTAAATGTGCGATATAAACTAAGTCAACAAGACTTGACATTTTTGTGCAGTATTTACAGAAATTAAACAGGTCATATTATCAGGGAAGCCAGAGGACAAAAAGATTAATGGAAAATAACAGACTACTCCTTTAAATATGACTAAATGAAAGCTGGTCATAAAAAACATCAAACTAAGTGGAGGAGTACGAAGAATCAAACCAGCGCACACACATCAAAACACAAACATAGATGCTTACATCAGAGTTGAACCTCAGCTGGCAGACGTTACATGAGATGACCTGTTTCTTCTTAGGTACCAACGTGACACCAAAGGTATGGTTAATGACGGCCTTCTGCACCGGGTCCATCTGCAGGACACACACGTAGAGGTAGAGGTCAAAGGTCAACAAACTGCCGAGGACTTACTGAACGGTGATGACAGAGTGATGCTGATGAAGTGACAGGTCTCTTTATCGCATTCAGTCTGTACCGCCTGCAGCTATGACATCCTGTCACTGTAACTGTCCCTCACACCCACACACAAATAGACACACACACACGATCATACCGTGTTGAAGTTTGGGAACAGTCCGACTGGCGTTGACGTCTCAACAGGAAAAGACAGGAAAGGTTTCATCATCACCGATTGACCAGTGGCGCCTATCAGCCCTGGCAACGCACCGCCCACTGTACCACACCCACTTCCTAAAGACCAGGAAACAGAGACAGGGAATGATTGATTTCCAACATGTAATAAAACACTGTTACTGAACTGACCACTCTTTTGTTCTTCAGCCATCTGTTCAGGTGGTTGGTCGCCTGTTTTATATCAAAGAAGAAATTATGGTCTAAAATGGCTCAACGTCATAAACTGAGTAAAACTAGTCCCAGTGACATCACCTCCTGGTTTCTTAACGGAGGCTCTTAAGTCTGGGATTTGTGGTTGCCATATTGGAAAAGCTGATTCAGCCTAATTTGGGGTCAGCCAAAAATCAATGAGGAGGAAATGAGCTGGTGTTTTAACAGACAAAGACTGACTGCCTTTCGCCACACTGGTGACAGCTAAAGTGAGCCTGCCTTTCAGTCACATCAGCAGAGCCTTGAATTATACAAAATTCACAACCTTGATACTTTAAAGACTAATGTCTCATTCAAACATTCACCCCTGTGTAGTGAGTATGAAGAGTGAAATGATCTATTAAAACCAAAATCATCTTTGAACCAGTCCTTAAAAATGTCTATTTTTGCTATAAAGATGGGCCTCTTTAAATGGGTGTGTGTGTGGCTTCCAAGGCTTTTGAAGCCAGCCTCTAGTGGACACTTTATGAACTGCAGTTTTAGGCACTTCTGCTTTATTTGCTTACATTTATTAACACCAAAGGCTGCCTCTTGGTTCAACCACACCAGCTACTGTATTGCTTATTGGCTTGTATAATACCCTTATTCTTCAAGGGGACTATTGCTCCATAATGTTTATTCTTGCTGTCTTTGGTCACTGTCCGCTTGTTAATTGTAAAAAAAACACCCTTCTTAAACTCCAGTAGAAAAAGGCTCTTTCTTTTGCTGTTTTTGCAGAGAGGCAAAGCACTGCCCCTTTTTCAAGGTAGCTTCAGAGGCCCAATTTTTATTTGTGTGTTGTTCTTTCTTTTTTTGTTTTCTTTTTTTTAAAGAAAGATGCTGAAGCCTTCAGTTGGTATTAAAAAACACTTTGCTCAGGGCAAAACTTGTGTTTAAATATAACCTTTCCACAGACTGCAGCACTCTGCTCTTGTCCTCTTCCTTGTAACCTACTGCTGAGGCAATGAAAATGTTGCATTCAATTACACAGTTAAATGTGAGAAAGTCAGTTAAATGTGAGAAAGTCAGTGAATATATCTTACGCTGACCTCATCAAAGATATTACACTATTTTCTGGTGAAGTCTGGAGGTAATAAGTAGGGTAAATCTTTGTCTTTGACTCATTTCATATAGATTTATGGATGTTATTTTGACCTGCAGACCTGGGTGGTTGATGTACTTAACAGCAATAACATGATGAACATATGGCGCCCCAGCTGCTGCAGTCAAGAGGATGCAGTAATACAGGGAGAAAAGAGGAAGAAATGGGTTTTTAAGCAGCTCACATAATGAGTCCATGTGTACAGTTTCCAAAGAGCTACTAAGGGTTGTTTTGTACTTCTGAACTCCCTTCCATCTCCATTAAAAGAGGTAGAGATAAGCCAAGAAATCTGCTCAAACAAAATGCCCGAAAAACTAAACAGAGTGGAAAATGCCTTTGTTGTTCAAAACAACTGAAGTATCCCAACTCTTAAAAGCCACATAGAGTCAAATCATGGCATTATTTTTGTGTAATCTTCGTGTGTGCGGGCCATTTCAGGGAAAGTCGTGATGCCTTGGAATTCAGACTCCAAATTTAAACCTCCTCGCAGCTGTGTTTGTTCCAGTTACGCATGAGAAGGTGTTACATATACATACGCTGCGTACACAAATACAAAGAGTAAACCTGCTGGAGAATAAGAGTTATTCTTCTTTCTATGTACCTTTAAAGTCACAGCTTGCAGAAGCCCTGCAGTGAATTCTTTCGTAACAACAGAGTGTGGGTGAAAACACTGAGAGCAACTGAATCAGCTCTGACAGAGAAGGAGGAGGAAGAGTAGGAGAGGAAGAACATTTAGTCTTCTTGGTTTAGTCCATCTGTCCAACTTAATTTAGGCAAACCCATCTGATTGCATTTTAAATACTCTGTAAACTTGTCTGACTGATTTCAAACGCTTTATAGGTCATTCCATCACATTCTGTATGTTTCATAATCCAAATTCACCAACTGTGAACTCAATGTTACCCCGCTTCTCCACACTGGAACTCACTCTCAGAGCACAACAGCCCATATCAGGCCACTGTGGAAACATCCTGACTGGGTATGTGCGTGATTAGTCAACTCAAGGATTGAATCTTGTCAGTCTTGATATTTTTATAGTTGGCCCAAAATGCTGGTCATATGTTGTGTCTGACCTGCAGTGTAGTCACCAGAGATGGCGACTGAAAAACAAGATTTTACACCAGATAAATGCAACTAAGTGGGTTTTCATGCCTAACCAACAAGATAAAAAAAATATGCTCAATGTGTAATAAAATTGTTTAGGACTGCATGAACGGCTAGAAATGGTATAATCTTGGGGAGTAAAATATCATAAGTGCTGCAGCACCCACTCTTTTTTTTCCATTTCTAAATAAAGCAATGAAATTAAACACATAAGACTATCTATTTTTATAACTTCCTCTTGTTACATAGATAAAAATACATTTAAAAGATTGAGGAAGATTTGAGAACGATAAGAAAATTGAAATAATGGTAGGCATCGTGCAGCCATGTCACCTGGCAGCCACTAATACTGGTAAAGTACATTATGGTAAAGAAAAGATTTTCAGATTTCTTTTGTGAACCACCAGACATTAAAAAAGCACACCAAAAGATAAACCCTTGAGCACCAAGTCATGGTTGGAGTTATTTAAGCACCCCTCCAACTTAAAGCCCCTTCCTTCATCTGTGACAGTGTAATATTATCTAATATGAAATAGTGTAAAGAAATTAAACTCACAGTTTCTTCGTCTATCTGTTTGCACAATATTGCTGCTGAATTAAATAAAAGCGTGGTTTCTTCATCACCCACTTGGGGCCAATTAGTCTGAATGTAGCTATTAGCTTGATTACACTTCATCTAACTGCACTAATAATCATTCTGTACCAATAATATCTACTTCAAATACTGTATTACTGATCCTGCACAACTGTAAAGATTTAATCGATTTTTAGTTGACAATATCTATTCTAACCTTTTCTAAATACCTTCCAACACAATAAGTCCCACCCAATCAAAAGTAATGCTCATCTCTAACCACTCAGTTTAAAATACCCCAATTGTTATTAAATTCGATATAACCCATTTTAAAATACCTCATAAGCCCTTTTATCCTCTCTTAATTGCCCATAACCTCCCTTCAACTACCCTGGGTGCCTTATGACCAATATCTAACACCTTCTTAATGCACCATAAGCCCCTATAATATGTCTAATCCAGCTCTATCCCTTGCAGATGAGGATTTCTGAGAAAGTTTTACATGTTGATCTGAATAAACTCAACTGAGCAGGTCTTCATTGTGCCCAGATCAGACAATGCAAAGCCAGGCCAGGAATTGCCAGCTATGAGTGTGCGTTCAGACTGGCACCAAGCTAGAGGAAGATTGGCTGAGTGCCATGATGATTCTCACTGAGTTTATCCTCATATAACAGAGCTGTGAGTCAGTATCTGTATTTATCACTAACAGCATGACACAACACAGTGCTGTAATCAAACACATGTAGACAGACGCACAACAGACCATATCACTGTCTGGATCAGCTCAGAGATTATGTATTATAGTAAATACAGATTAACATCTATTTTTAAAGAAGGTGTAGTGTGTCAGCGGGTTGGATCTGCCAAAACAAAAGCTTCGCCTTAAATAATTCATCATGTCTTTTAAGACGATGTATCACTAGCATCTGAAATCTCCCAGACATGTCAAATATACTATATTACACTCTAGGTGTTTTCAGCTAACAGTTTAAGACATTTTGGACAAGCCACTGAACTGATTTGAAGACAGTATCATAGTTATTATCAGGAATGCCGTCATACCTCACCATGACTTTGAGCTGCCATGGGAAAGATGCAGTCAGAAAGGGTTTCTGATACTATTAGTTAAGTAATGAGTTTAATCTATTGTAGCAGTACCTCCTTGAGCAGCAGTAAAATCACCTAAGGGCTTATAAAAAAAAAACTCTCAAAAAACAACGGACCACTGAAATCATCAAGACAAACAAAAAAACACTGAAAACCAAAGAACCATAGAGACACTGGCAATCCCTTTAGTATAACTACAAAAAGAAACCAGAACACTGGCACTACCTTGAGTAGCGATGTACCACTGAAACTACTAGAGAACTAATGGACCACTTAAACCAACTAGAAGACGAATGGACCTCCGAAACCACCAGAGGACAAGAGGACTACTTGAAAAACCTAGAGTACCGATGGACAAGTGATACCAAACAATGGACCAGTGAAGCCAATATGGGTACTGATGGACCACTGACACCCCCTAGAAAACTAATGGACCCCTTTTGGATAGATCACTTTTATTAAAACCATCCTAAGAAACAGTGGAAATTTTTAACCACATCAAGAAATGATGGACCACTGAAAACACCTTGAGTATCAATAAACCATTGTAAAAATTCAATGGACCAATGATCTCACCTAAACAAAAAAAATGGACCACTTAAACCACAGAGCCCAAAGAAAGAAACAGGCATCTTTCAAATCCCTATGGTACCCTAAAAGCTCTCTTAGACAGACGCCATCGAGCAGAAAACCATTCAAGGTCATCACCCCTCCCTAAAGGACTATACAAGCCATCCGAAGGACTTGTTGACAGACACTTAAGTACCTTTAAAAGTTTTTATGGACAAGTATCTCCATCTCAAGTTATTTCACCTGCCATTGACCCCGGTGTTAATTTAAGTACTGTCTCCATATTCTATATCACATAAGAAGGAAACTCTTTGACTCGCTTCAAGGACCACCAAAGCTAACTCCCAAGACCAGTTAAACCGTCTTTAAGAAGCCCCAGAACCTTCTCAAGGACAACGTAAGCCACCAGGAGGATCGTGAGTGTCTTGTTGGACTGTAGGAATATCTCCAAGATTCCTTAGGCCTTGAGAAACTCTATCTCACAACTGTTTGACCTCCTTTTTAATGTCAGTGTTTCGGTGTCAATCAACACAACACTCAAACGTCCAGAGATTTTAAAGTGTGCACGCTGATATTCCTTTCTGGTACTTTTACTCAGTTTTAGGGTGTGAATGTGCCACATATTGGAGACAGAGTTTAACTGAGTCTGAAGTTTGACATGGTTTCCTGTATGATCGGTATGGATCGGCGATATCTTTAAGTATGTGTCTGTGTGACGAATTGCGTGGTGACAGGGTCATCTTAATCCTGTCCTTCTGTCCTCTAATATCTGGTTACAACACACATGCGCACACACAAACACACACATACACACTCCCAGTAACCCTTCTGTCTTACAGTTAGTTGCTGTTCTAAGAAGGTGCTATAAATACTGAAACACATCTGCTACTGCATTCACATGGTCTGTAAGCCAGAATGAAAACCAGCCAGTGACTAAATAACGAGCCGGACAGTTTTATTTCAGGCCGTTGATGATTGCTCGGAAGATCTGAGAAACCAAGCGCCACCTGTAAACAAACTAACTAACACTCTCAGCTTAAAGTTTCCCCACAGGTTTCTTTAAATAATGATTTTCCATCTGCACCCTACAAATCTCGAGTCTGGAATTAGTCATGATTGTCCTCAGTAACTTAAAACTACTTTGCACTGTATTTGTCTGATACAGGATCTGACATGTAATGAAAAATCTGGTTATGGGTATGACCAATCAAAATAGTTTCTAAGAACGTGTTGGCAAAAGAAGGGAGCATTCTCAAATATTTCAAATGTCTTTGTACCAGACACTTGATAACAAATGAAACTCAGTGCTAGTTTGTGGACTACTGTAACTGTCAAGTCCAAAATACCACCATCATTCAAGCCAAGCTGGCTAACAGGGTCTTTAATTTACTTTTCATCTTCCCTTCCCACTGTGGCAGTTCAATAAACACTTCGACCAGCCAGTCACTGTGTTAACTTGCCAGATCTCCACTCAGTTTAAAGTCTGGAGTCCCTAAGCGCCTGAAAATACAACTGTTGAATGAACCAGTTACCAGATGACCAGAATTATACTCGCATTATGAGCTTGTTGATTTAAATGACAAGGGAAAATCTTTGGTTTCCTGGTATGGCACATAAACTGAAAAGATAACCTCATCTGAAGATATAACCAGAAAAATATAGGCTTGAATTTCTTATGAGTGACATAATCTGCAGTTTTATCAAGGGATATTTCAGTATTTTTGAAGGAGGGTTGTATGAGATATGTCACTAGTATGTGTTCCAGCCACAATGAATGCTCGGCAGCTCTGCCCCTCTGGTAGGAAAAATTAGAAGCATGTTTCACTTATCAAAATACACCGTGTTAGCTGTTGAAGGGGAAGACTAAGCTGAAATAATAGACATCCACAGCTATAACTGCGTCTGTAAGCTAATCTTAGGCATTCGGCGCTTAATATCATGCAAAGCTGAGGTGCTGATAGTGTAGCAGATTAGATGCACCCCATATGTGCAAATGGTCAGAGTTCAATTCCACCCTGTAGCCCCTTTCCTGCACATCACTCCCTGCTCTCTACCCCGTTTCCTGCTCTATCCGATGCCCTCTATCAATAAAAGCCAAAAAAGCACCAAAATAAATCTTAATAATATGCAAAGCTGAGGTGCAACAATATCAAAATTCACAGTGACTCATACAGCAGAGAACTGATTAGCTTATCAGCCTGTATGCAAATGCACTATTTGCATCCACAAATGGTGCAAAAACAAACGAGTTTTCTGACGGTTCAGAGTGTAGTGTACACCAAAACCAAGATGTGCATTTAGATCAGGGTCTCTCAAAACATAGCTAAATTGCAAAGCAGAGTTGGCCGCCTCTGTAGAAAACTCTAGCATACCTTGAGTCCAGTTTCTACGCGCAGTTTCTCAATAAAAGGGCTGATTTTGCCAGCATTCACTTTGGTTAGTACTCTTAGAAGTGACATAGATAACTCATACAACTCGACTTCAAAAATACTTAATACCCTATTAAGATTAATTTTTTTTCAGTGGATTTAGCAAGAGCCAAGAGCTTATTTATAATATACTATAATAATGTAATGTCATATAATGTGATATGGTATGGTATGGTATGGTATAATGTAATATAAAATAATACAATACAATACAATACAATATAATATAATATAATATAATGTAATATTCAATCATTGCATGCTGTGTTGTGTTTACTTGTATCTTTGCTTTTCAGGATGTTGTGTTGCATCACAATAGCATTGCCTTTTATTGTTTCATTTTTAGTGTGGTATTGTATTATCTAACATCAAACCATGTTAAAGGGATAGTTCACTTTTTTTTAAGTGAAGTTGTGTGAGGTACTCGTCAATAGTAAGTTTATTAGCAATCCCACTTCCAAAAAATGCTGAACTGTCCCTTTAAAAACCACTTGAATATAGATTTTTGTGGCTGTATTATAACACTGACATTACTTAACATGAGTAAAAAATTATCTAATTATACCCGAAAACACTTTTTTTTTGATGTGGCAATAAGTTCTGTGCTGGTCATTACTTACAGTCTTTCATCAGCAATGGTGGGCGTTCAAATGAGGACAAACCTCCCATGACCTGACGTTACTTCATCAAACAGTGTCCATTGTCATTGTTTGGATGACAGACTCCAAGCGGCAGCATTTACATCCCATGAGGTTAAGTCATCATTAGAGGAAACTATTTCACAGTGTTAAATGATCAAAGTTTTCCTGACATCAGCAGCTGCGGAGATTAGATGTTCTATAAACCATCTATTCAAACCTATAGCTAAACCCAGGGTATTTCTTAGCCTCCAGTTTCCTGCTGGCCAGTCCAGTTTGATCTGAAGCGGTGAGATTTACGATTCTGGCTGCAGCCAGGGTTATCTCTGGCATTCACACCTCAAACACACACACACATTTACACACACATGTGGTCAGTTCTACTTGGAAGCTCATATGATAAAGACGTAAGAAGGAAAATCTCACACTGTGCTCTGCTGTAGCGTCAGCTGCAGACCGAACCTCACGAAACCGATCTGACCTGCAGAGCTCTGTGTCATCTGTCACAAACCACAACCGGCAACTAAAGAGAACGGCTTATATTTAATCACTCACCCAATTTAGTATATTAATCCAAATGGAGCAGATTAAGTTTTTATTTGCAGGAATGGCACAAAGAGCATCTGTGGTGTTTCATCTTCAACATGGTGAAGATATGCTTGCAGTGGCTGGAGGTGCAGAGGCCGCACTGATCAGGCAGGTTTTATGGAGCTCCTGAGGACATTTGAGCAAAACATTTTTAACTAAAATCTCTGGTGTTGTGGGGTTTTCTATGATAAACCTTAAGAGTCACAAATTCTCTAAATCACAGCACTGCTACCAATCTTTCCTGGCTGATAACTCCCCCCCAAAGTTTGGTACAATATGAACCATTAAATGTTTATCTGACTGGAAACAATTTTGGAAAGTAAAAGTAAGAGGAAAAAGAGGCAATTTTAGAAAGCATTGTCTCCCTTGGACTGAACAATGACTGTCATAAACGAAGATATCAGCTGCATGTATTATAAAAACCCACTAATATACAGAGAAATCCACAGTGCCAGCTCGGTGAAATTAAAATAAAACTCGCACATAGCAACCAGCTGGCCAATAACAGCTCATGTTTCCACTGCACCACACACTTCTTACATGTGTCTGTGTGTGTGAGAGAGAGGCTCGGTAACACTTTCCATAACACTCTAAATATGTCCAAACATATATCAAAGTGTCTCAGTGATACCGGTGTTTCTCTGAGTGGCAGGGATTCCTTAACCTTTTGCAGAGTGCATTTAATCAGTCCATCACCGTCACTCCTTTGTTGATGTACAGACAAACAGGCTACAGATGTAAACCCTTTTTTGCACTGAGATCAACTTTGGTTAACTTTTTTCTTAGCGAGCGAAGTTGACAGCTGACCTTTGAAGGAACAACGAGCCGTAAAGACCAAAATAGTGGAAGACATTGTTGCTTATTAGCTTCGTTGAACCATCCGCTTTTATCCAGCCTTATCCATCAGGGAATTAACTGAGGCACAAAAGAGAAAAGGTTCACGTACAGTTATGTAAGGGGAATCCTTGCCACAAAAGCATCCCCCGAAAAAAAAAAAAAAAAGATGCGCTTTCTACTGATGGTTATCTGAAATCAATCAAGCCTGCCAGTTCAGATCTTTCACTGAGGCTGCAAAAACATCAGTCATATGGTGAAAACACTTCATCACAGGGTAATTCCTCCACTCAAATGTTAATATAGGGAAAGCACCGACAAATAAGCCACTAATGTCAGCAGCAAGTGTATTTAATTGATCCACCTTGTCATTAAATATTTGTTCATTACACACCTTTTCAGTATTGAAGAATCAGATGCACTCCTTCATGGTAGCTGTGAACTGATTGTTACTATGTCTGTGTTGTGATTCATGGTTTTGAGATGTGCTCCACTGCATTTAATTGGAACATTTTTCACATACAGGCCAAAGTGCATACAAATATCTGTTATTGTATGCAGATTATTTTGTATTATCTTTGACCCTCTCTCTTTTAAAAAACATCAGCTGCGACAGCCTAATCGGTTCAGGTGGAAGTTGTACTAAGTAATTTGCATTGTTCCTACCAAATAAACTGTATTATCTTAAAAAAAAAGATATATTTACAGATTTTTTTCACGCAAAAAGTGGTCAGTTAAATATTTTCTATTTTCTTTATGCATGGCATCACAGGATGATTTTCTCTTATCTATTTCTATCAGGAATGCAACAACAATGAAATGTTGAGACTTGCAACCTGTCAAAATATCAATAGCCCCAATAAAATCAATGTGCATTAGTCTGACCAACTAAGTCAGAACCTTCATCTGTATGAAAGCCAATCCCCCTTAGCTACAGTAACTATAGCAACTATAGCATATTATAGCATAATATCCTTTTCAAATACTGATTTAAATGAAACTTCATTTCCTAAATTTTGTTTTGTATGTCAAATTGCAGCAACAGACCATTTTATTTGCAGCATACACAAGGGTTAAATTTCAGACAGTTACATCTTCTTGTTTGGGAAAAGTATTCTGAATCACTCTAAACATTAACGGGTCTTTCTTGGATTGACCCATGTCAGTCCCTTTTGCAAGATTTATGATATATGGGCAATAGTTCGTTGTTAATCCTGCTGACCACCCAACAGCACCAAAACATTGTTAAAAAAAATTAGGTTCTATGAAAGGATCACAAATAACCAAAGACTTCTTTGTGGGAGTTCTTACAAAAGCATCATCTGTAGAACCAAAACTAGAAACAAAAGGCGCATTAAAAAAAATCAGAGAATTGAAAAAAAACAAAAAAAAAACATGCACTGTAGAGATGAGAACTGCAGGTCAACGCACACGATACGATACGATATGATACGATACGATACGGTACGATACGATGCGATACAATACGATACGATACGGTACATTATGCTACAATTAAATATGTTAACGTTAGGATATGATACTTTGTGATGCAATGAGTTGATGTTCAGTGGGATTTGATGTGATTGGATACGATAAGAAACAAAATGATAGACATCGTCATTAGCCAAACACTAGAATTAATTACAATACAATATGAAATGGTTTAATACAATATGATGCACTTGTTATGATGTGAAATGCTGTGATACAGTTTGGAAAATTATTATAAATAATATAAACTACGCCAAAGCAGAGAATGATTCTATGACCGATACAATGACAATAACATACGGAAGAGGAGGTTTGTGGATATATCAGAGGTTTTTAGACTATAATTTCTGGATAAATGACGATATCATAAAGTGTAGGATTATTGTCCTCGGCACTTTCAGAAGAAGTCATGATGAATAATGCTGGGATTTAAAACAATATCTTTATTATGATGTATAATGTTGATATTAGACGTAAGGAATACAGTAGTTGAATAGCTGAAACTATTTCTTGCTGTATTTATATTTTGCTGCTCGGTGTCATCTCCAAAGTCTATTTAGCGCAGTGATGGAGTGTTCACTGCAGTAAATCCAGTATACATATCAAACACACACAGAGAGGTTTAGTGAATAAACGCAGACTGTGTAAAGCTGATTAAATCATTATCATCAGTAGCAGCAGCATAAAATCATCCAGACTGATACTACAGCTTTACTATATTATCATTAACTCTGAGAGCTGAGCAGAGGAACATCTGGTGCTGTTAATCAGACTGTGAAGTGATTTGAACGAACGGAGTTAAAGTGAAACCAACAGCAGCAGAGATGTTTCACACACAGACGGAAGGAAGTGATGTGGGGTGAAGGAGAGGATGAAGATGAAGGTTCCTACCTGAGCCAGACGTCTTTTTTCCCCCTATTTGGATCCAGATTCACTTTTTTTCCTCTTTAATTTTCTCCTTTTTTAGTTTGTGTTTATCCTCCTATACGCTACTCTGTCGTCTACTGTACTCAGCCTGCATGTGCGGCTCTGCTCGTTTCTTTTTAACAACCAAAACGCCAAACACACCCAACACTCACTGTGCTGCCTTCTGTGTGTGTGTGTGTGTGTGTGTGTGTGTGCGCGCGTGTGTGTGTGTGTAACGGAGAGAGAGCATATCAGGTGACTGGAGCAAGAGTGGCATGTGTCATCGCTATCTGAACCCCAAAACCCTGAGTGTCAGGTGTGTATTTCTGTGTGTGTGTGTGTGTGTGTGAGGGAGAGAGAGTGTGTGTGTGTGTTTGTGAGCATGTGTGTGTGTTTGTGAGCGTGTGTGTGTGTCGGCTACTTCTTAATCCCCTGCTGCCATTTCCTCCAGAGAGAGGAAACCCAATCCCTAGGGACGAGAGAGAGAGAGAGAGAGAGTAGAGGAGAGAGAGAGAGAGAGAGAGAGAGAAATACACACTGAAAGGGAGAAAGACGACCTCACACACTTACAGATAATATTGGAGGATTAAAGCTTAAATTACGCTGCTGCAGTCACTGCTTTGTGTGTGTGTGTGTGTGTGTGTGTGTGTGTGTGTGTGTGTGTGTGTGTGTGTGTGTGTGTGGTTCAGACAGCAGTTGTTGTAGGTTCACACTGTCTCCTGTTACACAGAGCACAGTGTGTGCGCCTGTTTTGAGCAATCCATACACCCAACTAACCGGTGCACAGTTGGTATTGTACATATGGAAAAAATGCTTCATTTTAGCATTTCCTCTTCTCAAATTGTCTTTACAGAACTATCTGGAGTGTATCTCATAATTACTTCAAACATCATCTCAAACCTTTAAGTTTTCTCATTTTCACTTCCTCATAAGCAGCTCCGATCAATGTGGAAAAAAAAGTTTAATAGGATGAGGAGGTTGCGGCTCAGCTGTATTTATAACATATTTTACAATAGTGTTGCAAACTATCAGATTGCCACAGGAGGAGAGAGGAGAGCAGGGAGAGGAGCAGGAGGAAACAGGCGAGTGTTTCCATTTGTGTCTGAAAAGCCAAGGGACAGAACAAGTGTGACAAGAGAAAGGCTGCAGCGGGTATAAACAAACTCATGACTGGTGTTGTGTCGTTCATGAATGTTTCATTCAAAAGAACGGAACCTGCTGAGTGAACGATGTGAATTGAATCACTCCGAGACCTGATTCGTTCCCTTTTTAGTTCAGTTAAGCTCAGCTGTGAGCCTGGCGTGTTGATTGGAAGTGGAACTGCCACCTTTGACTCTTTGGCGAACGACACATAGCCAGCCAGCCAGCGGGCCAGCAGAGTTTCGTGATTAGCTGACAGCGAATGAACTAATGTATCGGTCAGACTGTGAACGAAACAAACGACCTCTGAACGACTTGAGGCAGGCAGAGGAGGGAGGGGTGTAGCGTCGTTCACGAACTGCAGGAGGGATTTAATTTTCGCCGATTTAAAGCAATACGCTTTTTGATATTTTAAAAGTTGCAAAATCCCCACTACAACTGCAACGTTTATTTTTAATCTCTCCACTTTTCAGCGATATAAAAGAACGGTGACTCCCACTCATTTAGCAGGCATGCTACTTGCTACTCTGTTGTTTCACTCACTGCTGTGTTGTTTGATTCTGAAGATTCAGTACAGTCAAAAGAACTGTTCTTCCCATCACTACTGATGACTGCCTGGCTATACTGGCAAAGGGAATGATATGACATGGATAACATATAATATTAAAAAGAGAAGAAAAAAAAAACTTTCACTAAAACTATAATGTAAGAGTTTTTTAATTTAATCTTGTGCTGGGGTTTAACAAGCAGTTTCCAGCATACTAAGAAGTAGCCTTCATGTAAAAAGTGGCCCAGTGCCAGTGCTCTCCTTATCGATCTCTTCATCTCACTCTCAGATAAAAAGTGCACCGCTGAGTTGCCCCCGGATGTCTTAACTAAACTACTGTTAACAGATTCCCTCCCTGGCTTCCCACTGCAGCTGAAATCAGTGCTGCTGGAGATGAAGCCTGGAAGAACACAGGATATAAATACACCAGTGATCCTGCTGGGAGGAGGATCCGTCTTACCACCTTCATCTGCATCTTAAACATTCCTGATCCACGGAGAGGGAGAGAACTGTAGAGCGACATTAACCGAATGTGGTTCTGCTGACGGTAGCATTAGACATCACACTGCATTATTATTATGCAGAGGAACACACACATTAGCATAACAAGCCTGTGTGTGTGTGTCTAAGTAGGTCACGTTCAGATCCTTCTTCATCCAAAATAAGGCATGCACGCACACATGCCGCACACACATTCACACACACACATCAGTCCAATCAGGAATATGAAAACAGACAAGAGGGCTCCAGTCTGAGACTCGGTAGGAAAACAGTGGGAACTGACGGAAATAAAACTGCTTAATCAACTGCAAAAGTCATCTAATTAGTGCGAAATTAAAACAGTGTATTACAGTGTGAGACTGAACAAACAACAAACTCGTGATTTAGCCGTTCTTTGAATCAGCTTTGTCAGTAATGGAGAAAAAATGTTTCATTTGTCTTTGGGTAAAACTCATTAAAAAGTCAGGGAGGTTCATCCTCTGTGGAGCATGATTGTGTTCGAATAATTGTACATAAATCAGACATTTCATGACTTTTTAAAACTTTTTGTGTTGGAAGAAGTATTGAGCAAACTGAGACCCAAATGTACAGTTAAACATTTTTATAAAAATTTTTTCTTTTTCATTGTCTCCAGCTCCGGCAGTTCTAATGTTTTTGATGCAGACTACAGCACAGAGCAACCAAGAAAAGAAAAACCCATCAAGCAAACAAACCAGAGCAGACTTAATGAGACAGACTTTACTGATCCTTTTAGGAAGGTTCCCTCAAACAAATTAAAAACAATTATAACACAGACTGAAAAAGTATACAGCAATTTACAGCAACAAGTTTAATTGCAGCAAGGCTTTTTGTGCACAAATGGATGAGCCTACATCTGCTGGAGTTCCCTGTGCGGCTAAAAGTCATTGCTGCTGAGATTGCTGAGATTGCTGCTGCCATCAGACACAATACTGTTCGAAGCAGAACTGGCCAAACATAGAAAGCTTTGAGGAGAGTGACAGACTCTGCAGATGTCTTTTGGTTCATTTCTCAGGTCTTTCTGTAAAGTACAGTGGAGCATTTCAGAGTCTCAGTAAAAGGGACACATATCTCTTGAAGATTTTCATGACTATGACTAGGAAACCAACAATAAAGTGCTGGCTTAAGAGAAACCCTCCCACCGTTAAACTACCTGGAAACATTATTAAGTCTATTTGCAGTTCAGAGAGGGAGAACAGAAATAAACGCTAAGAAAATGGGATTGTTACCATAAAGACTCTGAACCCTTCCTGTATTTGTTTCAAAGATGTTGATGTCCAAGTCTGTAGCTGGTAACTGAGACGGAAATGTCCGTCTTAACAATGGGACGATATGCTTTTCTCCTGGTTCAATTCTTTTACGATTTTTTGGATGCAAATTCCATTTAAATTGCGATTCTATGATATTGTCGATATTCTCGATTTTTAATCTGCATTTTTAACACCAGTAAAACAGTTGAATGATTATGATTGTCTACTGACTATTCCAGGAACCATATTTCTCCATAAAATACACATCACATGAAAGTCAAGATTAATTCTAAATGTGAAAAAAATAAAATAGATTTTTGATCAAAAAAAGTCAATTTAAAATTTGCAACAAAAAATTGCCATACTTATGTGAATCGATTTTTCCTCCCACCCCTAGCTTCTAGGCAGGTTCACCACAAGTTACATTGAGCTAGCATTTTCAACATGGGGACCACCTACAACAGGCTTCTAACTTCAGTTTTAGACACAAATCGGGTGACATTACTGAGATTATGTCCATGTTTTACACAGTCTACGGTTTTTCTGCACTGTTGGCAAAGCATGGCCAATTTTGTGACTGAACAAAGGGCAGGCAAAGAAGCTGCACCAGATGACACAACTTCTAAATCAAAGACCAGTAATTATAAAGTCATACCTCGTTCTCACATTCACATCCGCCTGCCCACACATTCAAAATTTAGAAGCATTACTTTCAAGTGCGTCCTTTCTTATAGCAGCATGCTGATCACACATTTAGTCTGCACTTCTGTTTATTTTTGCAGAAAATCTTTAAAATAATTCCAGAGATAGAGGAATTAGTCGTTGGACCACGTGTCTGGTGTGTGTTTCAGAGACAGGGCTATTAGACATGTTTCTGTGTGGGTGCGTTTGATTCAGGAAAGAGTGGCTTGAAGATATTTCAGTCGAAGAACGCCCTCCTGAAAAAGTTTGGGAAGTGTGCCTGAATGTTTGTGTTCTGATATGAAGTGTGGGAGAGCTTGGATGTTTATTACTTTTCAAGAGGAAGCATAAACCTCAAGAATCTCAACAATTTTCTATTAATTCTAAATAGATGAAGACCAAACATAGTGTAATATTATACCAATTTTGAAATTATGTTTTCATGTGTTTTTTGTTCATATCCTATTCTATTTTGTAATCCTGGTGTTTTCATATTCCCTCTAGTGTCACTTCCTGGTGATGCTCTTTTTTATTCTTATTTCTGTTTGACAATCCTGCAAACATTAAATTATCAGCTGAACTGAGCCGGTGAACATTACTGACCTTAATTGTACTCAGCCCACTACATTACACTTCTACTGAATGACTACTTAAAATGTCTGTGCCGCTTCATGAATGCTCCTCCTTAACTTCATCACACTTTGACTGTTAAGTAGGGGGATGTCGTTTTTTAGTAGGGTTGGTTTTTACAGAAGGTTTTATTATAAATCCAAACCTTAATTCTTTCCTACTAGACCTCTATGGGCTGGGAGCACAGCATTTCCTCTCCTTATGAACGCAGATACACAAGGGAAAGATTATCAAGTCTTAAATCTTGTTGGTGAAATGGCACCGCTGTTTCTCAAGTGTAACCAATTACTGTGATAGCAGCTCTTTGGTTATGCTGAGTTAGCCAGGGGGGCTACAATAACAGGCTAACATTTTATGGCTGAAGTCATATTCTTGAAGACTTGCCCTCTATTGGGTCTCTCTTTTTGCTTCATTAGTCTAGCCTGTGTACTCTCAGTATTCCTTTAAATATCAAGATGGGTACTGGGTGAATTGTTTATCTGAAAATCCAAAGGGATGTCCACCATTGTTGATATTAACGCCATTAAAGACTCTGCTTATTGATCTTATTATTCATCAATCCTCCTATCAGCGACGTCTCTGTTTAGCAAGCAACCAACGGTGCAAATTATATCAATAACTTGAACCACTTGAAATAATCAAAAAGAGAAGCCCACAGGTGTTGGACTGTGTCCTCCTGATCTGTCATAGCTGAAACTACAGCTGAACAAAGTAAAGATCAGTGACAACAGACAGTGAAACTTCAGTAACAAGTGCAAGTCTAAAGAAATAATTTGACACTGAAATGAAATCAACTCAAGCACAAACACTCCCGAAATTAGCTCCTATCTTCAAAAGTACAACCAAAGACAACCAACAATCTTTAGACTTGTTTATGTCTTCATGAAGAGCAAAAGATATGAGGCTTGATGCTACAGAGCAGTGTAAAATCCCTAAAACAGTTTTAGATTAGGTTCAGGTTCAATCTAGAGAAACATTGCACAAGGAAACAATTGTGTGTGTGCAAGCAAACCAGGCATTAAACACACGCACACATACACACACGCTGTGCTGTAGTGATGAGCAGCAGTGTGTGGGTAATCACAGCAGTCACGCTATCTATAATCAGAGGAATGTCAGACACAGTCATTCAGACAGACAGCAGGACGTCACAGATACAGGCACCAATCGCAGTTCCCTTCTCTAATTACATATTCAGTTTAATCCTGAAATCTTCGAGAAGTTCTTTGTGTTTTAAGAGCCAAAATGTTCGTTTATCTAATGAGATTCCTGGAAATAGTCTTCCTCCGTGTGAGCAGAAGCAGTCAGATTTCCATACCGAGCGCACATAAGAAGATCATCACATTAAAGCGAGAGAGGCAGCACAGTGTGTTGTAGTGTCTGTAACAGAGATCTGAAGTAAGCGAAATTATCACCATCTGCAGGAGGAACGGTCCCAGTTTCTGCCTGTTAATGTGCATTTGCGATTTGCGCATTAAAAACCTAAGTGGATTTGCCAAAAATTATTACTCAAATATAAACTCACATGGCTGCTCGCGTGGCTGCAGACTGTCACTACTACACTAAAAGTCCTTGATGATTTAGTTGTATCAAAACTACATTATTTATGAACGTCACATGTAGGTGATTCTAAATTCTGCAGAGATACACAACAGTCTCAAAGTTACATTAACTTTAATGGTGTTTATAAAAATACTTAGCACAAGTCTTATATTTTACAGTCATTAGATATTAGATCATTCTCTAATTTTAAGATCTAACCTTAAAACATTGGATTTTATTTTGAAAATCTGCTATTTTCAGCCTTTATTTTGTCTATCTCCATCCTTTGCACAACTTTTATATCTAAACCAAGAGAATAAAAGTAGATATCTTAACAGCAAATGAAGAAGTAGATAAATGAACAACAAAAACCCTGCAGGAATCAAGTTATTTAGCTGTGAAGAAATATATATCAGAAATAACTGATCAAACAATTATATTCAACCTGTGCTGACAGCTGACTCTGTCTCTAAGTCGGTCACAGTTTCCACAGTGGAAGCACCATTTTTAGACTGTAAACACTGTAGGGGCAGAGAGACAACAACCTCAGGTCAAGGTTCGAGTCTAGGTCAAGACTTTTGTGTCATTCAATACCTCAGAAAACAACATACTGACACACAGCACACGCAAAGATTCCTGCAGACACAGTGTGTATAAATACATACAATCAGGAGCCCCCCACACTGAAAACAAAACCTCTGAATCAAAGCAGCTAAACGTGGAGCTGTGACACAAAATTAAGAAGGATTTCCTACCTCGATTGAGGAAACTACTCCACATCATCGACAGAGAAACAGCTGTTTCGTCTCACCTCCTCCTCTTCCTCCCTCTCCCCTCTGTCATCTGCTCCCTGATTACAGCGAGGAGGAGAAAACCCCAAACAAACGGCAGAGAATCGCCACCTGACTGCCTGTCTGTGCGAGCCCAGAGGGACACGTGTGTATGTGTGTTTCCGTGTGTGCGTGGATAGAAGAAGGCGACCGACACACAGTGAGAAAAGAGACGGAGCGTACAGTGCATCTGAATCACTGAGGTGATGATATTCAGGGTGAGCGGTGATGACAGCCACTCTGTCTCAATGGAAATCCCTCTTTCACTGTGTCTCTATCTCGGTGTTGCTCACTCGCTCTCAGCCAGTTCATGGCATCACGGTTCACAGCGGAGAAAGAGGAGGGGAGGAGAGGAGAGGAGAGTGGAGGACAGGACTGAGGAGGAGAAAAAGAAAGGAGCACAGATCTGTTGTGTTTTTGAGAACAACACGCATAATGAATGTAGCTCAGAATGAAAGAAAAAAAACAGTAAATAAAAGAAACTAATAATTTGGAAATACAACATTTAGGGAGATAAAAAAAGAAAAACAGATTAAATTAAACAGAGAAAAGGCATGAATGTCAAAACTAGGTTAAAACAAGAAGGGAAATGAAATACAAACGAATAAAATGTAGAAAAAAATCCTCTTTTAGTTTTTTCTATTTGTTACCATTTTCTACCAATACAACTCATCCTTTTCTAGCTTGTAGTTTTTACATTTTGGTATAACTAATGCAAGATCCATCTGTTAATTCACATGATGACTAGACTTTGACCAGTCCTATTAGTGTTCAACTGGCTACTTTTACTGATGTAAAGTATGGTGTGCCACATGGTTCAGTTTAGGGTCCATTTTTATTTTATTCCTTAATTCATGCACCTCCTGGGGACATCAAAAGCAATCACAGTATGTCATTTCAATCTTATGCAGATGATATTCAGCTGCCTGTTCAGTCTGTCTGCTCTGTAGTTCAAACATTTTATCCCGAGAAGCATTTCATGTAGACTTTAAAAAAGGGTGATACCTGGGACAGCTCATAATCTCCTGGCAAAGAGTCTCGCAGGGTTGATTTTCTTTTGTCTTCAGTGATTTGTTTCATCTGTGGTGTTTCTCAATAAAAGCGAAGGGCTCACAAGTATAGACAAATGAATTTGCAAAGCCAAAGAACAATAATGAAGAGTTGGTGCTACAAGATGGAACTATGAGACGGGAGGAAAGTTTGTGCTCTGGGAACAACATCTCAGCGATGATGATGTTTCAAGAGACTTGGAGGATGGACAGGAGGGCATATACTAGTGTCATGGGCCATAACTAGTAGTTTTGTTTCAAGCAAGGGCTGCAAGATCAAGTCTTGATCTGCATGTACATCTGTGTACCATCTTGTTCAGCAACAATTCTTGCCAAGATGTCTAAAGACAGGCCACAAACAGAAAAGTAGAAAAGTAAGTGAGATGCCAAAGTTCGCTTATTTAAACTGTTGATTAAGTTGCGATTGGGAGGAGCGGCTGTGGCTCAGTGTTAGTGTATGAATGGAATAAGTTAATACTGATGGGTGCTTTACAAAGCAGCCTCTGCCATCAGTGTGTGAATGTGACATGCAATGTAAAAAGCACTTAAGTTCTAATCAACAGCTGCTGGGTTGCAGTTGTATTTTAATTCATCAGGCAGGGATCCAAGTACAGCACAGTTGTAGAGCTATTACAGACGTCACAGCGCTGTACATTAAGAGATCGTTTTAAACTCAAGACACCAACAGGATCAAAATGAACAAAACATGTTTTCACCTGTCCATAAGGTTCTACACTGTCAGTCCTGCCTCATACTGTGAAGACTAGTAAAAACAGTCGGTCTTTTGGTATAAATAATAATATCGGTATTAGGGGCTTAACTCTCTCAGACTCATCTTCTTCTGCAGTGACCCTGACTTGGCTTGGACTTGAACATTGAGGACTCGAGACTCAACTTGGACTTGAGGTTTGGTGACACGATTACAGCACTGGCATCAGAAGAAAAGCATAAACCCTCTTCCAGGGTATCGTCTGGCCCAGCCCATCTTCTTTCAAATGTCATCAAGTTGGTTGTGATGACACAGTAATCCTCGAATACAGCACATGTCGTTCTGCTTTTTACACTGACTTTGCAAAAACCGCCTGACCGCTAAACCGGAGCTCTCTGGGTGGTGTCGGTACTTGAATAGGTTAACAAGATCTTCCATTTCCATTGTCCTCCACACTGTTTCTGTCCTGTACTTGTCCTATCTGGTTTCTTCTCGTTCATTATTCAGCTAATCCTCCCAGGTCCCTTCTTGTGACAACCTAGTCTTGCATATTGTTGAGCTCATACAAAACCTAGGATGACATGTCATTCGATGAAGTTCCACCACTTCTCTGCTTGTTTGACTAGACTGTGTTCAGGTACTCAACAATGTGGGTCATATGGGTGTGACCTCACAGGTTCAAGTCCGGTCATACGCTCCATATACCCATGACTCTTTTTAAGTCTTTTGTCACCACTATACAGCACTTTGAGTGTGTGAATCTGTCAGCAGGGTCTATTCATAAACCGTGGAATACATCAACGAGAGACCGCACATCAACACCTGCTCAATCTCAATCTTTCTGCCTCTCTCTCTCTCTCTCACATACACACATACACTGCAGCAATATGTATCTATTAATAACTGTCTATTTCTCAGCTCATTATGAATGGGGTATCAGCAGGACAACACGCTGACCTTTATTAGCCCAGGAGAGCTAATTAGAGCTAGCTTCCATACACTCCTACACACCACATAAAAAAAAAAAAAACAAAGGAAGAAAAAGGTGAGCTGATTTTGGCATTTCTGCTGTTCAGAGGAAACATCCAATCAGGACTCCAGAAGTTCTCATTAGAGGAAAAACTTTACGTTTTACCCCGGGGGGATTCTCTGAAATACTTCACAGAGTATATCCATCATATAGAGACTGCAGTAGAACATACTAAACTCTCAGAGTGCGTTAACATTATTGTCCAGTACCCAGAAACAGCTCTGCCCACACAGAGGATTACAGGAGGAGAGGAGCTTTAATATTGTAAACGTTATTAGTCTCATGTGAGTTAATCTTTTAATTTGCTCTGAGAATGTGAATCATGGGAATTCACTTCTTTCATTAGTGATTGTATGTGTGTATGAGTGAGTGAGTGGGTGAGTGAGTGAGTGTGTGTGTGTATAAGTTCATATGCTGCCTCCTAGTGGTCGCTAACTGACACTAAGGAGAATATCCCACTGTCCAGAGTGTGGGTTCAGTGGGTGTAATATTATCTGTGACCATTGAAACGATGCTCTCAGCTACTTGTTCTAAGAAGTCTGGTTATAATCATTATGTAATTCTTATGTAATCCTTCTCTTACTCTCTGTGGGTTTGTTTCTTCAATTTTAAACTGCTGTTTTTTTATTAACTCAAGTCTCAAGGTTAAACTTTAACAGATTATTGTTGTTAGTCCTGTTTGGCAGTGGTGAAAATCATGTTTATATGCTCTACTAATCTGTGTAAATGAATACAACGCAAGGTATGTAACTGTAGGCTACTGTCCTTGAGTTTTCTTCTCCAGTCTGACACCAGCAGTTGGTTGAACATTTTGTTGCTAGGGGCAACCAAAGTGGAAGAATTCCAATTTGAATAGCCACCATATTAGTAGTGGTATTTTGGAAGTACACAAATATATACATGCATAAATGTGTGTGTAAAAACATGGCTCTTGATTGTTGTTGTATGACCTTAACTATCTGATTTTGACTTAGTGAACCTGAATGGACAATAAAATGTACTGTATCGTATCATATCATGCTGTCACATATCATTGTGAGCATATCTGGCCACCTGTATGCAATTAATGTTGTGTTTAAGTGTCAACAGTGTCTCCACAGCCATTACCTTACTCCTTTAACTGCTATGAGGGTTAGTTTGTAAAGGTATTGTAATGTCATCCTGCCTGTAATATCTGTCCAAATTAAGGTGATCCTGAATTAAAGTCTGTTGTATTTATTTAGTTAAGAACTAGACCTCCCTACACTTTTTTGGATGTTGAAATATCACAAGCACTTGGTTATGATATTGATGAAACAAAGGACAGCATGACCAACTGACTCGTTTTATATATAAGGCAAATGTTAATGGCAGCCCTCTGCACATCTACATTTATCTTTCCATGAGATGTTATTGAAAAGAACAGAGCTTATCTTAAATTTTCAGACATTAAATCAATCAATCTTTTCACTTGTTGAAAAATAAAAGCAGACTTATGGTCAGTTACAGTGTTTTACTAATTTTATTTGCAGGCTTTGCTCTTCTTTTGTTCTTAATGCTTATCATGATTAATACTTACAGGAGTATGATCACTGAGTGTAGTTCATTAAAGTAAGTTAAATGTAAACACTTGAAACTTTAACTTAGAAAACCCACTTTCCAGATACTTCTGAATAACTACTAATGTAGTAGACTCGCTGACGTCTTCAAGCATGAAGATAATACTACCATCGTGGCATTTTTGTTTTTGGCCCGTGTCTAATGTCACATATCAACCACCATTGTTTCATCCACCATTGTTACACTGTTTTAGTTTATTAGGAGCATATCTTGATAACATTATTCCACAAGAGTAATATTTCAAACTTGAACTCATGCATCACGTCTCTCTGTGATATCAATTTCCGTGGAGCATTACGGTATATTAAATATTTTACAGTTTATACAAATGTTGGACAAAAAATACTCAAAATAAGTAAAAATTACAAATCAATATCTTCAAATTATTGATTGAAGCAGTTTTGCGTGATACCTCTGATTGAAGAGCTCAAAGATCATGATGGCTGTCAGCCTGTAGCACCACTGTTTATATTGGCTGTGATGTCATCTGACCTGACTGCTGATAGGCTGCTTGGACAGCCAGGTCACTGTCTCTCTCTCGCTCTCTCTCTCTCTCTCTCTCTCTCTCTCTCTCTCTCTCTCTCTCTCTCTCTCTCTCTCTCTCTCTCTCACACACACACACACACACACATGCACGCACACACACACTCTCTCACCGAGCCTGGCCTCGAGGAGCTGAGTTCAGGCCAAAGAGCTTTTCATGGCCGAGCAAGCATCACGTAATGGACGGAGAGAGAGAGAGAGAGAGAGAGAGAGAGACCGCACATGACCATTCAGGCTGAGTGGTGTGTGTGTGTGTGTGTGTGTGTGTGTGTGTGTGTGTGTGTGTGTGTGTGTGTGTGTGTGTGTGTGTGTGTGTGAGAATTTCAGTGTGAGTGGGCGTGCGTGTGAGTCTGTTAAGAGGGATAGATTTAATCTTTAATCAGTGTTATCGTATCCTGTACACTGATACGGACACACAGTATGTAATTACAGCTCCTCTACACGGACACCTTAATGTGTGTGTGTGTGTGTGTGTGTGTGTGTCTTTTGGTTTCCTGTCTCCACTTACATCATAATCCCACACACTATTACAAGATGTGTGAGACTGAGAGGTTTTATATTCATGTCTTTCCCTCTTCTTTTGATTGATTTTGGAAACTTTCCTCCATTGTTATCAATATTATTATGAAAGTGATTCTTGTGATTTTATACAGTTCAGCTACAGTGGCCACCAAAGTGGCTGGATGTGTGGTGGAGGAAATTTCCTAACTAACTGCAGCACTTAATTTTATGTTGTTTTAAATATAGATGTAATCTATGTGAAAGCAGGTATCTTGGGTTGCTAGGACCAATTTAAGTTACAGAAGAAATAATCAGAATGGATGCAGGGGAATTAACCATGTCTTTGAGGAATGTCAGAGTGGCTCTGGAGCAGTGCCATGTCCCAGTTTAATGACCTGCTGCTGTCTGCTCCACTTTAACTCCTTTACATCTTCATACTAACACTGTTGACCAGCAGTTTGACTTTAAAAACTGGGTCTGAGTCATTGGGGACACTCTGAAAATGACACAGACAGGTCTAACATCATTACTAAAGAAGGTCAAGCGACGCAAAAAGCTTTTACTATGATCTGACCTGCACAGGATGCTCTTTCAGAGGTACTAAGAAGTCTTCAAAATTCACACTACCACACTATTCCAGTTTAAAACCAATAGTTAGATATTACATCTACAACAATAAGACTACATTATATCATTATATGTTTTGCAAAGTAGTTGGTTTTAGACTATAAAAGCATACGTTATTCTCACACATCATATTCATCATCGTAAATAATCCCCTGATCACCAGTAGGCTCAGCTTTGCATAAAAACTACAATTAAGGGAAAATCAGACGGCAACCTTTGGCACTGAAGAATTTGGCCAGTGCTTAAGTGCAATAAACTGCAGTTCCTTAAGTGTCCACTTGGGGCTGGCCTTTGTTCCAGTTTCTGCAAGTGTACCGGTTGACTCAAAGCTTGTTTGAGTCAGCATTTTTAATGTGGCAACCCCCGTTGTTTGAGCACCCCTAAAGCCCCTCATCAGAAACCAACGGATGGCACCAAAGTTGATGCACAAAATCTCCAATCAACCTACTCTGATGTTCACAAGTTAATAGGTTACATCTTGGTTGTTAAATTTGGACTAATAATGATCATAATGTTGCTTTTTTGAAAGGAGATGTAAACCAATTTACATCTCAGCCAGGAGAGGTGACCTTGAGTGTCAGCATTTGTGTTGTTTTTTTGTGACTTCAACAGTAAGGTTTTTGTGTTTTTCAACATTGGGAGTAAAATGTCAGTCAAACAGACATTATCATATATCAAAATCATCAGCCTGCATTTATATGCTGATCTTAAGCTGCTGTGGCAGCAGTGATGTATTTGGGGACAAACTGTCAACCAGCTGAATCAGTTTAGATCTTAACATACAAACAGCAAGATGAAATGATGTACTTGAAACTCGTGTTTACTGTTTCAGATCAATCTTAATATTCTAGGATAGAAAAGTGGTACAATGGACAAGCTTAACCTTGCAGCCATGGTTGAGGTTCTTTGCAACAACAAAGCTAAAATGCTGCATGATGGGGACAAATGTTTGCATGCTAACATCTGGGTATAAACATTGAATATGAAATGCAGAAAACCAGTGAAGGCCACTGGTTTTGCAGACGATGGGTCACTGACCAAACTATTAGAAATTGTGTAAAGTTAAGATCCACCGGTGGTCCCACATCAAAAGTTAGGGGATGAGAAAGTTGTTACATTTAATCCTGATGGACACCTAAAAGTTTGAGCCAATTTTAATAAAAGTCCCATGAATAATGATGATTAATATTCCTAAAAGAGACAGATGTTTGCTTCATGTTTCAAGGTCAGCTGTATTCATCAGATTTCATGTCTCATGAACATGTCTAACAGGTGTTTGGGAGGAGCTAACAATACATGTAAAGAGGCTAAATGTGGCATGCCATTAAGAATAAAGCTGCAGTGATGATCTTACTTAATGCAGGGTCAGATTATCCTTTTTAGAGGTCAATCTGACGCTCACATCCACCCACACAAAATAACTCTGACCTCTCCCAGGGGGGCAGCAGCTGTTGATGATGGAAGAGTCAAAGTCACTCTCACTTAGCAGACATTCTGTCAGACTTAGAAAATTGATGTCCTGTTTGGCTCCTAATGCCCATCTGGTAACTTTGAGAACTTGCACACCAGTTAAAAACTTGACTGGATACGGCACACAGAGACTACAAACTAGTTTTTTTATTTTATGCAGAAGCAAAATGAGTGCCAGCTGTAGTTTCATCGTGTTCGAGAGGGGGATTACATAGGAAAGGGTACAAGAAATGTTTATGGACTTGGTCAGTGCAAATGCACTGTATCAGCAGAGGAACCTGGATGAGTACTTCAATTCAAACCACTTTCTCTTCTGAGAGACGTGTTGATGGATATTAGCTGAGCTGTCAGCTGACATGGGCTGGCTAAGGATCAGATAATGTACTATGTGCTGAACTTGACTTTTTGGCCTGCCTGAACTAGCACTGTGCTCAATTTGTCCTACCTGCTGTTGTACTGGTGGGTACACTGAGGCCTGGACTGGGGCCTGGGGTTGGGGTTAGTCCTCCTGGTTGGGAGCTGAGCCCTGTGGCCTGGGGAAGAGACCTGGACTGAGCTCCTGCTAAAATGAAAGATATAAAAAAAAAATTAACAAACGAGATGACGTACCTCAACCACTTTGACAACATGTGCCTTGTTTAATGCTCTTCAAAATACACCACGTTACATCCCACTTCAATAAAAATCAATGCTGTTATGATTGATTATGATTAGTTGTAGTTAATCTCATAGTAACATTGTTGTATAATCGTTTTTGTTTTTTTGTTTTTTGCCAATTTAGGTCCATTCCTACCACAATATTCCTTTTTTAATAACATTTTTATCTTGTCATTTCCTTTAACTTTAATTTTTGCTGTTGAGACAAATTCTCTTATCAAGTTTTGAAAGGCTTCACACACTTAAAATGCAGGAACATCCTGTCTTTACCTCTGTTTCTGCTGCTTTTGCTTCTTCTGCTGCTGCTGTTATCATGACTGGTAGAAACTGTAGTTGTAACTGCTAATTCTCTCAATCTACAATCACAACAACTAACAACTATTACTGCAGCTTGGAGTTTTGAGAAACAGTCAAATAAAAATCCAGATAAAGCTCCAATAACAGGCAAAATAGTGGATGAATAATCTCACAACATTATCAGCTGTAATGTACCTGATGCCTGTTGTCCTGTCTCTCCAGCCTGAAGCTGTCTCACCCTCCGGAGGTGAGACCTGCCATTGTAGTGCAGCTGGGCCTGAGCCGCAGAGGTTAGCTGCAGGTTACACACCTCGCACAGAGAGTAAGTCCCACTCTGACCTGAGAGGGAAAAAAAAAAGAGAAAACAAGGATGAGTCAGGAGTGCTGGTTAAACAACAACATGAGTCAGAAAACAGGAGACAGTTACTGAGATGAATAAGTATGTGGGAAAGAAGACAAGGACTGGTCAGACTATAGGAGAAAACATGATGTAGGATTGGACTATTGGAGAAACTACAGCAAAGGGTGAGTTGAGGGAGGAAAGGCAATATTAGTCAGAATGAATAGACTAAAAACACATAAAAGTGGAAGAGAAACTACAGTACAACTAAGAAACACTGACAGAGAAAACAAGAGGTGTTTTTCATGGGTTATAGGAGAAAACCCTATTTACACCACTGGGGTAAGCTCTAAGGCTGGCTCTGACTGTGGAGTTAAAACAGTAACACAGAGTGTAGAGGAAAAAAAGCTACAGTTGATCGTAAGGATTTGGAGAAAACTACAAGTATCATTGAGGTTATAATAGAAGACTGCTGGAGAAAACTATAAAAACTGATCTAACTGTTCACGAAGATAACATAGGATAGACAAGACAAAACAACAAAGAACAAGCCAACAGGGCAAAAATACAAGAATGGATCAACCTAATAAAAACATGTATGAGTTGGATAATCAGTAGGAGAGACAACAAAGTATTTGTGTAAATGTAGAAGGAAAATACAGGCCTGTGTTAGATAAAACCAAAATAACTTGTTGGAAAGTTTGGTGGAAATAGGTAGCAGTGATGCTGGAGAAAGTTAATCACCTGTAGATGGAGTCTGCTGGACAGACAGACTAATGGTTGTGGGTATGGGTGCGTCCATCAGCTCTTGACACATTCCTCCAAAAGCAAAGATGTGCCCATTCTCCAGGAGCTGAGAGGGGCTGAGCGGGGTCTTCATCCCTGAAGGAGAACAAGAGTGAAAGAACCACATTTTGGTTGTTAGGAGGTGTAAAATCTGGACACTAAGAGCCTGATTTATGTCGACCCCACATAGCAAGAACTACAGTACATTGCATGTTCATCTCATCAAATTGCCCGTTTTCTCTGTGTGCGTATTGTTGGTGATCAGTTAAGAACAGCGTTAAGACGTCAGGTGCAAAAACTGGAGGCAGTAAAATTTAAATGAGGGTTTTGCATGTTTAGCAAGTTTATGCCACAGAGTTTGGACAGAAAGTAGACTGACAGCTCATGCATAATGAAATTAAGCTCATCCAGCTTACATTAATAAAAGATGAAAATCAAGAAACCAAAGAAATCTGTTTTGTAATAAAACCTCAGCAAATAAAACAGGACATCCCCATCCACACTCCTTAAATCATACTAACATTACCTGCCACCCTGCTGGGCTATTACTGATGCATGAACTAAAAACACTGTAGCTCTTAGATGGATTGTCATCTATTGCATATGAGACTGTGCCAGCTATTTCCTCTGTGGCATAGGAGCACGTGGTACACCAGACAGCTGGTCAGCACTGTATCTGGTCTAATAAATGTCCATAAAGTCCTGGCAAAAGTGTGAAAACGGTGAACATGCAGTGATTAGGTCTCTCTGTCCAAACAGCCTCACAGAGGAAGGAGAGGAGCACTGTGTGAAAAAGGTCAAACCTAAAGTAAAAATATAATTTTGTACAATTTAGAAAATTCAGGCCCTAAAAGAGGTGGAGGGTGCAGAGAGGTCGGATTAAGTTCTCAATTATTCACACATGTTGTGGGTGTAACATGGATTTAACCAATCAGTATATCTGCTTTCATTCGCTATAAGAGAGTGTGTAAGAGGTATGGCTGTGCACGCTGATAGTGGCCTTTTAAGTAAGCAGTTTTAAGGATTGTAAAAAGGATTGTGAAAAATACCCTTTAATTGTGTGTTTAAATGTGCCTATGTGTGTTTTTTTTCGACATTTCAGAGTGTGCATGATGGAGAGCTTAGTGACGCTCTTGGTTTGGAGTAATAGGCCTGTGCAGGACTGAGGTTGAGCTGGTCTGTAGGGAGACAGAAATGAAAGCGTCCTTGTTTTCTAGCATTTTGAGATCAGTCATACTGTATTATAGTATACTACAATAAGATTAAAAAAAAAATCACTATCAAAAAAAAAAAAGATTTTTTCCCTCTTTATATGACCTCCTTTGTGTGTAGAAAAAATTTATAATGCGTGTTGTGAACTCTTACGGACATCTTCCAACTCGTTAGTGCGCCCTCTAAAACGCAGGAAAACGCTGCACTACGAACTTTAGACTTTGGATGAGGTTCTTGTTGGTCTAAGGTACAGGAATCCTCATGATAGCAACACACCATCTTTTAACCTATCTCCACCTTATTTCAAAACCAATACTTGAATTGGCACAAATTCACCTGCTGTCTAAACAGTGTGGATGCCAAATGTAAAAATAATGAATACATTTGGTGGAGAATAACAATGATGCCTAAATGTTTCACGCAAGGCATACGATGGAGCCCTTTGACTTCAACAAGGCCATAACGAGGAATCGAACTCTCAAAACACAAACACAGCAATGTAACCGAGCTGACCTAACGTCACAAGAGTGCACACGGGCTGACAGTGAACATCGACCAGCACAGGTACTGACATGAAAAACAGACACACAGGTAGACAGATAGCAAGAGGACAGACAGATGGACAGAAGTGAGGCCCGGATGACACCGGATGCAGAGTGTGAAACATCAAACGCTTACAGGGAGAGTGATGAAGTAATGAGTAAGAGAAGAGAAAGGAGGGATGACATATGTGTGTGTATGTGTCCAGTGTACAGTGTGTGTTTGGATGAGTGTAGGTCAGTCCATGACTGTGTCCATCTGTTTTCCTGTCAGCTCAGCCAAGTCACATGACCTCTGACAAGACACACGGACATACACACACTTTTTTCATATTCAGTTAGCTTCATAGCTATGACCTACATACATTACGACTCTATATATGCCATTTAAATACACTTTAGGGACGCAGACCAGATTTGGATCAACTCATTAAGGCAGTAACGGCACACGGCTGGATAACTGCGCTGGAGAAATTGTTCCTTAATGATAATTTGTACCTTATAGAATGGTCTATAGCAGCTGCTGAAGCCAATAAAGCTTACACCAGAGATGAAATCAAGGTCTCTACATTGCTAGCATCAACATCAACACACCAGCTGGACCAGCCATGTGGATTGGCTACATTTAAGCCCTCGGAGGCAAATTTGCGATTTTGAGCTATATAAATAAAGCTGACTTGAACTGACTTGACATTTAGCCAAACAGGAAGTCACTATTGTTATTCCACAGCCATGGGTCAGCCTGTGGGTCCCACTGAGGCTCGTGCAGCCACCATGGTGCTTTGTTTCGCTTCTTATTGCAGTGACAAAGTGTTCTGAGGAGGCGGCCCCGGCCCAAGAAACAAATATCCCATCATTTCACCTATAGACAATGTTAAGACCCTGACAGTTTCCAGATAGTTTCCTTAAATTTCCACTATAAAAAAAGTAATGACTGCTTTGGAAATCTTAAAATTGAAAGATACACACCTGTTCAACCATGTGAAGTCTTAAACAAATAAAGGTTAGACCCCAAGGTGTGCTGCGGCATGAAATTTTGAGTCGCCAGGCTATAAAAATTTGTTGTATGCACCACTATATTAGTCTGGATGACTCCCTGAATCTGATTGGCTGAAGGTTGTCCATTAATTCCTGACAATACATCAAGTTTTAATCACAGGCACAACCAATTGCTAAATAGTTTGAAGGCTCTGTTGACATTTATCTATGTTATGACGTGATTTTTTCAGGTATGTTTTAACCTTGAGGTGTTATACTAAAAACTAAAAGGTCATGGCTTGTGAAACGCTTCAGAGTTTGATTCCCAAACACAAAGAAACCCAAAAATCATCTTTTCCTTTAGCATGTGATTATGGGATATTAAGCAACATAATCAGGAATTAATGGACTGCACAGCTAAAACTGTCTGATATAGACCCCACATAGTGAATTTATTCCTGGTGACGGGCGCCTCATTGGGTATTATCCCATACTTAACTGTGTGTGAAAGAGCTTAAGATAATTGCGGCTAGAAAAAAAAAAGATTTTTTTTTTAATCTGCTGTTCAATTTAAGTGACTTTGAGATGATCAGGAAATAGAGGAACAGGAGTGATAGTGGACACAGCTGGTTGGATGTGAAATCAGATTCTTCTTTGTACTTTTGATCTCACTTTGGCAGGTAAAACAGCATTATTTAAGAACCACTCGAAGCACCAAAAGAAAGATGAACTGTTATTTGTCAGAGAGGATAATGACACATTTTTGTGGTCATAGGATAAATTCACAGCATGGTTAAGTAATCAAAGAAACTCTGCCGCCCTCACACTTTGATGCTCTCTCTCGTTCTTGCTCTCTCTCTTCCAGCTGGTTGTTGGAAACCAACTTTCTGTTCTGCAGACAGCTGGTTAATCTGCCATAGTGATGAATTAGCTCCAAAATGCACACACACACACACACACACACACACACACACACACACACACACACACACACACACACACACATGGACAGAGCCAGCTGATGCTGACATCAGCTTTAGCAAAGGAAGGATTAAATATATCTGCTCTATTGAGCTGGGAATTACACATTACACACACACTCTCAGGTGAACACACACACACACACACACACACACACACACACACACACACACAAAATCCATGTAGCAATAACGGGACTAAGAAACAGCAAGTCAGTGAACTGAGCATCAAAGTAAAATGAAATGAAACATGTGTATTTACCTTTTCTGTTGCAATGTGTGTGTGTATATGTGTGTGTGAGTCTAATCCAGGCTGACCAGGCAGTCAGTAATCAGAGAGGCTAGCTGTGGGTTATAATCTCACACACATACACACACCACGCACACAGCAGTCGAGCAACAATGTGAGTCCTGACTGAAGAGGAAAAGCAGAAATCTTTTCTTTATTCTTTGAAAAAGCAGGTCAGAGATTCAAAGCAACCCGAAGAGGAAAATGCTTATACTCAATAGAGTATAAAAATGTAGATTTGCTTATACTGTGCTGCCTGGGTTTGGTTATCTGATTAAATTTAGCCCATCTGTCCTACTGGATTAAAACCACCCCACTTGGAATAATTAATGGGGTACCACAAGGCTCTGTTCTGGGTCCTTTTTAATTCAATGAACAACATCATCACTCAAATAAACGTATGATCTATCTGATTGCAGATGACAGTGTTTGTATGCATGTGGCTCCTCTTTAAAGAAGGCAGCATAAAATTGTTGTCCACATCTAACATCCTTCAGACATCCCTGCACTTAAGCTTATACTGAGTGCTGGCAAAAAAAATGAAACTGATATCTTCCTGGCACCCACACATTTGCTGGTGCTGAAATGGAAACTGTCCAATATTTTCAATACCTGGAAATTTGGCTAGTCAGCAGTCTCAAAATGTTTTGAGAAACTGGCACCGATCCCAAAGACAGAGGGATCTCTTCAAATAATTGAATCAAGCATGTCTCTGCCTTGAGAAGAGGGAAACTTAGTTAAAGTCTACCTTCTACTGTGGTATTCTTTTATTGTATTTCTTTTGTCCTGATTAAAACAAATTCATCTCATCCTTCAATGTGGGTTTTATTGAATGGGATGTTGGACTAGCTACTGAATATAAAAGAGGGAAATGAAGTTGGTTCTCACTAAAAACTAGAAAAGAATAGAAACTCAACATTTTTCTGCAAAGGTGCACCCTGCAAAAGCTGCCAATTACAACATCTTTTCATCTTTTTAAATAAACGGTATTCAAACTTTGGGACTCAGGTTGTGTATTCATGGTTATCCTGTACTGTACACAATGACCATGACCATGGAAGTCCCAACTGGCCACACAGAAAGGCCCAGAAAACAGCTCCAAGTGTGGCAGAGGAGTGCAGTTTATCAAGTGTCCACTCAAGGTTGTCTCAAAAAATCACACTGCTAGACTTCACACCAAAAGGACAGTTTTTGTTTGTGGCCTTTGGTGTTTAACTGTGATGGTGTTAAAGTGAAGACTAAGAGCGATGCACAACAGAGCATAATCACAGGCATCAATACAGTCAATGGCATCGATTGACAGGCTGGCTGGATGGCTGGATATACATATGATCATAGATATACACTCACTGGCCACTTTATTTGGTACATCTTGCTAATATCAGGTTGGACTCCCTTCTAACTTCAGAATTGTCTTTTTTCTTTGTTCCATACTGTCAACAAGGTGTAGGAAACCTTCCTCAGAGATTCTTGTCTATGTTAACATGATATTATCACACGTGTGCTGCAGATTTGTCACTTGCACATCCATGATGTAAAAGTCTTGTTCCACCACACCCCAAAGGGACGTGCGTAAACATCCCAAAAGGTCAGCAATCTCTGAACTACTCAGACCAGCCCGTCTGGCAACAACAACCACGCCACGTACAAGATCACTAAAACCTCCTTTCCTTCTCTGTTCTGGTGCTCGGTTTGAACATCAGCGAGTCTTCTTGGCAAACCCAAATAAACCGAGTTGCTGTCGTGTGATTGGCTGATTAGATATTTGTGTTAACAGGCAATTAAACAGGGGCATCTGATAAAGTGGCTCGTGAGTGTATATATGATGTGGAGGATTTCCTCAAGAAGAAAACTCCTTTTTGAAACAGAAGCGTAGCTTTTCTCGGTTTCAGAGTATGCAGAATCTCACACTGTTTTAAATTTGAATGACTGACAGATGCATGTCTCCTAAGACTTTCTAATATTAATAACTCATCCACTCAATCTGAAAGATGCTGCTTCCCCAGTCTCTTAAATTAGACCCACATCGATCCATTTGACTCACCCAGTATTTTAACTTAAAACTTTAAAAAGGTTTCAGTATACAGTGCTACACTAGTTTCAGGAACGCTGTTTTCTACATCCAATTTCACTGGATGCAAATACAAGCTGTGCCTTATTAGTAAACATAATGTTAATTTATTTTTTTCACTTTTCGCTCTGCTAAGATTAATCTCATCAGCAGGGCATATCTCTTTTAGAGGAGCAATCAAAGAAAGCAGACCTCTGCCAAGGCCGTGTTTGTGATTTAATTGATTCTGGATCTGGTTCCAAATTTAACAGGTTCTTCTCTGGCTTATGCTCAACCTCTCCACAAAGTTTCATGAAAAGTGGGTCATTAGTTTTCCCAGAACTTGCTGTAAAACAACACCTAAACCCTTAAAACGCACAAAATTTAGCTGCACAGTTCAGCAGCAGCACTCACCATGATGTACGACCATTAAGACTGATGCTTGGTGAAAACCTTTTATGTCCAAAATGTGTGTCAGCTATTTTCCAAAGGGGTACAATAGCTTTTATGAGACATTGTTCGTCTGGAGATTCAGCCCACAAGGAGTTGTAACCCTATGGCTGAGATTTTCAGAAAACACCAGAGATACAAGGTTTACACCATCGGATTCTTTTCCTGCTTGAACACTGTTTTTATGCACAAACATGAAGCTATCTGAGGGGTGCAAAAATCATATTTCTGCTGGTGTAGGAGATAAAAAAGAAGAAATATTAAGGGGGGCACTAATGTATGTCCCTGTACCCTCAGAGAAACTGTACAGCACACACGCACACACTCACACAAACACATACAAACAGTAACCTGAGGGAAGAACAGGACAAAGAAACTAATGGAGATGTGAAAAGACAGAGAGGGAGGTCTTAGAGTGGCTGTCTCTCACCCTGAGGCCAGTAGTTGGTAATGACAGTGGTCAAAGACACACACACACGCAGAATAAACAGCACAGTGGCCAGCAGCGGTGGAGATCCTAAAACGAACCACTACATCCAGTGTGATGTTTGTGTGTTTGTCCCTGCAGGAATTTGAGATACAATCAGAAGAAACTGGTGAAAACGACACAAACCTGTCCCTTTAAATATTTCTATCTTTGCTGCACGCTTATCTTCATCACAATCTACTTCGATTAATTATTTATATTTTTTATTGTTAAGAGGAATTCAGTACCGATCATTGAAATGGAGGTCAAATAATATCAATCCTCCACATCCGCCATGGCAGAGCTTCCTCCCAGGCTGTCATCGACCTCCAACAAGCTCCACAAGTTCATATCTCAGCAGAATATTTCATTTCTAACCTCGAAAACCAAAAACTAGAGCAGCTTTGACCTGGAACCACAAACTTTATGCTGGATTTATGAAGCTGGTTGGAAGGAAAAACTAGCTGACAGGCTGAATTTAGGGCAAAAACTTTAAGTTTAATTTTCCTGGCTCGCTCTGCTCATTCCACTTACGAGACAAAACTGCTCTAAGGTTATAAAATGATGACTCTAACCTAAATTTAAAGGAAGTATATCTCACAGAAAACTACTGCAGACAACACATATTCAAGCCTCTTTATTATTTGTCATTCTAGTAAAATATCTTCCCTTTAGCCTGATGTTGGTTGGCATCTTCAAAATAGCCCAATATGCTTAAAAGCACAGAAAACCAAACACAAAAATATGATATAATCAAAAACAAGAACAAGTAATTTAAATGGCTAAAACAAAAACTGAGAGCCTCTTCTGAACACATGTAAAACTTGTTTCAAAGAGACAATTTCACATGAATATATATATGTTGCACCGTCTTTCTAGTTTTAACTACTTATCAACTTTTATTACCATGCGCAGTGTCACTTTTCATATCAGGCAAAAAACACGTTAACATGATTTTCAGTTTTAGGCAATACTGTGTTCACCAACAATGCAATACTATTTTAAAAAAATAGGGTTTTAGTAAAATAATTGTCATGGATAATATCATTTTTCATGTGCATTTGCATTTTCACTTACGGTTCAAGTTCATAATACTGAACTGTAAACTCGGTTTCACATTATGTGCAATTTCTCCTCAAATACTGGGTGAAATTGCTGTAAAAAAATATGTATATTATCATTTTTACTGTTGTGTATTAAATATATCTATCACATGTGCAATATTACGGTATGGTTCATTTCAAAGTGCATCATTCTTCCCTGATACCATGCGCAATAATACTTTTTAATAGCAAGCTGTAATATGACAAATCATGGTCACAATTTTCGATATCACTTTTAACATCAGGCTACATGACTTCTTTTATTACCACTTTAATTATCAAGCTCCATATTTATTGTCATGTGCAACTTTCTAACTGACTCATGATTATGTGCAATATTTATTTTCACTTTTGGGTTGATCAGATTTGGCTACACCATGCATACAATTTCAGAGAATTTAAGGAGTGCCGTCTGAATGTTACAAATGTTTCCAGTTCAATAAAAAGCAGTTTTTCTGCATCAAAAGACAAAGTCAGATGCAACATCAGCTGAAAATTGTTGCCCTTAATTGTCCTATGCAGCTTTAACTGATGCACTTTCCTTAAAAACCAGGGTAAGTTCCAGCTTTAATGGTTTTCAACATGTTGGGCAACAATAAAAGTGAATTTTGACTCTTTAATTAAAAAAAATGGAAGCCAACACTTACTATCAGTGGACCACATTAGATATCGAGGTCATTCATCAAAAGTAGTCCTGGAGTCAGACAGCTAACTTTGTGGTTCGGTGAACTTTTTTTATTGCTTTTCAAATCTCTAAATTCTTCCCACAGTTTGTTGAGCTGGATGTGTTTTGCCAGTCTGGTTAATGTGTTTCTCAGTTTGCTCCTGAGCCACTGAAGGCACCACTTTCTGTTTTAATAAACAGAAATCACTGGTCTCGCCACACTTGGAAAAATGTGTTGAAATGAAAGCTGAGTATCACTCATATCGTGAGGGAGGTTAACCGTGCCTCAGCTGAACAGAGCCAGATTGAGGTCAAGAAGCTTTACAGTGACACTAATAATGACACATCTGATGAGCTTCTATTTATTCAGATTGCAGTGAACTTAAGAGATCTGCAGGAGGCCGTAACCTGAAGAGACTTTCAGGACACTTAAGGTGATTTCCTTTCAGCTAATTGTGCTTCCTCCCTCCTCAAGACGCTGACCCAGAAATAAACGAAGGTTCTCTATCAAGCAAGTGCTTTAAACCTTAAACCTGTCCGGAGTGAATATGTTTAAATCAAATATTACAGTGTTTTTTACGCACTACTACTACAACCCCTTTACCACAGCCTCAGGAAAACATATCCGTGCAGCCACAGACTAGCTGTGCTTTAATAGTTATTTAAATCTTCTATATTTCATGATACTTAATACAGTAAAGCCTTTTAGATAAGGATCTGCGCAGAAGTAATCGGGCATACACCAATCTTTAAAACGGCACTTACTACCATAAATTACAAGCCAGTTAAGACTGAGTCCATCACATGTATTTGCAGTTTTTAATAATGATAATGGGGGAGAGAGGCCGACCCATTAAGAAACTATATTTCCAGCATCCTTGCAGTTCCATTTTGCATCCTAATTCAACAGCACAGACGTGTAAGAAGGCAGAAAAGAGTGAATCAAGAAGCCACATTAGTTCAATGGAAAGCACCGAGTCAGACAGGTGGAAAGACAGGTTTGCGGACAGTCCAGCTCTCTGTCTGTCTGTTTCCTGGTTGTCATGGAAGCGCTGTGCAGTAACACCACAAATGTTGATGTCACTGTGGTCAGGTCCACAGGGAAACTATGACACACACAAACATGCACACAGTCGGCTGAAAGGTGACCCGCAGTCTCATGCTGGTCCTGCTGTCAGGTCAGCATGAACAGCTTTAAAGATATCCCTCTAGATGAAATCAACCATATTTCTGCTCTACTATGGTTATAAATTATTTAACAACATCCTTTGATTCATATTCAGTCCCAGTATTTGTTTTATTACTGTACTGATTCGTCTTTAGTGCTCTAAATTCATTTTTAAATGATTCTGCAATATCTAAATATCTGAATATCTGTTTTTTTTTGTTGTAGACAGAATAGAATATTTTACTAGTAATATCCAATTTCTACATTTAATACTATTGTTTAATGTACTGTTTAATTGTTGTGTCATTCCCAACATTTATCGAATTTGCACAATAGGTATACAGTATCTAATGTGCAATATCCACATTAATTCAACTGTAACTGTAAGATTTTCTATTTCAACAGTGCATTTTACATTTTCACCAAGAAATATTCAGTTTTTTCGGGGCGCCACTTGCCTAGCAGTCTACACATGTGCCCTTTGTGCGGAGATTATGCTTTGAGCGGTCAGCCCAGGTTTGATTTCTGCCTATGGCTTCTTTTCTGTATGTCACTCCTTATTTCCTACTCTCTCCGCTGTCCTAACCTCTCTAAAAAAAAAGGCAAAAACCCTGAAAATAAATATTACAAAAATAATAATAATAGTTTTTACTGAGCTGTTCTGCACTTTGACAAATCTTCTATCTCTACGCAGTATTCAAATTTTGCTCTAAATCTGCAGTTTTTGCAGTGCAATATTCTTTTTTCCACCTGCAAAGCTAAAATATATTTACAACCTTAATTACAATATATAATAACCTTATATTTACAACCTCTTCATTTTTTTAAACTGTACTAAAAAGTTAATCTTCACTGTGGATTTATGATTTTACTGACTGTAATATACGTGTTTTTTTATTGTCCACTTAACGCTGGTATTTCATGAAAAATTTAATGCGTGAATGTTGTGAGCTTAGAGTGAAACATTCTTTACTTTTTTGATTGTTGTTAAATGTAAATTTCTTCCACTTCTGCAGAAATGGAACAAATCCAGAGATCAAGACTGACAGAAACAATCATCGAAATATCTTTAACAAAACTTGCATTTTTATGACCTACTTTCTGCAATATTCAAACAAATTAAAAAGGCAAAGTGAAAATGACTGCTCTGTTAAACAGCCATTCCAGCCTGTTTCTAAGGGCTTGTTAATATTGCAACAGCAATAAAATGTGCAATCTTCTCATAAAGAGGTAAGTCACATTAAACTGTGGTTTCATTTTCTGACCTCAGTTAATGTGTCTGACGGTGTTCAATGAATGATAAATGATGTCTTGTTCCACTCTGTTGCTTTCAGCAGCAACTATATGACAGAATCAGGGATTTAATTTGTATCACTCTCAGAAAGTGATGCAGAGTGTATTGGTGCAACTCTAATCCTCTCATGTATACGGCTGACATCATGTTGTTTGGTTTACATACTGCAGCAGGGATTAAACTTGCACACACTCAGACAAACACACACAGAGTCATACACACACAGAGAGACTCAGAGCAGGAGGTACAGGAGGTTATTCACTCTGTCTAACCTTCACTTCAGGACACTGTGCCTTCTATTCTGTCTTTAAATAGCTGCTCCATCAGGACCTGACACTTACTATTCAAGGTGAGACCCAGCTTTCACACTAAAATCCAGGGCTGAAATGGTGGCGCTAACTGCTACTGCCAACACCTCTGAACACACCAGGGGCCGAGCTAATGAACCAATTCACAGTAAGACAACTCAATGACAAAAAAGAGTTATGACTTCACTTCACTAACGCTAACTTTCGCAGACGCTATTACATTGTCTGTATGTGCTTTTTGCAAAGTCCAGATTATGATATTGTGTTGGCAAAATAAAAATGCAGCCGCTCCATCCTAGATCTGCTGCTGACCCAACTTGGCATGTTGATAATCTGTATTTTCAGAAATGCTTTGCAGGGCAAGACCAAAAGATATTATGGCGATGTATATCTGAATCAACTCAAAAAGGTTAACTTATCAACACCCCTATTATGTAGTAAAATTTTCACAAAAGTGTACAGAGAAAATAAAAAAGTGAGAGCAAGGACTGTACTGTCCATTTATTCTGAATATTAATGGTAATGGTTGACAGTATTACAAGAATCCAAGTCATTCTCGTTATAGATACACAAATCCTTTTTATGTCATGGATCAAGAAAAATAAATAGCCAAAAGAAGGTTTAAGGGGTTTATGATTGACTAGTTTTTGTCAACATAGCTCAGTTTCCCCAGCAACCAGGAGAAACTTAAAAAAAAACAAAAAAAAAAAAAAAAAAAAACAGTGTTTTGCCAAGAAATAATCCTGCTTTAGAGGTGAAGGTAGGTGAAAATTGTTAAATTTGGATAAGCCAACTGTTACAGGCTGTTACACCCTGTTAACAGTCTTAACGCTAGCACGGCTAATGGTTATAGTTAGTGCCAGATATACAAAAGGTTTAGCCCTTGTTGCAGTGTTCATTGACTTTACTCCCAGCCCTGACCCTTTACTACATCATTCCCAGATACAGTATAATGTCTTTTTACGGCTCTCTTATTTAATGAAGGTGAAAATGCCCAAAACATGAATAAAAAGGTTTTATATATGTTGTTTGATATGATGTTTCTTTAAGGCAGAAACATTTCCTCAGATAAAATGAAGTTCATAAGCTGTAAACTCTGTTGCAGGAGTCAACTTTTTACCCTCTTTGAGGTACAGAAGTTAGAGTTTAGCAACATTTCCTCTCATTCTTTTACAATAAACGGGTAAGTGTTTTATTTTGTTGCTTTTGTTAAGCAAACTTGAAAAGTTGTCACCACTAAGTCCTACTTATTACTTGATAATTATTAAATTTTTGTAGAAATAACATATTTCCATATTTAACTTTCGTATAGTAAAATATAAAAAAACTAAATCATTTAAGATTGGTAGGTAGACAAGATAATAATCCTTTAATATTCTCACCACGGGGTAATGTTTATTGTTACAGAGGAAAAGGCAAACACACATTTAATTAATAAAACAGTTAGGTATGCAATGTTTCTTGTCAGGTTACTTAATTCGTTGTCAGAATAATCAACAGAATGTTTGATTTCTAAATTTATAATCGATTACTTCAGCCCTAATGTTTATAGTAGCAGGCAAAAAAGGCCTCACTTTAAAAGTGTAATGTTCAAGATTAAAACTTTTAAATACTTTTACAGAAAAAAAAATCATCCCATTTAGTTGCAAAAGTGCTGGAGAGGACGTGCAAAGGTTAGTATTTTCTTAAAAAATATAAAGTATCGAAGTAAACACTTTTAAATAATTCTATTTCCTGCCTGTGCAGGAAGCTTTGAAATCACAGAGATTAAACCAGATGTTCCTCTATTACAGACTGTTGGGGATTACCACACAAACACACACATATATATACACCACTGCATGTAGGTTACTGGGCAGGCCATGCAGGATTTGGCGGGAAATGATTGGTTGAGCCAGAAGGGGATTGCAGGGTTTGGGATTATAATCCACAGATAAGTGTTTGTGTGTGTGTTTCAGCGTGTGTACATGTATGTGTGAGTTGTAGCTCAGTTAGTATAATCTGTGGTCTAATAATGGAGATTACGACTTGCACTCTTCTGAACATCTACTGAGAGTCGTCTGACTTCCCCTCCCTGCTGACAGGACGAGTAAACGGCTCTGACCTCGCTATTACCATGTACGTGTGTGACGGTGTGTGTGTGTGTGTGTGTACAGAAGAAACTTTTCAGCATGAAAGTTCAGACTTGAGCTTCTCTCATGGTGCCCATTCAGTGAACTAGCTCATCACATTCCCAAAGTTACACACATCAGGTTTAAAGAGGCACATTAAAGTTCAGACGCAGCAAGAACTGTGATTTACCTGATTAACGGTTTAGTACCAGACTGAACCTGCAGAGCCTGAAGTACCAGGGCGTGATTATCACTATTCACTGACAGTTAATGACATTAATAATGAGCTGAAGCTATATTTGATGGGGGAAAAATCCACTGTGCAGTATCATTATTCAGTGTAATGGTGACAAAACACAGTTTGATAAACAAGTGTCACAGTCCATATGAACTGTTTGATCATTAACCTGAGAAGAGCTGGTTTGAACTCCAGTGTCCACATGAAATAAGTATAAAACACGGCTATGGCAGACCAAGAGGTGTGTGCAGAAGGATGGTCAGGGGTGGCAAACCTAAAATATTATAGGCTATAGACAGAATATAAACAGACACCATAGATAACCAAAGCCAACAGATGGAGAGCTCTAAGCAATGACTGGCTGTAGGTGTCAGGCCCCTACTTCATATGGTAAACAGATGTAAGAACAGCCAAATACCAATATGGCCAAAATGAAACGATAAGATACAATATGATACAATACGAAACAATACAAGACGATACGATACAATATGAAACAATACGATAGGATAAAATATGAAACAATACAATACCATACAACAAGAAACGATACGAAACGATATGATAGGATACAATACGAAACGATACGATATGATACGACGCGATACGAAACAATACGATACAAAACGATGTGATACAAAACGATACAATACGAAATGATACGATACGATAATAATATACTGCCAAATCTTTATTCTCTGTCAGTCTAGGCCAGCCTGAGTTACGACTTACTCTCAGACCAATATCACTCACAAAAAACAAAAACAATTCAAACTCTTTGTCCACATTTATCGGCAATCAGTTCATCTTTACTTCTAAAGCAAATTACAAACAACGACTGGATGATTTGCAATCTCTTCTGGTATAGGTATTAATGGTCACTTTAAGGCTGACTATATGTCACATAGATTTATAGAAGCTTCAGAAGTACTGGGAGCCAACACAGAGAGACAGGGAGCTTTGCTTGCTGGACTCCAGCACACACAAACATGAGCCATCAGTCACTAAGGACACACTTTTGGGAAGAGACCATTAAAAACTGGCCATGGTTGACTCAGCGCTGCTTCCAAACAGGACCAAAGCTCTGTGCCTCTGTCCAATGTTTTGAGGCTGTGGAGGGAACCATGGCTCCAAGGCAGACAAACCATGGCTAAAAACCCTCAGCAGTGTGTTTAGTGAGTCATTCACAGGTAACAAAAATTACATCTCATCCACCTCCAATAGCGGCCGTGCATGTTTGGACCATATCACTGATACGTTCCTCCAAACAAGTACATCCAGCAGCAGGACCACAAATTACACAGCTCAAAAGTATTCACCAAGAAGACTTAACGCCACCGCCTGACAATACCAACCCAACTGGAAAGACGAGAGATAACAAGGCAGTGATGTCACTTCCTTCTCGGCATGCTGACTCATCAAACATTTAACGTTTTCTCCACTCAACTAATGGAAGAAGAAACATGAGCCAAACAAACAGAAACGAACACCTTGGTGAGAAGGTGGATTAAAGTAAGGGCACACTGATTAGTTTCAAGGGTTTCTAGACGACAAGCTGAAGTTCAGAGCTGGAAGAATGACATCACAGATGAGAGGAAGAGAGAGAAGGATGTAGAGGGTAGAGTTTTGTCTCAGTTTCTATATAAAGGCCATCCATCACCTTCACATGAAGGTCGCTACAACTTCTATGGCAAGATTAACTTTCCTGTATTTTTCCTGCTGACACAGAAGCTGTCTCAGAGTTATGTCTACACTAGAGTAAGTCAAATAAACCCGGAAACCAACCTTTATTCCTCCTGTTTGTGACACCCCCTCCACATCAAACCGACATTTTTCACACCAAAAAGCTGAGCTGTTTGGATCTTCCTGCCTCCTCTGAGCCGCAGAGCCACCATCCATTGTATTAGGTGACATTTTCCATCATTGCAGTAAACACACACTGAAGTTTATTTTGACTCAATCCCTTATATCCAACCCTGCTGCCATAAATACCCATCGCGGCACCACCATGTATAAATCCACTGCTAGAAATAGTCTGAGGTAAAGGCATGATTTGCTGTGTTTTGATGAAGTGGGTTAAAAAAAACATGACAAGCTGTTAAAGGAAACTATTTAGTCTATTTAAAATCAAAACTACCACAAAAGCTGGGATATACAGTAAGTGGCACTAATATTTAAAATACAGTAGGTATACACTGTCCAATGTGAAGACTTCCATCACATTCAGCAATGTGCAGTTTACATGTAGAAGTGCAATCTCACTCTTGTAATGTCTGTTTTTGCCATCCTGGTACCAGTTTACTGAGAATTGCGCCACCCCCCTCTGTTGGTTACTAATTTCTTTGAATGGGAGAGTCTTTTCGATCAAACCAGCACTCCACAAAGTTTATTTACTTTATTTTTCACTACTGTTGTCTTCACATATATGGTTTCAAAAAAGTGAAAATGTGGGGCCTTTAAAGGTCTGCATTGCTATGTAACCAGAGTAATTGGTGCACAAAAGCAGCTGCATACTTCTTTCAACACATATGCAAGAGATTTTTATTTTCATGTAAATACAAAGCTACACCCAACAAACTTTACACTAAGTGGAAACAAAGGGGGAAAAGCTGGCCTCACTCTATGTAAGGTACAGACAATTTCATGAGTCTCTGCTGGTAGTATTAAAACTACCGCCAGGATAAAGGATGCTGACCACCCCCTTAAATCATACAAAACTAAAACTGCAGCAAATAGTTTTGACACTTTTTGCTATGAAATTGATGGATTGAAATAAAAACCTTATGGACAACTACAATGCCGTACTAAAAGACAAGAAAACAGCAATATGTAGTTTAAGTCCAAAGGAGTAGAACAACTTTCTAACCTGCAGATAGCCAACAAGTTTTTTGAAATCACACTGATGTGTTTAAAATGCACTTGAGCTACTTAAAGCTCATGTGAGGAGTTTTTTTACATTTATTAAATACACTGAAATTGATACCAGTACCATTTTATTATAAACAAAAGTTTTAAAAAATTTAAAAAGCCAGTATGGAGGAGAATTAGGGGATTAACACTATAATTTTCATAGCTGGAACTTGTAAGGGGGCTAGATATCAGCTTATATGAAAAAACAGCCCTGTTTTTACATTTTCCACAAAAAAATATATACATGATGCATTTGACTGTGAAAAGTCACCAGAATTAGATTCTCCATCAGAGGACATGACTAAGGCCTGTAGCAGAAAAGATAAGCAAAAAATTGCTTTATCCGTAGGGGGCGCCAAAATCAACATGAGCTGAAACGTTCTCACAGGAGCTTTAAGTTTTTGCCAGTTGCTTTTATACTTTTATTTTACTTATTTTACTTCTTTCCATGCATCAAGATTTGGTGTTGTATTAACAACTAACCAGTTTTCAAGTTGCAAATCTTCGCCCACGTTTGTCTATGTTATGTGTCATCAAGCCTTTTTTTTGGAAGGCTGGACTAACTTGGCAGTCGGCTATGCCTTTGTATTCAAGTGTCCCGTTGGATAATGGTGGAAGACCTCCAAATCCCAGCGCAGCAGTCAAAGATCTTACTTTGACCAGCTCAGACTATCTTTCCAAATTGGGATGAAGGAGAACAGATTCAGCTGTTTTCTTTCTTGTTGGACTTTTTTGATTTTTCTAACATGAAAACAGGAGCAGGATTTCTCTAGGTGTTGTGTAAGTGTGTGTTTTTCATAAAGGTTGAAACAACAAACGTCCCGCAGTCTCCATGCTGACGGCAGAGTGTATATGTGTGTATATGTGTATCAGTGTGACCTTCACAACCACAGTGTGTATGTGTGCGTAATACCTCAGAGACACAAGTTGCAAGGAAACACTTCATCACTGCCGTCCTATTTACACGCACACACACACACACACACACACACACTCTCTCTCTTTCGCACACACTTACTCAACTTTTTTTTTCTTTTTACACTCCACACACACTCCTCACCTCTCTCTGAGCCCCAGCTCCTATTGTGTTTTCATAATAATCACCCAATCATGTTCGATTATTGTCATCACTTCCTCTTCATCACATGAAACTAACTTAATTAAGACGTCTTGAGACAACACAGGAAGCAGGTGCGCACTAGCTTACACACTTACACACACACACGCACAGGTAGCTCCATAAATCACAGCGGACAGAATGGGAGTAATGATGTTGCTAGGTGTTAGCACTCTATAGGAAGCAGGACCTCGCTAGCTAAGCAGAGTCACACAAAGTACTGTACATGTTCTGCAGTTTACTCTCAGTATTGCTGCTACAGTGAAACATTGCCAAAGGTGAAGACAGTCGCACAACAGCAAAACTACTGAGAGAGGACAAAAATAATTTGAGTAGTTAACAGCGAGAGCCAAGATTCTGCCGGAGAAATGATTTATGAGTTATGAAAATAAAAAAAGTTTTTGTTGGTTTATGGAACTGCAAACTTGATTTTTGCAGAGACTGGAATAAAAAGACTTAATACTCTTTCAGGTCTTATACTGAAAGCCATAGACACTGATATGTTAGCTAAGCACAAAGACAAGAAAAACTGCCCTACAAGTACTTTATCAAGCACAAATCTGTGATAAAAATGCAACTTCACATTAAAATTTCAGTATTAATCAGTTTCAATAAGCTAGTCGTGTTAGGTTTTATTTTATTGCCCAGATATCCCTTTTTTTTTCTTTCCATTTTTTCATCAATGACCTTTGGTTTGCTCCCATCTTGCTTTTGGGCATCATGCCTTCATTGTTGTCACCTGTGTCTACTGACTCCACATGTTGTGCAAGTTGAAAGCACCAGTACTGAAAAATTAAGTTAATGCGTAAGTGCAAAACATTGTCGAAACTGTAAAAACAGGGCTGTTTCCACAGCGGCTCAGCTTATTCAACCATATGAGGCCAAACAGCTACAATGTGCTCACTTGTCAGTCAAGTCAGCCACGCCCTCTTTTAAAGCTAATTATGGCAGGGCGACCAAAAAAGAGGACACAACAATGCAGAGGCGGAATCGCACAAAGTTAATTTTGAGAGTTTTTTGGGTCAGATCGAGTGTCTTTTACGTGCTTCTAACTCAGTAAGTCCACGTGACACAAACTCGAAACTTAGGTACAAAACTGCAGACGTTTGAAGAATTTTATAAACTTCCCCGGACAAAGCCGGACAGCCTGGACAACTTTCCAAAAAAGAGGACGTGTCTGAGTCAAAGAGGACGTATGGTCACCCTAAATTATGGAAAGTTGTAAACCCAATAGCATCGAACTGTGTGATTTTTTTTTACAAAAATCAACCCCCTCCACTGTACATGTATAGAAAAATGGCATTTTTAAACAGGAGTAAATTGAGTCTCCAAGGCTTTTGGACAATGTAGGAACTACAGTTTTGATGCTTTTGCATTGGCCTCACTTTTTAACACCAGAACTTGTCTGAGCTCATTGGCATCTGGCTCTCGCTTTGTATTCAACATACAGACACTGAAGAAGAATCAATCTTATCTAACTGCCTAAAAGAAAAGGACAATAGTGCTTTGAAAAACTTTCATCAATTACTTAAAATCTTTTGATATATGGAGCCGTAAGTCAAAAGTTGTAAAAACTCTGATGAAGTAATTAAAATGTAATAAATAACTGATGTTATTAGTTAAATGCTAATGTGACATTTATGCTTCAGCTCTTGACAGGAGAGTAATAAAGATGTTACGATGAGCTCATTACACCTGCCTGCTGTCAGTCCACACACACACATACACACACATACACACACACTCATGCCCACATGATGCACAAAGAGCTAGATTTAGTACAGAAACAACAGTTTGGGCCTCGTCCATGTTTGTCCGAGTGTTCTCTCCGCAGGTTTCCAAACTAATCTGTCCTGACGTAACAACATGCTGCTCCTCAATCTGCCCACTGCTGGAGTCCTGGCACACACACACACACACACACACACACACACACACACACACACACACACACACTCTCCCTGACTCAAACACACACTTGGTGTTTAGTAATGTTGTCATGCTCTATAAATAGGTAAAATTGATTTGCGTGTAGGAGAACAAGAGATTGTGTTACAGTACAATAAAATCTTCCTTTACTGTACAATATAACATTGTGAACTTGCTGTTTCATGGTGTGGACTCAAAACTGCACAAACACACATACACACTTGCAGTCAAGTTAGCACAGCCAGCCTAACAAGCAGTGAGTACAATCGATTGACAGGTTACAACGGTCCCAAGGTAGATTAGTGTGATAAAGGGTTAGCAGATTTAAAAGGTATTAAAGACAGTCAAACAAAAGGTTTAATCAGGTTATCGGTTGGCTGATAGCGGTAAAAAATAAATAAACAGGTGAAACAGTCTCACAGAAATTTACATGACATAAAAAACTAGTCTGCAAAGACTCAATGTGCATGACTGCATTGAAACTTGTGTAGTTCAACAGCCTGTGGCCTGTTGCTTCAGCTCTACTTAAATCCTGTCTTAAATCTCCTGTAAGGAGTTTTTTATGTTCACAAATCAGTCTAAAATTCATTATGATGCTTTTTTTATCACATACAAAAGCAAACAAGACCGTTACTAACATGATTAATGATTTTTACATTTTAATTTTTAATGCTTCAAACCAGTGCCAGGGAGTAGGCGTTAAATTTGGGAACATTTTTCTTTTAATTATTTGAAACTTTGAGTCAATTTTCCCATCGTCTCCAACCTATAATTCAATACCAGGATGATGTATGTGAGTGGCAGGTGTAGATGTTAAAATTAAACACTCTCTGATCCTGTTTGCAGTCCACCACTTCAAAATCAAAATCCACCTGATCAGACATTTACCGAGGATATGTAATGGAAGCAATGCTGAAACTCATGTGCACATTTACATTCTACAGCGATACGACACACAGATACAGACTCTGCCTACACAGTTTCTGTGTGTGTCCAAGTGAGAGGCTGCATTAAAGTGATTTCAGATAAATGTTTAGGCTGTCAAACATCAATCCCAGACTGGAAGGCAGTTATGACAGCATGTTTGAGGCTGAGCTGTCTCTGTTTCTGTCCTCAGTTTGGACATTTGGACACTAAGTTCAGTTACCCTTCTCTACTGTCTTTAACTGCAGAGTTCTGCTTTAATTAAGTGGATTAAAGGTAATTAGACTCAGCGTGACTTAGACACATGAGTGTGAGGTCCAAACAGCCAAACAAAGAGCTAAAGAACAACCTCCTATGTACTTGGAAAAAAGAGGAGAAAAAAGAGAGAATAAGATAGAAAGGGAGGAAGTAAGAAAGGAAAAAAGGAAAATGGAAGGAAGGAAGATAGAAGAAGGAAGGAAGGAAGGAAAGAAGAAGGATAGAAGGAATGGGAAGAAGGATAGAAGGAAGGGAGGGAAAAAGAAAGGCAGGAAAGAAGACAAAAAAGGAAGGAAGATCAAAGGAAAAAAGGAAGGGAATGGGAAGGAAGATAGAAGGAAGGAAGGGAGAAAGAAAAAAGGAAGGAAGGAAGGAAGAAAGAATTAAAGAAAGACTTAAAGGAAGATAGAAGTAAGGAAGGGAGAAAGGAAGGAAGGAAAGAAGGAAGGAAGGAAGATCAAAGGAAAAAAAGGAAGGGAATGGGAAGGAATATCAAAGGAAGAAATGGAGAAAGAAAGGCAGGAAGAAAGAAAAAAGGAAGGATGGAAGGACAGATGAAAGAGAGAAGGTAAGAAAAAAGGCAGGAAGGAAAGATGGAAGGAAGGAAGAAGAGACAAAATCCACAAGGAAAGAAGGAGGAAAAGGCAGAAATAAGGAAGAAAGAAAGGAAGGAAGGAAGGAAAGAAGGAAAGGAGAGAAAGATGTTAACCCTTAAGAATGTTAGGGAGGGAGAAAAGATGAAAAACATAAGGAGGGAAGGAAAGAGGAAGGAGAGACAGAAATCACAAAGTATGAAGGAAGGACAGAAGTAAGTAAGGAAGGAAGGAAGGATGGAGAATGGAGAGAAAGGAGGAGAGACTAAAATCACAGCAGGTTTGAAAGTCCCTCAGTCATTTCATTCAGGAGAGCTGAAGCTCTGAAATCAGTTTTCAGGCCACAATGGAAAAGTGAGAAAAATGAAGGCGAGGGAGAAAAGAAGACAGCGTCTGAGGAAAGGAGAATAAGGGAAGTAAAGAAGGAGGCAGGAAAGGAAGAGGGAAGGACCAGGTAGAGAGGAAAGAAAAGGTGTATTCAGCACCCAGGTGTCTTTCTATTAAGCTACAGGGGGCACTAAAGTCCAGCTGATTAGGGGGGTCAATTTCAGACTGAACTACACACTAACACACTAACACACTCACACACAAAGACACACAAGCAGGGTCAGTCATACCATCACCTGAGTGAAAATTAACAACATCTCCGTGACAGAAAGACAGAGATTACAACAAGGGACGACTCAGGGTGAATCCACTGAGTGTGTGTGTGTGTGTGTGTGTGTGTGTGTGTGTGTGTGTGTGTGTGTGTGTGTGTGTGTGTGTGTGTGTGTATTTGAGAGTATGTGCAAGCGTGTGTGAGGGCTTTGTAAGAGATTATCTGACAATAATGTACCATGTTCACTACATACACAAGATTATACCGTGTGCCTGCTCCATCCTCTAAAATAAATGTGTTATGACTTTCATACTGAATTCTTTTAAGGTTTGATAGTTATTATTTTGAGCTGAAATAATGCACACAAAGGAAACAATTGGAGAGTGGACTTTTTTTTCTATTGTGGACAAAAGACTGAATGTTTGCAACCATTAAATGTCTCGAATCCCTAATTCTACCTTAAAAATGGTTCCTATCAGTATTCGCTAATCCTGCTGGCCCAGCCACTGGGGGCAGTTTGGGGTTAAGGACATTACAACATGTGGACAGCAGGACTTAGGATAGGGGGGCCCCTGTCAGAGGACAGACAACAGACTCCACACCTGAGCCTCAGCTTCCCTTTGCAAACCGTGCTTCATTAAAAGTGAGAATTTAGAATTTAAAATGAAAATATCTACAAGAACAAGTTAGCTAAATTAGTTATATTCTTAACAAATATTACATACTTATACTCCAGTAGTGATGCACAGTTAAGTAACAGAGGCCTGTATATTGATGTTGGATTTAGCTGTCATGGCCCAGACTGGTGAGACACAACCAGGGGGTGGGGTACTAGTACAAGAAACTGCCCGCGAAATTATTTTTTGTAGGATGGTAGGGGAAGGTCCCGCCCTCCTTTGCCTCTGATTGGCTAGAAGTGCTGGGCTCCAATTGGTTATTCCTAATGGCTATAAAATGTCATCGTCTGTCAGGTTAGGGTTAGAGTTAGAAGATTCAGAAGTGTGATAATGTTCTGTAATGTTCTGTTTGATGGAGAGAGCCGACAGCCCGCGTTTGGCTTGAGCGTGTGATGACGTTCCCAGCTTTTCTAGCCAATCAGAGGTGAAGGAGGCAGGACTTTCCCCTACCATCATTCAAAAATAAGAAATCGCAAACCGCCCTGCAGATCATCATGCGATCAAGAAGGAAGTGATAATGATAATGTGACTTCTAATGTTATGCCTGATTGGACAAAATGGTCACGTTACAGTTCTTCCCTTGTTACAACCATACCCAGTTTCCCCTACTTGAAGTGAATTTCGCATGTGGCCTCTTATAAAAAATAAAATGCTGAAGTCCACAATAGGCAGGCGCAATTTTAAGGTACTTGTGCTCAGCGTTTTTATCTTGAATTTACCGGGTGCTTCACACTTGTGTACTTTCAGCCTATGACTACCCTTCATTGATTTTATATTAATTCATTATAACCAGCTTAAAATTAAGATAACACTGTTGTGAACATTAAAGGTCTACTTTCAGTTGCATTTCACTTTGAGAGACTATGAAAATCTGCTTGTAAGATACACACTATTTGAGGTTTATTCATAAGAAGAATATATTTTAACCACTTTTGATACTTGAAGTATATTTTACTGATTACGTTTGTTTTCAAAGTCCTCAAAAATCATAATGGCTATTGGATTTGTACTAGTTTTCCTGGTGTCCTCTGCAGACTGAACTCTGAATACTTCCTCCACAGCCTTTAATTTGAAGTCTCTGCCTCACTATTTCAGTGACACTTTAGAAATGACCACGTTTAGGAAGAAACATCGCAGCCTATAATAAACCAGGTTTAAATCGTAGTTTTCTACCGCTGTCTGAGGCACTGAAGTCAACTAAATTTAGCCATGAAGTGAAACTGTTGCGGTCAAGAACCAACACAGAGACTCAAAGTGCAGACAAACAAGTGTTACAAATCGTCTGGAGGGAAAAAAACACGAGAGACGGACATTTGGTGAGGTGTCAGAGTTAATTTTTCAGCTTCAAAGTGATCCGGACGATCAACAGACGGACGATGAGCCTCCGGAACATTCACAGATTAAAGCTTCTGCTGTTCGAGCCTTGGATTAAGAGAAATTAAATATACAACTAAGAAGAAGAGAGGAGTGAAAGACGGGAAAGATACAGGTGATGAGGAGAAAGAGAAAAAAAAAGAGGAGGAAGGTGACTTACCGGAGGAGGAGGAGGAGGTGATGGATGGATGAAGAAAGTAGAGTCCTGTAGGTTTAAAGCGCTCAACTCCGCTCTCACACACTCCCGGCAGCTGCCGATCATTGATCAATAATCGATGCTAAGACCGGGTCTGTATCTCCTGGCTGCAGGTGCGCGCACGCTCTTCACCGGATCACTCATCGGTCATCGCATCCATCAGGTATCCGGACACGGATCAACTCTGAAGGAGCACAGGGAGCCGCGCGCTCTGCGCTGCACCGAGCGGAGCGCCGGGACTGCGCATGCGTCACACACGAAAGAGAGAGAGAGAGAGAAAAGAGGGAGAGAGAGAGTGAGTGAGATAGGGAGAGAGAGAGAGAGATGGGATTAAATTGCTTCCAATAAAAATAAAATATTGGATTGATTTATGTCAGAAAAAAGAGGCTCTCTAAACCCAGCTTGTTACCTGCGTGTGCGTGTTTGTTTGAGTGTGTGTGTCTGAGTGCGTGTGAACAGCAGGTTCTGGTTGACAGTCATCCAGGTTTTGTTGGTGGCAAAAAGAGGATAAAATCTTGTTTTAAAAATACTGTAAATACTGGCTGCATGACACACACACACACACACTGTTCCCGACACTGTTTTTTTTCCTCTCTCTGTTTTCACTGTCAACTCACCTGTTCAGGAGGTGTCAAATTTAAGGACCATTTGACAGTTCCCAGCCACACATGATAAATAGAGCTACTGAAAACCTAGTTAACTGTCAGCCATATAAAAATAAGCAAGTATTTTCTGTTTAAAGACTTAAATGAAATTCCTAATTCCTCTTATTTATATCAGCTTCTTTTTACGCAGATGGACCCAGGTGGTCATTGAAAATAGGTGGAAATTAATGAGCTTCCGCATACAGATAGTTGTGATAAATTTATGACCAGACTGTACCACCCCTTGATGAGATGTTCATTTTATTTTTATGACTCAGCAAGACTTACCTCTTAACAAGTGGGGCAAAAAAGCTTATAAACACCCATTCTTCTATAGATATTTTTAGTGTTGGTTAACAGTATGGTGGGTTTTTTTTTTTTGGGTGGATGGAGTCAAGCTGAAGGAAAACAGTCAACATGCCAACAACAGCCAAACATTCACACCTATCTGATAGAAAAACTAAGTAGTAAAGGAAAGACTACTGTAAGGGCGCATGAGGGTCTACATAACCATTCAGGCAAGCAGAGGTCAACACATCTCTAACATAATGGGCAACTGCACAGTTTTCACCGCTAAACAGGCGTTTGTCACCTTTTGATTATTCAGCGGCAAATCAGCCTTTTCCACTTAAAGGAAGAATGGCGTAAAATTAAAACCAAACATCTTTTCAACTTTGAACTGGCCCGAGGTCTCGCTACAAACAAGCGGCTGCTGGAAGAGAGCAGGTGAGTTGTGTTGAGGCTGGGACCCCATATGTACTGTTGATGAAGTTAGGTGCTGTATTATTCGTGGCCAAAGCGTTTTGGTTGAGGTTTGTTTATGGCTCCTCAGACCGCTGTGTACTGTATCCTACGGTCATTACTAAAGTTGGTATGACTAGAGAACCAGGTACTTGGCAACATTCATCTCTCGAGGGCGTGTCTAACTCGGTGTTATGGTGTGTTTGACCCTAAATTAATTTTACACTGGAATATCCCTTAAAAGGGTAGATGGTGCTTCATCATGTTTTCTCCATTGGGTGGGAACAATTGAGGGCCTGTATTACATTCTCTCTAATGTCTACATTGAGGGTAATGTAGGGCACTTTTTCTGTTTTCTCTACTGGAAGGATCCTGCATTGTCCTGTACTTTCTCCTCTAGCTCAGCATCCCTGAGGGCCACAGATAATGTTTTCTCCACCAGAGGGGCATTTAATCTTATTTTCTCTGCCAGGAGAGCATCTTCCACTGAGTTTCAGCCAGGTTTTTGTTTTTCTTTTGGAAAAAGGTAAAAGTCCCCCCCATCCCCATGGCAATGCATCAAATTTTCACTACTTGGGCTGTATTATCCAACTATTTTTAAAATCTATCTACTGCACTTTATTTAGCTAATCGGAGGAGTACCAAGCGCTTAGCTGTGTTTACTTCAAACTTGAGGGCATATCAATTATGTTATGAAGTTCATCAAGTTGAACTCCAGAAAAAATGCTGAGATTTAGGGGGCATTTGATCAAAGAGATCCCAATGAAATCAGTCAATTCCTGTGTAAAATATTGGTAAAGTTTAAAACCACTAGAGGAGCAGGCTTCAATAATCAGACTGAGTGATGAGTTGAAAGAATTAAGCTGGATCAAAAAAAAGAAAACCTCAAACAGAATCTGATCAGGGATCCGAACTTTGACCCTTTTGCCAGTGAAGCAGAACATTTTCTGCTCAAGTCAGACAGCTTAATTTTCCCCTTGACAAATGATGTAAGTTAGTCCATAAAACTCTATGGAGAACTTTAAAAACAGTTAAAGTGCTTCACAAACATAAAAAGGAGCGCAAACTTCAAAAAACAGACAAACAGACAATCAAACAAGGCATATTAAGACGGGAAGACAAAAGGAACTTAAACTTTTGGCAGAAACTGCGGGTATGTGATGGCCTGTCTGTATTTTACAAGTTTTAGACAATTCATTTAGAGAAAGTAAATAAAGACAATTCTTAAATATATTAATTCTACAGCTCTGATAGATGACAGAGCACCTGTTGATGATCAGATCAAGAAATGGATAGGTAGGATAGGCCAAGATTCAGATATGTGATGTTAAAAACAGCAAAAGAAAATCCCGCTCTTGGATAAACGAACAAGTGTCCATTGAAATCCTGCATTCTGACTCCTCAAACTCTTTTTTTTCGACCTTGCTGAATTCGGATGTCTGCTGACTGGCAAGTTTAACAACAGATATGATTCCTAATGATGTTCAGGCCTTTTTAAATGTGCTTTAAGAGTTACTCACGCGCCTTTTGGACAACTTCAGCAGTTCTCCTGAACAACAACACTCATCATTCCTCTTTCTTTCTTGTTTTGTACATTTAAAGACGTACAAAAGATTTAAAGGGCCAAATTAATCTGAAGCCAAACTGGAAGGTTGACAAAAATAGGACCTTGAACTGAATTGACCCACAGATTCCTGAGGACTTGAGTTCAGACACACACACACACTGACAGGTAAGGTGATGTTAAGCAGCTGAGACATTCCTCACCACTGCTCTGAGAGAGACACTTGAGCTTGTCTGCCCTCCTCTGAAGCTTTCACAACAAACCCAAAGCAGGATGGGAGACTTCTTGGCTTTCTCTGTCTGCATGTTGGACCCCGGGGATAATCCTTTGAATAAAATATTTTTTCATACAGTCCACAAATCCTCTGAAAAACCCCCCAAATCAACAATGAATTATAAATCAATCTTCCCACCGGTGTTATTTTTGTAGCTGAAACCTGATGAACCTGATGAATTCTGCAGCTGATTAAGAAATGAATTACCCTTTGGTGAACTGCATATCTGAGTAAAAAGGTAATATATAAGGGCATTGTTGTGTTTTTGGCAATTAGATTCTTGGGGAAGTGGTAATAGGAGTAGACAGCTGGAAAAAAAGGTAGATTACTTCATCTTTTATAAAATCCCCTCTTGTACAATCTCTTCATGTCTGAAAGTTGGTAATGCTGGTTCTCATGTGTCAATACTAGCAGATTTTCATGTGAACTTCTGCAGAAAACAAGTTTCTTGAAATGATCAATCACCAAACTCTGTAGTTCCCATAATGCTGAGATCAGACTTGAAGTTTTAAGCACATTTATAGTCCAATCAAGCAGACGTGGACTCAAACATTTCAGGACCCAGCCTGGTAAAACATCTTATCCCATGAGCTGTGTGTTGCCAATAACCAACAATAGAACAAAGTGCTCTGCAGATGCAAAATCAACAAACAAAACGGCAAAGCCAAAACTGAAAGATGGATCTATGAAACAGAGGAAAGGTTTGTCAAGCTCCCTGTCTTCATGATGTGTCAGACTTAAGACTGATATTGACATGAAAAGTAAACCTAATTCAGCGTCCTGCAAAACAAGACATGAACAAGATAAAAAAGGTCAATCACTCATGTTTGTTTGATCAATCTGATACTTCAACCAGGAGAAAATTTGCATTGAAAGAAGACTGAAGCAAAGGGAAAGCTACCCTGGGTCTGTCCAAGGTTGAAAAAAAGAAAAGAGATCAGTAACAAATGTAACACATCACTGAACATCCCTGCTGTTGCCTGGATTGCAGGACAGGATGTTCTAAAACCTAATTCAGCGACCTGCTCAGTATCTGCTGTTAGAATTTTCCTGGTGTCGTCTAAACCAGCCCCCCCTTCCTCATAAAATGTTTATGTCAATTGTGATGACTGGTCAGGTACCACCATGTAGTCTGTCATATCTGCTGGTCAAGTCATGACCATGAATTAATGGCTCTGTGGTCGCCTAATCCGACACACCAGCAGCACTAAAACGTCTTTCAGCGTGATGTTTTGGCTTTTACAGCTGTCAATTCAGATTCACTCAAACTGCTTGTTTCTTTAGTGAAATGCTCTAAAAACCCTACCCAACCACGCCTTTACAACACCAAATTATAATCAACAAAGTAAGGGACTAGCTGATGAACTTTAGGGACCATGTCCATAAAGGGACTGAGTTCCGCAAAACTTAGCCTAACATATCTGTCGTCTACAGAAATGTTTGGACTTCTAAACAGACAGAAAAAGGGGTTCTTTTCTCCTCCACTTCTATCCTCCATCCCCCTTTTGCCCCTTTCCCCCTCTCCCCTTCCTGTGGTTTCCCATAGTTCCTTGCAGCTCCCAGGTCCCAGTGGATCTGTTCCTCAGTTTGCTACTACAGCAAACCAATCTGATTCCTTTGCTCCCCAGGACATCCAGCCAATCACAGTCCAGCACTGCAACGACCCACTTTACACACACACGCACACGCACACACACCCACAGGCATCTCCCCCTCTCACCTTGAACATCACATCAAGGTTGCACAAGGATACAGCAGAGTGTGCATGTTTGTGTTAGTGTGTGTGTGCGTGTGTGAGGAAGAGAAAGCTGGGAGATGGGGGAGATCCCATTAAAACCAGTAAAATAATGATAACACCCTCTGGACACACAATTTGATTCAAGCACTGATAGTATAGAGGTGGCAATCAACAGCATGTCAGTTAAAGATGCTTATCAGGTCAGTCAAACACACTAAGATCACACGTTTTTCTCTACGCTGCAAAAGAGGACATGAGCAAGATAAAAAAAGGTCAATCACTCTCATGTTTGTTTAATCAATTTGATACTTCAACCAGGAGAAAATTTGCATCGAACGAAGACTGAAAGCAAAGGGAGAAGCTAGCCTGGGTCTGTCCAAGGCTGGAAAAAAAAAAATCAGTAATAAAGGTAATACATCACTGAACATCATCCCTGCTGTTGCCTGGATTGCAGGACAGGATGTTCTACAGTATAACACTAATAGGAAGTCAAGTTTTCTGCCACAGTGTCAACAGGCAGTGATGACATGTAGGTGAGGTTTGGTTCAGAGCTCCTTAGCTTTGTGAACAGCCAGAGTGAGCAGCAAATTTAGATTCTGAGTAAACTGTTAAACATACCTTCGTATTTATGTTGTCATATCAGTATATTCAGATGGTTTCTACATGAAACTGCTTATGGCAAGGTGATATACGTATGAAGAATTGGATGGACTTGTAGGCTCATTGATGGACACCTTAAAATTGTCTTGTATTTTCCACTGTTCAATCAAATAAAGCTCTGATACAGTACAGACTCCTGGAGGTGTTTTCATCTAAAAATGACCAAATTCCCGCTTTGCTGGAATGTCACTTTAACTCTTCAGCACCATGTGTCACCTTCAAGGCGAACACTACCATCTGTGAATGTTTTCCTGTGGATTTTCAGGAGGTGGATGTCTCTTTTTCTGGACCGGAGCCGCCTGAAGAGAAGATGGTTCTTAATCAAACAGAAAGGCTCAGTAGCTGTGGCAGGTAATTGTGGGGGAGCTTAATTAGAAAAAGCGGGAGCTAAAAATGCCTGGCTGTTGAACTGAAGAGAAAGCCAACTCTGACTGTGGACCTATGGTGCAGCCGGGCATTCTTTCAGACCTCAAATGAGCTATTTTTACTGGCAGATGTTGTTCAAAATGTTTGAAATTCACATCATGTAAGACACTCAGTAAAATACTGGAGTAACTCTTACAGATAGGTAAAAGCAGGTTGTTTGATCAGTGATGTCTCCAGCTAAATACTGCAGAGAGATGGGTGTGTTTACCTGTTGATGAAACTCCTCCGAATAGTATTTTAAGCCCTCTAAAATACTACTTTCTGTGATAGCGAAAAAAGGACAGCTGTAGTGTAAAATCATGTGCTCTCAGGAGTGTTAGAGGGAAGATTTGGGAATGTACCAAAAGCATGCAAAGGGAGATTTGTGGAGGGAGTAATTCTCTGGTGTCTGTAGGTTGCGTATCAAGACCAACATCTCATGGATAATCAGAGCATAATTCATGCAAATACTCATTCAAACATTGCTGTATGCATGTGTTCAGACCTGGACCCCTAACATACCATGAAGAGAATGGGTCAGACTGCAATATGCAAGACTGAGATAAAAACTACTTCCTGTTTCATGGCAGAACATCTATTTTTGTGGTCCTGCTAACAACCCTAAAATGCTAGCAGCCCCTTTTAAATACCCCTCCTCTATGGGGTTTTTAAAAAACTTCAGGGGGCAGATTTTGGAGGAATTTTGGAGCAAGTTTTGCCAGAGATCTTTTAACTGTTAGAGGTGCACCTGATACATGTGCAAATTTTAGTGAGGTTAAGGCATGTTAAAGCCCCCCCAAAGGTCAATTCATTCAGTGGAAAGAGTTATGTCCTAAGGGTTCCAAGAGGGTCCTCGAACCCAAGGTGACTGGGCCCTACTGAAAGCAGCTAATGTGACAAGTGTTAATGTGTAGAGGCATAACTCTGAGGTTGTTAAATGAATAAAAAAACATGCAAAAAGTAACACTCGGTGGAGAAGTGAAGAGAACACAAACAACACCAGGCAGAGGCTGATCAGTGCTGCAGTGAGGGTTTTCATGGATGCTAGTTTCAGGTAGATGAGGAGTTTTTTGACATGTAAACTATGCAAAACTATTCAATAGGTGTCCCAGACTATTATAATGAAGAGTGAAGATAAGAATGTCCCCGTCCGACACTACTGACCATGAAAGCACACAGACAGGTATTCATTCTCTGATAATAACAGGTGGTTTTAAAATTCAAGAATAGTCTACAAATGTCATGGATGAAGGTACCTTCAATAATATAGGTGTTAAATACGCCCCGGGACAAGTTCTGGAACACCTAAAGGATCTGGTCTTCATACAACAGTCCAACAATGATTCCTTTGTGAAATAATAACCAGTGTTTTAGTGAGAGAATTGGGTTTACCGTTTAAAAATTATATAATCTTATAAAAACTTCAAAAACACATTAAGTGTGGGCTAGTGTGATAAAACTTCTGGAGAGGGCAGGCATTGTTTTTCCGAGAAACTGGACTGGATAAACAATTAAAAAATTACACACACATGGCAGTACAGTACACATTCACAGCAGGTCAATTAGAGCACACCTGTCAATGTGTTTGGATGATCAGCTCTTGGTCCTCAGTCAAACCAGGGATGGTTTTGGGTGTAGCTGATGGAAAGAAGACAGAAAGAGAGAGGGAAAATCAGATGAGCGATGTGTGAGGCTACATGAGAGCAGCCTGCAAGGAAGTCTTGAAACAGAAAAACATGCCTCCAAATTAAATACTTTTGATTCCACACTGCAGTGGGTAAAACTTCACTGACACTTTTCAGCTTCACCAGTCAAAAAAAAACCAGAGGAAAGATGAATTGTAAAACAGTCACCAAGGGGTGCCTTGACATTGATCAGAAATATATATCAGTTGTAAGAGTGGATTCAGTATATGTCTGATTTATTTTCAATTCACTGTCTGATAAAAACTGTTGTACAGTCACATCATGGGTTGGTAGAAACATTTTCTCACTCTTGATTAAGACTTACTAGAAGGAGATAACTGTCGTGTTAGTTTCTCATGGCTAATGTCAGGATTGAAAATTGTAACAGTTTTTATTTCACTTGAAACTTTAAACCTAATGAATCGTAACAGTAGGCTAACACTGTAGATAAGATGCAGAGATTATAGTCAAATATACACAAAATACGAATGCAAATTATTGATAAATAATTAACAAAGAAGTTCTGGATGGACAAGTTCTGTTCTGACCATCTGTTTCTCATAGCGAAGAAATCAAAGGTAAAAACTCAACCTACACTACGCTGCACCTTCAACTGTTTTTCCCCTTAATTCAGACGGTAACTCATTTTACCTTTATGGTTAAAACAAAGTTTTTCACTTTGTTTTTATGCTAACAGCAACAACACACAATACAATGTTTGTAGCTAACTACTAAGCAGTCCAGCTAGTGTCTAAAGTAATTGAAATAGCATTAGGGATAAATTTCAGCATGAAAAAATGTTACAGTTAACGGAAAATGATAATCTGGATGCATCAACTTTTTCCTGAAATATGCAAAATAAAAATTAAAATAAAACTTACCATCAGGGAGGTGAATTTCAAAAGTTTCCACTATTTCTGAAATCAGTTAAAACAAACAAAAAAAGGCGTTTTCAGTCTTCAGAAATTTTGAAATGCAGTGGTTGAGGTGTTTTTAAAGCTTTTATGAATGCTGTCAACATTAAAAAATTACCACTCTTTACGTCTGCACAGGTTATTTTTGTAAGTCTAAAAGAGGAGGCTATTCCTGCTCATGCCATCTGATGCCACACGGAGTAAAATTTTGCAATCTTTTGACCTTATCGGCACGCCGCAGTTATGCATAGTCCATTTAACACATTAAGTTGTCGCAAATGTTCTCTGTATTTTTTGGACCTGGCCCAGTAAAGCTGCAGAATCAGTTTTCATCTGCCCACCAGTGTCATTTCACACAGTGCACAAAAAAAAAAACTCCAGACTCTCTCAGTGGGAAGAAGAAATTCCTCTTAAATCACAAAGTCCCAGATGAACAAACTATTCTCTCAAGTTTGTTCATTTAGGAACATTAACAGCTTTTTGCAGCTCGAATGTAAAAACACTAGAAATGTAAATACGGTGAGATTGATTAAAGCAGAAACAAATAAAATGGAAACAGGTTAAAAAACATCTAAAGCAACTTTAATGTTTTTTTTCTTCACATTTCATTAACAACAAATATCATCATTAGAAAATACAGACTGACAAAACATGGAGGAAAGGAAAGGTCCCAAACCAAAAACACCAGAGTGAGACAGGATGAGGTGAAGGAGAGAGGGCTGACAGCAGGAAAGGATGAAGGCTTCATACATCTGTCAATCATCAGTCCATCACTCCTGCTTTAGGACGGAGGGATGAAGAGTTTTATCTCCTCCTCCTCTCCTCTCTGTTCCTGTCTCTGTTCTCCTTATTCCTCTCTCTATCCCTCTGCCTCTCACGCTCCCTCTCACCCTCCCTTTTCTCCTCGTAGTCTCTATCTCTCCCTCTGTCTCTCTCGCTTTCTCTCTCTCTCTCTCTTTCCCTCCCTCTGTCTCTGTCTCTATTTCTTTCTTCATCCCTTTGTCGGCTTTGAACTTCGGCTTTTCGCCTCCCGTCTTCCTCCCGGTGCTCCTCCTCTTCCATTCTTTCGTCCCGTCTGTTTCGCCGGGCGCCATCACGTGCACGCTCTCTCTCCTCCGCATCACGTGCACGCTCTCGCTCCTCTACCTCACGTGCGCCGCCTTTCCTGTCCTTCCTCTTCTGCTTCTCGTTGTCGCTGTCATCCTCGTCATTGTCGCTTTTCCTTCCTGATCGCTTTTTGTCGGACTGTTTGTCTTTCCCCTTTTTGACCTTCTCTTTCTTCTTCTTGCTCTTCTTCTTCTCTTCACTTTGGTCTTTCTTTCTCTTCTTCTTCCTGTGTTTGGAGTCTGAGTCTGGAGGACAAGGAGAAAAAAATCATCAGTCATAATAAACAAAAGCAGAAACTGACCCTTTAATAACAGAATTGAGCGGTAGTATTTTTACCTGAGCTGCTGCTGCTGGAGGACGAGTCTGAGGAGTCTGAATCTGATTCACTGGACGAGTCGGAGGAAGAGGAGTCAGATGAAGAAGAGGAGGATTCGGAGGAGGACGAGGAGTCAGATGATTCAACCTCTTGGTTCTGGGTCATGATCATCTTGGGAGCGTTCTTCAAGTGTTCCCTCAACTCGTCCCTAAAAGAAAAGGAGGGAAATAAAAGTGTGAACGATCATTGAAACTGACACAAACCTGAAGTTCTTTACAAGAGCTTTCAACATACTCTCCAGAGAAAGTACCCGTAACTGTTTCTCAATGTTAAAACACTTAAACATTTACAGTGTTTCATTGTATTACTGCAGGACACTCATGGAAATGAGGCATCAGTTTCAGTGGGTCTTTCCTCCTACAGTAAGGGATAAATATCGTTCTCTTAACTGTTTCCTTTCAGCTCTGTAACTTACCATCTACCAGGAGTTGTATATTTCAAAATAAAAGCATATTTTGGCAAAGCAGGAAATTAAAGTGACCTCAATATGAGAATGATAATATCAAAATAAGAGCTCGATGAACAATCGTTTAATGAGGCGACTTCCTTTCTGAAGAAGTTTGATCACAGGAAAGTTATGTGTTACTCTACTCTTCTCTTGTCTCGTCTTTCTTTAGTTTCATTTTCCAAGTTGTATATGTCTTTCTATGTGTCTTACGTCAGTCCTCCCAGTCCAATGGAGGTGAAGAAGTTAATGGCGAAGCGGGTGTTTCTCGGATTATCACGAGGAAACAGACCTTCAAAGAATGGCTGCAGTGTCCTGAAACACACAAACACATTTTTAACAATCATTTCATACTTACTGTGTGCAACTGACGACATATTTTACATTTAATCTGTTTAAAAAGTAAGTTTATGTTACTCTATACTCAACGAATTGAATACATAAATAAATCAACTGAAAGTACTTCTGCCAGAATAGCTCAGAAGACTGTTCCTGCAAGTTTTCTTACTGGTCTTTGAGCCTCTGGTTAAGTCTGGGGAGGCCCATGTAGGCACAGAGCTCCTGGAAAAGGATCTTCACAAAGATCCTGCTGGAGGATGTTGTTGTCTCCTCGCTCATCTTTATAGACTCCAACACCTGGTCGAGGGACGTTCACAACACACAGCACAGAGAGAGTGAGAGAGAGAGACAAAGAATCATGAATTATTAGGAAGCCAGAAGAGAGCGGGAGCAACCAGCTTCAAGTGTGATTTATGGAAGCTCAGTTCAACTCAAGTTTCAGGGGGTCTGAAAAAAGTGCTTTGAATCCTGGAAACCAAAAAAGTGTGTGAATCTGTGTGTGTGTCCTTACACTCCATGGCACAGAATCGGTGTACAGCAGGTGAGCGAACAGTCGAGCCACATTTCTAAGTTTGTTGGTCTCTAGTCGATGGATTGTTTCGTACTGCTCCGAAAAAATGGCCTCGAAACTTTCCATGTACTCTTTCTTGAGAAGGCAGAATCTCTGAAAACACAAGTCCATGCACACACAAACACACACACACACACGCACGCCAAAGTGTTAACATGTGCCCTCGAGTTGATTTTTTTGTTTAGAATCATAAACTACAAACTTACTTTTAAATAGTAATAACTTTTACTTCAATTTAAGACAATATGCAATCAAAGAAAGTCCCAAACTTACAAATGATAAAAAAAACAAAAAAAACCCCAGAAATTTCAAGATTGAATAACGAAATTTATGTGTGTCAAACCACATTGCCATGTTACAGGATTTAAGGCCAACACTGTAAATTCTCACAGACCGGGGGTTTTATTAAATGAGTGCAAATAAAGTAAAATAAAAGGGTACATATATATATAAAGAAAGACGCAGGCTCAACAGTGACTCATTTCTATATCAGCCCCTATATAAGCCCCATTGAGATTCCATACATAGGCCTGTCATATTTTCATATACAGGCCTTGTATAAAGGAAGAATGTAGCACACTGTTGCGGTTGGTCTCTGTGAACTTCACAGCATGGAGATAAAATTAATCTCCACCAAACAGTTCAATAAAACCGTCCAGATTGTTTTTCATTACCTCTAGAACAGAAATGAAAGAGATGAATGATCTCATGAGCAGCTAAAATTGATTTAATTCTCCCCTTTTTCATCTGGATGGAGGTGAATTTAAGGACAAAAATCTCTAAACCTGAGAAGTGTCTAGAAAATGATCATTTTTTAGTTTTGTGGATGGACTGCCTCTTTACATTTAGGGACCCCTAAAACAGCGTTTGTGTGTCTCACCCCGGCCAGCAGACCGAAGAACTTCTCGTAGGTCCTCTGTTGAGCGCAGCAGTCCAGGATCATGTTACACAGCTCCTTCTGTTCACACAAACATCAAACATCTTATTAAAACACAAAACCAACAAATTCACAATCACACATAAATGATCAACTGTGAACTATTTATTTAAAGCTGAGAGTTAAACAGGGTGTAAGTGTTATACATAAGTGAACAGTGAGTTGTAAAATCTTTGAGGAGGTCACACCCGAGTAAGTCGTCACTCAACTTTGAGCTAAACAGCGGCTCTGGACTCTGTTTTGATTTTGTGTGATGAGTAGAAAGCAGCTGTGATGACATGTGCTCAAATATCAGAGATGGGAGTGTCTCATGTTACCTAAAAACACGGTCAAACGCTGACCCCGACAACTTTTCCCAGACAACATCTTAAGACAGTTTCCCTCTGTGAGACTATCTGTTTCAATAGATTTTTCCTGAGCAGGTAATAAATAAATGAAACAATGAAAAAATGAAAGTTGAAAACAGTTTAGCTCTTATAAAAGGCATATCAATGAATGCTTTTTTAATTAAGTCAAACAGGGTTGGGAGTTAGCAGCTGATTGCAGCACAATAAGCTCTGTTCCCATGAGTAAAGAGATTTAAACTTTAAATATACAGATCACAACACCTACTCTTTTTATATACCGTTTTTTCTGTTGAAGAGAAAAATTGAAAAATGGCCTAAAATACCCTGCTGCATCCATGATTACAGATTCTTTAACACTCTAGTACTAATCCTCACCTGCAGTTAGCGACAAACATCTCATCATTTTGTAGGGCTGGGTTTTTTGGATGCCGATTCAATTTAAATTGCAATTCTACGATATTGTCGATTTTTAATCTGCATTTTTAACACCAGTGGAACAGTTGAATGATTATGATTGTCTACTGACTATTCCAGGAAGCATATACCCCCAAAAATACAAACCACATTTAAGTCAGTTTTTAAGATTAACGTCCTTTCACATCGGGACCGTTTTTTTCATGCAATTATTTTGGACGTCAATATTTTTTTTTATCCTGTCAGTACAAGCGTTCACATCAGCGACGTTTTCCCGTCCTGCGATATTGCAGCATTTACTTTTTTGGATCACGGTCGATTTTCCTAAAGTTTCGCATACTGTGTGTCCACTTCTGACCAATCAGATTTCATGTTGTTACGACGTCTGATTCACCGGTATATCCAACACGGCCAACCGGCTGATTGTTTACGTGTCGGAGAACAGAGTGTCTTTTGATAAAAGACACAAACATTACAAAGATAACGACCTGAAGGACAACTTGTGGAGAGTCACAGGATCGGATTTCTCATATGACGATAGTTTTTATGCTTTAACAGTTTGCTAAACATCTTTGTTTTAACTTTCATCTGTGCTAAGTAACTTTAGCTCGTAAGCTAAACTGTTCAGATACAACATCCCATATGTATTTTCACTGTCTCAAACTCAATCACAGCGTTGCTGTCACAGCACCATTAGGCCTCAGTTGTTACCTTACGTTTATGGATTATAGTTTAATGTGCTTCTCTGGTACTGGCCCTGACTCAGTACATGCTATCATGACAGACAGACATCTCAACACTAGTGTCTAATCAGAACTGAAAAACAGTCTGTCTGCTGTTGGGTTTTTCCCCCTGGAAAGTCGCAAAATCGCATCACGCTTGATGAGTATAGTCAGGCGCGTCAAATTTTGTAAATTGCATCGTATATTTGTGTCGTTCCTGGTGCGTAAGGACCTTTATTCTTAAATTTGAAAAAAAAAAATCTATTTTTGAACAAAAAAATTGATTTAAAATTGTAAAACAAAAATTGCGACACTTGTGTGAATCCATCTTTTCTCCCACCTCTATCAATTTGTTCTTCTTGGTTAATCTGCGGGTTAAAAGTTCCCTCTCTATCAATACGTCTCCATCAATTCCACTTTATTTATTGACACAGTCACTTCTTGATCCACTGATGTTGATGTAAAAACTTTGTGACTCGACGAAAACGTGCGTTTCTTCAGTAAACACCTCTGACAGTCAGTGTGTGAAAGAGCGGCAATGAAGAGAGTGTGTGTCACGGAGTGGGTGAGTGTGTTTGTGTGTGTTTGCGTTCCAGCTGTTGTGTCGAGTGATTCAGTCCTGATGCTGATGAGACGAGGTCTGACAGGGTCATCGGCTTTGACCTCATAAATACACACACGCAGCTGGTTTAGGTACACTTGTAAGGTCGTTCGATGTGTAAACAGAGTCAGATACACTTAGGATTCGTGTCACTGTAATCTTGACGTCCTCTGAACGGAAATCGTGATGATACAGACAGGATTTTTACAATATTATCCCCGCTTCTCTGAATCCTTAATCCTGAATATTGAATGCTCTACACCAACTGTTTCCTGTTTAAAGACAGCATGTTTCATTCATCTACACTTCAGAGTCACTGATATTTTCAGAGTCAGCCTCAGTGGAGAAACACAGTCCTCCTAGGTGGAAAAAAATATCCTCATTCAAATGTGTGTGTCTGCTTTTGTGCGAGAGTGCCACTGAAGCCTTTTTTTTGTAGCCAAGTATCTCTATGTGTGTGTGTGTCTGTGTGTGTGTACTCACCGTCTGGCTGTCAGGAAAGTCCATCTTGATCAGTTTGTGAGCACACTCTTCAAAGTCCAAACTGTAGACAGAGCCGATCAATCAGTGTCTTCATCAATAAGTGCTTGTCAATCAATGAATTCAAGTATGAAAGACTTTGTGTGCGTGTTTGTGTGCGACTGTTTATTTGTAATTTTCTCAATCTGTTTTGGTGTTTGATCTTATTTTCCAAACCTGTGAACTGCTCTTCACTGAAACCATGGTAACCAGGCTGCACACACACACATACGTACTGACACACACTCGCACACAGCTTTAAACACCGCTTTAAGTATGAGTCCAAGCCTCTCAAATATAGAAGGAGCTGTAAATAACTGCCAAAATCCAGAGAGACGACTGAGTCACTGCCTGTGTAACTGAGTGTGTGTTTTTGTGGATAAGCGTGTGCATATGTACCTGGACTGGATTGCGAGGTAGATGGTTCTTCTGAAAGCCACCAGGTTGACCTCGGTCTTATCGAAGATGGTGACCTTTTCATCTGAGAAGGACACACACAGACAGAACGTGTTTTGAAGGTGATTCAAATGCCTGTTTTGCTTCAGTTGAATGATCCTTATACAGATAAATATAAAACTTTAAGCTCAAAAATGGAACAGTAAATAGATTAAGACAGCTGCCTTTGGCTCCCAGTCTTTCTCAACAGGCTCCAATGTGGACTGTCCTTCTTTTTACGATACAGATAAAAGTTTTGTCTCCCCCTGATGGCTGTTGAGGAAGTTTTAAAAACACTGTCTCTCCTTTTTTGGCCACACTCCTTGCATATTCAAAGCTATAGTCTCTCCCTAGCTGAGCTCTTACAGTCCAATCATTGCATTGACTTGATTAGAATTTTTAAAAGGCAAATATTTAGCTGAACGGAAGCAGCTTTAAGGATAAGTTTTATTTAAAGCTCCTGTGAGGAACTTTCAGTTTACTTAAAATTTGGCCCCCCTAGTTGTCTACGCATGCACCTCCATGTAGGTAGAGGTTATGCTTTAAGCAGCCAGGTCAGAGAGGTTAACAGATAGTACATAAAAGCTACACAGCTGCACGGAAACTGAAAGTTGCTAAACTTAAGAAAAGTCTTCATGCAGGAGGATGGATTGCACCTTTTCCCCTCTGGACACCCTTCCTTAAAACAGACAGTGTTCATGGACACTAGAGCGACTATGAATTTTATTATAATGTTCTTCGTTGTCAAACAGCGCCTCAAAAACTAAAATACACATAAATCTAGTGCTGGGCGATAGGACGATAGATATCGTGGGCACGATAGAAAATGTCTATCGTGCCATTTTTATTTTTATCGTTTCGGGCGATAGGTTGTATTTAATCCATAGAGCTTGTGCCATCAGATGATTCATAGTAACAACAACAATAATTGCACATTCAGTAAGTGTATTTGGTGTCGAACGGGAAAGAAAACAATATTTTATTACAAAGAAAAGGATGCGTTGACATGTAGGCTCGCATTTCTCTTTCGATTTTGCGACATGACGCCGCTTTACGTGCCCTCTTCGTGTCCAGCGTCTCCCGCCGTTGCGGGTTACCTGGGTTACACACGTGAGGGGATCATTGTAAGCAGTGCTTAATTTGTGCCGGAGCAAGTCGGAGCGCGCTCCGGGACCTCTTTTGATCGGATCCGGGATCTATTTCAGCCGCTCCGGCACCTGTTTCATCTGCTCCGGGACCTTCCCTGTAGAGGATGACATTTTTCGGGAATTCCCGTGGGTCACGTGATTTCCGCGGGAATCCCACGGGATGGGAGTCATTTTTTTATTAATCCCTTGATCGGGACGGGACGGGAAAAAAGGCAACGGGAGTGGGCAGGAGCGGGAACAACATGAAAAGATGATCTTTTTCAGCCGTGTTTAACAACCAGATGAACAGGTGCGTCCATTTTTGTAGTCATCTCTCAGTGAGAGCTAACACTCTTGACCGCGCTAGCAACACAAAAGAACTACAACAGTGGTTTGACTTCCTGTCAGCTGGGAGCGCGGCTGCGCATTTGTACCCTTCAAGCCAGCAGCGAGGAAACGTAATTTTGTGACATTCTGTAGTTTTTCAATCATTTCTGGAGTCGTGGCGAATCAAATCACCTTACCTGTCTGCCCCTGATAGGCGAATAAAGCGCTCGGATTCATGCTCCGGTCTTGCTACGTGCTTCAAGAGTAAAGTAAAAAATGATGGAGGCAGAGAGCAGCTTTGGAGGAGAAACATCTAGCAGTGTGAACAACCTCTTCAAAAGAGCCCTAAAGACCTACCTTTTTAATAAAGCCTTTGGTTAGTTTTCCTCTATGCTTTATGCTTTTACTACCTTGCCTCTTACTTTGCAACTCTATATTTTTTATTTTTTTTTAATTCTTTTTTTATGCCAATCTGTGACTGTCATTCTATTGCTTTTTTATTGTTGCTGCTCTTTTTTTACTGTGTACTGTAGCACTTTGAGATTTTTTGTAAATGTAAAGTGCATTACAAATTAAATTTATTATTATTATTATTATTATTATGGAGTGCTTTGGCTCACACTATCGGCGTTTTCTGTGAGTGTTGCATAACTTTGGGTGAGCACAGACATGAACGCACTTCGGCCACGTATTTATTTATTCATTTTTCTAGTTTTAAGTGCTGGTCTTGTACTGGTACTGTACTAGTGCAGCTGTATAAACTTTTTTTTTTTCATAGAACTGAAAGCATACCATAGCTATATCGTGATATATATCGTTATCGTGATATAAAATGATCCATATCGTGATATACATTTTTTTCCATATCGCCCAGCACTACATAAATCAAATGTTTTTAAAAGGACCAGTGGAAATATTTTGCACTTGCACATGATCTTCTCAAGTTTGATAAAAGAAAAGCACAACCCATCTTACTCACCTTCTCCCTCTTCTTGATTCTCCTCTTCATCTTCTTCATCGCTTCCTTCACTCCCGTCTCCATCCTCCCCTGAATCGCTGCTGCCCTCGTCCAGGATTTCTGTCAGAAGGTAACAGCTGATTGGTTAAACTGTGGTAAAAGTGGCAGCTGATTGGACAGTGACAGGAAATGTTTTTTTGGCTGATTCAGACCTTTTTTGATGGTTTTGTATTTCTCTTCATTCTCCAGGAAGTCCGGGTCCAACTTGAACACATCTGGAGGAACAAACTCATGTAAGATCTACACACACAAACTGATTCAAATGATTCGAGCATGAAGAGTCTCCTGCTCCTCTCCCTCTCTGAGACTTACTGAGGATGTCCTCAGTGTTGTACTCGTCATCTAGAGGTAGCATGTGGGTGAACTGGTCCTCCTCGTCTACCAGGTCCAGACCATCTGGGATCACCGGGTGGTCTTTGAAACCGTCTTTTCTGATGGCGAACATCACCTCAATCATGTACTGGACCCTCTTATCGATGCTGGACTCGTGGAGTACATTCCTGAGGCGCTCAAATATGGCTGAAAAGACATTTAATAAGACCTCATAAGACACCTGCGAACACTTATAAGTGTTGGTAAACTTGTTCATCTCTAAACTCATAAAACCAACATTTTATGGATCCAAAACAAAACAAAAAGCTTCATTTTGTACCGTTGATTCCTCGCGGTGACACCTCAGTCAGTTTGAGACCGCACTCTTTGAGGAAGGCAATGGCGACCTCCACGCTGTCATCAGTCGGGCGCTCCAGAAGCAATGTGAGCATCTCTAGACACAAAACCTCATGGGCCTACACAGCACAGAAAGAAATACTTTCACTTTATTACATCTGAGAACATCAACTCTGAACAAACGCTCGGTCTGACTTCAGGACCTACCACGTTCTGGTTGATGAGATGAGCCACAAACTTGGAGGCTGTCAGGCACTGTTGCTGAAAATCAGAAGACAGACTGGATTTAGTACATCACACAACCTCTGATACCTAAAATTTAATCATATTCATAACGATTACATATAAAATACAAACTTTCTTCTTAGTGTCAAGTTGCTGAACTTTTTTCTTTTCATTTAAGATGTCACAAAAAAGTACAGATGTAAACTGCAAGGAGGTCTACATATAGGGCTGGGCAATAAACCGAAAATGTACCGATACCGAAATTTACGTCAATAACTGACGTCATTTTGCCCATGTCGATATATTCTGTGTCAAATAAATAAATAAATAAAAGTTGGTTTTGGATGTGTGTAGGTAGGCTTTGGTCTCATGTCCCTTTAAGACGCTGTCCTGCATCAGAGACGTGACTCCACCCCATCCAGTCCATAACAAAGAGGGAAAGACAGGTGAGGAGATGGAGGATGGTTCAAAAGTTGTAGCGACTGGAGTGGCGGCTGAAGGAGATTAATTTAATATGGGAGGGGGTGAGCAGCTTGTGGAGTAGTTATGATCCATTTATTGAGGTGAACTGCTCAATATATCGTGATATTGATTTGAGGCCATATCGCCCCCCCCCATTTACATATGATGGACAATTGTTTCAGCTGCAATTTAAGTCATCTCATTAAAATGTCAAAAATTATGTTTTAGAAAGTAAGTTACAAAAGGGCAAAACTTTTTAAACATTTTCCACTTTTTTGACAATTACTGGACTAAAACTTCAGCTATTGAAGACAATAACCTGCTAATTAATAATTCATGTTATAGGGTGATGGAAAATATAAAGACAAAGCTCTAACTGTGTCCAACTCTTCTTGGTCTTCCTTGTTCCTCTAGTTTAGCTCCGGTGTCTCTCCGTCTCTGGTCATTTAACTCAAACAGCTTCAGTTTCCTCGAGCTGGACCATTTCCATCTGAGTCACAGGAGCCAGAAATCTTTGACATCCACTCAAAAACATTCAAAGGTGTTTGTAATGAAATGAACAGAGAAGGAAGTAGTCCACTGTTCTGTGGGCCAAACCATTCACTCATGTCCTTCCAGACATTGAAATGCAAAATAAAGCCCAGCTGACAGTTCTGCTAAGTGGTTTTGATGGATGTTTCTTTCTGACAGAGGACATGCAGCTTTATGATGTCAGTGCTGTTATGTGCAGTAATGAGAACATACTTTACTGCACAACATAACTGGTTAGCTGTAAATCTTCCTGCTAATGTCACGTCTTCATCGGTGGAGAACCAGCAGCAGAAAGCTGTTGGTGCCCCAAACAAGCGTGTGATTACTTAAGACCGTCCACTGTGAGATCATCAATCCATGAGGGATCGAATGCAGACTATACAACCCAACATTATGCAGTTTTTCTCAGTCAGCAATTCTGAGGACTCCTCTGTGAAAATTACCCACAGTCCATTGCAAATCTAAAGAGATAAGGAGACTTTTCCATTCCCTACTTTTTAGAATTATTTTTGGAAATATCTACTTTTCTCTTTTAGTAAACAGTATTTTTTCTACTGTGGTAATAGTCTGGAAACCCATACTTTATCTTTCATTTACCATACTTTTTAAGACCTTGAAATTGATCAAATAACTTCCATACTTGCGTAGGAACCCTGATGAATGTGTCTGACAACCCCACAGCTCCAACATGCAGGAGAAAGAGGTTGCAGTAACACCAAAATCAGGTTGAAATGAAACATTTTCTAATGACATGACAATTTTGGTGCTAAAATGTACCAGACCAAGTGGTACAGAGAAAAATCGGCCTGCCTTTAGTTTCTGGCTGGTCCTAACTGTGGACACTGGCAGCCCCCTATGAATCTGACCAGGTACAGATTAACTGATGAGCCTATTTCATTAAGTGTGAACAAAAAACAACAGGCATGGTCAGAAACTCTTGTCACATCTGTTTGTAGCTGACAGCATGTAGCTCTGTATTTTGGTGGTGACTTATTCCACTTTTGTAAAGTTGTGTTTTCTAGTTTAGGATTTTGAAATCTTTACATCAATATCCACTGACTTTGAATAGTTTACCACTATATAACAAATAATGACCCTTAAGCACATGACATGTGCTCAATGTTTGGGCCATATGCTGCTGTAATGCCTGGTATTTGTCTGTTCCTTAATCGTTTAACAACAAGGCGGGTTACTGAGAAGTGAACGGCCCTTCGGGGATTAATTAAGTTGTCTGAATCTGAATCTGATAAAATACTAAAGTTGTGTCTTTCTTATCTTTATTTAAAGGAGCATCTTAGTGCCACGATAGTGCGCCCCATTCCTTATTTTTATACCATCTCATGGACTCAAGCACTTAGTTCCTGGCGTCACTGAGGTCACTGAGGGTTCAGTCCTCAGCTCTAGGGAGTCTGGGATTGGGAGGAAGACTTTCATGCTCTGCTCCGCTTTGCTCCGAGCGCTGGCACCCTAATTTTACCACTAAGACGTTTCATTTAAAATGCACCCAAACTTTGCCATTTTGGGAATTAACCACAAGTTAGCTTCAATGAGCGCACAGGCTCTGAGTGTTTTACTGCCGGCTTGTAAATCAGTTCAGCCATCAGTTCTCCATCTTATTACTAACAGAACTTTACTTTTGCGAACATGAAATATTCCAGACATTAAGAATCTGGATTTGTGTTGAACTGTTGTTTGAATCTCTGGTCATTTCCTATAATGTAATCCCTGACGACAAACATTCAGTAGGAGGGGTAGTCAGAGTGACCGCTACCTTGAGGTTGCGGCGGTAGCTTTTCCTGAAGTTCAGGATGAGGCGTTTGAGGATCAGCTCTCCAATCTGAGGGAATTTGGAATTGATGATGGCGACGACAGAGGCGTAAACATGAGTGAAGATCGGAGAGGCTGCCTGAGCCTGCAGCACGGAGCGAGCCAGCAGACCCCTGACACACACACACACACACAGACGGACAAAACGACAATAAAGTGAGTCAGGCAGCACTTAACCTCCTGTCTTAATTCTCTTTCATGAAACCCAGGAAATAAAACTCCACATTAGTGTTTGTTGTTGTTGTTGTTGTTGTTTACCTCCCCCTGACGATGTTCTCCTGCAGCAGCTCCTGGATGATGTGGACCATGTTGGATACGTTGACTTTGTTGATAAGACCATTGATGGACTTTTTCAGAGCTTCCCAACTCATCCTCTGATAGGCCAGGCTGCAGAAAGGGCGGGACATCAGTCACAACACAAACAGACTGAATCAACAGCTGAGATTAGAGACATTTGTCTGAAATTTAGAGATGAAAATAACTGAATCCAAGCAGCAAATTCTAAAAAACAACAATTAAACTCTTTGCAGTAAATCTGATGCATTCAAGTGCTCGTCCGTTTGTTGGACAATAATCCAAATGTCTAGACGTGCTCTTACCTGCTCTTATCTGTGATTTGCTGCTGCATCATGCGCAGCCTCGCGGGCGGGATGTAAGCTCCTCCCGTCCTTGTCAGGATCGGGTCCAGCTCCTCTTTCTTCTTCTTAGTCGGCGGCTCTTCGTTCTTCTCTGGTTCCTCCTCTGGTGGAGGGGAGGCCCAGCGGCCATGCCTCCTGCGATCAGTCTCAGGATCCAAATCCCTCCGCCTGTCGTAACGCCCGCCTCTGTCGTCTCTGCGATCGTCATAGCGATCCCTAGAAAGAGAGCCCAGGTTTTTTTGGTATTATTAAGGTATTTTTTCCTCGTACTTTAACCACAATCGGGCCCTTAGAACTCATTCCCTTATAGTTAGCTACATCATAGTTTACCCAGAGTCTGCACACATCTTATGTGGCTGAAAAAATGTTTATTTTTCTAATAATGTAGCTGCAGGAGGTTAAATTTATCTTATCTGTTTTCAACAAGTCTTTACACTTTCCATTATGTAGTTTTTAACCTTATGAAGAGTCAGTGATTCTGACTGGTGGAGCCAATTCTAGCTGTGTGGGCCTCTGTTACCTGTTATAGCGTCCTCTGTTGTAGCGGTCTCTGTCTCTTTCTCGGGACCTGGATCTGTCCCTTCCCCTTGATCTGGACCTGTCTCTTCCTCTTGATCCAGATCTGTTGCGTCCTCGTGATCCTGATCTGTCCCATCCTCTTGATCTAGACCTGTCCCGTCCTCTTGATCTAGACCTGTCTCGTCCTCTGGATCCAGACCTGTCTCGTCCCCTCGACCTGGACCTGGACCTGGACCTGGATCTGGACCTGTCTCTTTCTCGTGAACCTGATCCGTCTCTTCTTTTGGATCGGGATCGTGATCGGTCTTGCTCTCTAGACTCAGCTTGGTCCAGCTCTTTGGATTTGGATCTTGATCTCTGGAGAACAACAAGACAAAGAGTCATAAAGTTCTTCTTTCAGTCTTCACTTTTTAAAAAGACTCTTATTTACAACAGAGTCTGACAGTCTGGACCGACAGAAAAACAAGCTGCCGTTTTTAAAAACGGCTCAAGTCAGTCCGGGTGAGTTTTATTTACTTCACTCAAAAGCTTTCTGGCTCAAGATGACAGTAATGGACTCACAGCTCTCTTCTATTTGAGATTCTGTCACTCACTCCGACCTTTACTCATCAAAAATGTTTGAAATATACCTTTATTTCATCTCAACTCACAAACATAACTTGACCTTCATCATATTTCCTGTTGCTATGGAAACTAAAACTGCTGACAAGACAACTCTGCAGGACCAGATACGCAGAATCACTTAATATTTAATGAGGTAAAATAATAATCGAAGCCCACACTGTGGAGTGGAGAGGAGAAAACTCAACATGATTGAGTCTTTTTTTTTTAACCAGTTTGATTCTTTCAGAAATAGAAAGTTCTTAGCAGAAATGAAAATAAAGTATGTTTGAGTTTAATATGGAGCATCGGTCATGAACAGCTAAGGCTATCGAACATCAAAAAGGAGGAAATTTATCACAGTGTCCCTTAAACATGGAGAAAAAAATGCATATGCTCCCTTTAAATCAGAAAGACACTTCGCTTCGTCACAGATTAAAGAAATATGATTCACTGTGAATTAGGGGTTACAATTAGGTGGATTATTTTATCTTTAAAGACAGCCTGGCTGGCTCTTTCATCCTGTATCTAGTCTTTAAGCCAAGTTAAGCCCGATCAGTCTCTTGACTGCAGCCTCACATCTGCAGGAGGGAAAGAAATCAACTTCCAAGGACTTATTCTGATGTAATTGGTAGGAGACCCTGGGGTAGACCCAGAATTATGCTGATCTTTTCGCTTTGGGGGCTGCCTCGGGATTCTCCTGGAGGAGCCCGAGGACATTTTCTGGGAAGAGCAGTATCAGGATTACCGTGCATAGCCTGCAGTACATACAACTTGCAGATTTGTGCCTCCTAAAGATCTGGTCCCAGCTCCTTTTCTGCAGTCTGAATATATACAGTCTGAATATATACAGTGGATAGAAAAAGTCTACACACCCCTGTTCAACTGCCAGGTTTTAGTGATGTAAGAAAATGACAGCTAGATAAAAAATTTCAGATGTCTTTTTGCAAAATTAAGCCAGGCTTTGATGTTTTTCTTTGTAAGATAAGGCTATCTTGCCACCCTACCTCACCGCCCAGACATAAGATTTCTGTTTGTTTTTCAGTTGTGTTGTACAGGTTGTAGGTCACATTAAAGGTGGAAGAAGTTAAAAATTATTTATCTTGGTTTAATTTTTTTACATGACAAAAACCTGGCAGTTGAACAGGGGTGTGTAGACTTTTTATATCCACTGTAAATCTATGATACTGCATATCACAGAACAAGATCAACATATAAGAGTCATTACAGCTCTTGTTCACAGGCTTGCAGACCAGTTTAGTCTTTGACTCTAACTCTACTTTATGTGTCTTCATATTTACCAACCTGAATGTAAATGACTGATAAAAATAATGGATCAAATATCAAGTTTAGATCGGGATATCCTATCTTTCATCTGCAACTGCCCCAAGAAGATTGCTTAGTGTTGACCTGGCAAAAGGAAAGAGTAATGCTGTTTATACCACAGGTATTTATTCATCTAATATCAGCGAGTCATCAGATATCAAATCTTTTCTGCGCTCTTTGAATCCCTCAACATGATTGTAGACATCACAGTCTGCAGAAGTCTAGTGCAGTCTGTTTATGTACACATGTATGGAGTGAGTGACATTCACTTTGTTACTACTTACTTTGATCTGCGCCACACTGCTCCTTATCTTCCTCAATACCCCGTTGTTTTCGTCATCATCACTACTACTGCTGTCACTGTCTGAGCTGCTGGAGGCACGACTAGAAGCGGGGCTCCTGGATGTGGGACGGCCTTCAGGACTGGCCCCGGGAGATGGCCCCTGTCCGGGGCTCTCCTGTCCGGGGCTCTTCTCCACTGCAGCAGTTTCTTGGGGCCTCTCTGCCACTGGACTTGAGTCTTCTTCAGAGGGGCCTGGAGGGGGAGACACAAATAAAGAGACTGAGCAGGGGGAAAAAGACAATTTCAGCCTACAGCAACATGAACAATAAATCACTGTAACAGATGTTTTTCCTCACCGCTGTGTTCATTCTGTGCAGGACTAGGGCTTCGGCTGTTGCCTGGAGAGTCCATACCTAAAAAAAACAAAAAACATTTTGTACATGTGATAAGTGAATAAAGGAGTTATCACAGGTCATTCATAGATAAAGTTAGAAGTCCAGCTTCTTCACATCAAAAATCAAGAATATTTTTTTAATGTATTAGCGATTAACACTTTTGTTGACCAGAATTCTAAGTGTGTCATTGACTTTTTGATCCTTATGAGCCTGTATGCCCCTTAATTTGAGTTGATACGGGTAAACAGGTTGTACTCAGAGTTCGATCAATAACTGAAGGCTATTAGACTTCTATATTCAAAACTCTGGAAAACCCTACCTACCTTTTTCACTCTGTTTATTTTTTGTTTTCTTTCCCTCTTAACAAAATGTAAAAGAAATAAAAAATCTTTTGCTCGCTGTAGAGATAAATGGATTGATTCTTTGAGACGATTTGTATCATTTTGAAATATCGCCTGCGCTCATAGATCAATTAGAAAAACAAATTCTGCACACACCATAAGCAGCTTAGTCAGTGTTACCTCTAGTTGTGTAACTGATGGTAAATGAGCAGACTGAGCAATTAGAGTGAGTGTTTTTCAATAAACATATGCTTCAGCACAACTTTGAGAAGAAGAGATGCACTGATCCATTTTTTTCCAATCCGATACTGATACCTGGGCTGAGCGTATTGGCTGATATCTGACACTGACCCAATACTACTGTTGAATGAATACATGAATTGTATACCTTGCCCCATGAGTAAAGGCATCAGGCTTGACATTAGCCTTGTTTAAAAAAAGATAAAGTAACACAGATATACATTTACTTAACATCATTGATCAACAAATAACAAATTGCACATTAGCATACAGCAAAAGAAAAAAAAAATCAAAAGAAAAAAAAAGACTGGATCGGAACGCCGGATCGGTGTCGTTCATCCGATATCCAATCCATATCCGATCCGATCCAATTTAAGTTAATCAAAGTTTAACTGTGATGTCCACGGAATAGTGTTATTATATACTAACTGTTTTTCAATGTGTTTTTATTACGTTATGATAATAAAAAGTAACAACAAACAGTATTAATATAACTTGTTAAAAGGATATTATATTGACCTGATCTCTTATTAGCAACACCAACAGTCTTTAAAAGCTATTATCCATTGATCACTGATATTTGTTATATTTTAAGCTGTTAGTGGAGCACTTTTGTTTTCATTATCACAACGTTAGTGAGTCTAATAAAGAAGCTGACCGGCGACAACTGTTAAAGCTAAATGAAAAAGTCCGCGTGTCAACATATGCTGTAAAAAGTGGTTGTCAAAAGGTACCGAAAGAATATTGATACCTGAAAAGTGTCAAATGAGAGACTGATTTCACCGCCATGTGTGTGTTTGGATGAGCTAAAGTTAACGAGCGGGCTAATCTCTCTGAAGACACAGCTAGGAAGCTAACAGGCTACTAACCCGCTTAAACGTTAAGATTTCCGAGTTACATGTTTCAGCAACACTATGAAAATACTCCTTTTTATTTAAGTACACATTTAAAAGACTCTTACCCTTTTATTTTCGACTTCTCTCCTCTTAGTTAAATCAGTGTCGTTCCTTTAGCGGAAAACTTCTTCCAATAAAACAAGATCTACTTCCAGGTCAACAAAGGCTTCCGGATTTCTCCTTCCTCTTCAATGGAGTTTATTGGCGGTTGGCAAACCAACTTGAAGGTGCATTACCGCCACCTACTGGACTGGAGTGTGAGACAGTCAATAGGCAGACAAAAAAATATATATATATACATGATGGTGTCCAAATTGAAAACCTGTCTTAAATTTGCTGGCCCTGAGATGATGTAATTCATAATACACACAACTTTTTTATTCCGGGACTTAACTACACAATGGTCCCAAAATATTTTGGTTTATCAAAGTATGATTAGTCAGGAAACACAAACTCTCTCCCTCTCTCGATCTCATACACACACTCAAAGATGCTCTTAGCGAAGACGCAGCACTCGTCTGTACTGAAAATAAATACATCTTTATTATTCTCTCTACAGAGTGGTCCCTCCCCTTCATCCCGCTGACAAGACATCAATACAAAATACACATCATTATTAATAGACACATAAACAGAAATTAATCGACACCAACAGACAGGCAGTGAAGGGAAATTAGAAGTTGGTCAGATATTCTTGATCAGTTAAAAAAAAAATGAAAAAAAGGGGGGGAAAGGCACAGTGTGTTGGTCCAGCTGAGCAGAGCATGTGAACAGAGGAAAAGATGATTCTACAAACACATGGGGAAGAATCTAGTGGAGAGAATTAAAGCTCTAAAGGTTCAAATAGTAATAATTTAGAGCATCTGGGGGAATGAAAAACTCAAGTTCTTTCTGAAAAACTTGAGCATTAAACTAAAGCTCAAAATTATTTTTAAATGAACCTTTAGGAGAGAGTCCTTTCATCACAAATTGTTTCCTAGGATGAAGAGTGAACATCAACAAAACACAAGTTCAAACTGATATTTCAATCTGTGAGGGCGTTTACAAATCCATCAAAAAGAATAAAAAAAAAAAAAGAACTATTGATTAAGATGTGTCTGTTTTGATTGACGGGTCTCTCAGCCAATAACGCTCAGTTGAGTGGGGCGCTTGCTTTATCTCAGATTCTCCCTCATTCATTTACAAAAAACTGAATTGACAAGATCTAAACACATCAGAAATGTGAAATTTCCCTGACTGCATCCCCCAAAAGTTAAGTCAAAACATATCAGGCTCCACCTGCAAATTGGCGAAACGATGTGTCATAAGCCCGCCTCCTCCATGTTGCCAGATGAGACATGTGCCAAACTTTCTAGGAAACCGTTACTGTCATAAAAAGTTCATTTTTATCATGCAGAAGTATGTCCAAATAGTCATTTTTCCGTTGAATTAGCTATTGATGTTTGTGTAACCAAGTGATAAGTGACACCTCAATGGAAGCTCTGCATGATAAGTAGAGTAGAAATGGGAAGAAACCAATAAAAGCACTGACACAAGAATTACTGAACTTTCAATAGCTGTGAGTGTCTACTTCAAATCAACTCAAGATACTCTTACACTACAGACTGTATGGGTGGAGGCTGCAATTTTACTGGAAAGTTACATTTGTTTTGATTAGTGGATGGGGCATAAAGTTATCAATACAGCACAGACTAACTCCAACTGCACACTAAGGTGGCGCTTGTCTCAAGGGGGTATTTTGGCTTCATTTTTGCACAAAGAAGAGACTCATCCTCCTATACAGTCAATAGTGAATACTAACAAAGACATAAGTTATCCATCAGTTTGGTACATTCTATGTGAGAGAGTCTGACTTGGTTAAATTGGCGAGTTTGTCAAATATACAGAGTAGTTTGTGCTTCAGTGTTGCAGGAAGACTGATCCCATCTGAAATGTAAGAAGTGGTTAAATGTGTTAACAACAGTCCCAGTAATCAGCATAAACTTTCATATTATTGCACACAGACGGCATTAGCCAACATGCTCACATGGCTAAGGCTCTAGCTCCACTGTCTGCTAACCTTCATGCTCACCAGCCCACTTCAGTTATCACATCATCATCAACATTATCATCACCATCGCCGAGACAACTTACTCTGTAACCTTTGACCTCTTAGACATCCTCAGTGCCACATGACATCACTCTCTGACCTCATAAACTGCTAAGTAATGACTGGGACAGAGTCACGACTGAGTGTTAAAGGGACAGTCCAACATTTCGTGAATAGGGAAAAGGTTAGCATATATAGTTCAATCCCAACTAAAAATATTTTTGAACTCTGCTCATGCCTGAATGAATATGTTTGACTGAAAATGTTCAAAAAGGTTAACTGTGACCCAAGGATGTTCACACCAAGTTGTGTTTTGAATCTAGGAGCAGCTTTTTTTGTAAAACATGATAAAACTTTGAGATTTGACTGTGAATAAATGAAATGGCTCAAAGCACAATGACTATGATGATGATGATAATAATGAAGATGATGATGATGAAGGAATGTTGACAGCTCTGGGATCATTATCCGTTTTTTTAGCATACATTACAGCCCACTTTGAACCTTTTACAATAAGGTGAAATGTGCATGGAGTGAGTTACTTCAAGAGGTGAAAGCTCAGTTTGATCTTCAGCAAATAGTAAGGAGAAATAAAGAATCTAACCCTTTGATAAGAAGTGTAAGAGCACAGATTAAATAAAGTAAAGGCATTAACAGTTTGTTATTGGTCCCCTAATGTTGCTCACAGTAAGTTAATGACTTGGTGCAGCCAAATCACTCTTAGTGGTATCTCTTAACAGACATAATTTTGATATTTCTGTCTCTGAGATTTCTGTCTCTGTCTCATTACAACCCTGCAAAACCAATAAGTCTCATTTGCAGTGTTCCAAGTATTTAAAATCGCACTTTAGATCATAAGCATTAAGATTTTAACAACATCAAACCTCTTTTTGTTATTATTTGTGATCAGCAATTTTCAAGATTATAAATTATTTTTGAATTTACAGCTTTAAATTGTACTTTTCAATGCAAACTTAGAGTCCACAGTTAGAAAAAGACCTGGAATATATATGTTATAATGCCGAATATCCATATCATATCAAAATATGAGCTACATGGATGTTGGCATGAACAAAGGATGTGTTTTCTGTGTTCTCTGATAAACTCATTTCAAAGATTTGGCCTGAACCTGATGTCAGACTCTGTAGTCGAAGTGTATTTCACAGCAGCTTCATCTTCCCAAAGCAGAAAACCAGAAAACAGAAGGAATTTGTTTTTTTTTTTGTTCTCCCACCATGATAAGGATTTGCAGACTGAATTTATATTCTGAGACAAAGTCAGAAATCTTCACAGACAGAAAATTTGATTCAACCTCCCAATAATTTATTACTGTGGCGTTCATTAGGGGCTTCAGCTTCTGTGCTTCTCTAATCTCACAAAATAAAACCTTAAAGGGGACATCCACAGGACTGGACCTAATAGTGGTTTCCTGTTAGCACTACAGTGGTGGCAGTGGTTGTTGTTTTAGGCGTTGCTTTGATCAAAACAGTTTGAAAAAAAGAAACAAAAGAAGAAGATGACGTGTCATTGCTAGTGGTTCCACTCGGACAACCTTCCCGGCACACTGAAACATAAAAAAAGTCTTTGTCGTAAACGTCCTCGTCTCCCTCTGCATCCTGTCTGCTGCAGGTTGGGGTGGGCGGGGTTTTCTTACATGAAGGTGATGTGTTCATCTCATCATCAGTGTTACAGACATACAGTGTTACAGACACAGAGTGTTCCACACAGACAGTGTTACTCAGCTATACAGTGTTGCACACAGACAGTGTTGCTGCTCAGGCTGTGGTTACTAAGGCTAAAGGTGAAAGAGGCGGTGTGCTGATGTTGCCACGGCTACAGTGGCTGTTGTCTGGCAGGGTGAGGCGGTCGCTGTGGTGAAACAGTAGCAAGGAGCTCGCTGTATATCTCCCTTCGGACCTCCTTTGCTACACTTTCTCGGATCTGGAAAAAACAGGGACATAAAATACGAGTGAGAAATGAACAAAATCACAACACTGGATAACACCGAAGCACAACACGGACTGTCACCTCTCTGATGAGCTCCTGCAGGTTCTCCACTTTGAGTCCTCCTGCTGCTCCCTCCTCTTCTCCTTCTCTCTCTCCGTTTCCTCCTCCTTCTCCCAGTCTGTTCATCCCTCGTTCTTCCTTGTCTTCTTCTTCCTCCTCGTCGGTTTGTGCGTTGGGTCGAGGAGGAGGGGCGGGGGTTATGTTGATGGATGCTTTGTACACGCCTTGCTCGTGATCCTCACTACCTCCTCCTCGAACTGGGCTGGATGACCTGGTGGAGGGGTGGATGGAGGGGTGGATGGAGGGAGTCTGACCGTCGTAGCTGAGCTCTGATTGAAGGTAGAGCTGCTCTCTGAGGAGGTCTGACACCTGGAGGGACAAGAGGATAGAAAGACGGTTTGGTATATTTGGACACATTTTGACTCTGTTATCTCAAGACAATAGCTGTCTGTGTGTTTGTGAGGTATTTTACCGGCTCCATTGCTCTCAGTGCAGAGGCAGAGGACAGATTGTCCACACTGCCGTCTCTGTGGAGACCCTGAGGATTAAGAATAGACATTAAGTTTTCAAAAAGAGTCCTTCATTCTGAGTCAGAATCTGAATTTCTTATCCGGGATTTGTTCAAAGAAGAACGCTCGTTAAATGATTGTTTGTCATGCTTTTTATTAAGTCAATATTATTTGTCTTGCTTTAGGTTGTTTTTCTCCCTCCATCGTCAAACTACGCTTTTATTTAGAAGTGTACTACCCTGTACATGTTTGTGTTTCATGTTTGTTTTGGAACTACTACATCAAATTTTCCCCTAGGAGTCCAGCGCGCAACCAGTTCAGGATTTATTTTGCGCATTTCGTCGCCAGTTTCAAACTCAAACTTCTCCAAGAAATCTTCCTCAGAATAAGATTTTGAAGATGTTGAAGAATGAAGCCCAATCATTTTGTCTATATACACCCTGCATGTTTTGTTTTGTTCTGTATTTGTGTTTGTACCCCGTGTTGTGTCAGCTCCAACAGTTTGTCTTCCAGCTGTGTTTCCAGCTCCTGCAGCTCCTCTCTGACCGCTGACCTCAGAGACTGAAGCTGCTCCAATTCTAGCCTTTAACACACAGAAAAACACGTATCACCCATCCTTACAGTCTCAACTTCTGTCACATATGTGCTTCTATTCATTTTTGTGCCTCACCTGTCAGCAGGGCTCAGGTGTTTGTACACCAACGCCTGCTGTCGGATGATTGACAGCTCTAGGTCCATCATCTGACTGCGGAACAAGTTCAGACTTCGCCTTTTCTGCTGGAACTCTGCCAGGGACTGAAGACAGACAGAGAAAAAGAGAGAAAGAGAGAGACAGACACTTTAGATTTGATCAAGAATCACAAAAACGACATTACTCACTGTCTCTTCCTGGAAACATTTGTGACGCACAGCAAACTAACAGTATGCAAATTCTGAGTTATGTAAAGCTCATATGTAAACATATCATACAACCCCGAAAACACATTGACAGGAAATGTGTGGACATTCCTGGGACATAATCTGCCTTCAAGGGGATCGAACGGTTTTGTGTTTGTGAGAGTTACACTTGGAAAGATTTAAGTCGGCTTAAACTTCAGAAAGATTTTTAAGCTGAGCTTTACTAACAAATTGCATTTCTCCACTGTCAGCAGAGATTGCCTCTCAGAAAGGAGACAGGTATGAGGTGGTAAATGAAGGATTACTGAGGGGGGGGAGACTGTACCTGGCTGCTGGATGGAGTTACTCTGTGCTCAATGAATGCATCTGGAGTGTCTGCACGGTTCTGGATGAAGAGGACAGAGATGTCAGAACGTAAACTCTCAGAAGGATCATTTAGAGCTCAGAAAGGAAAAGAAACAACAACTACAGTGACAGAGAAGATTAAGCAACACTAACAATGATTGGTTGTAGTTCTAACAGGAGGTGCTATATTTAATCTTGAGGTTAAAGTGGAATCACATACAGGTTTTCACCCCAAGAATTATCATCAGCCACAGGAGGTTTACCATCATGAAATTAGAGAACTATGTTCAAAACAAACTTCAGCAATTTAATCTACTCATTATATTAATAAAATTATTAATTAATAGACGGACAGTGAAGATGCAGGACTAACCTGGTTGAGACTCTGGACAGTCCCTCTAATGTCGTGAAGGACTCTCCTCAGCTGCATCTCTGTGGTGGATGGAGCAGGAGGAGTGAGCCCCGGGTGGAGACTGTGGCCCGGGCCTGCAAGGAAACCTGGAGCATGAGGAGCAAGCCCAGGATGGAATCCATGATCTGGGGGACACTGGGGAATGACATGGGGGAATCCCAAGTGTGGGCTCATGTTGTACCCATGGTAACCGAGGTAGGATGAGGCGTACGGCGAGCTGTGCTGGGGTGAATAGAAGAGCGAGTGGTGTGGGTAGGGGTGATTGTAGCCCTGGTGGTGCATCATCGGAGTAGTTGGATGCAGGTTGCCCATGCTGGCGTGGTGAGGAGTCGCAGTAGATGGCGAGTGATGCAAATTGGAGAGGCTGGCATGTGGCGGTAATGGCGAAGTTGAAGGTTGGTGGAGACCAGGAAGGCTGGAATGGTGGAGTGAAGACGGGTTGTGCGGGTGGTGGAGGTTAGGAAGGCTGCTGTAAGGTTGGAGAGGGGCTGGGTGCTGTGAATGAGGGTTGAGAGTAAAGGGGTACGGGCTTGTGTTAAAGCTGGGACTATGGTTGTGGGTTTGGTTGAGGTACTGAGGAACAGGATTGGGATTAGGGCTTGGATTAGGGAGCGGCATCGGCCTTGAAGTCCAGTTTTGCTGGTTTTGGTTTGAGCCCAAGTTCTGCTGAAACTGACCCTGCTGCTGCCGTTCGGTGAAGAGATCAGGAACACTCTGGGTGCTCCAGGGGTGGGCGTTGCCACCTGGTGGCCAATCAGGAGGAGGGCTGGCGCTCTGCAGAGAAATGGACGACCGCATCAGGTAGCGAGGGATGGGTTTAGGTGGGATGAGGGTTTCTGCAGGAGACCTTGTAGGCTGGTTGATAGAACCGGACGAGGAAGCGGGGTTTATGAGCAGCGTAGACCGACATCTTGTTTGCCCGTCATCTCCTTCCTCAGCCCCTCCTTCTTCCTTGTCCTCGCCGTCCTCTGGGGTGTATTTGAAGGAGTACCTGGGCTGGGTGCAGGATGCCTGGCCCTGACCAAACTGGATCCTGACAGAGGACACGATCCTGGAGGGTGAGAGGAGCGATGTGGGCAGGGAAGATGACCTCTGAAGAGGGAATCCTCTCACCCTTCCTCTTCCTCGTCCTGGACCTCCTTCTGTGTTTGCTCCCTGCCCTGCTCGACTCAGGTCGAGCTGTTTGGCTCGATTCAGAGCGCAGAGAACCGGAGAAGGAGGAGGCGGAGGGACAACTTGACCAGAATCATCCAAGACAGGCTGTTCTTCTTGGGACTCAGAAACTGCTCCAGCTGTTGATGGTACCGAGTCTGTGGTGGTCTCTGTCTGGTCCTGACTGCATTGTGTTTCTGAAGAAGGCTGACTCTGGCTATTGTCTAATTCTGGTTGTGGTTCTTGTTTTGTAGCAGACCCACTCTCTGGTTCTAGCACAGCTTCAGGATCAGCCCCATTCTGAACTTGTGCCTCCTCCTGGTTCTCTTCCTGTTGCTGTGATCCTGTTAGATCCTTCCTGGGAAGCTGGTGAGCCGTGTACTGTGGAATCTCCTCTGAAATCCCATCATGCTCATCTTCTTCCCTGGAGCTACTCCTCCCATCAGTCTCAGACGCACCTTCAGGCCCCGCCTCTTCCTCTTTGGCATCTGGAAGAATGAAGGCTGGGTGGTCCAGTGCGCGGGGCGTGGGTACATCTTGTGAAGGATGGGATGTCACAGTGGTCTCGCTGTCACAGCTGTCACTACTCTCTTGCACCTGAATACAAAAACAGCGATTAATAGGTTTGATTCCAGCCTGCTGCTTCTCTCTGGTTTGTCACTCTGTGCTTTCTACCTATTTCTTCCCTCATCCATCTACTATCCTACCATCTCTGATAAAAGCTCAAAATTTGATAAAAAAAAAAATAAATGCATTGTATTGCAAACATTTACTGTACTTTTAAGTTATCCTCTGAAAGTGTGAGAAATCTAGTGGAACTGACTCTGGAGACAGGCGTGTTAAGTCCACTGAACAATTAAAACTTGTCTGCTTTGCTTGTCGGCACCAGTATTAACAGTCAGTACAAAGGATCCAATTTTTATCACTCTGGGCCAATATGTCGATCAAATGTTTTGTCTCAGCCACTAGTCAGAGCTGCTACTAAAATGCTACAACACTCCATTCAAGTGTAAACAAAAAAAGATGATAGTTTGACACTTTTAGGCAGTATTTTGGTCTAAAGTTGGAGACAAAGTAATACGTATGCTGTGTCTGGTCAAATTGGCATATTACCAGTTGAGCAAAACAGTGCATTACCAGCACAGACATCAGTTTTTTTTTTAAGTCTGCATGGAGGACTGAGACAAACCTGCGCTTGCAAAGATATATCAACCAGTAGTCTGGTCTTCATGGTGGACAAACTCCAATTTGTGATGTTGAAAATAGGATAAAACATCTATGGGGCTAACAGATATCATAAATATGACAGGTGATCTTCATTTTCTTGCGTATTTTTTCCTCCATTAAAGTCTTTTTCATTAAGTCTGTTGCTGCCTGCTAGTAACAGCAGGTAATAAACCGCCAAACCAACACTGGCATGTCTTTTAAGTCTGGTGGTTTAACTTTTAGACTAGTACACCAACAGATTTAAAAACCATAAATTCAGATGTGGGAAAACCGTTAGGCTTAACCGTTTTAAACACTCTTTTATCCCAACATCTGTTAAGATCCTGAATGCACAGATGTAGTTGCGACTTCTCTCTTAACTGTCTTTTACACTGTCCTTTATTTATTCACTGGAACTGTGCAATAGGGCCGTTTGAATGTGATGCTGACAGGTTGTGACTGTGGTGTGTTTGTAAATGTTACTGTTCCTCTTACGACTGCAGAACCATCAGAGAGTCCACGTCAAATTTCCCCACTGGGACAATGAAGTATATGAAATTAAATGATGAAATATACGTTGCATTACAGGTCATAAAAGTGATGTTTGCTCTGATTCTGAAAATAGACCCCACATAAAGGGAAACTAACAGACTCATCTCCTCTTTCTTCTTCCTTGTAGTATAATATCACTCACATCCCCGTGTCCTCCTCACTCAGGAGTGTTTCTTAAAGGTTTATGAGTATAACCCTTCTTCCATCAGACATATGAGAACCTGCAGCAGCTGGGGTGGCTCTGTCTGTTCCACAATACCTTATACGGTTTTATTACACTCCATAAAGTAATATACTTAAAGTTCACATGTGATTTATGTGCAGGATGTTTCCCTTCAGGGTGAGATAAGGCTCCTAATGGAGTCATATGAGCCGCTTCAAATAACCTAAAAGGTCAAAGTTTGTGACCTGGAGTGAGACATAGCAGGTGAGTAAGACTTCAAACTGAAAACACAAACAGACCTTGAGGTAGCTGTTGGAGTCGGCAGAGGGCTCCTCGGCAAAACCACTGCTGTCAGACTGCTGGCTGACCGTCCTCAACAGGTCTGAGAAACAGAGAGAGACAGATGTTTTAGGGATTTCTCCTGCAGCGTCTCCACCGTCCAGATGGTGGCGGAGTAGAATCAGTTATGGTGAGAGTAAAGCAGAGGCATGAAGAGACAGGACAGTCTGTTCTGACTGAGTGAGCTGAGACACAGGAAACATCCTTTATTGCATACAGACACTGGCTGCATATATTAAATCATATAAACAAAGAAAAGGAGCGTTTATATTCATACTCTTAAAGCCCTCAGAATTATCAACAAATAAAACAGAAGAGATTTATCCGGAAGGAGAAAAGTAGAGCAAACCGAGGCGACTATCAGAGTGCATTTTGGACTTGTTTTAACTAAGTTATTTTTATCTTTGGCAGGCTGCGAGAACGTTTTTCACTCTGATTAATGCTCCAATACCAGAGACATGTTACAATAACTTTAATCTTCATGTTGCTCTACGTTCTCTCACAAATCAGAGCAATATTAGTGCATAAAAATCATCAAAACAGACCAAAAAGTTTCACTAGCTTACAAACAACTAATTCACAAGAGTGATGGGTAAATGTTTTGCAGAGACACAGCGACAAAAGACACACGCAGGAAGTTTTCCCCCTGGAGAGCTGAGCTATTTGCCGCAGGTTGACACATAAATGAGTCACTAAGGTTAAGAAGAAGAAAATAGTAAAAGCTACAGCAAAATGTCAACATTGACCTTTCGTTTCCTCACATGAAAGAGACGACTTTCTGGCAGAAAGCCCCGGAGGCAAACCTCCTCGTGTCAGGAGTGAGTGGAGCAACGCAAATGTAAACAATCCAGGTTTCAAAAAGTAAAAAAGGAGGGATATGCATTAAAGCCATCGCTTAGACTTCAAACAATGATACACAATTTTTAATGGTGAGTTACACTAGTGGAATCACAGAATAAAGGCAGACACATGAGATCTTGAGTAAAAAAACTGAACTTACCACTTCCTCTAGAAGATCTGGATGGCAGAACTTCATCTTCATTACTCTGAATCTGAGTGAAAAAAGGTGAATTTTAAAAGAAAGAAATAAGAACTGATAAAAGAAATCGTATTTACACAAAATAAAATACGTACCAAAAATTCAACTAACAGATTAGTCCAAAAGAACATAACCAAATTTAGTTTAATCAAAATTAAAGCTCCTGTGAGGAACTCTCAGTCTGTGATGACTCAAAGAGGTGACTCCTACATCATCGCTGATTTGTCTTGTCCTTGTGAACATGGTGTTATTTGATAAAACCCCCTCCCCCTGTTGTTTTTTGCAGTTACAGACTTGTCATTGATAGTTTCATCTGCTTTCATACACCATTGAGATGCATTGCTGTTCATTTCGGTCTATAAAAGTCCTCACAGGAGCTTGAATTAATAAAGCCTATCTGTGGAAATGTCTGCTTTATTGATTGTGTATAGGTATATTTCACCTGTGTCAGGCAGGTCAATTAAATCCAAACTGAGTGCACCCTAAAGCAGTCATGTTCAGGTTTGTTTAAAGCCAGTTTCTGCTGTCTCAGTCCTACTGATGTAAAATATCCTAAAGTACTACCTTTATATGAAAGTAGAAAGATGCTTTTAACTGCTGCGAGAGAGTAGATTTGCCTTTGTTACTTCTTCCATGGCATACACTAACTGTAAGTGATACATTTCGCTGTAAATGACGACCTGAGTGTCTCTTCAGGGTCACTGCTTTGGAAACTCAGCACAGACATGAAGTTCCTCACAGTAGCTTAAAGTGAGACCAAGATGAACTTCTTTTTTTATCAGATAACTTCCTAAAACTAAGCTCTCCATCTTTAGACTTCACCTGTTAAGTTAAGTTGTAATTTTGTTTATAGTTTGATGCTGCATCCCATGAGAAAATTAAACCTCATTTATTTGGAAGGTACATGTGTCAGGAGGGTCCTGACCACACCAAACCTAAGTGTGAAGAAAACAAAGACATAATGGTGGGATATGATACCTCCTCCATGTCGAAGGAGTCAGCGTTTTCATTGCGAAGCTGAGCCAGCTGGGGCGGAGCCAAGGTGGGAGGAGCTTTTTCAGGTGTTGACGTCAGGTTCTTCTCGTTATCGGGTTGATTCTTCCCATCAGCTGCTGGCTCAGAGCTGCTCTGTTCAGGACTGACAGGAGGAGAGATGATGGAGTGGGGTTAGACTAAATCTGCTCCCTCTTGATTACATAATGTTAGTATAAATTGGCTGGCCTCCTTTATTTTGCACAGAGTTTAATCTGATTAAACTTTGACATGTGAAATTGGGAGCATCTCTGATGTTCAGCCAGTTCCTGAGAAGGGATTTCTTCGATTAAGTCGAGATAACAAAATTCAAGTTTTCATAGGCATCGCTGTTTTTCTGTGGTGAGTGAACCAACAATGATAAAAACACTGACAGCAAAAGCTTCAATAAACGATAAAACTGTTATCAGAGTACACACTACAACAGTGTTGATGTTATGGCAGCCATGTTTATGTAAATAATCTCACTCACACTGAATCCTGTCTCACATTACGGGCAGTTTACATCAGTTTAATCAGGGAGTTTGTATCATTAGCTGGCAGCAAATACGTATGTTAAAGGATCAATCCGTGTTTTGTTTTTGAGTGATACTTTTACATATTTACTGTTTCTTCTATGAGCTACAGTTGAAATAAAGTTACTGTCACAGGTGTAGTTTAAATACCTCTCATCTGTCTCTCCATCCCCGTTTGTTTCCTCGGTAACCGTCGCCAGGGAACGACCATCTTTCTTGCGGTTGTGTTTCTGGTTCATCGTGTCCGCCTGGTGGTCGGTGTCAGAACTGCAGCCCTCCTGTTCTGATCCTGTGTGTGTGTGGCCGTTTATGTGCGTATGATCAGACGGCGTGAGTCCGTTCTGCTGGGCGTGCTGGTCAGGTGCTTGTGTCTCAGGCGACTCAGAGGTGGCGGCGTGCAGGTTGTGTTTGGTGATGGTTCTCTTCAGGAGTTTGGCCATGTTCCTCGCCGAGTTGGTCTTTTTCAGAGGAGGAGGAGAATCATCTCCACCCGGATCTCCTGCTTCTCCTCCTGAGAGCAAGGAAAAAGAATTTAAATGAAAAGATGCACCTCAGACCTTCAACCAAAGTTAAGGCAAACATTTCTGAATTTCTGAGGAAAAATGAAATTCATTGAATAAAAAAATGCCACAAAACCAAACTTGTGACATGATTCACTTCAAATAAGGGGAGACAAGCTTTTGCTTTGAACTTGATTTTGACGTAAGAACTGAAAATTTGTCTCATAACAAAATTTTATTAACTCAAACATTTATTTTTACCTTTGAAAGAGAGAAAAAATGATCAACTTTTAAAGGAACTGTTTTCACAAAACCTGACTCAAAATTCCCAGAAACTGAGCCCACCGAGTCTAAGTAAGAGAACTGATGGATCTAAAAACTATCAAACATTGGTGACTCAAATTCACCAAATTTCAATAAAATTTAACTCTATTATGTTTTCCTGACCCCACATAAGCTGTTCCTTAGGTCTGAATAATCAAAAACCCTCTGGTGCAGCTTCAGTGGTTACCTTGGTCCTTGGAGCTGATGCGTTGGACAGGCTGACCGGAAACCTGACTGTAGAGCTGGAAGAACTCGTTGGCGACTGTTGTTAAGACCTCGATCTGACGGAAACGGCCTGAGGGGGACAAACAAAACCAAAAATAATGGTTTCAAAAGGCTTCTCTGAGCAGGCATGGAGAGAGAATCAAGAAAGAGAGGAAAATGTGGGGAAGACGGGATATAAATGTGCTCCTGATGACGCACTCAGGAGAGGCATACCTATTTTTTCGCACTTATTTGCATCATACAAGACCAGAAAAAAGGCTTTTCTTGATCTGAAACCTAGCAACTATCAAGAAATCAAATCATATGACAAAGAAAGGAGAAGCATCTGTCTAAAAGCAATTTGTGAAACCTATAAAGAGCTTTACTTTTGGTTCATAAGGGTCTGAACATTTTCAGAGTCTCCACAAACACATCTCTGTTATCTCTGTTACTGCATGTTTCCTGGTGACTCTGCCTATTTTCAAACCTCCAGAATACAAGACCTTTCAGTCTCCTTTTCAGCCTTATGAGGATGAAGATGTTCTAAAAACCAAAATGAGCCTCACGTATAAGGTTTAAGCTCATTTTTTACCGATTTAGGAAGCTCTGTCCCCTAACTAAACAAAAGCTGAATTCAAAGTCACTCCTTATCTCCAGAGTGGTCCTACTTATTACTTTAAGTCATTTTTTCGAGTGTTATTTGCATTTATTCCAAAACAGGGCAAAAATTGTGTCTGGTTTCTTTTTCATGAGTTGTCTTCGGCATTTCTTCCTTTTAAGATAGTACTTAATGAGTAGGGAGTGAAAAGTAGGGAGTGAAATGCAGTCAAGGGTCATGGCTGTTTGGGTCTGCAATGAGCACTAAATAGTATCTCTATACAGGGGCTGCATCTAAACTACAAACCCTAACTCCAGTTAAGTTGAATACAAAACCAGAATACAATGATTTGCAAATCCTCTTTAATCTATAATCAATTAAATATGCTACAAAGATGAGATATTTGATGTTTAAATGAATAAACTGGTAAAAGAGTGTGGGTACCAGACTGGCCTGTCTTCAGTCCAGACATGTCTCCCACTTAAGATGCGAGGCACAACATGAAAATACATTAAAAAAATCTGCTGATTTACATCTTCAGTTTAATCATTTTGTGGATAATGCCGATTCATTGAATCAAAGAGACAAATATGTATTTAAGATGTATTTACTTAATGTAAAGACAGTTTCAGGGACTTGTCTAATAGAAATTTATCAAGAATATATAACATTCAAATGGTAAAAATGCCCTTCAGCACACTTCTTATCCGTCTTGCATCAAACAATTAAATACTAAATAGTGTTGGATGCCTTGTACAGTTGCACAAGTCTTAATAAATGGGGATATTTATGAAATTTGACTGAACATTAAAGCTCCTGTGAGGAGCATTAGTCAGTTTTTACACTGCTGCCTTGTACATGCATAAAAATAAAAATAAAAAACTTCTGCTGTTTTTTTTTAACAATTAAACCAATCACTCTATTAATCGCTGCAGAGGAAAACATCAACAAAGAGCTCTTTAACACCCCTTCCGACACTAACCAAGCAGCAGTGCTGAGAGACATTAAAAAGTCTAAACAGAAACTTTCAGTATTATGTCTCATGCTCTGCTTTGCTTTTACAGATCATTTAGAGGCATCAGTAATTATTTCATGACCAGCTAAAAACTCCTCACAAGAGCTTTAACATGCAGTGAAAATAAATCTCACAGCTCAAGAATGACGATAAACTAAACCTGATTCATAAAAATGAACTATTAACTGTAGTGGGATAAACCCTGAGCTCATTCTTACACTTCTTGAATAAAAGTAAGACCCTGGGGTTCCATAACTTTCTGCAGAATTTAAAAACTTCATACTGAATTTGGGCTCAGACGTCAGGGCAGCTCCTCCTCCTCCTGTCCCTCTCCTTCTTCTTCTGTGGTTGTGTAAGTCCAGCTGTCAGTCTCTCCTCTAACAGGATGATGACTTGCATACATTCCTTCCTTCCGCACCCCTCCTCTCCTCTCCTTCATCTCTCCATCCCTCGCTGTCTAAATACTTGTCAGACTGTTATGAAACACACACACTTCTGCCTTTTGTCCGTCACGCTGTTAAAGCCTCATAACTCGTGCTGATGTCATCACCTTAAATACAGCAGAGGTCTGCGCTCTCAAATTTCAGTGGTGTCTCTCAGATGATAAAGGATTCTCTTTCTGATCTTATCTTTGATGGAAAAATCTCTCCTGGATGAAAGAAAACTTCTGTATCTTCAGTGTAACCGCAGAGGACTTATGTAAACACCGGCAGTCACCATCATGGGAGAAAAGAGCAAAAATAGGTACACTACACGAGGTAACTAAGAGTATTAAAGCCAGACGGAGTGGGGAAAAGGATGATAAATGTGAGATAAAAGCAAAAATAATCTAAAATCGGGATATTAGTGGAAAATAAGGGCACGCCAAATCTTACTATCCTCAAAAGAAATCAAAGTAGAAGAGAGGTTGCTGGTTGGTGTTTTCTTCTTTTGTTTGACCTCACAGCTGAGAGGAAACACAAAACTACACTGGTATTTTGACTTATCAGCCCTTGACTGCCACAGCTGGATCAAAAAGTGCCCCCTATCTTAGTCACAGGGGTGTGTCTAGAGATACAGCCAAGGGTTGCAAAGCCGAGGCACCCCAGGTGGCCAAAGGCAGGATTTATGTCAAAAACTGTTTCGCAACCTCTCCTCTTGAGAAATAAAGTGAATGCATTGGTACTACAAACTGCAGTTCCTTTAGTGTCCACTTGAGGTTTGCTGAAAAAGCACCAGAGGACACATACACACCCATTCAAAAAAGCCAGACATTTTGCATTACTAGAGGCCCAGCTAACTTGACTGACAGGTGTGAACTGTAGATGTTAGACGAGACGCTTCCGACCTGCCTCAACTCTGCTCTTTTGTCTGTTGGTGGATCAAGTTTGGTTGAATCAGTGTTTCCAACATGGTGTCTGCTGGTGACACCACTGAGGCCACATCCACGTTTTTATCAGTTTGGGGTTGTAAAAGACTGTTTGTAGTACTCTTTGCACATAAAGCACATTTTATTTCAAATTTTACAGTTACACTTATTTCCCATGACAGGTGTAAAGGAAATAAAGCAGTCCATCCAAATTCGCCAGCCAACTCCAGCACACTGTCGAAAATAATCCCCTGTTTTCTTTAGTGAAGGCTATTGAGTTGGACAGGTTTTAAATTTCCTTTGAGATGACAGAAATGAGTGACTTCAACACATCTCAAACCTTAAGTAAAATATGCTGAGTCATTGCAGCTTGGCAGCCCCTCATAAGCAATTTAGTTTGGCTGAAAACCTGTTTACTCCCTCACTCAGTCTGACTCCTCACATTAAACTAATTCCATAACTGCATTGAGCTTTTTCTAGGTATTTTCAGGCTAAGTTAGCAACTAGCTGAGAAAAAAAAGGAGCGTTGAACTTCCAGGAAGTAGGGTCTCATTCTAAGAAGTGAGTGGAGACAAAGCACGGGAAAACGGAGGGTGTGCAAGATCCAGTGTCATTATTTTTCTTCACTGTCAGTAAATTTCGAGACTTTTTTTTAAACCTGAGGTCAAAAAAGACCCAAATAATTAATGCAATTATAAAATGAGTGGCAAATATCGTAAAAGAAGCTATGAATAAATAATGACCCTCAAGTTTCCACACATAGTAAACAAATGATCTTGCCAAAGCTCTGAACCACACAGACATACAGCTGAGTTATTTCAGTCACATCTGGATCTGACTTCAGAATATGAACCTCTTATTACAGCTGCAGTGTGCAATGATAGTAATACTGTGTGTGTGAGTGTGTGTTTCCTGCTGACTGCTGAGTCTGCACTAATGTTCATTCTGAGGATCCCAATACAGGAAGTGAGGAATAAGAGAAAACGACACGTACGCTCTTGTTTTTTCTCTCTTTTCATCCCAAGAGATTCTTTCTGATGGTGAGAACAGAGCTTACATAACAAACAACACACACACACACACACACACACACACACACACACACACACGTGTGTCTGGGATCCAGGGAACCGATGGAACAGTATGAGAATGTTCTGGAAAAGGAAAAAGCTTCCAGGAACAACAGGCACACCAAAGACTGTTAAAGGAGCAGTCTGCGTAAAAAAAAGATCTGATCAGATCTGATCTCCCTGGAGTTAGTAAGCAGTTTTCAACCAGAAGTTACATCATCAGGATCCAACTAATTTACCACACAGAGTAAATCACTGACAGTGTCATTTTTTTTAAAATTCATATAAAACACAAACATGCAGCTGTATCTTACGCCAGGAATCCTTTATATTTATACTCTAATATCAGTGGGGCTAGCATCAGACAACATCTTAGTGAATGCATGATTTAAAATGGAGTCAGTCTATTAAACGACAATAGCGTGTACTCCTGCTCTAAAACATCCAAGTTCTCGTAGAAAAAAAACATTATGGCCCTGAGCTCTGCAAGAAACTAATGCAGGAACGGAGGCCATACTTTCCCAAATCCAAGTTTCTGCAGGCAAGCGAGAGTCTAGGCAGACATGATCAAAAGAACTTGAATAATATTTAATGAACTCACATCTTTTACTACTGCTGTAGTTAAATTGTAGATTTTACATCTTACTGGTTTGATACACATTTTCTTTCCTTGGCTCTCACCTTTATCGGCATTTTAGTCAAATTTCTGGCCTGCATCCCAAATTATTAACTCACAGTGCGAAGGACCGCTATAGGTCATGGAAAATAACGCACATTCGTCTGCCACCACCTGACAAACATCCAGCAATATTTACATAGCCATTCTAATTAAAGCAGCTCATCCAAACAGCTCGGTGGTCACCTGATACTGCATTATACAACAGGACTGGTAACAGGTTCCAGTGTGTTTGCCCTGGTATATAACACTGAGATAACAGCTGTCTGACTGGCTTTTCAAAATGTGTGTCAATACAAAAAGTCTTTGTGTGAAATGTTACAACAAAGCGGAGAAAAGTTACATATTGCACACATAGTACAATGACCTGAGCATGAAAAAGGCTCATTAAAGTGCAACAAAAAGTAAAGTCAACATTAAATCATAGAGCCTTGGTACATTTTCTGATACAGTTGTTGGAACTTTAATGTACAAAATAAAAAGGCAAATATAAATATGGTAAACATATAAATATTAAATATAAATGTGGATTTATGGAGTTATATATATACAAAATGGGTATGTATATACTTAAATATGGGTAAATATCTGAATACATAAATATCTATGTTTATGTAAAAGACTTAAAATATGAAAATGTATCAAAATTACTTTGTCCCATTTTAGACTGTGTTTGGTTTTATCTTTATTGTACTAGTGTTATCTGTTAATTGATCTTGAGTGTCAAGAGAGGTGATTACAAATAAAATTATTATTATTATACGTGTGTGTATATATATATATATATATATATATATATGTATAAATACTTTTGTTCAAATAAAAATGAAAAAAGATTTTTTTAAATCCTCTGTATTGATGAAGGTGCTTTTATTATTTTACATTCCTTCAAGATGTGAGCAGATCTGAACATAACTCCTTGTAGTTTTCATGTTTGATCTGTTTGTTTAATCAAATAGACTCTGTGGGACTAAACAGAATTAAAACTAAATAAAGGCAAACATTTTTTCCTTAAGTAGCAAATTTTATGAATGATGAATTGAGGACCTCTTATAAGGGAAGTATCACAGAACATAATCTCTGTGCGTATTCAAATTGAAAGTTACATTTTCCAAAGACTGTCTGTTAATCTGTAATCTATAGTGAATGAAGTGATGTCAGGTCAAATGACCTCCTCAAATGTACATGTGTATTTCCAGCTTTGGTAAATGTTTGACTGGGATCCTGAGCGGATGTTTCCATGTATTGACTGCAGCCTGCAGTATCAGCTGTAAGCAAGATATAAAAAAGGAAGCCAGCAGAGGATATCAAAAACCTGTGCACAAAGGCAATTACTACAATCACGTTAACTGAATAACTTCAGCCTTTCTGATCAAAAGAATGGTAATATTAATCCTATTCCAAAATAATCATTATACTACACCTCAGTCAAAGTGTAAATATCCAGGCAGCACTGATAAACAATGCTTTCGTTTACCTCAAACAAACTGGGACTAGTGATGAGTTTGAAACTGGTCAAACAGCAAACAAGGAGTAAAAATTTGAACCACTGCATACTTGAAGTACTTTCGGTTTTGGAGTAAATATTTTCTAAATACTGAACATATTTAATCCAAGCTTCCTTTCACAGCACAAAGATGGTTAAACTCTAGAGAAGATGAGAAGCAACCATGTGTATGTAATCTATATGTGTGAGTGTGTGTGTGTCAGTGTGTCGGTGTGTTCAATTAGGCAGCCAGTAGCTTCATGCAAACACAAGTTAGAAAACAAAAAGAGGCCAGGATGTTAGCAGAGCAGGTCTGAGTGTGTGTGTCTGCGTGCACGCAAGAGAGAGAGAGAGAGAGAGTGTGTGTGTGTGTGTGTGTGTGTGTGTGTCTGGGACAAACAGATCTTTGTCCTTGCTGGTCGTGTTGTCCGGGCAGTTGGCTGAACAGCTCGAAGAGCAAGAGGACCCCACAAAACACCATAAAAGTACTGGGAACAGGACACACACACACACTCACACACACATCGCCTTTGAGCTCTATTTCCTCTGTCTATAGTTTCAGGACATGAACCTTTTAGCTTCTCAATGCTGATGTGGTTAACCCTTTCTCAGCTGAGGCAGTTTTAGTCGCCTCAAGTTAACATCTTCAACCGAGTCCAACTGCTTTTAAAGCTCCTGTGAGATTTTTTTATGTTTATGAAATACACTTAAATTCATATTGATGCCTTTTTATGTTATACAAAAGCAAACAAACCATTACCGACAAGACTGATTAAGTTTTGTAATTTTTTAAGCCTGAAACAAGTGCGAGGTAAGCAAAGACTGCTTTACCCACAGGGGGGCGCCAATCTCAATACACACCAAAAGTCCCTCATGGAAGCTTTAAAATAAAACTTGAATATCCATAACCTTTAAGGCTTTGTAGAAGACATGATCTGAGCAGCAAGTCCTCAGCAGGACACCTTGCAGACACTTGATAGGACGTCTCGCCTCGATCAACACAGCTCCATTTTAATGATAAACAGACTCACAGTAGCAGACCTTGAGATTCAAGCAGTCATCGCATTAAAGAGTACTCACTCGTAAGAGCGTAGTTGGGGTTCTCCAGCTCCATGCGTTGCAGCTGAGCTCCCAAATAGACCTGCAGGTGGACCACAGGAAGTGATGTCAACATATATCAGTGATTTACTAACTCAGATATACTGAGTTCATTTTAACTCATTTACACAACTACAGACATATTTTGAGGGGAGGTTTCGTTTTTGAGCCATTCTGACAACAGGTAAGCTCTTCGACAAAAATCTCATAGACTTTCCAAGTATTGATGGTCCTCAGAGGATAAAACCTAAAGTCTTTTATGGTCTCCTGACACTTTTTTGTGGTGCTATCTGTAGATACAAAATGTCTCAATATTCTGTCAAGTTTAAAATTCAGACATACATGAATCATGTATATCCTCAAATGTACTCAAAGAATGACTTTATAAACTGCAAAACAGGAAAAATAACTTTTGAAAAATAATGATCTTTAACTGTTCAACAGCTAACCTGATAACATTGAAGCCACTTATCATTTGCATTGATTTTATGAATTATCACATTGTTGTTGTTTTGAATACCTTGATGTCGATGCCTCGCGCTATGGAAGAGCTGTTGAAGAACCTGGCAGGAACCCTTGAGCCTAGATCTGGTTCTTCTCGACCAAAACCAAGATTTAAAAGGATTTCCTCAGGGTCCTCTTCATACAGGTCCAGCAGCTCTGACACACTGTGAACACAAACACAGATGTTCAGTTAGCTGGTGAATCAGTCTGCTAGTTAATTCAGTCAGTCTATGTGCAGTTTAAGGAGGATCTGCTCCACACCCATGACAGCTCAACGCCGTGAAAACACTACAAAAAATACAGACAGACAGCCAGTTAGTTCTTCAAACACACCTCACTTTCAATGGGTTAGTCTGTAATTGAGGAATTATCAAGTTAGTGAGGTACAGATGTTAGTAAGTGTCCCGCCTCAGCCTAGAGACCAGTTCCTGATCTTTTTCACCCAGAGCATAAGCACACCAGAAGACACCAACAGTGAGGCCTGAGTGCACAAAAATGTGAATCATCCACATTTGGCTCTTCACATTTTTGCGTTCCAGGATCAGATACTCTGTCTTTCTGTTGTCCTACTTTAGTAAGGAACTAGATTGAAATCGAAACTAGAACAGGATACATTTCAGTCTATTGGAGATTGCCGAATCAAAAGAAATTACATACCTCGGCCACAGGGGGCGCCTAAATCCATTCAAGCTAATAGCTTCTTAAAAGATTTGACCAGGTTTTTTTTTACTTGATACTGGCATCACTTCAGAGAGTTATTTTATATGGACAAATTCTTTGTTTATTACACAACGGAAATGTCCATTTTTATCAAATGTCACAGCAGCACTGCAACAACAGAAGTGCAAGGTTTGATTATTTGACCCTTAAAATTTTCTATATTTTGGGTCCGAACAGTTTCATATAAAGATAAAAATTACATGAGCTAAGCGACAAAACTTACAAGATAAAAGACAGTTTATCGAATGAAATATTTTGGATTATAAACTGAAAGATTTTTGAAGTAAAATTGTGTAAAATAATCTTAATTTTGTGTAACTTTATTATGTGTTTCCAAATTTGTAACAGGCCAATTAGTTTTCACATGAGCACCACTTGGTTTGTAACCTCTGCTCTACATACCTTTAAGACAAAAATAGCATGACTGTTAGTTTCTTGTTAATACCACAAAGTTCAAGGAAGTGTTATTTCTTTGGTTTGAAGTCAATCATCTGGCGTCTGAATCCCCGCCCCTAACACCTGAGATCACAACTCCACTTTCTGCAGAAACCTCCACAGTTCCAGTTAGCTCTGAGGAGGTGCACTGACCTGGACACAGTGCTGCTCTTCCCTGATCCTGTGGAGTTCATACTTCTTCCTCTCTCTTTAAACTGACTCCTCTTCTGATCCGCCACAAGACCAAAACTACACGCACGCACACACACATGTACACAAGCACATTACCAGAAGTGCAGAGAAAAACAAAACAAAACAAAAAAAAAACATAAAGTGGAAAGGTGAAACAGAGTTATCAAGCAGCCGTAACCAAATGTTGTGATTTTATTCAATGAAATGAGAAGGGAACTCACCAGGATTCAGCTTTACTGTTACTGGACTGAAGGTGGTTAGCTGCAAAGAAAAACAAGGAAAATATGGTTTACTTGCATTTATTTTTTTGGCTTAAGTTAAAGTGAAAGACGGCAGTATATCAGTCCACATGAATTACCATTTCAGAAACATTAGTTGAGCGCTGTGAAAATACTGATCACAAGTTCCCCTCAAGCCTAAGCCAACCTTTTACCTTTTCTATCAAATAATCACGTTAATATGAATGTTCACACACCCTGCCCCCAAAACTACAAATGTCCGATCACAGCCTAGCAATACTGATTTCAGATGCTGCCTGTGACCTTGAGAGTCAAACACAGACTGGTGTGAAAAGAAAGCTATGTATTAAAAAGACAGTACTCATCTTTTATTTTCCTTTGCTAAAAGTAAAATTTTAGGAATAGTTTTGCGTATTTGTGCATCTTTACAGTGACCTGACTTTTGTCATCATATTCAAAAATTCCCCAAGTGTTTCGGGCATTTGTTTGCTGCTATTCTGGCTTATTCCCATGAAACTAAAAAAGTCAACTGTCAGTGTGTCAGAGGATTGAAACTCATCAAAAGCTGCAGGTGTGACTTGTGTTTTCTTTACCAGTTTAAAGGAACCTGTTGGGACCTGTCATCCTGCCAACGTCTGTCTGAATGTCTCCCTCTTTTTTACTTGTCACTGAAACCAGATTTCTCCTTCTTTCACTGAATCTAAAGAGTTTTTATCCAGTGATGGAAAACCGGATTAAAAAGCCCTTAAAGTGGCAGCAACTCGCCTCCTGACTCTAATTCACTGCCTTACTTCCTTCCCATTGAAACCAAAACCTTTCATTTACTAATTCACTTCCTCTCGATTCACACATTAACACCTTAATCCCTGCGATCCTCCTCTGATAATGTCTGAAATCATTACAGCCCATTAGGATCTGTTCAAACATGACAACTCAAAAGTCCCCTGCAGCACAAAGGGCGTTAGCCGCTGCTGACAAATGTCATTTAAAGCATGAGAACAGTACTTACTGTCAAGACATAACAGAGGAGATTTACTCTGATACTAGGGGGTAGACATAGCCAATTTCACTAAGAGGCTATTTTGGTTTTACTCTTCAATCAAGCCAAAAGGAGAAAAGCCACCAAGGTTCAAACCATTGTGTTGAAGTATGAAAGAAAATGTGGAGACACCTGGAATCTATAGAAGACAAAAACACAAACACTATACGCTGTTAAAAAGAGAATTTTCTAGAAGTCTGATGTCCCACCTCAATCCAGCACTCTCAGCATGGATTATTTTAACCAATGACATAATCAAACAGGTGATAGTTGCTCTTTAAGCTAACTGTTGAAGCTGCAGTAGATGTTGGTGAAGTTATGGAGGACAGAATATTAGGAACACCTTCAAATAAAACAAACCTCAGTGAACCACCATCTTCCACCACAGTGTCTTATCATGTCAACCGAAACTAAAAATGTAAAATTCCACTAAAGTTGAATTTTGCCGTGAAGCTGTTGTTTTTGGGATTGCATCAGATTGCCCAGGGGTTCACAGTGTTTTGGTGGGTGAGGGAATATGTGAACAGAGAAAGAGTAATGTGTCTCCAGACTTACAATTAAGAAGATTTCACTGTGGAGTTTAAGTGTCAACAGAGTGAAATGTGGCTGTACAGTCTAATCAGATTTCATTTTCAATTTTTGATTTTGACACCCCACAATCATAGAAATAGGAAAATTAAGACCTAATGTTATTGTACTGCCTGCTGTAAGGCTCTAGCAATCATGAGCAGTAAAAGGTAACGATTGCCAGGCTTAAAAGTGAGAGACCTGGTTCTTAATCATGTTGAGACACAAGCCTCAGTCTTTATGTAACAAGGACATCATAGAAAAACTTGGAAAGCCTGAATAATTTGTTTGATCTGTCGCCTGTGGTAAAATGCAAGTGGTAAAAGAGCTCAAACTGTCTATTTTTACGGGACAGTACATGTACCATTTGTCCACAGGGGGCGCCAAAATCCACTTCTGTTAAAAGTTACTTGCAAGAGTTTTACATTTTTTTACATCATCTCAACTTTAAACTGTTTCTCCGTGGACATCAGGTATCAATGCAACACAACCTGTGAGCTCCTCACATCAGATCATTAACAGATCTCCACTGCCATATCAGTCCCCACAGCAGCAGTATTAAGGGAGATACTGTGGATTGATCGCTTTCTCACACGCATTTCCATTGACTAACTACACAGGATAAGCACAGTATTCATATCACCATGTTTACTAAATGACTTTCATGAATAAGGACATAATCTGGGTCATTTATTACTCAACGACAGGATACAAGCTTTCAAAATCAAAGACTTGGAGATGGATTAATCACTTAGTTGTTTGTTCTTAGAAACAGCACTAAAATCACACATCTACAACTGCACGTCGTGCGCTCCCATCAGACAGAAAATAAACAAACAAACAAACACCAGAGCTTTTGGAGGCAAGCCAAGAGCCTGCTTGTCATACAGTCTCTGTTGTGTTGTCAAATCAGCGCCAGAGTACGACTAACAGCCTTTGCATCAACCAAAACTGGTGTCCCTTACTACACTAAAGTAACTAAATATCAAGTAAGCAAAACAAACTGTTTGTTACAGCACACTGAGAGCCTGCAGACTGGAGCTGAAACCTTGAAATGCAAAATATGCACCGTAGAGGCAGCAGCAGTAGCACTAAATGACAGCTTTCTGGTGCCAGCCTACCTGAGACAGCTTGTGGATAAGCTCTACCAAATCAGTGCTGCTCATCATTTGACCCTTTAGATTTTCAGAGCACCTTTGAATTTGATGGAAAAATAACTGCTGTTCAGCCCTGAGTGCATACCGTAAAAACTCTTTCCATAAACAATACTCCAGCCCCGATCACATGTGTGTAAATGAAGGACAGGTGTCCAACAAACACACCGGTGTAAGAATCAACATAACGCCCCACATTCATTCCTCAGTCCTGTTGCTTCACGAGGGAAAAGTCAACAGTCGCACAGGCGTGGAAACACACTTCACGCTTCAGTGAATGTCCTCCGAGTGTGTGTGTGTTTTCATCATTCCTCTGATCCGCTGTGAAAACATCGGTAATGGCTTTGATAGAAAGCAAGTGTACGTGTTATGAGTTAACAATGGACTGTAATGGCTTTATGTTGGAGCAGTGAACACTGACATGTGGGAATGCTGCATATGTGTGTGTGTTGTGAAGTCGATACTGAATAGCTGCTAATGAGTTGATGCTCGTAGGACAGACTCCCAGATTTGATCACAGATAACTTTTTTCGAAGGAGCGCAGTCTGTCTTCAATATAATTTTACAACCTGCTTTCCAAAAAGCAATTAAAGTTCAGGCCTTCAAGATGTGAGAAAATATGCAATGTCCTCTTTAATTTTTCAATATTAGAGTACATATTAGCTACCAACAACTGTTTTTACTACTCTATCTGCAGTTTCTCATGTTCCACACTACACCTGCATTTGCTACCTAAATCAAAGTAAAACGCAATCAAAAGTTTTTGGGTTTTTTTCCCACTAAATTTATATAGATTGGTCTTAGGGTAGCTGGTAGCTAGCATTAGCTTCATCTGATAATATCAAAATGGTTTGAGAGGATTACTCATATATGCCCCACTCCTTTATCTGAACGGTATGATGTATAGATGCTGAGTGATTAAGCATTGGTTGACGATTGGAGAGATTGGTAATTATTATAAACCTCATTTATAAGGCGATCATGGTCCTAGTGCGATCTCCACAAAGTGAAGAGGGAAAAAAGTGGAAAAAATCTCTTCACCCTAGCAGGTGCAGGGCTGCAAAAACATTGACCAACGGTAGCCATCCGTCCCTGATAGCTCCTATTCGTCAATCTCCTGCCCCGCCTCTCCATCCAATCACCTCACTCTATTCGACACACACCTCTCCCGTAGTTCCGACTCGTCCCCTCCCACTCTCCCGGCCCTCCTCGGACCTCTAAGCGGCTAAAAGTAGAATAGCAGCTTAGCTACAGGAGCTGTGATGGAGAAGGACACAAACAAAAACGATTCCGCTTGCCCCACCGCCAAAAGTGGGGACAAAACGCAAGTCGACAGAAGAAAGGGCAGAGTCGAAGAGGAAATGTGACCAAGCGAGGAATCTAACTCGAATAAACATCAGGTCATCCTTCAAGCGGTGGAGAAAGCGCCGCCAGGATTTGGACCAGAAAACAGACGCTGAGGCAGCAGAGTTTTTGTTGAAAGGGTAATTTCTGTCTTTTATGGTGGCACATGTTACATGAATAACTCTTACTAGTCTCTGCAATGTCAACACGGTAGCTGTCTAGGCAGCTGCAGACGGCGCTCGCTAGCAGAGCTGACATTTACTGCTGCTAGTCACAAGCAATTCGACATTGTGAATCCTATTTGAAGCTAGCGTAGGATCTTCTGCCGGCTGTCTTCTTGCTTTGCCAGAGGGGTGTGTCGTGGGGAGGGCGATTCAGGTTCGGGGGGCTTTTTTAAATCTGCCTCAACGGCTCAGTTTTTTTCAACTGCTTCTCAGATCGTCAACCATGCCTTTAACAAAACTTTGAATACTCAAACTGCTAGAATAGCAAAACTGTAATTTATTATTATGCAGAATGCCATAAATAATATAGGAGTCAACTTAGCAATGTATGTGCTAGCTTTACAGTTAGCCATTTATTTGACTGCTGTACAGTAACGATCTATTCGAAGATTAATGTATCACTTATGTATATCATGTGTTCATGAGCTCCCTTTGCTACAGACTGATAATTAACCATTACATCCTGTTTCAGAGACCAGAACAATCCACTGGCACTACAGAACCAGTTTTGGCTTGATTATAATTGTATTTAGCAGATCGATCTCAGTTTGTGGATGTTAATCAAGATCCTCTGCACACACCACAGTTGGCCATGGAGTTCCACAAGGTTTGGTGCTTGGACCATTTCCTTTCAATTTCTACATGATTCCTCTTGGTAATAAAATAAGTGTATCTGACATCAATGCGCTGTTCAGTATGGCCTAAACCCACTGGTACAAAAAAAAATCTACACAAGTACATCATCTATTTTTTTGGACAGATAAATATGTGGAACCATAATGTGGGATCAATTACCTTCATGAGTAAAAAACTAGACAAATCCTGGTCCAACATATTTGAATACTATGAGTCTCTAAAGCCCCCTTCCTATGGTGTGACATGAGTGCTGTTTGACATGGAGCCACTTGGGACTGTCTTTGGGGACTGTCTTGTTTTTACTCTTAGATTATCCTCATGCAAGTTTAGTCTTCTCCAAAAAAAACAATTACGAAATTTTAAGGTCAGAGGTCAGCCACCTCTTTAAAGACATGGGCTATTTTTGTTTGACCTGAGGTATAGAGAGCCTAACGGGGATAATAGTCAGCCCTTCTACATTAAAAACCATAACACTTCAACTCTGCCCAAGCTCTGCACACTGATACTTCAAGAGGAAAAAAATTCGATTGACTGATAGTGCGACAGGATTTTTAGTTGGTGGAGTCAGTTATTAAACATAATAAGCAGAATAATTGAGGGAAACTGTGAACAATGAGCCAAAATCTGTAATCTTGTTTGAATTGTGAGTTTTTCCTTTGAACTTACCTTCAGCTCCCAGTGAAAGGTCATCTTCGAAGCTGCAGCCGTTCCTCGGTGCCCCTGTTCCCACAGACACACACACACACAGGTACAAACACAGTTAAAACAAAGTGCCTCAGTTATGAAATACCTTCAGTAACATGTCTTTAGATCTGTAATTTCAGGGAAAGGTTTCCACAGTTTCAGACACACGGCCACTAACATGAACCAAGATTCTGAGAGAGGTTGTGAGGCGGGTTCAGAGTATTTGGTCATAAACCAAAGTCCCCACAATGAAGGTGGTGTCAGCGTCCTAACAGGTTGGGGTACTTACACGGTAACCTATAAATGACAAAGACAGGAAAATATGACTTACCTCTGCTGGGAGAAGCACTCTGATCATCAAGCGAGGCCCCGAGGGGTGTCCTAGATAAGAGACCGAGGGTTAGAGAGAGTTATATACATCAACCTGAATCATAAAAATACCATTAGGAACATATAAAAAAAAATATCAGTGTATTAAGGCAAACTCTTGAGGTAAAAATAACTACTGCATTATTTCAAAGGCTGGCAGATTATCAACGTTTGCCATTAAAAAGCTGAAAAAAATCTGCCTGTTACACTTATTTGTATCCATCCTAACATCAGCTGTTTTTAGGCTGAGGCTAAGAAACACTAAGTGCTGTTGGGTAAGTGGTCATTATGCAAGCTGAATATCAAATAAAAGCTAAATTAAGCGACCTTACTGTCGGTCTTAAATATTCAAGGCTGACTGTAAGTGATAAAAGCCAAGTGCCCATTAGGTATAACCTGACTGCTCCAGCACTGACTATAGTCAAGCCAACATCTACTACTGCAGGCCAACTGCCAGAGAAATTATCTATCCCAGCACTGTTCAAGCTAACCTGTCAAAGAAATGCTAACTTTTCCAGCATTAACTGTGCCTAGTTTAAGAAACGCATGCAAACCACCCTTTAGAAGAACATTTACTTAACCTCAACATTAACACAGCTAACAGTTAAAAGAAATTAATACAGAGACTGTCAGGTAAAGCCTAACCATCCTGAACTAACTCCCAATGAGGGGAGTCCACACAGAGTTTGTAAACAACAGACCAAGCTTCACTAAGCATCCAAGAGTAGATCCTGTTTTAGGCACCTATCCAAGGTCCTCTACTGACCAGACTAGTTGTCCCCGGCTAACTAGCTGAGAGATCAGGCTGAATGACAGCAGCAGGGAGCGAGCTGGTCTGAGCTGCTGTCTGCAGCTGAGTGCTGCAAACACTGAGCTCTTACACAACCTGCAGCTCTTATCAATGGGACAAACTTCATGCCACCATTTTATACAAACACACACTCACACACACACACACACTCACACAGGGATGATTGTGCAACAGTGCGCAGCCGCAAAGTTGCCTCCTACTTCCCAACTGCAGCCATGTTGGCCTCAAGCCCCTTGCCTGTGGGGGTTGCTATGGTTACCCATGATTCTGTGTCTGCTGGTCATGTTACCACGGTGATTTTACAGAGCACACGTCTGAGGACTGTAAAGCTAAAGCGCTGTGAGTGACAGCGGCTAACCCCGTGTGTGTGAGTGATAACAGTGTTGACTCAGCAGGAGGAACTCCTCCTCTGTGTACACTCCTTTCTTTTCTTTCCTTCTCTCTCTGTCTTCTATCAGCTTTCTCTGCATCTTTCTGCCCTCTCTGCCTCAAAAGCACTATGTGTCCTATCTCTGGGAGAGGCCCCCCCCACACCTTTGTGTCCATGGGATGTGTGTGTTGTGTGTCTGGGCGTTGGTTAAGTGTCAGTTTCTACGTCAGCAGCTGATAACTCTGCTCCTAAACACACAAACGCAACACCTCCAGAAAACCAATAAGCAATTAGGGTAGTCTGTACTTGAACCCGTCAGTCAGGATTCAGGAAAACCAAGTTTGCTTACTGTACTCCCTGCTTATTGTGTCCCTAAAGTCCATCATTCCTTATTTATTTTCACTTTCATCAAAGTTTTTTTCTTATCAAATCTACTTGCAGCAACTTGAAACCTGCTGTAGATGAATAACACACACAAGCTGATATATTTCTATGGAATAAAAAGCGCAAATTACTCCCAAGAATCTGCACCAATGCCAGGCAAGCAAGCTTAAACAGGAAACCGAAAATCAGTGTTAAGGTGTAGATTTGATACTCTACCTGCATTCAATCAGCCAGCTGGTTATCTTGCTGGGAACTCGGCCTGACAGAAAGAGAGAGAGAGAGAGAGAGAAGGAGAGAGAGAGAGAGGAGCACGTTAAAGCAATGTGCCAGCAGATGTCGTCTGTAACTGAGATTACAACATGCCATAAAAGCATTACAACAGTGCTGAACTTCAGGATGTAACTCTAAACATTTGGGCTGATTACCGTCGTGACATAAGCTGGCTGCAGTTTTACCACAGTTTAGATGAACTGGATCATGTTCCTTGTCATGCAATTGTACAACAGCTGATGTTACGTTCAAAATAAGTAATTTTGCAAAAAGGAAAAGTCCCCATAAAAGTTTCTGAGAAACTCAGCAGAAATCTTCAATCTCATTATTTACTCTTACCAATCAAAAGTCTAAACTGTGACATGATTTTCAACAGATGCGGAGCATTTCCTCACAATTCAAACACTTAATGTATCTAGCACATCTAGCAAATGTATGGCATTTTTCACTTTTGATAAATGACTTTAACAATCAAATCATTATCTAACACCAAGCACTAAAAAGCTGATTGTAGTTTAACAAAGCCAACATGGCTTTAAAGGATTGTGCGTGTTTGAACAAGACTAACTCCGTGTCCGGACCACAAGTGTCATATCGGCGTCATAATCACATGTTGACAGCGCTCATACACACTGCAGTGTCTTTACCAGTTCTGTCTTGTCAGTGTATCAAAATCAAAGATAAAATGATGATAAAAAAAATATCAAGTTTTAGCAAAGTCATAAAGTTGGAAATAATAGATAGCAATGGTTGCAAAATAAAGATGGATTTGGATTAGGTGCAAAATTGTCCAGAAGCATTAAAACACCTGTGAGATGCTGCTGAGTTGAAAGCTGCTACCAAGCTGGAGCATCAACTAAAATGAAAATGTACAGTATGTGCTGAGCATCATTTACAAATCAGAAATGTATCTAACACCTTAAACCAAGGCAGCCTTTAAGAGTCAACATCCATATTTACGTCTGCGTGAAGTTCTGAAAGCCACATCTTTATATTTGCACAGAGACAAGCTCAAAGGGCCATGCTGATATAACAAGTTTAACAGATCAACATGTCCATGTCCAAGTAAATTACGTCCAGAATTTTATCAGCATTAGACACAAAACTGTATTCTAAAGCAACCAATCAAACAGTTGTGGAGTAAACTCAGTCAAAATCCCAAATACTTAAAGCTAATGGTCACACAGGAGAAAAATTCAGGGACAAACCAAGTCATGGCTGTAAATTCTCTCAGCAAATTTCAGAGTATCACTGCAAAAATCCTGTCAACGATGAGGAATTTAATACTGATTCCTGTACTAAGATTCGGGTTTTGGCCGATACCTGCCGCCCCCCACATACTTGTGCAACTCATTTCTGTATTTATTAAAGGGAAAACACCAGTTTAGTAAAAGTTCAATTTCATTTGATGTTGTTACAAATGATCCAAATGAAACGTAACCCAAAGATTATTGACATGATTTAGTCGGTAAGAAAGCAGTCAGACGACTGACCGAATAGCCAAACTGATCACCCCATCAGTGAGAGCTGATGTGAAAAAAACAACAGTTTTGATGAAAAACAAACTGAGTTATGATCTAATAGCTTCAAATAAGGTTCTCTGTAAAACCTGTAGTCTTAATTTCTGCACCTTTTTAGTCTAGTATTGTTGTTTTTCATCTAGAATTAATTCCAGTAGGAGACTAGGAGTACTACTGCAATCAATGTTTCAAAATTAGGACTGCCTGTATCACCTCTCTTTTCCTACTGTCGTCTTCTCTTCAGCCTTTATATCTGATAATAGCATTAATACAGATAACTTGTGATTTTTTGCAATTTCTCCTAAGTGGTCCCATGTTATATAAAACAGTATGTGGTAGAAAATCCAAGGAACTGCACTTCTAAATTGGAGTTGGCATTTTGAGGGCATGTCAATATCAAGATTAAGACCTGGATTAAGGATAAATGAACTTCAAGTGGGTTTTGTTTAACAAACTGAGCAAAAGACACACTGTTGCTTAGTTACCTCAAAAACAAAACACCGCTGACCTCTTTGTTCTGCAATCTGTTGTTGCTTATAGGATGATACTGATATATTACCCTGATAAGATAATGTCAACCCATACTTTAGTGCAGGGAAGTGAAATTGGAGGCTGTTTCAGAAAATAAAGAGATAATGTGACACTTTCCTTCTTCCAAAAAAAAATAAAAAATTCAGAGGCTGTTAATCCCAGACTAACCTGGTTCTTCTGAGGGTTTCTGTGCCTCTGCCTCCCTCTGGTTCTGCTGGGGCTCCTGGGGGCCACATGTCTCTGGCCCTGACTCTTGCCAGACAGAGTCTCTGCTCTGGGCCCAGGCCCGGCGCCGCAGACAGGCTACGTTGGCGTCTGATTGCCCTCTGGGATCTAAGGACCAAATTAAGCAAACAATCTGTCTGAACTGCTGACTGCTGTGAAGTCATCAATCAGGTTTGACAGGTCTCCAACCCGACAAACAGAAACTACAACTGATTCAATACAAACACGCGCAGAAGGTGAGTTAGGCGGGTGATCACATGAGCTGACTCCGCCCCTCACATTCAGGTTACCTGACTGGTGCACAACGGTCAAGCAGAGACTTGATCATTTTACCTTTTCCCATTACTGTTCTTACTTCACTCTACTGCAATTAACCATTCAACTTTATGCTTTTTTGACATTTCACTTTAACAAGCTGTTTGAAACTTAAATCACTTAAACTATTAAAGGAAACTTTACAAAAACTTTCTCTATCTCACTAACTGTTGCAACTATTTATCCTTTACTTTAAGCTAATTGTTCATGGCTCTTTAATGCCACCTGTTAAACTGTCCAATTTAGCAGACTTTTTTAGCTTTTAAGTAATTACTCCTACAGTTAGCTGTGTTGGCATGGAAACAGTGATAACTTTAATACATTACTTTTGGCGAACTGTTTTAAGTTTTACTTGTTGCTAAAAGCTACGAGCAACTCCACATAACTACTTAGCTGTTAAAAATTACATTTGGCTAACTGCTTGAACTAGCTAGCTGTCTGTAAATTGTAAATATTACAAATATTACTTTAAGATCCACGTGTTACCTGTTACTTTTAGTAAACTATTTATAATCATGATTATTATTTTTACTTTTTTTTTTATTTGTAGAGCTCCATCAAAAGGTTTTCATAATTATTGGCTTAAGCTAACTTCTTAAAACTTTTTACATAATGTTACAGCTTAGTCATTCAGCTTTCTATTATATCAGTAAACAATAACTCATTACTTTTAGCTCCATGTGTTACCTGTTACTTTTAGAAAACTATTTAAACAATTATATTTACATTTTTTTTTGTAGAGCCCTATCAAAAAGTTTTCATGATTATTGGCTTAAGCTAACTTCTTAAAACTTTTTACATATTATTACAGCTAAATCATTTAGCTTTTTATTATATCAGTAAACAATAACTCATTACTTTTAGTAAACTATTTTATTTTTGCACCCATTAGCATTAGCCAATAATATAACATATAACCCATTATTTTAAACTGACTATTTGTTTAGTGATTCCTTTTAGCTCACTATTTTAATCACATTCAGATAACTGTTTAAGGTCAAGTTTTGTACTCTATTTAACTTCTAGCCCACAGATTTCACTTTTTATTTTTTTTATTTTTTTTACCAAGAATTAGACAATTTATTCATGACATTAGGAAAACTGCTTACTCTTACTGTCATTAATTAAGCAAACTGTTTCAGCGGATTATCAATTATTTTTGTTGGTTCAACTTTTTCAAGCAGTACTGCTTCCCACTTCCCAAAATCCACTGTTGATCTCTTACTACAATTAAATTTTTTCAACAGTTTCTCAATTTCCATTACATGTCATTTACTCTCCTTATTATAACTGGATTAACTTTAAAATTATTAATTCAATTTTTTATCCATAATCAAGCTTAGTATTCAAACTACATTAGCTTTATTTATTACTTTTAAAGCTATTTCAGTTTTTTCCTTTACAATTAAACTTACAGTCTCAATCTTTATGCAGTACCTATGTCAATTACTTCAAGAACTTTGCAAACATAAGATGACCCACCTGAAGTGGTGCTGGTTTCCACCCCCAGAGCTCCACTCTCCATATCTGCCAGTCCTTTGCAACTGTTTGGAGTCAGTCAGAAAAGACTGACAACTCTACAGAAACATCACCACCGGGTACACAGCTGGAGAGACAGACAGACAGATAAGATAAGATACCGACAGAGACAGAGACAGAGACAGAGACAGAGAGAGAGAGAGAGGGTTAGAAGTAAACTTTGAAATTGATCTTTTCAAGATGGATGGAGACAAGTTGTGGCAAAAACAGGCCGAAGAAAAAACAGAAAAGTGATTAAAATCTGACCACTAATCAGTCTTTTTTTTTTCCTTAGTAAACAACAAATGAGCCTTCAGGGAGGGGAGATATTCTGCGGTCGGATGAGAATTTGAGAAGCTTCTATGTGTTTATTATTAATGGCCAAGTCACCCACACTGAGACCAGCTGAGATTACAAAGACAATCACTCTTAAAGGATGCCTTTGGTCTGAATTTGATTGATTGATAAGTGTTGGGTAAACTTTTATTGTGGACTCCCTTATGAAAACATATCAGCGATGTGGTGAAAATATCTCTAGTGTATAAATAGAAAATCAGTTGCCAAACAGGGAAGACTTCTGAAACAGTATTCCGGCAATTTAATGAGAGTATATTTTTAATCAATGACTTATATAAACTATTTTACAAGAACATCAGAAATAAAATCTCTCGACCCAGTTAAAGCAGTGTGAATATCTGCAGCATCTCCAGTTAAGAAATGTGGGTGTTTTTGTCAGTTTTGGGGGTGGGGGTGGGGTGGCTGGAGCCTATCCCAGCAACTTCAGGTAAAGGCAGGGCACACCCTGGACAAGTCGCCAGTTCATCGCAGGGCTGACATATAGAGACAAACAACCGTCCACGCTTCTGCATGTTTTTGGGATGTGGGAGGAATCTGGAGTACCCGCAGTAAACCCACGCAGACACAGGGAGAACATACAAACTCCACACAGAAACGCCCTGACCCTGATTTGAACCCAGGACCTTCTTGCTGTGAGGCGACAGTGCTAACCACTACACCACTGTGCCACCCTTTCTCTGTCTGATTTACTAGTTGAAAAGGTTTGCTCAAGCTCAGCACCCTTTTCTTACATAGAACAATAACCAACAAACCAAAAACACAGCGATATCAGCATTGTATATTGGTCATCAGCCAATCTGCTTTCTCAACATCAGTATCAGCACTGGCTATTGAAAAACTGTAATCGATGGACCACAAAGTAAAAAAAAAAAAGCTTCACTAGTCACTGCAATCACCAAAACCAGTAATCAAACATGAAAGAAAAAAACAAGACAACTACTTCAAACCATAAACACTTCAATATTTTAGTTAACCCTGTCATTTGCCAGTTAAAGCTCCTGTGAGGAACTTTTTGTTAGTGTCAGTTTTGGCGCCACCTGTGGGCGAGACGATACATCTTATCTCTATCTGGAAGTTTTGCTGTCTGACAAAAATATCTCCTTCATTTAAATAAGGTCATAAGGAGCCCTTACTGTCAATTTCAGTCGGTTTCTCAAGCAGTTAAAATCTCCTCACAGGAGCTTTAAAATTCTGTTGTCTCATATTTACCAGCATAGTGAAAGTCTCATTTAAATTCAGCTGATACATACATATTTCTGTCTCCTATTGACATAGTTAATATAGATATGGTACAAAATGCATCTATATGAAAAAATCCCCAGCATAAAGTTACACCTTGTTACTTTCCGATCTAGATAAATGCATGCACAGTTAACACATCAAAAGTCATTTAAAGACCTCAACCAGGATCAAGAGATGATAAAAATGTCAGTAAAGGCAGCAGCCCCAGCAACTCTACCCTCAAACTGTTTGTAGATAGAAGTCTATAAATAGGTCATTTGGTTACATGGTGCTAAAAATAGCTAAGGTGGAGGAACAGGCAAGAAGTCATTGACTAAAATAAAACTAAAGGCTGCAACAACAAAAGAAGGTCAAGAAGGCGGAAAATAGAAAATATTCTGTACAGAGTCAAAGGCTAAACGGGGGAGAGGGATGGACAGGAAGGGGGGGAGAAAAGAAGAACGTGTGAAACAGGAAGCGAGTGTTTAGTATAAAGAACAGAGCAACTTCCTGTCCGAGAGAGAGAGAGATGACGGGCTGATTGAGGGAGGAATTTATTTTTAGATTTCTCTCATAGATGCAAAACAAACTGGAGTGACAGAAAACAACAACACACAGGCGGACAGTGTGCAGAAAGCGAGTCCTCTGCGGAGTCTTTAACCCACAGCTGTCGGAGAAGCTGCTCTTCACCCTCACCACAGCGCCATAAAGACAATGTTCAACCCCACGTCTCTCTCCTCCTGTCAACACTCATCTCTTCTAGTTTTCAAAGAGAGACTATTAAGATGTTTTAGAGTCTTTGTTTTGTCTGGTTTTTACAGGACCCAATTTTGACAAGATTTTGGTGTGGGGAAAATTTAGTTGTGGGATGATAATTTAGCGACACAGTCTGGGCTCCTAACTTTGTTTTATCACTGGTTAAATTTCAATCAGTTAAGCTCACCCTGGACTGAATTCCTTTTAGCTGAAGTCCTTGTTTGGCATTTCTGCTGAGATAACATCAATATTCACATATAATTTTTGATTATATCCATTAATCCAATATTGTTTCAACCAATACAAACCCATGATGTGCAAAGTATGCACTACGCATGACACAAAGTCATTGTTGTCTTTTAACAATAATCCCAACTCTACTGTTTAGCAATCTGTTGTTGAAAAAAAAACTACTACCTGGAAACAAGCAAAGCTGGCAGATGGTTTGGCAGTAGTTCAAAGCAGAAAAAGAGACTATAGTTGTGTGTGGGCTGTGTGGGTCAAACTGGCATAAAATATAACCACTCCACCTGTGTTTTCTTCCTTTTAAAGTGTCTTAGAGTGCAATAAAAACTGCTATATAAATAAAATCTATTATTATTATAATTATGCCAGGAGAGCCAAGGGTCAGTGTTTCTGAGGGTTTTCTCACCTTACTAGTTAATAAGTCAAAATTACAAATACTGTCAAAACACTTTGGACCATTTCATCAATGAACAGATACAGATTCTTGTGTTGCAAGTCACAACTTTGTCTTTCTGCTATTTTCAGTTGCCCTTACATGGTGTGTACTATAAACAAGGCACACATACAACAAATACCAGTGCATCGCGGGTCAGCCTTGCTTTCTAAGGGACTCAGTCCATGTGTACGTTTGTAACATAAGGACTACAAAATGCTTGAATGAAGTAAGACATCATGAAATTTAGGCAAACCACATTAAATACATGTATTGGGACACAAGATGGACAACAGCACAACACGAAAGTGAAGCCAAAATACTTAGAGCTCAAGTAGCACACAGGTTAAATAAGTGTTGTCTCATACGAGGTTTCTGCCATTACAGTGAGCTCTTTTTCAGATGTACCAGGCCAGCATTACATTTTCTGAAGAATTTACTTTTGATAAGTGATAAAAAGAAGTATAATGCTATGATTGTTAACTCGGTGGGGATCCCTGTGGCTTATCAGCGCAGCAGGAGTGATCATAACAAACACTGATACTGAAGCAGAGACATGAATGGAAAGTTCATTGACTTCCAACAGACAAAGGACTCTTTTCTTTCCGTCGACTGTACCAACCTTCAGGTCACCTGCCATTTTATTGGTAAGTTAAATGTGTGTAAGTTAGTGGAACAGGACGTCACTGTGGCTCCGCCAGCTGACTCAAACAAAAAGTTGAACAGATGCAACACCATTTGTTTCCACGCCTTAAGTAATAATAAAAACAACATGAATATCTTGTTCAAATTCTGTTCCGGTCATAAGGATGCTTTATCAGTTTAGAGGGAACTTGAACAGCAGGTGACGGTAGAGGAGCGCTTTGAGATTCATCCTCTGGGCACCATGCAGATTTTACACTTTCTGTTATTCTGCGTATAACAAGTCCTAATTTAGACGATTATCACATGGAGCACATTTTTCCTTGAAATCTCAAACATCAAGATCAGAGGAAACCACTACTTAAGAACAAAGAGTGAAGCAATAAACACAACAGCCTAATATTTGTTTGCTTAAGGTTTAACCAACAGTCACTCCACATAGTTATGCAACTTTGACTCCCAAAAATATTAATTTTCCATCCACACACAGTTCAGCGTAGAGTCCTTTGATCTGAAAAGCACTTGACTTGTCCTGAAACCATCAGATAAGAATGTTCTTATTAATGAACTTTGCCAAAATCTGCCTAATATATAACGTTGCCTTGCCTAATTTTGGGATTTCTTTATGCAACAAAGTTATAAAGACAAACATTTGATGGGACAGTAGGCTGTGGTGTTAAAAATCAATATAACCACAAATGTACTACTTTGGCAGGAAACTGATGTAAACCCTTTAGAAAAATCTATATCAAGAGGAAGATTTACCATCATATGAACACTAAACAAGAAGATCCTAACAAGGCAACAGTGATTGAAGACTGAGGGTCAGGAGTAGATTATATCTGGGGTGCCAGCAGCAGTCAAAGGGTCCGCCCCATGTACAAAAACTTAGGCAGCAGTTGCTGGTACAACTCAGCCATAACCCTTTGACGACTGTCACGCCCACTTTCTACTCTGCATATTGCCTCTTTCTTGAGCTGTTTTTTTACAAAAGAAAAAATATTTAAAAAAATAAAAATGAAAATAAAAAAAGTGTGAAAGTTTTAGGAAAGGAAAAGCCAGTGGAGTCAAAAATGTTAAAAACACAGAAATTTAGGATATTTGGTAAAGGATGTTTGAATAGATTTAGATACCTACAACTTGAACAACTTTGGTGATATCCTTAATGTGAACATGAATTTATTTTGGTAACATGAAACTTTAGATATGTGATTAATGGCTAAAGAGAGTATATAAACTGTCCAGACAAGTAAGAAAACACATAGCTGGGAGTTTGGTGAATAAGACATCAGCAAAATTGAAGAAAACAGACATGAAGCAACCACAAACCCTGACACAGCATGGACTGGATGAGGAGGGAAAATGCCAAACTTCTAAATAAAACTGAGTGTCATCTAGCCTGGTCACAAACATGATAATAAATGGTGTATGGTAAGAACATTTTTACTTAATCTTGAAATATGACTTTATCTCAATAAGTGATTTTTCTTTTCTTGTTTTGTCCAGTAAAACTAAACCAAGAGGGCAGAATCCATTTGTCAAATCTAAGTCAGTTAAAACCAACCTTATGCAACCCTGTAATAAAATACACAAAAAGTACAAGTTTTCTGTTTTATATCATTGTAATATAATCATTCATAAACTGAATGTCGCTCAGGGAACCTGCTCGCTCTGACAGAAAGCAGACTCAGATGGTCGCTGCTGTTCAAATCCAGCTTAAAGTCTTTTCCATGAAACATGAACTTTGCAAACCCTCCAGCTGAGCCAACACTCGAACCCTTGTCATAATAACAGAGGTCACTGCTCACTTTAAGCCGAAATTATTATTATGATTTCTACTTGGATTTATGACCCGGGATAATCAACTGTGACCACAATGACTATCTAATGATGCAAGAGACATTTTCCTTATGAAACAGCAGCAGGGATGAAAATAATTCAGGCATACTTGGTGTGTTTTGTTTATAGTTCTGTGGTACTTAACTATTGTAATCAAGTGTTTTCCTTTTTATGCAACTTCATGCTCCTACTTCAAAACATAATAGCCATCAAACTTTTGGTATCAGTACCTAAATCTTCATTTAATTCATGTTTGTTTCAGCTTCACTCTCAAAGTTCATAAACATCCTTTTGATTTAATAAATACCATTATAGACATTTCTTGATAATCACAACCACTGATAATAAATGTAACAGTAATAAATGTTTTTTTTCCCCAAATGAATGTTTGTTAGGTAATATGTTTGGAGAATTTAGTTGCAGAATTTTATTTAGAAGTAATTAGGAAACTTCAGTCATTTAAAACTGCAAGACTTGATTGTGCTTTGGGATCAATGTCAGAATGTTTATGTTCAATATCACCGAAATATGGCTTACAAACTTCATGGCCTCTAAGATGCAGCAATACTCTTACACTGCTGACATTTTCTTTTTTACATTTGACCACAAAAACTGATCAATTTGTCTTTGATTTGACCTCTTTCTGCCTAATACAGTATGATGCCAACACTGTTAATTGTAACACCTGTTATTTCATGCATATTACAATCTAAATACATGGTTATCTGAGCTAGAAACATGTCCTGAATAGAAGTATTTCACAAAAAAGAGAAATAAAGTGGGCTAATGTAGTGGACATGTTTAAGTCAGAGGCAACCTTAAACTCTCTATAAATCCCAACAGTATACTTGTCAAACCCTTGTCGGTAATTATTAGTTTTGATGGGCTCTCATTTCACATATTATCATTTATGGGATGGTAGGATAGATTAGAAGCAGCCATTCTGATGAGGCTGTTTGTCCTGTATATAGACATGATTTGTACATTTTTTTAAATTGGCTTTATGAGCCCATATATCAGCCAATGGCAATTATTAATGCCAATGACTACAGCCATCTGTAAGATATGAAGCCAATACAGATAATAGGACCAATGCTGAACACTGGCCCTGATGATTTGCCAAGGTTGGTTATCTGTCAACTTCTATTTAAACACACTTGAACCCAGTACTAATAATCTTCAGAGGGCTCAGGTTTAAGGTTTTACTTTCAGTCCAAACTTAATTATTATCAGAACTCAGTGGATAGGCCTGAACCAGAAAGAGTGCCAGCATTAAAGCCCATAATCGCCCCTGAGCTAAGAGTCAAAAAATACCCTCCTGCCCCCAAAACTGAACTTTGAGCAGGTTTACTGACCATGAAGACAAAAAACCTTTGGCTTCACGCTCTTTTTTATCTGTCAAACCACAGAAGTCAGAATAAGAAGAGTCATCTTTAGAAGAAATGTGAGGAAATCGTGTCATCTTCTTTACTGACAGTGAACACACACAAACTCTGTACAAACACTACACCACATATGCAGCACACAAATAAACATGCATGCTTGCACATATGCTGATGTCCCCAAAGAGCACAGAGGAAGATATTCAGGGGAGATATAAAAACAAAAAGCTGTGTCAATCATTAGTCAGTAAGTTGTGAAAAGTTGCAGCTGATTGGCTCTTCCTTCACAAGCAAAAAAACAGCAGAGATTGACAGCCTCACCAAGTGAGAGGGTTGGTCTTTCCTTTGTCAATTAGGTAATTATACTTAATTTAGGTTTCCTCAAGCAATAGAATAGTGTATTTGCCATCAGCCAGAGTAAATAAATTCTAGATTAATTAAACATAAGTCACAAGACCTGAGGAATGACTGATGATGCCATAAAAAATAATTGCAGCCCTGGTTGAACGAGACGATCAAACACAGGTCTGCGATATATTAAAACATCACCAACGTCATGTTCATAGAAGAATAACCGCAAGTTAAACCTGTTTTAATGCTCCTGAGCTCCTGAGTGTTGTTTTAAGACTGACTTAGAGAAAATTGTGACCCAACCCTTCTGCAAAGTTTTTCTTACAAGAGGCCCAATGTACATTTGTCTGAACACTGCTGCCATTAGTCACTAGCAGGATTTAGAGCATATATTAAATAATGCTAGAAGAACAATGCTTTGAAAAAATTCCCTTTGAGCTGACTCCATCTCAAGCAGCTGCAACAATAAAGCATTGATTTATCAGAGCTATTATTCTGGTTATATAATAATGTTATGACAATATTTCACTCATATGTATAAGCCATTGAGCCGCATAGAGGTGTATTTTTCCTGCAGATAATGAGGGCATACACCTATGAGGGATTCTGAATACAAGATCGAACAATGTAATGTTTCAAAATCTAACCTCTGGGTAGTTCATCTATCCCTTTTAGTTTACAGAGAAAAGAAGATTGATCAATAAAAGAAAATGCAGCTTTTGTTGCACAATAACATAAGCTTATAACGCCTTTTAAAGCTGGAGTTATGCAAGCTCCTGAACACAGAAGAAAAACAGACACTGTGCAAAGAAGAACTGAAACAATAAAGAAAGGTATGTTGATATATGGTGACCAGGTGGTAACGAAAAGTATTATCCTGGCAAGGTGAGAAAAGATTCCTAAGAAGAGCAGCAGACATAACAAAAGTTTTGAACTCTTAAAGTTTGAGAGAAATATATCATAAAACATCCATGTTGTTAACTATTGTTATCCAAAGTTAGGGATAAATGATATTAGATTTTTGTGAACATCCAATACATCCATATATTTAAAATAATTTCAGCCAATACGGATATTGATACCCGTATATACACTGTGTTTTATTGCATTTGTTGTACTAGAACTGACCTACTTCTTTTATTGTGATTGTCCATTCCCTTGAAGAACAAACAAGATTTCGTTCCTTTTTAAACAATAAAGACCTGTCATGTCTGCTGTTTCTAACCAGTCATCAAAGGCACAAGACTAATACAGTACTAATTTCCATATCAGCAAATATGTTAACTAATTTTTCAAGCTATTATCTGCCAATATCAATAATACACCCAAAATATAAACTATCATTTTTGCAACAAATGCGTCGACAGGCAGACACTACGCTATGACATCTTTTTGAGGATTACTTTGGCATGATGTGTGATCTGATTGTTCCTAGTGTCCCTCTTGCTATCCAGAAATACCATATAATTACCGCTTTAATGGGGCTCTGTTCAATCAGAATCAAGCATTTTACAAACTGGGTTTTTTGTAGGAAAAGCCAGATAATGAAATAGATTAAAAGACATAAAATAGCCAACAAATACTTCACTAAAAGATTTTTTTTTTAAGTTTCTTGGATTCAAAGGAAGAAATGTGTAAAGCATGAAAAAAATCAGAGAGACAATAAAAAGTGGGAGTTAGCTCGACATTAATGCACTACAGCTGCATGCAAGTGTGTCTAAACTGTGCTTTGGTAGAATAGCAGACATACTTCATCACTTTTCACCACTTGTGCAGCACTGAGTTTCATCATCGTGACTCTTCAAAAATAAGGGAGGAACTGCTCAAAAGTCAACGAAACCAGCTGCAAACCAGAAGTGAAATGAAAACTAAGCTCTTTACTGACATCAAACTGGCAAAACCACAGCGTTGAAATACTGTAGCTGCTGTTACAGCTGTACACTTGAGTCCACATGTGTATGAACACATTTAGGAATCAAAGTCTTCTCTGTACAAGTTCACATGAAAATCTCAAGACAAATACTCAATTTGGATGCATGAATGAGTTCATCGCTTCATGCTGCACCTGATAAAGGTGGGGTTGATTTAATAACCTCTGGATAGTCAGGGACAAAGTACAGTGAGGCAGGAGATCAAGAAGACAGAAGGAAGATGTTTTCATATCTCTTGCATCCATAAAAGTACAGATATACTCCAAATTAGCTCATTACAAGTCAAAACCCTGCATAAAAATACCAGTTTAACAAAAAGACAGCAAATCACTACTAAATTAATTCAAGAAAAATTGCTAACAAATTGTAAAATGTCTGTAATATTCAGTTTCATGGGATTATGTTGCTTAACTATGTCGTTTGTCAACATGAAAACCAAACTTGAGTGCTTTATAAAGAGAAGTTCGATTTAATAATGTTAAAATATATATAATATATCAACCCCTCAAGTGTTTTACTGTCAACTTAGTTGAGTTAATAACATAAACACTGAAAAAGCTATTAGGTGTACATGAGTTAACAGCCGAGGAGGAGCAGTCGGTCACTTCTGACTTAAGTGACATTTAAAGTTTATAACAGAAACAGAGTTTTACAAATGTGCACAGTACCTGGTAGATGCTGGTCCAAACCTGTCATTTCTCAGTCATGCTGACGCATTTTTAGACTGGTTATGAAAAGTATTTTTGTACCATCATACGTCAGAAACTTTCCTTTTCTACTTTGGATGAGACTAACTTGTTTATCCTGTTCCTGCTCTGTTTGACACAGATACACGGAGACAGCAGCACAAACTGTCCACACCAACACTAAAACACACCAGCAGCACTTCACTTCAGCGGGCCTAAAAAGTGATATTTTCGGTCATTTTACTCTGAACCGTAAAGTCACTCACCGTCATGTTTCTCCGCAGTTTGTGTCTCAGTTCCCAAACTGTCAAAGTTATCCAAACTTTTCTGAAAACACTCCAACATTCCTCCTTCCGCTTCCTGAAACCTGCAGCAGCATGGAGGGAGCGGAGGAGGAGGAGAAGGGAGGGGGCGTGTCTACCGCAGACTGCAGCCGAGAAACAGCGACCTCTGCCGTGCTGCGTCAGCACATACACCCCTGAAGAGGAACCAGTGCCGAGAAGATTATTGTTTTACAATTGTCAGACAATATACTGTAGTTTAAGCAGTTATGAGGATCACTCTGAAATATAAAACAGGCCACTAATCTATACAATGAAAGCTATTAGATTATTCTGGAAATGGTTATCAAACTTTTTCAGTTAATTAGGTTTAACTCAACCACAGATTTCATTGTGCTTTTAATTAAAATAAAATAAAGTAAGATAGTGTACATCTTGTTCAAAAAGCAGTACTAGTTTCAGAATTGATAATGATAATGAAATAGCATAGAATTGTATTATTCAATCAAAAAAGGTGAAATAAAATGTTTAAACCAAAAAATGTTGATGTTTTATGAAAAATAGGTTTAAAAGCTGATGTCAGCAACATGTTTCAAGACGGACACTTTTTTACACTCTTTCACATCATTTTCTGAGATGTGAACTCTCATCTTTATAAACATACTTTTAGTGCAATTTTTTCCTCAATGTCATTGTCATCGTTGCACTGTATTATAATGTTCATCTTCCTCAATGTCATTGTAATCATAAACATGTTCAGGATTAAAATGGTCTTTTTGTAATTGCATCTTTATCATACTTATCAATATCATGTCATATTGTAAAAAATTTGAATTCATCTCTAAAACCATTATCATCACAACCATTGTAATGAAAATGTTCTTAAACTTTATCATCATCATAACCCTTACCATCATTGTCAGCATTACCTTCAATTTTTCATCATCATTTCAGGTTCATGTAGGTTTTGGAATAGCATGCTGCTATCCAGATGATGCCTTTTTCAGGCAAGACCTTTCATAACACAGAAAGGCGATACCAAACTACATTTTGTATGACAACAACATAGTTCTGTATTAGAAGAGTCCATGTGCTGAATTGGCCTGCCCAACAAAATTGGTCAACTGTTCTGTAAGAGTTGGCATCATCTTTTTTATTAAAACAATAAAATAGTTCAGTTCCAGTTTGATACTTACACTTTTTTGAGTTGAATATAAGGTTTAGAAAAACCATCAAATTCTGTTTCTGGAACATTTTACAGCATTTCAATTGTTAAAGAATTGGTGTTGTATTTTTCATGACTATAAATGAGGTTTTAAAAAATTCCCTAAACTATTGAGGATGTAAATGAGTAAGCAAAAGATTGAAATTGATGAAATTCCCAAATAAAGTAGGCCTACTCGTGTAGCCCCATTGAAAATAATGAAACTAGTCACATTTCACTGATGCATTCATCATTTGTAGCAATGGAGGGATTGGATTATAATACAACTGGGTAACATATTTCAAGTTTTTCATATAGTAAAACTTGACGTGATACTAAGATATTGTGAAATTGTATAAACTCAAAGCAGTCAAAAGAGGCAGTATTTGCAATGTGCTCTGAATTTGCTGCAGATAAATCTTGACTGCCTCTGCTTTTAGCCGCAGTACCTATCATAGACCAACAGATGGAAACCAAACACCATCAAAATGATAACAATCCCCACTCAATGAACAAGAGAACAAGAGAAAATCTAGTTGTAAGCACATATGGGCAGTGGTAGGAAAAAAGTGTATCATCATGACATTTTATAGTTTAAATACACCCTTCAGTTTTACACCCATGAATCCTGAGGTGAGCACCAGGGAGGCAGAGGGATTGATTTTGAGTTAAACATTAGCTTTAAGAGGAAACACACTGATGGGCAGGTGCACAGGTCCTCAGAAGTTGTCTGGAAACTTCATAGCAACTGGATTTTCATCATCATAGTAACCTCATCACAGCAGAGCTGCTCTGTTCAAAGTCCATGGCCTCTTTCCTGTTGGCTGGAGCGGATGCAGCCAGTGTTTCATCTATTGGCTTTACAGTAAGTGTGGCTAACAAGTTAACAAGACTTAAATAGCTGTGCTCAAATAGCTAATTTGTACAACAACCACTGAAACAGCTGGTATTGCACTGTTATTCATCATTGAAAAATGATGTTAGTAACTCTGTGAGGCTGTACAAGGACGGCCCTCAGCTTGATCCAATCCAAAAGCAGCAGGGTTACCAGTCTGGTGTGGAAACCTGTCCACTTTACCTCAGTGAAAAGTGCTTTTCTGTTTGGTCGCTGTCAGAGCTTAAGTCAGGTTGAGGGTAGGTGTCACGCAGTTTTAGTCTCATGTACAGAGGCTCAATCCATTACACTTGACATATTGGTTCCTACCGCACTGTCACATACGTTGTCAATACTTTCTGTTACCAAATAAAAGCTGAAAATCATAGAATATGTGACGAGTATTGGAGAAATGTACAGCTGGAGGTTGAATTAAGAGGAAACACAAACCAAAATGTAAAATGACTGTATTGTCCCCCTTAATGCCTCTGTATCATATTTTGTCACCTGAGGGGAACTACCTGTTTACATTGGACAGGCACCTTTCTGGACACAGTATCAGGTTTTCCCCTTTAGAAAGGTTCTACCATAAATGACTGCATTGCAACGTCTCTACTAAAAGTGCACCATGAAGGCCTTTCAACGTGTTTTCTCTTCTCAGTAGAAATACAGCCACCATCCCATATCCACCGTGTAGCGACATTAAAATCCTAGAGGGCCTTTTGTCATTATTTTTATGGTATGATAATTTCATTTGTAGCTATTATGGCTAAAAGCATGGCAGTAAGATATCTCAAAGGTAGGATTTTGGAAATTATTTCCAATGTAATTCAATTCAATAAAACTGACTCAGATGTCCTGATCTACAATACCATCATCCTCATGGTCATCAACTTGAACAAGCACCATGATCTTCATTTTCAGTTAAAAAAGTATCATGAGCTTGGTTTCATCATTATCACTATCATCATCATCACTGTCCTCTTCACCATCATCAATTTCTTTTCCATACTCCACACCTTCATCTTTATCATTACAATAGTGAAATTAGAGTCACAGACATTGTCCTCATCAGCATGATCATCATAACCTCAACTTTTCAACATCATCATCATTATCATCGTTATCATCATCCTCATTTTCAGCATCCTCTTTGACATCATCGATTCCTTTTTCCTTTCCAGAAACTTTATCACTAGAACAGTAAAAATACTGTCACCGTTGTCATCCTCAACAGCATCATCACCCAATTCTTATCTTTTCTAACATTATCATCCTCCTTCTCATCATCGTCATTTTTATTATCATCCCTCTCCTCATCATCATCTTTGACATCATTAATTTCTTTCTTACTCTTAACATCTTTATTACTAGAATTGTAAAGAAATAATGTCACTGATGTCACTGAATAATTATCTTCTTTTTCTCCTTTTTCAAGGTCAAAAACATGGCATTCTTATTTTGTTCATCTCCTATCAACACTTTCCTGCTCATTATCATATTTATCTAGAACATGGTCATCTTAATCATCAATTTTTAATCATCTTTGACTTCAGTATTACCATAACTAATCTCCACATTCAAAATTCTCATCGACATTATCATCCTTCATCATTATCCTTCACAGCAGTTGAGAAAACCTGTTTTACATATAAAATTCAGTAGAATCGTCCACATCACTATGATCGTGATATGATATGATATTCACGTGCACGCTCACGCGCATGTAGAGTCGACAGATGGTCAACTTTCCTCACAAAGAGAGAGAGAGAGAGAGAGAGAGAGAGAGAGATTGAGAGAGGTCTTTCGCTGATACAAATGGAAGATTTGTCACGTGATCCCCGGGGCCGTTTTAATGACGTACGCACCATATGGCGCGTGCCGGCGGGAGGGTGGGGCCGCGATATGCTAATTACCCCCCTGGCCCTTGTGTTTGCGCGTGTGTTTGATGCTGAGTATATAAGCGGCAGCATCCTCCACGCACCTCAGAAATCTCAGAGTGGATTCCGCACAGTCACGCACGAACACGCAACACAAAGAGCGCGCGGGGATGAGTGCGATCTGAGGACAGCAGCTTTACACAACAGGTAGGATTTTCTGCATTTATAGTAATAGATATCTTTAATGATGTTTTTTTTTTGTTGTTGAAATCTGGCCTTCAATTTTTGTTTTACATTAACGCCTTTAACGCACCGGGGAGTCAGCCTACTTACTGTGATCAGTGATCCAATAATTAATCTTATTTTAACAAAATTAATCCCATGAGGCTTTTCATTCTTTTCATTTTACTTTTCCTTTTAATCTGTTTTTATTTTGTTTCTACAGGCCTATTCCATTTCTTCTATGTTTCTATGCATTTTTGTTGTTTTATCCCCCAAATTATATTTTCAATTAGATTCAATATTTTTTAATTAGTCCTATTCTATGTTAAGATTTTTTTTCTTTTATTGTGTTGTTTTTGTGGTGTTTTATTTGTTTATTCGTTCTCCCGAGTCCGCGCGCTCCCACCTGTCTCACCCTCACCTGTCTGACGTTCAGTTCACTTAACAGCGATAATTAAGAAAAACGACGATGAAAGGAAGAAATAAGATTGAATTCGTCGGGAAATAATATAAAAAGTTCAACAGTAACAATGAGAATAATTAGCCTCTAACAACAGGCAGTCAATTATTGAATTATGAATGGGCTTAAACGCAGAGTTCCTACACCAAATCAAGGCTATTCCTTTTAATTAACGAAGATTTGATCTGTTACTCATTCTTACCCATATTTTCTACACTATTATCCAATATTACCCACAGATTTATGTTGAAAAGATAAAGCAAAAAATAAAAATCACTTGGCCTGATTTCAGAGCGGATCTGAACACTTAGTACGACTGTGAAGACTCAGCTTGTTCCATCTTCGCGGCGTTTTTTAGGTTTAAAATCTCATCATGTCAAAACTGAATTTTATTTTGATTATGTTTGCTTCATAAAAATAAAGTTAAAGTCAGAATTTACACAAATTTCCGGTGTTCCCAAGTCTCCAACTGCAAGGAGGAAAAATCACTTGTAATTTGGTTTAACTATACTACTCAGACATGGACAGTATATACAATCAAAACTTTCATTAAAAATTGACTTAAAGTTTTTTTCTGTTTGTCATTCCAAAAAGTCGGACACCCACTTGCTAATATAGCCTCGATTCTTTTTAAATTCTCTAGAGACTCTTTGTGATTTTTTAATCCTTCCTAATAGAGTTTGATTTTTTACAATGTTAACACAGAAACCATAAACGATGAAAAAATGGTCTGAAACATTTTAATGGAAATGATGCAAATAAAGAAAAAAAACATTTTATAAACCACTCTTTTGTTGGACATGTTATGAAAAATATACTTGAATTAAACTGCTGCATGAGAATTAATGAATTAAGTAATTATCTTCACTTAGAATCACTTTTTAAGCAAAACACTAACAACACCCGCACTATAAAAACCTATATGTAGCAGCTATAAATTCATTCCTGAACTATAAAATCAGCGTAAATGTAGCAAAACTTTACCTTTTTTGTTCATGTAATGTCGAGTTTTGTAAAGAATATATCTTATAATAAGGATGACCCAAAATAACATAGATAAACTGTATATATGAGGTCATGCCATCTGAGTTACAGTGGTTACTGCCTTTGCCCCTTGGTCCCTGCGTTGTATTCTGGTCATAAAAGAAACAAACCAAAGTAACTATACTAAATATTTAAATTAAGTAAGAAAAAATAAAAGTTTAAATTATTTTGACGGAGAATTCTTTTCAACTTGTCGTCTAAATTTCAGTCATCTCAAAATCTAAAGGCAGCTTGGACACTTTATTTTCCCCTATTTTTATTTATTTATTTTTAATAATATGGGCTTCTTCTTTCATTATTTACTTTAAAACAAATAGGGGGAAAAGTGTTTCTGTTGTTTTATTGTTTCCTGACAAACTTATTTTTTCCTTCTACAAACAGAGAATCAGCATCATGACCAGGTCTGTGCGGGAGGATCAGGCGTCAGTGGAGTCGGTGGAGCAGCAGGAGCTTCATAGCCCTGGAGAAGAAGATACAGAGAGGGAGGGTGGACTAGGAGAGGAAGAGGAGGACCACCTCCACCACATGGAGGACGAAGACGAGGAAGATGAGGAGGAGGAAGACGAAGAGGAGGACGGTGAGAACAAGCCCAAAAGACGAGGGCCAAAGAAGAAGAAGATGACGAAAGCTCGTATGCAGAGGTGAGAATTAAACTCTGTTTCATATATTTTCACTTCAAGTGAAAAGGATATAAAGTTTGACCTGAGGGGTGGCACCAGAGATTAAAGTGCAAGGTTCATCCTCTGAGAAGCAGGAAAAAATTGAATATATTTAATGAGAATCTGACCCAAACTTTTTAGACATTTACCCTAAAACAATGTGTTAAATGGACCAAAATCACAACATTTGATCCAATACACTGTAGTAAAACTTTACCAACAGACAGGAAGGCAATGTGATAACCTGAAAATGCACAGACAAAAAAGTGTCACTCTTTAGGGTTGGGGTTAAAAGAAATAGCACAGTGTAGAGGATAGAAGTAGAAAGTAGAACAATGGTCCCTTATGGTGGCGTCAGCTGTTTGAATGCATTAAAAATATATATTTTTGAAAACTTTGTGATAAAGCTACTGTGTCTTAAAGCTACCGTGAGGAGTTTTTGTTTGGTTATGAAACAGACTAAAATGAAGTGCGAGACGTAACTCTCTCATTTACAAAAGCAAAAGAAACTGTAGATGATAAGACTGACAACTTCTATATTGTAATTTTTAATGCGTGTACCTGCTGCGAGGAAGTAAATACACTAGAGAGACAGCCTTAGTTTTGAATCCACAGCCACATATTCATGTTGAGTCATAATTCTGACTGTAGGAGGAGGAGGAGACGTGTTTGTCACACTTTCACAAGGATAAGACAAAATAAGTGAGGAGTCACCACTTTGTCCACAGGGGGCGCCAAAGTCAACACAGACAACAAGTTTCTTACAGGAGCTTTAATTTATTAAAACCTGCAAAACAGCGTCCATGGGTTGTGGCCGTTCATTCATCTTTACTGTACTTTGTTGAACAGTTATGTGTTTATACTTCACTGGTTTACAAACTTTAAATGTCAGTTTTTACAACTAAGTCCATTTACAGCTAGGGGCTTTATTGGCAGATAAGCTTCAGAAATAGTCAAACATTACTAAAGATGGTAATCACACATTGCTATGCCACATATTTCTCCTTCATCATTTTATGCCATCACCTTCTGCTTGAAATGTGACACTGCAGTTAAGTTATAGAAGATACAACTCTGCATGCTAGCTACTAACATTTACTGAAATTGTCTTAATTGATGCTCAAGCTTATAAGAAAGTCTTAAATAGCAGTCACCACTGCTGGATTTGATATTTAATCACTCATGTAAAGGCTAACAAAGAATCTTTTTGTTTGTTTTGGCAGGTTTAAAGTTCGCCGCATGAAAGCCAACGCTAGAGAGAGGAACCGTATGCATGGTCTGAACGATGCCCTGGAAAGCCTGCGGAAGGTCGTCCCTTGTTACTCCAAAACTCAAAAACTTTCCAAGATTGAGACTCTTCGCCTCGCTAAGAACTACATCTGGGCCCTGAGCGAGATCTTGCGTTCTGGAAAAGCTCCCGACCTAATGAGCTTCGTCCAGGCACTCTGCAAAGGTTAGTGGCACTTGAACAGCAACAGACCAAACCCAAAGCTGGCCTTAAGCCTGATCTTTTGCTACATGGTAAATTAAGTAGGCTATTCTTTGAACATAAATCTGAATGAAGATGTCATATCAAAAAACAATTCGGCAGCAAAGTCTAAGAAAAGACAACGAGCCAGCTTGCCAATGGTTTTCCTCTTTGGACCATGAATGTCTGAATGTCAAAGGTGTATTGTCACCAAAGTAGTACATGGCCAAACAAACACTGCCATCCACAAACTTTCTGCTGATACAACTAAAAAACATAATGTTAATTGATTTAAGAAAAGAGTTTTACTGTTTTGCCAATCATTACATTCCATTAAAACTGTATTTAGTGTTTCTTGGGTAATTGCTTTGGGCCTGTGTCCACTCACAGCTTTTTCTGTACTGACAGAACCCATGACCTTAATTTTAGAGCACCTCTCAGCAGTGCCTGTTGTTGCAAGGTTATGAAAGTTGTCTCACTGTTCTTTTAGACGACCATTATCAGTCTGACCAAGGAGGTGAAAATCACTGAGCTTTTTGTATTTTTGTAGAAAATAGGTACCACCAGTGCAAAAAAATGCAGCCAGTGGACACAGGCCCCTATTTCTTGAAATTGGTAAACCGATATTTGTTAAGTGTTGTAATTGTTGACAAAAACTGGTAGGCATTTTTTGTCAGCTATTGACAGTATTATATGTCATACAGACATGTTAAAACCAATAAGGTATTGACAGATGGATTATATCTGTTCTCAGGTCTGTCTCAGCCGACCACTAACCTGGTAGCAGGCTGCCTACAGCTGAATCCTCGGACATTCCTGCCAGAGCAGACGCCTGATATGCCAGCTCACCTTCCTCCCGGTGGCACGGTCACCTATCCTGGACACTTCTCCTACCAGAGCCCTGGGCTGACGGCCGGCCTGCCAAGCCCACCTTACGGCACCATGGATCCTTCCCACATCTTCCACCAGGTCAAAGGTCAGCCCTACGGCCCACTGGAGCCCTTCTTTGATGGCGTCCTGGTGTCAGATGGCCCAGCGTTTGACCCGCCCCTCAGCCCGCCACTCAGCATCAACGGGAACTTCACATCCTTCAAGCATGAGGCTGTGTCGGCTGCTGAATACGACAAGAGTTTCTCCTTCAGCGTTCACTACGGAGGAGGAGGAGGAGGAGCAGGGGGACACCCGACCGTCTATGGAGGAGGGGGGTCCAACCCGCGGTGCTCTGAGCTGCAGGTGGACGGGATGATGGGCTTTGATGGACACTCACACCACGAGCGGCTGATGAACGCCCAGCTGAATGCCATCTTCCATGACTCATGAGGAAGAGGAGGATGAAGGACTGAGAGGCTGATGAAGCAGAGAGACAAACAGAAAGACTGTTATAGAGAGAGACAAACAGATCTGTGTATTTCTTTCACTTTACACCCGTCTTTCTCTCTTTTTCTTCTTCATCAGGCTCCATTACTCCTCCTCGTTTCGTTCATAAAAACAATGATGTCATGAGGATGTCAAGTTCATGAAATAATCTTTGTAGCGCTTCATCCTGCAGGAGACCTTCTCTGAATGTCTCTTTATTATCCATATTATCATTTAAAAATAATTAATAATCAGTGAGCAATAATCTGGAGGAAACTATGCAATTTCGTTGAAGCCTGAGCAAAGCTGGGCTGATAATTCCAAATGTTGAAAGAATAAAGATTTCTCTATTTTTGGTCGGTGTGTGAGGCAGTGTGAAGCCGGCGCTGGGCTGAAGTGTTCATGTTGTTCATGTGGTTTTTACTTTTTGCTTTTTATAACGTTCCTGTAGCGTTTCTGTTAACATTTCATGTGACTCTTGTTTATATTTTATAACATAGATGTTTATGAAGGCCTTTCAATAAAGAGAATTCAATGTGATTCTTCTCAAGTCGTCGATTCATTGACAGCACCATAAAACAACAAACGGGTCCAGATTACAGCGATTCAATCTGGTTTCTTCAAGATCAGATACAGTAAATCACCTTCAGTCAAGTTTAGAGAAGTGAAGTGCGCACAACAGTCAGATGATAAAATTTAAAAGAAAATTAAAACATATATTGAAATATCTTATATTACAAATTATCCTGAGGTGTTAACTCATAAGTTGCCAATTTATTTTTTGACTACAAGGAAAATCGCTTCAAAGAGCTGTTTATGTCAGCCTAAGTTGGAGTCAAAAGCCTCAATGTGAAATAAAGAGGATAAAGATGAACTTTAAGTTCCCCTACTCTTGTATATTCAATAGATTCACGGTGGAAAAATTGTATAAACTACTGGCATTTGTAACCGTTCATTTATCAACAATACTTTATGAAATGACGCTATAAATACATCAGTTCAACTTATTTATTACTTTTCGTACAAAAACTGGCTCCTTTTGTTTTAACTATCTGAGCTTCATGGCCTTTATTTGACTGCATAGGGCAGAGTAAAATAGGAGCAGGGGCCACATGCAGAAAAGGAGACACAGGCTGGAATCAAACCTGGGCGGCCGGCATGTACAGGGTGAGTTTAAGCTGTTAGGCCAGCAGCACACCTGTGTTAAGCACTTAAATCGAATATTAATCTTAGTTTATTTTTGGAGCACTGCTTTGGATTGGTGGCAGAGAAAAGAGGAGGTCAAGTGGGAAAACAGCCCCAAATCCAGGAAGAGATATTCAACTAGAAGAAGCCGCAGAGCAAAAGAGACATCAACCAAATTGAAGAAAACAGACACAAAGCATCCACTCACACTCCTGTTAAAGCTCCTGTTAAGAGTTTTTTGTTACATTTGTAAAATACACTAATTCATTTAATTGTATTGTCATTTTAATACCAATTCCTGTATGAGGGTTAGAAACAGCTGAAGAAACAGCCCTGTTTTCACAATGGCAACATTAAATAGTTTGACAGTCACAAGTTAGCAGGAGGAGATTTTTTTTTCAAAAGCAACTACTCGAGGATGTAGAGGACGACATAAGCAGAGTCTGCTTTGTCCATGGGTTGCCAAAACAGACAGAAACTGAAACGTCTTCACTGGAACTTCAGCATTTATCCATCTCAGTACAATCCCAAATTGCAGTGTGAGTATCGCCACAATCCTGCTCCGCACAGGGCTGCGAATATTGATTGGTCTGATCAAACCAGCGTAAAAACCTGTAATCATCCTAAATAATCTACTAAAAATCTACGCCATCTGCTGAAACAAACTGAGGGCTCGTGTCCCGGAGAAACAAGTTTTCTTTGTGACAACAGAGTTATTTAAAGAGGACTTAAGGCGCCAAGTATGATAAACACTTCAGGAGAAAACACATATCTCCTTACAGAGAAAACCCTGTTAACATGTTAACAACATTACCGCGCCAACTGAATGACAAAACCAGGATTACCGTGTGTGTGTGTGTGTGTGTGTGTGTGTGTGTGTGTGTGTGTGTGTGTGTGTGTGTGTGTGTGTGAAGGGCACAGATGTTCATTCTGCAGGCAAGATTTTAATTTATGAAAATGATCTTGTTTATGCATGAGCGCTCCCTCCATACACACTGTTGTCCTACTGTGTGAGTGAGAGTGTGTGTGTGTGTGAAGGTGTGTAAGTCAACAGGGACAATATGGTGGCCATATCCCACTATTTAGCCTCCCTCTTAAAGCGGAATAATAATGAGAAGAAGTCATACCACGGCATCAAGATAATCCTCATTCATACAGATTAGAAACTATTTTAAGACTGATTTTTTTATTTTTGAAATCAGTTCAGCAACTGAAATGTCATATATGTAGCAATGCTTACAAGGCTGCCATAAAATAATCATTAAATAAAGCAGAGATTTATTTGAAGATATGATGAAATCTAAGTGTATCATGAAGAAATAAACTCTTTGTCCTCCAAAATGTTACAAAAATAAACGTCTTGCAGGCATTTATAAACACACTTAGTCTGCAGCTCCTCCATATTAGCAGTATTAAAAACATCATTAGACCTTTATGACGGGGATTTTATTTTTCAGTCCCTTGGCTGATCACAGCACTGATTAATGCAGCTTAAAGTCAGCCATCTGTCATCAACACACACACTGTCTTCATGTGTGTGTTTCTGTTGTAGCTCTGCAGTGGTTGGACCTCATTCAGCTCTCTGATTGGTTATCAGGTGATTGTTAGAGTGATACAGAAGGATACCTTTTACAATCAGTGCTGTCAGTATATTAAACTGCAAGTTACCATAGCAACAACTCAGTAGCAGGTGTCTTAAAATCTTGGTTTGTGTCTTAAGTTAAAAGCAAGTAATGCCTTTGTTGTCTTTAGAAAAATTCTACTATTTTTAATGATTGGCACCTGATGTATATAAAACTGTAGAGTATGTTTAAGCTTTTGTACAGAGGCCCACGTGAGAAGGGAAAGAAAATATTTCCTCCTGTTGAAGTTTAAACTGATCTTTTAGACGACCATCATCAAATCATGAGATGAAAAGCAAAACCAAAGCAAGCATTTCCAGGCTACTGTGGTACAGAAGCGAAGACTGCTGCCTTTCAGTGCTTTCCATGCAAGCTAGTAAAGAATTGCAGGCCTTCAGCTCTGTTTTAAAAAATGAATCAAAAAACCAAAAGCAAGCACTGTGAGGCTTTCCATGTAGGAAAAAGAGAAATACTTTGGCCTGACTGTTGTCTAAGCCATGCTTTTGAACAACTGAGTTAAAAACCCCTATATAGCAAGCACTGCTAGCAAAATCTGGGGTGTGGTGGTGACGACTACTGTCACTCCAAGCAAAGATCTTTGGTTCAAATCTCAGATAAGGCTTTGTATGTGAAACGATACAAAATGCTGTCTTTGCATTTAGTTTTTGAATATGTATATAAGTACAGTATATTTTTCCAGCTTTATCTTCAAGTGGGTATACATTCATACTATAGGCCTATATTTTATTTTTGGAAAGTAATGGTATCACTCTAAGACTTAATAATAGAATATAATGCTTAAGTAACTGGGCAGTGATATTGGTGGAGCCAGTTCCCACTGAGCAACAGACGGCTATTAGACCTCTAGTTTTTTTTTTTTTTAGACCTAATTTCAATCGTCAAGATTCTGAATATTTTTAAACGGAATTTAGTCATTGCACTTTAACCCATTATTCGATAACTATTTATTTCAAAAAGCACCAGTGAGTTGCATAACTGATCTCCAAGTACCTAACCAAAATAATTATGATAGTCGTTGAGTGATATACAGTGTAGTATGGGCATAGCCCTGATTTAGACTTGGTCTAAACTTGGTCTAAATTTAGACATCTAAAAAACTTTCATTTTTAGACTTGTGATAGCCTGATTTTAGAGTGGTCGTTTAGGCTACATTTAGACGTCTACTGGACCTCTTTTAGACCAAAAAATGCCCAGTGGGTAATGATAGCCTATGTTTTAATAGGGCCAAGAGTTCTCGGTGACATCTCTGAGTGGTTTTAAATAGATAGATAAATAAATTAATGAATAAATAGATTCAGTATAAAACACAATAATTGTTGCTTTTAATCATATTAGGACATACAAAAACCCCAAAGCCATGAATAAAGCATTAAAACTGGTAAAGACTACTTGTCAAAGTATGTCCACAATTTACAATAACAAATACTAGAACGTCATCTATCTAATTCGCCTTTTTTATTGAAAACGTTTAATCTCAAATCCACAGACACTTGATGTTTACTTGCTCAGTGCGCGCTCCCGTTCCGCGTTCACAGTGGCGCGCTCAGTGGCTAATTAGTAAGTGGTGGCTCTACCGCGTGCCCGAGCCGTGAGTTAGGAAAAGCTTCTCCTCGTCTCCATAGCAACGATACCCCGGAAATACACCTCAACCTGCGGGTGGTGATTAGCTTACTTCGCTCATTTTTATCTGCCGAACACGCCGATAATCGACGTTTTTTTTGTTTGTTTAAAAGTTAATCAGTTTGTTTACTCGTTCGTCGGTTGAGCGAGTAAACATGTCGGAAGTCGAAGATGACCTGCGTGAAGAAAGCACGAAGAGGACGAATAGGGAAAAACGAAGCATGAGGAAGAGCAGGGAGAAGAGGGAACAGGAGAGACAGCAGCAGCAGGTGGAGGAGGAGGAGGAAGATGAGCAGAGGTGAGTGTTTGTACTCTGGTTCCATCAGTGTCTGAGGTCCTCTATACACTTACAGAGCTCTGTCTGTAAATGAGAGATATTGAACTGACGCAGACCTCAGACCTAACTAATTTACTGAAGTGAAAGTATAAACAGCAAAATCCTTCAAAATAAAAGTCCAGAGACCAAACTCTAAGAAAAAATGGAATAACTGAATATTTCTTTGTACAAAATATAGGCTACATTACAGCATGAAACCACAGTCAAGAATGTAAAAGTAGTAGTAGTAGTAGTGGAAGTAGTAGTAGTAGTAGTAGTAGTAGTAGTATATCCGATCATGGAGAGCATGTCATTGTATACACTCAATGATCAGATGTACTCTCTCCTTTTTCCTTACAGCCCTCATATTATGTTTGTGGATTTCTGCTTAATAACATACAAAGTAGGCTATTGTGTTTTTATTCCAACCACAGTGACTTATGCACAGTGGATGATTCTGTAAACAGGGCCTGACCACAACATCTAAAATCATTTAAAAAATTACTTCATATACTTTTAAAAAATGTTCTCAGGGCCACTTTCTGTAGTGCACATTATTTTTGTTCCAGGGCTGGATCGACACTTACTATAAAAGGAAAAGTCACAGTATTCTCCTGTGTGTGATTCTGAGTTACTCATTGTTTGTAAACACACCTTCTATTCAACAAGTCCTGCAAGGACCCTTTTTTGTGTGGATAGAGTAACTCCCATTTATCTGTCATCTCCACCAACATGATTTGTGCTGCTGTAGTGGCCAACCACTGCAGTAAACAACCCCGCCACAACTTAAAACTTTGTAAAACTTAATAGTTCTTTGAAAAACACAAAAGTGTAAAAAACACTTTATCCTACATTTGACTGTGTAACTGGAAGATAAAATGAAAGGGAATGGGGCATCACATCTTAAAGAGCTTTGGCTTAATATTGGTGATGATACTCACTAAATATTTTTCTTGTAGAAAAGTATCTTGACACTGTCATAGAAAATTGAAGAGTATGAGCTCATTTGCCTCTAACAAAATAGTCAGTCTTTTCAAGGCTCAATATAACGTCCTTTATTATGGCGAGACTTCGGTGTGTATTTTCGTATGATTTAAAAGGATGTCCCTCACTTTTTAGCCTGACAGTCATCAGTTTGTTGGTGCTCATGCACTCTCAGGCATGCTTTTGCACACTCGTCATATCTGCCCCTCAGCTTTTCAGATGAAAAACACTCACCACCCTCCTCTTGCAGATATTGATCTGGGGTGCTTATAATGAAGTTTGTGTATATGGGGGGTGCCCATGCTCTACTGATAAGGAGGGGAGGAAGGGGCTGCTTCATTCAACATGTAGGACATTATGGGGGCAACACAGCAGACAGCACAATATTGATCAGACATGATCGTCATATCTTTATAATGAAGTTAAAATCTGTGACATCCCGATCTGTGTCAAGTACCCACATATTAATAATGAAATTCAAATGCAAGCTTGCTGAATGTAGGTCCTGACTTTGGTTTGTTGTCTACAGTCGTTCTACTGGATCAGAATTGTTACAGATCATTTAAAAAATTGTCTTTTAACTGTCTGTCTTTGTGTTTTTCAGTGAGTGTGTTGTGCTGCGTGGGATCTTCCAACTTGGTAAGAAGAGTCACGACGTCCTGCTCACCCAAACCAGAATGACCTGGACCCCCATCACCCCAGAGACCCCCACAGGTCGGTCACTGCAGTGAACGATCAGTGTTGTTGTGGCCGCACACTGTCTTATTGCTAGCAGAGAGACAGGCAGGCAGGCTGTTAGGACAGCTGGTGCTGTAATGGAGAAGTTTTGTCATGTTGAGACCACCTGAAATATGACATCTGGACAACACACACAGACACACGCACAAACACACATTATAATCCTAGGAATGAGGTTGTTTATCAGTGCTAGTGTTTTGTTTTTTTTTGTTCTGGATGCTGATAGCATGTAGTTCAGAGCATCCTTGTGCTTGAAAACTGCCTCCACTCACTGCTGGCATGAATCACTTTAAAAGCTTGATCTTTTGCACTCGGAAAAGTAAAACACACAGTTTGAAAGCATTTAGTGTGGTCTATTGTCTTTTTAATTGCTGTCTACCAATGCTTTTTGGAGGAAACTAAAGTTTGGCTGTTTGTTTCTGGAGGTTTTTTCTGTGTTGTTACTGACATGGTGTTCCTAAGAATAGCTTCTCTGCTTCTAGCACCAGGGGAACCTATTGTTGCCAGATCAGAGTTGGCTGTAGGTTTGTTAAGTGGTGCAGTGTGCACTAATGCTGGAGTTTGTCGCTCCACTTCGATAAAAACAATACTCAGCTGGTAAATAAAGTACAGCTTATACTGCTTTATAAAAGAATTCCTAATGCAGATCTGTCCTGGTTCAGGTCTGATGGTGGGGGTTGGAAACATGATATCATCATTTGCAATGAACTGGGTTGAATGAAATCATAGAGAATTTTATAGTATCAGCAAAAAATATTTTTGCTGTGTTTACACCAAACTTGATTTGAGATTTAGTCAATTTTCTTCTTAATGAAAAACAACAAATGACGAAGAAATGATTCAAAACAAATCTTTAACCCCTGGTACGCTGTTTGAAGGCCAACACTCTGCAGAGTCCTGTTGTTGTTGATAAGTGGTACCATCTAACTTTTGTAAGGCTGTAGGATTGAGTGGACCTTGTCCATCATAGTGGACTAAAATGACATCCTCTCCAACTCTTTAAAGATCGTTTTACGTGTAAGACAACTTCAACAAAATACTTGGGGTTCACAGTTTGAAGGACTTTAAAGAACCCAGGTTTATACATTTTATATCATTGGCCATGCTGTTGGCCATGTTAAGACAAATTGGTTGTGCTGCTCCCTTTAGCTGAAACAGTCTCGAGCACACTTTTCAGGCTAAATATAACTTATTTCAAATGAGAGACAATATGTGGCATAGTATGTTTTTTTATGGGTGACAGGAAAGATGTGTTCCCATTGAGAAAAGATAATGGCGATAAAGGCCTTGTGAGAGCCAGTGCCCATATGATGCCAATGATGTCAAAATGCTAATAATTGGTCCAGTGAATCAGCAGACTAATTCATCAGTCTAACCTCATATACTGAACCTCATGCTTGAGAACAGCTAAAGATTTAAGACGACAAATAATTTTTGGGGCTTTCTGTAGACCGAGACTTTCTTCTTCACGTGCTGCCTGTTCACTGTCTGATTAGCTACTTGGGAAGCAAAAATGGAGTTTGGGTAAAGAGTTTTAGTCGCATTTTTAGGCAGATATCTGTTTAAAGACATTACTTAAGGCTAAATTGTTGTTAGATGACTGCTAATGGGTTTTTGGAATTTCTCTAGTTTTATTAAAAGTCTAGTGGACAACACTACATATAGTACAAAAGCAAACCAGAACACTTGTGATACCAAGATTTGTCAATGATAGGGTGACCATTTTTTGATTACTGAAGACCAGTACTCTAGATAGAGAGATATGAGATACTCTATATCTTTAGTTTTCTTCTTCATACTAGTGGCCCAATGAAAAACTATGAAAACTAGGGCATTTTCAGGACTCTATAAAAACAACCAGGACAGGATGTAAAAACAGGACATTTCCTGGGAAAACAGGACATTTGGTCACCCTATTCAACAACATTCATAATTCTTACGTACGTAAAGTTTGTACAAAGTTAAAGAGATAGGGAATAATTCACTGAACTTAAATGTGTGTACACTGTGTACATCTTCTGGACTAAGACGATTGTGAATCAATAAAAAAAATCACATCAACAAAAAAAAAATATTTGAATGTGAGTCTTTTTTCTTCACAGTTCTTGTACAATCATCTTCCTCAGTCTATATTTTTAAATTCTGTAAAACTGGAGCAGCGTTAAACTGAGGCTGAGGGACAGATTACCACACACTGTGGTTTATCGTCATGGTGATATTTTGGTATCACTTTGCTAATTTGACGGTATTACTTTGATGATTTGCTATGAGTGTGTTTTTGGTTGAAATCTATTCAAGCAGAACTGGTTAGTGAAGCAGGATGAAGGTGTAAACAGTGTGTGTGTGTGTGTGTGTGTGTGTGTGTGTGTGTGTGTGTGTGTGTGTGTGTGTGTGTGTGTATGGTTGAAGCCAATCTGTTTTGCTGAATTTCATCCAAGCTAATGTCATTAAGCCAGCATTGTGTGTGTGTGTGTGTGTGTGTGTGTGTGTGTGTGTGTGTGTGTGTGTGTGTGTGTGCGTGTGTGTGTGTGTGTGTGTGTGTGTGTGTGTTGGCAGTAGTATAGAGCAGTTGGTTTGGCCCGTGGGGGGTTATTAGAGTCTCTCAGTGTGAGAAGATTAACACACACTCACACACAGTCAGTCTGTCTGCATGCTGTGTGTGTGTGTGTTGATGAGATATTTCTATATAAATGGATCAGCTGTTTTTGTTTATTTGTACACATGAATGTATTCTGTATCATCCAACAGCCTGTTAATCTGTCTGTCAGGGAGGGGAGACCTCAGCTGTTTGTATCAATACAGACACACAAACGACACGTGTTGTACCTGCCGCCATTTAGAAACATCCAAATGACACCTACTGTAATTTTCAGTCACACTGCAAGAAATTAAGGACAGTTTTTGAATCAAATGTAAATGAACTGCAGGTGTAAAAGCCAAAACACTCTGTAGTCACACTATTTGGAGTCATGTGATATTCTCATGCACCTAGATAAATAGAAAAAAAAATGTCTCTAAATCTCTTTCTCTTAATGGAGCATTTACTGGACATCTGTGATAGAGATGGACTGATAAATCAGTCATTAATCAGGCTGGTTAATCATATCGGCCGTATCACAAGGCTGATATCAACACTCTCATTTGTTAGTATTACTGAATTGTTGTGTTTTGTCAAATTCAGCCAAACTGCTCTCTTATAATCGGTATGAGCATCTACTGATGAAAACTGTATTTGGTCGATAATAATCTGTGATGAAAGCTAATGCTGCGTTCAAGTTACCTCGGAAGTCAGATGTCCGAGCTGGGAATGACGTCACACTCAAGTTACCAGCGCCAAGTCGGAAAAATGCAAAATTGGAGGCAGAAACAAGATGGCTACAAAAATTATTTTAGCGCTTGCCTTGTCCTTGCTTATATTCGGACAAGGCAAGTGTTAAAATAATTTTTGTAAGTGTAGCCATCTTGTTTCTGCCTCCGGTTTTGCTTTCCTCTGACCTGGTGACTGAAACACTGGTAACTCGGGTGTGACATCATTCCCAGCTCGGATTTCTGACTTCTGACGTAACTCAAACGCAGCATAAGTCACAGCTCTGGTGCGTGTTTACATTCTACAGTCATGTGACATGTAGATGCATACTGTCTAGACCAGTGGCGGCTGCTGGTCTTTCAAGGAGGGGAAGCTCATTTTTCTGGCCTACATCATAATTGTATTTGTTTATTAGTATGTAACAGAACAGAGTCGCCAAACACAACGGCAGTCGTTTTTAACAAAGACAAAAGTCGCTGAGGATCGGTAAAGTCTCTGGAGCAGTTAAGAACAACGGAGTGAATGACTTGGAAAATGCTCTGGTAGATGTTTTATTCTTCAAGATCGCTGATTCGCTTGTTTAGCTGTCAATCAAAAAAGGATTTCGCCTCAGACAGCTCATCCAATCATGAATGCAGAAGCTTGGAGTCCGGGAGAAAGTCGGGACCGCCCTCTCGCCATAGAACTCCAGTGAAGCTTAGCTTCCATTGGGCGGGACAAAGCCCAGCATTTATCCAATGAGCGTCTAGTTTCGCTGCTGGAACAACCCACTTTAAGCTTCCACATTGAAGTCAGCAGAAGCCCAGCGTCCGGCTGTTTGAAGCGCTGAGGCGCTGCGAGGATGAATGAGAACGAAGTTATGCCGGTTACCTGTGATTATCAGCTTCTTATCACAGTGTCTGAACAAAAGTTGAAGGCTTTCTAGTGCGTATTTAGTTAATGAAATGTACACACAGCCGTACGTATTTCACCACTTTTTCTTTTTTTGGGGGGGTGACATTTTAAGGGAAGCCGAGCTTCCCTTGCAGTCTTAGAGCAATCGCCACTGGTCTAGACATAGTGTGGTCAAGCCTTGTGGTCATAGGAGGAACCATCAACAATGAAACTCCAGTCACCACTAAGAGCTTCATTTCAGTGATAGACACAGTTCAGTCCTGACAAACTGTTATCCCGTGTTAGCTTTTAAAATATCTTTTAATGTTATGTCCTACATGTCAATGACTTAAAACAAGCCAACAGTAAAATGAAGTAGCTGTCTAAAAAATATAAACAGGAAAGAGCAGAGAAACAAAAATCCAGTTCAGTGATACAACTGAAAGAGCTTAAAAAAAAGGTACCACAATGTCAGTACCAGGTCAAGTTACCCACCACTATCATCTGTCATGTGTCTTTGGGGGTAACTGAGAAATCCTACAGACAGTAAAGTATCCACATAGGTTTTAGTATGGAAAAATGTGAAAGAACGAAAGCTGATAAATCAATTTATCATCAACTTACAGAATCAGAGCAGCAGAGGTGTTTACATGATCGGTGTTGTGATGCAGCACTGCAGCCTTTTGTATGTGTGTTTATGTGTGTTTGTGTGGGTGAGGGGGCTGCTTTGAGCTGTGTATGTGTGCAAACTATGATCCATAACTCCCCACAGTGAGCCACATGGCCTGGTCACCATGAGACCGGACTGCCACTGTGTGTGTTGGTGTGTGCATGTTTATGTGTGTATGTGTGTGTTGTGGGTTTGTCTGTTTATGTTTAATCATTTATTTGTTGGGATTTTAGGTGTTCTCTGTGTTGTGCTTAAACAGAAAAATGAGGTTTTCAGGAAGGAAACAGCGTGTCCAACAATACCTTTGAGAGTGTTAATAAACCAGTGTAATGCGAGAATATTAATCCATGTGTGTAGGGGTGTGTGTATGTGTCATTTATGTGTATATGTGTGTTAGCACAGCAGTAGGTCGCTGAGGGCATGATGGGAAACTCATCTCCATCTGGAACCAAACAACATGCTACCTGTGATGGGCAGCACAGTGCATTTGTGTGTGTATTCAGCTGCTCCGTAGGTTCTGTCAGCTCATATCAAAGTCATCTTTATTGGGCTGAATGTAAAATCTGTCTCTCTCTCTCTCCTCGCTTAATTTTCATTTACACAGAGAGTAATACTGGATACAAAAGTGATCAGGGTGTATTTGTGTTTTTGTATCAGTGTTTATTCTCTTAGTTTGCTGCGCTTAAATATTGATTTTATTATCAAAAAGAAGAGTTCTTATTTTCCTTTTTTTCTATTCAGCATCTTAAATTAATCTCTGTGGTTTGAATAAAAGTTTCCCATAGTGCAAAGGTGAATCATATTAAATCATATTAGTGTTTATTACATTTACGAGTACAAAAAACTCTAAAATAATACCAAAAATCAAATAATGGAAGTGTGTTCATACTTTAATGTATCAAATGCAATCCCTGTGAAAGCAGAGAATAAATGCAACCTGACTTAAAAACAGCCTGTCATAGTCCTTATAAAAGGGCTGTGGTATGAAAATGATTGCAGCTTGTGAGGGAAGTGTTAGAATTTTTTTTTTCTATTTAAAAACTGAAATTCAAGGGGAAGTGATTATATTAAACCATGTCCTTTCATTTTCTTTCATTAAGAATGATAAATAATAATCAATAGAAACTAAAATAAGAGTCTCTACAATCATATATATATATATATTTAGCTTTATAGCCCAGCCCTGTTATTCTATCCAGGCTTTCAATGCAATACCCTGTGTCATTTTGCAATCATTAAAAACCTGGCAAAGTCATGCAATTTGAAAGTTGCATTGACCAGGCCTGGGAAAGTTATAGAAAATATGTATCTTTTAAATTATCTAACAACACCACTAAAGATGTAAAATATCTGAATTTTGTCAATAAAGAATATACCAATAGTATATAGACACACCCTTTTTCATTATAAAGAACACCTCATCATCTCCCTTATGCCCCACTTTATCTGTTACTCCCAGTGCGACGGTCTGATTTTCTGATTTTGATAACTAATATTTTAAGCAGTTGACTGCCCGTACCAGTACTATATGAAGATAGTATGACTATCATCAGATACAGTTTGGCACACATTTTAATAAAAAAATACTTTGGTATATTCTGACATATTTTTGATGTGAAGATACATATTTCAGAGATTGTGTTGTCTTGAAAATTTATGTAAATCCTGTAAATTTATCAGCAATATTTGGTATGCATCCTAAATTTGAATGGCAATTGGATGAGAATCTATCTAATATTACTTCATTTAGAGAACTTGTTGAGTCTCATTGCAGACATAGCAGAAATAGCTTTAAATATTTCCCTATATTAAATAAACTTAATGAGCAGAGTGTGAAGCAGCAACAGACAGACCAGCGTGACACACACTGTGACCCTGACATATGGACTGTGCCTCTGCGGGTGGAAGAGGGTCGGTGGTTTTAGGTTTTTGGGGTTTGATAACAGCAGGAGGGTAATACATAGAGCAGTGGGAGGGCTGATATGCTTTCATGATAAATAACTATTTCATGATTAATCTCTCCCCTGTGAACTGATGGCTGATTGTTGTTGATACTGCTACTGATCTTTAAAGGGATGCAACATTTATTTTTATTTTTTTTACAGACAGATAAAAAAAGAAAAAAAAACATTTTGAAGCCTCTGGTGTCACAAATAATTTCAGCTTAGTAAAATATAGTGTACATATTCTTAAAAAATCAATTAACACTCAGTTATTGTAACAAATTAAAGCCTTCATTTACATTCTACATCCATTTTCATCAACTTTGTCAAAAGGAGTTTAGGTATTTCTAAAAAAGGTTTCGATTTTCGATATTTTTGTTCTCAAGGTCAAAATCTGAAGGGATAAATCATATCAGGTCAATATCTGTTTGGATTTAAATAATTTAAATGATTAAAGTGGATTGATTTATCTCATTTATCTAATTTAGGATGTTGTTTTTTTCCTGTACAGATGTTTGTCCACCTGCTGCAACATGTCTCTCCAAAAGCTTGATTCACATTCAAAATAAAAGCTGTTTTTAATATGAGACTCATAAACAAACAAATATTAATCATAATTTTCATAACCAAGTGTCCTGAGTAAATCATTTTCTGTGTTTAATGTTAAATTGTTATCACGTCATACAGTTAAAAAATGGCATCCAAATCCAAGCTGGAGTTTAAATGTGTTTTGTTTTGTTTTTGTCTTTTTGGACATGTCACACTGCTGTTTGGATGATTTGAAGAAGTGTGTTCACACCAGACCTAATTAAATCAGATACCTTTTTAACACCCAAACCATTTTTTTCAATCAGGATGAATATTATTCATGTAAACACAGCTATTGTTTTGATTAATTATAAGTTCTTGGACTTTTTTTTTTATTCCCAAAACAACCAAACTGTCCTAACCCGAGCAAAAACTTGCACACATTAAGTTGGGTTGGTTTTTCGCCAAATGCTTTCCTCCTATTTTCATCAATACTTTTTTTTAAGCTGGTCCATGTGGAAGATTTGTGAGATGTATAGCTACAGTTGACCACCTAGACAAAACTTGTATTAGCTCGCTTAATCAAGGATATAATCTGTGTTTGTGTTTGTGAGTTATGTAACTGTGAGCGTATACTGTCTGAGCTCTGCTGACATTATTCTCAGAGGATTACCGATTAATCTCAAACTCTCCAATCAGTTTGCAGAACTCCTCGTTGATAATGCGACTGATTGACAGGTGTTACTGTTTATTCTGCTGATCAATGGATTAGTGATAAATACTTAAGTGTAAGGACATGATGTAATGTGCACACATGTGTCAGTGGCACCACTTCAAACTGACTGTACATGAATGGGAATGATTCCTCTTTTAAGAGAGGATCAGTTACCACATTTTAAATTATATTACATAGTAAACCGACTTCTAACATTAATAAACAATGCAGGAAAGTATTTTCTAAACTAATGGCTGCAGAGAGCTCCTACACTAACCCCCCGATATTCACAGACTTGAATTTTAATGTGGTAAAGAAGTAATGAATAAGTCAGTTATCGTGAATTCCCTCAAAGCTGTACACATTTCTTCCCAAAATTAGAAATTGTGTGTTCACTCTCCCTATCTCTGTGCAGGTGAGCCGTGCATTCAGCAGCCAGGTGTGGTTCTGCTGCAGGACGTGTTTGCGGTCAAAGTGAAGCGGCGGCGAGCGGCGGGGAAGCAGTCGGGAGGGCCTGTTCTCGGCGTGGCTCTCTTCTGCGCCCAGAGGAAAGGGAGGAGGCTGGAGGAGGAGACGCTGCACTTCCACAACGCCTCTTCAGAACACACACACACCTGGTACAACAAAATAAAGGAGCTGCTAACAGGTAATAAACACATTCAGACTCCCACGCAGAACAACAAAGATCCAGGGTTAGGGTTAGGGATCCAGGGTGTTTGGCTGTGATAAAAACATGAGTGTCACTTTGTTCTCGATCAAGGTGGTGTGCAGATTTGAACATTTAGTATTGAAGCTCCCCATAGGACTAAACATGTGTGATTGGTTTCCACAGACTAAAGTGTACATTTGATATTACAATATGTTAACCCTTTGTAATTCGTCTTCTATGTATCCGTTTGTTAATCTGTCCAATGAGGTGAGTCACAGTTACATCAGACAAAAGAGGTAATCTGTTTATCCACCGGAACAAAGTGATACAGATTACACACCCAAGCATACACAAATACACACACACATTGGGAAGTCCTCGGTAACATCCTGTCAGCAGTGGAATCATGTTGTCTGCAAGAGAGATTAGCTGAGATGCTGTCTACACATGCACGTGTGTCCAGTTCATTTTAGTTCAGGATGAAATCCACTCTGCAGAGACTTGAAGCTTTGGATAACAAACAAGATAAGACTGAAAGAATGTGTACATACAGGCATCTGAAATACCTTTCTCAATCAAGCGTCTTTACCCACTTTTCTGGTTTCACATCTAAGAGGGACTGGTACAAATTCAGCCACAATAGATTTATGGGGTCCAACACATACAGAGTATTTCTGTTAATTCACAGAGGGACTTGACTTGAGCTGGATTGAAGCTCTAAATCAGGCCTGTTATGATTCCAGACTTTTAGCCTTTGATACAAAATCAGCTGATATTAACACTTGATACCACTGCAACAAAAAATGAACTCCTGACACCTAAAATGGTAAATTGTGTTATTTGTAATTTCACAGACCAACTTTTTACATAGTGTTACTAGCAATGAAGGGCAAAATAAAGAAGATTATACTCAAATTTTCTGCCACTGTGATGGAATATTTCTTCACAATTACCATCCACAATCCTCAGTGGGTGTGTAGTTACCTGTTAAAAATGTGCTCCCCTACTTTTCCCCACTAATTTGGTCAGTTTAAGTGTCTAGTGCTGTGGCTGGGACCCTTTATGTACTGTTGATGAAGTTAGGTGCTGTTCTGAGCATTATTTGTGGCTATAGAGTGGCTTTTTGGTTGAGGTTTGTTGATGGCTCCTCAGACAGCTGTGTATTGCTATTGTGTAGTCGTTACTAAAGTTAATATAACTAGAGAAGCAAGCGGTCAGCAACATTCATCTCTTGAGGGGGTGTCTAACTGTGTGTTACGGCGTGTTTGACCCTAAATTGATTTTACGCCAGAATATCCCTTTAAGTGGATTTTATATTTTTTTTATAAAACTTCTTCACCAGCGAACCCCCTCCTGACAGGATTGTTCAATAAAGTTCTGGATGTTGTCGCAGTCCGACTTTCCCAGACGCTGATTTTTCCCAGGTGCACCATGGTGGGCGGGGCCTGGCTGACACTTAACGCACAATAGAAATGTTCTAGTGAGCGCTTGGTGTATGGATTTACTCACTCAAACTCACACGACGATGTCCGCTCACTCGGAGATGTAACAAGTAACACATAAATGAGGAGGTCAAAGGTCACACACATACACTCACATTGTTCTGTCACCATGGCATTGGTCTGACACATTATCGCTGGTCACCTGTCTGTCCGTCTGTCTATTCGTCCATCAAACCAGATTACCCATGAGGCCCTGCAGCCAAGTCACAACTTCTTTAAGTGGTTGCTTCTGGCCTCACACACACACACACACACACACTGCCGACACACACATGAATAGCTCAAAAGTCGTGTGTCAGCTCGCGTGGTCACAGTGCACTTCAAACTGTGACGGCTTTTGTGACTTTACACACCGCAACGGAGGAGTCTGTGGGTGTGTGTGAGCGTGGGTGTGTGTGTGTGCTGAAGGTAAACACAGTCAGTGGCTCCGCTGCCTCGCGGACATTAAGCCTATTTTCCAGCCAGAGGTCAGCGTGAAAAGCACATTGTTGTGTGAATCGCGGCGTTGTAGAGCAGGCAGTGTCTGCAGACACCACCGCCACTTCTTAACCTGCGGGTCTGAACAATCGGCCGCACAATGGTGACACTTTATGTTTTTAGAGCGTTATTTTGTGCCGCTCGCTGTGTGAAGCAGCTGCAGAACGCCGTGCAGAGATTGAATGGTGTTCAGTGACAAAAGGCGAGGGGTGACGGTGTATAGAGTCTGCTCCCGTATGTGCAGTCAGACGGTGGGATGGATTGACCGCAGTTGTTTAACAGCACAACAGACTGACAAGCTGACGGTTGTGGAGCCCATGGGACAGCCTCACTAAACTCTCTGGGTCCTTACAAAGTGAAATCAGTTGGAGACAGTGACAGTGGTCAGTTGGCTGGTACTATTTTTATTAAATCTTGGGGGATTCACTTACTAGGTCGATCACAGAAAAGTTATTCACTTAACCCCTGTAATGCACTTAAACTTCGAACCTTCATCTTAGTTGGTCTTGAACATAATTATACAGTCTTCTTCTGTATTGTGGATCCTTGTAAGGTCATGTAGTTCATATTTTCTGGTCTATTTTCTTAACTGATGTACATTTATATGTGTGCCATCACTCTGCCAGGGAAAATGGTTGGAAATTTGAGCTTCAATCTCATGTTGATTCATGTGTGCTGTCCCTCTTATTAAATATAAAACAAATACAGTTGATTGCTTTATCAGTTGCTCACCGCAAGTCATGACTTTTCCGGCAACTTCAGAGACTGTCGTACAACAGATCAATATTTGTTTTACTACAGGCTTTATTTACTGAGTAAACTCACTATTGAGAAGTTTGATGTTATTAGTGTCTTTTGGTTTGTCTTTTTCAACAGACTGTGGAGCATTATTTATAATCTTTTATGGACCTCTCTCTCTCACTCTGTGCATGTGTGTGTGCTTTGCATACACACAGGTTTGTGTTACATATTAACCTGTAAGTCCGAGCCAGACCGCCGGTGTAGCCATAGTGACGGGATGAGAGAAATCTTTCTCCCCCTTCATCTTCCGCTTCTTTATTGAAGTTAAGGGCTTTATTAGTTTGTCAGGAAACCAATTTTATTGTACAGAAGCACACAACTATAATCAGCCTCAAGCTCCACCGCCTCTGCCACCTGCCTTATTAACATAAAAGAGGTCAAACCCTCTAATACACATCTCATACACCTTGTCTTTTGTGAATTCATTTTATGGCACCTCTGTTGGGTTCAGTTTACCTTCACTTACTGAAGACTTAAATTATGAATCAAACAATGGGGATACATGATCAGAAAGAAGTTCAAAGTAGATGTTTCTGGTCCCTAGAAAATGAGCTATATGGTACAGAGCACTGAATTTAGCAACAATGCCAAATGAAATGGTATAATTGGGTGAAATTCAATACCATGCGTTACAATTTGACAGATTATATGATCAGATATGATATGATCATCATGATTCGATAGAATATGATACGTCACTGTACAATAGGTTACATCTGAAGTATGCACACAACCCACTGAGCAATAGACGGCTATTAGAAATCTAGTTTTTTTTTTTTAGAGCTAATTTTAACCATAATAATAATGATAATAATCGTTAAGCAATATACAGTGTAGTTTAGATATAGCCCAGATTTAGACTTGGACTAAACTTGGTCTAAAAAACTTTCATTTTTAGACCTGTGGTAGCCTGATTTTAGACCAGTCATCTAGGCTACATTTAGATGTCTATTAGACCTCTTTTAGTCCAAAAAATGCTCAGTGAGAAGCAGCATGTAATCCAGCCATCGCTTCACCACGTTGACCTGACAGAGGATCGAAACTGCATTTCTGTAACTGCTTTTAGAAGTTTTCACAACATTTATTTGTTCACTTTAGTCGCACTGAAATAGAGACGACAAATCAGGAGGTTCCTTTTAGCCCACAAATTTATAAAACAGTTGTATATGATCGAATCCCACAAAATTAGATATGAATGGCTGTTTAAAGCCATCAATTGATTTCTCCTGTTCCCTGACCTCAGATTGAGCCTGCGTCAAATTACAGTCTGTTTTCGTCAACAATATTCAGCAGCTCAGCCCTCAGTGCGAAACTCAACACTCCTCCTTGACAACACTGGGATTGTTTACCATGGTAACGTTCTACCAGCACCATAGCAACCTGCAGCTGGAAAGCTGGGAGATGATCTGATAGATACCTGATCTGTCTAAATTTACCTGTACCTGTCTGCCCAGGAAAATATCAGCAAACTGAAATACATGAGGCTTTATGTAACCGAGCGTGTGCATGTCTGAAACAGAGTCCATCAATCATTCAGGAAGAGAGGAGCTTTAAGTCCGTGCTGAATAAGTGAAAAGAGCTGAATATCTTTTGCAATACTAATGTTATTGTTTCATTTACACTTAGGGTATTTTTTAACTGATGTAACTGGTTTAAAGGTTCATTGTAATTCTACTCGTTAGATAAGAAAGTAATGAGAGAAACTCCGTCAGTATCAGAGTGAGACTGTTGTGTTTTTGACAAAGAGGTGGTGAACAAAACTGTGCTGCTGATTGTTTTCCCACAGTAGTCCTGAAATAACTGATACTCTTCATAGATTGTTTACAGTGAGGACAGGTGCTCTGTGGTCTCCTCTTCCATCTCTGTTCCTCTGCTTTACATTTATTCATGCCATTAGCCCAATGAGGACCAAGCTCAGCTAACACAGACAAGACAGACACACGTGACTTTCCTCTTCTGTTCTTGGTAGGTAAATTCACAATTCAGTCATGATAACTGTTGCTATTTGTGTGTGACCTTTGCTGTTGCTGTTGAAGGATTATAAACAGGGATATGCAAAAGTGACTTTGAGCTCCTGGAGATGAAGCAACTGCAGAAAAAAATAGAACAATATGTTGAATATGTTAGACCCCATGCTCTGATTCTATAAATTATGTTAAACTTTTAAAATATAGATTTGGTTTAGAGACAATCTTTTTTGACCTTTACTCAACCCAGTCAGTATGTAAGGCTTCAAATATTATTGAAGCATGTATACAGTACATCAGTGCCTTGAAAAAGTATTCATACCCTTTGAACTTTTTCACATTTTGTCACTCTACAACCACAAGTATTTTATTGAGATTTTTTGTCATCCAATCTGGCTGAGCTTGAGCTGTTTTGCAAAGAAGAATGGGCAAAAATTTTAGTCTCTAGATGTGCAAAACTTGTAGAGACATACCCCCAAAGGATTGCAGCTGTAATTGCAAAGTATTGCTTTATAAAGTATTGACACAGTGGGGCTTAATACAAATGCACACCACACTTTTCAGATTTTTATTTGTTTAAAATTTTGAAAACCATGTGTCATTTTCGTTCCACTTCACAATTATGTGCTACTTTTTGTTGGTCTATGACAAAGAACTCAGTAAAGTACTTTTCAGTTTGTGGTTGTAGAGTGACAAAATGTGAAAAAGTTCAAGGGCTATGAATACTTTTTCAAGGTACAGTATGTCATCCATGTTGTTTACAATCTATTCACTTGATTTGCAAAATTTTCTAATTTTAACCAATTTATTTTGACTCCTATGACATTACTAGCTTCTCTGTAATATAAAGAGTAGTCCCAGCATCTTACTGGCTTTGGCACTTTGGTCCTGTGTTTCTTTCCCAATCCTGGAGTATCATCACGGTTCCTCAAACACGAAGTCAGTGTATTTGGTGTTCAAAACCAGGACAGTCTGTTTTAGAGTTTTTTCCAGAGTTGTTTAGGTGATCATAGGTAGGTTCATCCAAAACAATTCTGCAGCTCAAATGAATCTTTCAGGTAATAAGGAGGTCCTAAAAGGTGAAGAAGATGGGTGAGGTTTTTGGAGTGTCTCCTTAGGAACCTTTAGACCCAGTTCAGAGATTTGGGGTTGAAGAGGCAGGAGGTGGTTCCCTGAGTGTGTCTGTGTGTGGGGTCATTAACAGGGCGAGGTCACGGCCTTTTGGGAGCAGATTATAGTAATGAGCTGGATAATGGAGCTGGTGTGTGTGTGTATATTGATCTGTGCTGGTCTATGGGGATTTATAATGCGGTCTCTAAATCTGCCTAATGATGGGCTATACAGGGGGTCAAAGTGTGTGTGTTACTTAGTGTGTGTTTCTGTACTTTGGAGTCGATACTTTGTGCTCAAACTGTGCCAGTGTTGGTAACGTAAAACCATATTGTAAGTGTTTGGTACTTGACAAAAGAAATAGGACAGGATTCAGGTGTTAATTTAAATAAAGACGAGCTGATTTTATCCAGTCAGACAAGTTAGAAAGAGTTAGAGGTCACCAAAGCCATTTAGAGTCATCCCCCTGCAATTAATAGAAAATATTAAAGAAGTGATATGCAACTTATACACAAAATGGTGGATTCACTGGTTAAAAGTGTCGACTGAAATTATTCTGTCCATGTTTTCTGTGCAGGCTTCAGTCGTCCCAGGTATGTGAAGGTGTTCATCAACCCCAGCAGCCACAAGAAAGAGTCCGTTCACATCTACAGAGAACATGTGGCTCCTCTTTTCAAGATGGCCGACGTCTGCACTGACATCACCGGTTAGTCTATGATCATGTTTACGAAAAGAATAAACAATTAACACGACACAACTTGGCCAGAACCCCCCTGTAGATTGTCATTGTCTTACATGTATTATATTAAAGTTACTTGTGAGGGTAAGAGACGATGTATGAAAGATGTGTGAATGTGTGTGTGTGTAGAGGGGGTCCAAAGGTCAGTGTTAATGGCAGTCTCTGGTTGCTAGGTAACCTGATACAGGGGGTGGAGCTAAGCCCATCTGTTGTGATAGGCAGACAACCTGCTCCTCTCCTCTCTTCTTCTCTCCTCTTAACCTTGACTCCTCCCTCTCATCATTACTTTTTCACTCACTTTTTTCTTTTCTTCTTTCATTTGAACTCGGACTTGCTCTGGTTTATTCGATGTGTTTCTCTTTTTTCTTTCTCCCATCTTGTCTCCTCTCTTTTGATCTCCTGTCTTGTTTTAGTGCATCTTTCCCGCCCACAGTAGCGCTCAGAGGCAGACTGTTTTTAGGTTGTCTGCATATTCATCCAGCTGTATCTGTCTGTCCTCCCAGTCCGATGACCATACCATCATCATGTTACACCAGGGTGAAATGTCTACATGTGACAGAAACTTAAATCAGAGTGATGATAATTTATTATACAAAGTTTAAATGTCACTTCAGCAGTATAATAATTATTGGAAAATCGAAATTTTGGTCATTATTCTCTTCCCATTCTTGTGAGCACCATAAGTTTACCAAAAAGGAAAATCTTCAAATTTGGCAACTGCCTGTGTCTCTTTCATATTTCTTTCTTGTCTGTTATTTACTGCAGTTGCATAAATATTGTAGTGGTATGTCAACTTACTCTCTGCGAATCACCTGTTAACAAGGCCCAGACCAATCATCTTGTCTCCCTTTCTTATCCTCATTTTTTTCTGTTTATTGCCAAATGTCTCATATCTTCAGTCGTTTCCTTTCTCTTTCCCTCTCTTTGTCTTTAATTTTTTTGCTTTTCCCATCATCTTTCCTTTCTTCTCTTGTTTTCCCTTTTTTTTCTTCTCACATTTTGTCTCCCATCCTTCTTTTCCCTCCTCCCTACTCCCGGTTTTCTCTCCTCTCCATCTCTTACCCTCCTCATAATTTCTCCTCCTCTCAGCAGATGGTGTGATATCCGTTGTCCCACTTTTTTTTGGCAGCTATCGAACACACACTCGTGTACATGTGACCACACACAAGCATGAACACTCTATCTCTGTCCATCTCAATGTCTCTCCATCTGTTTCTCTCTCTTTCCTCCCGTCTCTCTCTCCCCCTCTTGTCACTCCCTCTGTTCTCTCTCTCTTTCTTTCTCTCTCTAGTGACGGAGAAGAAGGGTCATGCTCTCTCAGTGATGAAGGAATGCAAGCTGGATGAATATGATGGGTCAGTTATTTGTCATCTAATATTGATTATCTGGCTTCAAATTCATCCCTCTACTCTGAGAAATTCCTGATTTCTTAATATAGAATATGTTTTCTGCAGAAATTAAGATATTTTGTGATATTTTCATGTTAATCTTAAATGTGTCACAGACTGCTGTGATTTTAAGCAGTCTTGAATAGGAAACTGTGTCCACAACAGCAGAAACACACTCTGTGTTGTGTTTTCTTGTCATTGCATTAGCGTACAATGTAATTGCAATTAACCCGTTCAGGGGTGCTGAAACATTCACACTGAAACTTGCTATCAGACTGGATGTGGGTCACATTAGAAAATTAAAATGCGTGTCAAATAAATATAACAGTAAAAGTACCAAACACCACCGTAAAAGTCCTTGAACTTAACTACTGGTCCAGTTTGAATCACCAGAACCATGTGTCAGAATCTTGGGATCATTTTATTCTTAAATTGAGAGAAGATAAAGATGTACTAATAATAATAATGACGCATCTGATTTTATAGCACTTTTTGTCAGTGACCTCAAAGTGCTTTACATCAGATACATCATTCATTCACACAGTCACACCCTGGTGGTGGTGAACTACCTTAGTAGTCAGAATGACAAAAATGTGACTGCCAGTTTGCACCTACGGCCTCTCCGACCACCACCACACAACACTCACATTCATACACCAGTGGAGGACACACACTGGAAGCAAGGTGGGTTAAGTGTCTTGCCCAAGGACAGAACAGACAGACTAGGAATAGGGGGGAATGGAACCACCAACCTTCCAGTTTAATCTCCTAAACTACTGCTGTTTGTGTGTCATCAATATTCTTATTCACTCCAGGGTTACATTTTAAATAGATGTTTAACTACATATGCATTATTAATGTGCTCATGGATCACCTGCTCACGAGGCGGAATGATCTGGCAATTTTAGAAAACATGGTAGCAACATGTATCATATCCCACATGGACATCACAACTCCCTCCCTGATGTTTTTATGCAGCAGAACTTGTATCACATATCTGGCTGTAGAGTGGTACAAATTAAACTCCATTTGAGTGTGAAAGTTACAAATCTAAAGGCATAACCTACAGTTATTCAAACAAAGTACAAAGTGTGTATTTGGTACATTTTTAATGTGACATGTCAAGGGTTAAAGAGGAAAGGAAATTTAGACGTTCTAACCCTTATGTTAAGAAAATTTTAGTCTGTATTAAATAACGTTTGTGTTGATAGAATCTAATTTCTGTGTTAGGACTATTTTAGGGGATAAAAGACTAAAGCAACCATTAGTGCTTTTAATTTTAAAAGATAATAAAAGTCTGGTGTGTTAAGGCTGGTTAATGTCACACACTGAAGTTTCAGAGTTTACAGTAGGATAGTTACAGTAACTCGTGAGTAAACGTGTCATGATGAAATGTTACGACGTCCCTCTGTAACAGGCTGAACTGAACAAGATAATTAAATAGCAGTTTACTGTCAGAGGCTGACACAAAAACACACTGACCCAGACTGATTACGCACAGGGACACACACACATACATGTAGGTACACGAAAATATACAGAGAGAGGTGATGTCAAACACCTTCTGCTTATAGACTACAGCTATCCTCACCAACAAGAGTCAAAATACACAGTGATGCTCAAAGATACTTAAGCATAAGAAAAACTACACATGCAAAAAGACGGGTCAAACTCACATCAATATTTCTCATTGTCTGCGTGTGTGTGTGTGAGTGTGTGAGTGTGTGTGCGTAAGCTGCTTTTGTGCTCAGCCCTCATAAAGCTTAATGTGCTTAGAGAAGATTAGCCCAGCGTTGCTAAGCTAGCTGCTGAATATGTGTGTGTGTGTGTGTGTGTGTGTGTGTGTGTGTGTGTGTGTGTGTGTGTGCGCATGTGTGCGTGTGTACGAGCAGTTCTGGTGTGGATTTGGTCGAAACCTACATTTGCCAATTAGGCTGGCTGTCACCGTGGTGATGGGAGCTTCAGGTAATCCCAGACCCAGGAGGAGGGGGAAGAAGGCGGAGTCTATTTACTTCACATTTTATGGAAACCTTAAAACTCTTAAGATGGGACTCCTTTTTTTTATTTTATTTAAAGTCTTCTCAAGACACGGAAACATTTCAAACTGTTGGACAATCATTAAATTACATCTGTTATTGCATTAAAACTCTCAACACAGTAAATTAAAATGATGCAAACAAAAAGCAACTCTTATCAACACAATATTTAGTTCTATTTTTACTAATATCAGTGAGATCAGACTTTATTTTTTAAGGCATTTTTCATACAACAATAATGTGCCACAAAGCCACAAGGTAATTACTTATTATTTTTACCATTTATCACTGATTGTACTTTGATCAAATTAGATTAAAACAGAGTAAGATTACATAGTAAGTAAATGAGAAGAGTTTTATTGGAAAAGTAGCATAATTAAGTTTAGGTAAAAGCCAGACCGAAAAGTTATAGATAGAAAATATAGACACTGATTCAAAAGTAACCTAAAAGAAGATTTTACTTTCAAATCTAAAACAAAGAAAACCAGCCCAGCAATGTTTAGGCTGGCCGCTACCTAAACTTTTTACTTATTTGAGTGTATCTATAATCAAAAACAGTACTGCCGGGAGTTTAACAGAGGAAAAGATCTCTCAGGAGGCAACATTGAATGAGCATTTTCTAAAACTCAAACCAAGATTGCAGGACTACAGTTAGATGAAAGGAGAGAAAGGGAGAGAAACCTTTTCTTTGTTTGCAGAAGCAGAATTCCATCTTTGACTTGAATGTGTAAAATATGCCCCATTCAAAACGCAAAATTACACATTTGAATTAAACATTACATGCGACACCAGTGAACACTCAAAACAGGACATATACAGAATGATAACAAAGAGTAAGGGGAGTTACAATTGTTACTAAAGATGTACTCAGACAATCCAGTGTCTGTTTGTTTTTAGGACAGTTTTCTGTACTTTGAGGTTGAGTCCCAAAATGTTTTTAGGTTCGATTCACAGGAACTCCTCAAATATGATCCAGTGGAGGATCCACGCCCTCTGCTGGATGATTTTGTATTTTGGCATGTCCAGCAGTAAACAGTAGAAAGCACTGTTCACTGCAACCTGTTTTCCTCAATGTTAAGTTTATTAAAAGGAGAGTTTTATTGTATTTGATTTTATTTATTTTTCATTTTTTAAATTAAAGAAACAAATAAGTTTAAACTGTATCTACCTGTCTAAGCACTCTTACACTTTTGTCTTCTTCAACTGTCTATTATCAGTGTGGTGTGTGTTGGTGGAGACGGTTCAGTAGCAGAGCTGTGTCACGCTATGGTCCTCAGAGCTCAGCTGGATGCTGGTTCTCCTGAAGAACCAGTGAAGCAAGCGCTGCCTCTTGGAATCATTCCTGCTGGTGAGGAAGAGTTCACACTGAAACATAACCTCTGGACCAAAAATTAACAACTGTCCTTAACAAACTCTAAGACTGGATATCTTTTATGTATGTCTGATTGTACAGGCTCAACAGATGTGGTTTCCTGCTCTGTCCATGGAGTCAGAGATGCAGTCACTGCAGCCTTGCACATCATCCTGGGTAGGTGTGTTCTTTTCTAAAACTTTAGGAACAACATCCTAGATGTGTAGTTTCACAGTCAAACTGTGGTGAGATTTAGTCAGTTCAAGTTTAATCAACTTAATTTCCCCCAAAGGCAAAGAAACATAAAACACTATGCAACTGTTGCCTCAAAGCTGTCGACAATAAATTCAAATCGAGCAGCATAAAGATCAATAGAAATGCAAATGGTCTAAATCTGTTCTATCCAGAGTTGGTCCTTCATGTCTAAAACCGATATATATATATATTTCTAAGTGGCTTTTACCTCATCTACATCCATAAACCCATGGTACTGTGTGGTTCTTACCTATGCTGTGTCACCAACTGTGACCCGAGGCATGTGGACATCAACATGCGACAAGGTCTTGAGGCTGGTAGTGTTTGCTCTGCTCGTGTTAGTCCCAGCCTGCACCCAAAATTTCATAGTTCACCTTCAGACTGTGCTGTTTAAATGATTAGTGCTCAAATTAGTCTGTTTTCAGAGTGTTTGTCTTACCTCTAGACTATTGGTTAGGTCAGAATTTAATTTTTGTGCATACAAAAAGCAAATTAGTTACTGCAGAACCTTTCTAGTTTTGGCATGTATTTACAAAATACCACAAACAAATCATTGTGTGTAAGAAGATGACAAAACAGAGAGATCCAAGGTGAGAGCTGATATCTGCTGACAAAATCAGTGCTTACAAATCACTGAAAACACCAGAATTTTATCAAATAAACTGCACAACTAGTTTTATTATAATTCCTGTGAAACTATTTCTATGAAAAGTTCTCTAAAAAGCCTGAAACTCTTTTTGCACTGGAATGTAGATATGAAATATTTGTGCTCTAAAGTTGGACATTTAAACATAACAATCTATGGATATTAGCTTGTTTTGGAGCCAGCCTCTAGTGGTCATTTGATGAACTGCTCTTGTTTCTCTTTTGCACTGGCGCAGTTTTTTTGAGTAGAGGAAGCCTCTTAATAAGTATTTTCCATTTTGGTGGATAAAGCAACTGACAGGAGCTTGTATTTTTGAAAATCTTGTATGTGATTGGCTGAACTTCACTCTAACTATTTGGGTGAAATCAAAGCTTCAGTCTGACTGGAGCAGACGGTGTGAGTGGACTCCTCGGGGAGGAGCAGACAGATGTCTAACAGCAGGATCAGTTTCACTCCAAATCACAGGTTTTCTCTGAGCAGTGTAACCCCGCCTCTTTTACTTCTTCTTGCCTGCTCTCAGGTAAGCCTGTCAGCCAATCAGCTTTATGCATGAGACTGAGGTGTGTAAATGACAGGCTGTGGTGAGACAGTGATTCATTAACATTAATTAGTGCTGGAAGCTGTATGTGTGTGTGTGTGTGTGTGTGTGTGTGTGTGTGTGTGTGTGTGTGTGTGTGTGTGTGTGTGTGGTGTGTGTGTGTGTGTGTGTGTGATGTGACAGATGGAAGTGGTATGGATGAGACTAATTCCTGGACAATAGAAAACAGTTAGAGTTCCCAGGTGGGGAGTTGTTCCCACAGACATCACATGACCTCAGGTGAGTCCTTGGATGATATACTTCTGGATTTAGTGAAAGTGGTGACTCAAATATTGCCTATATTGAAACATTTTGTCTGTAGCATCACCACCACGGTTAAGGTCATTTACATTTTCAGTTGACCTTGTTAGAGCTGTTTTAAAAATAATTGTTGAATGTTTGAGGAATCACAGATCTGCTGTTGATAACTGGGTCTTTTTGTCGCAGCCTCTGGTGTTATTTAGTGAGGCCAGGGAGGTCCAATTACAACCCATATTAAGAAACTCTTTTCACAGCAGACACAAACAGGTTTAGAGTCTGTACAGTACAAAAAAAGAGTATTGGTCTCTATGGCTCTTATATTTTTATATAATAGCTGTTTGGAGGTGTTGATTCTTTATACAACCTGTCCTAATCTGTTTTGATAATATAATGCAAAGAGTTATAAATGCAAATTAGACATTATTAGGGGCACTGCTAATTTGACTGACAGGTGGGTGATTATCCTCATGATTATCCTATGCAGGTTTTTAGATCAGCCCAATTCAGTTCGAATCAGCATCAGCATTGTCCACTTAAGGCTGGCTGCAGAAACATTGGAAATCACAAACACACCAATAAGAAAAAGCCAATTTTTACACCGGAAATAAACATTTTTACAGCCCGGTTCAAAGAACAGTTTTGTCTTTATTCACACACTGTACAAAGGGGCAACTCTTTTCAGAAGATATTTATTGTGAAGATATCAAGGTTACAAGTTTCTGCACAGTTGAAGGCAGAGGCGATTTGACTTAGAAGCGGGCACACTGTAGCTGTTAGCAAAGAGGCTAAAGGTCCCCCTCAGTTTCACCTTCCTGCTGCTGGTTAGGTCGACCGAGAGTTAGGTTGAATCGCCACCAATAGGCTTCAAAATTCAGACACAGTTTGATACAGAGTATAGGTCCACAAGCAAAGGTTAGATATGACCCAGTATCAGTTCATCAGTTCATCTAAAAAAAGGCAACAGACAAAATAAAAATAAATATAAAGTGACCAAAATGTTACGGCTTTAAGAAGTGCCCCGAGTTTGATCCCACTGACACACTGACTGTGAGACTGACCGTCTCAGGATTAAAGCTGCAGCACACACACACACACACACACACACACACACACACACACACACACACACACACACATTGACAGCATGCCATATGGTGAGGAAATCAGATTCTATCCAGAGGGAGAGAGAGACAGACCAGCAGTCAGTCAGACAGACAGGTACTGAGGCTGCAGTTCAGTAGGTTACAGCAGGTATGTGGCCAGATGGTGTATTTGTGTGTATGTGTGAGTCTGTGTGTGGATGCTTTTAAACTAACTAAGCAGGTTGATTTTATGTCTTATGTGCCTCATTTAAAGGCCATTGACCAAATAATCAACAAATGCAACTGAAACCCTCAGCCCTCTATTATTAACTGTGACATTCTCATGATTTCATTGACCAGAAAAAAAAAGTTTGCTACCAAAAAGCATTGAAGAGTCCAATTGTTGTCTGGCAGATCCACAGACAAAATAAGCCCCGCCCCCCACAAACGACATCCATGAACATCACAGAATGATTGTGTGGAGTTGGGTGAAGTAAAGCAGCAACAGAGTCCAACTCCCATCTAAAAAGCACTAAAAAGCAGCCTCGGCAGGCCCTCACTTTCCAGCTCTTACCTTGAATATCATCTAGTCAATCTGTATCTTCCACTGAATCTCATATTTTGTCGGCTTAAACTCCCACAAAGAAAAGCAGATTTTAATAAAACATAATTTTTAAAGGACAATCGCACACAAAAAATTATAATTATCATTTTGCTTTTGAAATCATTAAAAGTAGCAAACATTTGAACACAGATTTTGTCCTGAATCTGCTGTTATGTCCTCTGGACTCTGCTGCTTTAGAAAGGGTCAGGCTGGATTGATGTACAGCTGGAGACTTATCACACTGGAGCAACATCAACCAGAGACTCCTCACTCTGCTGTGATGTGATTCCCTTGAATTTTTAGATATTTACACTCATCAACATGTCTGACCTCTTTCTGTCCTTCATATTTGGAGTGCTGAATCTCATTAATATTAGAGGAAACTCTCCACTACAAGACCACTTCTCACCAAGAAAGGGTTTATGAAAAATATTCAAATATTTTTAATATATAATAAATACTCTCCCTCTGTGTCTTCAGGTCACACACAGCAGGTGGACATGTGCAGCTTCTGGTCTCTTGGTCAGTTGGTGCGATTCGGTTTCTCTGCCATGTTTGGTTTTGGTGGGCGAAGCCTAGCTCGGGCAGAGAAGAAGAGATGGATGCCATCAGGGAGGCGGCGAGAATATGCTCTGGTCAAGACCCTGGCGAGGCTCAGGTGACCCAAACAGAAACACACAATCTGGACTTACACCTACATAACCAATCTTGATTTTCTTTACTCATGATACTAATAAAAAAATCATACAAACACCAGGTTCAACACTCGGTCAGTGAAATATTTAAGTGCTGGATATTTAAGTATGTATATTCAAAATACATAAAATTTGAATATATATTTTTTTCTATTTCCCAGGCTTAGTTAGTTAGTTCCCATATTTTTTTTGACCAAAAGTACCCAGATCTTTTAGTTCAAGGCACTTCTTTTAAGGAGCTAAACAGTTCTTATGGCCTACTGTTGCCTGCATTTCCACCAAGTTCTGGGTAAATATTGCAAATCAGGCCAATGACACCCAGGACAGCTATATAAATGAAGTTACTTGCACAGTTCTTCAATCTAGTTTCTTGTTTCTAGGACTTTTGTTAAAAAAAACATATCATCATAACAATTGGTACACTACGTAGATTGACCATGCCTCCCAAACAGGACAGATCAATCAAACTAAATTTAGACCCTAGTTTCTGTAGTCAAAATGCAAAGAGTTCCTTAAAAGCAGTGTTGTTTTCGTTGACAATGACGTTGACGAAATATTTTAGTCAACGTCATCGTCCCTTTTTTTCCACGATTAAGACGTGATGTTGACAAGCTAAACATAAACAGACTAAAATGTGACGAGACGAATGTGCATTTACATTGACGAGACGAGTCTAGACGAAAACGTTAGTGGTGGACGACAAACAGAGTTGCAAAATTCATGAGCATTTTGTCAGTCAAACGCTAAACATATATTCTGCAGTGTTGTTTTCGTTGACGATGATGTTGACGAAAATATATGTCAATGAAAACAACACTGCTTAAAAGGTTCCTGGTTCCTGGGGAAAGTTCCTCCAGTGGAAAAGCACTTGAAGATACTTCTAATATTATATGCAGTAAACAAGTAACTTTTATTATTTTTTAATACCTTTTTTTACCATTTGTTTTCACAGACCTGAGGACTGTCAGCTATCCTTTCTGCCAGCGAAGACGTCAAACAAGAATTTGTGTGAACATCGGTGAGAAAAAAAACCCACACTCATAGTCAGTGGTGTGTTTAGAAAATCTGGACTGTGATTGAAAAAACGTTATTTTAACCAGCTACAGAGGGTGATATTTACAAACTAATGGGGCTGCAGACGGTGAGACCCTCTGCTTTGCAATAAACAATGCTATCTTCAGCTTTGAAAGACTATTTTATTGCATCAACATCCTCAACAGACCTCATCCGACTGCACAGTTTGCAATATTCAAAACATTCATGTATTTAAATCGTCATTTCTCATCTTTGTTTTTGCTGATGACTTCATGCTGATATGATCAGAAACCAGGAGCAGGACCCAGATTCAGGTGAGACCTGTTCTTATCAGAAAGAAAAGATCCCCTTCACTGCGAACTTGCTTGATTTTCTGTATTTCTCTCTGTGATTGGTTGGTACAGAGGGGGAGGAGTCCTGGACAACCAATCAGGGCCTCTATCTGAGTATCAGCATCATGTCCATCCCTTGTCTGAGTCCACACGTACCTCGAGGACTGGCTCCCAACAGCAGGTACCGTACATGCATGGATGATGAGCAGATCATCCCTCTTGAGAAGGTTAAAGGTCAGCTTTGTCGTGACCCTGAATGCACCACACCACGGGTCATGTCAACACGCTTCTCTCCCCCTTCACCACTCGTTATAGGCTGGCTAACGGAAGCGCATCACTGATCGCTGTGGGAAACACTTCTAGGTCAGAGTTCATCAAACACCTGAAGAGGTACAACAGCTCCAGTGGACAGGTGAGGACAGCTGTCAATCAAAGTCTCAAAACTAAGCATAATAATCCTAAATGTCCTGTATGATCACTTCCAAGTCAAGTCAATGTTTATTTATAAAGCAAACAAAGTGATGTACATGGGATAAATAAAAGAAGTAAATAAATAGATAGATAACAATAAAAAATAAAATTAAGAACAGTGGAATAAAGTACAGACAGTAAAAGAATAAAAGCAACAGTGCCTCTGATTCCTGTGTGCTCATTTATTAAAAGCAAGGAAGAAAAGGTGGGTCTTTAAAGAGGATTTAAAAGACTCTAAGGTCTGTGAGGCTCTAATATGGCCAGGTAAACTGTTCCACTGTCTAGGGGCAACCGCTGAAAAAGCCCTGTCACCTCTGGACCTGAGTCTGGTTTTCAGGACGCTCAACAGTAACTGGCCAGGGAGTGGTGATACAGGAGCTCGCACAGGTACGGAGGGGCAAGACCATTAAAAGAATTTTAAAATCAATGCAGAAGCGGACTGGGAGCCATTGAAGGGCCACTAAAATAGGAATTATGTTTTGAATGAGCTGAAGGCGGTTGATGGATGACTGGTCCAAGCCTGCATATAAGGAGTTGCAGTAGTCTATACATGAAAAGTTATGAAGGCATGAATAGTTTTCACTAGATCAGCCTTTAAGAAGCAATTTTTAGTCTTCCAGTTTGACAGCATTTAATTAAATTTAACAATAATCACCAAGTCATTTTACTTTAATCATGGCTGAAAAAAACAAAAACACAAAACTTAGACGAACAGTTTAAAAGGTGGCCAATCTTTGGCTGAACACAGACAGAGAGAAGGTCTCAGAGGACTCTTAAACATCAGAGTTGAATGAATCCAGGTACTTTGCTGAACCAGGTGGTTGCGCTCGATTTATCTCCATTAGTCGTTGATGTGTGTCAATCTTGGTCCTGCTCCTTCCTCTCATGGAGCAAAAAATAAACAAACTAGTTAGTGAGTGGATTAGCCCGGTTCAGCCTGGCCCGGCCCGGCTTGGCCCTGGCCTCAGAGACTGCACACTAACCCACTTACTAAATATACCATCAGTGTAGCTTTTACCGTCCTGCAGAGGAGACAGGCTGTTTACTTGCTGACCTACATCGTGCTAGCCTCCATGGTGACCGAGGGACGGACGGCTCAGTGTCAAATATGATGAGATCCTGTTGGGTCGGCTGACACGTAACCATGACAACACAGTGTGGATATTGAACCTTACCTAAGTCTGTCTTGTCAGGTGATGTTTGCATGGAAATTGTCCAAATTACCTTCATTCTGCTTCCCTATCACTCAATATGTCTCAGAAGTAGAATTTTTTTAAACAAGTTACTATTTTTTTTTTTTCATTTAGAAACTCAGGGTTTTATAAGTTTGCTCTTGTTAAAACTGCTTGAGCCCTTTATGTGAATACAAGTTATTAGTTACCTTCACTTATAAATAAATTGCCGATTTATTCACTTAATTAGTTCATTTAATGTTTGAAAATTGTAAAAAAAAAAACATATCAAAATAAACCTGAAAGATGACACATTTTCATCTTATTTTGTTGACCTAACAGCTATAACATTCAAATCACCAAGTGCACTTCTCCAGTAATGAAAGAGAAAAAACAGATATTCTGAACAGGCAATAATGAATTTTTCAGTGTTCAGAGTCTTGATCAGCAATGTGTAAAAAAAACTTTCAAGTTTTATGCACTTTTTGGGGTTAAATAATCCAGTTTGTGGTAACCTTTGGAGAACAAATTGATTTTTTAAATGATTATAAAGCTTTTATTTTGATATTTTTGTTGACTTGTATGCGGTTGCTTTAGTTTCTGCATTATAAACAGCGTGCTCATATTTTGACATTAGTTTGGGTGGATTGTGAGTCAGAGAACAAAGGAAAACAATAAAAAGAGAAAGTTATAAATAAATACGAATGTATTAGCACCGCCAAAGAAGCACAAGCTTTTACGTCAATTTTTGTTTTGAGTCTTTTGGAGGGTAAAAATATTTGTTGGTAGAATCACAGTTTTAAAAGTAATTTTTAATTTAAAGTACAAACTAGTTAGATCCTTTCAAATATGAAGAATTTTAAATGGATTTTCACAGCTGAACTACGATTGAAAAATCATCGGAACTGTACATTTGTCTTAAGAACTTTAAGGTTGAGAAAAGGAGGCTGAATCTGAGGACGGAAAGCAGACAGACTCTGTTGTCCATGTGTCCGTCTGTGTGTCTCTTGGTCTCTGCTGCCCCCTGTTAGAGTCTAACGGTGCTGCAGTGAAGAACAGCACAGGACAGTTCTCAGGAACAAACTGAGTCACCTCAGATTAACGAGCTGTTTAAAGAGGATCAGATCCTCTCTGCCCCGTTTATCATCTGACATTTGACCTGCTAGGTCAGGGACACACACGCACACGCACACACACACACACACACACACACACACACACACGCACTCCTCTCTCTCTCCTGATCAGTTTGTCTAATTTTATGTCTGCAGTTCAGCTTCTCCTTCGTGGAGACGCATGACGTGTCAGCGGCAAGGATCCGTCCTCAGTCTGTGATTGGCTGGTCAGAGGAAGAGAGTGAGGAAGATGGAGATTCCAATTCCAGATCTTCACCCATCATCCAATCAGAGGGAGCGGCCTTCCCCTGGAACATCGATGGAGAGCTGGTGGAGATCGCTCATGAAGTTCTCATCAGGTCTGAAACCCTGTGCCTGATCAGAAATTTCCCATAGCTTGATTGATTATTTATTAAACTATAAATCAGTGGAATATCAGTCAATATAAGGGCAAAACTCGGGTTTGATATTTCTATTCCTTTACCAAAGAGTTCTACAGTTTTAACAGACAGGGTCCATTCGGGGAGTCCTTTCATTAAAAGTGTTACAGTATGATAAGTACTGGATTATAACTCTTGTAGCATCACAGTGTTACTTTACCGTTAGGTTTCACAAAACCTTGGATTATCAATCCTGTGATGAACAGTAAGAACATGAGTATTGAACATGAGAGACAAAATCAGGCCAGACTCTCAAGACTTTACAGGACTTTTCAGAACCACTTTACAGGGAGTTCCCACAGAAACATTTACCATTTCTTTATGCTACCACAACTGACCACATTCAGGCTGCAAGTTTGGCAACACCCTGCCAGATCCCAATCCTAGTTGACAAATAATCATGGTGGTGACTTCTAAATCACAGTTATACACACCCTGTGTTTACCCTGCTCAGACATGGCTCATTAATATATTGTGGAGACCTGCCTGTCTTAAGGGGCATCATTTCTTTCCCTCCAAACAAAATTGTTCATTAGATTGTTTGTGTTGTGAAGTCAGGGTCAGTTTTGGGTTTCTGGGTGGAAAATCTACAGTTTGGGAATAAGTTTGGATAAGTTTCTTAGTGAATCCAGTTAGTGTGACGAGCTTAAAACATGAATATATGTGTCTGTGTATTTCTCTTTGTCCAGGGTCCATCCACAGCTCATCACTCTGTACGGGGAGGAGGTGGACGAGGCTGAATCAACTGTGTCCTGCAGCTGCATCTAAGTCTAGAGGACTTCAGTGACTGTGCAACACTGAACATCGCCCTCTACAGGTCACTGCTGTCGATGCGATAATGTGACAAGTAAACTAGCCAAATTGAAGGCTGCAAAAACAAATTAATACAGTTTTTTTGTTTGACATGTAAACTTATCTGTAGCTAATTTTTCAATAATAAATGCAGCTTTAATAACAATATTACCCATAAACTAACTTGAACTGCCTGTGTTTTATAATTCTAAAAGTTTGATACTAGATTTTATTAATGAGAATTAGGACTAAAGTTTTATAAGACAAGTCATGTTTACATTTAATTTCCTTTTTGTTGCCATTTTTTTAATGTACCTTTTATGAACATGTTCCACATCTGCAGCAGAGGACAGACTGAACTCTTTGTTTTCTGAGTCGAGTGTAAATTTTGGACTAAAAAAATTGTTAAACTGACTCAAAGATTTTTCTTCTCTGTTAGCTGAGTCCTCTCTGTGATCATGATTTTTTTAAATTTCTATTTGTGTTTTAGACTTTTTGGTACAGTTTGTGGAAAGACTAAAACTTTTACACTTGAACTGTTAAAACCCTATTTTTATCAAGGTTTTTTTAATGCAACATTTTTTAGGCACATCTGTAAAAAAAAAAAAGGAAAAAAGAAAACAGTCCAATTTTTTTAAATAGAAAATCCTTCATTTTAATAGAAACATGTGGATAAAAGCAGTGAGACTCTCCAGTGCAGAACATCATCACATAAGCAAAGAGCAACGACGTAATTTATTAAAACACTTTAAAAAAATCTTTGTGTGTTGTGCATTTGTACAATAAACACAGAAGGAAGCGTAGCAGCTGCTTTAAATATCTGTACTTGAATTTCACTGACACCTCCCTTTTACATTTTCAAGTAATCTTACATTATTCAACCTCGTGACATGATATGTTGCTGCTTCTGCTTCTTTCCTGATTGCATTTCATCGCTGTTTAACACGAATAATTACAAAATTTGGACCTCAGTTTTTTAATACAAAGGTTTCCACCATGAAGCTTAAGAAAAGATTTTACATATTTTATCTGTACAGCATGTTTCAGGGTCTGAAAGAGCGCATTATAAATTAAGGTGAGAAAAAAAATATATAAATGTTACCAAGAAAGGTCACTGAAATGTTGAAACTTGATGGCAACATTCAGTTTTCTCTATAATCCATCCTCAATGGAGTCAGGCATTAAAACACTATAAAAACTCTCAGAGTTATCTTGGCAAACTACTGCAGCCACTGTTCTGTCTGCAAACAAACAAACTAGCCGACTGGGGAAATCTAAACGGTGTTCAGGTCCCATTAGCTTTCAAAGCTTTTCTGAGGTCGACTTTCCAGACGAATATTCCTCAAAAACAACAATCCTTCAGCAAAATCAGGCGATAGAGCGAAAAGTAGTGAAATAATACATTAAGGCACAATGAAACGGTAATTCTGATACATCTTGCACCACCGAATAACAGCAGCCATTGCTTGACTGCTTCTGTGCTACAAAGGTCATACAGGACAGCCAGCCAGTCTGCCCTGTATGTGTAAAGTGTGTGTGTGTGTGTGTAGCCAGTGCATGAAATGTTGGTCAGCAGGTAAAAAAGATGTTACAAGCCAATGCACTTAGAAAAAAACTGAGGTTTCAGAGAGTTAAGAGCTGATCAGAGGTCAGGCAGCCATCCCCTGAGGTCAAAGGTCGTCGAGAAGTCATTTCCTTTGGTTGGTTTCCTCTGAAAAGAGTCAAAATGATGTCCCAAGAAGCCCCGTGACGTTCTTTTTTCCCTTTTCAGTAATCATATATCCATTATCTGCTTCAGCCTCCTTCAAATCTTGTAACTTGTCTGTTTTTTTTTTTTAAAGGCACATTGAGGCAAAAGGCACAGTGTGATTCAGGTGTGGTCAGGAGTCGTTTATCGTCTGTCATGCTGCAGACAGTTTGGTGTTTTGGGACTGTGACTGTTCACCACTTCACACAGTCTGGACAGGTCTGTTCATCGGCAGGAGTACTCTCTACTGTCCTGGAATAACTTATCACCTGTTTTTCATTGACAGCACTCCGTCCATCAGCACCTGTCTTAAGAGTGGCTGTTGCGCAGTCACAGTGCAAACTCCATCCTGGGGTCGGAGGTCAGAGTGGGTGACAGTCGGGGTTAGGAGGTGCTCTCCCTTTTGTTGTTTTTAGGAACATAGTCCCAGCTGTCCCTCTTGAACTCTTCCTCCTCCTTCTCTTTTGGGTAAGTCCTCTTGAAGAAACCAGCCTGAGACATACAAGAAAAAGATTAGCTGATACACTACACTGTAATATGGTGATCAGTTATAATTAGGTGATGGTGAAGCACCATGTAATATGCAAGCTAAAGTTAGAGTTAGCCATCTGCTATTAGCCTTGCTACACTGTTAGCCGTGCCAGTAACGGTAGAATAAACAACAGTAGACATTACGTGATCGAGCTACTTCTCTTAGTGAGGCAGCTACATGTGTCCAGATGAGGTGTGACCATGTCTAAAATGCTACTCAACTATAATATTAAAAAAAACAACATTTACCTTCCATAGACACCAGATAAGAGCAGCCAGGATCATGAGCCCCAAAACTAAACTGACGACAATGATGAAGATCTTCACTGTTGTTGATGGTTTCTGGCTGAAAAGAGCGTCCACCACCACCTGGAGACAAATCACAGAGGACAATGACGGTATATGACAGGTGACTTCTTTAAACTCTCATTGGAGGATCTTGTTTAGCTCAATCTACAATGTCTTTGGTCGTCACTCTTGAGGTGTCTCACCAGTGCGGCTGGTTGCTCGTGGACGAAGACCGTATGAGGACCCTTTCTGGGGTTTGACATTGTTGCAGTGCTCTCTACCTTCATGATACCATGACGACCCTGAGATTGAAACATACAAACAGATATCAGTTACTGTCTCCAAAACACACAAATAACACCATCTGGTTGTTGCTGCAGATTTTTAGAATCTTAATTTCTCAGCAGGCTGCTCTTTAATTCCAGGAGCTGCAAGAGGAAGAACGTATCAAGACATCATCACCTTTTCATGAATCAAATATTGCATCTAGACTTACATTTTCTTCTTAAATCTTGAAGACTGGAAAGAGACAGAGTAAAAATGGAAATTGCTATGGTTACATATCTGTGTGTGTGTGTGTGTGTGTGTGTTTACCGGAGCTTGCAGTAGTACAGCAGGGTTCAGTTTGATCTCCAGCTGGATGTTCGCTTCTCTTCCTGCCTCCAGGTTACCAAGATGACACACCAAACGCTCACACAGATCATCTTCACGGCCACAAAACTGCACACACACACGCACACGCACACGCACACACATACACACACACACACACACACACACACACACAGAAAAAGATTTCAAGTTCATCCACTGTAAGTGATTTCATCATTTTAATCTTTTGTGGCCTAAAGCTTCAGCAGATCTTTAACTATAAACTTTTCTAAGAACTTTTTATCACTTTGAGTGTGTCTTCCTCTCTGCAATGTCCTGTCTGTATCATCACTATTTTCTTTGAAATGAGGAAAAGCTCTGCATATCAACCTTACTCTGCCTTTAGCTGTAAGGACACAACTGTTGACATTTCCCTTCACTTCATAATAAAAGTCACTGTTTTCAGTCATGCACAAGGAATTTAACCGTCTATTTTCCTTTGTGTGGAGGTTTGTTTTTACCATTCTGCGGTGGGATGTTGAGGAGAAGAAGAAGACGATCTGTTTGATGTAGGACGCTTCAGGGACCTCACAGTCTTCAATGACTGAGACGGTCGTGTCACTAAGTGTACACACACCGACAGACGTCTGCAGAGACAAAGAACAAACAGAAATCATGATAATCCGCTTTTTTTAAAACCACGACTTTTAATTCTTGACTAATTTTGCTGAACTAAGACTCACCTGCCATTCAACCACCCGCAGGAGTCTGTGTCGGTAAGGTGTGAGGATCTTTGGTAATGTGATTTCAACAACAGTGTCTACAGACCTGCTGGGACCCGTGTTCAACACCTGCACACAGAAAAAAAGGAACAGATTAAAAACAAAACAGACAAATAAATGTGATAGTTCAATATTTACAAGTATGTTGACCCTGTGTTTGACTGCTCTGCCTGGAATCAACAATCTAAACCCTGCAAGGATTTTCTGAACCAGCCTGATGTCGACCTTGTATGTGTAGTTGAATCTCTCGGGGTAGCAGTCAACTGGAGTCACATCTTCATCAGCAAACACAAATGAGGTTGGAGTCACGAAACTGCAGACACACAAATAAATGTTACTCTTAATCAAACTTAACAGCAGAGTGACGAATCTGTCATTTCATTTTCCATCTCAAGACTTTGAAATTAAACTTGAAAATGATGAATTAGGGTTAAAGTTAATGAGCTTTATTTCCTTTAAACTTCCACCGCACTGGAAATAAAGATTGTTTTTATGACTTGAATATTTTATTGTCTGCTGACTTGTGTAAAACACTTTGATTTTATACAGATTTATATGTAAAGTTAGTTTTCTTTGCATGTGCTGACTTACCCGTGGATGTTGACATTGACCTCATACTTCAAAGGGAGGAGGAGACTGAGAGAGTTGTCCTGGAGATACTCTTCTCTCTCAAAGTTATCACTGAAAAGAAAAAATGATTTAATGCACAAAGTTGTATTTTTACATCTTTTACTCAGACATTAATTTAACTATAAAGATCAACTTTAGTCTTCAAATCTTGAATGAAAAAGTCAGTTGAAGGTTCAGCTGGATCACTCATGATCTAACGCATGTTTAGACCTCTGGAGTTGTGAGAGTGTGGTGTGTGTGTCCTCACCTGCTGCTGTTGGCGTGAATGACGATGTCCCCAGGTGTGCTGTTCTGGCTGACATCTAACAGGAAGCTGATATTCAACTAAAAAAAAAATACAAATTAAAATGAAAATCAGAGGTTTCAAATGGTTTTCGTTTCCTTATTTTTTATTCCACTCTATTAAGTGAATTGTGTTCACATGAAAGTACACCAGTCTGCATCTTAGTAAGTTCCTCTTCAATGTGCTTTTTGTGGTGGGAACCTTCATGTTGCAGCACTTTTTGAAAAAGATTGTACTGAGAAAAAAGGTAGTGAAAAAAAGGAAACACAGATAGTATCTGCTGATGAGACAAAACTAGAGAGGATGAAGACTGAGCGGATCTGACCTTTGACCTCTACACTTAGAGCGGTCAAGAAAAGAGTGAGGAGGAGCAAATATAGAAATCTATTTTGATGAGTACACAGATAGACTTGAAAGTGCATTCCCGATATAACACAATAACTTTAAACAGTATCATCACCAGTATTGTGAGAATAAGTAACCGATCTGAACGGCTCTTTGTATTATTTTGTCATTAGTCTCTTATAAAGGTCGAATGCATAACTGTGACTGTAAGGAAGACCCTACACTTCCAAAATATTCAATCAGAATATTAATGACTCAGAGGACCGCATCAATGTGGAAGAATTTGCATGAACTGAGCTTCAACCATGAAGTCAACCAAAAACAGGAAGTTTGTGATGTGTTTTTGTCTTTTCTTCTTCATGTGTGTGTTTCCACTTAGAGAAAGTGTGGTTAGGTTTAGTGTTCGGTTGTAAATAATCCACATCCTCTGACAGTTAAACTTAACTGTAATCCAACCAGGGTCACATTATAGATTCAGACTGATTTTTGAGCAACATAAAAAATATAACAAGTGTAAGTTTGAATGACTTTTCTCACTCAATATACAACTGTAACACGCAATTGTAAGACAAAGTACATTCAGTAAGATTTAGCCTCCTCTGACACAAATACCAATGTGATGTATTTTAGCTGTTGGTGTTAAAAATGGTAAAAGAGGTGAACCTGATTTTTTCTCTTCTACATGCAGTCTTCAAATGTCTGGTTTACTTTTATTCATGTCATTCTTTTTTTTAATCTATTTTGATCATCCTGGTCAATACATGTGGTATGTACTACAAAAGAAGAAGAAGAAGAAGGAGAAGAAGCTGTAGACTCGTCCAAGTTATCAGGGAAACTGGTTGTTGTTTGTTGTTGCAGAGCTGTTATATTTTATTTGCAAAAGATGTGAGTCTATTAACTACAGCTTACCCTGGAGTTGGCAGTGAGGTGGAGGCTTGTAACGCCACAATCAACACTGACTGTTGTACTGTTTTCCTCCTGTGTCACATCACAACCAATGCTGTTGTCCTCCTGTATACACAAACAAACAAATAATCATGGCTACTCTGATTTATGAACTATTTGTCCTCAGTACTAAACCACATTTGTGATTAATAACCTCAGCTGTTAACAATCAAATAACAAGAAAAGCAACACAGTCAGTTTTCCAGATCTCCAGACAATGATGTTGACTCACATTGTGCAGGATTTTAATGTAGTGGATGTTGTCGGGAAACCGCAGCGTCACTCGTGGCAAGAAGGCATCATCACCAGAGTTGAGAAGTGAAGTTTTCAACAGGATGGTCTCTCCAGAGCCCAGAGCGAAGTACTGATGCTGACTGATGACGAACAATGACATGAACATTTGGAAACTCTTTTTTACATCTGGACAACAAATCTGTTCAAGTTTTAAAATGCTTTTCAACATCTTAATCTCTTTTCTGATTTCGTCACAAACTTAAAAACACAAATTAATCACTGATAGGTTAGTTTGCTTTTGCCAGGGATAGAGATGCAAAGGTATTAAATAAGGATTTGTTTAATAACCAGTTAAAAGCTCATCAGGAGTGTTCAGTTTAGAGAAATAGCATTGTTAAGAACAATGTTGAAATCCATTTAGTATTTATCTGACAAGATTTAATGGCGATATCAACACCACTCTGACATTTTTATCTGTTTTCAACAGGAATAAGCCCAAGAGGCAAACACATGGTGCTAATCATATCCTTTAAAAAAAGGTTTTGCATCTCGCACAGCCCTAAAAGCAGATTCCAGCCAAAGCCAAGATCAAAGATTCTGATCTAAATAAATCCTCGTCAATTAGCCAGCAGCTAATGAACACCATGTGCTGGCCTCTCTGTGGGCTCACAGCTTCAAATCTGAGAGTAACTCTTTGAGAACTGACTTATCTTGTACAAAGCAAAATTCAGACAAAGTTAACACCGCTGTGAGATGTGTTTTGATGCTTTTGGTTGTGTGTTTGTGTGTGCTCTTACTGTGGCAGCACTAGCTCAGCAGACAGCTGCATGTTGGTCGAACAGTTCACTTGAGAACAGGAACGGGAAAACCACGTCTGAAGGAGAAAGAGAGAAAGTCAAAGATCACTGATGATGTCAATAATAAAAAGAACAAACTGATTAGTCATAATTTTCAACACAGAGGAGTTTCCAGACGAATCCCCCTGACCTCTGACCTTACTCCCAGGGATTGTGAATCATGTCGGGGTGAATAACTCCAGCTGTAAATTCCTACATGTTAACTCTTCGTGTATTGTATTTATGAGTCAGTGGGACATTGTGCGAGCGCAGGATGAGCTGACTGATGTTGGTTAGCGTGTTGCAGATGATATGTTCCAGCTGTAAACACATCTGGATTAGCAGGAAGTCACCAGCAGTGTGTGTGGTGAATCTGACACCAAAGCGGTTATTTCATTTTCTGTAAAACACGACAGCCTGTCAAAGGAAAGTTGGAGGGTCTTTTAAATTTAATTTGTTATTGTTATTTAAAATATCACTTTTTGCTTTGGTGAAGGCTGGAACAAAGCTGTCTATGAAGTACAAAAACATAATTCAAAGTCAAATTAAAGGCTAACTGTGGGCCAGAATTAAATCACAGTAACTCCCAAAGAAGAGTCAGAACAGTGTCAGTAATTTAATGTGTTTAAAAGTTTCAGGTTTTTTTCCCTCAATGTGAGTCGTGCTGATCTGAACTAAAGATAGATGACAGGATTTAAGAAACTGTTTGTTGATGTAGCCGTACAGTTGAAAATTATGATTAAACTGAGACACGATGTCTTGGACCGGGCAAAATGATAGTCTCAAGATTTAGCTTGATAGGTTGTTCTTTGTTGGCATAAACCAGGCCTGATCTATAGTTTGAGCTAAACCAGTCATAGCATGTTAGTAGTAGCCAGGGCTCGACAGCTATTTTGCTCACCAGCCACTGTGGCTATGTGGTTTTCCAAAAATACTTGCCAATTAGAATTTTCATTAGCCACTATTTTGTTGTTGGGAAATCACCTTTTTTATGATAAATCTTTACTATGACGTGCGTTCATAATTTTGCCTTAAAAGTTGTTGGCCCAGCTAAAAAAAGAGATCACGTTCAACTTCCAACCACTGATTTTCATACAGTCTCCCTGTATCCTGTATGGGGGTTATGGTCTGTTAATTAGCTTTTGACGATAACTGATGTTTGCAGTGGTTGGTACCTGGTTGGTGATCGTGTTCTTGTGTCCTGCACTCTGCTGCAGAATGGGTTTCAGAGGAGGGAAGGTTCTTGAGGAGGATCTGTGGGAGCTTGCTTCTCTGTGACTGTAAGAAACCTTAAACTGGACGGGAGTGAAAATATCCCTCACGTCTTTCTGTGGGATGAGAAAAACAGGAACAAGAGAGGAAGACTGTAAGCAAAACTACATCCAGTCCAGTCTGCTGTTCACATAATATTATTCAATCAATATCTAAGTTAGTCACTTTATGTTTTTTGCTTATGTTAGTATGTTACCCTTTGGTAAGCCACATGGGTTGCACATGTGACTTGGCCTTGTCGTGCTCTCACACGCCCCCTTGTGCTGTTGGATGACCCGTTGCCGTGGAAATAAAATCGATGAGGGAAGGATGGTTTGTGGAGGAGGTCAGAGGTCAAGTTATACTGAAGATCTGGAAAGAAAAGTGACAAAGAAAAATCTTTGATGACAGTAAGTTCATATTCTCTGAACAGTTTGACTGTTTGTTTAGCAAACAGTAATGGACCGATCATACTTCAGTAATCACTGCCTGTCTATCTTAGCCAAACAATTTATGGGTTTACAGATTATAGATTACACAAATCTGGTTCATTACTAGCATATCCGCTGCATAGAAGTCTTTCAGTGACGATGTTATCCAGAAAATTTGCAGTTGGGTAAAATGAGAAAGCCAATTTTACTGCTCATACGTAACGGTTCAGTTAACTGTACCTATCGCTCCTCTGTAGTGTCTCGACTTGACACTGAAGCAGATGGTAACATTGAGGCAGACAGTGGGAGTCCTGTGTTCTTGGCACAGCGCCACCCGCTGGTCAATCTGCTCTGGCAGAACAAGGGACGCTTTCACCTGAATCACTGGGCGGGTCCTAAAGCACCAAGAATACATTAAAAGAAATCATGCTGAGCAGGATATAATGTATTTACAATGACATGATCACAGTTTTAAAAGGATGACTTTTATATTTATGCCAACTTTTGTACATCCAATTAAAAGAAGTGTTGTTTGACCGAGTCTTTAATTTTCTTTACACACCAAAAGGAGTAAGAACCAAGTCCTGTTAGGAATTTACCTGAGAACGACAGCTGAGTCTGAGAGGAAGGCACCGATGGCCACATCTACAGAGACACAGAGAGTTGACCCCTAGTTTAAATCCAGCTTCACAGATATTTACATTGTGGTAATGATAAAAGTGTTCTTGTGAGCTGTTAGTATACCCTGGTATCCGTTATCATCGATGTCAATGCCAGAGCTGAGTGACTGACCAAACATCCTCAGGTCACGGCCCAGGGTGGACCCAGTAATTCTCTGAAAACAAATACATTATGTCAGATTAGGAGGACATGTGTATATCTGGAGGCATCAGCTTTCCACAACGTTTGCTCTCATATCATAAAGAGGCGACTCTTCAGCAGCCTGTATTACTGTAGCCTTAGATAGCCTATTTCTTTTTCATCAGAACATTAGACCACTGTGTGAATGTTAATTTAAAGAAATGTAAAACTAAAATTTTGCTGAATACATTTCATATCCTTGCTTTATGAACTTAAATGTTGTTCCCTAAACCTTTTAGAGTTGTCGTACAGTTGGCTCCTTTCTGACACTGATATGATGTCAATGATTGTAAACAGAGAGATGTACAAGTTTTATACACCAACATAATGTAAATCATTTGTGAAGAAATATGTTTTAACATTTTTAAAAGGGTCTTGTGGTCATATCAAATGTGACATATCAAGCTTTGTGTCCACCTCTATCGGTCTCACCTGAGCTAGTCCAGGTGCTTGACGAATGACCGACTGTCCTTATTCATGAACCAACCTCTTCTTATTGGTGGCATTAGAAAGGTTTATTTTTTAAAGGAGTATGTTGTCTAGTTATGTTTTGTTTTTGCACTGATGCTTTTGGGAAACAAAATTCGCAGCAAAAAAAAAAAAAAAAAAAAAAGTCTTTGAATTTGGTTTATTTGTACCTGTGAGGGCGATGGTGAAATACCGTCCTTTCTACCATTGTAGATGTACACAGCTCCCTTTAGTTCGTCTTCCTGTGGGGCACCAACTGCCACATCTACACAAACACACAAACAAACACACATTGTAAAATAATTTTCAAAAGAAATATAACCAGACTGGTCTTCACATGATTTTAGGATGATTTAAAGCCATAGAAAGAAGTGGATCCTTAATAGTCCTGTTAGTCAGCTAGTCCCCCATCGGTAACAACACCCAAGTCCCTTTTAAGACTGGTACACAAGTACATCAACACAAACATAAAGAAGAGTTTATATTGAAGTATTTGTGAGAACTCTTACTGCCTCCGTAGATTAACCAGCAAGCATCTTAATTTGGGTCACATATTGTATATAAAACTTCTAAAGACTTTAATATTGATTGTATTTTTTAACCTCTGAGGGTCAGGTCAAAATTTCAGAGTGAGCATTAACAGAGGGAGACACTGACACCTGACCTTAACTTTTCTAAAAGTTCAACAGGATGAAAGAATTTGGGATTAGCACATAAACATGAGAAAACTACAGCATGGTCCTTTAATATTTAACCTGAGTCCTTTGAAGATGTGAGGGTCGCCAAGTCAAACCGTTTTTTTTGTTTTTTTCAAAGAGCGAGCGACTCCCACACACACACACACACTCCCACACACACACACACACACACACACACACACACACACACACACACACACACACACCCATTTATACTGCTGTGGCAGATTAGAAGGCAGGTTCAGATGCAGAGCAGCAACAGTTTGTCATTACAGTTTTAATGAACTTAATGACACACTTCCCCTTCACACACACACAGATGGTGCGGGGTCTGCATGTGTGTTTAAAAGCAATGTGTTAAAGTCAGTTTGTGTGTGTCTTGCGTTATCAGGAAGTGGCAGTTACTGCTGTTGGTGGGTGGGATGAGACCCCAGGATGAGAAAATATCTCAAATACACAAACGTGTGTTTTTGACCGTTTAGCGCCGTAGCAGTAATTGCAGTAAATGCAGTATTGTTGTAGTATCTTAACTATTTTGTGAGTCACTGGATCATAATGTGCTTAATTACTGCTGTTGGAGAGCCCTCGAGCAAGAAAATTAATCCCAGCTGATCCCGACATGAAACTTTAGAGAGGACCACCGCCTCTGCTACTGAAGTAGTGCAAGTCGAAGTGTAAAGTGGCAGAGGAGGGTGTAGTTATTCACACTATGGGAGGAGGACATTGATGGTCTCAGCTGCATTTTAAGCAACAAAGGCAAATGAATTTTGCTGTAGCATTTTTTTTGTAATGATAAAAAACTTTTTCAGTAATAGGTAAGTCAAGTAAAATAGTATTAATTTTGACAGTAGTTTTAAAATTATTGGAAGGAGAGGTAGTTTGATTAGTACTTTTAGAATGAAAAGTAATTTCAGCAGCAGCAGCATTTTAAATAGACTTGTAAAAAGTAAAAAAAAAACAGTGTAGCAGTACTTTGGGCTTCATGATTTAGTTATTGAAAATGTTCAAGGACACTAGCAGCAGTAGTGTTTAAAGCAGTATCACTAGAATTCACAGTAGAAGAAGTCCATGTTTGTTTACAATAACATAACGAATGGAAGTTGTATTTTTTACCTTTCTACCTTTTGTGCTTTTTGTTATTTTTAACTTTTTGTGCCAAAATTTTTAACATTGAAATCAATGGGGAAATCTTCCAATTCTTCCTTTTACTCTTCCACCTTCTAAGCCTTATAACTTCAGCATACTTTCACCTACAGACCTCATTTTTGCTTTAAAATGTTCATTATCTTTTCAACTGTTAATGTTATATTCACTTCCTTTATATCTTCTACAATTTTTTCCACAATTTAGCTTTGAGCACCTCATGGTTTTCAGCAAATTTCAGGCTTTATAATTCAGAAATTGTAGAAAATACAGTCTTTGCAGAGCAGGACTGATAGTAACAGCACTACAGTAGGTACAGTATTTGCTCAGGGTAGCAAGACGAGGTCATTACCAGGGTAACCGTCATCGTCCAGGTCTCCCAGGTTAGCGATGGTCTCTCCAAATCGGGCTGCGTAGGCGTCTCTGCCAGTCAGCTGAAACTCCGCCTCCACCAGATTTGCCTGAGCCAGAGTGAGTGAATGAGAAAACAGATACGGACATTTTAGATGCTTACATGAGTAATACAGAGAAATTTTTCATCTGCAGAAACAGCATACATGGCTGTGTAATACAGTAGAGTAGTAGCATTTGAAGATTTGAAAAGAGACACACAAACCTGATTTCTCTGTCTATCCTATTGGCTCCACAGATTTTGTTTTGTGTCATAATTTTGTGTCTTTTTGTGTTTTTAGTGTTTCTCACCTGCCCCCGGTTGATGTACACATGGACTCTCCCCTCCTCCCTGGTGACACCTGTGGCCATTGGAGCGCCAACCAACAGATCAGACAAACCATCAGCGTTCAGGTCCACAGCACACAAACTGGATCCGAAGTAAGATCCCAGCTACACAAAAACACAAACAATTACCTCAATGTCACGTATCAAGCATTGCGTTGTGTTGAATGGAGGACGCGGTTGTAAAATGACCCCCTACCTCTTTTCCAGACAAGTCAGAGACGACCTGCAGCATGTTTCCAACGATTGTGAAGATGAAGACCTGCACAACACAAAGACACCAACAACTTTTAGAATTTATGTAAAGGAAAAAATAAATAGACAGACACAGATAGACAGGTATAAAGTGCTGGGGAGACCTACTTTGCCCTTTTGGTTGTATTGTGGAGCTCCACCAACCACCTCCAAAGAACCAGGACTAAGGAAGTTACCAGCTCCGACAGAGTAACCTGAACAGGACACATGATCAGAAAATTAACCAGTGAACAAATTATCCAAATCTTAAATAAAGTCATATTGAAGAAATGTTGCTGTAGTCAAGTGTTTTTCAAGAATACATCGATTTATCATATCAGAATTATGGGACAATGATTGGATTAAGACTAAGATTTAATATCGTAGAGTTAAACATGTAGAGTGGCACTTTGTCAATGAATGACGCAGTTTATCTTAAACTGTTTAGAAAGGGTCTTTTGCTTGAATTTCCTGAAAGTTGTTAACATTTCAACGTTTCCTCAGATGTCTCTGTTAAAAATTAGTGAAGGCCAAAGAATGAAAACAATTTAAGAAACACTCTTAATGGAGCATTTTGAAGCGACACTACACTTTTACTTTGAAAGTATGACCTATAATAACACTGAAGTAGATTTTTAATCACAGGTCTTTTACTCACATTTTTAAATGTTAGCACAATGTCAACAACAGTGGACAACCAGCCTTCAGGGTAAACATTTGTCTCCTGAGGAAACCAGACCTACATAAAACTATTGTGCTTCCTTTAAACATTTAGAACATCATCAGGGTCTCGTTTAGGGACATTTTGTTTTTCTTCCTTTTCTAAGTTTTTATTTTCATCTTAAGGGTTTGCTCTAACAACCGTTCACCCAGCTCTGTTCAACAGCTGCACAAGTTTGTCAAGAATCACTCACGTGGGCGCTTAGACCCCGCTTGTGTTGAAATGAGGAAATGTGCTTGAAAGAAATAGTGAAAAGTCACCCTGTTTAACCACATGTTCTGTTTTACACCCACCGACTTCTTAGCCAGTAGTTCCTAAAGTGTGTGGTTCACATGACGAGGAGGTTTGTGTAATGCAGAATTACCACTTGTCCTGACACCAGAATCTTTTACATGATAAACAAACCAAACATGTACACTGATAATGCTGATTACTGCAACACAGAAAGAAAAGCAGTTGAATCTCTTGACACACACCAGACAAGTGTCATCAAACAGAAACATCAGTGTGAGAATTGTGGTTAAAAATATTGGCAACTGAAAGTATGTAACCTACCAAATAAAGACAACATTAAAAACATCCCACCCTAGTCAAGTCAATAAGCTGCTTGAGTTTTTTTCACTTCACTGGGTGAATATCACCAGCAGGCACATCGTTCTATGAAAGCTGCGTCATGAAATAACAAAGCACTCATTGCTTCATAAAAGCGGCATACAGAATTGAAACCACACACTTCTCCTTGTAAACTACTTTTAGGTTTAGTGTACTTAATGGAAAAAAACTGAAACCAATGAAACGATCTAACAATGAAACAAAAAGTGGTTGATAAAACTCATGTTGCTCCTTTTAGCAATAAGATTGCAAACGCTGTTTCTTTCATTTTGAAATTGTGCAAACTATTCATCTACAGAACAAAAATGAGAAAGGTATCATGTTTTAAAAGACTGGCGTGACATGCATGTGTCACTTCTTTAACATTGGTCTAAAACCCAAAAAGCACCACTTTGTAAAGGTTTCTGATGGTCCGTTTGCGTACCTCTGGTTGCTCTGCTTTTGTCTCATTAATAACAACAACAGGATATTAAATATCAAGGTTTTTATTCTCAAGTGAGCAGAATCACTTTAATCCAGTAATATTTCTTAGAACTGTTTTTATCTGTGAGAGCAGACGTAAAAGTTAAAGATAAATCCTTTTTTTTTAACCAACGTTTTTATCTTCTTTCATCTAAATCTAGTTTAACAAGTAGAAATGATCAAACACAGCAAACAGAAAATGTCAAATAAGATTTGAAAGGAAAGTCTAAACATCTGACTTAACTTAAGAAGCTAACCATGAAGGCATTGGACTTGGTTTTTGGTTGAGATTAAGGTTTGACATGTAGTGGTTGTGGCGAATGAGAATGTTCGTTGTTGTGTATCTATGTGTTCAAACCAAACCTCAAACATGATGCCGTACTTCCCTTTATCTGAGATAAACACATGTATGCAATGCAAAGCATGCAATCAGGTACACATAAAGCTGCTGCTGTCAGCGGAGACCACACACCCTCAAAGTTATCACTTACGTCAGAACTGACAAAAAAAAATCAAGAGTTTGTGGATCGAGCCAATCGTCAACCGCTAGAGCTGTGTGTCGGTGTTATCGCCACTTTTCAGTCTCTGTGCGCTTTTTTTCAGATGCTATGGGAAAAACTCTTCACACCAAGTTACAGCAAAAGAAGCACCTTCATCTAGAGTACATCAAACCTTTTGGCCCAACTTCCTGTTTTTTTTTATGTAAGGTAACGTTGCTAAGAGGTTTAATGTCACTGCAAGTCAGAACACTCAGTGCTTTCATGTTTACACGCTTTCAAGAAACTTCTCAGAATTAACACAATGAGCTTCAGCATGCAGCTGCTGTTCTGTGTAGTTCTGCTGCTTGGTTCATAACCGCTCCTGTAGTGCATGTTCATAGCAGAGGACATGAATTCTAGATATTTGTTAAAGTTTTGGCCACAAACAGAGTCATGTGTACTGTGATTTGTATAAAAAAGAGATTGCAGAAATGCCTTACAACTGGCATGATTAAAATTAAAAGCTTAAACAACAAAAATATGATTTTAAATCTATTATTGAAACAGAAAAATTCAGCCCAGGACATTTATTCAAGTTTTGAATTAAATTGTTTTGCTAAAACAATTATCCTGGGTCTTGTGAAGTAAAAGCTAGAAATAAAAGATATTCAGTGTCTGTTGAGCACAACAGTATAAATTGACAAAGTTGTGAACGAAAAGGTTCCAGCTAAATACCTAACTTTGCAACAAGCTATACCAATTCTCCTAAAATGTAACTTCTTTGAAATATTTTGTGTGATTACGGAGTGTGTAAAAACTCTCACATGAAGCTTGGTTTCACACAGCTGTCAGTTCACAAGAAGCATTTCACTCCCGGTGCTGCTGTGACCCTTGGGCTGTCTTTGCGTGTCTCAGAGCCAAATACACAACCAATGTACTTTCACGTGCCATTAAGAAAAAATACACGTTTATCACATCCCACGAAACATGCAAAATAGCATCCTGTGTGGTCGGGTGTCAGGGTTTGCTGACTTATCGACAGCCAAAAAAAACAAATTTGCAAGTCAAGTTAATATTCACAGCAGACAATAAATGTTAAATAAATGTCTGTGTTGAACTAAAACTACTTAACAGAAAAAATAAACATCCAAATGGAGTTTTCCTGGAATGACACTGGATGTCAATTTGCTTTTTTGTCAATTGTTTAAGTATTTCCAGTGAGAAAAGTGTACTGCTGTTGAATGTTTTACCAGTCAAAAAGTGTTCAGTGTACATAGATAGTGTTTGTGTTTTAAGTAGAATCTGTTGAAATTAAAGCTTTTAAGCCCTACATATTGGTTTAATATGGTTTCTTTAGTACAGTAGCAGTCATTGTAGCAGCTTAAGTTGGATAAAGGACTTTATGTGTTAATTTTTCCAAAGGGGTGAAGAGGAGCGTAGCCTTACCTCCTGACAAACAGTCAGCAAAGCTCTGCTCCTCATACTGCCTAAATATGCATAACTCTAAGTCCAAGACAGATAAGTTGTAACAAGCCATTCCCTTCACCACTGCTACAAGCTATTCAGACCAAAACTGTCTGTTGCATGAGGCCGTTAAAATGTTAACACTACTGAAAATTATCGTTTTGGTTTTGACTCTAACTGGGTTTCCTTGGTTTTTGAGGCTACCCTCAAGAAGGCGAGCTCTGTTTGTACTTCTGCTTTCACATTCCCACATGGGGTCTGCAATACAGTACATCATCTAGGACTCTATTCTTACTGTAAACAACAATATCGGGTTTGTCACTCTGATTTTTTGAAAGCTAATCAAAATATGCCTTAAGAGTCCAGACACATCCACAATAATCAAGCGTATTGATCAACATATAGATCGCATATAGTGTTCACACATCAACAGAGGCTGAATCAGCGTAGCTGCCTGAATGGTTGAAGTTTAGAGTGAGTGAGCAAACAATGCAAGGAGACAAAACACAAACACCACCAGCCACTGGAATAATATCCTTAGATATAAGTACTAATCCTGACTTTCATGAAGTTGGTATGGCTCTAAAAAGATGGATGGTGATCTACAAACTTAAGTGGTTACTGTTAAATACAACTCGACAACTAGTTTGCTTTAACATCTGCAACTACACCCCTGCACAGAGCAGAAAGACTATGAAAAGATTCAGGAGAACGATGTAAGACCTTCAAAAGACTTCATTTAAACACCATATTTGACGGATGCAAAATATTGTGAATTATCATTATCTGCAAAACCTCCCAAATTTTATTTTTCGTCAACATTTATGACACTAGTTTTCACACTTGAGGTTGTTGGTGGTTTTCAATGGTAGGGTTTAGATCTTAACCATTAAAGGTTTGCCAATAAGAGACCTTCATTAAGACCTTCAGGAGTAAGTGTTTCCTGTTCACTCTAGTAATTTAGCATTACGACACATTAATGCTGGAAGTGCAGGTGTATCATTTACCAAGGTAGCTTCCATAGGTAACAGCTCCACGCTCATCGAGGTACACTGACATGCCTCCACTGGATGTGTTAAAAACCAGAACTGAACCTTTCCAGAAGGACGTCCCTGGTGCTCCCATGATGACCAGATTCTGGAAAAAAAAGAGAGACTTGTCAACTTGTTAAGTATCCTTGATACAATCATGCAGCCTAAGTACTTTACAGAACAAGGCTAAAACATCACAACTAAAACAGAAGACAAACAGAGTCTAAGTCCTGAAATGGAATCATCAAACGGTGTAACCTAAATGTGTGTTCGTGATTTTGATACCCTAATCTTTTCACAGAATGTCTCTCAATAAAAAAACATCACTCAAGTATGATTTTTTTGGTTAGTTTTATCATTTGGCACAGGAAACTGACTGTAACTCTGTTTTCCTCTTGAGAAAGGGGAAGGGAATTTTCTGTATCACAACAGAATAAAGAGGAACGCCAGAAAACAGCAGATGGCTTGCACGTGTTTGAGATTTTGTAGTTCCATGGCTATATAAGACACCGGTGATGGATAACATTCAGTCCATTTGTAAAAAAAAAAGAGTCAAGACTGAAAAGAATTTGAAGGAGTCGAGATGTTGTGTGTTACTGACCTCTGTCTGGAAGTTGGAAATGCCGGCTTGACATGACCCGTAATTTTCACCAAACTTCCTCTGGTGGTCTGAATAACACAGACAGAAACAAATATACATGTTGAGGGGTGAAGGCGAACAAATAAATAAGGAGATAAGAGCCAAACAGCTGCAGCTTTCACACACAGGCCCCTGAAGTGAGGCCTCTTTGACAAGTCTAAAGACAGAAGTGGCTAAATTAAAATAGAGAGGGTTTTTATTTTTGTAACAAAGGTTTGGAGAAACTGTATTTATATCTAAAAACTTCAGAGTCAAAGTAAATACAAAGAAAACAAAAGTTAACAAACAAATATGATTTTTAAAACCCCAACAAAAAACTGAACCTGTAATCTTATAAAGTTTGTGTACCTCTGTAGCAGGGGATCATGGGCTGGGCATGTTTCAGGTCATTGCCATAGCGATAACAGACACCATTAGGCAGCTTGTTACTCTGACTGTCTTTCCTTGTGTAGAAAACGTTCTTCCAGCGGTGAGCACAAGCCTGAACACACAAACACAGAGAGCGACAGAAAACAACATGTGACACAGGCTTATTACTGACAATAACACAATCACAAGTTAGTGGCAGTGTGTTGTAGTTCCCGTGACCTGTGAAAACTGTGAGAGGGACTTTGTATATGGACGTTTCTACAGTTTTTTTTCTCAACTTCAAGTGTTTCCTTGACAACCTTTAATTCACTGTGTCTTTAATGTCACTTTTAATGTGTTACTAATCAGGTAAAGCTAAGATAGATAACACTTTTTAGTTTCCTCACTATAATTTATCATCATTGGAAGAAACAACATGAGATCTGGCACTCTAAAGTGTTGTGTTTTATTTCAGAGCACGTGAATGTATGTATGTGTGATGGGGAAAGAAAAAAAGAGTGTGTGTTACCAGGATGAGTCCCCCGTTGTCTCCAGGTTGTCTGGAAAGACTGACTCCCAGCCACTGATGATCATTCTCTGCTTCACACGTCTTCCCACAGTCATGTACATCTACAAACAAACACACAACTTAATCCAACAGTTCACAAAGGTTTCAGAGCTCTCACAGATTATTCACCACTTTTAAAAAAAAACATATCTGATGATGCTAACATGGTGAACAGACGATTTCTCATCTGTTTATCTAGCCTGAGTAATAGATCCACTCATCTATTCAGAAGCATGGATCAGATTTGCAATTACAAGATCTTTCCTGCATATTTGATGAGCTATTCCAACTTATTTCCAGATGATGATGCCCTGTACTGGGACAGAGGTTAGTATTTATAGTTTTTTAAGAGGTTCTGCAGCAGCAATCCAGTAGAAATGAAGGATGCTGAGTTCTGAACAAGACATGTTACTGTCATGTTACTTTGTAAAGCTTAAATGGACTTTCACACCATCTGTGAAAGCTTTCAACGGAGAGTGCAGCTGCGCAAGTCGTTTTGATGCACAAAGCCCTCCTTTTCCCTTCAGCTTTGGGAAATCAAACCTCCGACAGACTCAAAGCTAACCCTGTATGTGTGTGTGTGTGTCTGTAAACCTTAATGTATGTAACATAACCTTTGGGATGTTCTCAGTAACTATTAGGAGAGTTGACCACTTTTGCTTTGCCTTGCATGATTGCTTAGGTTGCATACTTTATCCGCTGCTAATGTTGAACATGCTGGAGGAAGAACAGAGTAAAAAAAAAACAGACAGGAACACACCAGCATGCATGTGATGACAGTGGCGTTGCTCTCCAGTGATGTCACAGCGGTAAAGAGCTCCCGGAGATCGGACTGATGGTCTGGTGGATGAGTTTGCCTCTGGGGCTCCAACAACCAACCTGAGAGAGAGAGAGAGAGAGAGAGAGAGAGAGACAGACAGTGAGATAGAGAGAGATAGAGAGAGAGACATTCAGACAGGATCTGTCTTTGTGTCTGTGCAGTGTCTGAATGGCATCTGTGTGTGAAGCATCAAAGAGCCTCTTATCATTGACAAGACTGGCTCATTAGCATTCACACACACACACATACACACACACACACACACACACACACACTGCAGCAATATTAACTACAGCTTCTTAAAAACTTCTTAAAACTAAGAGTTAGTAATTATAATTTAAGAGGTTTGGATCATTTTGAATATAGTAAGGTAAGAACAAATGTTAAATCCAGATGTGTTTCTATTATTGGTGTCAAGTTATGGAATGGACTAGATGAAGAATATAAATTATGTACATCCTTGTCAGTATTTAAAAGATGTCTCAAACAGAATCTATCTATCTATCTATCTATCTATCTATCTATCTATCTATCTATCTATCTATCTATCTATCTATCTATCTATCTATCTATCTATCTATCTATCTATCTATCTATCTACCTATCTATCTATCCCAACTGTAGCAGTGGATGTCTAGTTTTACCATCAAAGACAGTCTAATGCTAAAAATGTAGTTTGTTTCAGGATTACTTTAATCATTGTGTCCTCCAGAGTTTAACATGGTTTTATATCAGACACATGACTTCTATAATAAAGACCTAAATAAAGACTGTAATTGCCATGAACCAATGCAGCCTTAGTAAAAAGACAATAGCATACAGAAAATACAAATAGAGGATAAATAATCAATATTAGATAAACAGTATAAATATAAAGTGCAGACCATTTGTGAGCTCCGTGGCGATGCAATAGTACAGAGTATCCAAACATAGAGGAAGAGGGACCATTGAACTCCAGACTGTGTTCTTTATCCAGATTGTATCCCACCACAGGAGAAACCAGAACCAGGACCAGGATCAGGCTGCAGGGGGCACAGATGCTATCTGTTGACAGACGCATCTTGGGGGACAGGCTATGTATGAGGCAAAAGAGAAACAGGTTGTTGTGAAACACAGAGGTAAACATGTTCATTTTTACAAATCCATCTGTCAAAGATTACATAACTTTATTTAGGGAATCTTATCGTTTCAAAGATAAACCAACCTAAATATTTACAGATTATTCTCTCTTCACACAGTGGTCTAGACCAGCAGGTGGTTAACTTGGCTGAGCATGAAAACTAGAGGCAGGGGGATTCAGTTAGCAGAGTTATATCAGCAAGAGCAATTCATGAATGTCAAGTTATGAACACTTGTTAAAGGGTGAAAAAATAGGAAAATTTAGCCACATCCAGAGGTCAGATTCTAGTTTGAAGTGCTCCCTTGCTCACCCCTACTGTTGGTGAAGTTCTGCAAATGATGGTGGCCTTCCAGAGCAAGAAGCTCGTGTGATATATAAACAGTAAGATCCTCCATTTATCAAGTTTTTTCTATCAAAACTCTCTCTAAATACTTCAACCCTGCATTTTGGCCACCAACTACAGACAAAGAAAAGTGTATTTCACTGTTTTGTCTTATATTTGCCACTCTAGAAACATGGCAGTACAAGATGGTGTCCTCTGCAGATAGAGACCTGCTCCTTTATTGATATGACAGGCTCATTTTAAGTTAACAAAACAAAATGATTGTATATCAGTTACTTCCACAAGCCTTGCAAAAGTACCTCACAACATAAAAGTGCAACTCACAGCACTCATTCTTGAGCACCAAACACTTGAAGTTTCCTTTTTACTTCAGTTTTTAAAAATACTAACAAACACGTCTGCATCAATTTGCTTTGAAGTTTGCTGTGTGGTGTACCTTGGTTCCAAAATGCAAAGATCATTTTTACCCTTATCTATTCTATGCTATGCTCATCTCACTAGCTGTTAGCTTCAGGTGAATATCTAAAGATACACATTTTAGATTATATATTCCTCATGTCAAAAATGGGCTTCTATACACCCTCCAATCAAATGTTATACTGTTAAACACTTTATCTTGTCTGAATCTTATCTTATTTAGATAGCCTATCAACCTGTGTAAGTGTCTCTGTATAAGATATCCAAACTGGGCTGGGCCAAGCTACAAAACTCCCATGCAGACATACAACCATATACTTTTTGTTCACCCTGTTTTCCCATAAGAACAAGTTAACTTTGTTTTCTTGAGATTTCAACTGAATTAACTCATTATCTTGTTATTAACAGAGCTGTTTTTTCCCCCATTACCATGTGGTGACTTATCTCATTATCTCGAGATAACAAAGCTTGCTTTTTAATGATAACAGAGATCTGTTATCATGAGAAAACAAGCTTTGTCATCTCATTAAAACAAGATAAATATGTAAAGATAACAAGTGCAGCCATTAGTGAAGTTGTCCAGGGCAACTGAGCAAATAAGATGTATGCCAGTTTTGGGCTACTGTACCTTTCACTTGGCTCAGTGATAACTAGTTTATACTGTTTCAAATATAAAATTCTTATATCTATTTTCACTCTTCCAATCCCAAATCAAAGCGCTTCCACTCTTTAAAACAGCTTTTTCTTTTATTGATAATGTCCAACTATTATTAAGTGGAGTAAATTCAGACTGTGATTCTTTCATATACCATTTCCTGTCATGCTTTCAACCCAGCATGAAATCTTGCCCTGAAGACAACAGTAAGACCTTCTATCATCACATTTTAAGTCTATTTAAGGGTTCTGTGTAAACACAAATAACGTGAAATTTTTTTAACATTATTTTTTTTCTAGTTTGACAGAAAAATAAAAGATATTCCATTCAAAACGCCCAGAAGTGTTTTAATGACTATTTTTTTCATTATCCATCAGCAGCTTTCTCAGTCCATCTATCACAGAATCGTGTTAACTTACTGTAACGTCCAGACAGCAGATATCCCGGGTCAAAAAAAAAGAGATATCCCGGGTCAAAGGTAGATATCCAAGGTTAGTTTGGAGTCCAGTCACTTTCAGACAGATGTAGACTAAAGGAACGAGGAAAGAAAGGAGTCGCGGTCCACTTCAAAATCAGCCTTAAATCCCTGTCTAAGTCGCTCGTGGAACCTCCTGTTGCTCACTCTCTCGTGCGTCTCGAGCCGGGGCTGTCCGTCTGCTCCAGGCAGCCCACGAGGCTCTGGTTTTCCGTGGGTAACAGACTCCGAAGGTGAGAAAAAACGAGAGAAGAAATTAGTCAAAACTAAAGTTCATTTGAGTTTGAGATGAAGTCAATGAAGAGAGCAGAGCGCGCGGAGACCCTCCCTCCCGTTACATGTGTGAGCGCGTGTGTATGTGTGTGCGCGCGCGTGTGTTTGTGTGTGTGTGCGCGCGTGTGTGTAACGGTGTTTCCTCTCCACCCCCGCCTTAAACTGAACGCGCGAGAGTGTGCACGCGTCTCCGTGTGTGTGTGTGTGTGTGTGTGTGTGTGTGTGTGTGTGTGTGCTGGGGTGTTCCCTTTCAGTCGATTCACTCGGTACAACACATATAGTATGGGATATCACGCCCCTGCGTGACCTGACTGAAGACACCTTTATTCACGCCTTTAAGGCAGATGATCTGTGGTGACGTCTGGGAGGCTCCGCCTGCACATATATACGTGTAACACCACAGTCATCCTTCAGTTCTTACGCTCTTCACCTCGCTGAGAACACCTACACCGAGTCGGGCTAACTAGCTGCTGCTAAATTAGCCTGGTCTTGTCTCTGGCTACTGCTTGATCGACTTTAGCTCAACTGCCCCTGTTGGTGTTAGCCTACGGCTACCCGCGGAGCGCTAATTTCGTTCAGCTTTTGAGTCTCGTTATGAGCTCTAAGCCCATGAAGGTGAAGGCGAAGTCTTCTGTTCGCCCCTGTCCTCAGGGGTGCGGCTTCTCCCTTCACGAGAAGGATCTTCACGAGGCTTGTCCCGATTGCCTGGGGATTGTCCACGCCAGGAGGGCGTTGACTGAGCCCGAGTCGTGTGAGTCCTGTCACCGGCTTCGGAGCTCAACCCTGGGAAGGCGGGTCAAGTTTGTGGAGAAAATTCTTGGAAAAACCGCTGTTGCGCTGCACGACCCCCTCCGAGTCCAGAGACCCGGCTTCGTCCGAGTCCGGTGGTGAGGACTTTCTGGTCGAAGGCTCAGTTGGAAGCTGGGCAGACCATGTGGAGTGTGCTGACGGGTCAGCTGGGTTTGAGCCGGGCCCCTCCGAGGGCGCTGGCCAGCCGCTATCCGGGCTAGCTTGTTACCAGGAGGACGATGACGTGCTGGACATCGGCCTGGACGTGCAGGGTTTTTCGGAAGATGAGCTGGAGCCGTTGTCTTCGGGTCAGTATGCCGCCGCTGCTGCGCCGGTTGATCTGGACGACACATCCTTCCTCTCACTGTACCGCCGTGCAGCTGAGAAACTGGAGGTAGAATGGCCCTCTCCTCCTCCAGCTCAAAAACCGTCGCGGTTCACAGGGTTTTTTCTCCCACCCGAACCGACGACTGTTAAGAACAGTTTGCCCATGTTCCCGGATTTTGTCGCGGAACTAACCTCGACATGGAACAAGCCGCTGTCCACCCGCGCCACAGTGCCCGGTTGTGGACAGTTTCTGGATCTAAATGGAGCTGAAAAAGCTGGATTGGTGAACCCTCCGCCTATGGAGGCGTCCCTGGCAGCTTATCTGGCCCCGGCCCAGAATCACGGTGTCGGTGGCCCCATCACGCTCCCATCCAAGCACTGTAGATTTTCAGCGTCACAGCTGGATAAAATTTACAGGACACAGGCAAATACGGCTCGTGCACTGAGCTCCGTCACTATGCTTCAGACATATCAAGCTATGTGTCTGGCAGAACTCGGCTCGCGTATGCCTCCTGACAGTCCGCTTACTCCTCTCCTCAATGAAGCTAGGGTCGCCACAGATTACATCCTCCGTGTGTCCCGCTGTGCAGCGCTGTCTCTCGGTAGAGGCATGGCTTCCACGGTGGTGGCGCAGAGGCACCTGTGGCTGACTCTCTCCGACGTTCCGGAGAGGGACAGAGCGGTTTATCTGGACGAGCCTGTGTCGGCCAGCGGTTTGTTTGGGCAGTCCCTCGACGACATTCAAGCTAAGTTTGAGCTGAGGAAAAAACAAACCGAAGCTTTGAGAAGCATCATCCCCAGGCGTGATGCGAGGCCCAAACAACAGGGTTATCCGCACAAACCGGCACCAGCGCCTCCCCCTAAGAGGACTGCAGCGCCCGCCAGCTTGGGGCCCCAGCCGGTGAAGCGATATGTACCCGGTCAGAACCCACGCCCTTCGGCTTGGAACAAGGGTCCGCCACCGAGCTTCCGGAGGGACTCGGCGCCCAGGAAGAAGAAGCAGCAGTCACCCTAGCTTCGGGATCGACTCGAGAGGGCCAGCAGCACGGAGACACTGCCGCCCTTCATTTTCTGCCGCCAAAGAGGCCGCGTTTAAAGTTCGTTCAGGGGTCCGGTCCCGAGAGGCGCTGCACTCCCTTAACACAGTCTCCCAAGCACAACCCCCCCTCACATACACATGCCCCAATAATGGCGCCTGTTGTTCACTGTGTGAATGTCACAAATGTACGTTCTTTGAATCAAATAAAGGTTTCGTTTTGTTCTCAAAACATCATGAATCAATCAAGTCTGGGCGAGAAAGTGTTGCCGTTCCCAGCCGGCGCGCTAGGGGGCGACAACCCCTCCCCCACAGTACTGGAGGTCAGTCGACTGACTGTTCGTCTCTCTCGGTGGCGCGCATGCGCAGTCTCACCGTGGGTAGAGAGAACTGTTGCCATCGGCTACCGCTTACAGTTCAGGGTCCGGCCGCCTCGCTTTCACTCTGTAATACACACAGTTGTAGCAGAGGAAGCTGCAGCAGTGCTGAGGGAAGAAATAAACAACTTGTTGAACAAGAGAGCGATACGAGTTGTTCCCGCTTCGGAAACGAACAAAGGTTGGTACAGCCGCTATTTCGTTGTTCCGAAAAAGGAGGAGGGCTCCGTCCTATCCTAGACTTGCGAGTGTTAAACAAATACCTACGAACCTACAGGTTCAAGATGCTAACACTCAGACAGCTACTGGGCGCGATCAGACCGGGAGATTGGTTTACAACTATCGATCTGACAGATGCTTACTTTCACGTAGCAATTCATCCGGACCACAGGCAGTTTCTAAGGTTTGCATTCGAGGGCATAGCCTACGAATACCTGGTGCTGCCGTTCGGCTTATCACTCGCCCCCCGAACATTCACCAAATGTGTCGAGGCGGCATTAGCTCCGCTACGGGAGAAAGGTGTTCGCATCTTAGCCTATCTGGACGATTGGGTGCTAATCGCGAGCTCCAGAGAGCGAGCAGCGGCTCAGCTGTCATTGACCCTATCGCACATCCAAACACTGGGCTTTTCAGTAAATTTACAGAAAAGTTCACTGACTCCGAGTCAACAGGTATTATTTCTCGGGCTGGAAATATGCTCCGTTTCAAGCCGAGCACGTCTGTCAGAACGCAGGGTGGCTGCGTTTCACCGCTGCCTTGCACAATTTCAGTTGGGACGCAAACTGTGTTTCCGGACGATTTTACAGCTGACAGGCATGATGGCATCTATGATCGCTGTAGTGGCGCTCGGACTGTTAAAAATGAGAGCGTTTCAACGCTGGACTCAGTCTCACCGGCTGTGCGCGCAGCGTCACCTCCAGAGGAGGCTGACGATAACTCAGTCTTGCATGTCGGCTCTTCTCCCGTGGAGAGAACCCGGTTTTCTACAACAGGGATCTCCGATAGGGAGGGTGTCTTTTCGCAAGGTGGTGTCCACAGACGCATCCCTGAGGGGTTGGGGGGCTCTGTGCGAGGGCGCAGCAGTGAGAGGTGTGTGGACGCCAGCACAATGCAAACTCCACATCAATTACCTGGAGCTACTAGCTACCCTTTTAGCTCTGAAGCACTTTCGTCCCGTTCTGACAGGCCATCATGTTCTGATCAGGACGGACAACACAACCGTGGTTTCTTACATAAACAAGCAGGGAGGGACACGCTCTCTTCCCCTGTTAAAACTGTCTCACTATCTGTTGCTATGGTGCAGTGTTCATTTTCTGTCCCTCAGAGCCACACATATTCCGGGTCACTTAAACCTTGGACCAGACCTTCTCTCCAGGGGGGTCCTCTTGTGAGAGAGTGGAGATTGCACCCACTAGTGGTGGCTCAGATATGGGACCGCTTCGGCAAGGCAGAAGTAGATCTTTTTGCCTCCAGAGCAAATACTCATTGCCCCCTGTTCTTTTCCATAACAGACTGCAATGCTCCCCTGGGGATGGATGCGCTAGCTCACCCATGGCCCAACACGCTGCTATATGCTTTTCCCCCAGTGGAAATGATTCTGCCCATTCTGGAGAGGGTGCGCCAGCAGGGGCTCTCCCTGATCCTGGTGGCTCCTCGCTGGCCGGCGAAGTCGTGGTACGCAGAGATAATCAGTCTGCTGGTAGCGAGGCCCTGGCAGCTCCCTTTTTGCAGGGACCTCCTCTCCCAGGCGGGAGGAGAGGTGATTCACCCGCGCCCAGAACTGTGGAAACTACATGCTTACCTGTTGAAAGGTCCAACTTAATGGCTCAGGGTCTGCCCCCAAATGTGGTGGCAACAATCCAGAGTGCAAGGGCATCATCTACTAGGGGCCTATATGCCTATAAATGGCGGGCGTTTGAGCAGTGGTGTCAGGACCGAAATGTACTCCCATTTCAGAGTTCTATTGTGGATGTTTTAACATTCCTTCAGGACCTGCTGGATAAGGGTCTCTCTTTCTCAACAATTAAGGTCTATTTGGCGGCTATATCTGCATGCCATGTTGGCTTTGATGGTGTGACGCCAGGCGCTCACCCTCTTGCTATGCGCTTCCTAAAGGGAGTCCGCAGGCTAAGACCTGTTCTTAAACCCAGTGTTCCCTCATGGGATTTAGGGTTGGTGCTTGAGGCTCTTGGTGGACCCCCATTTGAGCCTATTGAGTCAGCAGACATGAAATTTCTTTCATACAAGACTGCACTGCTACTTGCTTTGACGTCTGCAAAGCGAGTGGGCGACCTTCATGCTTTGTCTGTGCATCCCTCTTGTACCCAGTTCACTCCAGATGGATCTAAGGCTACATTGCGTCCAAACGCGGCGTATTTACCTAAGATTATCCCCACAGCCTATAGCTCTATGAGTTTTGAACTGCTGAGCTTCTGCCCCCCTCCATTTGCATCTGAGGAGCAGAGGAGGTTGCATTCCTTGTGCCCTGTGCGTGCACTACGCACTTACATAGACCGCACTCAGAGTGTGCGTTTATGTGACCAGTTGTTTGTCTGTTTTGCTAATCCAGCCAAGGGCAAGGCGCTGTCTAAGCAGCGGCTTTCCCACTGGATTGTGGAGGCTATCTCCTTAGCATACGGCAGCAGGGGTCTCCCGTTGCCCCAAGGTGTGAGGGCACATTCAACCAGGGGAATGGCGGCCTCTTGGGCCTTGTTTAAAGGGGTTTCTGTGAGTGATATCTGCACTGCAGCCAGTTGGTCATCACCGCACACTTTTGTTCGGTTTTACCGTTTGGATGTGACAGCACCTTCGGTGGCTCACGCTGTCCTTTCTGCTGGGTCTACAATGCACTAAAAGTTTTGGAGGTTTGACTTCGGTTCGGTGGCTGCTCTGCGGGGCGTGTATATATGTCCCATACTATATGTGTTGTACCGAGTGAATCGACTGAAAGGGAACGAAATGTTATGAATATAACTTCTGTTCCCTGAAGGAGAGGAACGAGGTACAACACTGGGTTGCCCCGCTGCGCGGCAGAGCTCGGTGAAGAGCGGCTATCGAACTGAAGGATGACTGTGGTGTTACACGTATATATGTGCAGGCGGAGCCTCCCAGACGTCACCACAGATCATCTGCCTTAAAGGCGTGAATAAAGGTGTCTTCAGTCAGGTCACGCAGGGGCGTGATATCCCATACTATATGTGTTGTACCTCGTTCCTCTCCTTCAGGGAACAGAAGTTATATTCATAACATTTCGTTTCCTCCTCAGTTATCACTATAGTGTGAATGGAGTCGGCGGGACTGTAATCTGATTTAAGTGTCTGGACGCTGAAATACAAACACACAGTTTTAAAAAACATAATTTTCTTCTTAAATAAACTAATGAAGAACACGATTTGGCATTCCCTGGTGATCTTATGGTGGATAAAACATGATAATATAGCCAACCAGTACCTTCAATGATGACCTTGAGGGTGTAAGAGTGACCCTGGTCACTACAGGGGCAACAGTGCCATATGGTAACTCAGTTAATGCCATATCATTAAGATAAAGTAGATTTAATGTAGAGTAGGGCTGGTGTGATAAAACGATAACAATATATCAAAATTTATTTCCCTCAATATCAGAATAAAACATGGTCAGTATGTTTTCGATTGTCGGCATTCTGCCATGTTTTGGTCTATACAAATAGGCAACGAAAAGGCGAGTTTCTTCGGGTCTGCTTTGCACTGAACCAATCATGTACTGAATTAGAACCAAGTAGCAAACAACTGCATAGCAGCAGGCTGCAGCTACATGAAACCATAGCACTTTAACACCAAAAACAGCGTCCATTTAGTCTGCTTTCTCTAGCGCAATGCCTCATGACAAAACGTCAAAGAGACACAAAGACCTCACAGATGCAGTAGCTTACTGTGATGCAAAAGACATGCTACCAATAAGCACTGTTAAATTTAAATGTTTATATTGTGATATATACTGATATCGACTGATATGGAAAAATTATATATTGTGATAAACTTTTCACCATAACGCCCAGCCCTAATGTAGAGTAACCTTTCGGTCATAAAAAAATCCTTGGGTAACCCTCCAATGGAATGAAAATTCCTGTACAGTGGCTTCATATAGTGTGCTGCCATGGGGAAAACAATGTATTACCCTCAAGTGTGAGTCTTTCTGTCTGTTGGCAAAAACATGATGTAGGACCCTCAAGGGTGCAGAAAAAAATATTGGAGATAACAGAGTGCAGTAACCTCCAATATGTTTAGACAAGTTATGCATTTACTGGAGAAAATATTCAACAGAGAGATACATAGTACTATATATGGCCTTTTTGAGTGGAAAAAAATGTACCCAGGACTTAAGTGTGCTGCTCAGGCGAAGAAAATATAATGCAGTCTGAGTGTGTAAAGAAAACCTATGCAGCACCCTCTTTATGTGAACATGATTCAGTGCACTAAAGGAAACCAGTGAAGAAAACACAATGCCGTATCCTTCATCATCTAAAGAAAAACAATGGAGGAAACACAGTGCACCAACCTCCGGTGCTTAAAAAACAAATCTGCAGAGAAATCTTATGAAGTATTCTCATGTGTTCATTCACACTTAAAGTGGCTTTCTAGTGGAGAAATAAGGTGCAGCCCCCTCTTTAGTGCTCTTCAAGTTGGGAAAACATTATTTAGCTCCTTTTGTATGTCTATTTAGCGGGGTAAACATATTGCAGTGATCTCCAAAGTGTTCTTGGGAAAATATAACCATCCAGCTTAGTGCAGTTCTATAAGTAATGTTGTATACCAGAACATTTTACCGATGCGGTTTTACAGTGTATTGTTTTTGTACTTTTTTCTTCTGTAATTCTATTGAAGTCTTGATTATTGGAGCTTGTTGCTGAAAAATATCACGGACACTGTAAATCTGGATTGAGTTTTTTTCACTCTGAAGATTTAAAGTTAATTTTAGTGTTGTTAATTAACATAATTTTAAATGTAGCTTCAACTGCAGGGTATTTCCTCAGTACTTTCTTTTTTTATCATCCACACTTAGTAGTCAGCACAGATCACAGAAAAGCGTTAAGATATACAGTCTGCTGATGGAGCTCATAACACTCTGAATCAGCACGCCATCACAGCGGTTCATCTTTTATGTAGCTGTTTGTTGACCAATCCATCCAACATAACCGTGTAAATATTCACCTCAAATAAACTCCCGCAAAGGACTACTTCAGATGATTCAACATGTTTTAATCCAGTGTTGCTAGACTCGGTAAACAATGACTTTATGTGTAGTTTAACGTGATGAATAGCCGCTGTTAATGATGTTCAGCTGACGTTAAGGGAAGAATATTTGTCCTGAAAGAGTCACTGAAGAACTCAAACTGCTCTGATTCATTCCAGACTTTCAATAAGCCATGAATAAATAAACCAGAGAGCCATGGAGAAAAGAAAGAAAAGGCTTTTTTAGGAGTCTGTTTTGCTTTTCTCATAACTTATAAGTGCTTGTAATGATAAAAATAAAACAATATACCCAAAGAGCACCCTGCCCTTTTCATCTCATTTTGATATCCATCACTATATATGTACAAGATCCAGTATCATTCTGGTATAAATAGTCTGAGACAGAAAGACACTTCTGGAGCGGACAGACTATTTAGGGTGAATGTCAGACAGGAACTCCATACTACACACAAACTCACACAAACACACTCACTGTGTGTTTGTTGGTATTTCCTGTTAATGACCCTGCAGTTATTACGTTGGAATCTGACTAGCTACTGTTCCCATCCTCCCACACGTTCACAAAGTCTTTAAGCATCAGGGAAAAATCCGGTGGGGAGCAGAGTCGTGTTTTCCCACTCTGAGCCCATTATTGTTTGATATCAGAAGACCTGGGCGTCCATTATGTCCTACGTCACATCTGCTGACCTTAGAAACAAAAAGAGCGGTGTTGAGGTCTTTCTTTGTGTTTGTAGGTTTATTTTAAATCAGTTTGTTTTAATACCTACAACAGTGATTGAGTAAGACACAACTAATTAGATCATTTAAAGCTCCTGTGAGGATTTCTCTGTTTGTGTTGATTTTGGCGCCTCCTGTGGACAAAGTAAAACCTCTGATCTCACTAAACAGTAAAAACAAACAAATACTGTGTTCAGTGTAAAGTCGCCAAACCTCACCTGTGTTGAGATTCAAGGTAAACCCAGAGTTATACTTTTCTGCGTTAAGTCTGCAAACATGGCGAACTTAGGACCTGCCTGGTGTCATGTAGAACAGAGCACTACATCAGCTGTTCAGGGTTTGACAAAGCACCCAACTTTTTGATAGTAAGTTTTATCTTGAAAGGATCCGAGGAATAACATTCTACTTTTTACTGGCACTGAAAAACTACTTTAGTAAATAGATTACAGCCAGCTGAGCAGCTGCTGCTAAGGTAATCCACCGGAGATATTCCAGAGTTCTCTGTTAGTCATTTAGATCTAAAAACACGCAAAACAGGAAAAAGGTTTCAAACTACTGGAAATCCCCTCAAAATTTTCCACCACCTGACATAATCTTTTTTATAGACGCATGAGAAACTGTTGTATGATGATGAAACATCTCTAAAATGCCATGACTGTAAACTGCACTGGGTACCTTTGTGTTTCTTTCTACCTGATAACCACATATATTTCTTTTGCATGTCTTTGGGGACTTCTATATTATGGTATTTCTCTTTTAAGTCTCTTCGTTCTCCCTCCAGCACTGGGAGGAGAGAATATTATTTTGTAATTTGTTTCGAGTTGAGGTTTACTTTAAGGGTCTCCTCTTTTGGAAATGATCCCACCGTTGAGGTTACCACCATACTGCCCAATCAACCTAAAGTGCTCCTGCGAGAGTTGACCGCATTTATAAGTGAAGTGACGGTCAAACTGAGGTCACTGTGAACCTACGCTCGGCCAGCAATTAGGAGGTCAAAGGTCACAGCTGATAGTGGCTGAACAAGAAGACAGAAGATGTGGAGCAGATAAACTTTCATGGAGTCACGAAGCTGGAACTTCTCACTCTGGGGGACTGAAATCACTCTGTTGACATGACTAAGGACAAAAAGTTCTAACAGAACAACCAGTACTACTAGTTAGTCTTTGACTTTCAGTTAAACATGGAAAGTATCAGTCATGTCATTGCGTGTATCAGAAAACAACTCAGAGATTTGCCACTTCCTCTGTTCTCTTTCATTTCCCCCACTGCCTTCCTCCAGTCACCATGCAAAACCATCTCCAATTTTATCTTTATCAAATGATGCTCAGTGTGAGTTGGGACTTTTATTTAAAGTCAAGAAAATAAAATATAGTCATAGTGGTCAGAGAAAGAGTCACTTTCTTGATTTGAGTATGGATAATTTCTCTATATCATAACTTTTACCTTTCCTCACCTTGGATACAGGCACTGATAATCTTGGTGCTCACTCTGAAACAAAGAGACAAATGAGTTTACAAGCTATTCAAATTTCACCTTCTACTTAAAAGGTATATTCTGAAATAACATTAATTTAGGGTCAAACACACTGTAACACCGAGTTAGACACCCCTTAGAGAGATGAATGTTGCCGACCGCTTGCTTCTTTAGTTATATTAACTTTAGTAAGAACCACAGATAGCAATACAGAGAGCCACACGCTCGACCAGAACGCCACTCTATAACCACAAATAATGCTCAGAACAGCACCTAACTTCATCAACAGTACATATAGGGTCCTAGCCATAGCACTAGCCACAAACATCTTTTTAACTTTGCCTGAATTCTTTAGCAAAAAGACTAAACACAACTCACCGTCTCCCTTCCAATAGCCGCTTGTTTGTATGGAGACCTCTGGGCGAGTCCATGGTGTGTTTGACCCTAACTTAATTTTACGCCAGAATGTCCCTTTAAGAGTTATTTTATTGACACATGTTATAAATACTTAAACATTGTGGAATTAATATTTTTTCTTGTATCAATATTTTTAATACGACTTCCTCTCCTGGACATTTGTTTTCAGCTGCACTAGTTTTGGCTAGAAATGCCCATAAACTGTACGGCAGTTACAGTATATCTATTTCAAGCTATCAAATGGTCTGAGTTGTGTTCAAGGGGCTCTCAAAAGCAGAAGTTATGATGCGGTACATTTGATAAGACCGTTTTTGACCGCCAAAGCTGGAGAAAAGCAAAAAATTAAAAAGGTTCCTTCACTGTAGTTCTCTTTTTTATGATGAGTCAGAAGTTTTCACAAAAACTGCTGATGTGTCATGGCTGATACAGACATGAGAAGGGACCCTGCTCACAAAGGACATAAGAAAACATCTTTCTCAACACCTATGATTTATCCTCAGTTAGCCCTACAGTCTTTGTCAAATGACTTCACACTCATGTTGTGAAAGTTCTGACAACTTCAACACACGGCAGTAAAAAAAGTCAATGGTTAATTTAAAAACCGTTGTAGCAAGCAATTTTTCCAAAACTTGATAATGTGTAAGCGAAAGTTCAAAAAGCTAAATTTCATCTTTTCAAATCATGCAAAGAGAGAAGGGGTGCTGCTTTGTATCAACACAAAATAAAATTCCTTACTGGAGCTTTAAGTTTGCAGCTGTCTTGGAGTTTTTTAAGTTTAGGTGTAAAATTTCAAATGATAAAATCTAGCTTTGTTTTTTTAGATGGGACATGGGTCAGTGGATGGGTTGGTTATCTCATTTGTAGGAGATGATTGATTTACAGCTCTACTGGCACATTCGGGCTCCTGCATGTGAGTTCGCAGAGAAGAGGAGGAGCGGGAGGAGAAAATTTACCAAGACTCACTGAACTTTCCAGAGCCATGAGTGTCTGCTTAAAATCAACACAAGAGTCTGTTCTTCTGCTGTGGGCTGTACCAACCTGTACCAAGATATCTTTGACTCTCAGTGGTAAACTAAAGACGTGAAAGAAGTCCTGTGGCTCTTCCAGCCAGGTTGCTGTCATACATGATGCAGTACAAAATGTCAGCGCGTAATGAGGCAGGTTTTTGCTTCACATCCCACAATATCCATTTTATGTGCAACTTATCGTTTTCCCAATTCTGTCTGCATGTTTAAAAGGCCTTACCTCACCTGTGCTTAAGTTCTACTGAAAAAGGAGAAAAAGGATTTTAGGATGTTCAAATTATTGTTTTGTGTGTGTGAGTTTGTGTTTGTCTTTATCACAATGAGGGGACCAGAATACAACAGCCCACTCATGGTGTGGGGACCAAAAACCTGGACCCAACAAAAATAACATTGAATTTGGTGAAAACGAGGTCTCAGTTATGCCCTGTGAAGGATGTATCATGAATTCATTTAGCTCAAATAAAGATTGAGTTACCATGGCATCATGTAATAAGCGTCACTTTTAGCCTTGCTCAGTTTGCTTTTGAGGTTTTGTCTATTCACTGTTTCATTGGTTCATTGATTTAAAGCACAGATTAAACTACATGTGAGGAAAGCATGTTCCTCCAAACTTTAAAGTGCAATTTTGTCAGGTTTGTCTGTGTAATTTGATCTGTTTTCTATTATTTTGTGTTGATACAAAAGCACGGTCTAGACTGCATTTGTATGAAACCAGAACTTTTTTAGCCAAACAGAGACAGCTCGCCCTTGCTCAGATATGAAATCAGAACCTGACCCACCATCTTTGAATTGTTTTTCATTGTTGAGTAACTCTTCTCTTGGATCACTTCAGGTTATTTTGGTGGTTTTTGGTATAAAAATCATTAAATAAATGCATAAATAATTAATATCAAAGTGATTAAAAGTGTCTTGAACCATGAACAGACGAGTGTCAGGTCACAGGCAGGTCTGTCGCTGTTTGTTTGTCTTGTCTGCTAATGACAAACTCTCCTTCAGATTAAAGAGCTGACCTCCTTCTGTGTGTGTGTGTGTGTGTGTGTGTGTGTGTGTGTGTGTGTGTGTGTGTGTGTGTGTGTGTGTGTGTTATCTATGGTGCTCTAAGAGATAGCTTCACCCTGCTGTGTTTCCATCTTCTGATCTCACATCAGTTTGATCAGATAACAGGCTTTTATGTAAGGATTTAGTAAGTGTGTGTGTGTGTGTGTGTGTGTGTGTGTGTGTGTGTGTGTGTGTGTGTGTGTGTGTGTGTGTGTGTGTGTGTGTCTGCCGTAGAGAGAAAGGAAGGGAGAGGATGGGGGAGTTTGGTGGAGCTGCTGACATTACTGAAAATGGAAGGAAATGACAGTTTATCCCATCTTCCACACTAAAACACACGTACACACAGACACACACTGTAAACTTTCCTTTTTCATGTTTCTACACTGTCTCTGTAACAGGTGATGCTTGTCTCTGATTGGCTGCTCATTGCCTAGTTAAAGAGCAGTTTCAAAGCATTTATGGAAACTTGTAGATCAACTGATTGGGCTTGTTGTCATTGTTGGGCTAAACCAGGTGAGCCAACAGCTTGCATAAAATCAAGCCTGATACGAACAAGCCTGACACACAACACTACTCACAACTGTCCCCAAAAAGCAGAGGCCTCAGGGTTTGGAGAGAGAAACCATTTTGTTGCATTTATATGTGAGGGGAATGAGCAGGAAGTCAACCAGCTTGGCTACAGGAAGTCTCTGACTTGCATTCTGTGTGATGGTTAAAACAGAGAGGAAAAGAGCACTTTGGCAGACTGGGGAGGAAGTTAAATCGAAGAAGCATCATCTTGGGTTACACTGCCAGGTTGATATAAACAACCGTGATACAGCTAAATGACTGTTTAGAATTTCTGCTATCAGACAAACAAGCTTTTTATATTTGATAACTACATGTTTTTCTATGCTGGTTAGCAGCTCAATAGACTGTATTTAAATAGACAAAAAAACCACAAATGCCCAAAAGTGGCATCCGATTTCTTGTCCAGCTGAAATTCCAGTTAAATTCTGTGTCAATGACAGAAAAAAAAACTCACCCTGCTGACGTTTGACAGTGAAATTGATCATTTATTGTGAATATTTCATATGGTCATTTTTAAAAAGGGGCTTTATATTCAGCTGCTTGGCTGGCACGTACCCCCTATAACAGTTTCAGGCATTGAAAATTACAATACAAACCCATTCATCTTGTCCTTGATGGTCTTATTTGCTTTTGTATATCATGAAAAGGCATCAGTATGAATTTCATTCGACATAAGTGAAAAAAGTCCTGTGGAGTCACAGGAGCTTTAACCGGCATATGATCACTTGACTGGAGCAATCAGCTGACAGACAGAAGACTGGTGGTACAAGCTCTGCTATTGTTAGCCTCACTTTGTCTCAATTTGTTATTAATTTACTTTTAAAAAAGTTGGTTGGGTTAGGATCATCTTCCTGCCAAACTTAAAGCATGATGTTCATCGTATTAATAACTGTCTAATCTTCAAGCCCAATAAGTGACACAGTACATTATGCGACCCATGATCAACAAGTTGCCCTCATAGCCTTGTCAGTCAGGCTAGAGATGTAAAAATGTCACCCAAAACAGTTTTATCTGCACAGACATATCAAGATGTTGGTGGTCAACTTTTTCTTCAACAAAATGCTGTTATATAACACAGGATGATGGAACGCAGATACAGTTTCCTAAATGTTTCAGTCGTCACTTTCAGTTCCTGAAAGCTCAGCTCTGTACCATCACTTCACCAGAGTCTCCACTTGACCATCTATCGTCAACCCTGTGAGTGAAAACAGTGAACACAGCAATCTCACTGAAACAGGCTGTCTTTGTTCTGTATGCTGGAGATGACTGACAGACATAATCTTATGAAGTGTTATGTTCTTTTATGGTGTGGTGAGCATGAAAAGGACATCACATCTACAAGTTCCTTACTCTTAATTAAAACATAAAGGAAATACTTTACATATCTGACCGAAGCAAACTGACAGCTGATGACATAACTTTGCGTGGCACCCGTGAGCTGATTTAGGCTGTTAGCTGTGCTGTTTACACACTAGATACCTGTCTCATTTACCACAATCATGTAAAAAAAAATGTTCCAACTGGGGCGTGCAGATGGCCAAGTGGGTTAGTGCACCCCATGTTTGAGGACCTCGGTCCCTGCAGTGGTCGCAGGTTTGAGTCCAGCCACGACCATGTGCTGCATATCTCCCCACATTTCACCGTGTACTGTCAATAGACGGCAAAATTGACCAAAAAAATACTTAAGAAATAAAATGCACCAACCCAATCTGTCAGTCTATTTAAGCTGTAACTTTTCTCATATATACCTCTGCCTGTCATTTGTCCTTGCACCAGTCCTAGGCTCTTACCTAAAACTTTATCCATCTAAAAACCATAAAACTGCACTAGAGGGATGTTGTCAAAGCCAAGACAACAAACTTATTCTGCTACTGCAAGTCGTTTTAACTAAAATAATAATAGTAATAAAAAAAAAAGCAGTAGCCTCCGGTCCTGAGAAATAAAGCCTTTGCAGAAGTGCTGAAAAGTAATTCTTGAGTGTCCAGTTTGAGCTGGAAGCCACATGCTTTCCACTCCACAACAGAAAAGTAAAACATGTCTACAGCCTGGTGCAAAAAAACAAACAAAAGTATTCTGGTCTGAAAAGCCCTTTTCTTCATTCACACTGTACAAGGGGGGAAAAAATCCATCTCAACTCCACCTCTTTGCTAGGTTGACTGAAATGTAGGTGAGTCAGCATTTCAGGACCACCATCATTGGACTTCAGATATCAATCGAAGACGTCACTGACACTCCATGTTTTATGCAGTCTTTAAGTATGGGACGGAAGCATGGTGCATCAACTTATTGTTTTTCCTTGGAATCAGCTTCCAGTGTCAGTGCAGAGAAGCTGTTATGGGGGGAATATAACCTCCCTTTCCAGATTCTGTCTGTAGATGTGCTGCAGCATTTTGGAAAAGCTAAATATTCTTGGACTTTGGTGCTAGATTGTTTGTTGGGCAAATAAAGATGTCAGACTGGGCTCTTCCAATAGGTATACGTAATTTTTTAGCCCTATAATGCACCACTTACCATCACTATCAGCTGTGCTTTATCATATCCCATTTCTTTAGTTATAAAAGTCTCAATATGCCAAGCTTTTCTATCAGGAGTTGGTCCTGCATGCAATGAAAACTAAGTAACACCTTTATGTGACGCGCTAAACGAGAGTCATTAAAGCTTCACTTTCTCATGGGGGTCAAACTGAGAGCAAACATGTCTGAAATATTAGCAGACATCCCTCATCGTACAGAAAAACCCTGTGCACACAATCACAGTAAACATTCAAAGTCCTAAAATAAAATATGACTGTGAACTGGACCGAAACCATGAATCATTGTTTTATTGTTTACTCTTTGAGGTTTGTTCACAACTAATCAGATCGTTTTACAGCTCCTGTTTCTTGACTTGTAAGACCTCTTTCTTGAGATGTTGCTGCGTTAACAGATCCCTGCTGATAACCAGTTGAGTGTTGAGTTATTAGTATTTACACTACAGATAAGATCCGAGATTAAATAACCCAGGGTTATCCTTTAAACCTATCTTGACGCGCCATGTTTTGGAAAAAGAACTATCTCGAATGACTATCTCTTTGGTAATAACCGCTCTGCCAGCACACACTCTTTTCTTAATTTTTACCTACGAACACCAATATTGGGGGTGATGTTGTTTCCTAGCGACAGCAGCCAACAGACGGGCCTTACACGGACAGAAAACGGTTTGATTTTAAACAGGAGCAGACACACCGTGGAGTGAATCTCTGGGATTTTCTGGCCTTATATGGATGTGTTCCTGTAGCTGAGGTCACTGACGTTTTGCCATGACATCACAAACACACACACACACACACACACACACACACACACACACACACACACACACACACACACACACACACACAACGATAAATGTGGGTCAGTAATATAAACCGTAAAACACGGAGGACTGTAAATATTTTAGCACTGATGTATGAGCAGTGACACACACACACACACACACACACACACCCATCACATACACACACACACACACACCCATCACACACACACACACACACAGACACACACTCGGACCCCCCAGGGGGAGGAGGGGAGAGACAGGAGAGGAGGGGGTGTCTGAACAGCTTGTGACGTCTCCAGGCCATGATAACGTCTACTAATTGGTTCCATCAGGCCTCACTGTGTGTGTGTGTGTGTGTGTGTGTGTGTGTGTGTGTGTGTGTGTGTGTGTGTGTGTGTGTGTGTGTGTGTGTGTGTGTGTCTGCTCAGTTGTAATTATAACTGCCTGAACTGTTGAACTATCTCTCAATCAGTAACACACATAAGTATTTTCTTTTAATTTTCTTCTTCCCGACTCCTTGCAAATCAGTCGGACTGTTTCATGTGGAAGATGGTTGATTGACAGAAAGGGTGACACCGACTGAGGTGGGGGAGAGCAAGTGTCTGACACTTTGAGCTCATATCTGACATCACCAACAAGAAACTTTGGATATCAATTTCAGTCTAATTTAAAACAAATTAAAAACCCCTCACTGGGTCTTTAAGGTTTTACTACCTCTCAGTGTAACTACTACTTCTCCTAATGTCTTTCTACTTGCAGTACATAACCACTTATACTTTTTCACTTCACTCTGTTACAAAAGGAGTCATTTGTTTGACTTAAAGGAGAAGTGCCATGATATTTACTCAAAGTACTTGAGATGAAATGACCGTTATGGCCCATTTTCTTGCATCAATGTTATTTCATTGTGAAGAGCTCTGTATCAGTGTCTGAGGATCATTGTAGTACTTCACATGTATATTGTAAAGCCACTTTCATTTTCTCATTTTGACTGCTTATTAAAATTTGAGGGTAAAAACTTCACGTTGTGGTTTCACAGTGGGTTATTGACCTTTTGTTTCTTTGCTGATTTCCTCATCTTCAGACTGTCTGAAAACCAGTTGCCGTCAAGTTATTTGTCATAATAAAACAAGAAGTTTAACACCCATCCTCCCACCACTATAGTTTCAAATGCCACAAAAAAAGGTTGATTTGAGGTCTCTCTGAGGTTCCTTGTAAAGAAGCAAGCAAGCAGTTTCCTTCTCACTCAGTCGTTTCTCATGGCCCAGCTGCTGCATTGGATCCATTCATCTAATCTAACTCTGGACAATATTACAAAAAGGCACATTTCCAAACACATCAGACTTCTCCTCAAGCCAAGGCTACACATTTCTCTCCTGCAAGGCTGTGAAGGTTCGCCTAATGTAAATTGTCATCTGCCCATATCCACGAGGGACTGCATGCAGTCTGAAATTTATGACCGTGAAAACTATACACACCAAAAGCACATGTGAACGCGACTGCCTATTCAGCAGTATAAACAGAGCAGTGTGCATGTCCATTTCCAGAGTATCACAGGACTTGTACAGAGACAGAGGGCTGCAGTGTGAGGAGCGGAAACATGGGGAAAAAAAGGGCCAAAAATAGATAGAATTAAAAAAGAAATCCATGGGACTCCTCAGCAAGAAGGAGGACTATGCTTCCCTGATGGATAGATAGTGAAACCCAGCTTGGTCTGCCTCCATACATTCAGATATTCTCCAACCTGACATTGTGACATTCTTGTTGGTGAAAGAAACAAGCCTGCTGTTTCCTGACGACAGAAAATGGATCACGGAGCAAACGCAGGAGCCCCAACTGTGAAACTCAACACAAATAAACTCGGTCCAGTGAACTGGGTCAGAGTTCATATGATCAGCCTGTCTTATTTTAACAGTAATTAATAACAAATCTGAAGAATTAGACTGTTTGCTGGGGATGTGTGTGTAGCCATATGTCGAATCAGTAATGAGCTACAAGCCTGCAGCAGTTAGACTGAGTGTGTTTGTGTGTGTGTGTGCAGTCCCAAAGGCAACACAAGCTGTTATCAAAAAAAAAATGCCATTGGACACACACACACTACCAAACACACACACACACACACATGCTGCTAATGGAGGAAATTACTCTACACAATGTGAGGCTCTTATGCAGCTCTGTCTTCCTCTACACAATCAAAAGTCCCCTGTACGGTGGCCCATTAGAGACAAAACCTGCATATATTCACAGTAAATGCACTAAAAACCCTTCTCAGAACAGAAAATACAACCAAATACCCCCACAGTGAGTATGTAGTTACGACATATTGGCTAAAAATGGCAGAAAAATTCTACAATGTTTTATATTCTGTGCTTAAGAGAGGTTAAACAGCATCTACCTTCATGCTTGTTTTCAGTCAGGGTTTTTTTTGTCTTGTCTTTCAATGTCAGGACCTGCAGATATCGAGGTCTGAGCTCCCACTCCTTAGACCAAACACATCTGGATTTACACCCTGGTGTCACGCTCTCCTCTGCAGCTCAAACCTGACAGAGCACATCAGGGCTGCACAGATACCACACAGAGAGAAAATCTGTGATTGGAACTTCCCTTATGTCTCTGTCCATGTTTTTATACTTTATGATGGCATAGTATTCATTTCTGTTTTTGGCACCTCTGCATTAGCTTCATTTTTAAACAGCAGAGGTTTCCACTTAAAGGGATATTCCGGCGTAAAATTAATTTAGGGTCAAACACACCATAACACCGAGTTAGACACCCCCTCTAGAGATGAATGTTGCCGACCGCTTATTTCTCCAGTTTTACCAACTTTAGTAACGACCGCACGATAGCAACACACAGCGGTCTGAGGAGCCATAAACAAACTTCAACCAAAACTCCACTCTATAGCCACAAGTAATGCTCAGAACTTCGTCAACAGTACATATAGGGTTCTAGCCAGAACACTAGCCACCAAACATCTTTTTAACTTTGCCTGATTTCTTTAGCAAAGAGACCAAACAAAACTCACCGACTCTCTTCCAGCAGCCGCTTGTTTTTGCGGGGTGACGCAGCTCAAGGAAGAACATTTATGATCATTTTTTCATGGAAATGCAATCAGACTGAGATGCTAAGGCAGAAGAACTACCGCATCTGCAGTGCAAAATGATTTATAAGGTGATTATTACTTAAAGGAAATGATAAAGAAATGATTAATTATGCCTGAATATGCCTTTAACCTTAAAGTTGATTGAAATGCACAAAAAAGTCAGTTATGTTAATGTACTAAAACTTATTTTGATGGACCATTATCAATCATTGGAAGTAGAGAATCCAGAGACAAATGGGTTTCTTTTAAAATAGATGTTAGCCAGATTATTTACTTTAAAATAAATGCTAACTCTAATAAATTATAAGAGACACATTTTCATGACTGGAAATGACATGGTTTTGATTATCTAGGTGAGGAAAACAAAACGATTTAAGGTCCTTTCACAAAGGGACCGTTTTTGTCGTGCGATTATTTCGGATGTCAATATTTTTTTCAAATCCGTATCCTGTCAATACAAGCGTTCACATTAGCGACGTTTTCCTGTCCTGCGATACTGCTGCATTTTTTTTGAATACTTATAAAATAAAGACATCTGGTTATAGAAATATTGAGTTTTGTTTCAGATTATTCATTTTACACAGACATGAATGTAATAAACATCTGCCACATTCATCCCATTTTAGTCTCATACACCTCGATAAACCTTTCTCATAAACTTCCTCTCCATTGTTCCTCTTCTCTGCACAGCGCATGAAAAAATGTAAACAGGATTACTGTGGGTATACAACAGAAGCTGATAATGTGCGATACGTGTATCTGTGTTTGCAGTGAAGCTTCAACAATCATTCTCTGACAGCCGAGTAGATGTGGTTCAAATGATGGATGGACAGATAAAAAAACTTTGTCCACCCATTTTACAAGAGGAGGAGACATTGAGGTCCAACCCCCATCACCTCCTTCCTGCCTCAAAGTCCTTGGCGATGATGTCACATCCTGTCTGGAACAACAGCCATTGTGCTCCCCAGGAAGAGGACTTCCTGTCGACATACAGTTCTTTCCTCCGAGGGTCAGTCTGTGCAGCCTGACTCTGATACTGCATTTACAAAGTAAGAGACTTTATGGACACACAGCTGTGTGAATGTGGCACAGTGACCCCGTTAGGATTAAACAATTCAACACCAGCAAAAGCTGTTTTAAATGGCCGTACAACACGTAATAGAACAAAGATGCAGTAAAGGTTTAGGCATCTGGACTATCTGTTAACATAGAAGATTTTACACTTCGCAGTCTGCCTCTGTGGATGTATGTAAACGTGCATACAGTTTGGCAACACAAGTAATGTAGGGGAGTAAGCGCTGAAAATCACAAATGAAAAAACCTGGAAAAACTGACTTTAACAAACAGTGAACCACTTCCAGATCTGACATCAGCAAGAGGCAATATACACGGTGGTCGGATATACTCACTTTTTTGATAAGGAGTCACTCTTTACATACAGCTTCATTATCTTTGGTCATGTATCATCACATATAAAGACACAGACTCAGAGTTTTGTGTCTTCACATCAGAAATCTTCACAACAAACAAGCAAGACCCCCATGTATGAGACCAGGGTCTTGGTAAACAAGCCGGAAAACTGTGTCCTAACAGTGAACTGCATCTTCTTAACAGATAATCAATCATTTAGTGTTCTCGGCTGGCTATACCTAGCACAGTTATCTTTTTACTGATGAAGTTGTTATACAAACGCAGATTCAAATCTGTATTCATAACTCTATAATTTATTTTACACGGATAGCTTTTTCTGACCAATCCACATGAATTCCTGCTCATTGTCCTGCTCCTATAAACTAGTTCAAAACACAGCTTCAAACATTTTTTTAATTTACTACACACAATGGTGATTTAATACAAAATTCAAGTGATTCATATAATTTGTTTGCAGTTAAAACCTGACTAAGCTGGCATACAAACACGCTGCAACCTTTACACCAATGCAGATGTGTAAAATTCATGGAGACCCTCTTCTTTAAATGCCAATCTAAAGATAAAATACATTTATAGTCAGGAAAAACATATTTTCTCTCTTTGGCCTTTTTTTTTTTTTTTTACTGTACTGGCAGAGATTTTTTTTAACTCCTTTGAAGATATGAGGGTTACAAGATATTGTTAACTGATTATTAGCACAAGCATGGCTCAGTTGACTGACAAGCAGGAACTTCAAAACAGTTTCCCAGGAAAACTGAAGGCCCACCTCAATCCCATTTTACCTGTATCTAAGTTGAGTCAGCATTGGCAATCACCATCATTCAGCCCTAAAACTCCTCCTTATAAGTTATTGGGTAACATCACTGAGACTACAGCCGTGTTTTAAACTGTCAGTATGTGAGATATCTTAAGACATGACAGCACATTAAACAGCTTGCAGCCTCTGTTTGCTCTGACGCGTGAAAACCTGACAGTCTGATGCTAGCTTGTTAACATATCTAAATAAATAGAGCAAAATGTCACACCTGTTGCCGATATACACACATAGTTTAATGATGTCTGCTGTAAACAGGTGCAAAGTTTGACTGATTGCATTCCCTACATGGAAACTCAAACAGAAACAGTTTTATATTTAGTTTTGAGCTACGTATCGCCAACCTTCGTATCATCTTTTTATAACTAACTGTGAGTCAGACTGAGTTTCATTTTCGTTGGGTTTGTTTGGGGACAGATCTGTTCCTCCAAACTGGCTGTCGGAAATGGACAAATCAAAATTTCTTAATTCTCATAACTTTATCAGAGGAGAGTTTTCTTTCCCTTCTTCTCTATTCAATGTGTTGTGGTTGTTTTAAATGACTGCTGTTTATATTATTATGCATAAAACGTGTATACAATGTGCTCTAAAGAAACAGCTGTATCAGTTGATTAACTCATCAATCAATCAAACTTTATTTTTAAAGCACTTTTCATACTCCTCACTTTCATATTTCAAAAAAATAAATAAAGATACAGATACCAAACCCCACCCACCCTTCCAACCCCCATTCAACACACACAGCAATCACACACAGATGCAAACACAAAAAAACAGGACTCTTCAACTTGCCAAAGGTGACTGAGGAAACGCTATCTTGAGTTAAAAAAGATGAGGAACCTCTGGATCTAGGACTAAAACAATAAAACCATGATAAAATATAATAAAGGTGATAAAGCGTTAAAAGTTAATTAAATAAACGTCTTAAAATCAAACAATAAAAAAGTAAATAAGAAGGTAATAATTAAGGTAATAATTACTCTAGGACTAAAATAGGGTAAAATCACATAATGCAGATTTAAAGATTAAAACAAAATTCAGCTAAAAACCAGACTGAAAAGGTAGGTCTTTAGTTTACTTTTGAAAATATGAACAGTAATAATAATCACTACAATAAAATAACTTCTGATTTGCTACAGAAAGAGATGAGTGCCTCTCATTATTTGTAACTTGTCTACTAAGTTAAAATGGTTTGGCTTCAGTGACACTTTTGTAAGAGTAAATTACTGCTTTCGAGTGTTAACGCTGTTTCAATTGAGTTTGTTTATAGGTTTTAAATACACTCCTGTGCTGTGTCTTTAAATGAACACTGAGGACCATTCTCTGTCTGTTGACCTGCAGCTTCATTAAGCTAACGGGCATCAATTAATTATGTTAATGAGCTGCTGTTAAAATCTCTCCCAGGTGGGGGGCTGATCGTCTGTTAACGAGCTGAAGGCCAGGTGATGATCTGATTGGCTTAAAAAAAAAAAGTCGTTAGGCCAGTGTCTGTGTGAGGGGGGGTCCACACTGAATTTTATCTCTGCGGCCCTGAAACTCTTATCTCAGAGACACACACACACACACACACACACACACACACACACACAAAGACCTTGTCCCTCTCTGGTCTTGTGCCAAACAGGAAAAGTTCTGACTCTGTGTGTGTGTGTGTGTGTGTGTGTGTGTGTGTGTGTGTGTGTGTGTGTGTGTGTGTGTGTGTGTGTGTGTGTGTGAGGGAGAGAGATCCAGCTGTTGGCTTCATATCTGTGACCTCCTGTGGTGGGTGTGGGTGTGAGTTTTGGGGGCAGGAAGCTATAACGACTCTGCACTAATATCATTCCTAATGAAGCTCCTGTCAGTATGCGAGTATCTGAGTGTGTCTGTACGTGTGTGTGTGTGTTTGCTTTAGATCACACTTTGGGGTGTAAAAACTAAAAGCAGATGGAGGTTATGAATCTGTCCGAGCTGAAAAATAACAGAAAATCAAAACCACTAAAAACACAAAACTACAGAAGAGTTGTGGAGACAGGGATAAGGGAAATTTAATTTAGAGGGGATCGTTTTTTTCCATGATGTGGTTTAAGATCAGAGTTAAAATGTTGGAAATCAAGTCAATATTTCAGGAATACGATTGAAAAAAAGATTTTCTCAAAATATTGAGAAAAAAAGACTCCTGCACCAGCTGGTAAAGACTAGCTTCATCCAGCTTTTTTGTTGGTTGTAAATAAAAAGCTAATTCATTATCAAAACATGGGGTAGGCATGTTGAAATGTAACATGCCGTGTCAAAGTTTTCTCATTTTTGTGAACTGGAGCAGCTAGGAAAGAGGTAGAGACATTCAGCACCAACACACCCAAGGAGACAAAACGTGATAGACAAAGGACAGAAGTACAAACAGCTGTGATATTGTCGTGTTTACAATATCAGCGTTAAAATAGAACTATATGCCGAATCAACCTACAGCAAAACCCACTCGCTACGTGAGGCCAGAAACTTTGTGTCCTGTCCAGATCTAAACCCTCAAAAACGATGTCCTTCAATGTCTCTGTTGAGTTTTTGGCTGACTTGAAGCTCACTCAAGAAAAACTTTTATTAAACATGCACCGATAAATTTCCAGGGATCAGCTGATCCCTACATATGAAACCGTTTTTATCCACCGATCTTATCTACCTCAGCAAAGGTCTGAAAATCAGCCATTGTAGCTTTTTGCTTTGCCAGAATGATAGGCCCGCCCACCAGGTCACGTGTGCACACACGCATGCGTCAGAGCCAGCGGCACACACAACAGTCATCCGGAGCATGATCAACCAAGCATGTTGAACCCACAACAAGGAAAACTAAAACTCAGGACAGTTGTTTGGTGGTTTAAGTTGTGTTGTTAGCTTGTCCCATAGATTATTATTTTATTTGCAGTTAAAACAAACACAAAAAATTTGTATTGTTTCACAAGTATTTTTCAATGTTTTTCATTAAACTAAGATTGGAGCATCAAAGGTGTATGTTGTCAGTAATAAAAAAAAATGGTATGGCCAAAATCGGCATCGGCAGGTCAAGCTTTTTAAAGATCGGTGATCGGCCAGAAAATTGTAATTGGTGCACTCCTAACTTTTATACTTTAATATTTTTCTTTTACACATCTTTCAAATAGTGACAGTCACAGTTTGATCAACATCCTCTCTGATCTTCCAGTATCAGCACAGGATGTAAATCACCCGTCAGAATAATGCTCCGTCAGCCTCATTACACAGTATGTAGAGTGAAGCTGAGCTATTACATGAAATTACATACTGTGAAAAACTATGAAGGAACGATTAAAAAGAAGTTAACCTTCATTTCTGACTAATCAGACGCTCAATTCATCGACTGAGACCCTCTTTTATTCATCCATCCTTAAACCCTGTTTGGCGTGGAAAAAGATGATGTCAGCATTAAAACGGAGACTGCGCTGTGATGTCATTAGCTTCAACACACACATACACACACTCACACACAATCATTAACAGCTGTGTTGTCTCCCACTGCTCTCTGACTGGTTTCAAACCGACGGTGATTCATTAACACACCCAGCTGGAAGCGAAGCCCGTTCTCCTGACGTGACACCGCTTCATATGGATCGTCTCTAATGTCCTTCCTCTACACATGTAGTCTCATCTGACACACACAGCTGTAGTTCATCATGTAAACCTATCCACTCAACAGGAAGTGGCTGATAATCGCTGTGTTCCTGACGCTTGCACCCGCACTCCAGTTCAGGCTTTTGGACCCATTACACAGACAAATAAACTGACCTCAAATGTTTGTTGTTGCGCTGAAGTTTGAAGTGCACTTAACACTAACAAATCCCTTAAATGAGACGACAAAGTGCCTCTTTGTAGTTGCCCACCAGTTAAACACAGACTCAGTTTCAAGAGTATAAAGTTGGTTGAGAATTTACTGAGAACAAACGCTTAAGCTTAAGTACGACAACCTTAAGCACAAGCAATTTACCTCTAAAAACTCTTTTTGATCATTCAAGGACTCACATAGTAACAAAGCCAAGCATGAGCAAGGTTAAAGACCATATGATGATTTCATAATAGATCTTTGAGTAATACTTTCTACTCATTGTATAGATGTGATGACCACAATCAAATCAGTGATCACAGCTTGACTTCATCCGTTTTCATGTGACCTCTGTTCCTCCAGGACTACATACTCATGACTGACGACTGACTGTAGGACCTGAAGTGTCAGTGCTTTTAAACCGTCTGTTGACTCGCTGTCCTTCACAAATCACATGGTGACCCCACTCACTGCAACATTACTGCCACATGACACACACACCAGACACATAAAAACAACCACAGGATCCAGAGCAACATCCTCCAATATGGTCATCACAAAAATGCAAAAAAAAACCCACTGAGATTCCCAGAAGCCTCAGCTGTTACGTGTTAAGGACTTATTAGCAAATGCAGCATGTTAATGTGGTAAATCAACATGACAGGGAGGACACTAAACCTCCTTTAAGCTTGCATTTTAGTAAATCTAAATTCATGCTTTTCACAATGACGCTTTGTCAAGTTTCTAACATTTATGGTGGAATATCTCAATGTTAAGATACTTTACACCAGTGGTTCTCAACTAGTCTCACTCTGGGACCCACATTTTCCCATGGTCCTTAAGTCACAACCCACTTTTATAGAATTCAAACCGAGCAAATTTATTTAAAAAAAAACCTTTAAAGACTCTAATCTTTAACATAAATCCACTTGTTTTATTGAGTAAAGTGCATTTCAGAGCACATGAAGGTTACAACATGAGGATGACAACTACAAAAGTTACATATACAGAAAATATCAAATATCTGATAAATGTCGCATTAAATATTTACTTTCTTGACCAGCTGTTCGTGACCCATCAAGAATGTGTCTGTGCCCCACTAGTTGAGAACCTTTAAATGGTGTCAAGCTACAATAAAACTTTGTTACATTCAAGCTCAGGCTGTCACCTTATGACAATAACCAGCTTTACAAGAGCGAAATATTGATATTGTGCTAAATGAAAGCATACAGTGTTTCTCTGATGGTAGGGAGTGGTAGTGGTTCTTTCACTGGTTGTCACCAATCACAAGAACTAGCAGCCCTCTTAAAGATGGTCAGACACTACATTAACCACAAAAAATTCTAACTTTTCCCAAAGCTCATTTAGTTCAGTGATCTGCCAAAAGTATCATACCTCATTTCAAAATAAAAGCCTATTTTAAATAAATTAAATGAAGAATTCTAAATGCAAGACAGTTAAAATGTCACAGCAAAAGCATTATAAGCAATCTATTTATGATGAATTTCTTTCTTTCAAAAGTGTTTGTCATGGGGCAAACATTCAAACAATAAATGAATTAAAGCTCCTGTGAGGAACTTTTGGTTTATGTCAACTCTGGCCCCCCTGTGGACTTAGCATCTCGTCCTTTTCATTGTTTGTTGGCCAATTTGTTTTGGAAACCCCCTCCTCGCCACACCTCAATGATGTCATGTGTGTGAGTAAATGAACCCAGCATTTGAAAAAAAAATTATCAGCAGAATTGAATTTTCTGTTCCTCTTCTTGAGAAAGTTTTCCCATGAATTTTCAGACAATGTGTCTACGGACTGAAAAAGTAAAATCTGTCAGAGGTCAAAGGTCAACATACTGTCTGGAGCTTCCCCTCAGCTGGTTTAGTGGTAAATACCTCAGTAACCATGGCGACCACACAGCACTTCCTCTTTCTGACAGTGTGTCTCTCTGCTAAGTGGGCGACGCTGGGGATGTTGCGGAAGCCATCGCCCCCGTCAACAGATGTTGGCTCATTGTCTCTTTACGTCTCTCCCTCTTCCTGTCGTCACAGGAAGTCCGACTCTGTCAAGGCCGCTCCTATCTGAGGGTGTCAAAATAAGAGCATTTAGTGATGACCTACTGTCAAAATAAGAGTTCAGACCTTCACCTCTGTCGGAGAGAAAATTGACTTCAAGAGCACACGCACGCACGCACACACACACAAAGAGAGAGAGTCATCTCACAGCTGCTTCTACTTTTTTTTAAGAAGACAAAAAGTAGGACACCCCTACCTCTGCTTACTCCTGATTGGCTGACAGAAAAGGGGCTTACTGACAGCCTATTTCAGTAAACAAAAAGTCTTGAAAAAAGAAATAATTTTCTTTATTGAGGATACAGAGTTTAATCTGTAAAATCTGTTTTTAAGAATGATATTTTTTTTAAACTTCAGGGGTCTTTTTGTTTGAGCACACCTGCTTATTTCTCACATGGCCTAAATCATTTGTTTGCACTTAGACACAGTAACCATTTCCAAATTATCATTCAGGAGAAAGTTGAGTAGTTGAAACATCTTTTGTGCCTGAAAGTTAGAAGAAGGAAACATTTTAAACTCCTGTGAGAAAAACAGAATAGGCGGGTTAGCTTAGAAAGAAAATAACCTTGGGGAACAGCTGGACTTACTCTAAACCCATCTATTAGCATTTCTAGAACTCAGCAAACTGTTTATTATATACTTACTATTATACCATTTCTTAGATCCACTGATAAAGATGTGCAGCATTGCATTATTTTAAATTTAAAGGTGCAGTGTGTAATATTTAGCTGCCTTGAGCTATCAAGGCACCATATAACCAAATAATTGTGTGTATATAACAGTTGCTTTTGTTTAAACTCTGAGCTGAATGTGCTGTATATTCAAAATGTTGTTTGGAAAAACAACATGATGTCTGCTGAATGTTCCTGACAACGTCTCCTCTGTTCATTTATTTCCCTCCTGAACAACAAGATACTCTTTTCGTCAAGCTGGCAGTCAAACTCAGTCTAGTGTGTGTGTGTGTGTGTGTGTGTGTGTGTGTGTGTGTGTGTGTGTGTGTGTGTGTGTGTGTGTCCACCTCAACCAGTTTTGTAAATCCCTGCTCTGTTATTTGTTTTCAGGCTCTAACTAAACAAGCAGGAATCAGGACATAATAGCAGGAATGGGACATCCTGCAAGGAAAGACCATTCTTTAGTAACAGCAGCCAATCAGACACTTGGAAGGTAGTGAGGTCACTCCCTGTCAGCTCAGCGCCATCATAAGAAAACACCTGGAAACTGCAGCCGGTTTCTGATGCAAGTAAAATGTCTGCATGTTGTCAGAAGTGAGCTGGATTTGCAGTGATCAGACTCTTTAGTCTTTGATGGATGCACTCTCTCTCTCTCTCTCTCTCTTTCTCTCTCTCTCTCACGCACACACACACTCATACACACAGAGCGTTCTGTATTGATGCAAATGGTTTCACTTCTTACCACAGAGACTCTGTTGATCAAAATGATGTTATTTTCATGAATGTCCCCAGCAGCGATGTTGACATCGGGAAGCGGCATAACAGCTGGCGTAACTGTAGGCATTGCCACAGTAACACAGACCCACAATGCCTCTGGAGCAAAACATCTGTCTCGTCCAGTGGCAAGAGACCTGGAAGGGAGGGAGAGAATCAGATGGACTGACAAACAGGCATTTGTGATTTAATGAAAACTGAAACTGAGGCAAAAATAGTTTCCTACTGACACTCTACATGTACCATTTTAGCCTGCTCTCGCACAGCTGCAGACAAATCATATGAGGCAGTTTCATTATTCATTTAGAAAATAGTCAGTTGGTTTTCTGTTAACTCCTTTGAGTCAAATAATCAGCATCGACTAGCAGGAGTGACTCCAGCCAATCCATTACCAATCATGACTACATGAGTGCACACAACGGACCACACCTTACTTTGAGTTCATCAGAAAACAAGTAAAAAACTGCAGTTTTGTGTAGCATTCTGTAAAACTTGCGGCATTCTGCTTTTGTTAGAAAAAAATAATCACTCTGACAAAACCAGTGTATGTTACTCGGGGTCTGTGCTACAAAGCAGGACTCCAAATCTTTGAGGCAACTTCATGCTTGACTCTATTTATATTTTTATAAATAAACAGTCAATCCTAAAGTTGCCTCTGGACGAGACAGCTGTTTATTTTATGACGTATTACTGAAATAGAAGCCAAGTCACAGCAAAAGCTTACTTTACAAGTGGTTGTATATGAAGTTTACAGGACAGAAAATCTTCAATTAAGAACCCGGGGTAATTGTAAGATACAGACTCAATTACATCACCTTCAGATGAAGTAATAAATGGCAGGATCAGCAGCATTGTCCTTGAGTTTATGCTGTACATATATCATGAGTAAGGGGATTAGAAGTGTCAAGTTTTGCTACTGGAAGCCATGTTTGTTTCATAAAAGGTGGAAATATACCTTTGAGGAACCGTGTGTGAGTGTCCAATATTCATTTGGAAATCAGACTTTGAGTTTTCACTGTCAAATGGCAGAGATCTGCTGCTTTACCATAAATTTGGTGAGTTTTGATTGGTCCAGCAGTTTTCAAACAGGTAAATTGGAGGTGAATCATTTTCTCTTTGGAACTGCCTCAAGTGAATGCTGACAAATGTATCCATACGCCTTGCCAGAGAAAATAGTTCCACTAAATCAGCTGAGTGATAAAGTTACGGAGGTTCAAAGAGACGGACACACACACACAGAGGTCAATACCATTTCTAATTAAAGTTTAAATCTGCCCTTCCTGTCCACAGTTCCCATGGTGACCGTGGGAGACTGAGGGGGTGTTTGATTGTCTAGCAACACAAATACACAAAACAGACACAAACACACAATGGATAGATACTAACTCTTCAGAGTTATGGTCCTTCTTGCTGTAACACAATATCACAATCTGCAGTGAGATGATGACAACACTCTTGGTCTTTCCTTTTCACATCAGCACTTTGGAAGCTCTTTAGGAGACACTTTTTAAGCTCACTACGGCCTTTCCTCCATTTTCATCTCAAACTTTTTAAAAAGCAAAATACTATTAAATTTTAGAGCAGACAAAGGCTGGTATTTGAATTTCACAGGACATAAGGTGTTAGAAAATAAAAAGCAGCGAACTATTAGATAGGTAACCATCAGATTTCTGCCTGATCTAAACTCTAACAGATTTAAAGAAAAATAATTTAAAACAATAATTTGTGTCCCATTGCCATTTTAATTTTTAATAGTCAACTCCTGCAGCTGTAAAAGAGGAGCAGAATTACCGCCAGACATTTGCCGGTTAAATTGGAGAGAAATGGGGCAGGAAACAGAAACAGACTCAGTAAAATATACAAAAGCCTGTGTGTTGTTGATGCTTCAGCTCTATTGTTCTGTTTTGTCCCAGATCTGACAAATCTAACTGTATTAATGAAGAGGAGGCTAATACACACACAAACACACACACACTCTTTCGTGTTCAGATGGTGGACAGCAGAATGGAGCTCTGCTGGCACATCTGCAGCTCTCTGCATTTCCCTCCTAAAACAGTTCAAAGGTTATTCCACCACTGGGAGGTTAGAGGTCAAAGGTCACCTCCTCCTGATCCCATAGCGACATCTCTTTCTTCTAAAAGCTTGAGCATAAGTCTGGGTGTGTCTGCAGTTTGTGTTCCTCTTGAACAAAGAACTTTATTTTTATCATTTTAGGGAGAAACAGACTACAAAGAGGACAGCAGATATTTCATATGGAGCAGGATTTACTGCGGCGTAACGTGTAACCATGACAGATCCAGTAAAGAATTACTAACACAGGCTGTGAGCAGCAGACACTGAGGATCAGCAGACCTGTTAGAAATTTTCCTGTTAATCCCAGAAGACTATTACTGTCAGGTTTTATGCTCTGACTCTTTCCATCATTTATTAAGTCAGTCTTTTAATGTTATGACAAAAAGCTGTGAAAATTGTGGACTCAAACGGATTATGAACTCAAACTGGAGTTAAAACATCTACTGTATATCACCTAACTGAGCTATGACTGTCGCTCAACATGTAGACATACTGACTGTTGCAGAATTGACCATGTCCTGTACATTTTCTGAACAGGCCTCGTTCATTGCATGTAGTGGCAGATTCCTCTCTAACAGTCTTTAAAGCCACTTGGATGAGATGAGCCCCACAATTGTACTGACGCGTGTCTAACTTCATTCATAAAAGACTCCATTACTCACAGGTCTGGTTTTTCTGTTTATTTGGCTGATTGCTGATTCCATACAGCTCACAACTTGTACAAAATTCAAAAAGAGCTCCTGTTTCACAGTAAAAAAAAACATTTTCGTGCTGCTCATCTCAGTCTGAACCAAACAAAAGCCTGACCAGCGCACCTGTGCCAGCTTTCCTAAAGAGATTGCAACTCCACCCATTACATCCTCTAGACAGGTGTGTCTGAATCTACTAATCAAAAAAAAAACAACCAATTTAATTACTTTTAAATCAAATATTCTTGGTCCTTACAATTAACAATATTAATTGAGACTTTTGTTTGCTTAAGACAGTGGTTCTCAAGTCCAGTCCTCGAGGTCCACTGTCCTGCATGTTTTGAATGTTTCCCTGCTCCAACACACCTGATTCAAATGATCAGCTCGTTATCAAGCTCTGTAATGGCTTAATAACGAGCTGATCATTTGAATCAGGTGCGTTGGAGCAGGGAAACATCCAAAACATGAAGGACAGTGGGGGCTTCTCCACTGCATTTGTCACCTCCTCAAACAGTCTGATGGCTGTTTATGATCAAGTAGCATCTGCAGGGGGGAGTGATCTTAAAAGACACAAACAAGTGTGTGTGTGTGTGTGTGTGTGTGTGTGTGTGTGTGTGTGTGTGTGTGTGTGTGTGTGTGTACTGTATTTGTGCATCAGTTCCAGTGGGAGTGTATAAAACAATGCAGCATCATAATAGGTGAGCCACATATTTATCACTTGCAGTGTCAGCGCTGTTTGTGTGCGTGTGCTCTCATTAATCATATCAGTATTGTTCCTCAAGTGGGACGATGTGATCTCAGGAGGGGAACCATCTGTTGCTCAATACCTTTTCTTTTTCTGTAGTGTTGGGAGACACAACTCATTGAGCACTTGAGAATACAAAAGACTGAACATAATCACCGCACTGTACAAACACCGACGTGGGCTGTACAGGTTTATATGAAAGACTTGGGTTGACAATAAAGGAGGAGGAGGAGAAGAAGTCAAGGAAGCAGGAAATGATGATTGGAGGAATGAAAGGAGTAAAGCTGCTGTATTTTTAAACATATCTCTGGTCTTTCATTTGACACTTTTCTGTGCTGGAGAAGTTTATCAGCACCATTATGAGCCCTGAGACTTTCTATCAAAAGATTTTGATTTGAAAAATGCATCTCCATCAGTAATCAAACTTAGTCTTGGTGCAAGGTAAAGCTATGTGTCATGTACAGTATGTGTAAACTCTTCATCTATTGTAAAACATACCGTCTCTTATGTGACAGCATATCTCCCTCTAGTGCCAAGACCTGGTAGAACATTAAGAAGCATTTCCTGCACAATGTACACCAATTATTGTTTTTAACATGTATATTATTTGTCCTTTACAGGCCACATTGTGTGCTTTTTCTTTCCATACCAAACTGAAACTAGTGTAGTTGTAAATATTATTTTTTTTTTCTCAATTTGGATCACTTATTCCTCTTTATTGAAGCTGACATCCTTCTCTTTCCTCTGTGTTGCAGTTTTTGCCCCACATTTGTACCCATGCCCAACTGTTTGTAATTCTGGGATCATCTTTAATATCAACATTTTTGTGACTAGCACTAAGACTTCAATATTGTGGCTTTTTCATGCAGTGACCTGTAAAATCAACAATTACAAGCACAGTTTAACTTACTTTTGTTACACTTACTGAAATTGGAGTCCTCACAGTGCTGCACTACTGCCATCTTCTGGAGAAAGTGAACTTCTGCAGTGTATTTTCTGTCAGATTTCTATCCAGGAGTCCCCTTTTTTTACATCGATTACTCCAGAACAGGACTGCTACAATGATTTTAGTTATACTGGGGTCCTTGGTCCAATTCTCCTGTAAAATAAAATACATAAGGGTGGGGACACAGTGGGGAATAATGTGTCGAAGGGCCAAGAGTAGTTAAAAGGCTGCCTCTTCAAGGACTGTAGTCTGCACACAGGATACACTTTTAATCCACTGAGCTGCAGCTCTGCCCCATTTTAGAGTTTTGTTTTTAAAAGGTCAGCTGTGGCTCAGTGTTAAAGAGGGTCATCTCTCAATTAAATGGGTGATGGTTAGACCTCAGCTCCTGCAGCTTACATGCCATAGTGTCATTGGGCAAGACACTGTACTGAGTTGGTCCGAGTGCCAAAGGCAGCAGTGTGTGAGTGGGACTGGTCAGTACTTTGAGTGGTCAGAGAAAAGCACAAACATACCCATTCACTACTTTTTTTCTAGATTATGCTGTGGAGGCCCTAAGGGACATTAAGTAATACATTTCATTTACTCTCTTTTCCTTTAATTGCAAGTTTCTATGTTTTCTCAAGACTCCTCTTTGTATCAGATGATCATGCTCGTATCTTCAGAGTTGTGAAAACACAAAACAAATGTAGAAATAGTCTTATATAATGGATGATGTTATGATCTGATTTTTTTCTAAATTGCCAGAAAATGACCCCGTTATTACAAGTTCAATCATTATAAAAAGTTTCGTTGTTTAAAGGAAATTAAATAATGAAAGCTGTTACATGGGGACACCTGTAGTATTTAGCTTATATGATAAAATATCGAAGTTGATATCACGAGAAAACAGCCATAATTACTCATTATCACTGGAAAACAGAAAGCAAATAGTGTAAATGAATGCATGTCAACCAAGCGCTACACAATAAACATTCCCGAGCAAAAAGTGAGGAAAAAGTACTACGAGAATGAGCCTCCAATAGGTTGCCGGAGAAGACAATCAGGAGCATGTAATGGCACACCTAACTTACTTACAAGATAGGCGACACACACACACCAGATACAGCCAGGCCAGAGAATATTGTGGGCAACAGGGACAATATAAAACTTAACAACGATGTAAAAAATCAGCTTTTGTACATTTGTTAATGTTCTCCCAAGAAGGACTGGTCACAAACTCATCTATGAAAAACTCCATGTCAGTTTAACACTACATACGTACCTCCCCACCATAGACTGTATATAGAATGGACGCCGTCTGCCACCTCAGTGGGTGAAGCCACCCCGAGAACAGCACACCCTGGTGACGGGCTGCAGTATAGGTCATAAATCCTGCCTCCGCCAGTAAAGCATAAGGCACTGTGGACCAAATTTAGAAATTCATTACACAGAATATAATTTTTTCTCCTCCCTGGTTGCGATGTTGACATGTAGATATTGTCATACTGGTTTGTGCTCAAGTCCTCTTTTTTCTGTACAGCTCCGTTTTTAAAAGTTATTAGGGGGTTCATTTTTCTATGATTGACACCTGATACAACCTATGGGCCTACGAAGATTGTGTAGCTCACCCAGTAGATACACTGTTTGAGCCGAGCGTCATCTCTGCGACTCTACCGCCAAATGCATGTGTTGGTTTCAGGAAATGGAGAAATAACGCCGAATTACCGAGAGCTTTTGGGCTTCAAATCCGCATAGCTACTGGCGGAAGGCGAAACCAAGTTGTCAATGGTAGATATAGTCTATGCTCCTCCTCACACACTAACAAACAACAGCCGCAAGAAACTTACCCTAGCAAAGCGCGAGGAAAGAGAACTACGAGAACGAGCCCCCAATTTACTGCCGAAGCAGCCAATCAGGAGCATGTGATGGCACACCCCAATTTAAATACAAGATTGGCGACAGACATACACCTGTCATAGCCAAGCCAGAGAAAAACACGAAATACAATAAACAACTCTGGAATATTATGATCCTGTTTTATATAGTAAATGTTGCAGGCAACTAGGAACTTATTAAATGTAGCAACGATTAAAAAAATTAGCTTTTGTACATTTGTTAATTTTCTCCCATGAAGGGCTGGTCACAAACTCATCTATGGAAAACTCCTTGTCAGTTTAACTCTACAAGGGTGTCCGAACTAAGTTGTATTTCCATTACGAAGCGATATCAAATTAAACTAAACATTAGAAAAACAAGTAGAGTGTAAGTAGAGTGAGGGCGAATATTCACTCGGAAAACACATAAATATCACATTTTCAGGCAAACGCTCAACACAGATTGATGGTAGTGTTACGGTTTCTGCATTCATTTCCCATCATGCCTCACGGCTGTTTCTCCGGAAGAAAACGTCCGCACTTTCCTTCCACTTCCTCTTTCCGTCATCGGAGTTTAGGTAGGACAGTTACTGTCTAATTCCCTTACTGAAATCTGGTTTAAATCATGATATTTTAACATCATCCACTTGTAGCAAACATTTGTAAATGTACATGGAATATATAAGATTCATACCTACTTAGTATTTTTACTACAGACCTCTGATTTGAAATGTTTTTGAGTAATTATGTGTAGCTCTCTGGTGACATGGCGCTGTTAGAGCGGCGGATGGTGGCTGAAAGGCCGGCTGCCGCTGGTTCTAGAACCGATAGTAGTTTGATTTGACCCGTTCAAAGAAGATAGAGATGTCATATGTTAAGCTATGATATATGCCACGACTAGATAAAACGTAGTGCTCAAACAAGTCTCAATTAAGACAGTAATGCTAACATAAGTAAGTTATAGCGGCTAAGTTGCTAAGGCTAAAGCTGGCTATGTATTGACAATGTCACCAACGTGAGGTTATTCTGACTTGGAAATGGGTTTAAGTTAATATCTGATTACTGTTTTAACTTACTGTCAAGAGTTACAATCAGAAATGTAGGAGCACTCTTGTGTCAGTGTGGGTTGTGAACCCCTCTGTGTTGTATTTCAGGACACGATGGGACGTGTGATCAGGGGACAGAGAAAAGGTGCGGGCTCCGTGTTCAAAGCCCACGTCAAGCACAGAAAAGGTGCTGCTAAACTCCGTCACATTGACTTTGCTGAACGCCATGGTTACATCAAGGGGATCGTGAAGGTACGTTTGGTTTCTACTGTTTTTAGTAGCAGGAATCCTTAAGCTGCTGAGTTTACTCACTGACACTAATCGACCTGTGGTTCCCCTCCATCCTCAGGATATCATCCATGACCCCGGCCGTGGTGCTCCCCTGGCCAAAGTGGCCTTCCGTGACCCATACCGTTTCAAAAAGAGGACAGAGCTCTTCATTGCTGCTGAGGGCATCCACACTGGACAGTTCATCTACTGCGGCAAGAAAGGTAAGACGCTGCAAGTAGACTCTTATAGGGATATTCCAGCGTAAAATTAAGTAGGGGTGAAGCACACCATAACACCGAGTTAGACACCCCCTCGAGAGATGAATGTTGCCAACCGCTTGTTTCTCTAGTCATACCAACTTAAATAACAACTGCTCATAGCAGTACAGAGAGAGCCACGCACTCAACCAAAACGCCACTCTATAGCCACAAATAATGCTCAGAGCAGCACCTAACTTCATCAACAGTACATATAGGGTCCCAGCCATAGCATTAGCCTTTGCCTAATTTCTTTAGTCAAGAGACTAAACACAACTCACCCTATCTACTCCAGCAGCCGCTTGTTTGTAGCCAGACCTCAGGCCAGTCCATTACAGACTGCAGCAGGGTGATTCAGCTCAAGGAAGAACATTTATGATCATTCCTTTATCCTTGAAGTAATAATCATCATCTGAATCATTTTGCACTGCAGACACAGTAGCTCTTCTTCTTCTGCCTTAGTGTCTCAGTCTGATTGCATTTCCATGAAGAAATGATCATAAATGTTCCTTGAGCTGCGTCACCCTGCAGCAGTCCTTTTAATGGACTGGCCCGAGGTCTCGCTACAAACAAGCAGCTGCTGGAAGAGAGTAGGTGAGTTGTGTTTAGTCTCTTTGCTAAAGAAATCAGGCAAAGTTAAAAAGATGTTTGGCGGCTAGTACTATGGCTGGGCCCCTTTATGTACTGTTGATGAAATTAGGTGGTGTTCTGAGCATTATTTGTGGCTATAGAGTGGCGATTTGGTTGAGGTTTATGGCTCCTCAGACCACTGTGTATTGCGATCGTTACTAAAGTTGGTATAACTAGAGATGCAAGTGGTCAGCAACATTCATCTCTCGACTGGGGGTGTCTAACTCAGTGTTGTGGTGTGTTTGACCCTGAATTGACTTAACGCCAGAATATCCCTTTAAGACTGCTTTTGCTTCAGTATGTTGTCTTAGATCTTCTTTAACGAACCCACCAACACACAGCTGGTGTTAGACATGTATATGTAACATTATTAGCCTCTGTGATCAGATATGTGCTTATAATCTTCAAACTTTGTGCCTGTGCTGCTTGAACTATCACTTACTTTGATGCATAATTTACAGAAACAATTGGCTTTATTCTCATCAGTTCGTGGTCATTTTAAGTTGGGTGAATCTTGTTGCATCCTATCTAGCTTATGTGTGTTCAGACTCTCCAGGTTGACCTATTTTATCACATACTCAAACAATTGACAAACACCCCAGCAAGAGTCTGCTTGGTTATATTGCAAACAAAACATGGAGGACTTCATAGCTCTGTACTTTTCGACACGCATTATGAAAGCCTCTACTTTTGTCGGTACCATACATCTGAGGTGTTGTTTACTACTAGACTTACTTTAACCTGATAGTACTGTCAGACCTCTGAGTCAAAGCCTGGCATGTTAACTGTAGAGCTTTCACTAAACACAGGTTTATCAAGGCCTCATATGAAATCTGCTATAGATTGGGAAATTTTCCACCAAACTGACAGGAAATTCTGTCTCTTTTGAGTACCTATTCAAATTTGAACTTTTAGTAGTGAGCACATGCTGAGTGACAAGGATCGCATATGATGAAAAGTGTAACTTTTAACAGTGAAATATTATGTTTTCAATGTCTTATGTACTCATGAGTACCATCAGGAGTTAATGAGCAATATTTCAAGTTAGGTTTAATGAAACTCCTTATCTTTAGCATTCTTTTGTTTGAGTACATCTATGTTGCCTTGAAAAAGTGTGGATGTGAATGCTGGGCTGAATTCAGAAACCAAAGTTGAACAGGGTTTTAAAAATATGAACAAAGCAGCTTGTTCTTCAACACACTGGTTGTCTGACAGGCACAGTTGTAGAAGATATTTCAGTGAAAGTTTGTGCCTAACAAGTTTTTACCTCTACAGCTCAGCTGAACATCGGCAACGTCCTGCCCGTTGGCACCATGCCCGAGGGAACCATCATCTGCTGTCTGGAGGAGAAGCCCGGCGACAGAGGCAAGCTGGCCCGCGCTTCAGGAAACTACGCCACAGTGATCTCCCACAACCCCGAGACCAAGAAGTCCAGAGTCAAGCTGCCCTCAGGCTCCAAGAAAGTCATCTCCTCTGCCAACAGAGCCGTCGTTGGTAAGAGCCTCTCATGTCTGAAGGTGCTGAAGATCGACTGTGACCGTGCCCTGTCTGACCAGCTCTGTCCTGTTCATGTTTCAAGGTGTCGTTGCCGGCGGTGGTCGTATTGACAAGCCCATCCTGAAGGCTGGTCGTGCTTACCACAAGTACAAGGCCAAGAGGAACTGCTGGCCACGTGTCCGTGGTGTGGCTATGAACGTAAGTGAACTCTACTGCAATACTCTAACCGTGTTTTCTGTGATGATAACCAGGTAACACACATTTTATACAGTCATGTGAGAGGAGGCAAGCAGAGCTGAGATTTTGTTTTATGCTCCAAGACTAATATACTGAATTTCCCTTCTTTTCTCAGCCTGTTGAGCATCCCTTCGGTGGTGGTAACCATCAGCATATTGGAAAACCCTCAACGATCAGGAGGGACGCACCAGCTGGTCGCAAGGTCGGTCTTATCGCTGCCCGTCGTACTGGCAGACTGCGCGGAACAAAGACCGTCCAGGAGAAGGAGAACTAAACCTGACTTTGTTGATAATAAAAGATGTGACAAAAAAAATCTGTATCATTGTTGTTCTTGAGGACACACTAAAATCAAACATCAGGAGATTGGATATGAACTCCAGGTTTGCCATTTGAGTACAGTTACTCTTACACAATATAACAAAACAGTTAGTAGCAACAGGGATAACGATGAGTACAAAGCCACAACATTCACAGTTAAATAAAGTATAGGCGGTTTCAGTATTGGATTATCTAGATACTTTACAGGAGGTCCAGTGTCTTCAAGTATGTAAGGATTACATTCATTAGGTTATCAGAAATTGTAGATTGGTTTACATCTAGACTACACAGTTGAAGTTTATAACTTCCTGAGGAAAAATATTCAATACATTTTCTAAAAAGTTCATAGGCTGTAAGGCATGTCCAAACTACTCCACAAAGGGCCGGTGGGGCTGCAGGTTTTTCTTCCAACCAAGCAGCAGCACACCAGACTTGATTCATTTCATCAGCTGATTGGTCAGACTGTATGCTCTTGATTGGTTGGAAGAAAAACCTGCAGCCATACCGGCCCTTTGTGGAATAGTCTGGACATGCCAAGGTAAGGAGTTAACACTACATATCCAAAGTGTTTCAAAACCTTGTGCTTGTGTCTCAAAATCAAGACCTTTTCCATCACCAATATCAAACACGTAATTCCGAGTTTCTGTGTGAGGCAAGCAAACTTGGTTGTGTGTCAGCTCACGGGTGACACACATTCGTCAAACAATGTGGGGTGAAATGTCATCTGCAGCTGTTGGGTCGACTGTGTATTATGAAGTCCAGAGTCAACCGAGCCTGAAGTCTACAGAGAGAATTTAGAGCGCTTCATTCTTCCATCTCCGGATAACTTTCATGTAAATACAGATGAACTTCTCAAGCAGGAAATTTGTATTAATAGAAAAAAAAATGTAATACTGAGAAGAAATCAGAGATCGCAAACAACCATAGAACAAAATCCAAACATGACAACATTATTATAGCAGCATACCTACCCAAGTCCTTGCAGTTGACCTTCTGAACTCTAGAGGGAGCTCATGTATCAGCAGTGTGGAAAGAAGCGTTGCGTGAATTGAGGCCTCATAATACAGTGTGCTGCACTGCAACTATTAGTAAGCTGTGCAAGCAATTTTAAAAGAGTGAATATTACAATGATTGAGAGCTCTGTTAATGAATTTAGGCTCTAGCTGTCTATATATTTTTTTTTATTTTTTGGGGGGGGTGTTCCTTATCTCTTCAAGGTGTTTTTGACTTTCAGGTTAATTTTTGCTGGAAAGCCAGCAGGAAACACTGTCATTGTTATCATACAGGTACTGACAAACTTTAAGAGTGAAGTCAATAGTGTGGTGGGGGTGAAAGGTAATTTGACACACAGTAGGTCGAATTGCACCATCTACTGGCAGTAGGAGATAAATATAACGAACCACAAGTTGACCAGAAACCGGGATGAGATCAGATGGGAGGTAGCTTCACCAGGAACACAAACCAAATGACCTGAAATGGAAAACAGTTGAAGGAAAACATCCTGTTTCAAGGACAGGGGTTGAAAAAGTAAACCCAGACCAAAAGTTACCCACAGGAGCTTTAAGAACAGTTTCCGCTGAGCTGGCTGCTCCGGGTACAATTTTACTTCCACAAGTAAAAATGAGACACAGGCAAGATTCCATGTTCTTTATTTGCTAAGGGCGCAATGCTTTTTTTGTTATATTTCTGTGCACAAAAAACCTCACAAAGTGAAAGTCCACATCGCGACTGTAGCTCCAGAATTCAACGTCACACCATGGCCAAAACAAAAGTCGGCAAAAAACAGGGCGCAGAACTCTGTACAGTCAATATCTTCTTTAAAAATAACACAAGGACAAAAATGTTCCTCTTAAATCAAATTCTATTTTTAGTGAAATACAACAAAATAAATTCTATAAAATAAGAGCAAAATATTTAAATATAATACGATGGGCAGAATATTTTCATTTGCAGGAGTATTTGGTATGTTTTAGACAAAAAAAAAAAAAAAAAAAAAAAGAAAATTCAAAAAAATACATGCATTCAAGTTACCAATTAAATACAGTATTTACTGATGTTTACCTTTTACTCCTACAGAATTACAAGTTAGCTCAAGTTGCAACATGACTAACCAGCCGCTATTCTTACGGTACAAACCCTGCTGTGGATCCAGTTCTCCACGGAGCACGAGGCTGCCGCTCGGGGTCTCGATCCCTGAGCCGCAGCCAGACTTAAAATCCAACCAGCTCCGTGGCAGAAAGGAGGCCGATTGGGCAACAAGTCTGTCTACAACTATGCTCTATTGAAGAGACAGAAGCAAACCACACAGTCTATTTTACACCAGAAAGCCCAGTGCAGCAATTCTGTTGCATATGTTTCATTTTTCAGATTTCCTACTGATGAAAGCTAAGCCATCTATCCCACCGAAAAACTGACTGCCGAATGAGGAGTTGGAGGATTATAATGTGCAATTGAGAAGCCACTTATTCATACATTGGTTCAAAATATCGCCCTCATTGTAGACAGGGTAGATGAGTAGAAAAAGGAACAAAAGAAAAAAAAAAAAACCTAAGGGTAACAACACCCCTCTGGAGATGTGGATTAAGAACAGCTTTAGGTTGTTATGATCACAAGTCTTCCCTTGGGCTACACTATTCTGGTGAGAAGCCATGCTAAATGTTACAGCATATTAACTAGAGCTTCGAAAAAGGATTGAATTCAATAACCAGAACGAAAAGAAAAAAAAAAGAGAGAACAAAAGAAAAGAAAAAAAGAAAGGCAATGAGTTTCAGAACAATGTTGCATCACTGCTTTTTCACATCAACCAAACACCGTAAAAGTCCACCCAACCATTCCACGTCTCACACTAAAACCAACCACAGCTCGTGAGTTGATTTGGCATCGGTCATAAGGTTGCCAAGGAGCTTAAGAATAATAATATAATTATGATAATAACAATGCGTCCTTCTACAGTTGAATGACCAGTAACCGTCCGATGGTAGAACAAACTTTACTGCAGAGCGTGGGTGATAAAACAAAGAGGAGTTGTTGTCTTCTTACAGTTTTTTTTGGGTGGTTTTTTTTTTCGTATTTATAATATCCATTTTTGTTTTTCATAATATCTGCAACATCTCCCAACAGCAAACCACAGAGTTATGCTACTGGGGGATCCGAACAGTCAAAAACATTAACATACTATGTACACCTTTTCGTCGTGTAGACAAGCGCGTCAGCATCGTCGGCTCTGGGTAAATTTGTTTTTTCTTTAGTAGAACTCTTGTCCACTCCCTCGCCTCTGCAGCCGCCAGAGGGCCCCTGCCACGATGGTCAGGAAGCCCCAGGCCAGGGAAGAGCAAACCCCCCAACGCAGGCTGCAGGAGAGATGTGGGCCTGGAGAGGAGGAGGAGGAGAGGGGAGGCCTGGCTCGGCTCTGCCCTGCCCTGGGGCCAGAGAGAGAGAGAAAGAGGAGCCCGACGAGGAGCTCTGTTGACCGAAGGATGAGAGGAAAGAGAGCGGGACGATGGAGGCTCGAGGCACAGCAGAGGAGGGGAGGGAGGGTGTTACTCCTTAGGGGGGGCGGGTGCCGGGGTAGAGGTGGTGGGGGCTGGGGCAGGGGCGACCTCCTCGGTGCTCTCCCAGTTCTCTTGTGCTCGCGGGCCTGGGCCGGGTGTGGGACCAGGGGCTGGGGTCGGGGTCTGGGTGGGGCCTGGAGTCGGGGCAGAGGCGGGACCAGGACGCTGGGGGTTGTTCATGTGCTGAGCGGCAGGCCCGGTGTACGGCTGCCCGTGGGGATGGTTGTTCTGTTGAGAAGGACAGAGTTGGACACAAATCAGACGATTATCAAAAAAACAAACATTTCGATTAGAAGGAATAAAACGAGCATCAGCGGCCAAGTGTTTGGCCTGCCAGAGGCTACTGAGGGTGGTTTCTAATTTTCTCTTGTCAGCTGTGAAAGACAAATCAGAAATAAACTCATCCTACTTACAGTATCAAAAAGCTTGACATACTTTATTCTTTTATTATGAACACACTTTGTTATGAATCCATCATCCATCAGAAAAAAGAGGCAGGCTAGTGTGTTTTTTTTCAGCCTCTGCTCTTTTACAGTCGATGTCAGTGACACTCATTACAGCCTTATGTCTTAATGATCCAAAATCTATAAGAGGAAGACTCAGGCTGGGCTCAGAGATCAACAGCAAACCTCACTGAAGCAGAAGACCTTCATACATCTACTTTCATACGACTGTCTGAGAATCACGATGCTGCACTGTCATTGAATGTACAGGCATATAGTTCATCGAATAGTAACTATAGCGTCTATATACCTTCACACCGCAGAGTATTTATTCCTCATAACTCCAAATTTCCATCGCATCCGGATCAGCTCCGATCTGGAACCGCTGTCTGCCAATTCCTACTGGCTATGTTTGTGAGGCGAATTTCGTGGTGAATTACGGACAGCAGAACCTTTGAGAACTTACAAGAACCCGTGGATTCACGTGCAATGGCACGATAACAAGTTGCCTCTATAAAGGCTAACCATATAAGCAGTAGACTGAGCCTTCCAGAGGAAGAAATCTACTTCTAGACTACTAGAATCAGCATCTCCTCATCCATGGTGTCATCTGGGTGAAAAGCTGTCTATAAACCTTTCACTTGTTCGTCTACATCGGTTTGCATGGTGTGAAAAGAAGCCGGATGTTTTATTTTGTGCCTGTGCCGACTTCCTTTCCAGCAATGGTTAATCTGTGGTGAATTTATCCAGCATGCTCCAGCGTCCGGGAAAAATACAACTCTTGCGATCAGCTGCGGAATGGAAAGAAGCCGGTGGAAATTGACACATTAACTTGAATGGTTACGATGAGCTACGAGCGGCGGTGGAAATTGGGGGTAAGAAGCAGGCTGCTGTTAGAGAAAAGCTTGAACTCCATTTGCCTCTGTCTGGTGTATCCACATTAACTGGACCATAACAGTGCTTTAATTTCCAGTGGATGGAAAAAAATGACGTTTTGGTTCCTACATGATCTGTTTGATAAGTAGCTGCTGCCCTCTCGTGGTGCTTAATATTAACTACAAATGACGGCGAGGTTGAGACAGGCTTAATCTTGTTTTTTCGTATATTCATTAAACTACATGGTCTTTCTTAAATGGACCAGATGATAGCACTGGTCATGAGTACATTTATCAACTGGCACTTTTCACCATGTGGTGCTACACAGGTCTTTTTTCCAGAAGTTCCTGGTGTTATTCCGTTACCACACAGACATTCTGTACCCGACACAATGAGATGTGTCCTCCTGACCTTTTGCGAGCTACCAAAAGGACGTGATCCTGACACACTACCTGCTGAAACTGTGTGGTTCCAGGAGAATGAGGGTACAGAGACGTGTCCTCGGGTGGGGAGGAGTCTTGATCATCAGGTGCTTCCTGTTCATCGGGCTCCTAGCAGACATGAGATAAAAGTTATACTACATTAACTCCAACTATAAAATGGAAAAAATAACAGTCCTGTACACTAGATTTATCAAACATGTTCCACAGGAATTGCTACAATGTTTTAACAAAACTGTGTGTGTGTGTGTGTGTGTGTGTGTGTGTGTGTGTGTGTGTGTGTGTGTGTGTGTGTGTGTGTGTGTGTGTGTGTGATGTTAAGCTCCTGCACTTCAGTGTGGAATTATGAGTGGGTTGTAAGGGGATGTCCAACTGTGCTGTGTTATCGAGTAAATGAGGCTTAAACCAGATCTGATTACACGAGTGGGAGGATTCTACATCTGAGAGCTTCCTCTCAGTGATTCTTTGTGGAGACTATTTCATTTTCCATTTTTAATAAAAATGAGAGTGTTTTTCTTTGCTAGACTTTTGGTTGGTGATAATAGGAAGAGTGTCAAATAGCTTCATCACTCAACATGTTTGTGTTGTGCAAGAAAATAAGATATCTAACAACATATGATCAAACATATCATAAAAATAACTAAACATGAGGCTTATAATAAACAAAATCTATTGAAGCTTGTGTGCTAAGACACCCTAGGTTTATTTAGACTTCAATTTTTTCAAAGTTTGTTATTTTTTCACAGGTTTAGAAACAAAACTGTCAATTTTAATGCCTATCCCAGCTAAAGCAAAAACAAGCTATTTAGTGAGTTTCTTTTAATTTACAGTGTTTGTTAACAGTTAAGTATCTAAGTGACACACACTAACAAATTCACAGTATAGAGCTTTACTATTACTGCTTCTTGATTGTGTCAGGTGTAGATGTTTAAGAGCATCATAGAGCACTGGACTGAGGTAGGGGAACGGCTATGTTAGGGATGTTGTTTTGGCGAATCTATGACTTCACAACAGAACAGCTACTTTTAACATCTACCTTTAGGTTTAATGAAAAAAACTATATGGAAAATGGAAGTTATTTTAATAAACGGTATTTTTAACTTAGCAATTATTCCATCGTGGTGGTTTATTCTTGTAGACGTTAACATTCTTCCAGTAATTATTTGAAAAGTTCTGGAGAAGTGACGATAATGAGCTGCAGACAGCTTAGAAAAAAAAGAAACAGAAAACAAAAGAAAACAAAAAGACGAAGGTATTAAGAGTCCAGGAAATATTAAGGATAAGTGGTCCTCTTACAAATCAATTTTGAAGAACTTGTACTTTTTCTTTTATTATGATTAGAAATTCTCAGAATTTTGATATTTAATACCAAACCAATTTCTTTCTTATAATTTTTCCATCGTGTTTCAATCATTTTTACATTGGATCTTACAATTAACATAATGACTTCTCTTAAAATTGGCAGTAATTTGACTTTTGAATTGTTCAAATCTAACAGTTTTGATTTGCCATAATTTTTCATGTTTCCATCTTGATTTATTGACAAAATGGGCGCTGAAAGAAAACTGGGAATAAAATTAGTAAAAGAAAAAGAAAAAGAAAAGAAATACAAGGAAAAAAAGACCTTGAGTTTCTATTTTTATGTGTTCCTGCTACTACCTGCTACTGACTAAACTATGGGAAACTCAAAACTGTGCAGTATTGGAATAAATCAGTGTGTTGTGAGCTCTATATATCGGCCATTTTTCTTTGTTTCTCTGCTGATGTTTCAATTGAAATATTGTTTGATTTCCTTCCTTCATGTTGTGTTGCCTGGAATACTGACCTTCCCTGGGCTTCCCTGAGTACACTTGAGCTGTGTGTGGAATATTACAGGAGAGGTGTGTCACTGGATTTTTCAACAAAAAATACACGTAATTTTCTTAATTGAGAACAAAAATGTGATATATTTGAATCAATACAAATCATATTTAGCAGAGTAAACAAGTCACAGCTGTAGCTCAGGGAGGACATCTACAAGTAATGGCCTGCTGGAAATTAATGGGTCTAATTCAATATCATGTAAATGAAGTTTGTCTTGAAAACTAGTTCTATCAAAGGCTAGATAAAAAGAAACAGCTACAAAATCTAACCATATTTAAAATGATGAGTGTTCTTATCATTAGTTTTTTTTTCCCCCATTAAAAGGTGATCATACTCATTCAGTGGCTTGTTGACTTTATATGATGATGATTAGAAAGTTTCACAAACCCAAAATGAAATCTGTCTGGCATGGTTTGGCTCCCTGAGCACAATCGCTAACACAGGAAAATACTTTTTATGTGACGTGGGGTTAAATTTGTGCTGGTGCAGGTATGTGTAAAAAAGGATTTTATGTCGTTGCGATTACCTCCTCGGGACAAAGCTCGCAGGCTTTGGCCAGTGTCATACGTGCGCTGTGAGAGCGCTCCAGGAAATAGCCGTTGGAGGTCTCGTTGCTCTGGACAGGAGGGGACCAGTTGTTGTAGGTGTACTGGGGATTCCCTGTGTAAGGTCTCCTCTCCAGCTCGTCTCCTAACCACTCCACTGCCCACGTCCATTTTCGTTTCAGGTCACCATTACTCTGCAGAAGGGAGTAAATATTCTTATGAGCATAGATGGCCTCTACAAGCAAGAATGAGTCTGAATATGTGGATATCACTGCACTTTTGCCCTCCTGCTTTTATCATTTGTGTCTCATTGGGTTGATCGTACCTGTAGGATCTGGTAGGCCACAGAGCAGTTGCTAAAAAGCGCCACCATGCACTTGATGCACTGGTAGGCTCGTTTCTGGTAGTGGTTCTTTGAGCGCTGAATGGTATCAAAAAGCCCGTCTCTGTCGTCAGGAATGCCCTTCAGCACATTGTGGATCCTACACACAGACAGACACACACAGACACACACAAACAGAAGGAGATGGATTAAAAAACTCCTGTCACGTCCAGAACGAACCGGTGCAGCACAAATTATTTAAACACTGAGCAACGAGTCTGACCTGTGTGTCTGCCAGGAGTCCTCTATGAGCAAGATCTGTAGCAGCAAGTCCAGGTAAGGCCTCAGCTCATAGGTGTAGGAGTATGCCACCTGCAGACACACAACGTACACATTATGTGATCACAGTAAACACACACAAACACACACGTAAGCCTGCTTGTTTATAGAAGCGTGAGACGTTTACCTGCCAGAGCAGCTCACTGAGCACAGTGGATGAGAACTGAGGGTTCTCCCAGCAGCTGAAGCGGAGCAGCTTTACTGTCTCCTCCGAGTTGCTGCAGTCCTCAATGATCTTCTTCACGTAGCTGGTCCTCACAAAGAGGATTTCTGCCACCAGCTGCTGCACAGGCATCACCGGGGCTGTCAGGTTTGTGTCTCCATATGGGTTAGGGAGGGGAGGGTTACCTGGAGAGGGTGGAGAGAACATCCACGGTCACTTCCACTTGAAAATACACCTAACTGAGATTAGTTGTGCGTGATGTTTTCTCAGAGAGCCCTCAGCTCTAAGCTCTGCCTACACGAGGCTGAGTGCTCAGAGTGGCTGCTTTTGTCAGTCACCAAATCCTGAGCAAGGATGAAAATCCTCATTGGGCTCTGATTCGACCCGCCTAAAACCACCCCACAGTGCCAAGAGCCTGGCGGATAACTTGGAAAGACGTTTATGAGTTTTCCGTTCACATAAACAATTTACTAACTGCTATATTCATGATAAGTGCATTTCTTGCCATATTTGGGTAGGGACCAGGGTCTAAATTTAGTTCTAGGGTAACTGATAGACCCCTTGGAAAAGTCCCTGCTCAGAGGGGCAGTACTTTCTGGACTTCTGGGGACTTTTGGAGGCAGAGTCAGAAGACTAAGACTAGAGTTAATAAATTTTCAGCAGGAACTTAAAGAGATGTGATAGTATAGTCTCCCCTGGACCTCAAGCTAAAAGTTCCTTGTAATTTTGATGGAAAAGCACTTTTTTCTTGCATAAGTATTGATCAAGCTCTATTTTTTAAGTCTCATGAATCGTCAGAGTTTTTACCCATGTTTGTGGCTGGAGAACAAAAAGTACTCACCATTAATGGAGGACTGCATGCGTGACGAGACATCACAGCATCGGACCAGCTGGGAGACCACAGTGTAGAGCTTGCCCAGCTCAGCGTACTGGTACTTAATTGGAGGGCCAGGACCCTCGTCCAGTGCGACCAACATGAAGGTGGCAGGGACGCTCAGCTTCAGCAGCTGTGTCTTCTCTGCCAGGCCTGTGAGTGGGAAAGCAGCATCGTGAGTCCCCCCGACAAACTCGAGTCATAATTTCCATAATCTCTGGCGGTTCAGTTTGCCGAGGAACAGATGTTCACGACAGGAGTGTGATCGCGGCGCGCTCCTTACCCAGGTTGGCATACATGACAAAGAGGTTGAAGTACTGCTGCAGGTGACGGCCGTGTTCAGAAACCTCTCTTCTGAGCAGGTTGAGTACAGCTCTTAACAGGTGGTCGCTTAGACTGAGGTTATCACAGCCCTGATATATAAACAAGGCAAAACACAAACAAACCGAAGCAGGGTTACACCAATGAGCTTTTAGAAAATCCTTTCAGTCACAGAGCTCGGCTTAACTCTGGCACCAACCTGAGCAGAGGGTCCAGGTGAGGCAGTGGGGGAGGGGCAGGGGCCGTCTTGTAAGGAGAAGTGAGCGATGAAGACGATGAGCTTGGCAAACGCACCACGGACCTCAGCGCTCGGGCACTCTAACAGGTACTCCGAGAAGCGGTTGGGGTAGGCGAATAGAACGTTGTGTGCAAACCAATAGCGTACATTCTTACTGTGTCTCAGCAGGATGCAGAGGGCGTCATACCTGAGCGAAGGACAAGGTGAGAGTTAAGAGAAGAGGAGAAATGAGAGGAATCCTCATGGAAACAGAGGTTTGTCAGAGCTTACCAGTCACTGGCAGGACCCCGGACTACTTTCTTGGTGTGAAAACCTGTGCTGAAGAGGAACCTAGCAGCCAGCTGAGCACTTATCATAGCAATCTCCTCTGCCTCGGGCAGAAGATGGTCTTGTCCTGATAAAAAAAATAATAATAATAAAATCAAATGACGCTTGAAAAATAATTAATGTCACTTTCTTAGTTTTCACAGTTCAAAAACAGTGAATGACAAAGCAGGAAAACAGTCTCTATCAAGATGATCCAGATGCAAATTCGAAGTTTTGAGACAACACAGTATGAGAAACCACATGGGTCGGAAAGAAAAAAAGCAAGCAGTTGTTACTAGTAATGACCTTTTTAGCTTTTAAGCTGACAGTTATTTGTTCTGGAAGAAATCAACATTTCTAAAACATTTGTCAAAGTGTCCCACAGCTCAGTGTAATGTCTCTAAAATGCTCATTTTGCTTCACTCAAAGTTAAAGTCTATTCGAAGTAGAATAAAAGGAATAAAACATTCAGAGAATTCATAGAACAAAACAGATGGAGCTCAAATTCTTGATCATCATGCTTGAAAAGTGGCTAGAAATGTTTAACTGAAATACCAAATCATTGTACGGTCATTTCCCTCAATCAACCAATCATTGAGGCTTTCTCAAATCTGAATTTCTCCCATATAAACCAGAGACTTTAAATAATTTAGCTACAATTTCCTCCCAAACTGACATCTTCAAGTTGAAAGGGAAAGGTTTAATTTCAACCTCATAGACATCATTTTGTTGCAGATCCAGCACGACGGAAAAAAGAATTAATTTGATGAAAATGCATTTACTTCACTTCCTGTACACCTGGTGATATCAAAAGCTGAGAAACAGAAATCTTGTCTGGTCCTGCTGAGACTCAACATAAACAAAGATGGCGAGCAATTGAAAAGAAGTAGACTGAAAAAATCGACTCAGAACAAGCAAACTTGTCTGTTTTTTTCCAGTCGAGTCTTCTGGCTCAGTGGATGGCCTGTCTTGAAGTCCATCTCACAAACTGTATTCGTTAAAATTCACTTTGCCTCTGCTGAAAAATGATTATGTACACGCAGACAAACTCTATCACCCATCTTCACACACAGTAGGTTCTTTGACTCTGAATCATCCCGTCGAAATCAAGCATTGTGGTGCTGATCACTGCTTCTGAGCATTTATTTTCCTGCGGATCATTACAGGGCTCTGACTCCATTAATAATGCATTACGGAGGGAAGCGCATTTCTCGGCAAGCCCGTGCTCAACTCTACAGAACATCATGTCTTTCCACAGAGATGCTGTGTGTTTGTTGGTACCACTTGAAAACGTTATTGGTCAGACACGAACAGCAGAGATTACGTGATTAAGCTCAGACAGTAGCCGCTTTCTTTGAAAGGAAATCCACAGCTGAGACATGAGGCTTTTATCGCTGTTCACAAGATAAAAGAAACCCCGCAGAGATATCAAACACGCAGAGTAATAACTGAGGGAATGACGCCATACTGTGCTTTTTCTGTCTCTCTTACAACTTTGCACCCCCAAGTGTTGAGCCATACCAACACAAGTGTACCATTTACATTATTAAGATAAAAGACCGACATTAAAGCAAAACCTTTTTAAGTAATGGCTGAGTCTGTTTTTGACTTATATAAAACGGATATCTGATCACAGACTCAGTGGTATTCATCAATCACAAGCAGGGAGCAAATGATCAGGAATAACTGGCAGGCAATTTAGGAACCTAAAGGAGATTATTCTTGTGACAACTCAGCTCCTTTAAAAAATGTATCAGCATACTACTTTAACAGCCACACATAAAGCCCCAACTTAAAAAACATGGGCTCCTTAGACTTAATCCTTGTCAAACAAAAGAAAAATGTGTCTGATATCTGTCTCCTCCTGAGAGTTATAATTTCCTCTCTTAAATTGGTTTTAGTCTTTTCATTCCACTTGTAATATGGTGACTATAAATCAAAAATGGGGTTTCAACTTCCATTGGCCTTATAATCAAACAGGTCTGAACATCTACGCAGTGTAAAGACTGTTAATGTCATAATCTCGTGTTCTTAACCGGCGTTTACTGAATGTAATGTTAGTAAAAACCTCCAGCTTTTGTGTATATTTCTGCAAAAGTTCACATTTTGGGTGACCGCACTGTGGCTGCCCTAATACTCTTTTAAACATCAGAATATGTTTATCAAGAATGTGATTTGTAAAGAGAAGAAAAGGAAGGTGTAGAGAGCGCAGAGCAGGTCACAAATCACAATTGTAACTGCCCAAATAAATCACTAAAGTTAAGGAGTAACTTAACCAGCATCCTAAGATCCTTCTAGTTGAGTAAATGCCAACAAGAAATAGCTTTTAATCACAGTCTTTAAATGATTTCCTTTGCACCAATTTCTGTTTTTCTTCCCCAGTTTCTAGTTTTATTCACTTTTCCCCCCTCTCTTCCTTGAACTTTTCTGGCACAATGTAAGCACAGTCTGGTTCAAACAGCTTCTCTGTAGCTTTTAAAAATCATCTGCAGCCTTGTTTTCTGTTGATCTCCTCAAAGCTCCTGTGAGGGGCTTTCAGTATGTCAATTTTGGCGCCCCTGTGGACAGAGCGGATTTTGCTTTATGTGTTTTTTTTCAGCTGCTTGGCAGATACCGACCCCCCTGAACCAGTTTTATGCATCTAGAATTACAGTATAAAAATCCTCAATCTGATCTCTGATGGTCTTGTTTGCTTTTGTATGACTTAAACAGACATCAATATGAAGTTCACTCTATTTCATGAATATGAAAAAACTCCCCGCAGGAGCTTTATGACACCTTCACAACAGCAAAATAAAGAGTCAAAGGAAAGTGTCAGAGTGACAGACACAGTATGTCCAGTTACCATGGTGATCCACTATCACCAGCCTGACTGCAACAAAAGAGAGACATGCTCTGCTGCTGACTGTGTTTACCCCTCTCACAAACACGCAAAGCAGGTAACAGTGCTGGAATTGTACAGCTTTACAGTATATTACCTTTTTATATGAGGAAACGCTGACCTCAGTGCAGACCCCAGCCAGTAACACACACCTGAGGCACTACCTGTCAGCTAAATGCTGCTTGTTAAGCTACTATAGGGTACATTTGCAGCATGAAAAGTTGAACACTAACATCTCTAACGGCGTTCCCCCCTTTTCTCTAAAAATGACAGAACTGAAACCCAACTAACTCACACATGGATAACTCAAAGTCTGAAGAGTTCCTTTTTTTAAAATCCCTAAAATCCTCAACTGATAAAATTAAATTGTGCAGCTCCGTGATAAATTTCAAAAAAGCTTTAAAATTTTAAATAATTGAGGACTATAATTTAGAGTTATCATTCTATTGTTGTGTTTTTGTTTTGTATTCTATTTTTTTCTACAGTTATTTTTTCTTTTTGCTGATAAAAATATCTGGGATATCCCACGGTTTGTTTAGGACAGTGGTTCTCAAGTCCAGTCCTCGAGCTCCCCCCGTCCTGCATGTTTTGGATGTTTCCCTGCTCCAACACACCTGATTCAAATGATCAGCTCGTTATCAAGCTCTGTAATGGCTTAATAACGAGCTGATCATTTGAATCAGGTGTGTTGGAGCAGGGAAACATCCAAAACATGCAGGACGGGGGGCCTCGAGGACTTGACTTGAGAACCACTGAACATATGTAATATTTTGTATTTTGTTTTTGTTCATTTCAGATTCACACTTTGTCATCATAATGTAATGTATAAACAAAATAAATGTCATTCATTCAATTCAGAATCAATGCAGAATTATCAAATCCTGTGAAAACTATGTTTCATCCGTAACTCTTACCACACACAGAGAGAAAGTGATGCCTACCTGGAGGAGGGTTTAAATAGACACTGTTACAGGTCAGAAGTTTCTTAATGAACTGGAAATATTCCAGGCTGTATTGCATTCTGTTGTGCATGAATTGGACGTTCTGCTTGCGGACGCTGCACTCGATGACACCAGGCATTTTGACCTGATGCGGCTTGGTGGAGGAGATGGACAACTCTGAGATGTATTTGACAAGCTCGCTGTCCTTGTCCAGTGAGTCCATTCGCTCATAGAAAAGGATGTAGGCGTTCCACCAGCGCTTCTGCCTCCTGTACGACATCCTTTTCATCATGTGATCAAACACCTCGCCCATGTATTCCCCTCCAAAGCACTGGTTCTTCATCTCCTCCTCATCGTCCATCTTGCACTCAGTCACATCACCATCGTCAAACTTATACCAGCGGTTCTTCTCGCCGTCACCGCCATTCCTCTGAATAATGTAGGAATAGTAGTGTCCGCCACTGGCCTGGCCTGAGTGGACCAGCACTCCCACCAGACGGTATTTCGAGCTTCCCGGAGGTGTGGGCTCAGAGGGCTCATTCTGCTGGATCACCTGGTTCTCCGGGTTGACATCATCGCCCTCCAGCTTCGCCACACCGGCTACCGTGTACGGCTCCATGTCGAGCTCCCTGGGGAATTCAAAGTAGTCGTTAAACTTGATGGCGCACTCCCTCTCCCAGTCGTAGTCGAAGCGCTTCAGCTGGATGGCCAGGACTGGGGGGAGCTTCTTAATCAGCAGGCGCTTTACTGTGTCCACCTGATAAGGAGAGAAAACACTCTTGTTTAGCTCTTTGAATAGTTCATAAATAAAAGGAAGTTACATACTTAACACGGCCATTTACACCTCCAGATGCCTATTTTTAATCATGGCAGCTTATCGTACTCTTCCATCTGCTGGGTGCTTCATTCTCACCTTCTTATTACACTTCTCACAGTGATAGGCGTTGGCTCCCTCAAGCAGATCTCCTTTAACGTATTGCTCCATGGAGTCCAACAGGTTCTGGTGGTTTCTGATATCTACATTGAGTGTCGTGAATGACTCCTCACACTCATACCTAAGCACACAACAAAATCTTCGGTTAGATGAGCCTCAAGCAAATCCTCGGTTTAATGTCGCTGAGCTTATGTCCTCACCTGTGGGGGCATCCCTGACAGATCTTTTGGTCTGCGAAGGACCCTCCGAGCACCTTGCTGAGCATGGCAGGGTGACCCAGAGCTTTCAGAGCTTCATCCAGACTGTCCACCAAAGAGTTGAAAAACTCCAGAGCATCGTGCTGCTCTCTCAAATTCACAGGCTCACCCCATAACCTAAGAAAGAATGGACCAAAAATACAGATTAGAATCAGTGGCTGGTAAACAATCATCCAAAAAGTTAAAATCACATGACTTCAATATACCTGAACTGTTTCCAGAATCCTCTTGGGACGTAGTACTGCAACCTGGATGCAGCCAGGTGTCCAAAAATGACCTGTAGGTGGCGCAGTACCCCGATGTTGTACTCTTTCCTATCCTCTGACTTACTGGAGGGTTTATCATCAAACTGATGGTGGTAGCTGAACACTTCGTCCCGTGGGTCCACATTACTCTGGAGGGACATCATGAAAGTTGATGACTTGTCTCTTTATCAATAACAACTCTTTCTTGGTATGTTCTGATTCTGATCACAACCATGCAATTTAAGTTAATCTGAGAAATTTCTGACTGAATGGAGACCGTTCTCATTAGAGATGATTATCTTATCAGGACTATTTATGCCCGCTGTTGAAAATTGAGTGTAATTTGTGGCGACATGCGAGTGACTCAGCCTGTTGCTACAATGTCAAAAACAACAGCAGCTATTTCTAATATTGATATACAATACGATCGTTTTGCTTCAGTGGCACAAAACTCTCACTGTACCTCGTTCTCCTGCTTCTCGTCCCCTGACATGTCATCATCCACATCTGTGCCTGTGCCCTCGATGGCCAGGATGCCGTTGCGTATAGGAGGGATCATGTACAGCTGCTGAATGACGGAGTTCATATAACAAGTGGCTCCTGCGTTCTTCAAACCCACAAATCCTTTGTTCGGCCGGGGCCCCACCGGTGGCAAATACTCCCACTCTGTCAGTGTCTCACAACCTGGAGGGGAGAGAGGGGCGTAAATATGGGATGGCATTCGGAGATTATCGCTGAAGTACTGAGAAATGACCACACAATTATCTCCATACCCAAGTAGTACATGTCAGTCAGAGTGTCCACTATTTGCTTGAGGTTGCGGACGCAGCCCACAGCTAGAGCCACCAGGAGCTCAAAGCCGGCGTTAATGGAAGCAGGAGTGCTGCAGACTGGGATGGCCTGCTCTGTGGGGAACTCCCCACTCTTCATGTACTGCAGGTACACATTCGATGCAGGGAAGATGAAGTCGTCTATCAGCTCCTGATCAAGAGAAATGACAGAAGATCTCTGTGTGAGGTTGTGAAAAGGAGACTGTAGACATTTTTCCATCTTATTTCAAAGTTTGGTCTGTTTGGTCTACCTTGATGAGGTTGGCTCCTCCCTTCTCACAGCCGATGTAATACTTCTTCTCTGGTGTCTGGAAGGCTAGGAGCTCTTTGGTGACCCCGAGGTGGCCCTCCAGGATTGTCTCCTCCACACCGGTCTCCCCTGTCCTCTTGACCTCATCCTAGTCATTGAAAACACATTGAAAACCTCGACTGTGAGAGAAGTAAAGCAATCTTTCATGAGACAAAATACACTGGTTTGAATGCTGAGGGCATTAATCCAGGTCATGAATATATAACTAACCCTTATCCGTTTCAGCCAGTCGATCTCATTGTTGAGCAGCACCTCAGCGTTTGGCAAGTTGATGTTGCTGTTGTAAGCATAATTCAGCAGGTGTCGGAGCAAAGTGAAGTAGTCACCGGCATGTTTGGCTCGCTCCTTGGCAGTGCTCTGGTCAATGGAGGACACATACATTTAAAATTAAGAGTCCTCTAAGCCAACAGCTGGCAGCTGGTGGTGCTTAATGCCTCTAATAAAGACAGGGAGACACTTCTCAAGCCTTTAGGTACACAGGATATACATCAACTCACCCCCAGCACAGTGAAGAGCAGGGTGATAAAGAAAAGGAGGGGTCTGTGGCCCATACAACATCGAGTCGCCATCAGGAAAAACTGCTCCTGAGCCATCTGACGCACAGATCTGTTTTGAAGAAATGAAATCAGCATCATGAAATTCGTTCAGCTCTGTGAAATGCTGCTCCCACCGAGGCTTGAAGGATGCATCCAGGTGTACTCACTTGCTGTGGCAGTGTAGCAGCAGGTCTATGATGAAGGTCTGCCAGGCCTTCTCCTTACTTAGTGTGTCCAGAGCCGTGGGCATGAGGGCGAAACACAGTGTCATCACCTCCAGGGCCTCGCAGCACACCTGCTCATCTTCCCCATCTGGCTCCTTGGCTGCGTTCGTCTAATATTCAAAAAAAAGAAAGAGAGGAAAACATTATCTAAAAAATACACAGAGCACTGCATTTTTTACATCCTTATCCCTAAAAGCCCGTCAAAAGGACTCTGTCCTCTGGTTGAACCTTGCTCAAAGCTAAGGACCTTTTGAGACCGAGCTGTCCTGCCTCCCCTGGTCCCACAGCAGTCTGCATCTATTATTGAAGACTGTGCAACACAGCTGTCACTCAATATGCTCCTGCCTGCTGTTCAGTTTATTATATTGATACTGATGCTGACAGTCACGGAAGAAAGCTTTCTCAAAGAGGAGAATTCAAAGGAAACCCACCTTCTCATATATCTTGCTGATTTCTTCATTTGAACTGAAGACGAGCTGCACCGTGCCACAGCCGGACGCCCATACTATTTTCTGCACCGCTCTGATCACACAAATGTCTGGGATGTACTTCGATGCCTGGAAGAAATTCTGGTGAAAAAAATATTCCCAGGAAAGGCCGTGATTACAAACACTACAAGGAATTTTATTTACTCATCTAGCATTTGTTTGAATTGATATATTTAGAAAAAAAAAACTTTTCTGTAGTCATGTATAACCAACATGAGATTGTTGGGAGGACGTGTTAAGTGCTGACAGCAACAAAATTTGATTTAAAAGAGTGCAAAGAAAACAAATGTGTTCAAACTGAAACAGTTTTTGTTTTATGAAAAATATATGCTCATCTAAATTTGATGCGAGCAACATGTTTCAAAACCGTTTGGACTGAGACCACAAACACTTGAAAACTAAGAAATGCATAAAGTGGAAAAAAAAAATCTGGAAGAGAATCTCCAAACTAACTGCATTCATTTGGAACTGGTTTGTATTATGGCTGAGTATAAAACAAAATTGAGAGGTCAGGTCTATCAGAAGTAAACATGGGAAGAATTTCAACATTCTGTGAGAGACTGGGTGAGAAAATAGTGGAGCAATTCCAGAATAAAGTTCCTCAGCCTTAAACTGAAAAGTTGAGGATTTCATCATTTACAGGATAATAATATCGCTAAAACACTCAAGAGTCCGGAGAAATCTCTGCACTGACAAAGCCAATTAATGATACTGGATGGCCGTTATCTTCAATCTGACTCTGCAGTGGAAGTAACTGCATGGGCATAAAATCACATCTAAAAACCACCATTTGTCGCTGCATCCACAACCCTGCCAATTCAATCTGTGCCATGCAGAGAGGAAACCATACTAACTGTCTGAGTCTTCTCTGGCTCATTTAAGAGAGACTGACACAAAATGGATCACTGTCCTGTTGTCTGACAAATCAAAGTTTTCTAGACTTTGCCTAAATACAGCAAGAGGATGCTGTATTTAGGCAAATTTGCATTTTTCACATATTTTAACAGCACAGCTTTGTAGTAGAAGAGTCTCAACGCTTCACTGGCCAACCTAAAGTCTTGACTTGTCACTTATTGTAAACATTTTGAGCCTCATGACATAAAGGGAAACCAGCTGAAATCCTTCAGTCTCCTTTAAAAAAACGGGATAACATTCACTTTCAAAACTCGGTGAGATGCTCTTCCTCTGATTCCCAAATCGTAGTTAAGTGTTGGTAAAAGTAAACGTGACACAACGTAATAGTTAACATGCACTTGTCCTAACTGTTTTGAAACGTGTTGCTGACTTCCAATATTCAAATGAGAAGTTTGATGATGTGTTCTCAATGCACTGTTTTAAAATAACTATAAGCTTTAAAATTTGCTAATCATCCTTACACCCACTTTAAAAATGTGATATTTAATCTTACATTGATTTAACATCACCAAGTTGTAACTTTGTTTACAGCATTATCTGACAAAAATACCTGACAGGATGCTTCTACTTAAATCTACATATCTAAGTTCATTGTCGCTGCATGTCTGATGAATGTGAATTCGTACAAACCCTTTAGCTGATACTTACATTTTCTGTTACCTCGTCGGAAATCTGCTGGGCCAGGCGGATGGCTACGTTGCGCAGCATGCACTCTGAGGCGGGGTTGGGGATGTTTTGTAGGGCGCTTTGGAGGACTAGAGCCTGGTCATGAGTGGCTTGATTTATCTGCACACAAGCAAAAGACGTGATGTCAGAGATATGGCAGACAGCCACGAAGAAAACCAGTCATGCGGGTTCACCTCTGTGTGAGTTATATGTGTGGTCTAACCGGAGAGACAGGAATATTCCCCTCTGCGTTCGGCTGGCAGGCCTCAGCCACAGCTTTCACATGCCCGAAGCCTACAGCAGTGAGGAGGAGCTTAGCGATCTTCAGAGCATTGAGGTAGGCCCCGCGCCGTGTCTCCATGTCAGCTGATGGGAGGAAGTTGTTTCTCGTGAGCATGCTCAACACCAGGGGCAGCCCACCACTCTTTAAGAAGTTGTACTGGAAGTCGCTGGCGTCCTCGCCCAGAGTAGCACTGGCTGGCATCAGCAGCGCGTAAACAACCTGAAACAGAGGCATGAATAATGTAAGCTTTCTTTTCACAGAGTTTTAAAGCGTGGTTTTCTTGATTGAATAAATGCACAAACTCCGAAACGTTAAATTCTCTGCAGCTTTCCTGCTAATGAACTTATTGGACTGGATACATATTCATACGCTATTTTTGCATGTGAACAGAGCTGACAAGCTGTCCGACTGGAACAACATCTGTACAAAACAATAATAGATGAGCTTTTGATAGAGTCCTTTTCAAAACAAGAGTTATAAAGAGTTCAACACATGCTTGAAAACCACAACAAACAGGGATCACAGAATAAAACAGAGAGACACGAGGAATAATCAACATCTCAGGACGGGTAAACAAAAACACCAGGATTAATATTCACATCCAGGTGTCTGAAATTGGACACCATGTGGTAGTTAACCATAGTGAGACCTACCTCAATGAGGTAGAGCACTTGTGAAGGTGAGGGGCCGAAGAAGCGAGAGTCCAGGGAGGGGCTGAGGCTGTTCTCCCCAAGCTTAGCATGATCCAAACACACAGCTCGCAGATTCTCTACCGTAGTGTTATCTGAAGGTAAAAAATATGGCAGGTGAGTTGACAAAGTCTGAATGCCAGTCTGCGTGGGTGTGCGATTTCCCTAAGCGAACTGCCTTGTGTTAAGAGAAGAGGTGCCTGTATACCTGGGGGCATGAGTTTCATCAGAACTCGAGCTCCATCTCTAAGCAGGGGCATGTTGAGGTTACAGCCCAGATCTGCCACTTGCCACAGGAAGGAGATATAGCGAAGATGCAGCGACATGATCTGTGGAATAAAAAGCAGGGAGTGTTAAAGAGTGTCGCCGTTACGTGAAAAAAATCACCGATTTAGGGGTTACAGCAAAAAATAACTGATGTAAACACACCAGGGTAAGTCATGCTGGCATTTTGAGCACATGAGTTTGACAAACAAGTAAAAGAGTGCTTGTTTTACTTCAAGTTCTTATCAAATCAGCGTGATTCAATTCACACTGTAAACACGACCCCACTCCGCCTTTTGAATGTCAGCGATGTATGTGCAGGCGAGAGGGAATATCTGTTTATGCAGTGCATTATTTATCTGTGCTGTTTAACTCACCACACCAGGAAGACAGCTCTCCACCTCAGGGTTGGGCCCATCGCTGTAGTGGTTGCCATGGTTACCAGGGGAGCCGGTGGATGAGTCAGACGAGCTGTCTGGGCTGGAAGGCATGTTGGCACTCACCTGGGTCAGCTTGGCCGTGATCAGCTACACATAAATATTACAACCGGTTAATGCCAGTCCGGTTCCAACTAAACGTGGTTTATGTTCATTCATTCAGCAGCAGATATACAAGCTTCTTTCAATGTTTCACATGTTTTCAGATCGAGTATTCTTATTGGTTATTAATGACCTGCGAAAACATAAGCAGAAACAGCAGAGCATTTTTAAGGTCAACAACAACAGAGGTAATACTAGCGCAGAATTCATACCGTTTTGTCCTTCAAATTGAGCTGTCCAATCAGCTTCCTGTCATCAGCTGGATCAACAACCTCCCCGCCGATAAAGAGCTCTATCTTTGTATGTGCAGCGTTGGCTTTGATCCTGTTCAGGATGCCACGTCGGACTGAACCGATTGTGTCATTCGTGTGGGACCAAATATCCAAGTCATCCACCTGACGCCCCTGGTTTGGGAAACGGACGATCAATGTGATGTGCTTCCCACGAAAAGCTCTGCAAGAGATAAAAAGACAGAGGTTTTAGGTTAAGCTTCTGAATTAAGTAACAAACATTTATAAAAAGACGATATCGATGGATTCTTATAACTTCAAAAGGTCATCTCAGCATCAGAATATAATAATGTTGATTTAAAGTAGAGTATCTACAGTATTTATAGAAGAGCCGACTCAGTATCATCATATTTGTACCTTGACATCGGCAGTATAGTCCTCTCTTCATGGTAATCACTGTCACACTCATTGATGTACTCCTTGAGCACAGTGAGAACTCGCACCATGCGAATAGCCTCCTGTCGGGCACAATTAATGCTATCTTTGTCTCCATCTAACACACACAGCGTGTCGTAAGACGCCTTCAGACGGTCAAAACATGACTGAATGAAATCTTCATGGATTTCAACCTGAAAGGAGAAGAAAGAGATCCAGAGATAAATGAAAGTAACTTTGACGTCTTAAAGACACGTCAGTTGATGCATACACTTCATGTTGAAATATTTGAGCAGAGGGAGTCACCCTACCTGGTTGACTTGTAGTTTTGGTCCAAGGTTTGTGTAGATCTCTTTCAGCAAGTCTATAGCTCGGCTGGCAATGTCATCACTACCTTGAATAACAACCTGAAAAAGAAAAAAAACGTTTTGTAACACAAAGAGACAGACTTGCAGGTGTGCTTATGTGTCTGTAGAGATCAATTCTCCAGATTAAAGAAGGGTTTCATAACCACCCCTAACACAAGGTCTGAGGATTTATCTTTGAAGTGTCGTGGCACTTCCAAACCCTGACTGTTCACATAGCTGTGACATTTTATATGCATATAGACTTGTGTTTGCTCAGAGCTCTGTTTTTACGATGACGCAATAAGAGAAGAAAGACGCATGAAAAAAGGACAAAGAATATTAAAACTTATGGATGGTACAATATTTTGGCAGCAAGTCAAGGTTACAGTATTTCTTGCAATATTAAAAAAGAAAAAAAAAACACAAATAACTGAAACTGTTATGGGAAATTAAGGCTGTAAACCCTTCCCCTAGAGCAGTGGTTCTCAAGTCCAGTCCTCGAGGCCCACTGTCCTGAATGTGTTGGATGTTCCCCTGCTCCAACACACCTGATTCAAATGATCAGCTCGTTACAGAGCTTGCTAACGAGCTAATCATTTGAATCAGGTGTGTTGGAGCAGGGAAACATCCAAAACATCCGAAACATCCTGTGTAGATTTTTTTCCTTTTTTTGCATTTTCTCAAATATTTTGAAGGTGATGATTTGCTGAGTGGCCTCTAACATCACTTGGATTACCTGACGTGTGGGACACTGCTGTCTGGAAACGTTTGCACTTCATTTTCCTCTTTATTTTTACTTCTCTTTTGCCGTTTCTTGACACAGGATAACCACAAAATGCTTCTATAGATTAGATTCAAAAGCCTCTGGAGTATCAACAATCACAAAATCACTTTCCTCTCCTTTACTTCACTGTGGTTGAAACAAAACACCATACATCCCTCTTGCAAAATCCTAGTTCTTTTCTGTTTTACACTTCAAATTTTCCCAACAATACGAACATAGAAACTGCAGCTTTGTGAGTAAGGGGAGAAGGTTTCAGATAGAATGGAGCCATTACAGCCATTTCTTCTTGGCTGGTGATTTTCTTCAAAACAACTTACAATTGAATCCATAACACTAAGAGCCTCATAACTCGTGTTGCCTCATTATCTGCTACACACTGATTATTATACTCTCGGGTATGGTTTAGGCTGTGTTGACATGAATCATTGCGCAACATGAGAGTTTTAGTTCTATGAACTGAGATCTACTTATATGCCAGAAAACATAAATATATACTTAATAAAACCTTAGCAAAAAAACACACATCTTCATTTCTTCCATTAGAAGAGGGACAGAGCAGCTTCTCTCTGCTTCCCTCCCTTCACCTGTTCAGCCGACTAAAGTGCCACAAGGCTTACAGATGCATGAAGTAACATGTAAGAGTGCGAGAAAACTAGGTACAGCACATTATGTGAGTGATTGCTCTTGAAAGATGTAGTTCTTCAATAAATTTCAGATTAGAAGGAGGCCTAGCTGAACAAAATCCTCTCTGAAATATGCAAACAAAATATTTATCCAACCCAGAGCCTTTAAAACGTCAGGCATTTCTTAGTTCAAGACATTTTATGGTATCAAAGGTGGCTAAACGGTTCTCTCTTACCAAGGTCTTCAATTTGTAAAAGGTAATAGAAAAAATGCAGCCAGCAAAAAGAGTGGCACAGCACTTTCATCTACCAAATAATCAAAAACATGGGTTTGTGTGTGCCTGTTGGAACAAATCTCCTCACCCTCCAGAGGTAGTCCAAGCCTATTAGTTCCAGGTCATCCATCATGTAGGCTCTGCGCTTTGCTACCAGCTTGCCCTCCCTGCAGTTGACAGCCTTGAAGAACCTCTCGAAGCACTTCATGCCATTCTCCGTGAGCAGAGATGGGTCCAACTGCAGGACGTTGTTCTCAAAAAAGTCCTTATTGATGTCTGGATCCAGGTCCGGCTCATCCCCCATCAGCTTTGAGTACCTACAAGGGAGCGGTAGAAAGCACCAGAGCAATTGTTTTGCTGATCGATAAAGGAAAGGAGAAAATAATTCATGCCTGAAAGAGAAAGAGGAAAATCAAGCTGTACCATTTAAAGCAGGCCTCACGGTCACAGAGAAACACCGCATTCTCAGCCAGGCACTTCCAGATCTGCTTGGCCTGAGGGGCACATAACCACAGTTGGCCATCTTTCAGCAGGAACCTGAAAAAGACAACAAAGAGCAAATCAATAGTGGACAGCGGCAGCTTGAAGGTTAGAGAGGCTACCTTGTGAAGGTCGGGTTGTAGGTCTCAGACTTGAATCAAAATAGTCAGTGAGAGGTGTATGAAGTCTCTGGGTGGCACCTTCTCCTTATTTATAACCTACTGTTGTCCTTGAACAAAGTACTAGAACAACGAAGCTTGAGTACTCTGAATGTGCTGCACGGCTCACACAGGTTTAATGGAAGTCTGTCATCTTTGAAGGATGTGTTTTACTTAAAGACAATTTGTTTTCTACATGACATCTAACACAAACGCATAGATACAAACTCAGATTTTGACAATTTAATTGGACCACTGTCTGCAAGCACTGGGTGAGGATCGATTTACAGACAAATGTACTGTATTTTTCAGGCGATAAGGCACACCGGATTATAGGGGCGGGAGAGAAAATCAATCCACATATCGAAATTTTTTGTTTCACAATTTCTAAATCGACTTTTAAGTTCAAAAATGTTTTTTTTCTAATTTAAGAATAAATCTTAAAAAAATGACTTAAATATGATGTGTATTTAGACAATTATAATCATTCAGCTGTTTCACTGCTGTTGCAGATTAAAAATCGAGAAAATCGACAATATCGTAAAATCGCAAATTTAATCAAATCCGCATCCAAAAAAATCGTAAAAGACTTGAACTGGGAGAAAAGCATATCGTCCCAGCTCTACCGGATCATACAGTACACTGTAAATTAATGTGTCTATGTTTACACATAAGGCATTAAGTATTGACTGGTTTATTGTTGCTAGCGATTACTCCGGGCCCGGGCTGCCTTACATGAATGCACTTCTAGTTTAGACATTACAGTCAGGCAGTGTTGAAGACTGCTCAGGGGTCCTGTTAGTGGGCCAATCAGGTAGTGGCACAGCGTACCGTAATGCTACGAATATCCATTGAGCGGAGCAACAGAAATCGTTCGGTAAGCACAACAAATCATCATACATAAGGCATGCTGGATTATAAGGCGTACTATCAATTTTGAGCAAATTGAAGGATTTTAAGCGCGCCTTTTAGTCCGAAAAATACGGTATGTCACTTCCAGTGTAGTGACATTACACCTCCTTTTAGCTCGTCACTACTGGACCTTTTTATAGCGAAACTATGTCGTCACATACCAATACAACTGACTCACAAGTTAGCAAGAGGTTAACTGAAAACATATCAACTTCCCAGCCCTGTACTCTAGGCTTAACTGTTGGTACATATGAGATACTATCTTTGACAATGATGGCTTCCTTCACTTCTGGGTCAAAGTACACATGCAAGAGAAGGTCAATCCCCAAACTCGTGACAAGTCTATAATGCATTACTGGACAATGACAAGATGAAACAACTGATCCCAGTTAGAGATAAACCAAACATAAGAGCTACAGCAAGATGTGCATGACTTCAGGTTATTCAAAAATGGCTTCAAGCATGCAGCAAGATCAGTTCAGGAAGCTTGAAATCGTTCTGTAGTTCATTCATAATATTTTTTTTTTTCGGTGAAATGTTCCTTTAAAATCCTCCTCACGTGTTTTCACCCACTCATTCTAGTTTTATAATCAACTACACTTGGTCTGAAGCAAATAACCAAACATAGTTTTATGACTGTTTGCACATAACATGCAAGAACCAATCACAGCTATTTACAAACACGGTTCAGCTGGGTTTCACATGTCTGCTCTGCTCAGACGGTGACAGGCTCTCATTACAAGTAGCTCGGTACACATTCCACGAGCCAACACACTGACTGAGCAGTTGACAGCCGGCGAAGGTAGCCTTCAGGGATTTCTTCTCCCGGAGGTGGTTCTATAAACTAGAGATAGCTGCTTCTCAAACAGAGAGCTGAGGAGCAGAAGATAGCAGGAAAGAGGTGAAAAGCTCCAGTCCTCTGTTGAAACTTGAACCTTTTCTAAGATCAGATTTATTCTGTTACCAGGCAAGAGTCTCAGCTTTCATGCAAACACAACACCTTTTTTCATTTTATATATTTGAGCATGAGACGTTCAAGGTGATGCTGTACCTCAGGAAGTTGAGCCGTTCCTGTACTTCCTGAACATGGCTGTAGCGGCTTCCTGGCCTGACCGTCTGGGGGTCAAACTCAGCTTGTTCTTCTGTAAAGGCAGACAAGACCAGTGCAGTCAGAGCGCTGACAGTCCACATCCCTCATTCAGCTGCTTTATTCATGTAACTATCCGATGAACATGTTGATGTTATTCCATGATGTGACCGTGTGTACCTTTCGAGAACTGCCTCATTGTCTCCATGTAGGCCGAGAGGTTCTCAGCCACCAGGGTGACCAGAGCGTGGTTATGCTGCAGCTGGTTGATCAAGTCGTGGCGGTAAAACACATGAGGACTTCTCTGGGTTTGACTGGGGAGAGAACAGCGGGAAAAGTGGAGGATGTAAAGAGGACACAAACAGACATCCAGTTCAGATCCGATGGAGAGAAAGAGAGAGAATTCAGCTGATATTACGTACTTTGTCATGATCGAGAAAACATTGCATGGCTGATTCCAATTCAGGGTCATGGCAGCTTCTGGTATGTGTATAATGTGTGTTTGTGTTTGTCATAGAGTAACCAGCAGAAGAAGTCATATCAACAAAGGTAATTTCCTGCCTTGTTTTCCACATCATAGAAATAAATCTGAGAATCAAATGAGGCTGCAGCTCATGATTTCGTTTATAAAGCCACCATTTTGCAAAGAGTCACACAATAATCATTAACATAAATATCAGTTCAATTACAGATGTTGAATCATCATAAGAAAGAGATGGCTCTGATTCATTAAAACTATGATTCAAGGTTGCTGCTTATTGGCAGCTCAATTAAGCTGAACAGAAAAAGCGCATTCTATCACACACTCTGCAGCTTATTATTCCCCAAGTTCAACATCTATATGCAAATGCTGAGGAGTCTGCATCAGCGTCAATTTGAAAGAGTGGACCCAAGACATGAAATACCTCTGATATTTTGCATTGAGTAATTTGTGCTGAATAAGATGGCTTCAGGAAGAATGGGGCTCCATCTCAAAGGACCTCTGGTTGAGTTGTGCAACTGCCTAAGATAAGAGAACTATTTCGTGTACGCACTCAATTATTACTTTTTTTTTGGCTTCTTACTAAGTGAAGTGCTTTACTGAATACAAGATTAATACCCACCACCAAGTGAGTTACAAACATTTGCCTGTTTCTGAAAAATGACTAACTTTGTGAATACCTGCCAAAAGTAACTTCCAATTTCCACCGCATTCAGAACGGCTACGAAAAGGCCGTATCCGCAGATCGCAGCTGATCATAACCATTCAAGTTATTGTGTCAATTTCCATCGGCTTCTTCCTGTTCCTCTGCGGATCGCTAGAGTTCTATTTTTAACACCATGGATGAAGAGATGCTGATTCTAAAAGTTTAGAAGTGGATTTCCTCCTCTGGAAGGACACAATCTACTGCTTATATGGTAATATGGCTGCCTTTCTGGAGACAACTTGTTATCGCGATTCCCCGCTGTCCGTAATCTGCCATGAAATTCGCCTCACAAACGGATCCAGTAGGAACTGGCAGACGGCGAAAATTGCTGCCATTACGGATTGGAGCCGTTCGGGACGTGGTGGAAATTCGGGGTGACATGTTCGTCATTGCTAGTGCTTGTGAATGAGTAACAATCAGTGCAAGCAAAACGTGTTTGAAAATTGACATCTATTCTGATCTCTTGGTGACTTCAAACTGAAGGTAGAGAGCTACAAGCTTATGTGATTGATGAGTTCCTGGGTTGTAAAGTTTTCTTTCATGGTTACCTGCTTTCTGACTGAACATGTGTGCAGTAAACTGGCTGGGGAACCAGTCCTTTGAGATGAAACCCAAGAAAGCATTGCTTTAAAGCGTTGTGAGGAATGTTTGACTGGTGGAGAAATTGACTCAAACTGGTACTGAAGACTCTTTACGTCCTCCAATAGCAATCAAGATCATTTCTCTGTGCTAAGAGTCGGACCAGATGATTCACCAGCCGTTTTACTTTTTTTCACTGCAAAAACAGTGCGATGGATTTCACTGTTTGAAGGCGACAGTATAAGGTTATTTTCACACATTCAGGACAAGAGATGACCCTTTGTCCACAGGGGGCGCCAAAATCACTAGAGTACAAAGAGTTCCTCACAGCAGCTCTAAGCAGATTCATAGCAAAGATTCATATCTCATGTACATCATGGACATCTTGAAGAGAAAGTTAGACTTGACGTAACACAGGAGCGGGTAGAACCCTGGAATTGACTCTCAACTTACCCCACTAAGTTCGTTTGTATGTTAATTGGCATTTTCTTTCTGAAAAACAACAGGCATGCATACTGCATATTTTCTACATGGACTAGAAACTTCAAACCAAAATACTTTTTAACGTTTGACATTATGACTACAAAAATATTACATTTCTCCAAAAAAAAGTACTGTAGTTAGTTATGTTAAAAATGCTTATATTTGTCAACTTCCAAGACTCTGTTCCCTTCCTGGCACATTTGTGTAAACGTGTTGTCACATCACAGTTATTATGGCTGTAAAAATTCTTCTTATTTGTTACAAACACCCCATCTTTTTGACGAAATCCAAAAAAACTCTCAAAAAGTTAAGTCACCTGGCAACTATCTGTCATCATGATTTACACTGTTAGTAGCCAAACACCGCAGTATTGGCTAGAGTGAGATCCCCAGTTTGTGTTAACTTTGCAGAGGGAAAGTTTATGAAGCCTTTATTTTGAAGCTTTCTTATACTGTAAAATTAGGCTTTTATTTTGACATAAAATATACACTTCTTATGTAACCTGCTGAAATGAGTTAAAATGATGGTTACAGAGTGTAAAGGTTCAATGTATGTTCTGTATTGCTCGCTAGCTTTCCTGCGACATGCTCACTGACAGTAAAAGCATTTCATACTTCTGACTTTGCTTTTTTTTATTCATCATGTGGAGCAGTTTGACATTTTGCGCTGCAGACATTCAAAACATGTCAGAACAGGAAAAAACTCAGGTGAAAGTAATAAAATCAATGCAACCAGATTCCATTAAGCTGCATCTCTTTCCTCTGGTTTTCCTGCTGCAACAGTTTGTCATGTCTAACCTTCAAAGAAACTTTTAAAACCTGCTGAGAGCGCTTGACAAGTTAGTTACCAGACTTAACAATTAGCAAGTCAGCTGTAGTGAAGGGGCGAGTCAGACTGGCTGGATGTTGTTAAGCTTGGCTCGGGCTTGTGGTGATTAATGTTAAAATCTCCTAACAGATGTTAAAGAGTTTTCTTGCAGAGTAACAAATCAAACTGTGTCTCTTCCAGATCTTTAAATGAGTGTGAAAATGAAGAGTCTTAGTTTTTTACTGCCAAATAGATATGAACAACACGCAATAAACCACTCTGTACTCACCAAAAACTGCAGAGTATATGTTCCTTTGATATTGATTTTCTACTCAATTTGTTTTACACTCGTATCTTTTGCTGCAAACTCACCTGAGGTTTTGAGGGGCTTCTCCAAAGAGACTGCAGATTTCTCTGATTTGCTTCAAGGCAGGGATCACCCATTTGTCGTTGGTTCGTAGCTCCTCTATGAAGCGATCTATCCACTGAATCTTCTGTGTGTCCCTGTCCTGTGAGTGGAAATGAAACAGCATAGTCAGTCAATCAAACCTCTTATCTGTCAGGCTGTATGTAATTCATCAAGAACAAATACAACAACCAAACACGTACCTGGGAGCAGCTGTAATCCAATATCTTGATGTGAGCACTAAGAGCCTGGTCCATGATGTCCACGGGCACGTCATCGCTGTGTGCCAGGTTCCACAGCAGATTAAGGACCTTGTGGGCCATCACTCCATCCTTATCATCCTCAGCCAAGCGCCGGATGAGTTCTAGCAGTTTTTCACGCTGCTTCTTGCTGGCATTTGTCCAGCTTGCCTGTACAAGGGGAACAACCAAGAACAATGGTTAAAAGAAACAGAAACACTATAACATTGATGTGATGCATTATCCCTGGTTTACCAAAACAGTCTCTCACCTTGAAGCAATCAAAAAGGTGATCAAGCTGCTCCGGGGAAAAGTCCCATGCCAGCTTGGCCAGAAGATCGTGGACATTCTTGACGATGGCCTCATGCTTACCAGCCTGCAGATACACAGAAACATCAAGACTGTCTGGTAAACCAATACTTTCTTCACCGTCTCAGCAGAGTCTGAGAGTAACTGCAGTTATAATGCAGACATCTGGCAAAAACACTTCTACTTCTGATGACAGCTCACTTTCTGTTATTTCTGATGTGTTTTTCTCACATTGCAGACATTGTATTCTAGGTGTAATTTTGGTCTAATCACACCATTTACCTTCTTTGTGCACTATGCCAATCATACCATGTGAGCACTACCCCATACTTACATTGTCAGGAGTAAAAAACTGAAATAGATATCAGCTAAGTCCAAACTCCCAACTCAACAAAAAATGATGGAGAAGGTTTTTGGCTTCCACTACTATAACAAAGCTTGAGTACCTCAGCCAGGCTGTCAAGTCATGTAGTCTAACAGTCTTTACTGTCTCCAGACTCTTGCTCTTCACAAACAACACAATAAGGTTGTCGAAATGTTAGATATTTGGATGCATTTCGATATTAAGAGCTTTAAAATGCCACAATGTGTTATTTTTATATTCACTGGAATTTAAATGTACTGAAGCTCATTAAAATAACAGATCGACTCTCATATTTTCAAGGCTGCAGAGACTAAAGGAGACGCAGGGAGGAGCAGTAGGTGATTACCATAGAGATATAAGACAATAATGAGAACGAGAGCGGCAGTACAGGTAACAGAGATTGAAAATTGCAGTCATTAACTAAATATTATAGTGGCTACCCCCTGGAGATTTTAAATATACATCTACAAAGGATAATTCAGGAGTTTTTGTTTGATAAAAGATCATTTTTAGGAAAAAAATTAGTTATTTTGCCTTTTATTTCTGCTCTCTAAAAGTGACTCAAACGTTGGTTCTCTGAATTTTTCTGTACCAGCAATGTGTCCAGATGGGAATTTAAATTATGTCCATTAACCATGGTGCAGAGGATTCGATTTTTGTTGCTGTGACATTGAAAAAGGTATTGAGATTGTTTGAACATGATACAAAACTTGTAAAAATCAAAGTTCTGGTGTCGTGACAACCCCGCAGAGCCTCCCTAAAGTCATTATGTGTTACATCACTGTTGCTCAAGTAGCAGTGCTTAATTGTCTAATAGCTTAATCCAATTAAGCTTTTCTATTGGACCAAAACACACCGAGATCCGTGGTATTAATAGGCACAGTGGCATAGACAAAGGACATACAGGAAAACTGAATGCGGACAAAAGGTAAAAACTACATAATTATGCAGAAATAACATAATACAATCAGAAATAGTCCACATAAATATTTTGGTTTTCAATTATTGCATGTGACGTTTGAAACTCATCGTTGGAATCACGAACAGTACTGTACCTGTGCCGCCCAGATGTTGTCCAAATCCTGCATTGTAAGCGCTTTCTCTTTGATAACGAAGCGAAGGATCTTCTCCAGTTTCTCCACGTACTGAGGCTGATGCAAACTGTCCCTCAGCACGATAGACAGGATGTGGTTCTGCTGGATCCACTCCTAGAGTCAGGTGATAAGACGTATAAAAAGGAGAGATGGAGTTAAAAGGCCAGAAATCTTTGATGTGAAGCACAGAAGTGGAGCGCAGCTCTGCGCTTACCGCCATGCGCTCTGCAGTCAGCCACTCCTCCTCTTCAGGGTTATGCCGATGGGTATAGTAGGACACGCTGGAGATCACCTTGTTGACTTCATTTAGTGCATTCATTTTGCCGTTAAAAGAAGAAATTTGCAATAACCTGATGATAGAAATGAAGCGATTATTCAATTAGCTTCAAATCCAATTTAAGGTACATGATGATGATGATCTCAGAGCAGTACAGACATGATCTTTAGGACTCACCTAAGAATCATTTTTAACCTAAAAATCTCTAAATTCTTCACGGTCTCCTCCTGCCCTGGTACGCGAGAAGCCAGATTCTTCAGAGACTTGATTATCATGGACAGTGCGTCGTTTTTGGCTTCATTCTTGGCCTCTTTCTTCAGCTCCTCATCTGTTAGATTCTCTAGAAACTGGGGAACCATCTCGATGACTGGAAGGAAGTACTTCTTTACTGTGTGCAATGTGAGGAACTCATAACACTGGCCAAAAGGTCTGTAACAGAGAGAGCGTCAAATCAGTCGGCATGTAAACCTGGAAAAACATCAACATTATGTTTTGGAGGTCTCTGACATATTGAGGAATGAAGAGAGCCTCACTTGATAAGTGCAGCGATGATCTGGACGTTCAGTGCTTGGCCGCTCATAAAGCGATCGTGCAACATTTGAAACCCGTTTAACGTGCCGAATTTGTTTATTAAGTCCACCAACCAGCCCTGTAAAGACGGGAAAAAGGGAGAGAAACACATCCGTTAGCTGAGAGATAGTTCACAAACTGTCCTTCCTGCCTGTTAAGAGACTTACTGGAAAAGTATACTTCCTCATATTTTGTTTTCACTTGATTCATGAATATTTCCTGCCAAGTTCATCTAAACAAACCTGTACACCAACATTTTTCAGGGTAACTCTTTCCGAAATGATTTAATCCCTATTTTAAAACCAACTTCGAGCCAAAAACAGAGTCTGGTTTCTGTTTTGCAGTTTCATATTTGGGAACGTCTGATTAGATTTCAACTTGAATGAAACAAAGAAGTTGAAAAATCTGACTTCATAATTGCACAGTAGAACCTTAAGTAGTCCTGGGCCCCCTGCCAACAGAGGCAGACAGGCTAGCAGTGCTGCAGTGCTGTTTAAACTGACCCTATGCCCACGCTGTATTCATCACTCGTTCACAGTAAAATTCCTTTTCCCTGGTGTATCCACCTTCTCTTTTATACTATCTGGTAACTGACACGAGCACAAAGTGTCTTCGGGACTGTGAGTTTCAGATTTTTCATTATCAGACTTCTCCAGAGAGGGATTCTCTTTGTTTCAGTGTGGCCCTCAGGGTAATTCTAAAATGCCACTTTGTGGATTCTGTCCAGGCGAAATAAAGACACACCAACTGTCCTCTGGAGGGAGAAATGGCTGTTCGTACGAGATTATTTTCCATCCTCCTCACAAGACACACATAAAATTATTTTAAGTTACAACCAATTGCAGCGGTGACTCACCTTAGGGGAGCGTGGGTCTGGTGGTCTTGCGAAGAGCTCATCATCAGCCAGCTGTGCTCCGGCGGGGACAGTCTCTGAGGGACGAGTGCCGTTGTAGATGTGGAACTTGCAGTGAGGGTTGGTGGCCATTGCCAGCAGCTCAAGTAGAGGAAACCAGTCCTGAGAGAGCTTGGCCACACACAGCTCCACCAACCGGTGTGTGTTATTGATGATGCACCTCTGCGGGAAAAAAAGCAGCGGCAAGTCAAGAATTTGACTATTAGGAATAGAGCAAGGGTGTTCAGGAGAAAATAATGGCTTAGAATGGTGATTTTCCTCTTCAGTAAAGTGTATTCTAGTCCTGGTTTGCTGACATTCACCTTGAAGTTTGACTTTGAATGTTTTCCACACACACTATGTTGGGATGGCCGCAGTTTATATTCAGCGATGACAACAAAACGGCTCTTTAAGATATCCTAAGGTTTGTTCAGATTACAGACTGATCACAACTGTTCTAAAAGATTTTTTACAGGTGTGGCTGCACTGTGATAACGGATCATCAGAGCAGAAACTGTCGGTACAGGCTGAAGGCATCAGCACCTATGCCTATTACCTTTTTTTTTTTTTTAAGAATTTGATATTGCGTTGATTCTTTGGACAATGTTTGAATGAAAGAATTTGTATTGTACAATTTCTCAAAACGTAATCTTTGAATAAATTCCACAGAGCAGTGAAAACACAAGTTTCACAAGGATACTGTTAATGAAATCAAACTGGGGTACACAATATCTCCTTGTTTGATACATGTATACTAACCTACAGCACATGCCAACCAAAACAGCTGAAAGAGGTAGCTCCTACATCAAATGCAGGAAACCAAGGTTTCACCCCAAGAATCAACAGCTGAAAAGCTGTTGTCTTTACATGACTACACTGTACCTGGACATATGAGGAATACTGCACTGTATTATTAATGTCTCCTGCTCTGTTACCCTGCAGTCAAGACAGCCTTGAAACAGCAGCTCCTAAAACTCAACTCCCAAAATAGACAACCTGACAAGTTTTCTTGTCTTAAACAGATATGGTCTCTTCCAAAACAGAAGCAAGAATGATGAAAGCGTTGTTGAATAAAGAAGTAAAAACTGTGCTGACGTGTGGCTGGAATTAAAATATAAATTTTCTTAACCATTTTTTCAAAAGGTCGAGAGATAAAGATGTTTTGCTTCCCTGATGTTCTCATCCCTCTCGATGAATTACAGGGAAAAGGTTCCAGTGATCTCTATACCAATACAAAACAGCAGCCAGATTCAGCGTTCGCTTACAAAAAGATCATTGATCACTGCTCTGGTGTTGGCTATTCCCCTCAGCTCACAAGAAAGCTGAAGAGAAAACTCAACTTGGGACATGACCTAGCTCTGAACACAGCATAATGTCATTACGATGAGAGGAAATATGTCAGAGGGTAAATACAGCCTGTGTGACTGTGCTGAGTCATGCAGCCTGCATGACATCAATACTGATTATTGTGGACCCCATCACAATCACTTTGAGTCTATCCGATAACACCACTGAACTGGGGGTCAAACACCAAAGACGCCTATCTTACCAGGAGGTTTTTACTTCTAGAATCAACCTTCCACACTTGTCAGATTTCTTTTATAAAGCCTGAAGATTTAAGTTTGAAAGAAAGTATTTGTGATGGTTTCAAATTAAACCCCAGAGAGTAAACATATGAGCTTTAAGGTTGTTTTTCAATACCAGCAAAACTGAAAACTCACATGAATCTCAAACTTCCAGCCACTGACTGCCTCATCCGTCAGGATCTTTGTGAAGGAGATGGTTAGACCATCTCGGAAAAACCTCTGACACGCCTCACACTTCACATCCAGTCCTGCAAGAAAAGACATCAAACATATATACAACATTTACTTATCAATACACTGTGCCAAAAAGTCTCATCAGAGTGTTTTAAGGATTCAGCATCCCTACCTTTTTTACTCAGGTCTATAGCAGCTTCCAAAAGGACCTCCAACTCTCCTTTTGGCAAAACTGGAACAACCCAGCGAGGCCTGTGACACACACACACACACACACACACACAATCATCAACACAGAGTAGGGATTTTTACACAACTGGTTTGATATGGTTGTAATTAGTTTTACTGACACACTTTTCAACATTTGCATCTTCCACTTGACTGACATGTTTTGTTTTCTCTCCGAATGCCGAGACTGAAATTGACAATATCACACTTTTCTACCATTGTGGGAACTTCCACTGTCAAATTCTTCCTGTTTTTTTTTTCCAGCTTAGTTTGAAATATTTACTTACACCCCTCTTTTGTCTTCTCTGATGTTCTTTTACAAACATACAAAAACAGATTTGATTTCATTCATACAAGGACATTCTTAAACACAGAGTTTCTTATTTTCTTGTGTTGTCAGGATTTCAACTGACACAGTGAATGATTTGAAGATCATGGTGGGGATCTACACTGACAAACTTTTTGGTTTATGAGACTATTATTGACACATTTTATACTGTTGTAGGAATTAAACCAACACACACTTTTTGCTAATCCTATCTTTGTGGGGACTCCTGATGCACTTCTTCTCTTTATTGTGCAGGCTTCTTTTACGTATTTTGGTTTCACTTTCTTTATGGAGACAAACACCAACGCTCATCAACTTTTTGGATGTCGGCCAAAACTAAAATGTAGACTTTCTTGATTAGCTTTCTTAGTTTGAAAAATGAATTACTATTGTACCTGCTAACTAGGGCCCGACCGATTTATCGGCGAGCCAGTTAAATCGGCAGGAAACTCGCAGAGAATAAGATTTGTTTTCACTTTGAAAATGTTCCGCCATTTGAAAAGTTTCCCGACTTACACTGTAGATGACGCATGACAATCTTCATCCACTAACTACCTCACAGCACAGCAGAGTGAGTAGTTTAAAACGCTTTGATCTGTTGGTCTTCCCATCGGCGTGAAGAGCAGTAGCCTACAGTATATCTACAGTATATAGTATACTGTAGATATCTACAGTGTATATATATACATATATTTTTATCGCTTCATAAAATGAAATTTAAAAGTCGGCCGTTTAATCTGTAATCTGATTTTTTCACCCCTACTAATCGGTATCGGCCCCAAAAAATCCATATCGGTCAGGCCCTACTGCGAACAGATGATGTGATTTATTTGGCTCATTGATAAAAAAACTAAAATGCCAAACTGCCATTTACATTCAGGGTTTCAAAGGGATTGTCTGTGCCTGTCTGTGCTCGTATTTGTTTTGACTTTGTTTGTCATGTATCAAGGTGCATCACTTCTCTCATCCTCCTTATTTTACTGTTCTTATCAGTTTTGTTTGGAGCATTTCGCAACCCCACGTGGGCTGGATCAATCTGGTGCACAAAACATCAAATCAACTCAAACCGAAACTAAAATCTGAGGCATCTGGCGAGTTAGAGGGTGCAGCCTCCGCCACATTGTGTGATTCATTACCTGTTGATCATATCATCCAGCTTGGCTAGGTCGGTGTGAGGGAAGGCGGGCTCCTCCTCTTCCAGCTGAGGGGGCACATCCCCCTGGCCCTGCTCATCTGGAGGGCTCACTGGAGAGTTCTCATTAGATGAGTTAGGAGAAGATGTCTAGAAGAAAAAAAATCACAGGCAACAAAAATCATTATATGCCTCATTGATCTGTTTGGAGGAATCGTGCAACCCAAATCTGGAAAAACAGAGCAGGTGTTTGAAACAAAAGGAAAATGCAGTTCTAAGGAGCTGTGCAATGGATTCACTGTTTCATAATAGCCTTTAGGAAGTATTGTTGATTAATTGACTCTTGCTCTGTGGTTATGGCTGAAGCTCCATTAGCAATAACACTAAACTACTGGAAATCAACGTTTCGAATTGATGGAGGTGAAAGTGGGAAGATCACAGAAGACCTATAAAAGGAGACCTATAAATAAAACAGAGCTCACATTGCATGTGTATTAAACTACCTGGACTTCTTATGCTATCTTTTTCTTCCCCTAAGTGTGACCTGTCAGTAAAAGAGGACATAAAAAGCGGGGTTCAGACAGCTTTGCTCCATTTCCAACATGATTGGGCAAAGAGTTCAAACGCAGCTTCCTACCAAAAGCATCATTTTAAGGTAGAATGAACCGCTGAAAGGGATGAAAGCTCTGGCTGCAATCTCAATGACTCTCGCTGTCATATCATTACCTGAACCTGCAGGGTGCTGTTTATTTAATTTGTGCGCTTGTGTGGTCACTCGCTAACAAGGCTGCGAAATTGCAGTGTTTTAACGGCGCACAATGGGACATTTTAGATCACTGTTATATGAACAGGAAAGCAAACAAGGAATCAGAGACGGGGCTGTTTTTTTTGTAGCTCCTACCAAGCTATCAAGATACACATCCAACATCTGATGTGCCAGTCTGTTTCACCGTCCAAGATTTATGTAACCATATTTGTCCTTTTGTCTGTTCTCTTAGACATATTAATGAAAATCTGTCGCAAAATAATGGAAGACTTCTATTTATAGCAATAGCTTGGGATAAAAATGTAATGATCCTTAGATAGATAACTTTCAAACTGATTTTTTTTTTACATGGATTTAAATCAGATTCTCTTATGTCAGCTTCATAAATGTCGAGATCATCTTCCTGTGCTTTGCTGTGACATTAAACTGGCTGTCTCTGGGTTTGTGGAGAGAAGGAGACATGCGACTGTCAGTAAATGTCCGATTCCTTTTGAGAAGTGAATCAGGAAAAAATAGAGTTGAAGAAAAAAAAAGTCTTTCTAAGTTGAGAGCTAATTTTATTGTGCAACTAGAGTTTAACCTTATGTGCTTTTACATACACTTGTTTCTCTGGCGATACATGACAAAGCAAAAGACTTGAACAGAGGTTGGATTTCTTTGTTTTGGTCAGTGAGCGCGCATGCCTGTTTGTATGAAGAAGCAGGTGCCTCTCCTGAAAAGCTTTCTGAACAAAGCCATTCAAGTCATAATACTCATAGTATTTGGCACACAGAGCGGTGCACTTTCATCCTTATCTGCCCAGAGGAAACAAAAAAGTAAGAGCTTCCATGCTTGTGTTCGAAGCGTAACCGTGTTAGTATGTGGGTGTATTCTTGTTAAGCTGCTGAGAAATAGAAATTTCAGAAAGGAAGAGTCTTTTTAGACACAATTTGCATTTATAAAAATGAACACAAGGACAAATATGATCATCCCCGTCTCTGTGTGTTTTCCACATCGGACAAGTGTGTATGAACATCAGTAGTGTTGAGAGCAGCTGTGTATGAGCGAGTAAAAAAAAAGGGATACACACAGGCGGGAGAGATGCACAACTGAGAAATATGAAATGTGGGGGAGTGTGGTGAAGGCTCCTTCTGCTTGGCTGACCTACATAGGCAGCTTGCCTCTCACGTCTCACCACGGCTCATCTCTAACCAACACAGGCCCTCACATGCACACGCACAAAGATAGACACACACACATCCTTTATCCATCACTCAGGAGGCTCTGTTCATTGATGCCTCGCCTTCACTCTCTTTCTCCCTCCTTTCCGCTCTCCCCCCTCCCCTCTCTTCTCGTCCCTCTTGGCATCAGTGTGTGGTTAGGTACAAGCAATTTCTGTTCAAAAACTGTACTGCCATGTCTGCTAACACCGCTCCTCATTTGTAATCACAGGTTAATTTAATTACATGAGTTATGTCTGGGAAGGGGAAACAAGACAATAAAGGCAGATCTCAAGATAAATCAAAACCGACTCGCATAACAAAGCGTTGGGAGACAACATGAAAAAGGTTGATTTTTTTTGAGTAAGAGGAAACTGACCTGGTTCTGTGGCAGTGGGGGTTGGCTCTGAGCATCAGGTGCCTGGCCCTGGCCCTGACTGTCATTGCCCCCCACCGGAGAGCCACGCGTGGTGGCCGTCATGCTCGCCACAGGGCAGATCTTGGCAATCTTGGCCTCTTAGGGAGCGCTGGCCAGGAGGGAAATCACAGCCACCTCAGCTGTAGAGCAGAGGGAAGAGAGCCCGGACACACGAGAGAGGGACACAAGCACCTGGAGATCTGGATGTGCCGCTGAGACCATTGCATAACCTGGAGAAGGGGAGAAGGGCACGGTTATTAACAGGGTGGTAGAGGAACTGACAATTTAACGATGTATTCACCGCTTCTTGTATCTTTTCTAAGTTTTGGGGGTGTGCAGATTATGTTTCATCATCTTGAAAGGCAAAAGTTCAATGGAATACAGTTATCCACTTTCAGCTCCAAGCTACCAAACAAATGCGCTTCTGTACAGAGCAACTACATACATATAAACAGAACAGGCTCCAAAATAAAGGCTTTGAAATCAGAGAATTTGCCCATCTGTATTGGTTCAATACGGAACATCCCACCCCCCAAAAAATCTGCACATTTCACCAGATATTCCTCTTTTGTCTTCAAACAAGCTACATGATAAAAAGTCTTATCGGGGGTGCAGGTGCCCCATGTGCAAAAGCCATAGCCCTCACTGCAGTATCCTGCCCCACATTTTCTCTCACTCTCCTAAACTGTCCTATCTAACAAAGGCTTCAAAGCCCCAGTCCTCTTGTAAAAATATGTTTTTATTGTTATGGGATATCAAGAGGGCGAAGAGCCGGGACGCCCCTATCATCGGCTAACCTTGCAGACCACTTGTGTTTAAGAGATTCTTCTGGTATTTGTTGTTCCCCGAGTTATCTGCAGAGGTCTCTTTTTCAAACCACGTACCTCCGGTAATTAAAACCAGAAAACACAATGGATCAGGATGTTCAACCTTAATAATTAATCTCCAGCAGGCACAAGAGAGTCAAAAGACAATCTTTTCCTCACACTACCGCAATTTGTCCACAGATTTACACTTATGTCTTCTTTATAAGTTAAAAAAATTGCTGTAAAACTATCTTAAGATTTCTTTCAGCTTAAAATTGCCAATCAAGACATACAACTGATGCATCTGGATTTTCAACATTATTATTTTCCCCATTCTGATTGCATCTCATGTCCAACTGACTTTTTTTGTCACTCCAGCTGCAAATATGGATAAAATGCCTTGGTGCTTTTCCGATACTTTGGCCAACCCTCAGGATACATCGACCTCTGATGCCCCCCAGAAGCCTAGTTTCAGTTCTAGTCTGAAAATCTGTTGAATCATGCTAACACAGGTCCTGAAGCACTCTCCATGAATAAGCGGCCAGAGAATATGACCTGTGTGAACCCATCTCAAGCAAACAGCTCCATCTCTAATCTGTGCAAGGGAAGACATGAACATAAAACCTCAGGGGGTGTGTGGTAATGAAACGCAATAGAACGTCTGTGACAGATTGTGGAGTGAAAATACTGCTTTTTGTTCTTCTATCTGGAGCATTTCAACAATACTAATCCAGTCATTAGTAATTCAAGTTACAATTAACATCCCATCAATGAACGCATTCCTTTAAGTCAGTGGTTCTCAAGTCAAGTCCTCGAGCCCCCCCGTCCTGCATGTTTTGGATGTTTCCCTGCTCCAACACACCTGATTCAAATGATCAGCTCGTTATCAAGCTCTGTAATGGCTTAATAACGAGCTGATCATTTGAATCAGGTGTGTTGGAGCAGGGAAACATCCAAAACATGCAGGACGGGGGGCCTCGAGAACTAGACTTGAGAACCACTGCTTTAAGTGCATATTTGTGAGAAGCTACAGAAGGACAAACAATATCTTTATAACCTCATATTTTATCAGGATACCTGAAATATCTTGGCAGAATCCTCTGTAGTACAACTTGAGCTCATTTTTTGTTTTGGCTGGTTCATTTGCGGATTGCAGTAAAACTGTACTTGGCAAGTTAATTGCTGGAATTGTAAAAAAAAAAAAAAAAAAGCACTTCCAGTTCTTAGGTGGAAAACGCACATCTAATCAGATTATCAGGCTGTTACAAGCGCACCGTTTGTCCGGATTATCAAACCAACCTTTTCTAGAGGTAAAACCTGTAATGCGGGTAATATTTCCTCACTGCAAAACCGAGTAAACTTGAAACTGCAGTTAGTGGGGCAGGTCAAAGATAAGCCAGGAAGTAGGTCTTTCAATTGCAAAAGAGATCTCACCAGTTCCTTGGTGGGGTCAAATGTTATTATTACCAAAAGGACAGGTGGGCAAAACTAGGAAATATGATAATCCTTGCATCATACCACATTTAGTAAGAGATCTTATCAATACTACATACTCTGAGTAAATGTTTTCTTTTTTTTTCAGGTAACTGTTTGTTGCATTTCTACCTTTATGTCTTTTGCACAGCTTTTATTATATGTAGATACATAAAATGCTCCATAGTTTCCCTTGATTTAGCATTCAAAAAGACTGAATGGCCAATAATATTGGTTGGAAAACAATCAAAGCACAATTTTCAATCACTGAGTCACTGAATGAAATAATAAACTGTCAATCATTCTATACACTACGGTCACAGCAATCAGTGCCACACCTTTCAGTCTTCCTGTCATTCAGATAAATGTTTAGGTCTGCTTCAGATTCAGTTCTTCTGTTTTCTGTCATTTCAATTCATTCTTAATTTTGAGGCTGTAGAATATCGGATTTACTGAAGCAATATCTGCATTCAAAGTCAATGTGGAGAGAGGGATACCATAAAAAAAGAGGACTAAGGCTGGAGAGAAATTGAAACATCCAATGTGTTTTTAACAGCTTAACAGTCTCAGTGAAGTTGATGCTTACAATATAATGTCTGACTTTTAGCTTTTTTGAGGCACAATACATGAGTCACTATGATCCTAATTTTCTTTTATGAGTTGAAAAGCAATCTCCCCGTTCTCTCATGATCATAAAACAGCAGTTTACCATACCAAAAGACAAATAAAACTACAGTAAACAACAACTAGAAATCAAAGCAGGATTGGGTTAATAGCTGGTTTACAGTTGCACATAAAAGATGTTTGCAAACTTGAAAATACAAACATCATCAGGTACTAGGGCTGTACAATACATCAGTCTTATCATTATCACAATATGAGCGTTTGCAATAAACACATTGCAAAAGTCCAAATGTATCGCAAGTGATCAAATAATCATATTAAAAAGGACAATTTGTACTTTCACTCAGAATGCTAATGTTTAGCGTTGCATGGAGGCCTGAGTGAAATGCCAGTGATCTCACCCTGGTTTGGTGCAGTCAGATGAAGCTCAAGCTAGCTATTAGCTGCCCCTCAGACTTATTGGTGGAAATTAAGTTGTGAAACCCTGTAACATGCTCCAATGAGTGACAAATAGAACCTGTGACTAATGGATAACAAACACTATTTCACAGGTATAAGTTTATATTTCGTACGTCACACTGTTACAATACTGACCCATGTGACTACACCTGAAATATTTCTCCGTATCCTGTTGGTGTGATATGAGCTTTGACAAAAAGTGTTTTCATTGACCGGGTTTACACATAAATGCCATAATAGAAATTCCACCATATTTGTTTTACCAGACATCATGCATCCCTATGAGAAACAAGGACTATTAGCCTGCCTCCATGGAAGAAAATGGCTTATCCATTACAGCTTATACCAGCAGTCCTTTTACAAGCATGCACCTTCCAAAAGTTGTTATTAGTGTTTGCCTGGTGTTTGTTTGATTTTAGCGAACATACATCTTTTAAGTAAATAGCTGTTAAGTTTGTATAAGGTATGAGTGGGTTGAAAATGATACTACTTGTGTTTCATGAGAGCTGTTTTCATAGTCTAAGGGTAGTGAAACTACATTATTTCCTATTTTACAGGTGGCCCGTGACATCTGCTTCAGTATCAGTGATTAGTGTCGCAGCTGTGAATACATATAAAACATTCATTACATACGCAATCATCGGTTTATGCAGATTCCAGCAAATGTTATCAACTTACTGAAAATGATATGTTGCATCATGTATCCGCAGCTACTTTGTATGCAATTATTCAGTGGCTACCCATCTACTAATGCAGGGATAAGACTTCTTTTGTTTTACAGTTAAAGTGGTACACATATTCACTTGCAACATCAGTCCAATAAATCAGCTTTACAATAGGTTGCACTTAAAGTTGCTAGATTTTCAGTTTCTGTTGACATTATCAGAAAGGTGATAACTGCTATCTAAATTAACTGTTGAGATGTAGTGGATGTTGGTGGTGGATATCCCTTTATTGCAAGGTGTTGTTAATATTTAGCTCTCCTCCTTCTAGTTTATAAAGGGGGAAAATATAGGGAGTAGCTTTCAATATAACAGCACCACCACCCACTTCATTTTCATTAATATATGTAAAGTACAAAAGTCACCCCTCTGATGCTTTCAACAAAAACTGAAAATCAAGACGCTTCCTGACGACAGAATTTGTGTCGGAGATGTATTGGATTGCATTCATTGCCCAGTTGCTCATGTTGTTATGGCTAAGTGAAATCATTCAGTAACAAACTGTCCACTAACGCTGGGATAGGGTGGGTTACTTTCATGATGCTGCAAAAGCGCAATATGTTTTACCGTTATACCAAGTAGGAGAATGACATATATACGATAACAGCAGCCACTATCTTTACAACCGTCAGGCTAGGACCAAGTGAGGCCTTTTGGACTGAACCGGCTATAATGTCATTTAAAACCCATCGTATGGACGGTGAAATCGACGAGTAGTACTCCGTGTGATATATTGGTATATCTTGAAATTCAAGTATCCGGATGCATATGAAAATACATGGTAACATTACGTAACTACCATTACAAACTAGCGCCGTCAACAACCTTTAACAGCTGGTGGTTGGTTAGTTAACGCCTGCTGCCGCTGCTAGCTAGCTGCGGCAACTAACATTAGGGTTAGCCTGCAAGGCGATCCGCCCAGACAGCACAGCATCGACGGCCTTGTCGTCCAAAGCCCGTTGCGCTGAGACACATAGGCCTCATTATTCGGTCGGGCCTGACATTACACTTGCCCATCAAACCTTTACCATATAACAGATAAGCTTTATAACAGATAAGTTTGTACTAAACATCAGCACTTATCAAATATAAGGGTGTCTTTATGTGTTATTAACAAACGTTGTTCTCAATGAGCCGTGCTAACGTGCTAACAATCTAGATAAACAGTAACTGTTAGCCGTTAGCTTACCCGAGTGTAGATCTAGCTGTCGTTAACGTTTGTATTCTGACCGGAGGTTTGCTGATATGACTCAACATTTGAAGACTTTAATAAAAGTAACATTCTGACATTAATACTAACATCACTCAGCAGGCATTTCGGCGAATAAAATACGCTGACCCAGCTAGCTCTTTTAGATAACGTAAAATATGATGGTGACAGGGGAGTCGTCTATTTCCTGACATTTAGTGAGTGCTCTGACCTGTACCGTCTATCGCTGAGTTATAACTTAACTAAAGCGTTTTAAATATACGATTTTGACGATCGCGATTACATATAGTATCAACAAACCTGAAATCTTTATAAAGAAAGCATTGGTTGCGTTTAAAGAAATGAATTGGAAATACAAGAATATCTGTAACTTGTAAACATGAGCCGTTTAAAGGAAATGTTGCTACTCAGACTGTAGACAGAGCCCGGGACTAGCCTGGCGTCAGTGACTCTAGCGGAGTAAGCTAACGAGACTTCACGTACTAAGAAGACCATGAATTGCAGTGTAATCGCATTGACATTGTTAGAGAATAAATACAAAGTTGCAAGTCAAGAAAAACCTACCAGTGAGGGAATAACACAAGTAATCCATATGCAGCAGTGTTACCTTGCATCCACCACCAGCTGACGCTAGTACTAGCAGCTAAACAATCAGCAGGCACCGTACAGAGCTAGTTAGCTAACAACTCACCAGGAATTTGATATGACTTCCCCCTCTATTCACGGGCTACGTCCAGCCTTCAACGATGGTGTCGTCGTATATTACATAAACGTGGCCTATATCGGTGACAGTTTGTCAGGACACAAACCTGTTACTAGAAAGATCTAATTCCTACGTTTTTCCTCTGCTTCTGGGTGTTTTTCCTGCGTCACCGGCGCGGTAACAGCCCCCCTAACTCTATCTAGTCCGATTTCTGGGGCTTGTCACTTCGGTCCCAGCAGTCACTCACAACTTGAATCAGTTCAACATGGCGGAAGCGCAGTCGGACACAAATGCTGCTCCGTAAAAACAGGCCAGACGGCTGTGTGAACTCCAACAGTCCGCGTTGTCTTTGAGCTAGTTTGCACCGCAACCGAAATCAGCTCTGCTAACACAACAGCCGCTAAATGGAAAGGGCACAAAACCCCTCTCTCTTCCGATAAATCACTCCGGTTCCAGCGTGGATTTAGGATCCGTCTTTTGTTTAATACCAAGTAAAAAGACCTGAGCAACCTGAAGCGCTTGACTATATCGCCTCCTAACGCATCGGGTGGTCAGATATAAAATAGGTGAATCGAGATGAATAAAAAATTGAGATTTACCCTAGAACACTATCACTAAAATTAGTAACACCATCACTATCGCCGGGTGATTTTAACCCATTATAATATACCACAGAAAAAGTACTTGTCATCAAAACAGGACAATACATGACAAATTAAAGTAGTTTATTTTAATTTTTAGCTGTGCTATGTCCAAAGGGAGGGAGAAAAGTACCATGAGGGGAACATATAAAAATGCAACAAAATAACTGAAATTAGGCATTAATGAACAGAAAAATCCGAATAAATATATAAACCATAAGCTTAGTTTCTTTTCCATCCATTCCTGAGGCATGTTAGTCTTCCCTGGTGAAGACTCAGGGTCCTTGGCACAATAACAGCTGCAAGAGAGAGAACCAAAATATGGCATATTTTGAGTGAGTAAAAATGACCAGCTCACTAAAATATTTCTTATCACCATATGAATTTCCTTGAAAATCACTACTTTGTGATAGTTATTCATAACCACTGCGCTAAATAAAGATAGCATGCAAATTCCAGGACCACTCTTACTTACCTTATTCATGCAGCTATCAAATCCACCCAAACCTACTTTACCCTCTATTACTATTGCCGGGTGAAAATCACCCAAACACATGCCTGTAGGAAAAAGCAGGTTTTGGATCAGGGAAACAATTATGCCTCCAACATGTCAAAGGCAATGCTGAAGCTACCCAGGGACCCATGATATTCAGACAAACACAACATAATGAAAATCAAGTAAACATGTTTGGTCAGGTGAAAATCACCCAGCGATAGTGTTCTAGAGTTAAAAGTGATATAAAAAGGTATAAAGAAAAAACACCTGACAGCATCACTTATTTGCAGAGGGTTTATCAGATATCGTTATCAAGATATAAGGAGTTTTTAGCTGGTAGAGAAACAGAGTGCAATTTATACTGATGCCTCTTTATACACTCTGGACACAGCGAGGCTGAGAGACTGTCTGTAGTAATTTTTTAAGCCTGAAACTGCCATGAAGGAGTAGGACCAGATGACTGACAGCAGGCTGAAGAAACAGCTTTTTACACTTTCTTCACAGCAATTCCTCACAAAGAGTTTAAGGACGACAGAATGAGGCTTTGTCTGAAAATACAACTTTAACTTATACAGAACAAAAGATAAGAGGTGCCACTTTGTCAACTGGGGGCGCAAAAATCAACGCAAACCAAAAGTTCCTAACAGCAGTTTTAACCTCAGATGATCACAGTTCACTAAGCATGAAGCTTCAGGTATATCCGTGGAAGTCTGTTAGCTACTGATATATTGGTAACTAGTTTGAAAATCTGTGTACCCAGGTTGCAAATCCTTGCCAGAGCCAACGATGCAGAGAATGTGAATTGTCACTTCAATTGCTTTTGAAAATGTGTTAATGTAGGTATAGACTGTCCCTTGATATGGGATATGTCCGATATGTGATAGATTTTCCCATTTCTTACATAGAGTCTGGCACTTGTTAATAATACATCATGGCATTATTCATTTATAAATCTGAATTATTCTTGGTCTTGACAATACAAATATTGAATAGAAGTAGGGATGAATAAGAATAAATAAGAGAATGCAACAGTTAGTAAACAGTGCAGAATACTATTAATAAAGCCATTTACAAAGCACACCCTAGCCCTAACACGAAATACAGTTTTGTAAAAATATATAAATAAATAAAAACAAATCATGAGAAAAAATCAGGTTAAAAATTTTTAAGAAATAAAAAATCTCATGGATTTTACAAGCAGCCTTCTTGTGGCTGAATATTTAGCTCACATTTATGATTCACAAAGCAAAATTTATGTTTAATTCTAACATTTGCTGGATTTACATGGATGTTATACACTTTTTATAGTCTACCAGTTTCCCCCACCACACCCAATGTGTTGTGTGCCCCTGTGGACATAGATACACAATTTAAACCCACTCTGCAAGCCCCAGGATGATGGGTACCCATGGAAACAATAAAGGCCCTTTAAGGACATGAATCTGCTGGAACATTAATTACTTCATGTCTGTGTTAATTGACAGCACTGGAGCTCAGACACCATCACCATATGGCAGACCAATCCTGACTGAGTACGCCACTAGGATAGCATCATTTTTACAAAATATAGTCAGAAGGTTGGCTAACTGAAAAGATAATCCTAATGCTTACATAAACATAAAGCTCTTTTTTCCAAACAGGGAAATTACAGGAAACATGAAAATGGTTATATATCTGCTTACATATCCAGCTATAGTTCTCTGATGACACAGCAAAAACAAGGCAAACAGAAACTGGAGTGATCCAGTGACCGAGTTGCTTATCTTCCCCTCCCATCCTGCACAAGGTTCTTTGTGCTCTGTCTGTGCTGTGATTTGCCTTGGTCTAAAGTAGGAGGTCCCAATCAACTGAACAGTATTTCAACTATTTTTACATGATAATGATAGAAGCTGAAGCTGTACACAATAGAATTGAGTTTTAATGTGTAGCATTACTTTTTTTTTCCCAAAACAACATCTGATGTGTGTTCAAACTGTACTTTCTAGGATTATGTGTAATACGATATCATAGGTCTCTATGGGGAGGGAGCCCTGTGGCACAGTCTCTTTCTACTCCTTAATCCATTTTCAATCCATGTATGTGATCCATCCAAATTTTTTCAACCTGATTAATTTTGTAATCTTGTTCTGTGCCACAGGTTTTCTACCCTTGACAGAGACCTCAAAAAGCCCTGAATCACATTTACAACACTGATAGTGCACCAAAGGAACACCTGACCAAATTTTTTCCTTCAAGTTCCTCACTGAAATTTATCCTTAAAGAGCCTTGATGTGCAATTCTTCTCTGGAAAATCACCTGCAAGGTCCCTGCTTATGCCAGTAAAAGGACATGGCAGGGAACACTGCACAGAACTTCTCCATTAAAAGGCATGTAAATCAACACAATCACAATTTCTTCTCTATAAGGGTACTCCAACTAGTGCTCTATATGAACCCCAGAGAGCCATTTAACTCAACATACCCCTTGGCACCCAAGGGTATATTTCATCACTCTTGTAATAGAACCCGAGAGGGCCCTGCTGCACATGTCAAGAGCTAAGCATGAGGTGCTCTCCACAGAAAGGGCACCTTAGTGTTTATTTCATCTGGTCTGTCCCCTTAGGGAATGCTGAAAGATCATGCTTTAAGGAAAGCACTACCAAGTTGTTCCTGCCTCAGATTTTCTTAAATAGAATGGCATCCATAGTATTTGTTTTCTCCACTGGAAAGGTACCCTCTTGCACATTCCTGGGCCGCCATACAGTGCACCTTACCATGCTTCATCCATCACTGGGTGTCTAGTAATATGGACAGACATGCATCTTATCAGTCATATTTTTTCCATAATAAATAGTTCATTTCTGTTTTTTTTCCTCCACTATTTTTACCCAATGTCAAAATCCTAATTCTTTCAGTGTGTATCTTTTATGGGATTTTGTATGACTCAAAATGCCAATAAAGAGAAGTTGGGGGAAAAAATGAATGAATGAATGTCATTAATTTAACAGGTGCCATTATTGTCATCTCTCACTAGGTCAATGGAGAAGAAAAACGCTCATCTATATAAAAAGAATAGCTATTAAACGACACATACTTTTAAACTGCTGAACAGTGAACATTTTGTTTGTTCTCACACTTACCCCCGGCTTGAAAAACCGATGACCTAGCGTTCAAAAGCAGCGACAAAACACTCATGGCTCCGCTCCTTCAGACGCTGCTCCGGGTTTTCTTCCCGATCGGATCTACGCTGAGCGTTCCCGACAGCAAAGATGGCGGTTGAGCTACGCTGAGCCCTCGTCGTAATGAGTTCCCAAATTTTGCATAATTGTTGAGTTTTCAGTCATAGAATAGGGTTACGGTTCACCCGTATGGCTCGTCTTGTGTGAGATATGTTGTGAGACTGCAAAGACTTGTTCTATCCATTGCAACTCACTGGTTTTACGTTGTAGCGCTGGGTGCTTATTGCTGTAGCTAACTAGCTAGCTAGCCGTCATTGTAAAATGGCTCCAGTGCAGATCGGGTCAGATGGGCAGCTCGTCCCACTCGGGGGTCCAGTGGTCTCGGGTCCACAGCCACCACCACCCGGGACCCCGGCCACACAGGGGGTCCGACTCAGCCTGCTTATTGAATTTCTTCTCCAGAGGACCTACCATGAAATTACCCTTCTGGCAGAGCTGTAAGTAAAACATTGGCGTTGTAGGCCTCAATGCTAACCCAGCTAACAGGCTGGCTAGTCTCAGGATGCTCCTCTTCTAGTCTTAAAAGTAAACACTAAAGACTCTTACCTTAGAGAAAATATTCTTATTGACATTAGCTCTACAAATGAACATTTTCTTCATCGGGAAATAAAGATGTGCTCCGGAAAACTACAGGCTAGTCTGTAGAGCCGGAGGTAAAAGTTTGCTCATTGATTTACGTGTTTGATATCAGGAGAGTGATGAACCACTAACAGTACATCAAGATATTTGTTCAAAGAAAAACTCTCCTAAACTTGATCCCTTCCTCTTTAATGTCGATATTTTAACATCTTATAGAAAAATTAAAAATCTCATCAGAATCAGGGATGCCCAATGTTGATTTTTTGCTGCTACTGTATGTCTGTTTGTTTTAGAAATAAAGGAAAACACGCAAACTGTATTGAATTCCTCCAGAAATGATGAGGATGTCAGGTTTTGAGATGCATATTTAAACTGGTTGTATGAGAGGATTGTTTCTCCACTCCCCCATCATCTTAACTGCACAATCACAGCAAAGAGCCAGTCTGCTGTCTGTCTCCATATGCTTTTAAGAAGCTGCACATACACAGCTGACATGTTTAAGCTTGTTGTAGGTTATCATTGTGGGCACATAATCAATGTAACACTGTATCTGCAGAGACCAACAATGAACTTTTCAAGATTTCTGCTACTATAGATATAGTTAGTGTCATGCAGCCCTAATTAAAATAATCAGTAGCACAATTATAAAACACGTCAACTGCATAGAAGGTGCTTATTCTTGAACGTTGTACATTAAAAACTTATGAAAATGATACATTACAGTTATAGAAACTAAACATAAGTAAGTTAATGCATAATTAACATCACATATAAGGCTAGGCAAGTGTTTTTGTATTACCCCTGCCACACACTGAGGCAAGTGAGGCAACAATAACAGATTTACCATTCGAAAAAGCAGGATATAGGACTTCAATATTCATCAATATAATCATTTAATTGATAGTGATTGATACCTAAAAAGGTAATTGCAAGAAAACTGAGGCAAACTGTACCTCTTGTTATATTTAAGGTGTTTGGGAGTTATAAGAGAGACGAGTGTTTGTGAAAATAGCATCAAATTTTAGACTGAGAGAAAAGTTTTTTGTAGTAAGTGAAAGAAATAGGTGATTTTTTGACATCTTGTGGAGGGCTTATGTACTATCTTTGACATCAAGACATAAGATCTGAATGCTGCTGCTTTCATATTCCAGATCCATTCTGTTTTTCAGCCTGTTCTTGGTTTTTGTTATATCTTACTGGTTTGAGTCAAAATGTATATTTTTGTAAGCACAAAAATCAAGAAACATTGAAGAATTTTAAAAAAAGGCAAATGTGCTTCAAAAATATATATGTACAAACAGATAATAAGGTTTAATTTAAACTCAAGTTTTCAGCAATCAAATGGTAAAAGAGGCTTAAACTGATACTGCACTGTAGACAGAAACAGAAAAACCTAAAGGCATTCAACAGACCAAACACTCTAACACTTTTTCATTGTTTACTTTCCAGACTCCCAAGGAAAACAGACATGGAAAGGTATGTGTTTTTCAAAGTCACTTCACAAAATGTTAATTTTCACTTCGCTTGTAATTGTGTTTTGTCTAATTATGTATAAACTTGAATCCTTATTTCTTTTACCAGGAAAATGGAGATTGTCCAGTTTGCCAGTCGTACCAGGCAGCTATTTGTGCGGCTGTTAGCCTTAGTGAAGTGGGCAAGCAATGCAGGGAAAGTGGAGAAGTGTGCGGTACGTTGTTACCTTCCTATTTGACCTCTGTGTGTGTGTGTGTGTTTATAATACTCTGCAAATATTCCGGTTATCATCAGCAGACAAATAAAGGTAGTGCTATCTCTCGTTATTGTTTCCATTCTGACAGATGATTTCTAGCTTCCTGGATCAGCAGGCCATCCTCTTTGTGGATACTGCTGATAGGCTGGCATCGCTGGCCAGAGATGCCCTTGTACATGCTCGCCTGCCGAGCTTTGCCATCCCCTTTGCCATCGATGTTCTTACCACAGGATCATACCCACGCTTGCCGACATGTATACGAGTAAGTAAATTCTTGGGCTTATTTTTATCCATGGATAAAAGATATAAGAGTTCATGGCTTTAATAACTCCATGACGTATGTTTGTGATGTTAACTCAACTGTTTCCTTTTCCCATGCTCAATTGTACAGGACAAGATCATTCCTCCAGACCCCATCACCAAGACTGAGAAGCAAACCACCTTGAGTCAGCTCAACCAGATTCTGCGGCACCGCCTCGTCACCACAGACCTTCCTCCTCAGCTAGCAAACCTCACAGTTGGTAAGCAGCTTGTGTAAACCCCCTGTTTCTACCCATTCTACTTGTCTTTTTAGATGTGTTCCTATTAGGGGTATCTTATGTGTGCATTTGCATGTGTGTACTTTTGTGTAGCTAATGGGCGTGTAAAGTTTCGTGTGGAAGGAGAGTTTGAGGCCACTTTGACGGTGATGGGAGATGACCCTGATATTCCCTGGAGGCTGCTGAAGTTGGAGATTCTTGTGGAGGACAAGGAAACTGGAGGTAAGTCATGCACCATTGCAGCTCTGATGCGCAGTAGGTATCGTGTATTATTACACTCAACTTCTGACTTTAAATTTGTGCCATTTTCTTTTGATCTTTTTCTTTTTTGTGCCATCTCATTCTAATGCTCCATCTATCTACCTCTTTGTTGACAGATGGCCGAGCCTTGGTCCACAGTTTGCAGGTGAACTTCATCCATGAGTTGGTTCAGGCACGTCTGTGTGCAGACGAGAAGCCCCTACAGGACATGTACAACTGCTTGCGTATCCTTTCTCTGCATAATTTCATCCTTCACATGCTTCAACAGTCATTTTGTGTGGACCCTACACACTTTTGGCTTAAGTCCCACTTTGATGTGAACTGCTGCAGTAGGGTGAGAGTGTGTGTCTGAGCATATAGAGTATTGACCGGTGCAGTAGACCCATGCAGCATTCTAATGAGATACACAGCTGCAGAATTGCATCCTTCTGAACCCCCCCTTTTTTCATTCCAAAAACACAACCCTCTTTTGTTACTGAGGAAAGGGCATCTCTGTTCCCCTGACAACCTGTCACCTGCTCAGGTCATGTAAGGTGCACTGCTTCTTATGGAGATCTTGGTTTTCGATACTGAACACCATGCAGAGAGAATTTGCTATGTCTCCAAAAAATAGCAGCCTTGTTAGTGTGTTTTATTATTAGGTCAAAAAAGATCACATCACATTTGCACAGTAAAGCAGTGATAGTTGAGACAATAATCAGCTGTTTTAATTAAACCTGCAGAAGAGGATCTGATTTGACCCAACGATAGAGCTTTAGACTCAGCAGTAAAATGATGAGAAAAACAACACCTTGTAAGCATTCATGCTACTATCAGAGGTCCTAATCAAGCATGCAGGAAAAGTACGACTGTGCTTATCACAATGCTAATTAGTACATCCCTGCTCTGCCTTTCCCCCAGCCAATGCTAGCAATGCAGCTCACCATGTCAAAGAGCAGTCTGTGTTGGGCACAAATACCCCTTTTTATACCACCAGCGTGTGTGAGCGTCGTGAGGATATGTGTCTGTGTGTGTTATGAATATTTATGGAAAGAGATGTGTGCGGTACTTTATCCTTACTCACCTGGACTTGGTGTTTTCCCACACTGTCTTTTCTTTGACCACATTGTTCCCAGACTCGTTCTGTTTGTCGCTGCAGCTCGAGGTGCTCCACTCCCAGACTCTCATGCTGATCAGAGAGCGATGGGGCGACCTGGTGCAGGAGGAGAGATACGTTCCTGCAAAGTACCTCACACTCAGCGTGTGGAAGTAAGTCTAAACCACCAAACTCGAATGACAAGACAGAAAAATAACAGAATGCATGCAGGACCAAAAATAACCGTGATGACGTTAAAAAGAATATACAGAATTTTCACAAGAATAAAGCATAGCCTTTCACACGCTGTGTATCTGCAACAACACTAGAGGAAAGTTACGTCATCTCGACACCTTTGTTCTTACACACTGCTTCCCAAAACAGCGTGATATTTGTGTCCCAGCGTGTGTTTACACATTGCATAAAGGCATTGCAGGAGGGAGGATTAGAGGTGGGATGCCACAGGGTGTTGAATATCCCACGGTATGCAAGAGCCAAATGAAGCAAAACGAAACAAAGCGTATAAATTGAATAAACCAGTTTATTAATGGATTTTTGCAAATGCCAAGGAGAGTTTATAATCGTTTTTATAACCCTCCCTTCATTCAAAAACTCTCTCATTTCTTTTGATTTTTGTTGTAGTTTTTAGAAACTATATCTTCAATCAGAAAATGTCTTTCCAATCAACCCAGCCAACCTGGTTTCAGATAAATTTCTTACTTTGCTAAAATATTCAAACATAGTTTATGATTTCAGGACAGTTCATATTTTACTGCCCAATAAAATGTTTCAAGTTGTCATTTCAATTCTTATCATTATTGTCCTTTTACTTTAGCCAACAGGTTTTGGGGAGGAAAACGGGTACAGCATCAGTTCATAAAGTCACGATAAAGATTGATGAGTCTGATGGATCAAAGCCATTGCAAATATCCCATGAGCCTCCACTCCCTAACTGTGACTCCAAATTGATGGAAAGAGCTATGAAGGTGAGGTCGACGCGTGTTTTCTCTGTGTATTGTTTAGTATTACGCAGTACTACTTTCAATTCAAATTCCTTACAATGCACTTACACCTATTTCTCACCCTTTGCTTAGATCGACCACCTGTCAGTTGAGAAACTTTTGATTGACAGCGTGCACGCCCGGTCCCACCAGAAGCTGCAGGAGCTGAAGGCCATCCTCAAGGCCAGCAACCCCAGTGACAACTGTACGTATTTACTTTCTCCTCCTGTAATTAGTAAAAACATTCTGAAATTTATGGTGAGCAAATTCTCAGACCAAAGTTTTCATTCCTGCCGCAGCTGTAATTTTGTTTTACTGACTGCACTTTGAAAAATGAGGTTCTGACCCTGAAAAGCCAGACTTTTGTAATCTGTTGATTGAGAGAGGCAGAGGGAGGAGAGATTGTGCTGGATTATGTTGCTCCTAACCTGATGTTACCGATTATTTATTGCGTTTTCATATCAGGGAAAGTTTTAAGTGTCCTACAGGTGTCTGGGGTTGGATCTTGTTTGCGGGTGATAAATTTACACACAGACCAGAGCTGAGCAGCAAGACGGGCAAAGAAGTAGCTGCAAGGAGAGAGGGAGACCGCACAAGAATAGATATTTACTGTTTCCTGATGTTATTTACAGCTGACAAGGCTTTATCCAACAAATTTCACTTTAGGCTCAAATAACGAGCTATGAAAGTAACTTTTGTGATCAAATAATTATCCTGGATGCAACTTCAGAATAATAGCATAATGTGAAATAAAGGAGAGTATCTCTATAGAGAAAAAATGGATAGGGCTTTACTTTTGAACGGCTCTTTGAAGTGCCTCCATACTATATTTTTTATGCTTGAGACATAAATGTAACTGCCAAAGCCAAAATGGTCCTCAACCAAACAGTTTTCTATCTGTTTTGGCAATGTCATGTGCAGAAAAAATATTGCCAATAACTAGGAAAGGCTTCTGTATTCTGGGCTTTAGGGGCATGAGACAGCCAGACACGGTGTCTCATCTGTTAATCAAACTGCTCCAGCTGTCACAAAGCCAACTTGCTCCCACTTGGCTTTGGAAACAAAAGCTATTTTTCACTGAACCAAACTGGACCACATGGTGATAATCCACCAGTAGGGGCAGTAGTGGTCTTCATAATGTCCACTTGAATGTTAGAAAACCCAGCTAGCTCATGATGCATGTCCCTGATGTCTTCCTGAGAGTAACTGTCCTGTGAAAATGTTTTTTTAAATGTGAGATTTCTGCAGTTTTAAAGGTTAAACCCTTTGTTTGTTTGTTTACATTTCAGCATTCATTGAGACAGCTCTGCCCACTCTGGTTATTCCAATACTTGAGCCCTGTGGTCGCTCAGAGTGCTTACACATCTTTGTAGATCTGCATTCTGGCATGTTCCAGCCTATGCTGTATGGATTAGGTAAGTCAGAAAAAGTTCCCCCTTAATGACTTTTCTCTTTGGTCATTGTTCATTAGCTCAGTGCAGATGAAGCCCGTTTATTCAGGTTGTTTGTAAATGTTTTTTCAAGCCATTCTCTGTGATTTAATTGCACTGTTTTGACATGTGTAGCTTTGTGAACATAAGACTGTGGGTTGTTCTCTTTGCAGATCAGTCCATGTTGGATGACATAGAAAAGACCATTAATGATGATATGAAACGCATTGTATCTTGGCTTCAACACCTAAAGTAAGTCCACCTTTTCAGTTTTTGTTAGGAGTGAACTTAAAATTTATATTTAGGGCTAAGAGGAGGAAAGATAGCAGTCAGGAGCTAGTCTGACACCTTTCTGGACCTTGTCAATTCCGTTAGCCATAACAGCAACACTGGGCTAAGCAGTTTGTAAGATTGGTGTTATGAATTTCAAGAGTCTGTTCAATGCATGAATGCAGTAAGTATCAGTGTGAGCTATAAACCCTTGATGTATCTCTCTTTCTAACAAGGTTCTGGTTGGGGGAGCAGCGCAGCCGACAGTCTGTGAAACACCTTCCCACTGTGTGCACTGATGTCCTTCACCTGTCAAACTCTGCCTCTCACCCTGTGGGCAACTTGTCCAAACACAAACTCTTCATTAAGCTCACACGCCTTCCGCAGTACTACATTGTGAGTTATCAGTATTTAACACTCAGCAGGTTTTCTATAAATTCCATAATGTGTTTCAATGTTGTATCCTCCTCGATCTAATTTCCCTTTTGGGTCTATCCAATCCCCGATTTTTTCCATCTCATCTTTTTTTAATGTAGGTGGTGGAAATGCTTGAAGTGCCGAGCAGTCCCACAGCATTGCAGTACAAGTACTCCTTCCTGTCAGTGTCTCAGCTGGAAGGAGAGGATGGACCCATGTGTGCACAGCTCCTGCAGCACTTCAAACCTAACCTAGAACACCTCGTCCAAGATACCGCAGCAGGGAGAGCAGCGCGTCCTGGGACTAAGAGAAAGGTATTTAGTGCAAAAAGTAGCTGTGAACCAAAGACTCATTTGTCATCTTTTATCAGTGTAACAAATGGGTTGTAATTTCAAGATGGGATAAATATACAGCTTTTCTGTGAAAGGTTTGATATCTTACACCAGAGATGGGCAAGTCTCAATCAAGTCTTTCATTTTGTCAAGACATAAAAACCTAAAATTATATACTGATAGAATGTAGGGCTCTGTTGATGGAAAGAATATTAGCTTTTGTTTCTTTTATACAAAATTATCAATGTAAAATACTCTTAGCAACACTAAAATCTATGGTTAAACAGGGAGGGACATTTTACATGATAACAAAAACATGATTTCTACCTGCATCAATGCTGCAACAGAGCACTTTAGTATGTATGAAGCTTTTGCTCATCGGGTCACCCCCCTGTTGTTCCATTTTTATTTTTAGAGAATGTGAGATAAGCAGTCAAGCCTGGTGAATTAAATTAATGTATATTAATGTGGATGATTTATTCCGTAGATTTCTGGGGACCATGGGGACTCAGAGCCAAAGAAGCCGAAGCGCTCCGGAGAGATGTGTGCCTTCAACAAAGAGCTGGCTCACCTAGTAGCAATGTGCGACACCAATATGCCTTTCATTGGCCTTCGAACAGAGGTACATATTTGAATATGAATCATTAATCCAAGCTTAAAATGTGCCTTATCCACCCCTTTGTGTTAACATGTTTTGTTTTAATAACGTGTGTCCATCTGTTTGTGTTTGAGCAGCTGTCCAACATGGAGATCCCAAACCAAGGTGTCCAGGTAGAGGGTGATGGCAGCAGTCATGCGATCCGACTACTGAGGTAATACATGCATGCATGCATTCAAAACTAACTTTCCTTCAAAGTTTTAAAAAAACATGTTACCTGACAGAGTGCATTTTCTTGTAGGATTCCTCCTTGTAAAGGTGTAGGAGAGGAGACAAGGAGAGCTCTAGAGAGATCGCTACTGGACTGTACCTTCCGACTGCAGGGCAGGAACAACCGAACCTGGGTAGCTGAACTGGTATTGGCTAACTGTCCTCTCAACAGCACGCACAGCAAAGAGCAAGGTACATACACACTATAGAGTATGCGAGGGATGTGTGCCCAGATTTGTAGATTTAAACTATGCTCAACAAGTACACGGATTATACATCTAATTGCCCTCCTTCAACAGCTTCCACACGGCACGTGTATCTGACCTATGAGAATCCTCTGTCTGAGCCTGTGGGTGGGCGGAAGGTGGTGGAGATGTTCCTTAATGACTGGAATGCCATCAGTCAGCTTTACCAGTGTGTCCTCAACTTCTCTCGTGCACTGCCAGGTATGCACACGGTCATCTTTAAAGCAAGGGTCGCTCTCACATCTAACCAGTTTAAGTTTTCAGGGTTATTTTGTTGTCTTGCAATAAAGGTAACATTATCTTTAAAGGGATTCAAATGTTGTGACTTTTTTACTTTTGTCTGAAAAAAATGCAAAACCTAGAGAAAATAGATTTTCTCTGGTAATTTTGAGCCATGTTGGAGCAGGAATCTGTACGTAGAGGCACATTGACTTTAACAGTTCAGTTGTCTTATGGTCTTAAACAACTCCAATTCATTTTCCAGAGATGCCATCTTTCCTGAGCCTGTTCTCCGAGGTGCGGCTTTACAACTACCGTAAGCTTGTGCTGTGCTACGGCACCACCAAGGGCAGCTCTGTCACCATCCAGTGGAACTCCAACAGCCATCGTTTCCACCTTGCCTTGGGCACCGTGGGACCGAACTCTGGCTGCTCCAACTGCCACAATATCATCCTCCATCAGCTACAGGAGATGTTCAACAAGAGTCCAAATGTGATGCAACTACTGCAGGTAACAAAATATGGTTGGGCATGCTCAAACTTGGATTGTCCCGCTACCTAAAACTCATGACTCATGACTCAGAAAACCACATCCCTTTGTCCTCAGCACTGATCTCAGTACCTCTCAGAACAACTTCTAATTCATTTAGCTTTCATTTGATATCCTTTGTAATATATCTGTTCTCTCTTTAGGTGCTCTCTGACACACTGGCTCCTCTGAATGCAATCAACAAGCTACCAACAGTGCCCATGCTGGGCCTGACCCAGCGCACCAACACTGCCTACCAGTGCTTCTCCATCTTACCGCAGTCACCCACACACATCCGCCTGGCCTTCAGGAATATGTACTGCATTGACATCTACTGCCGCAGCCGAGGCGTGGTTGCTATCAGAGATGGAGCCTACAGTCTTTTTGACAACACAAAGATCGTAGAGGGCTTCTACCCGGCTCCAGGACTCAAGGTACAGGCTCATGTACAAAAAATGAGGGGTGATCAACCAGTCCTGATTTGTGACCTGTCCTGAGACTTATTCCTGAAGATTGAATGTCTGTCATGTTGAAACAGAAACAAAAAGCTAGCTAGCTAAGCTTTCAAAATATAAAAAAATAGATACAGCTGAAAGTTAAAAGCCTGAATATGTCCATAGATCAATTAAGCACGATGTCCTCTGAAGTCATACATCTAGATTTTTTTCTTCATTGCGGTATAGCCAGGGTTATTTTCAGACTTTCCAGGAAGTCGGCGCAGTCTTCTGAGAATTTGCCGGTAAACCCCAAATCAACTTGTGTGGATTAGAACAACAGAAGTAGAGTTGAGTGGTTATTTATGAGTGCAGTGTGGTGGATTGTTTTGATTCCAGAGAATCTGATAGGATTTTTCCCCCTTTCCAGTCTCCGATCTTAAACCCAAACATGAAAAAAATGCGTAAAATATTGCTATGATTGCATTTGAATGATTTGCAACGCATCCAAACCTTATTTTTCTCAGCAGCTTTCAGAAAGTTTGGACATCTCCCAACTTAGAAGTTGAAGTTGTATCAGATTTTGAACATGACTGGGTTTAAAACAGACATTCCAGAGAGGCTGAGTCTAACAGAGGTACACCACTTTTAATATCATGAAAATATTAAGAGAATCTTGAAGACAAAAAGGACATGGCTGAAAACCAGTATGAGATTGTCATGATCTTTGGTCCCTGATGTGACACAGAATTATGTCATTAACATTTTTCTCAGAATCCCAACTTTTCAGGAATTGAGGTTGTCGACACATTTTTCTGATGAATGTTGTTTTTGGCGCAAATTCCTACTTTAAATTCTGTCCTCCTTTCCTCCCCGTCTAGACATTCCTCAATATGTTCGTCGACAGTAACCAGGACGCCCGCAGACGCTCGGTCAATGAGGACGATAACCCGCCCTCACCGGTGGGTGTGGACGTGATGGACAGTCTGATGAACCAGTTGCAAGCTCCACAGCAGCCACAGCCGATGAGAGGAGGGGCGGGAGGCGTTTATCCCCCTCTGACCTCGCCACCTCCGAACTACCACCCTAACGTAACTCCATCCCCATCCATGATGCCCATCCAGTCACCAGGTAACAACAGCAAGTTTGCGCCACGGCGTTTGTCTACGTATGTGTGAGTGAGGAGCGCTTTGTATTGTTTGTGCCAAGAGAACTCAAAGGATTGTTTTTTTGTCCATATCATGCTGCTGTCATCCACCACCCCGCTGAGTTATGTATTTGTCACAAGAGCAAGTAGTGTAAATGTCAAAAAAAGAGAGGAGATAAAGCAACCATGTGTGCCCGTTTTGATTTCTGTGAAGCCATGAGGTCAGTTTTATTTCTCATGCAACATACACACGCCTCGCAGCAGAGAAGCGAACAAAGCATGCATTTAGCCCTGCTCCTTCCATTCCTCACCATCTCAGCCCGCCAGCCACAGACTGCAGCCCTTCTGCCCTGCTTGAGTGTGTGTGTGTACATGGAGTGAATCTGTGTATGCCTGTGTGCAAAGAGAACTTGTCAACCTCAGAGTCTGATGAGCCATTTGGTGTGTGTTTGTGTGCGTGTGTGTGTGTGTAGGGAACATCCATGCCTCTGGCTCCCCTAGCGGAGCTCTGAGGGCACCCTCTCCTTTCGGGCCCACCCCGTCTCCGTCTTCTCTGGGCATAGCGATGGGTCAGACCAGCTTTGCCAGCCCCCACGGTAAGCAGCAGGGTGTTGCTAAATGCTGGTCTGCGGGCAGGAGTAAGAGCAGGAGCATCTTTATAGGGCACTGACTCTAAGGCTTCAGACATGAGCAGATACTGGGCACACCATGGTGTATTCAGGTAACCGTTTCACTGGCTTTATTTCTTTATGTTTCTTATCGCTGTCTTCTCTCCTTACCTTTAGGAGCCCTGGACCCCAGTTCTCCGTATCCCATGGTGTCTCCCAGCCACAGGGGCCAGTGGCCGGGCTCACCCCAGGTCTCAGGGCCTTCTCCTGGGGCAAGAATCCACGGGATGTCTCCTGGTAACCCTTCACTGCACTCGCCTATCCCTGACCCTCATTCTCCACGTGCAGGGACCAGTAAGTAACACTTTCTTAATGTTAAAGTCAGAACTACTAACACTGGAACTTTTGGATGTATGGGCGCCTTTAGATTGATTTAAAGTTCATACTAGAACCAGGGCTGCGCAACACGTTTCAGCATGTCAGTCAAGAATTTCAAGCTGTTTGATCAGTTATGTAAGCGTACAAACTCAAATTTCCTTCCGTCTGTCTTTCATTTCAGGTTCACAAGTCATGCCTACCAGTATGCCTCCACCCCGCAAGCTACCTCAGCGCCCCTGGGCTGCCTCCATTCCTACCATCCTCACCCACAATGCCTTGCATGTGCTCCTGCTCCCCTCACCCACTCCTTGCCTGGTGCCGGGCCTGGCAGGAAGCTACCTCTGCTCGCCTCTGGAGCGCTTTCTAGGTTCAGTTATCATGAGACGGCACCTGCAGAGGATCATCCAACAGGAGGCGAATGTAAGCCAACGATTCTTCCCATTTTGAGAGAGTTTTCGCTGTATGTTGATTTTTCAGAAACTGTTTGCTTTCTGCTCCCCCTCTAATGTTGTCGTCATCGTTCTTGCAGCTGTCTATCGTGAACTCAAACGAGCCAGGCGTGATCATGTTCAAGACAGATGTGCTCAAGTGCCGCGTGGCTCTAAACCCAAAGAACTATCAGACGCTGCAGCTCAAAGTCACTCCAGAAAATACCGGTCCCTGGTCGCAGGAGGAGCTTCAGGTGCTGGAGAAGTTCTTTGAGACGCGGGTAAGTCATGCAGCATCAAGCTAAAACCTGATTATAATCAGTGAGAAATCTAATTCAGTGTCCGTTATTCTGTTTTGATTTTTTGTTGTATTTTCTGTGAAGGTTGCTGGTCCTCCCTTTAAATACAACACTCTGAATGCCTTCACAAAGCTGCTGGGCGCACCCACAAACATCTTGAGGGACTGTGTGCGCATCATGAAGCTGGAACTGGTGGGTAGCTGTGAAATCTGATTCAGTATCCATCTAAAAAGGCTGAAATATGCCTCTGAAAGGATGATACATTTCAAGCCACTGTGTAACAAACCATGTCTTGGCTTCTTGTGCAGTTCCCTGACCAGGCTGCTCAGCTTAAGTGGAACGTCCAGTTCTGCCTCACCATCCCTCCCAGCGCTCCCCCCATCGCCCCTCCTGGAACCATCGCTGTGGTGCTCAAGTCCAAGATGCTCTTCTTTGTAAGGAGACCGTCTTTCTAAGTCACACACCTGTTACACCATACATGAGTTGCACACACATACCTGACCCTGTTTGTTTTGTCCGCTCTCTGCTCACAGTTGCAGCTCACCCAGCGCATCCCAGTGCCCCAAGAACCCATGAGCATTATCGTGCCCATTGTGTATGACATGGCCACCAGCCTCACTCAGCAGGCAGACATCCCCAGACAGCACAGCTCCTCCGGGGCTGCAGCCATCATGGTCTCCAACATCCTAAAGAGGTTTAATGAACTGCACCCTGCCAGACCGGGTAAGACTCTCATTTTTAATGCTAGAGACTTAAGTTTGCCAAACAAATCTAACACCACAGACAGTTCCATTAAAAGTATCTTAGTGAAAAACATAGCTTCATGTAGGTTCAGACAACATAATAAAACAAAGGGACTTTAAAGCTCCAGTGAGGATTTTTTTTTACATTTATCAAACTGAAATTACATAAATGATGATTTTTTTTAATGATATACAAAAGTAAACAAGACCATCAACAGTAAGATTATTCATTTTTATATTGTAATTTTAATGCCTGAAAGTGCTGCCAGGGAGCAAGTGTTCTCTGCTACAAAAAAAAATCCCGTTTTTACAATTTCCACATAAAATATTTACAAAAAAATGTAACATTTTCCTGTCAAAAGTCAACTGGATGTGTGAAATTGTCAAAAAAGCCTGTAGCAAAGACACGCACTGAAAGCACCTCACAGGAGCTTTACATTGATAAACACATCACAAAAAATAAGACAATTTTGAACAGTATAACATTTTTGAAGAAGGTAAAAATTTTATATACTTCAGACCAGTGGTTCTCAAGTCCAGTCTTGAGGCCCACTGTCCTGCATGATTTGAATGTTCCCTGCTCCAGCACACCTGATTCAAATAATCAGCTCGTTATCAAGCTCTGTAGTGGCTTAATAACGAGCTGATCATTTGAATCAGGTGTGTTGGAGCAGGGAAACATCCAAAACATGCACGACGGGGGGGCCTCCAGGACTGGACTAGAGAACCATTGATTTAGACTCATTACAGGTAATCTTAATATTTAGTTTAATCTGGATTAAAAAGATAAACATCTCGAATACTAGAAATTTGCATTGAAGTCACTGAATTAATTTTGAGTCGCTCAGAGAAAAAATAACTTTTCATGGTTTTTAAATATTTTGCAGTTCCACAAAAAAATGAGGCACTTTCTTTCCCAAGTTTGTTTTGGGGCTTTTTATGCCTTTTATGAAGGAGAAGAGGACAGGATAGGGTAGGAAACTGGGAGAGAGATACTCAGTTGTACAATAAATCCATCACTGTACAGGTGCACTGAATCTAACACAGACAGGGTTCTTGTTGGTAATAGTCCTGCAGTCCTGTGCCCTCTGGTCTGATCTTTATCCATACTGATATTTATTATATTACACTCCCTGTTTGGTAATTGCTGAACTCTGTTAACTCTGACTCTCCAGTTTGTTTCTTGTGCACAGTTAAAACTTTTTTCTTTTTTGTCTCTTTCAGGTGAGTGTACGATATTCGCTTCAGTTCACGAGCTGATGGCCAACCTCTCCTTACCCCCTGGCACCCGTCAGTAGAAGCACATCCAGAGCCATAAATAAAAACAAACAACCAAACTGAAGTCTCTTTGAGAAGCCGAGAAGCTCTCAGACTGTGGACTCAAGATGTCAAAACCAAGCATGTGTCCTCTCCGCTACAGACCCTGGACTTTCGACCTGATGTTTGATTTTGAAAGAGTCAAATATGAACAGTTGAGGACACCTGTCTATCCTTAGAAGAAGCCACAAACCGATTTTGCTTTGAGGGTCAATCTTTAGGGGTTATTTCATGCAAAATGGTATAAAGTTATTTTTCCTTCCAGGTGCACTTGTAAACAAGATTATCTATTGAAATTAAGGTTGTTTACAAAAATATGTACATTGCTGTATATTTGAGTATTGAAAAGATTCAGGTGAGTTAGATTTTTGCTAGAGAATGTCTGTCTTTTTTTATAACGCCACACTGATATCCTTCTAGTATCAGAAGATATATTCCTTAGCACACTATTTAAATGTTTCTTTGCCTCTACTTTGTCTGCATTTTTCTTTGAAACTCTTACTTTGGATACTGGAAATCTGTAACAAACTTTATATGCCACTTGTATTTTATTAAGACCCAGATTTGAAACACCCTGTCTGACTGTGCTATTTAATAAAACAAGCCCACAGTTGGTTTGTGCTTTGAGGATCTTCCACCGGCAGTGCGAAAAGATCAATTAATTACCAAGAGAGGTAATATCAAACTTCAAGACAACCTTTTCATATCATACACTAAACTGAAAACAGGCGTGAAAACAGTGACCGTCAACCTGATTCTATAGCATCCAATGCAACTCATGGGAAAATAGGGCGTAGGCGGAAAAATACTCGTTACATTTGAAGATACAAATGCTCAACATGCTCAAAAAGATAACTTTAGCACCACCCTGTTGTAGTTGGTTATTGAGTTTTGTGTTGGAAGCTTCTGACTAGTTAACTGAGAAGTGTTTTACAAATCAAAATAAAATACAATCAAGGAAAATGAAAGAAATGTGAGGAATACAATGAAACTAATTTTAAAAAGAAATTGTTCACAACATTAACCACATAAATAAGTTAAAAAAGAAAAAGGATTGCACCTCCAAAAAATAAAACAACCTTATAAAAGGAAATAAAACAATGTAGGAAAACTTTTATTCAAACAAAGGATAAATAACTTTATTTTAGAGCACTTTTAAAAACAGGTTTACAAAGTGCTTTGGCATATAGTCATAAAACACATGGACAAAGACATCAAAACAAAAGTCTAGTTAAAATGGAATTGAAGGTTATTTTCATATGTCATAAGGAACCCAGACAATACAAGAACCTTACAACATGAAATGAGACCATGAGGACCAAAATAAAAACATGAAATACTTCAGATAAATAGATAAGATGCATTTAAAAGGGGGGTTGAAAGTGGAAATCAGGGTCTGCTGTCCTCAGTCTCTCTGGAAGAGGAGGAGGAAGACTCCCCGGTAGGTGGCAGTACTCGATTGTTACCGTCCACAAGAGAGGGGACAGAAGAAGAATATTGACATCTCTGTGAAGGCTGGGTAGTCTGCACTAAAAATAAGTAAAGGAAGTCGCTGTATTTGGAAGTTAGGGTTGTTTTCTCAACCGAAGAGGAATATTTTAATGTCGATTCAAGCGAGCAGGTCGCTACATTAGAAGTATTTAGCTTTACGACGACCTGACTGAGGAGATGCCATCAGCAGAGGAATCACATGGTGGGTTTAACTGACCCGATTCAGACCAAATAGACGATTTCTTTATGCCAAACAGTCGTGTTATATTATGAATAACCGCAATTCATTACCTCGTTCAGCTGTTCGTCCCAATTTTGTTGCTTTCAGGTTATTAAAAAGTTGAAAACACAAACTTTTCTAACCTCCTACCGCGTCAACTGAATCCTCAAAGATCAACTCGTCTTATTAGGTGGAGAAAACTTAAAGCTGCTAGTTTTCCAAGAACCTGTCCATTCTCATTTTTATTTTCATATTAGTGCTGTATTGGAGTTTTGTTCTTGACATGTGCAGTTGAACCTTTTCTGTCTCTTCTTCGGGAGTCAGTACGAACCAAACAAGTCAGAGTTACAGACCTCATACAGTAGGGGAGAGTGGGGTAAGATGAGCCATTTTTTTATATTTCTGATCACTACATCAAGGCAATCATAGTTTTGACTCTGACTAATGAATCTGCATATATTTCAAGATGCTGTTCATCCCTGCAAACCAACAGAATGAGTGTAAACATATCTGTCTTGATAATATAGCATGCCAAAAAAGTAGTCTCCTATGGTCAACTTACCCCATGGGGTAAGTTGACCTGGGGTTTTGACCTGGCGTTGTAGCTCATAGATACCACCATTGATGTATAAAACAAATTTAAATCAATCTTATTTGGTCTGAACACAATTCTAATAAAACTTCGCAGACTCCATGAATTGATGCCCATCTCCTAAATATTTGGTCACCTGATCAATTTCTTTTACCATTTCCAAGCGACAGGAGGTGGCTCAACTTACCCTTTGGCTCAACTCACCCCACTCTCCCTTATGTCTCAGTGACATGTTATTATACACAGTTATGAAGAAACTTGACACATATGGTTCTGCTACTTTTGTTCTTCAGGTGTCAACAAAGTTGTGGACAATATCGGCAAACTTTCTCCAGATCTGCTAACAGAAGCAGTGAGTATTTTTGTATATTATGAGAAAGAAAATTGCCTAGCCTTTGAACTTTAAAAAATGAAATCCTATCATCTTATAAGATTTGCATCGAGATGAAGTCACGGGGGACTAACTTTTTATACGTCTTCTTAACCAGAAGATGAGCATTAAAACAAAACTATGTTAATTTTAGAGCAGTAGGAGGCTGTGATTTCCATGAGCTGAACAGGATACGATGTCATTGCTGAAGTTCTGATAACTAATTTAATAACCTCCTTCACAGTGTCAACACATTCTGACTTACCTTCAAGGCCACACTAGAGGAGTAGACTCAGCCGAAATTTCTGATGTGAGTCAAAGTTTTTTCAATATATTTCCAAACACACAGTAACCCACCTCTTAAACTTTCACTTTCATTGCTTGTTTTTGATTGAATTTTTCTCCTGGGGCAGAGATTTCAGAGGGCTGGAGTCAGACTTGAACATGAAGCTCTACAGAGCATGATCCAATTTCTGTTGTTGACTTTCAGGTATCAGGTTTCATCCCTTCACTATTGCTTCTGGGTTTTAGATTAGATTGCTGTTGTTTTTTCTATTTTTGTGTAGCTTGATACACTGTATGTTCAAATATTGATTTAAAATCTTTTAACTGGAGCATTTTTAAATTTCTTTTTTTTTAATAATCAGATTTTATTGCATTTTTAAATTTCATCCCTGGCTTTTTAGCTTAAACAGTTGGTTTATCTTGCATTTGATAAAAACTGCCCTTTGCCTAAAAAAAACATGTGATTGTACCGTAAATTGCATTTAAATCATCAGGTCGGCTGGGAAGAACAACCTCTCTGCTGATGATCTTGTGTCGAGGCTTGAAGAAAGCAATAACAAGTGGCCTAAAGCTTCTCTTCAAGTGATGCACAGGTTGTGGGGTGAACACGGTGCGTCAGTCCACACTCAGCAAGAGATCCACACCATGCTCAGTATTAGCCAGGTATGTCATTTGTCAGTATAATGTGTCAGAGTGGACTTTTCCATGTTTTCCATACTTTTCTGTGACTTAAATCAAGATTTTCTCTTTTATGGCTGAAAACTCTTGTTTTTTTTGTCTCTGTTTTGTTTACAGTTAGTGGACATGCAGTGGAAGCTTGGCATGGCAGTGAGCTCTGACACCTGCAGATCTCTTAACTCACCTTATGTGTCTCTGCTGCTGAAGATTGTGGAGCCATCAGGACAGATTAGTCACAGGTCTTTTGAGATGACCATCCCGCAGTTCCAGGTCTGTATTTGTTGATGTGAGCTTTATGCTTTTGGAGTTACAACTGGTATAATTTTAAGATTCTTTTCTTTTTCCTTTTTGGCCCCTTCAGAACTTTCACAAACAGTTCAAGGAGATGGCTGCTGTTATGGAGACTGTGTGACGTTTGCAAACACTCCCAGGTGAATCGTAGTTGTATTGAAGTTTACATGTTAACAGCTGGAGAGCAGCTTGATATAGATGTTTGTCTACTTTCAGTCTCTAAATGTAGACAAAAATACTGCAGATGCCTTTGCACTTAACATTCCTTCCTTGAATACATATGGAAGAGAAATTGAAAACTTCAGCATCAAAATTTCAGCCTGCTGTAACTAAGAAAAAAACACTCCCGCTTATGTCAGCAATGCCTGTACTGTAAAACTAATACTCAAATTATGCCTCATTTGTTACATGTTCATTTGAAATCTAGGTGCAATAACTTTGCTTTTATCTTTGCTTCTTTTTTTTTTACTAACTTGCAAAATTACTACCTATGTGCACAATACCACTCTTTATCTTTCTGTAGTTAAATTTGGGGTCTAAAAGAGGACGCTATCTGTACAACACCATGTTTACCATCAAGTTTTATAATTTCATGTAAACATTGCAGAAAAGTTCCTGATTTCAGATAAAGAATTTCCCTTTTTGTGTTTTATTTGTTTTGCTAAAATGAGGTCTGTGTGACTGTAAGAAAGCTTTTTGGTCAATTTCAGTGTCAGTGTTGCATTAAAAGGGTGCTGTCTGTCTGATGGAATAAAAAAAAACCTTTTTTCTGCCTTTTAACTTCTCTAGGTAAGTTGAAGTGGTTTATCTGACTCCCGTTTATTTTTTTTTGCAAAGTTTTAAAGCCAGCCACTATAGTTTACTAGTATTAAGTCTGAGTATTTGGCGCTCTGGTGGAGGATACAGGGTCACATCTAAATCAAGGTAAACATGAACTACAGACAGACCTGTGGTGGTTGTGTGGGGTGTGCAGAGCTGTAATGGCAACTAACTTAGGGTAGTGCAGTTTATGAAAGGCACAGCTGCTTTTTTGGTGGATGCAGAGAGCCTTAAATGATGGTGCTTGGCATAGGGGACTCCTTTAGTATATCAAGCACAGCAGATCACTTTTCAGGTGTGACCCAGCACAGGCTGCATGCTGTTATTTTAAACAATCAGATAAAAAAATAAAAGTGTTCACACGCATTAAAGCCCTGTTAAAGGGATATTCCGGCATTAAATTAATCTAGGGTCAAACACACTGTAACACCGAGTTAGACACCCCCTTGAGGGTTGAATGTTGCCGACCGCTTGCTTCTCTAGTTTTACCATCCTTAGTAACGACGGCATGATAGCAATACACAGCAGTCTGAGGAGCCATAAACAAACCTCAACCAAACCGCCACTCTATATCCACAAATAATGCTCAGAACAGCACCTAACTTCATCAACAGTACATATAGGGTCCTAACCACAGCACTAGCCACCAAACATCTTTTTAACTTTGCCTGATTTCTTTAGCAAAGAGACTAAACACAACTCACCTACTCTCTTCCAGCAGCTGATTGTTTGTAGTGAGACCTTGGGAAAGTCCATTACAGACTACAGCGGGGTGACGCAGCTCAAGGAAGAACATTTATGATCATTACTTTATCATTTCCTTAAAGTAATAATCGCCATATTAATCATTTTGCACTGCAGACGCGGTAGTTCTTCCGTCTCGGTCTGATTGCATTTTTATTAAGAAATGGTCATAAATGTTCTTCCTTGAGCTGCGTCACCCCACTGCAGTCCATAATGGAGTGTCCCAAGGCCTCTACAACCAAGCGGCTGCTGGAGGAGAGTGGGTGAGTTGGGTTTAGTCTCTTTGCTAAAGAAATTAGGCAAAGTTAAAAAGATGTTTGGTGGCTAGTGCTGTGGCTGGTACCCTATATGTACTGTTGATGAAGTTAGGTGCTGTTCTGAGCATTATTTGTGGCTATAGAGTGGCGGTTTGGTTGAGGTTTGTTGATGGCTCCTCAGACCACTGTGTATTGCTATCCTGCGGTTGTTACTAAAGTTGGTAAAACTAGAGAAGCAAGCGGTCGACAACATTCATCTCTCGAGGGGGTGTCTAACTTGGTGTTATGGTGTGTTTGAGCCTAGATTAATTTTACGCTGGAATATCCCTTTAATAAGCATTTATTAATAAATAACAGGCCACTTATATGAACACTTCAGGCACTTACAAACATTTATTATTGCTTATAAGCCTCCCAGTAAGCAACTTTGATTCAATGATAACAAGAATAAGATTATAAAATGTCCAGATTCATGCTTTGGAAGGATTATTTAATAGTTAATTATGAGGACCTCAATAAAAAGGGATACCTGAAGATGTAGGTGAACACTTAGGCTGCATCCTCCTCACCAAGTGATGATGATGCTGAGCTCTTCATCCTTAAAGCATGACATCACTCTTTACAGCTGGCGCCCAGTTTGTGAATGTGGAAGGGGGGCGTTCAAAACTGCAAATCGCAGACTGTGGTTCTTGTTGCAAAGGGCGTGGGCATTGTTTCTTGTCGTGCACCAGTCTTTCTCCACCTAGTCTACATGGATCCTGGAGGGCTAAAAGGATGTCTTCTCCACTTCGCTGCAGCCTGTGAGAATCGTTTCTCATTTGGAAACGACGAACAACAACGGATGACAATCGGCTAATTATTCAACCTACACGAACGACCGGCACTCGAACGCACCACCTGCGGCAGACAGCCCCTAATAAATGCCTTGAAATACAAATAGATGTGGAAAAAATCTCTCCTTTTCTGCTTCTATGGCTTTCATTAGCTGTTCGTGTTTAGGGAAATAGTGTGATAATCCACCCGAGATGGCAGTGAGCATCACCGAGCCGCTCTGCCTGCCTTGCGTTTATCATGCAGCTTTTAAAGGTAAGTCCAGTTTAACCCACTCGTGTTTGTCTGTCTGTCTGTGGTGGATCTTTGTTATTACATTTCTTCTGTTTGAATCGTTTTGAGAGGTGTGCACCCTGCAGAAACTGTCACCGACCCCTCCCCTTCTGTCCTTATTAGTACCCTCTCTTTCTTGTACCAAGTGGGTGGAGGGTGGGGGGTGAGACAATGTTCACCAGGGTTGTCCTGTAGACAACAAATAACCAGACAGAAGTACCCCTGAAGCATATCATTTAGAATATAGTCAATTAATGAATTGATTTTTTCTTTAAATATAGAGGCTTAAAAATATGGCATCCCAAATAAAGCTGTAGTCTACTGGCTCAGCTTTCAGATCAATGGTAGATTAATCAAAGTCTGAGTAAATTAAGCAATTGCATTTTTTTAATTGAAGCCTGAACCGCATTCAAGGAAATACCTCCTTGAAAAAAATATTTAAAAGTATTATTTCCTTGTCTAAAACATCAGTGAGGAGTTTTCATCTGCATATTATTCTTTATGAACTATCAGCTACATAACATGACCAAAGCCTGAAGTAGTCATGTTTTATACTCCAAAGTCCTAGTACAATAGACTAAATAAGGCCAGGTCTACTTATTATACGTTGACATTTTAAGTGAAGCACTTTGAATTTCATTGTTGTTAAAAAGGGCTAAAAACAAAGCTGCCTTGTCTCGAATGGAAAACTAAGTTTCTTACTGAACTCACACACTTTGCTCTTCCTTTGAAAAACTTACTACCATTGCAATTCAGGTTGATCTCTAGCTAAATGCTTTAAAGATTTTTTTACGTCACCAATATGCTTAACATACATTTTTAGACCTGTACACATCTGCTTAGTAATAATAATAATAATTATGGTAATAATTAGCAGAAAATGAATTCTGAATATGACATGAATATATAATCACAAGACAACAAATGAGGTTTAACTTAGCCCCTTCTACCCAATTATACACAGCACAGATGACATAATGCTTGTTGTTTCATAGCCTGCAGTGTTTTGTGTTTGTGATGGGAGGAAAAAGAGGGGGGAGATCTGAGACTGATTTGACTGCTGTGTGGTCAGTGGAGCTTCAGGTGAAGAGACCTCTGATGCCGGTCCAGCTGAGTCCAGAGCAGGTGGGCCTAGAGATGTTGTGCCTGTGCGGGCAGCTGGATCTCCTCATCAGGGCACAGATGCAGCAGGTAGACTCACCTAAACAAGACATGCTGATGAAGTGCTTATCTACTTCTGATTTTACTGATTTTGTATGCTTGCTTCTCCTTCATTCTCTGACTTTTTATGGTTTGTGTTTTGCAGTTCCAGGAGCAGTTGGGACAAGGCTGCAGCCCAGAGGAGTCAGACACTTTCCAGGCTCAAGGTCAGAGCAGCAAAGTGTCAAAGTGTTTTGTTTGATCTGCACAACTCCTATCTATTTGACTTTTCTGTCTGATCTTCCCTCCAAGGATCAGACATTCTTGATCAGATGCTGCAGTGCCTTGAACACTTACCAAAGCCTATGCCGCAGCTGGAGGTATTACAACCAACAGTAATGTTCAAATAAATCAAGAAACTTGCCTTTACTTTATGGGATACTTGGACATTCACTTTTCATACTTCTCCCCTGAGGACTACCTTGACATGATGGGTCTGTCAGTGATGTTTCCTCGGGTGGAGGTGTTCCTCATTCAAGGCAGCCCGGTGGAAATGCTGGAGAGGCCACCGATGGATGGTATGAAATTGTATGCATGAAAACAACAAAAAGAGAAGATGTATATTTTGATCTTTTACTTGTTGATTTAGAAATTCAGTTTTATGATGTGTGGCAACTGGCATAAAAAACTTAAATCTTACCAAGTGAATTTGCCTCTTGCTGTCAGAATATCTAAGTGCACTCAACATAAACAGATCTTGTTCACAGATATTTCATCACAATTTTTTTCTTAACAATTTTCTTCAAATAAAAATTCTATCTCAAACAACTTATCATGAAAAATTCACTTGCTTTAGTGCCAGCCATTTTTACTCATCATCACAGTCAATTTAGTCACTATTGTTGGCTCTTATTAACAAGCTTTTCTGCACAACAGCCCTGATCTGAGTTTGCAAAGTGCAATACTAATCAAAGATGCTGTAAAAATATTCAGTTTTGGATTTGAAACAGGTATATAAATCAGGTTTAAGTCAAAGTTCCCCAGTCAAAAAAGTCTGAAGGCTTGACTCCAAATTATTCACAGAAGTGAGTGTTGATGTTTTTGTGCATCACTCTGTGATTGAGTGATGACCTCTACAGGACAGGGTGTGCTCCATCTCTTGCCCTTGTTACCCTGAATAAGAAGAGTTTTTAGTGAATGGCTTGCATACAGATTCATCATATTTAAATGGAATATTTCTTTTTTTTTTATCTGACTAAGACCTAATCTTTAATTTTAATGGAATATCTCATTCACTTTGTAATTCCAAAGTTTCCTCCAGTAAGGAAAGAGTCATAAATTGATGCTTCCTTTGCAGAATACTTCTTCCACATTGCCAAACTGAACCAGCTCCTGGTGTTGAGTCAGCAGCTTGAAGAGGATATCAGACACCTCGGCAGTCATAAATACATCGCCCACCAGCTCTCAGTCATATATGTAAGACCGTTACTCACAAAATTTAACTCTTTTTGTATCTTCAGTTCATCAGTTCTGTGCTTTTAAATGTCTCTTCTCTTTGCAGCAAGTGGTCAGCTCTTTCAGAGGGATTCAGGCTTTCTCTGACATAAAGAAAGACATTGAGGCCAATTTCAAACAGATGAAACAGTGTCTCGTGGCAGAGGAAGGCTCCAGGCATGAACCTCAGCTGGCGGCTCATTACATCAACTGGTGAGTCAAAATCCCAATGGCATGACAGCAGAGCTATTGATAAATGCATCATGAATAACCATGTGCTCTCCTCACAGGATATTAGAAATAACTCAAAGCATAACATCCATGGTGTTGTTGCTACCAGAAGAGCTGACAGACGACATCCACCAGGCTGTGACCTTTGTGTCTCAGTTCCTGTCCTGATACTGGAAAACCTCTGTATCTATGCGCCCGGGTGTTTGGATGCACCAGGATTCCCGAGGAGTTACCTGCTTCTTAATGAATTGACATAGTTATGACTGTGAAAGGTGCTACAAAATTTTATTAACATGATTCATATTTGGATTTGAAAACCTACTTTATTTACAAATCATGTAGGTTTTTATATTGTCCTCATGAATGCTGTTTGGAAATGAATGTAAGCTTGGTGAATCCCTCCAACTGCACTACTGTTCTCAATAATGTTATGAATTTTTTTATACCGTAAGTGGAAAAATAAACTTAAATTCAATAAGAGAAATTCGCCTTGTTTTTGCCTTGCAATGGTTGTTCATATTTCCTTTCATCAGACAGGTGTTATAAAATATACTCACCGATATTGTACAAATTTCATTGATATCATTATTTCCTTAATCCAATTAGGATTTTTAGCAACATTTCTGTTCTCACTTGCCTTTTGATGTTTTAAGTAATTTATATGTATTTTACATTGCAAATTTTATTCTCACTCAAAATCATTCTGACGGATTTGTTTTCAATCTAAATCAACTTGATAATAATTTAATTAAATAAAGATTTACTGGCATAGAAAGAATGCATGTGTAAATATAAATCCACAAATTTAATTGAAATGAAACATTAAGAGGGTAAGAAAATGTGCATACCTTATAGTCAATGCTCTAAAAATGTATGACTATATTTTCTAACAACTTCAATCCTATATTTCATTCTTTTTATTTTATTTTATTTTTTGAACATGTACGTGCAGCACCAAAAGGAAAGTGAAAACAAACATAACCAGTGAATTTTAATGTTTTTGATTACAAGAAAGTGAATTTGTGTGATCTCTATAACCGGTATTATGAATTAATCTTATGTCTCTTTTCTGCAGTACAGATAGTGATTGTATTGTACATTTGTAAGTATTTCCCCAAACCTACTTAGAAATATTGTAAAGGAATCTTATAAAATGTTTGAACTAAGGCAGTGATTCACTTGGTTCACTCAAAGTGGTTTTTGTAAGTGACTTTGAGCCAATCCAGTGATTTGCAGTGATTTGGTGCAGGAATACAATCTGAATTTATAATAGGTAAATGGCGCCCCCTGCTGTAAGTGTCAGGCTAATTGATAATTCTTAAGGTCCCTGCTGAATTGGACGAGTTTGCTCAATTGAAATGGGAATTGAGAGAGTAAGAGGCTCGGTAAAGATATTTCAACACCAAAAATGACATTAAGAAAGACGCAATGATATGTGGAGTTGTTGCTTATCGACTTTGAATAAAAATACATATTGTCATGATTCATAAGTGGACTAGCTCATATTTCATACAGTCTCAAATCCGGAGTTTCAACAGATGTTTACAGCGTGGCGGCGATACTCTCAAAACCAGCCGGATACGTTCTGTCTGTCAAAGCTGGCCGGAGGCGGGACTAAAGACTGAATGACGTTTCAAAATAGCCAATCACACACGTTCATTTTTGCCTCCCAGCCAATCGATGCATGTTAGGCTGTCCGTCAGCCTTGACTGTGAGAGCTGTGGGAAAAGAAGGAGGATATTCGGGTTAATGTTTCACTTTTATCAACCTGACAGTGTTAAGATTTGTTATTGTACATCAATGGGGACTAAGTGGGATTGACAATCATAACGGAGGTGAGTTTGAGAAGTTTGAAGCCGGTGGAGGGGTTTGTTTAGCTGTCAGTGTTTATCTTTGTTACATGAAGATACCAAAAGGCTAACTAATGGAAATGCCAGATGCATTTGAGTTACTTAAAGAAATTTTGTGCTACTAAATAGAGCTGGGAGTGTTATCTTTAAACAGTGCAAGACATTCCTTGACTCTGGAGTCATAGGAATCTGAGATACCCCTTTATTTACCTGCTGTACCTGTGAATGGCTGCATGTAAAACTTACTTTCTGCAACATTGGACATTATTAAAAGCTTATCAATGGATATATGTTCATGTTTATAGTTTCCTTCTCCCTGTAGGAATATTGAGGACCTACCTTATTTGAGGTCTTTACTGTTTGCTTGCAACTTAAATGTGAAGTATCTTTCCAGATGCAAACACACACCTGAATGCCGAGTGTAAAGACCTGAGGAGGAGATGATCCCAGAGTCCACTGCAGCAGCCGCCTCCAGGTCCACAGAGCAGAAGTAAGCATCTCTGTGAGGAACAGCTTTTAGGGTTTCATTCCTCATGATAACCTACTGTACATAATGTGTCTTTGGCTTAACAGGAAGAACTCAAATGAAAAGGCCAACTCTGGAGCTGTCAATCATTCAGAGGATGATTCGGGGAACGAGAACAGACAAAAGAGTGTGGTAGGTGTTTTTGTACTCGTTTCACAAGATGTTTCTTCATAGTAATGGCATGTGTTGAAAGTATGCATATAGCTATGAACATACCTTTTAGTAGAGCTGGATGATGCAGCCACAGGTGGAAAGAGGAGAACAGGGGTAGGAGGCAGGTGTGTGCGTTTGTGACTAACAAGCAGAGGGACAGCGTGAGTGCGGTAACAGAGAAAATGTAGCGGTCACAAGCATTAAAAAGGCTGGCTCTGTGGTTGGACTCAAGCTGGACTCAGTGGAGGATGTTGTGGAGAGATCTACACTGAGGAAAGTAGAGTCTATTCTAAAGAACATGGATCACCCACTTCACAACACCTTGATGGACCAAAGGGCCAATGGTGGTGGACGGCTCCTCTCTCTTCGCTGCAGGACAGAAAGATTCAGAAGATCTTTTGTACCAACAGCCGTTAGACTTTATAACTCTTGTGTAAATAGTAGATAACTGTTAGAGACATATTTTGTGAGACAACAGACAATTGAATTTCCCTACGGGGATTAATAAAATTATTCTTTTTAATTATTCTTCAAAAGTGTTAATGAGTTAACATTTTACAGGCTAAACAGTGACAGTTTTGTTGAAGTTATATTATCCTTTATACAGACATTATTATGTCGTTAGAATCTTTTTTTTTTAAGAATATTTATTAATGGCCACACAACAGGGTTAGTGGAATTTGTTTTGCGGTCCAGCACGTCATGCTTACATCTCCTGTGCCGGATACATACATGCTTGCAGAAATAAAAAAAATGTCCCTATGGCAGTGGGGGAGAAACTATTCTTGAATCAGGCTGAGTTGGCTGTCAAAGACCTGTAACGCCTCCCAGAGGGCACGAGTGTGAACAGGTGGTGTGCAGGGTGTGTGTGGTCTGAGGTGATTTTCAGTGCTCGCTGTGTGACTTGTCTTTGATACAGTCTCTATGGATGGGAGGGTGTGGCCAGTGATTTTTTAAATAGCTAAGAGTGTTAAAGTTTGAAAGGGTTTTAAAGTTATGTGAAAGCAGTTAATGCAGATGTCAACTCATGAGTTATATCAATAAAAATAATTGTGATGATGATTTTTGCCTTCATCCAGCAGTCCTACCATGATGCCTTTTTAAAGTAGTTTTTTGTTTGTTTTATGAAAAGCCTTTTAAGATGGTGTAAAATCATTCAAACCTAGATCTGAATATGTTCACCTGTATATCCTATTATTATGAAAAACCCACAGAGACGAAGGAAAAGAGCACACAAGGCCTCTGAGAATGTCAAGACTAAAAGTGCCAAAGCCAGTCGCAGCAATGTCAGCAGAGCACGAGGCAGCAAACAGAAACATGTGGAGGCTGTTACACTCTTTGAAGTCATCACTATGGGCAAGAGCGCCATGCAGGTATGATGTCAGACGTGTTCTGGTATGGTCAAGTTGTAAGTCATTAAACATATGATCTGACGCCTGTGTGATGTCTAAGCAGGCGGTGATAGATGACTGGATTGAGGTGTATGAGACAGACAGGGACTCTTCTCTCCTCGATCTCATCAGCTTCTTTATCCAGTGCTGCGGATGCAAAGGTGAGTAGAGATAGCACATGCCTTCGCTCTCACACATAATTAGAATATGAAGTTTTACCCTGAGCTTTCTGTCTCTCTCAGGTGTGGTCACAGCAGAGATGTGTCAAAGCAAAGAGGACAGTGACGTTATGAGTAAGATGGTGGAGGAGCTTGATGAGGTAGGAGTTTTTTTAAGATTTCCTCCTCTTGTCTTTCATTCAGTTTTAATCCAGAAACTGAATGATTGTGTTTGTTTCAGGTTGCAGGTGTGCAGTATAAGAAGTTTCTTGCCTTTCCATGGATCCTGACAGTCACATGGCCCATGGATACAGTAAGTGTGTCATTGATGTATCCTGATCCTGACTTGTGAAAAAGATACTTAGATGTAATCTAGCACCTTTTACTGCACAGTTGTAAAGTACAAACTGCACATTGACTGCAAGAGAGAGGGTAAGAAAAACAAAAGCCAAAGAACTTGAACTGCAACAGCAGGCAAAAAGTAAATACAGACTATGAGGAAAATGAGAATTTGGATAAAACATTAATTAAATCACTGAAGGACAATTTGAATGGGGTGGATTTTTAACATGATCCAAAGATTAACTGAGTTTGTGGCCCTGATCTAATCGGACAAGTCTTCACAAAGTTTAAGGACTAACTGCAAAAACTCTATCGCCATATGTTGTTGTGAATTCACCTTGAGCGGTGTTGGCCAAAGTCCTTCACGATGGCACTATTAGGAATTGGCAATGTGAAAAAGGCTACTTATTTCTCATTTTTGTTAATATTAAAAAATTTACAGAAAAGAATCATTTGTGTATTATTTAATTCAAATGAAAAAGGGTGTGGCCCCAGCATGGAGCCCTGTGGCACTCCAAAGTATTCCCTTTTCGTAGCATACTTGTCTTTAGCAACACCAGTACAGCCTAAAAATGTAATTTTTTTACATTTCTTATAGCAAAGATGTGATACAGAGAAAGAATTTAGAGTGTTTAAATGACTCTAAAGGACATAATGACTTGCTTTGCACATGGGCTTTGAATGGATCATTCATTGTTTTGCGTCTCAAATGAAATAATATCACCTCTTATTTACAGGATAGCATGGAGTATCCTCTGATACAGCCTGGACCGTATGGACGCTGGTTTCACTCCGAGTTCTGTGACTTTGTGTCAGTACTGGTGGCTCAGTGTCAGCACAGTGTCATCTTCGACTGTTACCTGATTAACACCATCATCTCACTGCTTACTGAGCTGTCCAACTCTTACGTACGGGCTTTCAGGCACACCTGTACGCTAGCAGGTAAGAAATTAAAAACAGACACATACTGGTACATAAAGAAGTCGAACAAACTAATCGGTACGTTTTGGTTCTGTTCTGGACAGCTGTGAAGCTGCTGAGCTCTCTGGTGGGTGTTGCTTTGAGTCTAAGTGTGGGCATCGAGAACAGTCAGAAACTGTTTGAAGTGCAGAAGACAAAGACGATGAGACAGAAAAGCACACTGCAGCTGGAGAGAATACAGAGGAAGATCACAGAGGTAAGATATGACTCACTTTGGATATGCAGTGAGTAATCTTCAGGTCTTTTATCTCTCAGGGCTGAGTGGAACATATTGAGTGACTTCTGTGTGTCTTTACCCATGTTTCTGTAGCTGCAGGATAAGAGGACAGAGATAGAGAGCATGATGGATATCATCTTCAAAGGAGTTTTTCTGAAAAGATATCGGTAAGTGTTTCAGTAACTTTGTTGGTTTTAGCACAGCTGTCAGTGTATTGGAGCTGATTATGTGCGTTTACCTGTTCAGTGATGTGCTCCCAGAAATCCGCTCCATCTGTATGGAGGAGTTGGGTTTGTGGATGAAGCTCTACAGCTCTGCTTTTCTCAACGATAGCTACCTCAAATACATGGGCTGGATGATGCACGACAAGGTGAACATAGTCAAATGATGAAACACAAAAATAGATTGAGAAACTGTCTCTGTACTGATGTGCGCATCTTCATTTAGGTACCAGATGTTCGTCTCAAGTGTGTGTTGGGTCTCCAGGGTTTGTATGGAGATCCAGTGCTGCTCCCCAAACTTGACCTCTTCACCAGCCGCTTCAAGGTAAACAGAACAGTTTACCTGAGGTCACTGAGATGAAGGCTGTAGATAAAGAAGTACCCAAACCACATCAACACTTTTATATGTACCCAAAGTCCCAGAGTTAGTCTAAGGCTGCTTCTAAATGGAGCTTGTAAAGTCAGGAACTTCCCACTGAGCATTAGACGGCTATGAGACGTGTAGTTTTCTTTTAGACCTAATCTTAACTGTCTAGATTCTGTATATATTTTTAGACGTTTAGACGTTGCACTTTAACCCATTAATCTTTAACTATTTCAAAAAGCAACTGTGAGCGGCATAACTGATCTCCAAGTACTTAACCAAAATAATTATGATAGCCGTTGAGCAATATACAGTTTAGTATAGATATAGCCCAGATTTAGACTTGGTCTAAATTTATTTTTTACTACTTTATTGCAAGGCTTCTTTCTTTCACAAACAAAGTCAGGCTTTCATTTTACAATATTATACCTTACATTTTTTTTTTTTAACATACAGAAAGTAAATAACAACCAAAAAGAAACCAAATCAACATATCTCCAAAAATAAGGCAAAACATACAAGCAAACAAAATACAAAAAATAAATGCATAAATAAAATAAAATGAACTAAATATAATTAAATAAACTAAAGAAAACTGGTAGGGGTAGGGGTAGGTGCATGTATGTGTGTTTGTGTATCTGTGTGTGTATGTACATGGATGTTAGAGTTGGGGTGGGGACCTTTTAATCCATCTCCTTAATTTGATTAAATATTTCTACTGTTTTTGTCAACCTTTCTTTGTGGTATAGCTTGTTCCAAATATGCATTTTTTCCCTATTCATCAACATTAGCCTTTCCATCTCTAGACATTGTTCTGCTGTTGATACCCAAGCTGTTAATTTTGGTTGATCTGATTGTTTCCATGCTTTGGTCACCTGTTTCATAGCAGTTGTTCGCAATATGTTAAAAAAATAGATATCCTTTGCTCTTATCTTTCCCTCTAAATGGATACCTAAACAATGCTGTACCTGCAGAGGTTCTTTAAACTCAAATATATGCTTTAAGGTTTCTTTGACTCCTTCCCAGTACAGTATTAGTACTGGGCATGTAAAGAGCATATGCATATAATTTGCCTCCTGTTCTCCACATCCTCGCCAACATCTATTATCCAGTCCGGGGTAATACCTCTTAACTTTCTCAGGTGTAATGAAGAATCTCATACTCACTTTCCATGAGAACTCCCTCCAATACTTTGATTGGGATGTTGTAAAGTTTCTACCTAATGTTCTTCTCCACTCTCCTGTTGTTATATTAATTTTTAGATCTTTTTCCCACTTCTCTTTTATGTTACTCTCTACATTGTTGTGCTTCTGCAGGATCTTATAGATTTTTGACAGGTTTCCTTTGTTTTTATTACAATTTTGTGTCATATATCTTATCAGTTCATGCTCTGATGTTTCCTCTGCTAAAAATCTACTTATGTAACTTCTAACCTGCAGATATTTGAAGAAATGTTTTGATTCTAATTTATATTTCCTAGATATTATATCATAGGAGTTTATTGTATGATTAGACTTGGTCTAAATTTAGACGTCCAAAATCTTTCATTTTTAGACCTGTGGTAGCCTGGTCTTAGACCAGTCGTCTAGGCTACATTTAGACGTCTATTAGACGTCTTTTCGACCAAAAAATGCTCAGTTGGTTGTGTCATGAAGTTGAGTAAATGAAAGGCCTGGAGTTTAAGTAGTAACCATATGAGAGCTTGGCAGCAGCAACATGGACACTAAGAGTGGAAATACGTAAATTAAATTGTTTTATGTACTGAAATATGACTCTGGGTAACAGGCGGCAGGACGACAAAATCATGAGCTAAATTTGACGTGCCATGGCTCATGTCAAGACCCTTTCAGTTCAGAAATAATGCATCATAAACCATACCCTTATGAGATATTCTGCTCATTTCATGAGCAAAAGTTGCTATAAACTGTTATGAATGCTTATAATCACATTTATGGATCGCTGTAAAGTCTTATAGATGCATTTAAAAGGCTTGAAAAATGTGCTTATGATGCGTTATATATGAGAGGGGTCTGCATAAAGTGTTGCTAAAGTTTCTCCAAGAAAGGTTGGCAAATAAGGTGCATTGTTCTTAAGCTGCTAAATCTGAAGTTTTCTTAACACAGATAAATTTATATTTCTTTACTATGTATTGCAACAAAAATTGACTGTTTAAAAAGAGTTAGCTAAATGAGACTAAGGTATAAAATTTGTTGTTCAGCTTTTGCAGCTTTTATAATGTGATTTCTGTCAACAATAGCGCACATCTGGAAATAGATTAAGCTTTACCAAGTCATGTGTGTCGCTGCAGGACCGGTTGATCTCTATGACTCTGGATAAAGATAACGAAGTGGCAGGGCAGACCATGAAACTACTGGTGCTCATCTCTAAGTAAGTTGTTGGTGTTCAAATAAAAGACACAATCAATCAATCAGTCAAAATCAGACATCAAAATATGTTTGATCATGTTTCATTAGTAACTTCTTTATTTTCTTTCCATTGAATCACTTTGACTCCTCAGAACCTCGGATGATGTTCTCAGTCTGGAGGACTACAAACAGTTGCTTCAGTTCGTCTACTCTTCACAGCGCCCTCTAGCGGCCACTGCAGGGGAGCTGCTCTACTTGAGGTAAATTCATCTCCTTCACTTATTCTTACAAAACTTGACCAAAAGTCAGTGTTTGATTGACTGAATCTGGTTGGTCTCTGTCAGGCTGCTCAACACTGAATCCCCCGACACTCAGGAAGAACTAAATAATGAAGAGAAACATCTACAGCAGACGTTCATCAGATTGAAAGCTCTGCTGCAGTTTTACCAGGAGTCTCAGGTGAAGACACTCAGTTTTGTTTTTATTCTGTTGTATCGATTATGTTGACTTGTTAGACTAACGCGTGTGTGTCACTTTTAGCTGCACAAACATGTGGTGTACCTGGTTGACAGTCTGTGGGACTGTGGTGGAGCTCTGCTGAAGGACTGGCCCGCACTCACGTCTGTACTGCTGCAGGACCCTCCCTCACAGAGTCAGGGTACTGTAATGAGTGAATTTAATATATATATATATTAAGAATCAACGCTGCAGCAGCTATGATAAAGTATATTTATCTAAATCACTGGTTGTCCCAGTCCTCTGTCAAACTGAAAGAGGCATTTGTTTTCAAATTCTTGTGCAAATTACCTCAGAGAGAACCGTGAGGCTGTTAAAAAACAAGCGGAAAGAGATTTTTCTTTTTTGCTGCAATGTTTAAGATAAAAAAGGGTACTTCTTTATCTACAGGGTCGCCTAAATACACACAAAGTTGTTCATACATGCGCTTTAACTTCAGTCTTGAGTGCATGACTTTTTCCAACTGTTGATTGATATTTTGAGAAGCGTTTTTTATATCTGTGTGTCAGATTTTGTGTCTCTGCCCCGCAACCTTCATTTGCAGCATATGACCATATCTCAAGGAAAGAAAATCGGAAAACGTCAGTCAAACAAAGTCTACACAAGTGTGTGTCTGTGCGTGTGTGTAGGTCTAACACATGAAGACAAAGCTGTTCTTGTGGAGCTTCTGGTTGCGTCAGTGCGTCAGGCCTCAGAGGGACCAGTTCTAGCGGGGAGAAGCGGAGCCAAGAAGGTTAGAGGGTGACCTATACGTGTTTATCGTTACTGGAAGATAACTGTGACAGTATTTATTCGAGTAAAGATACCAAAAACATGAAAAAATGAGCAATCAAAGGACTTGTTTTTAAAATCCATAAAACCATCTTAGTTTTTCTAAGAGATGCAAACCAAAGGGGTAGGCCTGCCCAAATAGTCCAAAGATGAAATATGAGAAAATAATTTTTTTTCCTTGTGAAAATTGTCAAATATTCTCATCTTTCAACTCTTCAATGTGATGTCCTTGTATTTCAGGTCATGAGTGCCAGGGAAAAGAAAATCCAGGTTGATGACTCTACTAAACTCACTGAACATCTCATCGTGGTGCTTCCTAACTTACTGTCAAAGGTATTCATGACGCACATGTTCAAAAACCTAGCAGTGTAAATCCTGTCATACAAACACTGAGACTCCTGAACAGCACCATTTGATTCTCTGTGTCAAACTCTGATAATTTCTGCTTTTTTTATATTGTTTTTGTTGGTGCAGTTCTCAGATAGTCCTGACATTGTTGCCTCCCTGATGAAGATCCCTCAGTTCTTCATCCCAGAGTGCACCGAGGCTGGAAACACAAAGGTTTGTATCTCAGTCTTTTCACTTTCATAATCAGAGACACAAAGAGTGACAAAAAAAATTACGTAATGACACAGTTTCTTAATCATACACTGGGATATTGTGAGCTGGAAACAAAGTGCAGGTAAAATTCTGCCTGAAGTCAGCACAAGGAAAACTGTAATACCATTATTTGTTTTTCCCATCAAGTTATCATTGTATAATGTGAAATAATGTGTGAAAGAATTTTCACAGATGGATCCAAATGTGATCAAATGAACATCTTTATTTTCGATAGTTTAAAAAATCAAAGATTTTAAATGAATATCAAGCGGATCATGACTAAGGTCTTTGATTCTCAGTGATTGTAACAAGTACGTCTGGTAATTTATTGTAGGAGTAACGCAACTTTGTCATCACATTTAAAATTATTTTCAGTAAGAGTTTTTATCCGTTAACCGTCATGTATTCTTATATTTCAGATCTGCAAAGTAATTTTTTAAGTGGTACCAACCAAAACTGACATGACAATTACAGGGTTTTTCCTGGCTCAAATTGAGGCAGAGGTGGCACCATCCTGACCATGCGCCACGACGTGCATGTATTTGTAAATTCAACCGATTCACTTTCTTTTACAGGCAACATACTTTAAGTTAAGAGTTCAAAAAAGAGTGTGACCATTATCATGTTAAAGCATTCATTTATTAAAACTATATACATACACAAATCAGCTGGCAACTTTAAATTGAAAGTACACTTCATCCACACATCTCGCAACCAGACAGAACATTTCAGCCTCCTCTTTTTCATTCTGTAGAACCTCCTCATGCACCCCTTGTAGTCCAAGGCCTCCTGGTCTGGTCCATCAACGGCCACCTTACAACAGACATCCAAGTGCCTCTCCCTCAGTCTGTTCCACAGAGGTGTCTTCACCTTAAACAAAACAATTCATCATGCATTAAGTATTTTTTTTTTTATTCTGATACAGACATGAAGAGTGATAGTGTTTTCAATCATATATATGTATACGCTGCAGTGTCCTCCCTAAAAAAAAAAACGACAACCAATTATTTCTTAAACTATCTAAACTATGTTTTTTGTAACTTTATTAGTTGAGTTTTTTTAGGTACAACCATCTTTAATATATTTCTCCTTCTCTTCTGCTGCTTTGTGAATGGCTGTCACCTCATGTCTTTTTAATGTGTCCAGCCTGTAGTTGGTTGATGGCTGTCTCACTAAGGAGGCAGCAATTACCTGCTGTGTTGGGGCACAGTGCTTTTATGCATAAATAGCAGTGCATGCCTTCCTCAGTATGCCTGAGCCAGGCAAATTGATTGAGCCACTGCTTGTCAAAGCCACTGGCTCTGTGTTTTTGAGAAGATCTGGAAAGAGGAATAAAAACCACGTACACGTTGGTTTTGCGTTGTTATGCTCCTAATTGGAAACTAATTAATTAATTACCCTCGCCTCGCCGACTCGTCCTGTCCTGCATTCTGACCCTCGCGATCACCAGTCCCTTGTGGAGTACTTTTAGACCTGACACAAATTTCCACGTTGTCACCAACATGAATTATAGCATTTTAACTGCCTGTTCCTTTTTTTTCTCTGCTGTGTTTCACCTGGACTCTTGACTTTCCTCCTCGCGAGGTCGCTTTTTAAAGTACTGGCTGATTTTGCCTGTCATAACTGCAACGCTAAAAACAGAGTAAACTTTTTTTTTTAAATAAACACGACATGCTTGGATGCCAAAAAGAGAAGCAGTATTTACCTGTTTGTACCATCCGCCAGGGAAAATCAGGACGCCGACAGTACCAACTAGCGGGAAAAAAACTTGAAAAAGCATGATTCGATCCGTTTCTTCTTCGGTAGATGCTTCAGGTCTTTCCGGTGCACTGCTGTTGATATAGCGCCTCTATAGTGGCGCAACCCTGCAACTGCAGTTAAAATACGTTGCTGCTGCATCGGGACATCAATCGCTCAATCAACACAGCTGGAGCTTTACGCTGTGTTGAGCGAAATCAATCGCTCTGGCTGGGGGCGGCACAAAATTAGGTGGAGGCGGCCGCCACGCAATTTTGAACGCAGGAAAAACCCTGCAATTAGAGATTAAATCAAATTAAACCATTACTTTTTAAAGTGGCCACTGACGCGCACTTTATTGGAGCATTAAATGGTAAAATAGAAGAGAAGATAAAAATATCTGCAAGTTAAAATCACATTTTGGCTCAAACGTTGAGTCTTATCACACATTTTGAAATCATCCTGTACTGTTCTTGTATCTTCTGGCTCAGGTGGTGTCAGACCTGCTGGCAGAGTTAAGAGCTGTTCTGGACCTCCACTCCAGCCCGGCTGTCCTGGAGGCCGCAGCTCGGACATACCTCAGTCTGTGTGGAGAGGAGATGACCTGCTGCTCTGCGGCCCAGACTGCCAGAGACTCTCTGGTTCAGAGCTGGGTGGATAAACTGACAAACCTCCTGAAAGCTGCACTCACTGTGAGGAGAGATACTGATACTATTGGACCAGTGAAGTTGTTCTCTCTGCTAGAACATACTTGTTACAGTGCACTTAAATGGGGATGATGATGACATTTACATCCCAACACATTCTTCATCACTAGTTTCGCTCCTGCAGTTATTTTTTATCCATGTCTGTAAAGAACAAATAGGACTCTGCCTCTCCTGTTTCTGTGTTGCAGGATGACAGTTTCACAGCCGATGAGGGAGAAATGAGAGAAATATTAGTCACACTGAAAAAACTCAGAGTTTTCCACAAGTAAGATTTCCTCAGTCAAGTTTGAACGTGATTTCCTTTCAGTAATATGTTGAAAAAAGTCGTTTCTGATGCATTATTATTATTATTATTATTATTATTATTATTATTTGTTAGCTGTCATGACCTCTCCGGATGGAACCTGTTTGAGCTGCTGGCTCCTCTCCTCTCAGTGGAGGGCGGTCAGGGAGGACCAACACCTGAGGTGACAATGCTAGTTTTGTAATATATCTTTCTTATTCTAGTTTTATCAGCTACTGATCGCTAATGTTTCTCCTTGAAGAGTCCAGGAGAGTTGAGTGTCCTGTCCTCCTCTTTGTTTTGTGTGAAGGTGCTGCTGGAGGTGCTGCAGTGTCTGTGTTTCTCCATGATCTGGTCTCTCAACACCAGTGGTGAAACTCTAACCTCGACAGTGAGTTAAAGCAACTTTTTTTTTTGCTTTAATTTGATGGAAACAAAGAAGTTTAGCAGAAAAAAGCAGAACAGGCTAGCTTGACAAAGACTGAAGGAAAATGCCCAATAATATTGGGTGTTATAGTTGAAACACAAACTCCTATTTAAGGACCAATGATGTCTTTTGAATCATCTTCTTTCTTGTTTAAACATTTCATAGGTTATGTTATGAATAACTAAATGAAAACCAAACAGCCGTGTGTAGCTGATACAAATATTTGGAGCATGTAGATCACAGTTTGTTTGTCTGTTGCTCTGAGGTGTGTGTGTGTGTGTGTGTGTGTTTTAGGAGAAAGCTGTAGCTCAGAGGCAGCATCTGCGTCTCTTCTGTGAGCGGGGTCATCACTGTCTGTCTCACTCTGACCTCAGTGTTCGGCAGCAGGTAAAACTGACTTTCTATTTTAGAGAAGGGACAAGATTCTTCTACTTCTACTCCCGGCCTTTCTGACTCCCTCTTTTCTTTCAACTTAAGGCGTTTCTCGGAGTGTGTGACGTTCTGACGGCTCATTCATACCAACTTCATGTGTGGGATCCCACCTCCTTTGGTCCACTGCTCTACACTCCCAGTCCCAAACTGCAGAGGGCGCTGTTGACCTTTGTGTGCCAGCATGTCTTTGTTGGACCAGAGAGTGACAGTCAGAGCAGTGGTGAGACCCCAACCTCTCAGCTTCTTGTCGTTTATGTTCGATGTTTCAGCTTCGCTGTGTAGTTTAATAGAAAATAGTGTTTTTTTATGCTCATCAGTGGAATAGGAAAAATTTTAAGGTCTACTTTTTATCTGTATTCAATCAAAGGTTCAGGACTTTGTTGCCTAACAGACTAATATGCAACTTACAGAAGTGTTACACAGTGTGACTGTAAGCCTTTAAAGCTAATATGTCATGAGTGGACTTTTTCCCTGAGGTTACTTGCGTCATAAACTTAGTTTGAAATGTAAAATATGATCATAATAACTTTATTTGTGTAGCACTTTTAAAAACAGGGGTTTAGCGTGTGCTTTGACAATAAAAAACCCAAAGCTTAAGAACAGAACAAAGAGTCAAAACCCTAAAACAGGAAAGAATCACATGAAAATTCACCGAACAAACAACATAAAGACCTTAAAGACCCACTGAGAAACCAATGAAGCAGAGAAACATATAGAAACCCATAATAATCTGAAAGAACCTAAACAAACTCAGGCACCATATAACCACAAGACTGACACCAGAACAGTGAAAGTGAAAGGAAGAGTGTGGAGTTTAAATAGTAATCATCGGAAATTTTAACTTTTTAGTAGTTAAAATTTAGTAGTAACAAGTATTCTTATATGTTTAGTTATCCAAACAAGTTTTTTTTCAACATAAAAGGTACATTCAATTATTTTTAATGTTTTGAAATCAGACACTGGAGGAGCGTGAAAAAAATTCAGTATAATTCAGGATCTATACTGTCACTCCAATTACACATATGCAATTGTTAGAACACTAAAAACAGGTTAATATTAAATATAAAAGAGAAACAAACAATTACAAGATGTTATATGACATCAAAATAGAATAAAAAAGTGATATCCAAGATAAGATAAAATAACTATTGCAGCAACTCAGACAAAGTCAGCGAGTGAGACTGCAGTGAGAAAATTAAAGAAGATAAAATCAGTGATATATACAACTGTAATTGTTGTTATACCACTCTTAATGATTTAAGTTAAAAATAAGCTTCGGGATAAAGTGAGCCCACCTGAGGCGAGACAAGTTTATTTAAAAAAAACATATATATTTTTTTTATTTCTAAAGAAAGTCAAAGTGCTTCAGAATCAGAAAGCCTTTATACAATGAAATACAAAACAACAACACAGTTTCAACTTGTTTACTCACACACTCACTCATTCATACAGACATTGAACAGAATAACAACCATTAAATAAGATATGATAAAACCTGGTGATAAAGTGCATATTCACTCACATTAAATGAATCACACTTAAAGATAGAAAATTACACTTGGAGTGAGGATGCAAAAAGTAAATGAAAATACTCATTTAATAAGCTGTTTAAGTATAAATATTGAAGGTTGAATATTTAATAGTCATGTTTTACTCAAGGTTGATTGCCCTTATTTAGTTATGATCATGAAGTGTTATTTATTTTAATTTTTTTACAAACTGATCACAGCAAAAATCTGATTTCTCGGCATCTAAAGATAAACTCTCTGGTAGAAGTCAAAATATTTGACCCGTACAAATAAAAATGCCACAAAAGTGCCTTTAGTTTCATTGATGCATCAGTAGTCAGAGTTATTCTTACGTTATAGCTGCTCTTATAGCTCTTATGTTAGATATAATCAAAAAGGTATTATAGTGGTGTGGTTTCCGGCTTCAAGGTATCAGAAGATAAAAGATCGCAAAATAATTGAGTAGGATAGAGCAAACAAACAAGCTCAGGTGAGAAATTAAGAGAGAAAAATTCTCTTTGTTGGATTCGATAACTCACAGACATCTGAGAGATGAAAGGTAGGAGATGTTTAAGTTTTAACAATATAGTTTAAATTTTTCATGTCAAACTTTGAATCAGAAAAGTAAATACAGCTGTTCGACACGAGGTAGACTATACAGAAAATATCACTCTCAAATCAAAGTGGTATGAAGTAAAAGCATTAAATTGATTCGCAGACTTCACATCGCAATTAGGATAAAGAATCTGAATTAATGTACGTCATTGTCCACCACCAAAAGTGTCGTTTTCTTTAACCAAACGGACTTAGATCCCGTATGTTTGATTCCTGTATGTGTTTAACAGCAGATGGCACTCTCACTGTGCTGTTTGAGAACCACATCTTCTCTCTGGGCCTTCAGCTGCTCCAAGTACAGCATTGATTTTTATGTTGCTGCCTTAAACATGCAGGTATTAAATGCACGGCCACACATTCGTCTTACTAACTCCGTGCGAAGCTGCCCGCTGACTACAAACCAGGTCTGATTTCCTCCCTGACCGCACAATTGACCCTCAATTACAAATAAAACCCTGTTCATACCCTCAAACTAAAACTGGATGTTTGCATTTGTTATTAAAGGAAATACAGCTTGACTACTTTTGTGGCAGCGTGTATTAAAATGAGAAAACCCAGATCGACATGTTGGAATTGCAGAGGTTTCTCCCGCAGAGTCCTGCAGGTGAACTTATGATTTCATTCATGGCTCTGTGTAACTTAAACATTTTTATTATCTTTACAATAGCTTCTACTTTCGCAGACTTATTGCATCCAAATATGGGATAGTTCAGTGAAAGCACTAGCAGTCCTGGTGGGAATCTCTTAAATGTTCAACCAAATGCAATAGGGGATTATTGGTTTTTGAACATGTAATAAAAAGCGATTGTTTTATTGGATTTGCCTGGTTATGGTTTTGTTATATATATAGACAGTGTTTTCTATTAGCTGCTGGATCAGAGATCACTCGGAGGGCAGGGGCACAGAGTTAAATCATAAAATCGGGGCAATCTCTTTCCGTGAGAAAATTCCATTAACTCTGGCTCACCTCCGAGCCTATTTTATTAGCCTTGAGAAAGATTGAAGCCACATGGTGTCACAACCATAACTCTAGTCTTGTGTTATCTTTGATTTCCACCTGCTAAAGCCATTGTCCTGAAACTAACTTAAACACTCTCTCCATGTCTCCGCTTTGTTCTTTTCTCTCTGTTATATGATTTCTCATGATTAATCACTCTTCTTTTCTTCTCATCTTCTTGACCACTTCACATGTAACCACACGCTTTAACTCCATCTGGATCCCTCAGTCAGTGAAAACTCTGAAGAGGAGAGGCTGGAGGACCTGCACAGACGGAGAAATGTGCTCGCGGCCTACTGCAAACTGATCGTACACGGGGTGCTGGAGATGAGTATGGCGGCAGAGGTGTTCATGTACTACATGAAGGTAAAGGCCGAGTCTTCAAGCTTTTAAAGGTCCTGTGGGGAGTTTTTATATGGTTATGTATCAGACTGAAATTAACATGGGTGCTTCTTTATGACCCAAAAGGGCAAAGACAGCTGTTAGCTGAACTCAAGCCCTCTAAAATTAGGTAGAGGCTTTTTTTTTTTTCAACTAAAATGTAGCTGCTGCCCCCCAGTGGCAGTTAGGAGCTACTACAAACACATTCTCATTCCCAACTCATCATATATTGACGGACAAGCAGGAGCCCTTTGCGTCAGTAAGCGACACACATGGGTACCCCTCGCGTCTGTTTTTGACGCAGCGGGTCGGCCGTAGACTTCAATAAGACTCCTTTTTCATCAGATAGTGGTCAGATGGTGGATAAACTATTTACATTTAACTATTAAATAATTTTCAGGTTAATAAATGAGTTATATTATTGCTCCTTTAACTGAGTGAAATCATCGTTTAGACTAGTGGGTCTCCAGTTCCATATTCTACATCAAACCGTATTTTGTAGTAACATACTTGTGCCACCAGAGAGCAGCAGCAACATTTCACGAACAGTCTCGTCACCGTCTGAGATTGTGCTCACAACCTGTTAGCTCAGCGGTTTCTTTTGAACTATTTATCTATTCTTTATATTAATGTTTATTTAGTGTCGGATAAAATGTACTGAATACTGTAATACAACTACAGATAATACAGGGGCGAGTCGGAACTACAGGAGAGGGGTGTGTCGAATACAGCGAGGTGATTGGATGGAGAGGCGGAGCAGGAGATTGACCAATAAGAGCTGTCTGGGACGGATTGCTCCCATTGGTCAATGTTTTTGCAGCCCTGCACCTGCTAGGGTGAACAGATTTTATCCATTCTTTTTTCTATTTACTTTGTGGAGATCGCACTATAGGACCATGATCGCCATATAAACGAGGTTCATAATAATTACCAATCACTCCAATCATCGACCATGCCTTTAAGTTTTGGCTGCTGTAGTCAAGACCATGAGTAACTTAGTTTTATATCAAAGCTAGTATTTACTACAGTTCTTGGTGAGTGTGTATCTTTTTAACCTCTTCTGTGTCCTTAGTACTACAATGACTTTGGAGACATTATCAAGGAGACCATGTACCGGACCAGGCAGATGGATAAGATTGAAAGTACCCGTACTCTGGTGCTCTGTTTGCAGCAGGTACAACTGAAAAAACTCCTAAATAAACTCCAGCTACAGTCTAGCTGCTTTGAGGTGCTGACATTTTTCCTCTCCCAGCTCTTTGTTCGTCTGAGACGAGAGCAAGAGAGCGGCGGCAGAGCTCACCCAGGAGTCCAGACCTTCACCAGCATCAAAGAGCTCGCACGGCGCTTCGCCCTCGCTTTCGGAGACCTTGTCAAGTTTCGTGAGTGCGTGGTCATGATCCACAGGTCAGTGTGGGCTCTTGCTCTGTCGTTGTTTGGGTGCTGTTGTAAGCTTTAGCGGCTAAGGTTTGTGTGTCGTGAAAATGTGCAGAAACGGGATCGAATTTGTGTTCCAAGAGTTCAGTCAGACCCCAGAAACACCCACACCGCTTTACCTCTCGTACCTGACCATCCTCAGTGAATTCTCCAACAAACTGCTCAAACCTGACAAGAAAACAGTGTAAGTGCTGCACACACGGATACAACAAGGTCTTAAAATCTCTTGAGCTTGGCTTCCTGAGAGTCTGTTCTTGTCTGTGCAGGTTCTCCTACCTGCAGAAGCACACTGCAGAGCATGTTATTGACCTCAGGGAGGATAGCTGGCAGCCTCTCATCTACTATCGAGCCTCCCTATTGGCTGCAGCTGAAGGGGAGGATGCTGTGTCATATGTTAGCTCTGATAGAAGGCCAAATCGCTCTCCCCTCTCCAAACAAAAACTAGAAGGTACAACACAAACCAACAAAATCAAGCAGAGTCCTTTTGTCTTTGTCGTCACACGTGTTTGTTTTCACTCTTTTAGGCAGTAAATCCCCCTGCTTGTTCACCCCTGCTGATTCCAGAGTCAGTAAAACTCACAGAATCAGCTTCAGTCCAAGGTGAGGCTCAAGCTCAATTATTTCCTCAATCCTTTTGCAATTTTTTATTTTACTACTCTTTCAAATTTATTGCTTCACCCTCAGCAGACAGGAAAAGACGACCGATGCGGATCCTTTCTCTGTGCCCGTGGAACCGCCTGCAAAAAGGTTCAGCTTCGGGGAATCAGAGCTCAGCACGAGCAACGAGGTGGACGACGACACGGTGGACGTCGAACTGTAACAGTTTTGAAGCTGAAGAGAGTCCACTCTTCAGTTTGGACCGGATTGGACTTCACAGACTTTGATAGTGGCATCATGGCGCTGTTTCTGTCCGTACATGATGTTTTTAATAAGGACCTATAAACGTAAAGAGTTAAGTTTCTCTGTGTGTCTGTTACCCTAACAATTGCTCTTCCCATTGACTTCCCACTTTTTGACTTATTAAAAAAAGGCAACAGGGTTTAATACAGTCAAGCTGACCAACAGTATATTAATATGTAGCTAAAAAATAGTTTGGAGCATGTGCACTTTTTACTCATGGGTTTACGTTTACAAAGAAAGTTATTTAAAGTATTTGCCAAAAATAGGAGCAACCCTCTTCTAAAGAGTTGAAAAATCGGGGACATTATAGACAGCTAAGAAGAAATGGAAACACTACCCTTAATGTCACGTTTGTCTTTTATTCTCAGATTCTTTTTTTATTTGGAAATCATGTCTGTTTTTGTTTGTTAAACTATGTCTCTGTGTACACTCCTTTGCTGTACTTGAGTATCACTGAGAGCAGTTTTCCAGTCATACTCGTGTTGTTAAATAATGTCAGAGTGCATTAAAAATGTTGCTCTTCCTGTCACTTTTTCATAGCTCCTCTAAGGAAAAAAATGAATTCTGTGAAACTGACCGTCTGTGTATGACTATAAACTGCATTAAATAAATAAGCTAATTCCTTAAACTTTTTAAAGGTGAACATTTTACTTTACTGATAGGACAGCTCAGGGGACACAGAACCTTACCCTTTCTTTCTTTCTTTCTTTCCCAATCTTGTCCTGTTCACGCATAGGTAGTATTTTTCCCCCACAATACCTTACAGTAAACAGACCCTTTACTTATACAGTTTTCTATTCTTAATGTGCTTTGACTGTCACATTCCCATCACTCACATCAAGGACCATGATTTGGGGTGACAGCAGGAGTTGGTCTTGAACCACCAACAGTTTGACTTTTATGGTCCCTGTTTGTTTCTGCAGGTCAAATGGAGGCACCAATACTAGTTTTGGTCTGTCATCACAAAGGAATAATAGGGTTTTTTCCTCCAAATACGCCTGTAAAAGTGAGATTATCTTATATTTGGGGTTTAGGGATTCAACTCTGTAAGGCTGATGCTGCTGTCTGAGACAAAGTAACTTATTCAAATATCAAATCTGAAATTACAAGGGACTTGGTAAAATCAGTGTTTTTCTGTGACATCTATCTTATGAGACTGTCCGCATTCTTTTACTCAAAATTGAAGGTAATTCATGATTAATTATATATCAATTTTAGTGAAATAGTTTATATGTTGTTAGCTGACTATGCTACACAGAGGGTGCAGTCTTTGCTTCAGTCGGTTGGCCAATCAGAGGCTTTTTCTGCGATCAGCTGACCTGAAAGGTCCAGTTTGAGGTTTTGACCATAGACTGTATGTAGAATGGACGCCATCTGCCTCCTCACTGGGTGAAGCCACTCTGAGAACAGCACCCTCTGGTGACGGGCTGCAGTAAAGGTCATAAATCCCGCCTCCACCAGCAAAGCTTACGGAGCTGTGGACAAACTTTAGAAATTTATTACACAGAGTATAAATTTTTCTCCCCCCTGTTTGCGATGTTGTCATGTAGTTATTGTCAGACTGGTTTGTGCTCAAGTCCTCTTTTTTCTGTACAGCTCCATTTTTAAAAGTTAAAAGTTGTTTTCTATGATTGACACTTGATACAGCCTATGGGCATATGACGTTTGCGTAACAGAGCGTCATCACAGCGACTATCGGCGAATCTCCCGCCGAATACGTACAACGCTACTGCGCAATGTTGGTTTCAGGAAATGGAGAAAAAACGCGGAATTACTGAGAGCTTTTTGGCTTCAAATCCGTATACAGGCGGAAGGCGAAACCAAGTCGTCCATAGTTAGGCCTGTCGCGATAATCAAAAAATCGCCTTATCGCTCGATAAATAAAAACGAGGTTGATAACTTTGCCAGCCTCGATAATTGACGTGCGTTTGTTTTCCTCCTCTCTCGCTACCAAACACGCTGGATGAGAGAAGAGGTCTCACTCTGCGCATTGTTCTCGGCACCTGGGGGCGTTGGCTCTATAGCGGAATGAATGGAGTTAGTGAACCCTCCTGTCAGTCATTCAGTGTCTTTGTCACGAGGGGGCTGGCGCGCACAGGCACACAGACACAGACTTTTTGGATACAGTGCTGCAAGTGAGCGTCGTGAGTGAAAAGCAAGCTAACAGAATGAACACGACAGCTTTGGTGTCTAAACCGAACGCAACAGCCCAAGTGTGGGAATATTTCGGCTTTAAACCAGTTTTGTTTTCGTCAACCACAAAACTCCACGTGTGCGCGCGCGCGCGTGCGTGCGTGTCTGTGTGTTGGAGGAGCACAGCAGGCTGATGAGAGCTGTCAGAGCGGACTGAAGCTGCTCCTATATGTTTAGCGTTTAACTGACTGAGTTTTGCAACTCTGTTCGTCATTTTCGTCTCGTCCCATCAACGTAAACGCACTTTCGTCTCGTCACATTTTAGTCATCTCCGACTTATGTTTAGCTCGTCAACGTAACGTCTTCGTCGTGGGAGAAAAGGGAAATATTTTAGTCAACGAAAACAACAAGTGTTGTTCTCGTGTGGAAATTAAAGTTTATCACTTTTGACATGGTGTACTCGCATTATTATGCCATATAATATCATTATCTATAATTTAAAAAATGGTGTCAATACTATCGTTTATCGGCGATAATTTGTAGCACAATTATCGTCCAGCAAAATTTGTTATCGTGACAGGCCTATCCATAGCATATACAGTCTGTGGGTTTTGCTGTAATACATTGGCGCTTCATTTACACGTGATCATTTCTTGTTTTATTTAACTGATAATTTCATTTGAAGATACTCTTAAATCAGTGCACATCATACATTCACTCTTCCGTTAACAAGGCTTTATTATCAATTTAAAGAAAAAACACAACATTTTAAAATTGGTTCCTTTTGTTCTGTGAAAGTACATTCAAAGACTTTATAACATAGAAAAACAATATTCTAAAACACTTGCCCAAATCATTTACAACACAGCAAGCATCAAATAAATATTTACAGTTATTTATAAATTCATCTCTAATAACTTACAACCACCATCTCACACAGACGGTTACGCTACACCATAGTGAATGCAGACCTGTACAATCTACTCAGTGGCAGTCTGAACAGCAGGCTTTACGGTGGCTTATTTTTGGCATTTACAGCAAATCCTCATTTCAACAAACAACCATGAATGAATTTACAGCTTTCCGTTATCACTGGAATGTAAAATTAGCCAATGACGTCAGATGATAATTAGTTCTTAACCTGAATCAAACTTGTGTTTTTGTGTGTGTGTGTGTGTGTGTGTGTGCAAAAATCCAGCAAAAAAGCTCTAGTGTGCAAAGAATGTGATTCAGCTCAGGTGAGTGGAGTTACACAGCACTCGCCTCTAACATTATCTGTACAAAGCTTACCATACAAATCACAACTCTTAATGTGGTGATATTAATATCTGGAGGGGGGAGGAAAAAGGACTGAATGTGCTGCTAGTGCCATCACAAAGTCGACAGATGTGACTTCTGTGAGAGAACAGGGAAACTTATTAAAACTAGAGACGTACCGATACCAATAATGATTCTAAAACCTACACTTGAGTACCCCTCTGACTCGACTGAGATCAAAAAGATACACATAATACTGAATGAGCTGTTTTAGGATCAGATCTGTTCAGTTGGTGCTGTACTCCATGATACCGCATGGGAGGCAGACACTCACGCTGCTCTTCCTATCAGAACATCTCGATTCGAATCTTCTGACATAATTTAGTATTTCGCTCAAATCGCTTTGCATTTCCTGTTACTCACAAATTATACTATTCTGTGGAAAATCAGACCCCGCCAGTGCTCCTACAGAGTCTTCTGGCTATGTGGTCTTTCCTTTCTATTGCTGTGGGTCCTGTCATGCAGGATGGGAACCCGGCCTGAACCTGCCAGTCTTTTTTTTTCTTTTTCTTGTTTTTTTCTTCGCTTGATGTGATTCATCCGCCAACTGCTGCTGGCTCAGCTGTGCTTCTCAGCAGGTGCTCAATCCTGGAAAAAACTCTGCAGGAATCGAGGGTCATTCAAAATCGTCTTCATACTCATATTCGTCCAGGTCCAGGTTGCAGTGCGGACTTGGAATCTCAAAGAAGTGTCTCTTTGTCAGGCCCAGGTCACTGGAGATGTGCTGACCCAGAGGGCTTAGGGGATTTTCGTATCTGATCAGAAAGATGGAGAAAACGTTCAGTAAGGAAGAACAATATAAGTAGTAGCTGACATGGTTGTTCAAAAGTCAAAGGGGACTTTGAATTCTGGTGAACGTACAGAAACATGTCCAGGTAGAAGGAATAGTTTAACTTTTGAGAATTTACTGTTTTAGTTAGAGGTTGAGACGACAAATACAACTCTCTCTTTTGTATCAGAAACATGAAACTACCACCAGAAGCTGACTAGCTTAACTTAGCATTTAGTTCAGAGACTGAGATGCTGCTGTGAATCGAACACTTACAAACCTGTCAAATATCTTTTTGTTTGAAGGTCCTGTGAGGACTTTTTTTATGTTAATGAAAATAGACTTAAATTCATATTAATGCCTTTTCATGATATTCAAAAGCAAAAAAGAACATTAGTTGCTATAAGGCAGATTAAACTCTTTCTCCTTTTTAGAGTTTTTTTTTTATACCAAGATAAGCCAGGTAGCTGCTGCTACTTGTGGAAGCTTCATGTCAAATCTTTTGTTTTACACAGCAAAAAAAAGCAGATATCCGAAATTCCCAAAATGTCAAACTATTTCTCAGGACAGACAAGACATGTTCAACAAACCAGTGTGACTAGGAAGGACAAAGGAGCATCACTGAACAAAGATAGTGAAGGGGAGATTTTCTTTAAGAAGCGCAAGGATCAGAACCAAAGCCGTCTAATCCAAAAACAGACTCCCAGCTCTAAGATGTGCCACAAATACACAATACTTTGTTGCCGGACAAAACAAGGATCTGTTGTCAACACTTCACTCAGATAGGAGAAGCCAGGGGCGGTTTTAGGACTAGACTTTCTAAAAGGAGAGAAGGAGGAGGAGGAGGAAAAGGAGAACACTTAGTCCCTGTTGGTACCCTGAGTGTCTTACCTGCTCTGGTTAGCAGCCTGTCTTTAGAAGTCAGTGGTGTTCCTAAAACCGCCATACAACATACCTGTCAACAGCCTCATCTATCACTGACTCACGCTCTGAGGGGCTCTGCTGCCGGACATATCGTCGGGCTTAGCTAGGAGACATTAAGCTCCGCCTTTCTGCTGTTTACATTCTCCACATAGACAGAAAATAGAAATCAACTTCTCCTTCAGTAATCTGACAAAACTGAGTCCACCATTTTTAAAGTTCCAAGAGTTAGTAGAGGATTTTCTCTGCACCAGTTGTTAGACTTAGTAGTAAATAAATAAGTATTTAATAGTAGCAGTTGATAAATTAATATCTGGAATCCCAGATTAAGAGGGGAGACATGGGGCTCTATTTTCGTTCCTCGAGGGCGGCGTGGTGTAGGCGCGGCGTAAGACAGGTCCACCGAGGTCTGGTGAGTGGCACAGCCCGGCGAACGTATCCCCCCTCCCTAACTCAGCTCCTCCCAGCGGCGTAAGTCGTAGAGAGGGCGTGGAGCGGATTTAACACAGCCAAGACCTGTTTTCGCTAATCCGAGTCAGCTCTTCTCCTCACCTTTAAATCCGCCACCGGCGAGGCGTATAACAATTTTTGTGAAATAGTCGGTCTACCAAAATACCACTAGACCAGCTGCGCTCCGCCTGCGCTCAAAGCTGACCAAGTTTGAATTGGTGAGCTTTCAGCGCACTTTCCACACTGCCGGCGAGCACGAAAATGTCACTGCGCCAGCTGATTCTGTCGACACCTCCCCCTACCGCGCCACCTTGCCCAGCTTGGTCCATGAAAATACCAAACTGACTGTGCACCGGGCTCCGCCAGATGAAAATACCACTGTGCGGGGTCCGCTACCCTCCGCCACGCCGCTGGCGGGCACGAAAATAGAGCCCATGGTGTATAAAGTCAGACTTACATATCGTTGCACTGCTCATTGGCGGCCTCTTCAGCCACCAAGATGTCATACTCCTCCGCAGCATATTTCTCCCAGTCTGAGATCTCCTGTCCATCTGTTTCCACCTCCTTAAAAACACAACAATTGACATGATCCACTGACGGGAAAACAACTCATGATTTGACATCTTATCTCCTATCAGAGTTGACCTGTCTCACCCTGATGACGGAGAACGGGTCCTTCTGCTCGTGGTCCAGATACTTCTCGATGTTGAAGAAAGTGTCGAAGAAGATGTGCGACAACTTGCACCTTTTCAGGTCCCGCAGAGTGATCTTACCTGGATGGAAAAACATGAAACACAACAGAGGAAAGCATTTTAAAAACTCTGAGACGGGTTCTCAAAGACAGACTTACACACTGACAGACAAAAGGATGTTTTTTTGTTTTATTTTAACCCTGTTAAAGGTCTCTTTACAACATTTTTAGCCCAACACTGTGTTCAGATCCAACTTTCAAATTCTGCTTGACACTGCGCTGACTCAGTAGAAGTTGAGATTTTGGAAATAACAATCATCATCTCTCATTTTGTAGACTGTTAAAGAGGTTAAAGATGTGATCATACACCTACTGATGTTTTAACTACAAAGACTGGGACACAATGTCTCAGATTTGGGCTGCAACTAATCTTTCTCTTTCATTATTTATTACCCTGTCAATCATTTTTCTAATTAACTGAATTCGCTCCTCTTTGAAATGTAAAATAATGTGTCTGTAACAAGTAATCACAGCTCAGTGACAAGTCCTCAAATTGTTCTGATTGAAATCCAAAGATGTTTAATTTTTAAACACGTGTAAACAGAAAACAGTAAATTGTCTCATTTGAGAATCTGCTGTCAGTAAATAATTGGAATATTTGAGAACAAAGGATAGAAAGTTGTGGATGTGCACTAATTCGGATGAGCTGGTCAAGCTTTTTCCTTTTTAAAAGTCCTATTAATTTACATGAAGAACACTGTAATATAGCTGCTTTTAGAGCTCCAAACAGTCAAAACCCACTCCATTTGAGAGATTACATTTGACTAAACTATTAAAAGAAACTTTTCAAAATGTTGACTTTTTATCTATTTGGTCTTTATTTTTACAGCAAGAACCCCTAGGACAAAGGTGTTTTTGTTTTCAGAAAATACAAACACACTTAAAACATGAACTGTCATGAACACAAATATATACACAAACAAGAAACCTCTGCCCCGGCCAGGAACTTTTTACATCTGAGAACATGGCAAGAACTTTAACGGACACTTTTGTCACTTGCTCTTAACGACAGCAGAAACAAAGAGCAGCTCTGCACATGATGTTGCAGACAGAATTTACTTGAGCTGGACTTTTGCAGGGTTTCACAGGCACGTTTGGGAAAATGCAAAACTGAAATAGCAAATGTGATCCGTAGATTCATGTCAGTGCAGAGAGGCATCTATTATTTTAACTCCACCATGCAAAACCAGAATGTTCTCAATTCTCAAGTTTGCTTAAAAAATGCTGAAAGAAAATTCTTCTGATGATTTCAAAAGAATGAAAGGAAACATATTGACATATTGATTATCAGGCTTATCTGACTATTAGGGGTGGGGGAAAAAAATCTATTTACATAAGTATTAAAATTTTTTGTTTTACAATTTTTTTAATCAATTTTTATGTTCAAAAAAAATATATATATTTTTTCAAATTTAAGAATAAATCTTCAAAACTGACTTATATGTGGTGTACGTTTTTTGGGGAAATATGGTTCCTGGAATAGTCAGTAGACAATCATAATCATTCAACTGTTTCACTGGTGTTAAAAATGCAGACTAAAAATTGAGAAAATCGACAATATCGTGGAATCGCATATCGTCTCAGCCCTTCTAAATATTCAGAGCAAATGTTTAACAGTGGTTCTCTATGTACTAAACTGGCCTAAATGGCTGATAAAAGAGTCCATGGTGATATTGAATGATGCTGTTTTGTGAAAAAGAAACAGAGTGAGGTATGGAGGATGGTTACTTGCCCAAAATGATGTTTGTTAGCTGCAGCTTAACTGAACACATTAACCTTTTCTTTTCAATTAAAAATTTAAGTTTGCGTCCGATTTAACCAACAGGTTGTTGTTTGAAATCTCTTGTTACCAAGAATCTTAAGAACGTCACATCATTGGAATTGTTTACAAATGCTTCAATCTGCTGAAAATGCAGAGTTGTGCTCTCAGGAGGAGAAGGAGGAAAAAGATTCAAATTACATGTTCTGCTTGGAGCTCTAGTACTGCAGCATACCAGCAGGTTGACTTGGGGTCACATTCTTGTTGTGGCTGTCAATACTAAACATGCATACCTTCATTGTGGACCAGCGTCTTCTAAATGGGAGAGCAGTTAATCTAAGTGCTGGAGGGAATTTGTCGGGAGTGTGGGTGACACCAACAGCTGGCAGTCCAGATCAGTTAGTCAGTGTTTCATCTATAACTGTTCACTGCATCTGTGATCAATGCCCCCGCCTGAAACTGTGTCTGCGGAGCCTGCCAGACTGTCCGGTGTGTGAACTTCGCAGTGAAGTGTATAAATGTAATGAAGGGGGCTGACCTTCGACCTCAGGCTTGACGAGGTCCAGCATTTGGCAGAGGCAGTCCTCGAAGGGAAGGGGCTCGATGGCCATGGACTCCAGCTTCTGACACTGCTCCTCGTAGAAGTACTCCAGCTCGTACATGCTGAGCACCCCGTCCCCGTCCAGATCCATGCAGCGGAACCAGTACTCTATACTAGAGGAGGAGAGGAAAGGAGGAGTAAGTAAAGGTTTAAATGAGAAAGTAAAAACTTTAGAGTGAATCAGTAAGACTCTGGGGGGTTTAAGGAAGCAGTCTTAAAGGGATATTCCGGTGTAAAATTAATTTAGGGTCAAACACACTGTAACACTGAGTTAGACACCCCCTCAAGAGATGAATGTTGCTGACCACTTGCTTCTCTAGTTATACCAACTTAAGTAACGACCGCACGTTAGCAATACACAGCGGCTGAGGAGCCAACAACAAACCTCAACCGAAACGCCACTCTGTAGTCACAAATAAAGCTCAGAGCAGCACCTAACTTCATCAACAGTACATATAGGGTCCCAGCCACAGCACTAGCCACCAAACATCTTTTTAACTTTGCCTAATTTCTTTAGCAAAGAGAATAAACGCAACTCATCTACTCTCTTCCAGCAGCTGCTTGTTTGTAGTGAGACCTCAGGCCAGTCCATTACGGACTACAGTGGGGTGTCGCAGCTTAAGGAAGAACATTTATGATCATTTCTTCATGGAAATGCAATCAGACCGAGACACTAAGGCAGAAGAACTTCCGCGTCTGCAATGCAAAATTATTAATACGATGATTATTATTTAAAGGTAAGGATAAAGTAATGATCATAAATGTTCTTCCTTGAGCTGTGACACCCCGCAGCAGTCTGTAGTCATTCTTCTTATTCAGATCAAACATTTTGAATATCTGAATAATCAATATCACTGAATCCTCCCATTCCTTAACATTGCACCTTTGACGTAACCTCTATCCTTGCATGCTGCTCCTCTGGTTTCCTTTCTTTCCCTTGAATCCTCTCTTGTGACCTATCAGTTACTCTGTAGGTCTGCCTGTCGCTGATTGCAAAACACTACAACGTTTTTGAAATAGCCTTAAAATAAAGGGCCTAAATCAGTCCATTTGAGAGTTGATCAGCTGTTCTGCAGCTTCTAAGTAACTGGAGGAGTCTCAGATAGAAAATGTGAAACCACTAACTCCTCATCTTGAAGCTTCTACTCCTTCCTTGTGTCTCGAAGGAGGACACACAAACAGAGGAAAAGAAGAGACATAGTAGTACAGGGTTCCGACGCAAGAATGGAAAGTATGGATATAAATTTGATCAGTTTCCAGGTCTTAAAAAGTATGAAAAATGAAAAATAAGATATGAAAAATATTTATGTTTCCAGACTATTACCACAGTTCTGAAATACTGTTCCGAAATAATTCTAAAACGTAGGGTATGGAAAAGTATGGAAATTCCAACTGTGTAGAAACCCTGGTAGTATAATAAAACGAGCACCCCAAGTGTCCAGATACCTGGTGTCGGTCTTTTTGTCTTCTTCGGAGATGAGGAACCAGACAAAGTCAGCGTAACTCAGCCGCCCTTCCTTGTACACCCGTCTGTCTCTGATGGGAGAAAAAACACAATCATTATTGTGACAAAAGCGACATAAACACACAAAATTCGCTGCTTAATACAAATGATAAACAAATCTCTATCCATTTTGACTTACCTTGTTACTGTTCCTGAGAATATCCGCTCAATCATCTTATGGGAGATGGCTGGAAAATAAAAGAAAAAAAGAGATCACATACGATCCAGACTCTCTCAGTTAATGCACAACTTTTTCACAACACATGTAATCCATTCTCACAGACTGTAAATCCACAGAGGCTAATGTAGCTCTTTTTTATCTTGACAATGCCATAAATCCTCTGGTCATCATTCGGACCATATAGTGGCAGAAATTGCTCCAGACATGGCGTCATTCGAGCAGAGTATATACGCTGCTCTCTTATTGATCTTGTGTCTCATTTCCCCTGTCTCACTCACAGGCCATCAACCAGGAACATGTGGTGTTGAGTGTGTGGGGAGGAAGCGTCAAAGACAAGTCTCTCTGGGTTTGTGTGTGAATAGCGGACCGAGAAACATTTACAAACGCTTTTCATGTAGTTTCAGCTCAAAAACGGTACCAACAAGCAGCGGGAGGTTAACTTAATTGTGTGAGCATGACAAAATATCAGCACTCGTCTTCTGTCAAGAAAATGCAACCCTTACGCCGATCATTTCTACTCTGATGCCATTTACCTTGGTCGTTGTGCTGTGCCAGGTCCTTCTGGTCGATGTAAAGGTCATGGTCAGTGTCCAGCTCCCAGAACTTGCAGTAGATAACGTAGAAATGTTCGTAGGAGAAGAACTCTGTCAGCTGGTTCACATCCTCCTCCTGCTCCAGCAAAGCCACATTCTGGGATGTGAGGAAAAAACAGTCAGCCAACTTTTATTGTGAAATTTAATCATCCTGTCGCTACAGACGTATTGTCACTGCAAATATCCAACATCATTTACAGACATGCTTTGTAACTTTTCCATGTATAATAATAAAGGAGTTGCATCAGCATTATATTGTTTCTGCTTTACTGTCTGAGCATATACATACTGTATGTTGCCAAATGTGACTTCAGTGTGCTGTAGGGGTTTCCAGGTTTCTACAATTACTCGGTGGAACACTGATGTAATGATAGACAGAAATTTTCTTGTAATAAACCTAACATAGTAAATTTTTCCTTCGCTTTTCTATGAGGGGAAAAAGTGAGCGTAGTGATTAGCGCTCTAAAATCAAGGTAATGAGCTAAAAGGTGGAGAGTGCATAGTAGAAGTTAGCGGCATTTAGCAGAACAGAGCTGGTAGGATTGGGAAACAATATTCATGAGTGGTTTATATTTGAGTATTATCACCTGAGTGTTGAATTGTTTTGTTTTGGGTAACTCAGAGTGAACCTTTTGAACCAACATAAAAGTGGGTCCCCTTGCACCAATACGTTTCCACAACAGCCCAGAACAGGCAAACTGCTCATTAAAGAAATTTTGTGTTTAGTGAGTGGCAAAACAAAACTATGGGAGTAAATCTGTGCCATCTGATTTTGAATTTAAATTTCTAAAGCTGAATTTTTTTTTGCATCAAAATCAGACTTTGAATTTCAAGCATGCAATTTTATTTCTTACACTAATATTTTTTCCACAATGATGAAATAAATTCAGTGTAAAAAAAAAAAATCGGTCTCTCAAAATATTCATGTAGTAAAAATTCGACTTAAAAAACTGTGTAAAAAATTCAACATAAAAAAATTTCAGTGTCAAAAATGTTTTGTGTAAAACAGACCAACTCAACAACCGGGTAATCAGGGAGAAGCAATTGATTCCTCAATCTCCCACTGGGGTTGGAGTCACATGACCAATCTAGCTTTACTTGATTGGCTGGACGATGGATGATTGAGCCAGGAATCGATCGCTCTTGAAAATTTTTTTTAAGGTTGATTTTTTTTTTTTAACAGTTTTTTTTATGTTGAATTTTTACTAAACAAATCTTTTGAGAGACAGATTGTTTTTACACTGAATTCATTTCATCATTGTCAGAAATAAAATAAGATAAAAAATATTTCATCAAGTGTCAGGAATAAAAACGTATGCTTGAAATTCAATAGTTTTGAAATTCAAAGTCTGATTTTGATGCAAAAATATTCAGCCTTAGAAATTCAAATTCAAAATCAGATGGCACAGATTTACTTCCATACAAAACACACTGGTTAACAGAAAAAGATGATGATGATGGCAAAGCCTCTGACTGTGCGATAACTTCAAGATTTAATCTTTAAAGCTGCTGTGGAATTTTGCATTTGTGTTGATTTTTAGCCCCACTGTGGGCAAAAATTTACATATTAACACTTTTCTGATCTCCTCCTGTGCATCCAGTCATAGTTTTTTCTGACAAAATGTCTCATCCTGCCTTCCTCGAACAGTGATGCAAACATTAACAACACCTCTTGTAAATATTTGCAGTTGAAAATGTAAAGAGAGTCTTTTTCTCAGTCACTCTGGTTACAGGCGATAAAAATTACCATATTCAAAAGGTTAATTTTGTTGCTGTTGGTCTGGTTTGCTCTGGTAGGTCATAAAGAGACCACAGAATCAGATAACTGAGTGACTTCTGAAGTTTTGAGATGTTTTAGGTACAAACAAGTGAGAACAGCAACACATTTAGACTCTCTTTTCCTAAGACTTTGCATACCTGAAGAAAGTTGCTTTTCCTGAGCTCAGAACAGGTTATTTTTCCATTCCATGACCGGTTCACATTGTAGAATATCCTCTGAATCACCTGAAAAACAAATCCCCACACTGACATTTTCCACTTTTGCATAAATGGTGTAGCTCGATCGCTTTATGGCTTTATAGTTTACCGTGGTGATGTATCTTGAATGAAAGTCTGGCGCCTCCTTTAAAAAAGCCAGGCCTGGATGAGAGTTCACGATATCCTGAAAACAGACAGTAAAGTCAGCTCTGTTGGTCTCTACTGCATGTCGGACTCATTTCCATAACAAACCCCGCAAAACTAACCGACAACACTGCACAAGAGCAACTCGGTGACCTGCTGTGCACACACACACACAGTGAGTTCAGTGTAAGAGAAGAGTTGACTGGCAAACCACATCTGTCTTTCTTACTTTGGCAGACGGGACAGATGACATTCAGAGCAGGGATATAAATGCATGCTTATTCAAACATCAGAAGCTGTCAGTGTCCATTTACGTCACTCTGTCATACCATATGCTTTATAAATTGGGCTATATAAATAAAAAGCACCAGGCCTCGTTGGGAGAGGCCATCGAATGTAAATCTTTCTTTGAAGTCAGAAAACACTGGGCCGACCGGTTTTAGGATGATCTTAAGCCTTTCTGATTGACAGCTGAGCAGTGAGAGGGCCGCAGAAAAAGACGTTTGCCTGTGACTGCTCTTAACCTTCTCTCCTTCCTCACGCCGTAAAGTCGCAGGGGGTGTGCTGCATTTTAAATGAACTCGAGCTATATTCCTGCCATGAAACCGCACTGTGTCTTTCCTTTTTTTTCCACCCCCTTCCTCTCTGCTGGGGGAAAGAATTGTTGACATAAATGCGAAGGCGGCAATGAAATTAAAAGGCCTTATTTCAGGGCAGCCGTCGTGCCTCTTTGACTCTCACTGTGAGAAATTAAATCATAGAGAAACACATAAATCACGGGGCACAGGAAACAGGCGGGGACAGTCAAATCTACTCCACTGCAATCCGCCTTTCATTCATCAAAACAGTCAAAGCCGATACGCCGAGAGGAACCGTACAAATTAAACAGCGTGTGCCACAAGGCATCTCCGCTGGTATGCTAACGGGTGTTCGCTGCTGCCCAGCCGCTCCTGCCAGCATGAAAATGAATCAGGTGAGGGCGGGGCCTGTGTGGAGCAGCAACAGCTTGTCAGGGGGGAGAATACAAAAGCCAGCACAGCAGGTCCACATGGTAGGACCGAACAAACAGTCAATTAGACCAATACTATGAAACTGTGTGATAAATTTGTCTCATGTTTTCAGGGGTTTGGTGCTTTGATATCTCTATCGCATGAATCCTATGTCCAACTCCTCCCCTATTAGTTAATTTCTGCGGAGCTCCACTCTTGTTAAAGGGAAACCTCTCTAGATTTCTGGCTTACAGTTACATCCCTGAATTAATGTTCCCACACATTAAAAAAAAAGCACCGCCTCAGCAGAACTGTCCAAAATTTAGGTCCAGTTTTGCACAAATGTAGCCAAAGCAATTTCGCCACCCCCCCTCCCGTCTACCGAGTCCAGCCCTCTCCCTGGGTGTGCTGCAGCCGGTACCTGCAGGAATGGAATAAAGTCGTCTTGTTCCAGGTAATTACAGCCAGGCTTGGCCAAGAGGTGCACAAATTTAGAAGCATCGTCGTGATAGGTCAGCAGAGTTCTGGAGAAGAAAAGAGAGAACAGATGGTTGCAAGGTTACTCCCTTTTTTTTTTTTTTTTTACTCTTACACTCCCTCCATTCTTTTTTTATCATTCTTTAAAGAGCACAAGTTTGAAAAGCGTAACCCTCAGAAGTGCAGGAGCGACTTTAATACATGCTGAAATTCAGATTCTGAATCGCTGCCTGGTGATTGGAAGTGTTGAGCGTAAAGGCTGCGACAGGGAAATAACGTGAGCATGTGGTGTGGCTTCTCATCTAAGAATGGCTCAGTCATGAGCTCAAGTCAAAGGCCAGCTCTGTCCAGCTCTCTGGAGGCTCACACATTAATACAAGAGCATGCCTATTGCATACAAAAGCATTCAGTACACAGCTTAATGTGTGGTCGCCATTATCAAAGCCCCGTGGTTTTCCTTTCAGTTTGAAAGAGACTGATTTTTACCCAAATAGTGTACATGCCAGGAGACAGCTCCCTAATGGTTATTGGTGAGGCTTCTAATCAACAGGAAAATGTCAGGGAGCTGCTCACAGTGTCTGTAACATTAGCAAGTGGTCATCATTGTGTCAAGGCGGTTGTGTAAGTCTTTTGGCTGGAGGTCCAGTGAGAATAAAGAAGAGACATTGTCTTACTTTCTCCACATCGCCACGAACTTGTGAACAGACACGAAGCCCGTCCTGTCGCCTCCAGCCAAGCAGAACAATGGCACTTTCCAGTAAAGAGGGCACTCACAGGCCTGGGGAGAGACAGGGCAGTGGGTGACGTTTACACAATCAAGAGAAGAAGAAGTGATTTCAGCTGCTTAACCTTCTACACCCACATCTGATCTTTGTCCAAATAATAATAGGAAAAATGATTATATATAAATATATACACACAAACACACACATTCACACACTTGGTAATGGTGCATGCAGTGTTGCATCATTTAAAGACTTCCCAGAGGAAACCTGACTGTCATTTCTCTCTTCACTCAGGCTCCCCTTAGGGGATTGCAAACATTCCTCTGGGAAACAGAGATAATTTTTTCCGGGAGGTTTTTCAGAAAATCAGCAAACATTCATAAAGTCAGGAGCTAAATGTCTGTAATGAAAATAATTTGCAGGGTGGCAGCTGAACCTCCACCTCCATGCGGCAAATCACATCCTCACCTTGGCAACCTGCCCCATGTCCTCAATGGTGGCCCTTTCATTTGGGAATTGGGAAAATATTTTCTCAATTTTGGAAATGAGGCTGTCGATGTTGAGGTTGGCTTGGGGCCGGCCCAGTGGGAAGTGAAACTTTGGAATGCTTTCACTCAGCGCTGTGGTGACGGGCTCCTCCGCTCTCACCTGGGCCTGAGACAAACAAACACAGAGATAAACTGTTAGCCTCTGATGCTAGCAAACACTAAATACTTAAAGACCATGCATACTGACATGTGCACAGGCTTGCCTTAACACAAAGTCTAAACTGCTTTATTTGAACCAGAGTGATGAACAGTCCCAGGGTCAATCTATGAGGAGGTGTGACAACTCAGCAATCATAACCATTATCCGTTTATCTGTAATCACTGTGGCTGAGTTACATAATCCCTCCTCTAATAGTTCTCATGCAGTAACAGATGTCATCATTATCTGATCATCATTTAGTCTGGTGCTTGAAACCCTGATTACCTTAATCGTGTTTACAACTCACTGATGATGACTGTTTATCTCATCAAGGCTGAAAAAAGAAAGGTGATGAATGAGATAACACTTCAGAAGATTAAAAAGGACATCTAAATATGTCACAAAGATATGTTTCTATTTTTAGGTTATATATTATTAAACACAAGTGGCTAATTACTCACAAATTATCTACAGGGACACCGTCCTCTTGTAAAATGCTCATTTATTGAAGTTTAGTTTTAATTAACAGCTTGGTGTTAGGCAGAGGTGATTTGACGTCATGATTGAAAGCTAAGCTGATAAATGCTCGCGCACCTCACAAGAGTGACTCAACTTTCCATAGCTGGGAATGTCTGCTTCTATAGAATCAATAGAGATGGTATTTTGGTTTAATTCCTTATAATAAGAGGTAGGGCTGGGCGATATGGCCTCAAATCAATATCATGATATATTGAGGAGTTCACCTCGATAACGATAAATGGACGATAACTACTCCACAAGCTGCTCACCCCCTCCACATCAACTTCATCTACTTCAGCCGCTACAACTTTTGAACCGTCCTCCATCTCCTCACCTGTCTTTTCCTCTTTGTTATGGACTGGAAGGGGTGGAGTCACATCTCTAACATAGGACAGTGTCTTAAAGGGACATGAGACCATAGCCTACCTACACACATCCAAAACCAACTTTTATCTATTTAATTTTTTGACACTCAGAATATACCGATATGGGCAAAATGACATCAGTTATTGTCGTAAATTTTGGTATCAGTAAATTTTCGGTTTATCGCCCTGCCTTAATGAGAGGAAATGCGACTACATTATAAATATGCTAATGTTAACTTATGCTTTAAAAAAAATTTCTCATTTGATTAGTTTTGTTCTAAACAGATCAGACATCAGTCATGGCAAACCTGTACAAAATGGGTCAAAAAGAAATCTTATTCACAAAGCACGTGCAAAGGATTAAGTGTACCACAAACTACAAAAAGTCTGTCTATGTGCCAGTGTTGTTTAGATACATTTAAATGATCAATTATGGAGTCATTTGGAAGTAAACATGTCCCCTTCTATGCAAATGAGCCTCAGAAAAAAAAAATTAGGGGTGGGAATCCCTAGTGGCCCCACGATACGATATTATCACGATACTTGGGCCAGGATACGATATAATTGCGAACTTTAACATTTTGCAACACAGTGAATATTGCGATACAATATATTGCGATTTATACAATTTTTTCAACTGTTTAGTTAATTTAGCATTTGTCTCTCCGAAATGTTCATCTTATTTACGCTGTATTTTATTTTCATGTAGCACATCTTGCAAACCTCACTGGACAAACAGTTGATTTTATAGATTTGACTTCATATTAGCAATTAATTTGAAAAAATCGATACTTGGTAAATGGGACAATACGGTCCACCACCAGACAAAATATTGCTATACTATGCTGTATTGATTTTTTCTCCCATCCCTATTAAAAATCCTGTACATTTACACTGAACTTTCTACTGTCTTCTAAAAGTTGTTGGTAATTGCACTGGAGTAAGGCTGCACGATATTGGAAAAAAATAATATTGCGATTTTTTCAACCCTGCGATATATATTGCGATATTAAAAATACAGGAATTTTCACCAGATGACCTGAATAGCATTTAATGTTATGCTGCACTGCTGAAATCTTGAGGACAGTTACCCTGCACTGATCTTACCTATTTTTGTGAATGTTAGAATGGCTTCTGTCTCAGAGATATTTTTAGCTTTTATTGTGCTGGGACGTTATTGTGGCAACAGATTAACACAGAACACGTGTTTTGGTCCTTCTTTTAACCTAAATAATTCCAGATAACTGACTTTCCTTTTCTTTTGGGCAACAAATCTTCATTTTCGGTGGTTTTCGCTTGTTCGTTGCTCATTTTGCGATCGTTGTTGTTGTTGTTAGCGGTGTTGTGCCGAGAAACGCATGTCCTCCAAGAATTGCATGCACCTCGCAAAACGCGCACCGCTTATAGTAGAGTGGTCCACGGAAATGTACAATTTAAAATCCATACAGTTCTTATTTGTTGGGCTAAACAGTCATGAGTAAAGTTCCGAAAGTAATTCTCAGCGGAAGCACGTCTCCCTCCATGTGCAGAACATGTGCAGGGGTGGGTTTCCTCCTCTCTGATTTTGATTGACAGCTGGCAGGGTAGTCTGATTGGCAACTGAGAAGTGAGTCTGATTGGCAACTGAGTTAAGGACGAATGTGATTGGTGGATCGCTGCAAAGCACATGCAGAGTCACATGCAGTGTATCTCAGTCAGTTACCCTTGAAATTAAATGAGTTCATTCACCTCCAATATCGCAGGCTCTGCAATGTGACTATCGCACGCACGTACATCGCGATGACGATAGTCAAACGATATATCGTGCAGGCCTACACTGGAGTATTCATAAGTGTAGCCACACTAAAACTTTTCAGCGATAAAGGAGCAGTATAAGTCCGTACGTAAAGGCTGTTAGTAATACTAACAGAGTGGAGATGCTTACAGCTCATTTCAGTCACAAAATGCAACACATGAGCAAACTGCGCAGAGCTGTAGGACCCTGTGGTTGTTGTTGCTCTTGTATATCAGCGCAATATGCTTTAATATAAGTGATGGACAATTCTTGGTGGAATCCATTCTCAGTGAATTTCTGTTTAAATGCTTAGCTTCTTTTTGAGGAATCTGACTCTTAATGTAATTAAAAATCCTGGAGTGGGAGTGACAATGTTAAGTAAATCAATAAATCAGCCTTTACTTCACAAAAAGCATCACTGTTGGTCCCTGTGAGCTGTGACTGTGAGCCAGCATGGAAAATATAACGGCCTTTGAAGCTACAGGCCTGAGTGGAAACTGTACTCATGTTATTAATTATAGCTGTGCTTTTTCTGCTTTGGTATGTCAGAATCTATTAATGAAAACAAATGATTTCCTCAGCAGACAGACCCTTCAGCTGGCTGGAAAGGCTACAGTGTCATGGTGAAGAAATGTGTTTTCTAGAAAACAGCCAATCTTGTAACAGGTCTGCAGGACTAGCATGTGAAACATCTGTGTGAGGTTTGACCTGGAGGGGGTACAGCGAGGCTTGATGTGCCAGACCAACTGAGTTCTTACCAACCTCAACAGATGTCTGGCCTAAGTGCTGCACTTTACAAAAACACTGAACATGTGAGAACCGAGACACATCTATGTGTGCGCTTTAAACTACATCTGCCTGCTGGGACCTGAAATGTGTGTGAGGCTCTCCGGCAAATGTGTCAGTTACCTCAGACAACACTGAAACCACATTTTTATGTAGTGATACATTTGTTTGACACCTGAAAGACTTCAACTGACCACTGTTGACAAATGGCAATAAGTTCATATTCTCTGACAAGATCTACTCTGGCCTGAGCACATGAGGCTCCAAACATGTCTCTATGTTGCACATATTAGCCGGTTACTAAAAACAGGCTGAGCAGGGCATGCTTAACTCTCAATCACCATGACTATTTACATGACCCAGGAATCTGCCAACTAGATCAGTCTCCATGGCTTTTAATAATCACATAAACAGACACACGCGCCCTCTCTTGGGTTGCATGTATATCATTCTTGTTCATGTATGACGGACACACTCCCAGTTTTGGTCTATCTGTCTCAGGGCTGCACTATCACAATCAAATCTGGGGCTATATCCTAAATAAAAAAAGAAGATCATGGGAGAGGACAGAGTGGAGCTCAAGTTAAGCTTGTGTTTCTCAAATATACATGTGTATCTGTGATGATCAAAATAGTTTCAGTAGCAATCTTCCCGTTATAACCTGTAAAATGATAATTGATAAATGCTGCTTATTCTCTGCTCTTCTCTGTCCCATGTGTTGGTGTCAGCTATGGCTATAAAAGGACACAAACATCTCCTGTCGCCCAGCCCAACACTGTCCCCTCGCTCCCTCTCTCTCTCTCTCTCTTAGCATCATGCTAACTGCTAACAGAGCTCTTGAGCACAACCACTAAGCCTCCATGACATTTGGAATATTCACAATGATGTGGTCTGAGAGAGGACAGTAAAGCGGCTTGTAAACGACATACCACATAAACTGAGACGACATAAAATAACCAAGCTCTTGTCTCATACCTGTCTGTACATATGAGGAATACCTTCACCCAAACAACAGCAAAAGTAATACCCTGATACGACTGCACTAAGATCAAATTACAAACAGAGCAGATGTGAGCTATACGTTGAAAGTTCTGAATGCCTGTGATATAACTACATTTGTCCTCACTTGTCCTGAGTGAAACCGCCTCCAAATATCCTTCAAGTTCCACTTTGTTAGAGGCATTTACTGGAAGGGAAAATTATGTACGGTTATCTAAGTTTATAGGCCTGTAATTTATTCTGAAGACCACAAAATGAAGTCTCAAAGACTGTGCCCAAAGGCTGACAGGGCCACAAAAGCCTCTATGTTAGAAGGTACACTCATACAAACACCTGCCTGTCCTTGCTGGAAGGCTCTGAGCCTCTTCTTAAAGCGAGAGGGCAGCACAAAGTCACAGCCGCGTGCCAGCAGAGCCAACTCCTTCCTCAGGTCAGGATCCTGACGCAGAGACAGCTCCCTCATCCTCATCCTCGCTCCGGACAGGATGGGGAACACATACACAAAAGGAAAACACTCAATCCAGAGATGTCCTCTTGACTGTACAGATCACAGAGCAGCAGTCAGCACTGAAAGGCACGAGGCGGTGTTAGCAGTGGAGGTCCTGTGTGTCCCTGTGATTGTCCTCTGTCAGAGTGAGAGCCTCTTAATGCAAGGGAGCAGCTGCTACTGTGACTCTCTCTCCCATTCCAGATCCGGTCGCACAATCTCAGCTCTGCCTGCCGCTCTGTCCCAGTCTCTGCGTAACATGTGCTCACACACAGACACACACTGCACAGGGTCAGGGAGCCCTTGCCTCAAAGCTGCAGGGGAGATAAGAAGTGACGGGGTGTTTGTGTGCGGGAGTCACTCAGTGTATGTGTGTGGACTAGGAGGGGTGTGTGCAATGGATCTGCCCTTTCCAGTTTGCATTCCTCGCTGCTCATGAAGGTTATGTAAAGAGACAGACCTGTTGTTGCAACTCACTGTGGCTATAGAGGCAAAGTGAAGGATGCATCCCAATACCAACACTCTCGTTTTCACTGGCTTTCTGAAAAGCAAGCAAAAACTTAAAAGGAAATATCTAGAAATATTCTTAGTAATTAACCTGAAGTAAAAACAACCCCAGTTCCAAATCAGTTTCCACACTGTGTGTACAATGTTGTTAAAATCACGATGAGAAGTTCAGAGACAACATATTCCAAATGTTGAAACTCAAAAATTGATGTTTTATGAGAAAAAAAATAATCTCAGTAACATGTTTTGACAACTTGGAACAGGGAGAATAAAACACTGAAGGAGTTGTGTAATGTTAAAAAAAAAAAATCTGGAGGAATATCTCCAAACTGATGAGGTTGACTTGAAACAGGTTTGCAACATGACGAGGAAGAGGCTGAGTACCACTATGAGGGACTGTGTAAGCCAACAGTTCAACAGTATAAGAATAATGTTATAAAACTGTAAAAAAAACTTGCTATGAATTTTGGGCATATTGGTAATTTATTTAATCAAAAGACTAAATAAATCTGGAGAAATCAAAAGGGGACAAAGGCAAAAACAAATACTGGATGGTTGTGATGTTTGGCCTCTCAGGCAGCACTGCATTTCAAACAGACATGACTCTGCTCTGCAGTGGAAATTACTGCATGCATAGGCTCAAGATTACTCCCAAAAACCATTGGCTATGAACACAGTTGCTGCATCCACAAAACTCTGACACACAAAGAAACATTATTGCTGCTACTGCCATTGGCTGTTAAAAAACTGAAATGAAATTCTTTAGGCATCGTCAATGCCATGTCCTCTTCTCAAAAGGTGGGGGACCATCCGGTTTGTTTCACAGGATAGTTTAAAGCAGTGTCCCTGTGTCCTTGCTCCAACACACCTGATTCAAATGATCAGCTCGTTATCAAGCTCTGTAATGGCTTAATAACGAGCTGATCATTTGAATCAGGTGTGTTGGAGCAAGGAAACATCCAAAACATGCAGGACAGTGGGCCTCGAGGACTGGACTTGAGAATCACTGGTTTAAAGGCCAGCATCTGTGATGGTATGAGATGCACAAGTTCCCATAGCATGGGTAACGCGCCATTAATTCTGAGTTATATATACAGGTTTTGAGGTGGTAGATGCTGCTCTGAAGAGCCTGGGTGCTTGATTAGCCAGTCCTCCGATTTGTCACCAATTGAAAATATTTTGCATGATATGAAACAAAAAACTCAGCAATGGAGACCCTTAACTTCTGAGCAGTTAAAATCCTATATCGAGCTGACATAGGACATAATTTCACTTTCAAAACTACAGAAATTGCTCTCCTCAGCCCCCTAGTGTTTATGGAGAGGAGGTGGTACAACACAATGGGAAACATGCTCTTGCCCCAACTGTTTTCATAGAAATACTTCTTATGATGCATTTGCTATGTTTTTTATTAAATACAGGGTTTAAAAAAAAACATCAAATTCTGGTTTGCGTTCCAACATTTTTTGAATCAGGGTTGTAGATTCAAAGACACAGCAGCTAAACCTGCTCAAATTTGTTATTATAGTACAAGCACAGCACAGGCAGACAAACTAAACTTGATGAGGCATTGGCAAATAAAGAAAACATCCCAAGTATGACTGTTTAATAATAGCTTACAAGGATGTAGTTGAAGTCACTGGATGATACACACACAAGACGACATACTTTAAATATAATCAACTCCTCTGCAGCCGATCTTATGGTGCTCTTTGTTTTGCCTTCACTTTGCAAGCTTGGGCTGCCAGCCATCCCACGTCTTATTATAGTTGATGGGTGATAGAGAGAAGGAGGAGGGGGGGTGTGTATGTCAAATTCAAAGAATGATGACCGAACTAGTCTGCGCCTATTAAAAGCGCCGGCAAACACTGCTTGGGCAACCTAAGAAAGAGGATCTGGAGAAACAAGGTTGTTTCTTAAGAGCTCAAACAAACATCCGCTTCCGGTCGCTGCTGTCCTGGAGTGATGGCAATTACATCAATTCTCCATAAATGTGCTGATCTAACAGCTTGGGGGTTGCCTTTGCTGTAAACAAGGAAAGCCCAGTACCTTCATGCTTGCTGATGTAGAACTGAATGAAACAGGAACGATACCCAGATGTCCACATCATTAGACTAAGTAAATAAGCTTATGTGTGTTAATGTTATTTTACACAGAAAGTGAACGCACACCCGCTGTATTTTCGTTGACAGGATCACAGCGTCCACACTTTTCCATTTGTTTCTGCCCAAACACACTTCCTGTTATCCTCAACACGAGGACTCTGCACAAGCTTGATAAGCTGTTTGTGATGGCTTCCACACTGACTGCCTTTGTTCGTCCTCATCAATTCAAACCAAATATGGAAAGGAAAGCACCGGGGTCAAAATACAACCTGGTAGATCATATGGAACTGTCAACTCACATGGAAAACTGTTGTGTTTGTTTTTGCTAAATCTGAAGTGTGTTTCCCAAACAGATGTTCACGACGCGGCAGGGATAATGATGTGTTGGTTTACATGGAAGGCAACAGCGCTGTTGTTTTGAATTCTGGCACACATGGAGTGGAAGGCAACAGCACAGGCTCTGAATTCAAGCTCTCTTTATGTGCGTGGCTTTTGAATAACCTGAATGGACAAGCCCAGGCAAGCATTAAAAAAACATCTCCGCCAATGGAAAGGAGATAAGCCTTTACATTTTTTTTTCTAATAATAATTTTTCGACCTTAAGTTTCAAAAGCTTTCAACAATAAATGGGCTGGGTTCGAGTTACCTCGGGAGTTATTTGTCGGAGCTGAAAATGACGTCATATCCGGGGTCCCAGCATTTCAGTTATCAAGTCAGAAAAAAGCAAAATCAGAGGCCTGACACAAGATTGCTGCATCTACGAAAGTTATTTAAGCACTTGCCTATATTTGGAAAAGGAAAGCACTAAAAGAACTTGTTTCTGCCTCTGATTTTGCTTTTTTACGACTTGATAACTAAAACGCTGGTAACTCGGGTGTGACATCATTTTCAGCTCCGACTTCTGACTTCCGAGGTAACTCGAACGCAGCATAACAACTGCAGTTCCAAGAGTATCCACCCGAGGCCATTTGAACGCTGTGCAAGGAGGGAATTTTCATATAACCTTTTGGTCTGCATTTCCAATATGGCAATCCAGGCACAAAAGTTGTTCTATGGCACTCTCCTTTATTTTTAAGACATTTTTGGTTCCCGTTTTTAGAGGGGCCAGCTGATGAGAGAATGAACATGGAGGGTAGGGAGCAAGAATTGTATTCAGCAGAGGACAAGTTCATGGGGGATGGCTTAAACTGCCTATAGCCAACTGTCGCCCCTGAATGATACTTTTGGAATGTTATTTATGAAGACCCCTGTATCAATTTCTCGATTAGCTAGCACTTGTTAACCACATCCTTTCAACAGGAAGACACCTTAAGAAGACCCTGATTCATTAGTGTAGAGCCACCTGTTGTAGCATGCTAGACTTGAATGGACTACCTTAAAACAAGCAGGGTTTTTGGGAACAAGCTAAGCTAACATAAGTAGCAGCTAGGCTGGCAAGCTCTCTTGATGTGCTGCTGTGTATGCTGGAGAAACAGGTTTTGAATAGAGATGAACAATGTTGGATTTGTGCTGATATCTTCAAACTCATTTTGACTGATACCAGCACCAATTCAGGTATATCATTAGCAGTATATCATTCGTTTGAAATATTTGATCTTCAAATACTCTTATTATGTTGATAACATGCATCCCTTCTTTTAAACGTAGACTGCTTTTTCACATATGGACTTTTTTACCCCCAAGTACTTTCTGTCCTCTTATGTCATCAGTCAAACAAGATCACTCTTGTGTTCAGTTCTCAATCACTGTTCTAACAGAAGTAATTGGGGACCACTGCACATCCAGTTTGGCAAGAACAATCATAACCGTCTCTGGGATCTACACATTGAAACTTGCTATTTTGACTACTGCTTCAGAGCAGCAATAGTTATTTGATTATGCATGACCATGAGGCAGGTAGATATTTTTGGGGATAATATGGTAACATGGTTTGAAATTGAGAACTCCTGATTCATAATTTGATATGTTATTGGTATTATTATTATCTAACTCAAACAGGCAGTAGTCAGAACTACGGCTACACTCTAATGGGTCACTGTGACAAACAGGACAGCATGAGAACCCTGGCTGACCCCCACAGTATGTCTAATCTGTAAACTGCTAAATCTGATTTGCACAGGAACATGTGTGCAGTCATGTTCACTTCATTACATAACAGATGAGATTATGAAACACACTGTCATGAGGCCCAAACTGGCGGTAAGTTTAGGCTATGGAGCTCCCAGCAGTCAGGTGACCTCAACAAGTTGGGGTTCAATTTTTGATGAGCTTTAATCAAAAATGCTTTCAAAAGTGATACCTTATCATGGCGATGTTCAAAAGACAACAATGTAGGGCAAACCACAGTGTAGTGAAATATATTACAGCAGGGTGGGGCAAAGATCGGATCAAAACTCCCTGAAGGGCTTCTCCAGCTTGTCAATACACGCATACTGTATGTGGTGTCCCACAAAAACGCTATGTTCGTCTGGCTTCTGTATTTGCATCCCTTACATGACTGAACTGGTAACATGTGTCTAAACCATCTCATGACTGTGGGGGTAAATCCACAACTGGCTAACAGCAGTGGGTACACAGAACCCAAATCCAGAGAGCTCCAGCTCAATCCACCACAATCAGATGTCTGGACGGGGATTTGGGATACATGTGAACATGTGCCAAAAATAGGCGTGATTGACTGACAACATGTTGGTCTACGGGAAGGCTGGCGAGCAGAACATGATGCGAACTGATCAGCTGGCTTGCACAAGAGTAATACTACAAAAACAGACGGTGACACTTATCATGGAGGTCTACTGGAAAGTCTGTGTGTCATCTACACGGCACCAGAGGGGGAGCAGAGAGACAAAGAAAGAATCTGAGGATGAGTGGTTACTGTAAATACCCTCCCCCAACACACAAACACACAAACTTACACAAGAGTATTACAGTAACTCCTAAGTAAACACTGTATGTTTACTAGTTGTAAGAAAATGTATTTATCTGTTGAATTTTTCCAAATCTATTTTTTAAAATGTACAGTATACATACTTTATCTATATATAAATATAAGAATTACATGACTCTAATTTTTCATAGGTTCTTACTAGGGCTGGGCGATAAACTGAAAATTTACAGATACTGAAAATTACGTCAATAACCAACATTTTGGTCGTTTTGTCCATGTCAACATATTCGGTGTCAAAAAAATAAATAAATAAAAGTAGGTTTTGGATGTGTGTAGGTAGGCTATGGTTTCATGTCCCTTTAAGACGCTGTCTTATGTCGGAGATGTAACTCCACCCATGTGGGAGGGGCTGAGCAGCTTGTGGAGTAGTTATCCTCCATTTATCATTATCGAGGTGAACTGCTCAATATATCGTAATATTGATTTGAGGCCATATCACCCAGCCCTAGTTTTTACAGAACACTGTCCTTAAAAGTGAGAATCCTCACAGACCTGTGGATGAAACTCAATAGAAGAAGATAACTACATTACTTGATAAATAGGTGGCACATGACTGCGGATCGGTCCAACTCTAATAGACTGGTGTCAAAGGGACATCCTCAGGTTGACATACTTTGACTAGTCATATGCCTAACCATCCCTGGGAACAATAGTTTCACACATATAAGAGACCTGTATGAAACCGAGAAAGCTACCAAATGAGAATCAAAATAAAGAAAAAATTGCTTTGTGTTAACATGGGCTAACATCTCCTGAATGAACATTGCTTTGGATAAAAGCGTTTGCTAAATGACATTGTAAAATTTTAAACCACAGTGGACAGTTGTGGCGTCTTTACAATATTCATATAAGGGTTCATCATTCTCTGGTTACAAATTTTCCAGCCATCCAAGCGAGCTAAGTCCTTTCCTGGATGAATATGCACCAATATGTCTACATAAAGGTGATCAGGTGCTTCCCTCTGTAAAAATAACTAGATTTAAATAAATGTCACAATACAATAGGCCTACAGCTTCAACCAAGTCAAGTGCAGAAAGCTAGCTGCTTGGTTATAAATCTCTGACAGCGCTAAGAGTAACACAGAAAATGAAGCTGGACATGCTCTACTCTGCAGAATTAACTAAACAATGTCTTATATCAACATCACACCACTCCTTGTTTATTGTATTTGTAGTGTGGGCACATGCAGTATCTAACCACATGCACAAATACTGATGCAATCTGTAAGGGCCCCTATTGGGTGATACCATCAATCTGTCAAGATACTTTTCTGTCCAGGTTTGAACAAACAACAAACAAAACAAAACAAAATACCAGAAAGGATCTGCAATCTGTATAAGGTGCCACAGTACTCAAGAAATATTCCGTACATGCATAGGCGATCAGCTTCTGCAGAGGTCACTTTTTGAGCAATCTTACATGCCCAGGACAAAACCCAAACCCAAATTCTGCAGCTGTACTTTAAACATTCCTGAGTCCCAAGTTAGAAATACTCCAAAATAAAAAGACTTGCGGGAAACAGTTTAACACCTGGTTCTCTCTGACAGGTCAGGCAACTGATAACGTGACCCCTAGACCCCGTCTTCAAATAGCTTCAATGGTACTGAGCCCAAGTGAGCACGATAAAAATAAAATCACATCTTGAGAAATAACCTCTGATCCTAAATCTAGAAGCTGAGAACACACCGAAAAGTAAATGCTCAAAGTGAACTTCTCTTTACGCACTTTATCTGTTAACCTATGTAGAGTCTGTGGGTGTGACCTATTTACACATATTAACAAAGTCAAGCCTTTATGCAGTCCTGATCTTTACTGTACAAGGAGTAAATAAAAGATCATATTCTATATATGAGTAGCATCTAACAGAAGTTGTTTCAGAGCAAATTACACGGGATGAATGTCCTGCCACGCCTCATCTCACTGGCAAGAGTTCTGGGTATCTAATGCCAACACAAGGGAACCAAGGCTATCTATATCAGTGTCTGATGTCAAAGTCACACCAGCTGTTCCAGGCTGCAGCAGCCTGACATAAATTGAATTTTTGACTAATCCCCTGAAGAATGCATCTGTATGCAGGAATTCATTGTGTTGTCTTAAAATAGAAGTATTACTTTATACAACCTCACAATCCTTTTAATATTGAGTGACACAGTGTTGCCACATGCCATGACACATCACGGCAGAATACACAAACTATTCAGCAGTTGCCTTCATGTTAAGCTGGGGTGAGAGAGAAGCATTAGGGGGCAGGGGTCACGGGAGGAAAAGACAAATTGATGTGAAATCAAGAGGTTCAATCCACCTGTCAGACATCTTCGTCATCAGGGCACATGTGAAGTAGATAAGAAAGAGAAAGAGAATACTCTTGAAAAATGAAGATTAAAGTCTCATCATCAGACTTGTGAGGATCATTTAAACCCCGAACCTGTTAAAGCAGACCAACACACTGCTTTGTTCTTCTTTGGCGGCCTCTTTAACAACCGTAAGGCTCTGTTGGAAAAGAATGACTTCTCAAAAGGTGGTAAGGCTTTTTTAATAGCTCTGCCTAAATTGGAGATATCTTGATTAACAGAAGATCAAAAAATGTATAAAAGTGTTTAATTTTGAGGCATAAAAATAAGCCATATCTGTCTAAAAAGAATGGGAGCAGTGCATGATGGAGTTTTCAATCATTATTTACTGTCACTCTAAGTTAAATCTGCCTTTTGAGCACTTAAACTAGGTCTGAAATTGTTAACATGCAATCCTGAACTTGCTTCACACAGAATTTTACAAACTTCCAAGCTTCTGCAAGCTGATATGTCACGCATGGATAAGACATAACTAAAGAAACATCGGCATCATCATCTGCGACATTTGCCTTGTCCCGAGCATGAGGTTAGGCCCGAATCCTAGCAAGAGTGTTTCGGTCAAAGAGAGATTAGATTTCCCACCAGTGACCACTCAAATATCTCCTCATGCCTGTCTTTAGCATGTCAACATGTAGAAGGAGGAGTCTCTAGGAGGACTTGCCCCAGCTGTCTGACTGTCTCACTGTCATCACACTTACTATGTTTACAATGTGGAAGCCTTCCCAACACAGTGGGAGTCCTTGAATAGATATATTTTGGGCTTTATTACTCTTAGTGCTGCACAATTTCTTCTATAATTAAAGCAGCTAAAACTATAAACCTCTGAGGATCCCCGTCACAGCAACAATATGACCTAAAGCACACAAAGTGGATGCAGTCTCTCTGGATAGGCTGGGCTTGGACGCACCCACATCTCATACCACACTTACTCAAGAGTGAGGCGTGAACATTTGGAAAGTATTTGACTAACAATCACTACAAATGCCTACAGACACGGAGGCTCCACTGTGATGGTGCAGGGTGGACAGTCCTTGATTCCCTTTGATCCCATAGGACACTCAGCAGCCTCTTGTGGCCAGCATTGGGAAATAAACTTGACAACTAAGGACTCATCCAGATCACTTGTCTGAAACAGACACTGATCTTATGGGAAAAACTACAGGCCAGGGATTCGGGGAAAAAGATCAACCCTAAATTGCTAGAACAGGCGACATCTGATGATTTGAAAATTATACTGTTGGTAGGACCCACCATCTAAAACCAACAAATACAGAAAGACAAGTTACATCTCTGACTTCTTCTAATATCAGCCTTTTTTTGGTTGTTCTTTATGGTCTGAAACACTTTTCTTCTAAAGACAGGACAGTGGATGCAGTAGGAAACTAGGGAGATGCAGTCAGGAATGACATGCGTCTTGAAGGCCTTGAGTCAGAACTGAACCCTCTGAACACGGGACACTCAATCTAACTCACTGAGCTGAACCGGTAGGCAAACTGTTAACGGCAAACTCTTTGAACTATCATACCAGAGGAAGCAAAGATTTAACAATGACTGTAATGTTCAGTGAGCGCACTAAGTGTGACACTTTATGGACACGAATATTTAAGCACATAAAAAAAGGTAATGCATTAAAACTTTCACAGTTGTGCTTTTTCCACTGCATAATGTTAATATGCACTTGTTAAAAAAAGACATATGAAGAAGAAATTTGAGTATCTATTTTAGGTGTTGCACTGATCACTTTTACTGTCTTTAACTGTATTTTTCATCCTAACACTCAACCTTTCACTTAAACTGCGTTAAAATGTATGCTTATTTTGTACTAAATACTTTATGTACATTAGACTGTGTGTTATGATGTTCAGAAACCTGGGTTTTGTAACAGTCACAAACACTTACCTCCTTAATCTATATGAAGTACAGGAGTGCATACCTGTAACTAAGGCAGTTATTAACTTCATTCCTCTAATGCTTCTGACTGTACAGGTGTATCTAGGTTAACATGGATACACTCCCACAAGTTTAATTTACATAATGAAGCACAAATTCAGGATTTAAGTTTATCTAACTTACAAAATCTGATAGCTTATTTCACTGTTGACCAGAACCTTACTGACTTTACTACCAGCACTTGCTAACAGACAGAACAGAGCTCACTTAGGACATTATTCTGTTAAATCCATAAATCAATGGAAATTTGGATGGCCAGAAACATTATTTTGAATACTCTAAGTAAGACACAGCAGATCTGATTGCCCTGTAGCTTGATAATTTAAGAACCTCCAAATCTCATTATAACCAGTTTGACGGTTTCATAACATTGCAAAGAAGGGTTGAGCTACCTGCTTAAAGATATCAAGAGATAAACACCACCTCATGTTGTTTATTAATTTACTGTTTGAGGAGATATCTCGTTACCTTCTTTGCGCTGACAGACCTCCGTAGTACTCTGCCATTGGGTCCGGTCACTCTAGTATTACTGCTACAACCAGAGGGCAGGGTGCTGGCTGAAGGGGGGCTGGAGGGAGTACCAAGGGGAGCAGGCTTCTTCTCTGCCAGGTTCTTTTGGGATGCCACATTGTTGTTCTCGTTGAAAGTCATCAACCTTTTGGTCTGGGGTTCTGCACTGTTCAAATCAATGTTTTGCCCACTTTTGATCAGGTCAAGATAATCCTTGAGTAGCGATTGTGTTGCAGGATCACTCAACCAGTTAAGGAAGAGCTCGTCCACTTTCATCTTGAGGACTGGCTGGAGGACTTGCGGGGACGGCATGTTGAAGACTATTGTTTCTACTTCTTGTGCCTGTGTAGAAATTAGAGAACTGTATTAGACACACCACTCTGATCATGTAGGGGAGAGTAGGGTAAGTTGAGCCAAAGGATAAGTTGAACGAGCCCCTGTTGCTTGGAAACGGTAAAAGAAATTGATCATGTGACCAAATATTTAGAAGATGGACATCATAAAAGTCCACCATTGTAGCTTCGAGGACTTGTAAAGTTTCACTTCAGATTGTTGAAATGTGTTACTTTTTCTTTTCAAAAACACAGCTGTGAATGTTCTGAATCACTTAAAGACATTCTCATGTTAAAATGACTTTTTACAAAACGACTTTTTAGCAGTTATATGCAATAATAATAATAATGATAAAAAAGTTATTGTACCAGTTGTATAGTGTATAATAGATAAAAATACACATGAATGTGAAGAAGTGACTGTTATTTAGGGAGAGAGAAGGTAACAGAGGGCTGGGGTGGAGAGTGGGGGGATAGTAGGGATACAGCTCAACTTACCCTGCTCCTATGGTCAACTTACCCCATACACGGGGTAAGTTGACCATAGGAGTCCACTTTTTTTTGGCATGCTATATTATCAAGACAGTTATGTTAACAATCATTCTGTTTAATTGCAGGGATGCACAACATCTTGAAATATATGCAGATACAAGAGTTAGAGACAAAACTACGATTGCCTTGATGTAGAGATCTGAAATATAAGAAATGGCTCATCTTACCCCACTCTCCCCTATTTCCTGCACAACTACAATGGATGGGAACGCATATCACAACATGTGAGCATATAAAATTGTGCGAAAAAAAACGTTTCTGACAGAGAATAGCTCTGCAATCACATGCTATCAGCTGTCCTTGCTTCGAGTTCTCACCAAACACTCACCAACATTATTGAGTTCAAGCGCGAAACGTCAATGGCTCAGCCCGTGGGCGAAAATAAACGCAGATCCATACAGATCCCAGTTGAGTTAGCCATTTTGACTCCATTGTCAGCTTTAAGTCGGTATTTCCTGAGTCGGTATAGGTTTAATTCATTGTAGTACTACAGCAGGATAACCCCGGGTCAGCAGAGCTGGTAAACCTGCTGCTGAAATCACCAGGAAACAACAGTTTGTTAGCTACGATAGCTCTAGCACACGGGCTAATATTGACTCGTTTACAAAGATTCCGACGTTATCTTGAATGAACCACCATGTCAAACACCCCGAGAAGACACAACAGCACTCCTCCAGTCAGCGGATAAATTCAATGCAAGTTTGTTTACCTGTGAATTAGAAAATTTGCGCCGTATCTCCGGTGTTCATGTCAGTTGGGTGAAAGCAGGGCAAACAACCGCAACTTCTCGGGCTCGCGTTCCCCTGGTAACCGCAGCATGTTATCGCGAGACCTACCGTGAAGGCGATGATTCATCCCGCCACAACAGTTAGTACTCTAGAGAGGTTAGGCCACCTGTTGAAAAGTCACGTTTTACCAATGTTTACTTAGTTTTTTTGATTCTATACAATGCTGAAGTTTTTCTGCACGATTAGACCCAGAAATTTACGTTTAAAGGCGTACATTTCAGCCACATGCAACCCTAAATCTCCTGTTAGTAGAAGCAGGTGAGTATTATCAGCAAAATGTTTTTAAACTAAGTGAAATAAGCAACTTTTATGCCTTTAAATGTGGTTACTTACATTATTAGAATATTATAACCCACAGTTTTTTATAAGCATAACACGTCCTTGTATAAGTAAAGGAGAGTGGGGTAAGTTGAGCCACCCTCTGTTGCTTGGAAATGGTAAAAGTAATTGATCATGTGACCAAATATTTAGGAGATGGCATCAATTCATTGAGTCTGTGAAGGTTAGAAGCACATGAGTAAAGGGGTTAGACATTTCTTAAAAAAACAAACATTTTTCACTCTTAAAAGTGAATTTAGTCTGTCATAGGTTTTATTAGAATTGTGTTCAGACTAAAAACTTACCCCGCTCCTATGCTCCTACGCTCCAACGCTCCTATACAATACTATGGTTGCCTTGATGTAGTGATCTGAAATATGAAAAATGGCTCATCTTACCCCACTCTCCCCTATGTATTATATGTATGAGTAAGTGTTTTTGTCACCTTAAAAAGAACAAGCTGTCAAATTCACAATCCAATTTTATGCCTTTTTTTGCTTAAATAACAATATTGAATTTCTGTATGACTTCCCTCCCTCTTCTTGTTTTTTTTCTCCTTTGAGCAGCTGGACTGAGCACCTGGTGTGTATGAAGCTGCAGACCCTTATTTATTACTGCAAGGAGGAGTGGTCCCAGACATCTCAGCCTCCCTTGCTGCATCCCAGGCGTAAAATCAAGGAACACAAGAAAAGGTCAGTGTAGAAAAAGGGCACTGTATTTGACATCAGGGGTGAATTGTTTTCAACAGATTGGGACTTTCCAACTTTGTGTCTCAAACTTCAACCAAAATGCAGGTTTCTCCCACCATCATTTGAAATGAATGCATACTTAGGAGATGAAGAAACACATTACGTATTATGGATACCACAGAAACAGATTACATGATCACAAGGTCAGGCATTAATGAGACAATAACAATTTCACTTGGAATTATTCTTTCACAAGCATTGCAACCAAGGTAAACAACTTAATTACTCCTTGTCTTGGTGTGGCAGGGTAATAAATCTTAATATCCAGGCAGCACAAAAAAAGTTTGTCCTGACTAAACGGTCCCTTTTTACAATGACAAACTGCACTACTAAAGGAAATATGCTGCATACATTTTTTATTGTAATCTTGTTTTTGACATGTATAATTTCACGTTATTTGCAAATGGTGCTATTTTGTTTTAAGCTAACATTTTTTTTATCTCAACATAAATGATGGTTTTTATTCCACTTATATAAACTGTGAGGAAAGAATAACAATGCTGGTTACAGATGAAGATGATTGCACAGTTGTAAGCTGACTTACTGTGACTGTCTTTATTGATATGTTATTTTTCTGTATTTTCTGCATGAAGGACATTAGGGATACCTATCACCCTGAGCATCTTTCTCTTTAATAACCACATTCAAAGTGCCTGCAGTGTTGTTGTTTAGAGTAAATTAATGGTGGTTGCACAGTTGTGAAAAATATTGACTGTATTCTCCTGATTGCTTCCCTTGATAACACCCGTATACCAATTCTGAGACATTCAAAGTTGTCTGAGGCGCAGCACGTAATGAGAAACCTCTTTGTTCTTCAGAACAGTGTGTGTTTTAGAAACATGTGTTTTAGAGCCTAATCAATATCAGAAATGAGAAGAGAAAAAAGTGAAGGTCTTGAAACTTTAAACTTTGCAACTTTTCAAAGCGTAATTACAGTGTACAAATAGGATTTTACCCAAAGCAGTGTGCATGTTGTTTTTTAACGCCTTGAAGGACATTTCAAAGGTTTGGCCGAGGCTGAAACCACAGGGGGACAGCTGGTTAGTGTTGGAAAGTGTTAGTGAGGAGTTCATGTGTGCAGCTCTCCCTTACTGCTGTCAGCTATGCTATATGGGTGCTCTGTGAAGTAGGCGATAAGCAATCTGCTCTAATAAGGAGAGTGAATAAAGTTAAAAGTGTTATGATGTAGCTACGTTCTGTAGAGAGCGAGTCGGTAGTCGGGGCAAATAGTACAAAGGGCAATGGACTACAATCATTCTTATTTTTATTAAACTTTCTTTGGTCTTTATTACTTAAAAAAACATTTACAGATTCCAGATTCAAATTTTGAGATTTAAATTGAGATAAGATCAACCAAAATAACATTCTAACGGATATTATAGTCCCAGATGTGTTGATACTTCACAAGTCTGTAAACTTCATGATCTTGCTGTGGTTGCCAACTTGACAAACTGAAACATACCTTGTAATTGTGGTTGTAATTCTCATAAAAGTATACTTAAAACTCATTAATTTTGCAGTATGATGTTTGGTCACACTTTTCACGTTCTGTCTAAACTGGCATTACAGTCATTATTCAGTAGTTAGGGTCAAACAGCTTGTGTTCTTAGAAACTGTATGAGACTAAACACAACCATGCAAGTAAATTAAATGCAAATCTTTTCCATATTTTAACGCTATCTTAATATTGATTTAAAAAAAACCCTTCCCCTATTTTTTGTCAAGCAAGAAGAAGAAAAAAAGTGCACTTAGAAAAACCAAATGCTATCATACTGTTAAAAAACATCATTAAGAGTCTAATTTTTTAAGACTCATTTAAGGAGTCTACTTTCCTTTCTTCAAGCGATACAGCTGTATGTGACGTTTTGTAGTTAGTAAAACTTAGTAGCTTAAGAAAAGCTGAAATAACTGCAATCAAGAGACAGAGAACCAGACCTTGTTTGGGGGCAGTCATTGGGTATTCCAAGCAGTCTCATTTTTATTATACATAAGCTGGGTGGTCAATCTTCACACATCAATCACAATGCCATAAAGTTCTAAAACTTAGATGAAGTTTACATGCCTGATCTTTTCAGGACATGGGTGGTTAAACTTTTTGTGTCAAACAGGATTGATTTTATATCCCAGGAATACTTTGAGTTATCATATACAAGCTAAGCACAAAGGAGCAGCTGATCTGCAGCTTGGATCGAAGAGAGGTCCATAGGTCAGCATGCCTTAGTTGGGAACGATAGTTTCAAGCATACAGGACATTTGTGAAACAAAGAATGGAATGCAACCAAATGGGAACTTCTAAAAAGTGTAAATACTGTCACTTAAACTGGGCTTCACTGGACATAAGAGATGACAGAAAAATATGTTGGATTAACTGCATGCACGCCTGCTTATCTCTAACAGTATTTTTCCTAAAAACAGTGTATTTCACGCAATAAGCACTTCCAAGCTTTCGTCTAACTTTTAATTCATTGCTTTAGGCCACACTGGTTTAGTGGAGCAGCTTTTATTTGAATAAAAAATTCAAAAGTCAAGATAATAGGGTGCCTTTTTCTGCATTCAATTGATCTCTAAATCAAGAAACTGGTAATACAAACTTAAAAATGTTAATAAAAGCAGGAAATTTTAGTTTGTGAAAAAAATCTTTGTTGTCTATAACCTACTAGAAAAATTGAAGTCTAACTTTAATTCTATGATAGAGTAAATATGATGCAGATATTGTCATTTCAGTCTCCAAGAATTTACAGTCAGGAGGTAGCATTTGGGACTATGTGCATTTTTCATCTTTACTGTTTATGTTGTTCTTTAAGTCAGACTGCAGAGTGATGGTATGAAGCTCCTTTGAATAAATTATTTGGTATGATGCCCTAAACAATCAAAACCTATTTTTAATGTTTAAAAATGTAATTTTCTCACTTTACACTGCAGAATAAACTACATCACAACAAGTTTTTCAAATGATGCCTCTAAACTTAAAACGCTCAACACATTTTCACCTGCATATCATACTCACTTGACTTCTAAGTAATACAGTTTTATTCAAGACATAAATAGAAACTTTTGGGGAAAACTTCTTTGGATTCCCTCTTGATATTTCTCATTAATTTCTTCATATATTTAAACTGTTTCTTTTTTTTTTTTTTTTTAACTCTGCACTCTAAATTTTCACTCACCCACAATTGTTGGAAAATGAAGACGAAAACAGTTTTACACCTACCAGGGTTTTTAAAGCGTTATTTCTAAAATCACTTCCACTTTTTTTGCATGATACAAAATAGATTTTGTGCTTTTTTTGTTATAAACAGTTTAAAGTCTCATCAAACTTGAGCTTTTAAAACATTTGTCATTCTTTAAGGCACCTGAACCTCCACAAATGTCACTGTAGGTTACTTTGCCTTCATACACCATGCACAATTTACTCAGGAGCTCCAAATACAATACAGATTTGTAGATATTCCTCTCTCTGTCTGATTTCCAATAATAGCCAGATATTGTTGAAATAAGCGCTTGCATGAAGTAACAATTTTACAAGAATGTTGCTGGTCGACTGATATTTTAGACCAGAAATCACTTTGATCTTGGTCTTAAACATTCGCTGTTTGATATGGCTTTCAAATGAACCGTGGTATGAACCTCACTCTCCGCCTCCCAAAATGGCATCGGGTAGTGATGAGCCTTCTCATAGCTCTTTCATGGCTTACAGTGTAAACACGCCGCACTGTTTTTATTCCTTAAGAAAATCACAGACAGAGAATCAAACTGTCTTCAGTCAACATTTAGATTCCTAATACGCTGCGCGAAAAGGAGCCGCAGAGGAGGAGACTTCTTTCATTAGACACTTCACTGAGGCTCTGAAGTTTGCTCCTTCCATCTGAGATGACTTTAAAAGAGAAACAATGCCTCTGCCTGTTGGGGTCTTTGGAGATTTTCTCTCTCATCACGTATTAATGAAAGAGGTG